AGAGAGAGAGAGAGAGAGAGAGAGAGAGAGAGAGAGAGAGGCCTTAGAGATTGTACGTCGGCTTCAGCTAAACGAAAGAGACGGAAAGACCACCATTATCGGCGATCTTCGGCGCTTCTGTCCACCGGAGTGGCACCTAACATCCATCCAATACCAGACGCCAGGCCACCGGTCACGGTGCTAGTAATCATATCTCGTCTGCGCACTCTCCCATCATCCATGCCTTCATGCAAACCCTCACCGGTTGCTGCCCGTTGCGCCTGCATTGTAGGTTGTTGCCGTAACTGCTGCTGTTGCTGGACCTGCGGTGCGGAAGCGGCACCGCCTACACCCACGCCGCCACCACGCAAGGGAAATGCATTCCTACTAAACGCCTTTGCCGCACCGCGAGCAACATCGAACAGTCCCATCGGTGCTTCTTCATCAGCGCCACGTCTAGCCTCTGCATTGGAGCGGCCGACTTCACGGCGAGGTTGTCCGAAAACCATGCCCTCGGTCGATGCATCCGAGAAGCCTCCAGGCACACTGATGCGTTTGTCCGCGCGATCGTCAAACTCTTCTTCTGCTTGTGTTTCGGCGGCGAGGAGTGCGTTCGTTTCTTCCTCGCAGCGGCGCCAGATGTTAAGGACTTCGGAGAGGGAAGAGGGTGGTGCGAGGAGGAGGGCTAGACTGAGGAGCTCGGTACGTTGGTCTAGGCGGCGGAGGGTGGGTTGGGCGTTTGTTTGTGATCTGTAGCGGCCGGCGAGGAAGGCCGCTCGCCAAGATACATCGTCTTCTTGCATTTCTGGGTGTTCTTCTGCTTCTGATACTGATGATGGGATCGTGTCTTGCGGAGCTAGTCTATTGACAACGTACGAGTATGCAGTCTCAAAGTCGCCGACGGTGAGTGCTGCCTCGACGCACATGTAGATGACCCTCTTCTCGGCTACCGACAGTTTCGTCTTCTTGTCAACATCTGATTCTAGGCTGCGATCAATAAGGTCGCCATCAGCGTTGCGAAGTGGCAAGCCAGCTGCGATTAGGTTACGACCAATTTCTATGAGGTCATCAAGTTTCGTATAGCTGTTTGCGTTTTGCTCGAGCAGTTTTGGAAGGAGCGATAGAGGGTCCAAGCTAGCGCGGATATTTACAGGCTGGAATGGGACACCATGTTGCAGCTTAAGCGAGTAGAAGGACATTGAGTGGGTTGCTGCAATCAATGCCAGAGCCTTCTTGAACTCGTCGCTCTGAGGAAACTGACCCTGGCAATGAACAATCAAGTCTTGGGATTTCTTCATGTTGCCTCTTGTGCGGTTGCCGTTGCTGGCGTTGTCGTAGAGTTGCATTGCTTGCTCGAGGATGATTTTCTCGATATCCCCCGCGCTGACTTGACGTGCATCAGCCTGTGCAAAGTACAGGCGATCAACCAATGGGTAAGATCCGCTTGAAACCAAGACCTTAAGAAATTCACGTTCGATGGTTGCCTTTTCGAGTCGACCGAATATGCCGGCACCGTTGAGACTAGGATTTTCAATCTCGGTATTCCAGTTCCATAGCCAGATCAGTCTGTCGTAATCATCTTGCCACTGTTGTTCATCACGCTTCCCTTGTGCAGCCAAGCTGTGAATGACTTTGGTCAAAAGGCTCAGTTGTTCGTCTGAACCAGAGGCAAAGCGTAGCTTAGCGACGGTGAGTATCGAGATATTGTGACCGAGTCCAGCCAGCTGGTAAGCCGAGTAAACCAGCAGCTGCAAAAGCATGTATGAATCGAGTGTGGGAGTAGCTAGAGGATGATCGGGGTCAAGGAGAACATTTGGCTCGAGGTTTACGGTCGAACCGTTAGCGTAAAGAAGTTCGATGTGCTTGTCAATGATAGGTAGCTGTTTGACACTGGTGGCAAGTTGTGGAGGAGCCCCGAAGTCAAGTAGATGGGCCAAGCGCACAAGAACAGCATGAGCATCAGCAATGGTTTCTGGGGAGTCGGCTTCTGCAGCATAACAGGAAGCAAAGGTAGCCTGTGCGTATTGTCGTTCGAGCTTGGCTTGAGTGTCGTCGTCAAGATAGGCTTGAGCATCTTGGAAGCCTCCAAGATCAACATCTCCAGGGCCATCCCATTGCTCAACGAGGTTGGCAACAAGTGAGAAGTCGTGGATTGCCGTGTGAAGCATCCACTCAAAGAGGTACTCCCAATCATGGCCTGTCTTGTCCTCGTTGGTTGAAGCATCCGGTCTGGTGGAAGCAGTGTGCGGAGAGCGGGCCGTGTTGTGTTGTTCGCGCCTAGACTCTTCCTTGTGATAAAGACGCCGCCTCTTTCTTTCTGTGTGACCATACATCCACGGGCCCACCATGGCCCTTGTGTCTCTGGCGACCACCGGTTTGGAGTCAGTCGGAGAGGTCATGTCATGGTCGAAGTTGGTCACGTTGGACAACAACAAATCGATACCTTGGTGGCCATCAAGCTTCTCAAAGGTCGAGAGGGCCGGCGGGTCTTGTGTTTCGGGATAGTAGTCATAGCGGAGACGTAGCAATGGCAGCACGACGGCGACGTACCAGGTACGAAGGTAGGGGTTTGTGTCAAGGAAGGGCTCGGCCAAGCGTGGGACCAGAGTCAAGAGACCAGTCTCGTTGTCGATGCGGTTTGCGCGGTGGACGATGAAGCGGGTCAGCAGGTCGTTCGGAGCATGAGGAGGGAATGCCGGCGGGCTGAGGTCTTGAATGAACAACTTGTTGACGCGCCTTCTGGCTTGGTCGGGTGATAGGGACGACACGGGCGATGTGTCCACATCCAAGAGCTCCCGCTGTTCTGGGTCAATACGCGTAGCGACTTCACGCACATACGTCGTGTATAGCGACGGGTCGACCGTCTCGGGCAGGTAGGTCAGCACGATGCGCAGGACCAGCTCCGGCGACAGCACGTCGGGACGTGACGGCGTGAAAGCGTGTAGCAACCTGATGTTGGCTTCGCTGGCATAGTGCACCGTCAGCAGGATACAATGTGCAGACGACAGCGCCTTGGTCGATGGGTTCGCCATGTTCAGGAAATTGCCATCTAACATGCGAATGCGCATGCGGACAAGCTGTCCGCATGCGCTGTAGGTTGCGTCACTCTCGGCCCAGACTCCCCCGGCCTGCAATTCATCACGAGCTGCCCAACCAAGCTTTCAGCACAAACTTCCAATCCCATTTCATTTCTTCGCTACTGCTTTCTACCTACTGTAGCTATTCCTGATTTGACTCTCTCCCGATACCACTTAGGCGCCGGGTGGGGGAGGTGGGGGAGGGTTTTCCGAAGGCGGCGGAGGAGGAGGAGGCGCATCACCAGATGGAGGAGGTGGAGGACTTCCTGCTGCGCCGTAGCCTTGTTGCTGCCATGGTGCCATACCTGGTGCCGCTGCCTGGGCATAGCCCTGCTCGTAGCCCGGTGCTGCGCCGTATCCGTAACCAGCATAAGCGGCTGCATATCCGCCGCCATATCCACCTGCCTGAGGTGCTGCTGCATGACTGGACTGTTGCTGTTGCTGTTGCTGTTGCTGCCATGGTGCAGCGCCTGAGCCTTGTCCACCGCCGTATCCTCCTCCGTAGTTGTCGCTTGCGCGGCCGCCGCCGGAACCACCAGCGGCCCATGGTGCAGGTCCGCCTGAGCTGCCACCCTCGCGCTCGCGACCACCACCACCACCACCGCCGCCGCCACCTCCTCCTTGCTGCCAGGGTGCAGGTCCTCCGGTGGGTCCACGCTGCCAGGGCTTGGCTGCTCCACGGTCGTCGCCGTATCCACCAGCTTCAATGCGAGCAGGGGCTGCAGTTCCGGTGATGGCGCCGCCGGCACCCAACTCTTGCATGAGGTTGTTGAACTCGGTGTCTGCAGGCTCGAGCTGACCAGCATGGCCAGATGCTCCTGGAGCGGGACGGTCGCTGTTGCGCCAATCTTGGCCGCGCTGTCTGTCGGGACAGTCTCTTGCCATGTGACCTGCGTTACCACAGACGCGACAGATGATGTTGGCGGTGAAGTTGCGCTGTTCGGGGCAGTCGTACTTGCGGTGTCCAATCTGGCCACAGTTCTGGCAGGCCTGGTTCTCGTCGTCACGGAGCGTACCGTTGAGCGCGGCGAGTTCACGTAGTTGGTTGCGCTTCAGCTCGTTCTGGCCTTCGGGAATTGACGCGGCCTGTGATCCAAACGTTAGTTCAAATTCCGCAACGTAGCGCGACCGTCTCAGGTCGTGGGTAAATACCGTCTCGATAACGTTGTGAATCAACTGCTTGGCCTTGTTGACCTTGTCTTCGGTGTCGGCCATGATCAGACAGTGCAAGTCTTCCTCCTGGTTGCTGGTGTGGGCGGCGTCGGATCGGCCCTTTCCTTCCTTGACGGAACCCTTTCCTCTGATAGCAATCTTTGCGCCGGATTCTGTTTCCATCTTCTTCAGGGTGTTGCCACGAGGACCAATAAGTAGACCAACTGTTAGTAGGAAAAAACCCTAGATGTTAGTTTCTGTTAAGCACATGAGAGCAGTGAGTGGTTAGGGGCAGAATAGCAGACAGCTGTAGCCTGCATAATCATAGGGAACAAGAGGGGGAAGAGGTTAGCAATCATACTGAAGTTAATTTCTGGATAGTCGTTGACAGGCACGTAGACCTTCTCCTGGGTCTTTGTGGGACGTCTGTAATCAGAAGGAGGGTGGTAGCCTGGGATGGTCTTCATGGCCTTCTCGACCAGCTTGTGGCGCTCTTCTTCGAGACGCTTCTTGTAGCGGTACTCGCGAGTGTTGACACGGCGACCGAAGTTGTCGTACTGCGGAGGCGGAGAGGGTGATCTGTACATGTCAATTACGAGATCAAGCAAGAGGAGATGGGCCAGACTCACCTGTCACCGTCGGCTGGGACGACATCGTTGATCCTCAGCTTCTGGCTGATCTCCTCAATACGCAAATGCAGAGTGTAGGCATCGAGCTGTTCGCTTGTCATGTTGCCGAGAACAGCAGTGGGCAAGTTCATCAAGCCAGCGGCCTTGTTGTCGGTCGCGTCACCCCATCGGTTGCGCTTCTTTCTCTTCTTGGTGCCATCGGGATTGAGCTCTGTGTATTGGAATTAGTACGTGGGAAGATAGCAGTGCGCGACAAGCATACCTCTGACAGGGCTGCGACCGCGCTTCAGGCTTTCGCCTTCTACGGGGCCGCTGCTGTAGCTCTCTTCGACGGGAGGAGAGCCATCTTCGGCACCAAACCTGCGACGGTTACCCAGAGGGATGTTATTGCTACCGGTGATGCCTTGACCACGCCACGACATGCTGGGTAATTGCGATTTGGGAAAAGTGGTTGTCGGTCAGTTGGTGTCGCTGAGGGCGTCTGGAGAAGTTCGAGCGACGCTGATCCCGCGGCCAGATCGTCCGTGCACGCCAACCCCTTCTTCAACACTTCCCTTCTTCACTGCTCCGAGTAAGTCCTCCTTCATTCAACACTGGTGATCTCGGTGCAGAGTAAGTATGGTTGATAAGAGACCGAGATCACTCTGCGCTCTACGTCAGTCGACATCATCGTTCTCTCGTGCTGTTCATCGGACTCTGAAACTAACGCCCTGGCCATGGGCATGACTTCTCACATCCTCAAGTATCACATGCGAAAGCCGACCTGATCTTTATTCCTTTCGAGTACGTGAGCAGACGTGTGCAACATTGACTGGTGTACGAGGCGTCCGCATTTCTGGTGGCCGTATGTTATCATACTACGACTACGGACTTCGCTTCCGGTCATCAAACCTACATCTGGATACGTGTATCCTTCACGAGCTGTGACCCAGTAAACCGGTCACTCTTCCGACAGAGTGAAGTTAGTAATGAGGTACCGATACAGCCCGACGTCAAATTCATGCGGGTTGCTTCCTGTCTCCGATGAGGGTCACCAGAAAGCTTCCTGATCTACTGTCATCGGAGCAGTGTTGTTACTATTGACTTCTTTGACTGGACAGGACACAACTATAATCCCGAGATGTTACTGCGTGACCTCAGAAGGAATCGAGGTACAGCAGACATGGGTAGTATTCAAGCCCTACTGCTGGTATCACTGAGCGCTAAATCGCGATTGCTTGTCAAATCGTCCGCTCAGTGGCATATCGAAACCAGAGTTGAAACTCCTCGCTAAAGGTCGAGCGACGAGTGATGTCGCTGAAATTGAGCTAGGCGGTCATGCTGCAACTGTCTTCTTCCCAAAGGTTGTCGAAAAGGAGGGCACGAAGTTCACAGTGAGCGAGGTGGTGGCTAACAACAGACACACTCCTCATAAAATGAGGAATGCAGGGAGGCGTCGGGAATACAAGAACACCTCTTACCGAGCTCTGCATGAGACATGGAGACGTGCAATTGGACAAGGTCCAGCCAGATCTCCAGCTTACCGAACGATCGTGACTGCTAAGTAACTTCATTGTCCAGCCAACATTCATGCCTCTCAACACAGTGAACAAAGAAACCTTTAGTGGCTTTGGCCATAGACTCCAACTTTTAGCAGAAACTGGAGCCTGCAATACTGTGGCGCCTAACGGGCAGATTGCCCGCTGGTCATATAACTTTGTCTTGATTCAAAAGCAGCTGTTAGCTGTGTGTGCTGTGCTGTCCTGCACAGTGAAAGTAGCAGCTAATCATATCCTCTCCGTGCTGGAAGTCTGGGACGACGAGATCGATTCCTAGTGACGAATCAACGAGAAGTGTGCCTGACAGGGGTATGAAGCAAGATCGACGTAGTACGAGCACAGCTAAGAAGCAGTGTCGCAAGGTATCTAGCTGATTCAGGCAAGAGCGCGCCAGAAGTCAGGCCGGTGGAGCGGGCGCTTCGATCTCAGGAACCCCTAGCCATGCTCCTTAGACTCAACGCTCCACCGCTTGTGTTTCAAGCCCCGGCCCCAGTGCAGCAGGAAACGTGCAGCAGCCGCCACCAAGACCATGCGAGAACGCATTGGGGGACACAGCTGACAAGGGAGACGTGCATAGACGAGAAGCATGCTGGGAGGTGTTTGAAGCACGATAAATCTCTGACAGTCCTTTGTGAAGTAACAAGCCCTTTCCCTTGCGCCCACGAATTCCATGTTTTCTATTTACGACCTGTGATTGTTTCTTTACCTTGCGTGCCACCACACCCCATTCTTTTCCCGACCTCCGCACCCAAGACGGCTGTGCTGCTCGTCCACTCGTTACTTCGCCATTTTTGCGACAACTTCGAGGTCTAGCCATTCCAGCTTTCACCACTCTTGAAGCCACGGTGCCGGTCACCATCACATTCAAGAGCCATCTCATCGGGCGTCTTCTCCGCGGTCGAGATCTTCTCGTTGTTCAATCATCCCAATCGTCTCCTGTTGATCGGTGAGCCTTTGCTAAATCATCGACATGGCATCATACTCGCTCCTCCTCGCCGCATTCGCGACTGTTGTGACTGCCTACACTCCCAGTATGACACCTGAGCAAAAGGCTCTTCTCTACGACTCTTACTATCAGAATCACCGCATCCAATGGTATCTAGGCTACGTTTGGGCATCGACGGTTGCAGCCATCTTCACGTATCGTATTACCGTCACTGCACTGCGTTACGTTCGTACACTCGCGTGCCTGGAAAACGAAAAGCAACACTATTTCGTCAATCCTCATTCTGGCTGGGCTGGTCTTAGGCGCCACATCATCGATGCACCTCTGTTCCGTAGAAGACACAACCGAGAGTTCAAGCTCTCTGCTGCGGCTAGTATGGGCACGCTACCAGGCAGGCTCCAAACCATGTATCTGATCGGTTCGTCATGTCTCCAAGCATGTATTCACGTGGTTTTGCTAACCTCCGTTATAGGCTATGTGGCAATGAACATTGCGTTCTGCGTTGTCAGCATACACTGGAGTGGCGGCAACATCGCTACCGAAATCAGAAACCGCACAGGTGTCCTATCAGTAATGAACATGCTTCCGCTGTTCTTGCTTGCTGGTCGTAACAATCCACTCATCAAGTTGCTCGACATTTCATTTGACACTTATAATCTCATGCACCGCTGGATCGGTCGTATCGTGGTTCTCGAAGCTGTTGCCCACACTGCTGCATGGATGGCGAGCAAGATCATGGCTGGTATGTTCCACAACCGCTCAAGGATGTTCGTCTTACTAATACTTGCGAAGCCCCTTCATCATCGGCTGGTTGGAACATCATTGGGAAGGCAATGGCTAGCAGTCAACTTATTCTGACTGGCACAATTGTAAGTCACACTTGTTTGCAACTTTGTTATCTCACTGATAGATTGGCAGGCGACATGCGCATTCATCACGCTCATGCTCCACTCGCCTTCTGTTGTGCGTCATGCGTTCTACGAGACCTTCCTCGGTGTTCATATCGTGTTGGCTGTCATTTCCATCGTCACTGTGTGGATCCATCTCAAGACACTCCCTCAGCAGATCCTCATCCTTGGGGTAATCGTCATTTGGATCTTCGAACGTACTGCACGCGTCGCCATCCTGATCCGTCACAATGTCGGTCAAGGCGGTACCAAGGCCGAAGTTGAGGCTCTTGCTGGAGAAGCCATCAGAGTCACTCTCCGTATGGCACGTCCTTGGAAGTTCCGCGCTGGTCAGCATCTCTACCTTTATCTGCCTTCTGTTGGTATGTGGACTAGCCATCCATTCACCATCGCTTGGAGCCAGGAGGAGCAAGATCTTACTTCGGAGAAGTTACCAACCGATACCCTCGACGTTTTGGCCAGACGCAAGACGACCATGTCTCTTATCATTCGTCGCCGTACAGGTTTCACCGACTCGCTATGGAAGAAGGCCGAGAGTGCTCCTGATGGCAGATTCTGGGCTAATGCGCTTGTCGAGGGCCCTTATGGAGCTGCTGATTCTTATGAGTCATATGGTCATGTCATGCTGTTCGCCGCGGGAGTTGGTATTACTCACGCGGTACCACATGCTCGTCAGCTCGTCGGCGGTTATGCCAACAACACCTGTGCTACCCGCAAGGTTGTTCTTGTGTGGATCCTCCAGAGTCCCGAGCATCTTGAATGGATTCGTCCCTGGATGACCGAGATCTTGGCGATGGAGAAGAGACGTGACTGTCTTCGTATTCTTCTGTTCGTCACTCGACCTAAGAGCACCAAGGAGATTCACTCTCCCAGTGCCTCAGTGCAGATGTTCCCTGGTAAGCCAGACGTTGGCGCCCTAATTTCTGCAGAGCAATCGAAGCAAGTTGGCGCTATGGCTGTCAGTGTCTGCGGTACAGGAGGTCTTGGTGACGATGTCAGACGTGCCGTCAGAGAACGTTGCGAGAAGACAACGATCGACTTCTACGAAGAGAGCTTCACCTGGTAGAAGGAAACATTTCCGATGGGCTATATGCTGAATCTGAATGCGCATGTGATGATGGGACGACTGCTGGACATTTGATGGACGATCGGGAATCGTCCTTGGTTTTTGTTTCTCTTCTTTTCCTTCTTCTTCATCATCTCCTCGTCGAGAGTTTCTTCTTCCTTTTCGTGTCCTTCTTACACTCCTTACGAACGTCCCTGAGTGGATGTTGCTTTTATACTTCTTCTCGCTAGCCGATCGAATGCCAGACAAATTACTCTGCTTCATCTCAATGATCTTTTTAAAGCATGCCGTTGATTACCAGGTACTACACATGACTTTTAGATGGACATAGCGCGTAGATCTGCCTGTCCTTTACTTCCTGCCTTCACACATGACAAGATGGAAGCCTTCCGTAGTCTTTACTTCAGCCCACTTGGGATTGTTGGTGGTGCTTGCCTCCAATTCGAAAGCAACATTCGCGAACTCTGGAATAAGATCTTTTCTGGTTTTCCAGCCGAGAGATCCACCTGTGACAAAATACTTTAGCACGTTCGTCTTCGACCATATGTGACTGATCAACCGACCTTGACGAGCCTTGTCCTCTGAGAATTCTCTTGCGACTTCATCAAACTTGACGCCAGCATTCAGCTTGGCAACTGCCTCTTCCTTCTTTGCGTGCTTCTCGCAAAGTATGTGGCGGACATTAATGCTCTGAGCTGCATGAGGGATAGGTCAATACACCGGATGAAACAGTGATCGCTTGGAAGACTTGCCTCCTTTCACCTTTCCTGCGCCGGCCTTCTCAGGCTCCTTGGCCTTGCCTTTGTTGTTCTTTGGTGCCATGTTGTTCTAGATGAACAGCTGTGTTGCTGTGCGAAAAATCACTGTGAGCCTTACGGTTGATGGTCTTGAGAGCGGGACACGCCGTTCGCAACAAAGCTCGGGCTGCCGCTGACATTGTGTCCCCATCGGGCTGTGTGCTTCATGTTGCCTTCCCGTATGCAGAAGTAACAACAGTTGTCGTCTTCCTGCTTCCATACCAACGATGGCGGCCAACAACATGCTAGGCGCACATCAGATCTCGGACATCCCAGATGGCATGTTTTATATCCCGAACTTCATCGATCATCAGCAAGAAGCAGACCTTTTGAGCGCATTGCCGTCGAATCGCTGGATCCAATTGCAACATCGTCGCCTACAGACACATCCGTCCTCACTCTCCAAGACCAACATTCTATTAGAGGCTCCACTACCTTCATGGTTGGTAAATCCGATCATTACAAGATTCATGACACTTGGTCTGTTTAGCGACAGTCCTCATCAAGGGCCGAATCATGTCTTGATCAATGAGTACGAGCCTAATCAGGGTATCATGCCGCACGAGGATGGTGCAGCATACTATCCCATCGTGGCTACTGTAAGCCTGTCAAGCACACTATGCCTTGACATATATGAGAAGAAGCGGGACGAGGATCAACCTCGCACTGATGTCAGCCCTAAGTGGCGCGTATTGCAAGAGCCACGCTCTCTTTTGGTCACCTGTGGAACCGCATATACCGATACTCTCCATGGCATCTCAGAGATCGAAGTTGATGAAGACTTGAGACCCGACACTGTGGCGAACTGGACTCTTCTCGGCGACAAAAACATTCTCGTTGACAATGGCGGAAGGAACGTACGCACAACCCGGATCAGTCTCACATATCGAGATGTGATCAAAGTCTCAAAGGCCGGATCGAAAATTCTAGGCAGACCCAGAGGCTGAGCCTCGACAACTCAACCTTGGGACGAGAGGCTGCTTCACAGCATTGAAATCTTATCATTCTCGTCAGATAGGTCTCAAAAACAGCTGGCTACTCAGAGGATCATTCTGTTCTCTCAAAGACTCTTCTACCATGAACAACAAGTGCGACGTCCGCAAAATAACCTCTTCCAGATCGACTGCATAGGAGACTGCGACTTCTGCTTCCGAGGAAACCAATATGGGGTTATCTCTCTTCCATTTCCTTTCCCTGACTCTGAACTTGACACCCACGGTGTGGGCCGCTGTGTTGACCCACAGGATTGACGGATCGTCTGCCCGTGTACCAGATGATGTAGGCAGGGCACTGTCCTTGGTTTGGTCGGCTAGCCAGTCTCTCCAGACTCTAATGGTACCTTCACAGACTTCGACAGCCGTAAGTATTGTGTCTGGACGTGGACCTTGTTTCACAAGCATGAGGGCGGCTATCAATTGCGTAAATAGTTCGTCAGCGTCTAGAGACACTTCTTGAGACACCATATCGCTCTCTGCGTTGTGCACATGGATACTCGGATCGGCAGAACTCGGATGGGTCCTCGAGCCTGGAATGTCTCCCGCAGGGTGTTTCAAAGAGGGCCTTCGTAGCTCTTGATGTTGGGGTCTAAATCTAGAATATACAGCTTGACCCAGATGACCAATCTTTGCGGAGTCGGGGAGACCCTCGATAGATTTTTCGTCCAATCCTGAAGTGCCTAGCGATGTACAGAATAGTTGGCCCGCTGTCAGTCTGGCGCTTGGTGGGTATAGTTCAAGAACCAGAACATGGTCGAGCAAGGTGGCCGCGGCTGTCAAGCGATTTTGAAGTATTCTGACACAGATGGAATGAAATCTACGTGATACCGGAGCAAAGGTCAGGACATTCTTGGTAGTAAATGATTGCAGGATGTCGTAGAGGAGCTGTTCCATCGTTAGCTGTATTTCAATGAAGAACAGTGTAGGTCGATAGCACCTCATTGGGTAGAGCGTCGAAGCCACGCCTCTGAGGAGAATTCATCGTATCTTACAACGAGACGATTGTTGAGAGACATGGCAAAAGTCCTTCACTCGGGAGAGGCAGGTGTGGTTCAGGAAGTGGTTTCAAAGTGGCAGGAGGGGTCCAGTTATGACGCACACCTGGAGAAGCGCGGGGCTGGCGATAAGGGCTTATCGCATTGTTTATCCCGTCCGAGCGACAGAAATGCAATCTGATCATTTAGCATCACACACGTTATTCCCATAACGAAACTATCATCGGCTTCTCACGATGACATTCAACGTGCAACGCTACGTGCACCGTAATGAATCCGAGGCACCCGATTCGCGTTTGATCGAACCACATCCTGATCGGCCAGCGACAGCCCAAAGGACGCGCAACACTCATGAGCTGAACGGCCATATTTCGTACGAGACAAATACCGACAACTTCGATGCGAGCGTGCTATCCCCGGACGAACAACAGCAGATAGGCTCTGACGATTCACAAGGCCAAGATGACTACGACTATGGTCATTATGCCGAGCAGGGTACACAAGACTATCAGGAGAATGGCATTCCTGCAGGTTTTGATGTGACTCCGTCGCAGATCAGTGGCATGATGATGGAGATGAACCAAAACGGAATGCAGAGAGCAGCCAACCGTCCCATGTACATCGATCCAGAGTCTTATCCTCCTACCACAGATGGTGACCCAGAATCTTTGAATAACTTCGAGCCTGATAATGGGTACGAAGTCAGACACATGCAGGCTCAATCTCAAGTCGTACAGCAAGCTCTTGACACTTTCGAAGTGGAAGACCCACAGAGACGTGATGCTACTACCTCCTTGCCCGTCCATCCACTGCAACGCCGCACACACAAAAACCAGTTCATGGCGAGAGTCACCCCCACCGTGACTCAGAGAGACATCCAGGACCAGAAGAAGACGCGCGATGAGACACGTGCTATCGCTGAATCTGTGGTCCAAGTTGCTGCAGAGAGCTTCAAAGCCGCCACCCAACATTCCGCAGCCCAGAGGCCTCCTGTCAGAGCGCCAATTCAACCCAAGAGAGCCTCGGTAGAACCTTACGGTCACGACGATCAGTATTCGAATTCTGATCTGGATCCCGAACTCAATAATTACAGGGAGTTCTCCAACGGAACTAACCGTCGCCAGACCTGTGTCAATGGAGCGGACGTTCAGCAGCAACAACTGAATGGGAAAGGCCACAAGCAGCAACGACTTAACGGAAGAGGTCACAAGCAGCAACAACTCGATGGAACGAGTTACAAGCAGCAGCAGCAGAACTTCAATGAAGCTTCCGAAGAGATCTCCAAGCAAGAGTTAAGCTTCGAAGGCCTCGATTACGACAAGGAAAAGTTGAAGAAGATGGACTTTGATGCACTGCAGAGAGAGCCTTTTGATGGACCAACCCGTGAGGATGCACAAGAGGACCTCTCCGATCTCGCCTCGAAATCACTCAATGAAAGATTGTCGGCTGTCGCTAAGTTCGATGCCCAACGCCAGAAAGAGTTCTTCGCCTCTCTGAGCATCGAGGAATGGGAAGAGGCTGGAGACTGGTTCCAAGAGAGCTTTTCTGGGGTCATGAACAATCTCAAAGCTGCGCGTAGGAAGAGACGTGAGCTGGCTCTTGAATTTGAGAATCGGGTCGCTCAGAGGCAACAAGCGATCGAGAAGAAGCACGGCATTACTGAAGAGGCGTTGGTCGGAATGAAGAGGTCCGGAAGTCAGGTCCTGGTGAGCACACCAAAGAAAAAGCACAAGTCTTCGGGATGATGTGATGTTGATGATGATTGCTGTAATCTCGCGTTGTTTCACGGGGAACGAAAAAGCGGTCTGGTCTTTGCTTTCCGGTTTGTGGCATGTTGTGGCGCTTTATACCCCATCTGTTGGGCGATGACCCTTGTCGTGTTTCTTTACTGTTGCTAGTTGCTGAGTCTCTAGGGTTACCTGCTGATATAGCTTGACCTTACTAAGTATTACGCAGATCTTGAAATATGGTTCCTACCTTGTTCACACGCAAGCGGTGATCGTCTCCATATTTCTCGCCATGTCGCTTTCGCTTCTGGTACGACCCTGGTCCCCAGCTATGAGGGTCCGACACCATGTCACGACCGCCGGCAATACTGATAACGCTAGATATTCAAACTTGCGTAGATACACTTACGCCGTTGATATATTCCTAGATTCTCGAATGGTCGTTGTTGGTGTCTTGTGGTCTAATTTGGGAGGCAAGCCTTTCGTGGCTCAGAATATGAAAGCGACTGATCGGAGGTCCGACTATAGATCACGGAAACACTACTCACAACTTCGCAGAGACATCATGGTGCTGTTTGTTCTAGAGGACACTCATCCTACCGCAGTCACCAAATAAGACTCCAAGCACGAGTCCTTTCACAGACGTTGAACCTTGCAGCCGGTCCATCAAGCACAAGAGCTGAACCAGGTACATGGAGACCATCACGTTCCCAGAGACAGATTGATGGGCTTGCAGTGGAGTTCGTGCGGCAGCGAACCTCGTGGTGAGGGGCCACACCGGCAGCATGCAGAGAAGAGCGAGCTGGAGTACAGTAGAAGCAGACGAAAGAAGGATCTGAGCGGAGCATCATGCACAGAAGCTGAGCTGTATCTAGCCTCGTGCAGTAGTCAACGCTGAACATGAAGGTATCTACTAATCGCCAGGCTGACTCATGAAGTTGAGTCCTTTGTCAGCGGAGAAGGTCGCGAAAACTACTGCACGTGAGAAAATCCAGACAAAAGCGGCCCTGGAGATTGCGTCGAGTACCTGGCAACCCAGCTTGACCCCCAGAATCAGCCACTTTCAATCCGACATCATGGATGATGCTATCGTATGCATCTCCAAGGAGAAGATCGACTCGCTGTTTCGAGTGACTGCGACAGAGAGGTCATCATGACCTCTTTCCCTCAGGCCTCCCAGCTTACAGATCCCAGTACTGCTAACCATGGCGAAGTTTGAACCGGAAATTCGGCCACTCCGACACGACGACGGCGATCGGGCGATATTAGAGAGACCTACTAATGCAGGTCGAGGAACGCACCCAGAATGCGCGGTATATTAATGAGCCGATGGTCAATGCTATGCTCACATGGCCTTCGAATTTCCTTCTTTGGGGACTGGCTAATTAGTACGAGACTGCTGCATATGTTTCAGACATTGAGGTGCGTCTCTACATGCACTACCTGTGGTCGGACGGCATCATTCGAAGAGAGAAGCCATGAGGATCTGCCCATAGCACAGTTCGTAAGAGAGGATCTACGTCTTCCCAGATTGGCGCTTCGCGACGATTGCGCCGCGAAGGTGCTGAATGGAGAGGCGGTGTGAGTTTCCTTCAAGTGTATTACAATCGTATAGTCTGCATTGAGATACAGGTAATGATACATTGACCAGCCGTCAATTTTAAAAGTAAATCTGTCACTTGTCCTCTTGAGTCGTGAATCAGGCAAATTGGTTCGCGCGCATTGATATCGCAAGGAGGATACGCGATGAAGCAACGTCCGCAGCGCACGGCTAATGCGATCCATGAGTTTGGTTGGTGTCGTGAGGGTTGACTTTGGTGCCAGGAGTATGCATCATGCATGGATGCAAGAGACTCGTTGCGGAAGTCGGTTACGTGATATCGGCTGGAAACAGCAAGGCGCCAAGTCAGCGGTGATCTGCAGCCTCAATCTGATAGATTGTCGTAAATCATGTTGCAAAGATGGTCGACATCAAGTACGTGCGTAATTCGAACGGGAAAACACTATTCAGAGTGATTGGAGATGGGGTTGTGATATAATGTTCGTTAATCACAGGCTCAAACAAGTTTGTCGATCTCACCCGTGACGCTTTTGTCGTCTCCGTCAATCATAGGTATATAGCATGTCGACAACGATCGATATCGATGTGTCTCTCCTTGATATTGAGACAACGGGCATGAGTCAACTCGATTGCCAGATTCTTCCGGCCGAGTGATGGCTCATGTCAAGATAAAACCGAATACCGAGATGATTCAAATGTCGCGATATTGCCCTCTCACACCATGGACGTCCTCTTGAATTGGCTTCTAGTACTATCCAGAGCGGTATATGCAAGCCCTACATGACGCCGGTGGATGACCAGCCCCGTTCACACTCGGCCAGGCGACGGTCGCCGTTGATCTTTGCTCCCCGGAACCTTATGGCTCAGCCTTGTACCGCGTGCATGATGCTATCCTCCGAATGCATGATCGGTACCGTAGCATGAGCTCGCGGTTTCTCATTGAGTGGTGCATGCATAGAAGATTAGGAATGCCATGTCCAGCTGTCAGGCATAAGATCGTGATACCATGGCGCGTAGCAGAATCAAACACTGGAATTGATGACCGCTGAAGGCAGTGTCGCTGAACGTGACTGCCGCGAGACAAGTCGTTTGACCGGCAATCTGGGAGGCCGAAGTGGCACTACTCCTACCTCTCCACTTGGCTCTTGACGATATTGTCTAACATGACTCTCTGAAGACAAGAGCGGGTGCGTTTCCCCTGGCTAGGTCCACAAAAAAGTACTGATGCCCACTACGACCCGTGCGGTTTATGCATGGCAGCGGGGAACACACGGACAAGATGACTAGCTCGTGGCACGATCGCCCACGTCAATGAGTGAATCCAGGTAGCTGGGTCCGAGAGGTAGGAGTGCAAGAGACGACATCTGCCACTTGCTGGCCATCCCATCCAGCACTCCCGCTGTCAAACCGTCAGTGCGCATCTCTCTTCCTTGCGCCATCGCTTGAGAGCAAATGGCGTCACCAATCTAGGTACTGCAACTGTATGAAGCGCTGTCGAGATCTGTCCTGAGATCGACGCGCCGAACCGGTCATTGCACAACCGCACCTGTCCGGCCTCACACAAGTTGCGAGGTCGTCACTAATATGACCATATGGCGTATGGAGCCCTTGGCCAATTGCCTCTCGACGGATAGATCGGGTAAGTAGACAGTCTTTAGTGCTGCCCGCCTGACGCAACCGGAACATTGCCGTGATTGTAGGCCTCATTGGTTGTGATAGAGGACGCATCATTAATGAGAAGGATCTGGTGGTCGAGCGTGCATGTCGCAAGATACCACGAGCGCGCATTTCTGCAAAGATGCGTCTCCGCGCATTCTCGCGGGTGTTTCATCATGGTTCCTAAGTCATGAGTAGAGGTTCTCGCCCAGCAACGGTGCGTACCATTCGAGTACAGAGTACACGAGGGTGGCCGTTTGTGGTGATGGCTGTTGCTCGCTTCCGCAAAACGTACTCTGCGTAACAGGCCTCTATGCGCTCCTGAGCGACTCGACATTTAAACCCTTGAACCGTTGTGATACGCTCTGGTAATGGCAGTCGCAGAGAGTTCTGTCCCTGAGGCACAAGACTCGAGTGCGCACAGTGCTCGCCGACTTGCTTTGGTTTCTATCGTCGACCGGAGCTGTCAGGGCAGGGCTGGTCCGTCCCGCCGTCGCCAAAGCTTGCCTGGCACAGATGATTTGCAAAATGGGAAATATTTCATGCAGGTGTGCACACTTTGCAGCCACCAACTTACCAAGCCTCTGGGTTGGTGGCGGAACTGACTTGTCCCATGTTGCGTACGCTTGCTGCAAGCATCACCCATCTGTCAACTCATTGAGGGTTGTGAGAGAGCATCGACCACCACACGATCCTCCGAAAGGTTGAGCAGCTGCTAAGCTTGCTAGTAAACAGGTCAGCGCATTGATCTGAGGGTAGACGGCCTAGGTCGTGTTGAGTTGTGATTCGACCGCCAGTGCCACGGCCCTCAGATCTGGGCCATTTCGAGATTGACGATGCGCTCATCAGACCCGTATCTAAGTGAGATTGATGGAGCAGCGGGTGCGGAGCATACATGCTTATTTCGAACCCGCTTGGATACTGGTCAACAGGGGGACGCTCAGATCAAGATGCAGTAGTAGAATATGGCAAAGACCAGCTTCAAGCCTCTCTTTCATCATGGCAGCAGGTTGCCGCCGTTCTTGGTTGCTTTTATGCGACCATCGCCCATGTTTTTGACCCCGTCCCATACATCTCCTTGATCCTGCCATCTTGCACCTAGAACTGCTACTGGGCCCAGTCATACATACAACAACTTGACATCTTGCTTGATAACACTCGTCTCTACCAAAGCCTCAGAATAATTCACCCACGAACACACACACGAAACATAATCTGCGACAACATCAAATACCTAATCCTGGCTCACGAACATTCTTGTACTTCATCCATTACCACTGCAAGAAGGACTGGATAGTACAGACCTAACAGTAAGGTGGACCCAAAGGGCATGTGAAGTTTGCGACTGACAAAAGACCAGACGTCAACCCCACAGACTTGTCGTGCCGTGAAGGTCCGAGAGTCGGTCGGATCACACGAAGAGAGATACGCGTACCCTGGAAGGAGAAGAAGGCCGACGGCCGCCAACACGACTGGAAACCTACGGAAAGGAGAACACGAAACCAAATCCCGCAGATTGCCGCACACATCTGTGAGATTACGAATCAAACCAAGACTGGACTGAAAACCAAACAGGACTGAGTAATTCATTTCCCTCGGAGAGCCTCGAAACAGCGCCCAGAGAATCGGTGAAGGACATCCGTGACTTTGTGTCGAAAAGTGAAACAGACCAAGGGGCGTTTATCCCTCGGGACTTCTTTCGACCTTCTCGAAGAGTGACGATAATAGCATCCGGTGACGTCGCTCAAAAGCACGTCCGGGTCGACGGAAATCTAAGCAGGAAAGGAGAGCGGACTGCGAGCGAGCCACAAAGTAAAAGGGCGCACTGCAGTGAGTCTGATACCAGGCAATTTCGTCAGGAGCAGCACACCAGGAGCATAATTGGAAAATTCAAAGGGCAGCCAGTGTTTCGGAATCGCAGAACGCCAAGCCTCTTCGCGTTAGCGTCGTCACTGCCTCCTGCCAAAATCACACCGGGCGCACCGTGGCCAGCGCGCCTTCCTTCTCTTCTCTAAACCCTCCATTCTGCACAATCCAAGAAAGAGGTCGCGGCTTCTTCTTTGTTTCTCTACTACCATCAGTGCGCGGTTCTTGAAGTTATCCCAAAGGTATGCTTGTTGTTTCTTCACCAGTCTTCGCCCCTTACATCGTCGTCCTCGTCGATTTTTTCCATCTTCACACGCGTTTTCCCGACTCCCGACCCTTCTGCGCTGCATCCATCCATCGCGCATCGACCGCATGAACGCCCTGACACTTCGTCGGTCCCTCCTCCGTGCATCCATCCACTCACATGGTTGTCTTTATACACTCACTTGATCTATCTTCCACGCTGCACTCTGCTCTTGACCGTTTCCGACGTCCGGCGACTAACATGATCTCGCAACAGTCCTGACCGCTTTTTTGGACTCTCTTTCTCTGACCCGTCCACAACAACAACCTTCGAATTTCATCTTCGACGCGTTTATCTCATTGCCCTGCTCTCTGCTGCCTGCATCCTGATCGCGCATCCCACAATAACGCGTCCCTGGTGAAAATATCCTGCCTATCAGTCAGTAGTCCCACACACACACACGCCGTGTGCCGAAAGTCTTCTTGCACAAGACACATTTTGTCTCATACGCCTACATGTTGCTCCCTCGAATCGATTCGTTGCTGTGGCCCAGCACGAGGAGGGACAGCGGCATCGTCGGCAGAATGAAGTTGAATAGCATCCTGAATACTAACAAGTTCCCATCAGACACTCCCGACAGAGTCATGCAGTACGAAGTCCCCCATTACCCGCCTCCTACCCACCACGACATGGCGTCGTCGGCATCCGCGCCCCAGTACCCCCAGAATCTATACGTGCCCAATGGTAGAATCAAGTCCGAGAACGGCTCCGAGCGCGGTGTTTCCCCCCATCCCTCGGACCCTTCGTCGCGTTATTCATCTCAAGCTCCTCCCGCCATTCATCCCGCCGCCTATCCTCCTCAAGGTCTCAACAGCCTCGCTCCCGGAATGCGCTATCCTTCGCCCTCCCAGTTGCATCAGCAGATGCCCTTGATCCAACACAGCTACCACCCTGCCCCGAACGACCCGGCATACGCCCAGCCATCCATGAACACAGCCCCTCCACCAGTTCAAGACCAGCAACCACAGCAAGAAGGTACCCAGCGCAGCACAGGCAGCGGCTTGCCCAAGGCATTTGCTTGTTCGACTTGTGGCAAAGGTTTCGCTCGTAGAAGTGATCTCGCCAGACATGGTATGTTATGTGCAGCTCATGAACAGATCAGATGCTGATGTTGAGTCAGAACGCATTCACAGCGGAGTCCGTCCTCACGTGTGTGACTACCCAGGCTGTGGTAAGCAATTCATCCAGCGCTCTGCACTCACAGTGCACTCTCGTGTGCACACTGGAGAAAAGCCCCACATGTGTGAGCGCTGCGGCAAGGTTCGTTATGGCATCTGTATCAATTCACTGCGTCAAGTTGTACTGACACAAACTCCGCAGCCTTTCAGCGATTCGTCGTCCCTGGCGCGTCATCGAAGAATCCACTCTGGAAAGAGACCTTACAAGTGCCCCTATGCCGACTGTCAAAAGACCTTCACGCGCCGCACAACTTTGACGCGTCACCAAAACCACCACACCGGCACCATTGAAGAATCCGCTGCTGCTACCGCTGCCGCTCTGGCCTCGCGCGCCTCGATGCAGACGCGTGGATCGCGTTCTGACGGAGAAGAATACTCGGAGAACAAGTCGCCAATGCCTACACCCTCTCCCCACGATCGCCCTGTCTCAGTTTCCCCTGCTGGCGGCATGAACGGTGTTGCTGCGCTCCAGCGGTCGACTTCCGACTACTACATCAACGCCATGAACGGTGGCATGACGATGCCTCCACACATGCGCAACGAGATGGCTACTCACAGCCCGCGCTCCGCCTCTCCCGCCAACTCGCACTATTCTATGCCCAGCTCGGCCAGCCAAGCTCGCCAGCCATTGACCTCTCACCCTGGTGCATACCCTCTTCCCTCGACCCTGGAACCGCCTACTACCAATCCTCCAAGCCAGAACGGCAGCGTAGGTGGTAGCCCCCACATGGGTGGTTCAGGCTGGCAGTCACCTGCCCATCAATCAATCGGCGGCGCTCAACAAGCAGATTACTCGTACCCTGATCCAAACACTCAGCAGTACGTCCAGAATGCGCAGAACCTGTATTACCAAAACCAGAACATGCGCCGTCCTCAGAGCACCGATCCCATGGACCCTTACCATGCTCAGCGCATTGGCCATGTTGGTCAGGAGATGTGGGCTCAGCACCCGCAATGAAGCGTGTACAACAAAGAACAAAAAATAGCAACAAGGATTAGATGGGGCGTGGAGTTTCTCGGCAGACGGGCGCATTTGATGTCGGAGTAAGAAGGGATTGTTTTCAAGGGTCTTCACGCATTTCCAAATTGCTCCTCACACACACGGTATAGCTGCATTACTTGTTGTGAGAAGAAGCAATGGGCGGCGTTCTGATAGTATTCATTCGTTCTGTCTCTTTACAATAGTGGATTTGGCAAGTCGAAGGTGTTGGGTGGGACAGGCATTGCATTTGCTCTTCTTTGTCTTTCAGCGGCATATGCAGGCAAGATTGCGTCGGAGGCTGATAATGACTTGACGTCCGTGTAACTATATTAGAGACTGCCTTGGCAGCAAGAAAAGGCACACATTGTTGCACATGGCAAGACATGATCACGAATGAGGCTTCGAGTGAAATGATCAATGATCAATGATCAATACGCAAGATCGGATAAATAGGCTCTTCTAGGAAAGCAATAGTGGCTGGGGAGCGTTTGATCCAGGCCAAGAGGAGCTCCTTGGGGAGCAGCACAGACCGATGACGAAGACGTGCCAACCTCTCTCTCTCTCCACGCCTCGTCGCATGCACGTCCAAGAAGCCGCGCACTTTCTCGTCGCCAGCAAGCAAGATTGACCTCACCGCCGCCTGCTCCACTACTGTGCTCGTCTGTCCGCACTGACACGTGCCTCTCCATCGTTCACTCTTCTCTCCCCGCTACCACACCGGGCCCGCTACGAGCCTCAGCCAACCGCACATCATGTCGCACATGCTAAGAAGCGTCAAGAATGTCACCAAGGGCTACTCGTCAGTTCAGGTCAAAGTCAGAAATGGTCAGTCTCGCGCTCTACTCGGCGCTATCCATACTGACACGATGCACAGCGACCAGCAACGACCCTTGGGGCCCGACAGGCACCGACATGGCCGACATTGCCAAGATCACCTACAACAGGTTCGCTCCTTCCCTGGCGTTCCGCCTGCTCCCAGTACTGACAGGATGCCCCCAGCTCGACGGATTTCTACGAGGTCATGGACATGCTTGACAAGCGTCTCAACGACAAGGGCAAGAACTGGCGTCACGTCTTGAAGTCGCTCAAGGTTCTCGACTACTGCCTTCACGAGGGCTCCGAGCTGTGTGTCACTTGGGCTCGCAAGAACATCTACATCATCCGCACCCTCCGCGAGTTTATCTACCTTGACGAAGAGGGTCGCGATGTTGGACAGAACAGTACGCTTCACGGCGCCCCAGCCTAGACCATGCTAACCAGCTTTACAGTCCGTGTCTCGGCGAAGGAGCTGACGTCGCTCATAATGGACGAAGAACGCCTGCGCTCCGAACGTCAGAACAGACATTCATGGAAATCAAGAGTCACCGGCCTCGAGGACATGTCTGGCGGACCCGGAGGTTACGAAAGCGAGACACACTCGACACCCAGGAAGCCTCGCGAGCGCCCCAACAGGGTTCGCACCGAGGACGAAGATCTCGAATACCGACTGGCGCTCGAGGCAAGCAAGAACGAGGCCGAGGAAGATGCTAGAAGACGTGCCATGAAGAACAGAGGCCCCGAGGAAGACGACGACGATCTGGCCAAGGCACTCAGGCTGAGCAAGGAAGAGGAAGAAGCACGCAAGCGCGAATTCGACGACGCAAACGCAAGCTCACTCTTCGACGACACGCCAGCGCAGATGCAGCAGCCCACAGGCCTCAACCAGGGCTACCAGCAGCAGACGGCCGTCGACTGGTTCGGTAACCCCATGGGCCAGCAACAACAGCCTCAGTCCACTGGTTACCTGAACAACGCCTACAACCAACAACCACTCCAAGCACAGCAAACTGCTTTCCCCGCGCAAGACTACTCCGGCTACTACCAACAGCCCCAACCAACTGGCTTTGATCAGTCTTTCCAGCAACAGCAACAGCCGCAGCAGCAGTTCATGCAGTCTCAGCCAACTAGTTACAACCCGTGGGCTACTCAGGTCCAAGCTCAGCAACAGCAGCCACAGCAGACCGCTCAGGCCGGCTCCAACAACCCATGGGCTCTCTCGTCTCCCGCCTCACAAGAAGCTCTGCGTCCTCAGGCCACTGGATCAAACAACCCCTTCGCCTCGTCCTTCAACCGCCCCCAGCAGACATCACAAAGAGCCCCTACCTTGTCGGCCCTGCAAGAGCAAAAGACCGCCACGCAGTTCAGCCAACCTGCGTACAACCCCATCACCAGCTACCAGGCTCCTCCACCCGCCGCTGCTCCCTTCCAACAACCCGCTCAGACCGCTCAGCCTATGGATCCTCATCGTGCACAGCTCAACGCTCTGCTTTCCTCCGGCGAAGGTCAAGACACTTTTGGCAATGTTGGCAACATGCGCATTCCTGCCCAGCACACTGCTCCTGGCACCTTCGTCAACAGTGCCGGCCAAGGACTCACCAAGCTCGAAGCTTCTCGCACCGGCAATAATCCTTTCCTCCAAACTCAATTCACTGGTATGCCCCAGCAGCAGTACCCTGCCCAAACAGGACCTGCAAACGGCTACGCATCATCCAATCCTTTCGGTCAAAAGCAGCAAGGTCCCCAACAATCTGGCAGTCTTATTGACCTATGATATCCCTTTCCCTTCATACTTTTCTTTCCTATTTTGTACTGTTTCTTTGCAAATTACCCCTTGGTCCTCTTTTTTTTGTTCGTCCTATCTTCACTTCAGCCGTCCCATCATCTGTTTCATAGACTCTTTGGAGCGGCGTGTGTCTGGGACCTTTCCTGGGTGTTTGAAACTCGAGATACCGCTAATCGTTGATCATATCCTGTAGTTTCTTTAAAAAGTGATGTTTTTCATCCTTAAATACTATACCGGTCTCACTAGTGTGACAGTGAACAATCAACACGGTCTGCAACACAAGCGATCGGCAACAAGAACTTCCTTGCCTTCCCTTTCAACTTCACAATAGTCCACTGACAGTATCGGGTCTTGCACGTATGAAGGGCACATCGAATTTGGGAAAGTTCCCGGGGATTGGTCCATGGTAGCTTTAATTCGACACAGATACACCCAGAGAAGACTTTGCATCACGATCGTACGTCTTGAGGCTCAACGCTAGAGAAATTCGAGTGCTTGAATGTGCATATCATATCCTTCTGGCTCACGCACTAGTTTTGTGCAGCTTGATGTGCATCTCTCACAGGATCCCAGTACCCATTGCTTATATGGCCGCTTGTACTTGCCTCCTCATTCGACGAAGATTTTGAGCGTGTTTGACTGGACTGCCCAGGTTTGTTCCTGCTGTCACGGAACCGGAAAACATGCCCTAATTTGAACTTAGCCGAGCCACTCGTTCTTCAACAATCTGTTGGACTCACAAAGCATCCAACGTATGATCCAATTCTCCTCATTGAAGCTGTCTCTATCGTGACCTTTCTAATACATGGGTTTGGTCTCGGAAGATGCTTCTCGGAATATCCTCAGAATCTCGTTATGGATCGCTGATTCGCAAATCTGGATGTTGGAGTATGGAGGTCGGATCTATTTTCCATCAGCTCGGTACTCGCTACTTCTCTAGGACCTCCTAGATACATACATTGGGGTCACCTCTGAGTTGAGGCAAGAGGCTATTCGAGTCGCTCAAGATTCGCTCCCTTCCTGCTATTGCCTCTTCCTACAGGAGTGATCAGAAGGACTTCCCAGACATCTGCCAAGCCATCGATTTCACCTTCATGAGTTCATAGAGACGATTATCCGAACTGTTCTGGAGAGAGAGCCCAAGACGTTGGAAGAATTTCGTCTTGGAATCACTGCGCGCCAGGGGCTGAAGCTGAGGGGCCATTCTCCAATCAACAAAATATCATCCAGTGCTCGCTGGAGGCAGAATTTGGCTTTTCACGTAATAAGATATGGTGGTGTCCGCTTAGACGATGGCGGCATCGGCTTTCGTGAGGAGCCTCTGTCAGACAGAGTCCATTGAAGACATCGATCCATCTTGCTGCCGCTATTGCGATCTACTCTGCAGTTACATGTGAAGTGGAGGTACATTTAGGGCAGCCTTTTCGAGCCCTGAGGATCGGCTATGGGATATAAGACTATGAGATGTTTCCATGCCTCAACGGATTGTGTTCCGGCGGGTCGTATCACTATGCAAGATGGATCCGATGAAAGGCGAGCTGCAAGACACTCATCAGCTCCACCAGCGGACATGTGCTGCGATAGCTTGCGTGCTATATAAGTGGCCCCGAGGAGATTTTTGTACGATCTCGGGACGAAACATAAACATTACTCAAGTACGTCTCGATAATGACAGGGCCAGCTCTGTCATCGTGGCCATTCGCGCTGCTATGCAGGATAAGGTCTGCATGAACAATACGAGTCGACGTCCGTGGCATCGTAGAAGGACAACTGCCGACAATACCCGACTTTGAAGTGCTGCGGGCTACCACTCCGTCAATGTCAACATTGGCGGCTCTAGCCAAGTACAGTATATGCAACATCCATGTCTGACTTACAAGCGTCGGGCAGCAACATATCGACTAATGTAAAATTATATTGCACGATCTGAAGACTTCAGATGTATGTGGATATTGCATTGGTGAAGATGGATCCAGAAGTCGAGATCGCATCATAAGATATGAACATAGAATGACTGAGTCGAGTCACACATCCTGAATAAATTTTTTTTTGGCAAAGTCCATTGATTTGGAGATCTGGAGAGCCTGCAGACATGTCAATACCGACTGTCAGACTTTCGCCGAACCTCAACCACAAGCGTGAATCCTTCACCAAAATTTCTTACTCCCACGGACGATCGTCTCCGTCCACTCCTATCCTAGCAGAGCTAAGGATATGTTGCGGAAATCTGGACTGTAACACCATACTGTCCTTCTCCACTCCAGCAAGACTATCCCAGCATGAAGCTTGTTCCCGACTTCTTCCTCCGCTCAGTGACGCGTCTCTTGCTGTTCCAAGCCTGTGCCGCCTGGCTATCAATGCGAACCGCAGACATGCATTTGCCATTCTTGCTGAGACCCGTGTTGGTAGGCACTTTTGGTTCAATGATCGAAACTTCCAAACCGTTTTTGAATCTGCATGCTGGATTTGAACTGCCTCGGGAAGCGACATTCTTTCTGCCAATTCTGTTTGGTGGATACATCAGAAGCTCCATGCCCGAGCTTGCAGCTCTTCTGGGCATATCATCATGCTGGCATGATATAGTGTACAACGGTAAGGACATGCACTGTGCGCAGGATCTTGCATACGACTGTTCTCAACACGCTCAACTCGAGTACGGCAAGGACAGGATTCAAGCCATGAGCCATTGCTATGAAAACCCTGGTGTTCCAGCTACGGAACCTTTACGACATCATGAAAGATGTCATGGCAAGGACGATCTTGAATTCACAGGACCTGCGGCCTGTGTGAAGATTAGAACCCATCTGGAAGAGAAGGCAGAGGTGTCGTCTAGAGCACCTCCGATTCTGGGATGTAGCATGATGTATGCAGTGTGGGACCTGATATTTCCTATGACCAAAGAGAAAGGAGAGCAGATCGAAACGCATGGATCCTCAGACGTTTGCTGGAGGAAGACAAACCTCAACGACTGGACGGTACTAAGAAACATCAAAGGTGGGATAATTAGTATAACCAGACATGAGATCAACGCGTGAGTACAGATCAGTACCATAAATCTCCAAGGACTTTGAACAGATTTCTTTCCTCAGGCTGAGAGGCATCGCCTAGTGCGCGAGGTCAGTACCACGCGATTCGACAACTCCTATAGGGTACGGCTGTCTTGGCTCTTTGGTTCTGAAATGCAGGAGTTGGCTTTCGTCAAGAGCCGGTTGGCTGCCCCTTCCTCCGTAAGTCCGACGATGGGAAGAAATAATCACATGTCTCGATAGCGGCTCGAATCCCAACCAAACAAGAAGGTGCTATATCGAAACATCATCCGATTCAGGGTGAAATCTTCCTCCAAGGCTTACAAAGTCTCATACTTCACAAAAACATCCTACCGAGCAGCAAATCGATCAATATGCTTCTTTTCCCTCCATCTTCAATCAAAGAGCCACTCCGTGATAACACGAACCGCAAAGACTTTGCCCGTTCGACTGGAAGCTGGAAGTCTGCATCCAGGAAGTCCGGACATTTTACTGACCTAGCGATCTCGGAAGTCGGCTCGTCTGACGCATCAATATACAACGCATCAAAAGCCCCCTCTTGCGTATCAGATTCATCAGATACGGATCTTCACCATCCTTTCGCTCGTACCTTGACTTCCGATCACGGCATTCAATCTGTTTATGCACGGGCTAAGACGGAAGGACTTACCCAGCATGACATGGTCCAGTTTGTCAATCGTCCGCACGGCACACCTCTTTCCACGATAGCCGAGCAAAAGTCACTTGCTACTCTTCGGGCTCAGATCTCCTTTGCTTCGCTCACTAGGAGAAGGCCTGCTCATCTTGGCAACACACCCTCAGGGAAGCGCAAGGCTGCCAGTACTGACGACACAGTACGGTCCAAGACCCGTCGTAGGTCTTCGAGAGACACTGAATTATCGTCGAGCCTTGATGTTCCGAATACTAGGAGCGATCCAGCACATCCACTACAACCAGCATTCGTGCCTCCACATCGAGTCAAGACACCCGAGGGCATACCAAGATGGCCCGTCGACAATCATACCTCCTTCGTACGAAGAATTTCGAGGACCTTAGATTCCGCGAGGTCGATGTCACTCGGCAATGGTACACGGTTAGTCCTGAGGACTTTACGCGGAGAGTTACGATCAAGGAGAAGCGTTCAGCTTCATCGTTGGCGACCACCTGTTAGTGGACATTCAACATATCGTTACGACCAACCATTCGAGCACCCTCTCAACAGTGTTCCCATCGCAGAAGTCATACAGCCCGGCGAGAACGAGCAGGATGAGCTACCGTCCTCGTCAATACCAGAACCAACTCTGGCAGTGAGGCAGTCTCTAGACAGACGATGTCGCTCATGGTCAAGTTCTGCCACATCTGCTCAAAGAGCCCTAGGAGCCATCGACGGCAACGTAATTCCCATCAACCCTGCCAGCGCAGTCAGAGCTCGCTCGGTTCCTGTCCCTCGGAGATTTAGGTCGACAGAAGCTGAGCCGACCAAAAGAGTAACAGATGGGGATATTGTTTGGCCAGTCCAGAGGCCAGAGCCCTATCCATCAGACACATTGCGGACCACCGAGTTGATCGAGAATTTTCCATCGCCACCCACCAAGAGATCGGCGAAGACAAGAAGCAAATTGCAGCCCTTTCTGCCATTGCCACAAGGGTCTATGACCACTCAGTTGGGAGACAACATGACTCGAGAGACAGAAGTCGATGGCGGTCAAGTTTAGGCATCAGATGACCACGACCCAAGCTCAAACCAAGTAGCTCATCACCCAGCTTCAACCATTCCTAGGATGAACGTCGGCTCAGTGAGCACACCTCCACTCCGTGGTGAGCAAGGTAGGTACACCTTGTCCGGCATGCCAATATACCGTGACGATGCAGCATCTTTGCGAAGTCATGATCGTTCAAAGCTTAATCGGATATCTGATATAGAGTCTCTTGACAATCACAGCATCAGCGTGGGTGAGAGCATGGTAGCAGCTGGCGCCCCTCGAGATGGACCTCTGACAGTGCTACCTGCCGCGGCACACACGAAGATCTCCCCGACCACGATTGCAACACGTCTAGACTCGGTTGTTGGCGATTTCATCCCAGAGCAGGAATACGGGATCGTGAACATGAACGCTGAAATCTCGGGCGTCCGATCATGTCCCACTCGTACAATCAATCCGCCAACGGTCAGTGGTCAGAGCGAGAGAGCAATTGCCAGTACTCGCGAGGGACGTGCTGGCGAGAGGCAGGTGAGAAGGTTCTGGAGCACCAACACGAGGGAGGGATGCACTAGGGCTAGACCTGAGCACGAAAGGGTTGAGTTCGTGCACTGGATCGAACAAGCTTGTCTGTGTCGAAGCGAGGACGAAGGATCGAATGCTGGACCGAGACCGCGTGCAGTCCGGCTGTCCCAGGTCTGATGATTGGACGTGACGGAGGTAGGACTAAACACACGAAACACCTAGCTACTGTAGCAACACTATTACTTTCTAAGGGGATTGAGGAATACTTTATTGCAATCACGAGACTCGACAAGAGCCAAAAAAGCGGACCTGCAGTAATGATCGTGAATAGATTAGACATGAGTCGTAAAGGCGTTATACAGGGCCAAAAGGGCGATTCGCTTCAAAGAACGATGCAGTAATGTGCAGGTGGTTGGGAAGTATGTACACGGGCGGGAGTTTCTCCCTCTTTCAGAAGCCGCCCGCTAAGGTGCTCAGAACTTGACACCGGGTCTCTTTCTCTTTGCCGGAGAAGTCAGACCCGGCAACTCGCCGCTTTCCTTTTGTCCCGCTGTTGTTGCCGATGGCCTCACCGCTGATCTGCCCAGGGTTGTCTTGACCCGCTTCTTTGCGGGGCTGGACAAACCTGGCAACAGAGACGTGATAGATGCAGTAGTTGTTGCTGACGACACTCCATCGTTCTTTGGAGGAGCGAGTTCAAGTCTTGAGGATAGAGATGTAGGTTTCAAGGCTGTAAAGGGAGTAGGAGGCTTTTTGGGCGTGCCCAAGCTGGTGGTCAGAGGTTCCGAGGAGGAGGACTGTGGTAGTGGTGCGGCTGCTGCAGGTAATGTGGGTGGTGGTAGTAGTGGGGCTGCTGTGGGGACTACTGGTTTCGCAACAGCGAGTTTGAACGATCGAGCAGGCGTCGCGATCCGGGATTTCCTCTTGCTTGGGATGGTGGCTTTGACGCGTGGTGGCGGTGTTGGTTCGCTTGGAGTCTGGATGGTGGTCTTCTGCGATTCGGGCTCTGGAATGTCGATATCCATACCGACGGCTTCTGCGACGACTTCTTCAAGGGGCTCTTCGGTAGATGTTAGAGGAACAAAGGGCTCGAGGGCTCTTGCGGACACTCTAGATGTACGGGCTTTTGTTTTTGGTGGACTGTCGGGTGAATCTGATTCGAATTCGCGCACGTGAGTTAGAGTCTCGTTCCACTGTACGCCTCTACGGACTGTTGACTTCTCGCTCTGCGCTTTTTCATGCACAACCACCCTGTCTGCATCTTCAGCTGTATCTTCACATGAGACGAAGTCTTCGTCGATGTTTAAAAGTCTGGCTTGCGGCATGAGACTCTTGCCCTTGTTCTTACGCGTGTTTGATCGCGTGGCCAGTGCCAACTCTTGTGCTTCCGTTCTCTTCAGCGCGATATGATCTGCGGCACTTCTAATGGCGATCTTGGCTGGCTTTTTCGGAGCGGCTGCTGTCGTGCGTGCGCGCGTCGTCCTTCTCGGCGCCTTTGATTTTGTAGGTGTCGGTGCCGGAACTTCAGGAGTAGGCTCCTGTTTTGTGGATTCGGGCTCTGGCTTAGCATTGCCTGCAGGCGACTGAGCCTTGGGAGACGACGGGATTGTGGGACTGTTCAGATCAAGTTCGGTCAAGACTTCGGGCTTGTCTGTCGAAGCAAGAGCATGACGGACAGCATCTGAATCTCTGCGGTTCTCGAGAGACTCGCGTTTATGGGCGGCCATGGGACGCTTACTCGCAGCAGCGCGACTAAGGAAAGCGTGGAGTATGGCGGTGTCGTCGGAGATTCTGGGGGCGGAAACGGGTTCAGGCGTGTTTGTGGCCTCGGGAGGTGCTGAAGAAGAGCGCAAGTCTTGGATCATGACAGGTCCGGCATCATCGTCGTCACTAACGTCAGAGATGTCGTCCTGAGGGCGAAAGGGGTTCGCGCCAGCGTCAAGAGTGGCACAGTGTTTCTTTCTTTGGGGGCCAGGAGACTTTGGAAGAATGTTTTGGAGTGAGCGTGATTGCGACTGCAGATGGTGAAATGGAGCCTTCGGGGCGCGTTGATAGAGGCGAGTGATTGTGATGCGTGAAGGGCCCAGACGGGCAGCGTCGGCGGGGTTCCACGAGAATTGCTTGAGACGCGACTCGGGCGAAGCAGCGGGCGCAGAATGTGGACGAGGCGGTGGCGACAGCGTCAAAGGATTGGACGCGTCGACATCCATGTTGTTACGAAGCGGTTGGGCGAAAATGGAAAAATGACTTGGAGGCAGGAGCGACTTTGACGAAGCGGTGCTGTGATGACAAGCACAACAAAACACCCGCGGACTGGCAACGCGACTCCCGCCCGCCGAGGGAAGGTGCGCCGACGCCAAGCCTCAGATTTCCAGAGAGCAGCATCGATAGCGACAAGATGACTGAATTTCAGTACGCAGCTTATCCTCGTCGCCACTAATACACCATGGTCGTCAAGAACACACAAGCTGTCGCTAAGGCCACCGCGCCCCGTCTGCCACCACTTCACAAGCTGCGCGTTCGCAAGCCCGACCAGGCTGGCGCAAACCCTTGCATTGGTGTCATGTCTTCTGTCCTTGGTATACTCCGTCGCAACGTCTATCGTCTTGTTGTTCCTGTTCTGACACACGTTCTCTCAGGATGCTGGGCTTCTTCTGGTTACACTGCCCAGGGATGTGCCGCTCTCGAACAACAGCTTCGCGCATGCATGGACGCCCCCGTACGTTCCAACCACCCGGACCCTGCTCTCGCTCTCGCTCTCGTCTTGTCCATTGTTCTAACGCTTGTTTTCTACAGAAAGCCGCCTCAAGCGGAAAGAGTTCCATCAACTACCATCTCTCGAGATTATACCCCCAGATCATTGGTCCTCACAAGCGAAAGTAGTCGTTGGCCGACTTTATACCTTTCACGATTGCATTCTGGCATTACACGGCGCATTGGCGACAAGAATACTCCCTTGGGTCTTTGTTTCTTCTCAGGCGGTGTCCTGTTCTCTATCTGTACCACAACTCTATCTTCAACTTGTACAATTCTCCTCAAAATACTCCTGGCAGACAGGCCCATATTCCAAACCACCCTTCTCCCCAAACAACTCCCGCGGCCTTTTCCAGGGCAACTTTGATAATCAGACTACACCCCTGGGCCGCTCTATCAAGGTTATTATATATTTGAGATGTTGCTTTGAGGTGTTTATGTGAAATCCCGTGCTTTAAATCAATGCCGTCTGTCCTCGTTTGCAATATCGGCTGTAACGAGAGATATCCTGCCAGATCCTTTGTGTCGGTGACTTTTACTACAAGGTCCCTTTTTACTAGAAATGCGTTCCGAGCATCAACATTGATCGCGGCTCTTGATGGTCGCTGCCGGCTTCCGCCAAGACCGAAGCTCTCCGGTTCTAGATGATTCTCCAACAATATTTCGTCTACCTCCGCTTGACCATCATCTATAATACCTCGTGTGCTCTCTTTCTACTTAATCATCGACCGACATCTTACTCCCCTCGCTCTCTTCCAGCAACTGAGACCCACGCACGGTAAGTGTTTCAACTTCCAATCTACCCCTCCACATCACTTTTGTATGATGAGACACCAGCTGGCACCAGTCCTAGAAAGACTTGTACTCTTTTTGCTGCGGAATAGCTTGGGGGACACTGTCCCTATCTCTGAATCCACCTCTACACACATCCTGCATGTCAGTTTCTGAGATTGGCACACTTTGACTGATCCAATCGCTATAGCCGCGCATAACCACGTCTCACCTCGCACCTTTTCAATCACACCGCCATCATGGTTCTCCACAACCCAAACAACTGGCACTGGGTCAACAAGGATGTCTCGGGCTGGACCAAGGAATATCTGGAGAAGGACCTCGTGGGCATCAAGGCAGAGAAGGATGGCGCGTCGGCCGAGATCTCAAAGCTGCTGAGCCAGGACGGTGATGTCGAGGTCGCACAACGCAAGGGCAAGGTCATTACCATCTTCGATCTGAAGTTGCAACTCGAGTACACCGGCAAGACAAAGGACGACGAAGATGTCAGCGGAACCATTACCATCCCCGAGGTCGCACACGACACCGAGGAGGATGAGTACGTTGTGCGTAACACATCATGATGTCTGAGTTACGCTCTTTGCTGATGCCTCTCTAGTTCGAGATTGAGATGTACTCGGAATCTTCCTCAAAGACCGCTGTCAAGGACCTCGTTCGATCGCAAATCACTACCCAACTCCGCGCTAGATTCCAACAATTGGGCCACGCGCTGATGGAGGCTCACGGCAAAGACATCCAGCACGCCGCTGGCCACAAACCTGCCTTCACGCCCGCCAAGGTCTACTCGAGCTCCTCCGTCAACAAATCAAGCGACGACTCCAAAACCGCGACCTCGACCTCTGAGTCAAACGGCAAGTCTGTCAACGTGACCAGCCTCAGCGATCAGCAAGAGTTCCGTTGCGACGCTCCCATGCTCTACCAAATCCTCACCGACCCTCAACGCATCGCTGCCTTCACCCGCGCACCTCCGAAAGTCTTCGAGGGCGCCAGACCCGGCGGCAAGTTTGAGATCTTTGGTGGAAACGTCAGTGGAGAGTACGTCGAGCTCACGGAGCCTACAAAGATTGTTCAAAAGTGGCGTCTTGCCCAGTGGCCCCAAGGCCACTTCAGTACCTTGAACATTGCCTTTGAGCAGAACAATGTCGATTCCGTTACCATCATGCGCGTCGACTGGACTGGTGTGCCCGTTGGCGAGGAGGAGGCTACCAAGCGCAACTGGGAAAACTACTATGTCCGCTCGATGAAGCAGACTTTCGGTATTGGCTCCATTCTGTAAAAGCGCAGAGTCAATTAAATTTATGGGTACACGAAAACATTTCAAAAACCAGGACTTACATTGGTCCGTTCTCTCTTCGGAAGAGGATCCTTTTAGATACGAATAATTACAACAAATTATAGACGTTAGGTCATTCAAGATTTTGGACTGTCTTCTCTCAGATCTACTGACTCGGCGCAAACTTGAAGTCCTCGTCATGCACCCAGTTTCCGCGGTCGTACTTGAACAGCGACAGGCCAAGCACGGTACCGTGACATCCTTTCCACTCCTCTTGAACCTGCTCAAATGCCTTTTGCACCTCCTTCTCGTCATCCACCTTGTTCATAATGGTGTAGTGAGCAGCAAACCCACCCGCATCCTGACGACTCAGAAAGTCCTCCCAAGCGAACTTCAACTGCTGATGCACCTGTCTGGCATCATCACCACCCGAAGACTTTGGCAACCCAATTGCAATACCCTTGTTCAAACGGAATGGCGTGGCGGCCAAAAGGTGGAACTGTGTGGTATTGCTCGACACTTCTCTTAGTGTTGGCTTGATTTTTTCTTCCAGGAGACTGCCGGGCAGGGCGTGGAAGAGAGTTATGTGGGCTTCCAGTCTGTTCAAACGAGGTGGGAAGTACTTCTTTCGTGTCTCGGTCAGAGTGCGGTGGTGTTTTGCGTCGGTCAGAAGGGTCAGGACGTAGACTGCTTCTTCGGATGATTGCGTCTTTGGGACATGCGAGGGAGAGGTGTTTCGCTTATGGGTTGATCTGCCATGGGTGTTTCCTTGCTGTTCGCCAGAAGCATGTTGTTGCTGGTTTGCAGTCGAGTGTTTTCCAATGGGACTGTTTGGGTGTGGTTGTGGCTTTGGGATATCTGCGGAGCCTGCTGCAGCGGAATACGAAAGTTTTTGTGACATGATGGCTCGTGTTTGTACTGAGAATCTGCTTCGTCGGAGTATTGAGAGGCTGAACATTATCTTGAGAATAACGTCCGAGCTGAGTAGGAAGACTTTAATCGGTCTTGGTGAGATCGTTTTCCATGACGTAGCCAAACTTCTGACGCGTTTTGGTCGGAAGGCTGGAAGCACTGTTGTTACTTTGACTAGCCGCTCGACAGTCCCGATCCTGCAGTACTTCATCTGTAGAGATCGCAACAGCTTTTTCGGCGTGTCGATATCCTCCGAACACGGTCCCAGCTACGAGTCACACCGTTCAAGACAGCCACTTCATGGTGTTGCTGGGTACCAAACGTTTCAGGGTCTCGATATGCATCAATTGACCCTTGACTTTGAGATCTCTGACATCTGATCGAGTCTTTGTAGTCGTGTCTATACGTCTAGCGTTTTCGCCGTAGACGACGGTGAAATCTGGCAGAGTTTCTGATTGAATACGTGAAGACGCTGTGATTTTGCAAAACTATACTTCCGAAGTCAGTACAGTACTCACGCATGATAGGTTGCATGGGGGTGATGCTCACCATTCCTATCACTACGCCGGGACCTAGAGTTGAGTTGGCCTCTATCGTACTGCCAGCGCCTACCTTCTCAGCTTGTACAGTTGATCCGCTCTCAACACTGACACCGTCCTCAAGCTCGACAGTGGTTCCAGCATAGCTTCCAGGGCTGTCACTCAAGCCTACCGTAGCACGGTCGCCAACAACACAGTTCTTCCCAATACGTACGGCTCCGGTATTGGATGTGATTTTTGCAAAAGGGTGCAGCACAACATTCTCGCCAATCGAAATGGGATGAGTGCCGACAATCACGGCCTTGTCGGAGATGATAGCGGATGGGTGTATTGTGCATGGCGGCTTGGGACTGGCAATAGCTGAGGCCTGGCGACGAACGCTACCCGAGCCAGACATGATCGAACACCCTTGTCAGAGTAATACGACGATGATTATTGAAGGGGTTGCAGAAGCATGTTCTGCGATGGAAGGAGTGACACGTGCGGCGGGATGTGGATGTTGCCGAAATTTGAACTTCTCGACTTCACGACTCAAACCACGAAAGCTCCTCAGCTCGCAACCTTGCCACTCGAGATCCCACCGTTCCGTTGTTGACTCAATCTTCGGCCATGATGTTGAGCTTATCGTGCAGTTTAATGTGCAGAGCATACCACTCGGACTGTAAAGCTGGTCCAATCATGCATGCGCATTCCCGAGTGAGACCCGAGGCTGTTTGTCTAGCATGACGGCGGTCAAGAGATTGCCAGCTCAGGTAGGCTACGCATTCTTGCATGTAGAAGTGACGGAGACACACGTTTCCACTTGTAAGTCTAGTCAGACCGAGAGGTATACTAGGTGCCAGAGAGATATGAGCACGGTGAGCGCAACTCAGCGCGGCGCGACAAATGGCAGGTGCAACACACGAGAAGGCTGTCCGAATCCATTTTCTTCGATACGCGTTTCCTATTCAGTTACAGAAGGACATGGACGGTCACGGAGGTACCCAAACGAATCCCGCGATGGACTTGTTGTTTCCACGTCTTGTTTGCGCAGCTTCGTTTATACCCAAACCACCCGACGCCGCCCTTCCCATTACACACAACTTGTTCAGTACAAGTAGATTGCTCAACCATCGTGCAATCTCGAATGACTTCAACACACAATGGTCAAATCCAACAAATTCGACTATACTGGTGTAAGTGCTACTGCTTGCGGGAACACAAAAGTTCTGCGCTGACATAACGCGTCCCAGCGCACATCTTCAGGCCCGAAATTGGGCAAATCAATCGCGTCAGACCTTGAGAAGCGAGCAGACAAGAAGCAGCGCGAGGCTATCAAACTGAATGCTCCACCGGCCAGGTTGCATTTCAAGCTAGCCGCCTCCACCTCACGCCTCCCCAAGAAGGATCGGCTCAAGATCAAAGACAGAGATCGTGACGACTGCGACAACGGCCTGAAGGAAGTTCCAATCCACAAACTTGATCTGAAGGTTCCTAGCAAGGCCTTGACCGATGATGGCTTTGCTCACCTCGCCGACGGCCTGCAGAACGCTCTGAGGACATGCCGAGACTTGGCTTTGGTCGATCTCAACCTCACCCACAACGATCTCACCACAATTTCCCTCGCTCGACTCGCACCTATCATCCGGGCTTCTTGCTACACCTTACAAACCCTCGACTTGTCTGGAAACAACTTCCGCGTGTCGACGGCCCTGGAGGTTGAACAGTGGCAGCTGTTCCTTCAATCCTTCCGCTGCTGCATGACCCTACGAAGACTCGACCTCAGCGACAACCCATCACTCGGATCTCGAGCCTTCGAAGTTCTGGCCCGCGTATATGCACGCGAGCCCCCTGTGGAGCCTTTACCTGCCATGGGCAACCAGTCGTTCATAACCTTGCCGGACAGCTGCTCGATACTCAGCCACAGCAGCTACGACGGCAACCTGATCGCAAATGCTGAAGACCCTGACCTTCCGAGATGTGCCAACGGAAAGACTCTTGCCGATACCTGGATACTCAAATACCGCTGCGGTCTTCGTTCCATTCCATACCTGACTTTGCGCAATGTCGGTTTAGACGACACAGGTGCTCTCTTCCTGTCCAACGTTCTGGAACAGCACTACTACCCTATCCAGCTAGTCACTGAAAACAATGCGACTGAAGCCACATCTTCTATTGCCACCTACCGTCAGGATGCCAACACCAAGGGCGTCAATTGGGACAACAATGTGAAGTCGTTGTCCAAAGATGGTCTCCACTTACTCCAGTGTGCCGAGAAGTCAAGGATGAAGACGCTTCTGGGAGATTCGGACAGCATCACTAGCTCCTACATATCGGCAAGCGTGCCGGACGCAAATGATGCCTCGTCTCCTAGAAGGATATCCACTGCCAGTCTACGCCGCCCAAGTCTCCGTTTGATACACTCTACCGAGTACAGTATCTACGACAAGTCTGACACCAACAGTGCTCGCAGAAAGGTCCAGCGTAATACTATCGTGCACACTGGTTGCGAAAGTGTCGACCTGTGGCGCGCATCCCTGGCCGTCATCATCGCTTCTCGCAAGGTCTTCCTTCTGGCACCTGTGTTTGAGAGATACAAGGCTGTCAAGCCTGAGCCGGAGATTCTCTGTGAGATTGTTGAGCCTGTTCTGGACGGCAACGGTCATGTTGCGCAAGTCGACGACCAGATGATTGGCACACCCGACGCCGATGAAGACCGTCTCAGCAACTCCCTCAGTGCGCTCTCGCATCATGAGGACCCAGTGGACTTTGAAGCCGGTGTAGCCAAGCGCTCATACGCCGCCACTCTCATGACTACTTCGCCCGCCGATTCCATGAACCCGGAACCAGCCACATCAGACTGTAACAATCAGGCTTCGCCCTTGACCAACAAGCCCAACACCAAAATTCTCAGAACCAAAAGCTCTTCTCACAGTCAGTTTGCTGGTTTAGAAGGACATGATTCAGACAGCACACAAGTTCGCGGAGACGCTGTCAAGAAAAAGGTCTGTTCCGAGGACTACGCGCGATACCAGGAGCACAGAATTGCCAAGCTGAGAGCTTACCACAGAGGCGAGAGTGACGGCTACAGGGATGTCAGCCTGCGTTGCCATCTTCCTCTTACTGTCAATCTCCAGATCCTCAGACTATACATGAGTCCTATTGATCTCAGTCTGCTTGGTGTGGACAAGCAGAGAAAGGCATACACATGGGGCCAGAAGAGGGAGACGCTGAGACGAGAGTACGATTGGAGAATGAAGGACGAGAGTTCTCAGCTCCTCATGCTCCTTTCGGGCGCCGAGTGCGTTGAGTATTGAAGTCCGTAGAACGTGGCAGAGGTACAGAGGGACAGTGAGACAGAGGAATGGAGTGGACGAGGTCCACAAACCACGAGCTTGCTGGCACAAGAACCGAAAATGATATCGAAGAAAACCAAGTCACGTAGTAGACAAACATGAAGTCATTCGTTTGATAAACACACGAATTCTACAGTCTCTGACATGGTCGTAAATGTGTAGGAAATGGAAGCAGTCGAGTTTGATAGATATGAGAATTATCACATGCTTATCGCGGTATGACGTAGTTTTATCGTCTTTCGGCGGCGAGAAACAGTTGGCAGCAAACCATCACGATACGTTCCAGAAGCAGAATACTCAATCTGTTGATCGCAGCAGTCATCTTAGCAGTCGTAATCATGGTCCGCAAATCATACAAGACAGTCGAAACAGGCGACGACACAACGACCGTCACTGCACCGGCCTCGGAGGTAGAGGCACCCTCGACATTCAGCGATGGACTTCCACTACCGCAAGTCATGGTCTTTGACCTCGATTACACTCTCTGGCCTTTCTGGGTAGACACTCATGTTACTGGCCCACTCAAGCCCACCAAGGATGGTTTGGTCGTCAAGGACCGCTACAACGACTCGTACGGCTTCTATCCAGATGTCGCTGGTATTCTTGTCTCTGCATGTGCCTCCCATACATCGAACCGTCTTGTAGACAGTAGCTAATACACCTCAACAGATCAAAGAAAAGGACATCACCCTCTGCGCCGCATCACGAACCGGTGCCCCCGAACTAGCCCGCGAAATGCTCTCCTACCTCCTCCTCCCGACCTCTCCCTCGTCCTCTACATCACCAAAAGCTCTTCACATCTTCGACGATTTGCAGATCTACCCCGGCGACAAGAAGACACATTTCTCTCGCATACACAAGAACACGAATATCCCATACGAAGAAATGCTCTTCTTTGATGACGAATCAAGGAATAAAAATGTAGAGACACTGGGGGTTGTGATGAAATTGGTTAGGGACGGTGTTTCGAGAAAGGAGATTGACAATGGTGTTAAATTGTGGAGGGAGAGGAATCATAGGATGAAGAAGGAGGACTGAGTCTGGTTCGGAATGCGTATAGAAGTATAGAGGAAGGCACGTCTAGAGATTATGATCAAGCATCATGATAGACCTCGGAGAGTGCTTGACGGCATTCTTCAGTCTTTGGTATATACGGCTCTATGACATCCTGGATCAGGATCGATCAATCAAAAGAGACACCTTCTTCGAAGACTATTTGTCTGTGCTCTCCGGCGAGGGCACCAGAAGCGTATATCTCTTATTCTTTTTGCCTGGAGGCCGTGTCCTGTCCAATCCGTCCGCTCGTCGTGAGTTTCGCCTTCTGTATCGTCTTGATCCTTCGTGTGCCGGATCCAAAAGTTGCCATGCGTGCCGAATCGGACAGAACGAGAAAGCTCGTGACCTCCTGAGCACGTTTCGGGAAGTCCTACCAAACCAACTCACCACAACCATCTCCCTCAAACCCCGAAGCAGGCAGCAGACCAGCTGACAAGACCTGCTTACATAACCTCGCTGCCAGCTCCGACGTTTCGCTCTATCTATAAAATCCCCCTCTTCCTTTCCATCCTCCTTTCCTCCTCTTCATACCACACTTACATGTGCCGCAAGGCACATTGTAGTCTGAACATACCTTTTGGAACCGTTGATCGTCTGGGAACCATTGCTGCAGCGATACCTCCCAAGTGCGTTTACAGAGAAGCCGTGGTTGCATTGATCTCTAGCGGCTGCGGTGGAAAGGACTTTGTTTCTCCTTTTTCCTTGAGATCGTCGCCAACCATATCTTTTTTTCATTGACGTGGCTGGCTCTAAGAGCTGGGCGTTGGAGAAGAATTTGTTGGAGAGAATGCGATGTCCTTGCGCTTCTGGAGATGTGTGTCCGATCGATAGCTGGTGTCATGGGACCGCCTCGTCGGTGCGAGCTCGCGAGAGAAAGCCGGTTCTTTGTCGTTTTTTTTGGGATCGCATACTGTCGCAGTAATGGCATTGCGATAGATGGTACGGATTACCTGATTACCTGATACCTACATCCTTCGGCCAGCCCGTCCTCCGACATGACAACGACATGCTCTTATCCCGCATACCTGTAGCTCAATATTGTCTCCAGCTTGCTCCAAGAAGACATTACCATTCCTTCTTGCTCGCATTGTCTCCGGGTAAGCGCTCGCCCGTCTTCGCTTCGCTCCCAGATATACATTCAGAGTGCTTCGTCTCCAAAATTTGAGATGAAGCAAAGGGTTTTCTGCAAGCGCCCTGGCGCCTCAGGTCTGTCGTGACCTCTCAGCTACTCGCAGAAGCTTGGATGTACGTTCTTACAAGCCATCTCAGCATATCAAGTGTCGTCGCCAGCTTAATGAGGAGTTTTGGATGTTGCAGCGACGAAGTACCAGACAAGAATGAACGCAGAATATGGAAGCAGTCAAGTCTCAAGAACATGCAACAAACTGCGATGAAACAACAGGCAATGGAGTACCAAGGAAACGGCTGGACTCACTGATCAAGATCGGTCACGAAACAAAAAGATGTCATCGAGCTAAGTGGAAGACTGGAGGTCCATGCAGCTCAACAAATGTTTCGTTCTAGCGGAGCATAACCGCATACGGATGTCTATTCCGATGTAATGAATATATCAACAAGAAATTTATCAAACGTCTAACGTGTCTACACGAGGACGTAGAGAGGTCGTGGCAGCTCGGAGAACGCCGGTGCAGCCTTATGCTTCAGACCAATATAAGCCTCGCGGCGTGCTGGACTGTCCTTCGTGACTGACCACGTCTCTAAACCGTAGTAGGTTGCGATGGAATGTACAAGCCAGCGTCTAGTGATTGTTAGCAAATTACTGTCAATGCGGAAGCCCACATCATATACGTACCCAAATGCAGCGCTGCGATCATCAACGAGGGTTTCAAGGATCATGCGCTCCTTTGCTAGATCCTCGCTGCTGATGCTCGCCGTACTGCTGCTGTCATCGCTGACAACGCTCTTTGAGCGCTTACGGTCGTCGCTCATGGTGCCATTGCGGCCGACGAAAACGATCTCCTCATCTTCGCTGTCACCATCGATCAAGCCGTCTTCAGCCATCTGACGCTCCTTGGATGACCACTGTTGTACGAAGCTTCTAACCTCCTCTTCGAGATCTTGCAGCATGTTCTTGGCACCACGGCTCTTCTTCAACTTTGCACGAATCTCACGCGGGACTCGAGCCGCTGCTTGCTCCTCCTTTGAGCCGTGTGCGCGGGTATCGCCGACGTTGTTTGACCGGCGAGGAGTGACCTTGGCTTGCGCCTTGGCCTTGTACTCGGCATCCCACAGCGGGGCGAGGAAGTAGGGAACGTTGTGGATAGGGTAGGTAGGACGAACTTCCCAATCGCTGGGAAGAGGAGGTTGAGCGTATGGGTTGCTGAGCAAACGATCGTTCTCCCATCGCTGTCTTCGGCGACTGCCCTCCTTGCCCTTGAGCACGGCTTCGCGACGGTTCAAGCTGTCACGGCGAACCGGCACTTGTCTCTTGTAAACAGTGTGGACTTCTTGCTTTGATCGTGGCTTGGCCGTGGCCATGGCATTTGCAGCGGCGAGAGCATCGTCGTCGAGTGGAATCTCAATCGTGACACTGGCGCGGGGTCTTGGAGGGGTCGGCGTCGAGATGGCAGTCGCCTGCAGCGCCTCGGCTGCCTGTTCAACCGTCCATGCTTCAATGTCGATACCTGTGGGTGCTGCCGTGACGGGGTCGTGCGAGATGGCCATAGTGGGAGTGCGCCGATGAGCGAGGTGCGTCTTGACAAGAGGATGAGCGAGAGTGAGGTGGGTGTAGGAGGAAGAGGGGCACCAGACAAGGAGACGCAACCATCATCATTGATCGCACTTGTCGCCACTGACCAATCGTATTCCCCGCAGACGCCCACGCCCTAGTGCCGTCGATCGCCAATCTTTATCTCTCTTGTTATCCGATCCCGACCCGTGACTCACTCCTGCTTTCGGCGAAATCTTGTTTTCCAAAACAACAATATTGGCACTCTCGAGGCCAACGTCAAATCAAGCAACATGCTTGGAGAAGCCCGCCACCTCACAGCAAAACATCATGTTTCATCTCCGCTTCCTCTCAACGTGCAAAAATGGAGTAGCTGGGAATCGAACCCAGAACCTTCTCCACTCAGTAATGCTCAAAGAGCAATGCTAAGAAGATGTCATACCACTAGACCACAACCCCTTTCGATGAAGCCTGGAACCGTCATGCGCATTATCAATCTCTCAAATGCGTCCAGCTGTACCAAGGTTTCAATCGCGATCCTGCAGCCGTTCCAATGCCATCCACTAACACCTACTTTTAAGAAACACACATTATGCCTCGAGGATCCGAATACAGCGATGAGAAGCGTGCCGCCGCTTTGATCATGTTTCTCATCTTCAAAGCCTCCCACAGCGAGGTGGAAACACGAACAGGCGTATCCAAAGCCGCAGTCCGTCAAATGGCTTCTCGAGCACACAAAGCCGGCATCGACCGGACGAGCATAGAAGAGTTGATTGTCTTTGCACGAACAAAGCCGAGGAAAGGTCGACCTCGTCGCGATGCTGCTACAGACAAGCCGTCGTCGAGTCAACCGCCGGAAGCAACGGAATCAGAGACACCAAAACAATCACATGAGTCTGCTGTAGCGGCTACACAGGAACTCCGTCCACAGCCAGCAAATACCACCCCGACAGCCACGACAAGTACGAGGGCCAACAGTCGCGAAGGCGTCTCCGAGGTCATGAAGAGTTGGAATCCGCATGAGGTACAGGCCATGGACGCGCCTTATACCATGGCTACCAACGAGCAAGGATGAAGACACGCAGACCATACGGACGCGCGTTGCACAGCTCGATATCTGGCTGCTGGCAGTTCCCAAAGCCGAAGGAGTGCCAGCTGAGAGTTCTGGCGATCTACCGAATTCGGACAGGGTGGTACCAACAGCAAACCTTGTTATGGTCGCCGACGACATTACGACTTCACGACGAATGAATACCTCACCAATACATACGCATTACATCGTTTGCGCTTTGATTCTCGTGCTGTGATATGTTGTGTAGTGATTGTGTCGCCTGTCGTTGTTCTATCACCGAATATGGCTTTTCCAAACCCTTTGAATAGAGCCAGGCTACTGAACTTATGAGGAAGTATGCGTGTGATTCGCATCGAGAGGGTGGCGCAACAGTATACTAGATCCGTAATAGATGACTCTGGAATGTTCTCGTGTGTGGCAACTTAGGTATTCATGCCGTCGACTCGTAGTGAACCATCAATAGAGCTCGAGTGCGATGCGAACCTGGCAGCAGGACATTGACAGGGTGACTTGGCTCAGCGAGGTGAACTTGGAGAAAACTATTCCCGATCGGAGAATAGAATCCGCCAAAGCGATGCAGGACGAAGCACGCGACATGAGCTCATTCGGACTTGATGTTCGATTGATATTGTTTTGTGATGCTTATTTGCAGCTGCCATTATATGTCATTAACAAGGAAATCTATGCACAAGATACGACCAGAAATCTATATCCTCTCACCCTCGAGGATAGGTCTGGCTTCTTGACTCTTCCACCAACTGACACCCTCCTTGCCAGGGTACTCGAATTTATCCATACTCTCAGGCTTCATCTCGACACTGTATCCAGGCTCGAGAGGAGTAGTGTAGTAACCGTCCTTGATGACACTGGGGTTGAAGAAGTGCTCGTGTAAGTGGTCGACGTACTCGAGGACGCTAAGCTTGCCACTGACGACGACGTAGTCGATGGTGCTCAGGTGTTGGGTGTACTCGGGAAGACCGACACCACCCGAGTGAGGAACGATTGGCACACCGAACTTCTTGGCCATGAGAAGAACTGCGAGGACCTCGTTGACACCACCCATGCGGCAAGCATCGATCTGGCAGACATCGATGGCACCTTGTTGCAGGAGCTGCTTGAAGATGACACGGTTCTGGCACATCTCACCGGTGGCAACGCCAATGTTGTAGGGCTTGAGGGCTTCGCGGATGGCCTTGTGGCCGAAGACGTCGTCGGGGCTGGTGGGCTCTTCAATGAACCAAGGCTTAAACTCTGAGAGCTGCTTCATGTATTCGATGGCCTCTGGAACGGACCAGACCTGTTGCGAGAAAGGTCAGCACAGCTCGTTGACCCATGATTTTCCTCTGCAATTACTTACCTGGTTGGCGTCGACCATGAGGAAGTTGCCTCTGTCGTAGCCAATGACCTCTCTGGCGATGCTCAATCTTTCCTTGTCCTCGGCGACACTGGTGCCGACCTTGAGCTTGAAGTGCTTGTAGCCAGCATTGAGGGTCTCCTGCAACAGACCCTTCATCTTGTCCTTGCCATAACCCAACCAACCAGCACTGGTGGTGTAGGCTGGTACAGCTCTGTTAGCCTCGGCGTGCTTGATACGCTCAGCCTTGCCGGGCTCCTCCTTCTTCAGCATCTCGATGGCCTCCTCCTTGGTGATGGCATCGGTGATGTATCTGAAGTCAATACACGAGACGAACTCTTCAGGAGACATCTCGGCAACGATTCTCCAGACGGGCTTGTTCAATGTCTTGGCCCAAAGATCCCAGATGGCGTTGACAACGGCACCCAGAGCGAGGTGGATGACACCCTTCTCGGGACCAATCCATCTCAGCTGACTGTCTGAGACGAGGTATCTCCAGGTCTCACCCCAGTTGGAGACCAGGTCCTCGAGCTTCTTGCCCTCGACACGAGCAGCAAGCAGAGAGATGGCCTGGCAAACAATCTCGTTGCCGCGACCAATTGTGAAAGTCTAACAAAGATCAGCATCTATGTGTGGGGAAGCTGGGGAAGGTGTGGTGTGACTTACCATGCCATGACCAGAGAACTCGGAGTCAGTGTTCAGGATGCAGTATGCGGCCGAGTAGTCGCCAGCAGCGTTCATAGCATCGGAACCAGTCTTGTCGAGAGACGTCTGGGTTGGTTCGGGTCAATTGCTATTCGAAGATGCGGGTAGACTTGTTTACTCACAGGGAATCTAACATCCCTCGTCGTGGCCTTGGTGATGGTAACCATGATGTGTGTTATGTAGAGTATAGATAGAGAGGGGAGGCAAAAGGCAGAGGGAGTAAAAGCAATTGGGAGTACAAAAGCGCCAACAGTGGGAATTGGGACAGGTTTTGTGTAATGGGCATGCTCGAATCTGCCGTCACGCTGCCCCCACTATGGGGGCGGGTCCGGGGCTCCAGCAATGAACCTTCGCCGCTATTGGTGCATAATTTAGGCTGGAGTTCTTCCGCCAGCTGCCAGTCGCCGGCGAGACGGACGTGCTCGAAAGGTTTCGCCGAAACAGGGTCAGACGTTGGAGAAGGTATGGCGACCAGGGGACATGGTTCGCGATTGCTATTACCCGGACGCCATTCTGACAAAGTTAGATGCTTTCGCACCGACTTCTGGAACGAAGCTGAAGAGCTTTTCAAGCTTTGTGAAGACCAAGAGGCTTCGTGCCCTCGTGTTTCCAACCGTCAGGCTGCAAAGGTAGGCGGAAGAGGACCGATGGAGCGAGCGCCGCGAGGAATACGCAGCCCAAAGCGGCTCTTCCGGAGACAGAGCGCCAATTCTAGAGCTTCAAAGCGCAACCTTCCTCTAGGCTCTCGCAGAGTGCACGACGCTCTGAAGCCGATCAAGTTGTCTTTCGAATGGCGATAGCAGCAGAAGCATTCAGAGGCTTACCCTGTGATACGGATGCAGCATGGATGCCTATTGATTGGATTCTCTCGGAAGTCGGCAGGAGTGCAAAAGTCCTGGAATTGGCAGGAGTTTGAGAATGGTTAGAATTGTGGGGTAGAGATCTCAAGCGTTTTGATGTTGTTCGCGTGGCTTCAAGGGGAAGCGGCAGCAGCAGCAGCAGCTCACGAATCGATCTGTCTCTCAGCATCTCAGCCGATTGATCTCCACGGGAATTATGAGCGGGCGTATCATGCTACTGTTCCAGCTGTGTCTCGTCTTCTTCACTGCCTTGGCGAATGCAGCGGCTCAGGAGCCCCTTGTCGACGAGAGGCCGATATACAGCGCAGGAGATGCTATCCCCGTGACATGTCGTATGTACACGATGCGTCAATCTGCCGCCATCCTACTGACCATGTGAAGTCAACAGGACATCTGACACTGGCGAGCATGTAAGAAACACACAGACACGCCATTGACGGGCTCAACTGACACATGGGACAGGTCACGGATGCATCAGGCCAGCTCCAATACGTGCCCTTCCCGGTCTGCAACGAGACCGGACGACCGCTGGAGATATATTTCGGTGTCGAGAAGGACATCAACTGCACCATCGACTTCATCTCGGACCCCATGTTCCACCTACTCGAGTTCTACGTCCACAACGATGCCCCCATGACGTGTCGCATACCTACTCGCCCCATGCCCGACTCTTCACTCGCCAACAGAGTGCCGAAAGAAGATGCTTCAGTCGAGGGCCAAGGCAGTCTGAGTGACGAATACATTCCCCTGATCATCGCCTTGACAGGCACGCTGCAACTCTCGCATCTGCACGTCTCGTCGCATCTCAACATGCTGCTTCATGCTGCGCCCAAATCCGTCTCACCTGGTGTCATTGATGCTGCCACTGCCTACTCCATCTCCACCCGTCCACCAGCCCGCATCGTCATCGGGGACGCCCTGCCCTTCACCTTCTCCATCCGTTGGTACTCTGGTCAACAACTGCCGTCGGGCTGGTCCGGCGTCGGCGGCCATATCTATGCCAGTACCTTGATCTACTGTATCTTGAGCGCTGGAGCCGCAGCCGCCATCTGCACCGTCTACTTCCGAGGCGTCGAATTGCCGCGCAGACTCAGGAATCATGGAAAAGACAGGATGACCGGTGGCATGGAAGGTGGCAGACTAGGTGGATATGGATACACTGCTGGCACCAGCAGCTATGCACTTGGCACTGCTGGAGGAAAGAGGGATTAGCACCATCGCTTGGTCTTGGACATTCTTTGTACCCTTTGTATACAACACGTGCGAGTCCCCCAAGATCACTATCATCCATAAAACAGAAACTCCGAAACAAATCTGACATTCAAGAATACAAAGATCGGCTGGCTCGTCTAAAGCACGATCCGTCTACGAAGCGAAAGTGACTCGTTATCCTGTACCGTACCACCTCCCCAACCCCTTCCATATCCTCCCTTTTCCAACCCAATCCATCCAGTCATAAAGCCTTCCACCATCAAGAATCGAAGGGCTTGTGTATCGTATGAGTCTGTCCGGCAGATCTCGAATGTTGTTCGTGTCGATCAAGAAGAAGAAGAAGAAGAAGAAGAAGAAGAAGAAGAAGAAGAAGAAGAAGAAGAAGAAGAAGAAGAAGAAGAAGAAGAAGAAGAAGAGTAAGAAGGACCCTTGTTGACACCTTCGCCGCAGAGTTCGACGTGGGCGTTGAAGTTACTCCAGCTCTGAATGATTTGTTAACATTGGCGAAATTCGATTGGAGGAAGAAGTTTACTTACGCAAGATGCTGTAATCGGCATACTGCCCTTGGAGTATTGCACGACCTTGTTGTTTCTGTTGATGCTAACCTCGGGCGCAGTACCACTGCTACCAAGGTCCTCAGGGAAGGGGACCATGGACAGGGCAGGACCGGAAGAATCGGCTTCGAACTCCCAGTATTGGTTGTCGCCTACGCTGACAGAGATAGTGGCCTTGTCCTTGACCAGCGCCCAGGCGAATACTGCGTCGGTGGGGTAGTCTTGGTTCTTGATCTTGCTGGATGAGCCACCGTAACATGTCGCGGCCTTGGGATGGACTCTGTACCAGTAGACGACTTGATCCATGGTGATGACGGGAGCCTTGCCGTTCTTCCACCAGTTCAGGTAGTACTTGGCCATGACGCGCCAAGGAGCATGGTTCATGCCCTCGACGTAGTTGTCCATGCCGTTACTGTAGGTGACATAGTCGGTGGCACTCTCGTCGGTCATGCTGGGAAGATCGCGCAGGTAGTGAGACTCGCAGAAATCGTTCCACGTAAGTACCTCGATGATGTCGGGAGAGAACTCGTTGTTGGCGATGGTGTGTAGGCGTTGAGCGAAGAGGGTGTCAGAGTAGGCAACCCAGGAGTCAGATGAGACTCCATTGTTGAGATCCTTGTACTGCCAGGGGGAGACGGCCATGATGTAAGGTCCGGTCTTGCCATTCTTGGTGAGAGCAGCCTTGAAAGCCTGGTCGGCAGTGCAGGTCATGTTGGCTTCCATGAGAGGCCACGCTTGCCAATTGAAGTAACCATCAATGGAAGGGTAGTCGCTGACCATCTTGGCAGCGGAGTGTTCGGGACTGGATTGAGCGGACTGAGCGTATGAGACGAGAGCGGGAGCCAGAGAGATAGGATGTCCTTCGCTCTTGCATGAGTCCTTGAGATCCTGGAAGAACTGATTGCCGTAAGCGTCGTTCTTGTCGCCAGCGTAGGTCGAAACGAGGATGTTGGTGTTCCAGCGCATGGTAGCAGAGCTTCCAGCATGTTTGGTGATCATGTCGGTCATGTAAGACGTGTTCCAGAAGGTGTTGCAGGTCGTGTAGCTCATGTCAAAGGAGAACATGAGCTTGAAGCCGGTGTCCTCGGCAGCCTCGAAAGCGTCGTCGACGCGGTCGACTTGCCACTTGCGGCTGGGCGAATTGCAGTCCGGAGGGATCCAGTTGAGAGAGAAACCATCAATGCCGGCCTGCTGAGCAGCCTTCATGTCGGTTTCCCATTGTCCTACAGTGTAGGCATAGGAGTTGTCGAGCATGAAATGCGCAACAACTGACTTCGCGACAACAAGGTTGACATTGACAGCAGCAAGTGCAAGGATGGTCCAAAACTTGGAAAACATGTTTGTGCGCGTTTGTGCGCTTCGTGTGACGATGTGATACAAAGGGCGATGTCGACTGGGAACAATGTGTTTCGTTGGAATAGCGCAAGCGCTTCGAAATGCCGATATGTGAAGAAAAGAGAGCAAAGGAATGGCACACTACTATCAAAGTAGTGTAACAGAGTGTCTAAGGAGTGACTGAATGAACGGAAAGGCGTGAACGCCAGAAGAGGGCTGTATTGAAGGCAAATCGACCAAGAGAATGAAGGTACAGAAGCAAAGGGAGGGATGTAGACCTACGTGGTCTATATACGATGCCTGTAGACAGTCCAAGGAGGCGACAGGCATCCCGGCTCCACACGTGAAAAATGCCATGCTCCCATGTTTAATTACGCCGCTGTTGCTTGCATACTGGTTGGCTCGAGAGGGAGGGAGGGATGGAGACCTCACAACTGGTGCAGCAGAGGACTAACGGGAGGACCCGAACCCTCTGTATCAGATATAGAAGGCTGCATGAGATGCAAAAGCGCTTCAGGAGCCGCGAGGCAGTCAATCGCTCTTGACGTGCTTTTAGACCCGTCAGGCATATATTGTCTCATCGTAGTCAAAAGAGCCTCCTATCACAGGTAGATAGATGCAACGTCTGCCGGGCCTAGTCCATGATAACAGTATGCTTCCCTCAGGACAAAAGCCCAGCGTGCATGCTGTATGGGTCAAGATGACTGCAGTCGCGGCGTCCTAGCAACATGCATCCGGTCGCACACTTCTTATCGGCCCCATACAACCATCTCCAGTGGATCCCCAAACTAATTTTCTTCTAGACGGATGTTCGGAATTCGAAGGTGCTGCCCTAGCAGTATGTTGGCATCAGGCGGGCAAGTGTCCTAAGCGCTGAGCACCTTTCGCAAGATTGTTGCCTGCCAAGCTGCCTGTGCAAACAACCATCACTCCAGTCCAAACCCGCAAAGTGCATCACATCTGCTGCAAACGCACGTCAACACACTCGATGTTTCAGATGCATCTCATTTCGACATTCCGCCCCGAGCCTAGCCCTAGACAGCAATTCTCCGACCCATACATGTGGGTTGGTCATACAAGGGCTGACTCGTGATTAAAACGACTGCCAGTGAATCCTCTTGAGAATTTGAGTCGCAATTAGCAACGACAGACAAATATCTTGTGACGCAGTCTGTGCCACGGCCGGACATGCGCGAGAGCCCTAAGGTCAGGGACTGTAACTTCGCGATTCATTCACAACACGATCAACCCACTACCATCGGTCAGCCCGTCGGCATGCGCTATACTCTGGTGACGGTCGAGAATTTCTTTGCTACGACTATAGTCAATCCCAATCTACCGACTACGTTATTTGTATCTGGGGAATAGCTGGGGGATCGAAGATCAAAGGAGCGCTGAAGGAAGCAGAATTGGCCCGACTCCTGCATGAGTACCCACAAGTGCCAGTAAAGCCTTGGTAATAGAAAGCGTCTGGTCTACAGACTGCAGGATCATTTGCCAATTGCTCATAGCCCCAGAAGCTCTAACAAACAGAATTGGTCGGGTGTCAGCGTTAAGGGAGAGTTTGGTGAATAACGCATGTGCTCAACCACATGATGCTCCACCTTGCCTCGACCAAAGTGCATACAACATACTAGTAAATTGATGCTTGAGGGTCGAGCGCACCAGGTGACTGGATGATCTTGCAGTAGATAACACAACGGAACAGCGGCCCAACGAGTATGCAGCACGTGAGTCAATCTCATGCTTGACGCCCGCCTTATTTTGCCCGTTTCATGTCCCTCTACCGCCAATTCCACCGAAGAGGGAACGATGGAGCCTTGACGGAGAAACGCGTGAGCTCCAGCAAGGTAATATTCTACTGACAGCATTAGAGACGCCCAGGGCAGATACTGCGTAGTACCAATAACGAGAGACCCCGAGTGTTGGCTACTCCCAGTAATTTCGTTGGAGACAATATCCAAGGGCATTCTGCATTGGGATGCTACGCCAATCCTGGAACTGGAGGAATCAAGAACCTCGTTAGTCCCAGTCTCGAGGTGCATTCTTCGAGTGGTTGTCCGAGTGCACAACCGGTGTCAGTGTCGTAGAAATGGTTGTACAGAACCGCATTGCTGCGGGCTCTGCTTCTGAGTAGCCCCTAAGTAGCACTACGCTGATATGCCGTGAGGACAAACGTATTTTGGTAAATCAGACCAGCGACTGCTCTGCAGAGTGAGCTTGAATCGCAAGCAAACACTCGCTGTCGTCTAATGCCCTAGCTCCTCTTTCCGCATTCTCAACCCTTTCAAATCCATGATACCTTCGTATCCTTCGGGCATATGCTCCGATCTCTTACAGTAACACCTGTGGCACTGATATCGCTCGGATTCCAGTTCTTTCCACCTAATGAGCAAAATTAGAAAATAGCGCAAGTCATGGATGTCGTAGGAACACTCTGCGCCCAAATGACTCACCAGAGTTTGAAGCCATTAAGTCTGGTGATCAGACATGTGCTGCAAGTATGTTTGACCTTTTCTTTATAGAGAACAGGTCTGTAGGGTTTCCATGGTAAACATTCGCGCACCCACTGGTTCTTTCTTACGAGAGCATCAAGTCTACATGCCGCCCGAAAGCCATTATCGGCATGATAGAAGTCAACCCAACGATCTCTAAGCATCTGTTGATGCTGCTGTCGATACTTCAGGTCGATCTGCCGTAGTCTTGTTGCATATTCGGGGTCGGTCTGGCGCCTTTGTCGACGGTACTCCTTGTACTTCTCAACCTCGAGCTTCTTCTTGACTGGGTCGGAGGACCAAGTGAGGATGGGATGTGACGAGAAGAAGAGCTTTGAGACAACCGGAGACGAAAGCAAAGATTTTCGGCAGGCACCGACTCTTGTCCAGATATTATTTGCCATACGCTGTTTGCAGATGAGATTGCCTCTGGAAGAGTGGTCGGTTCCCAGTGACGTTCGAGGAGCACAGACTTTGACTGAGTTGTGTAGACCTGCTGTGCTGAGAGGAATACGAGTCGCGTTGTGAGCCACAGCCAAAGTCGTGTCTCGGACCGAGATGCTGAAGCTGTTCCTCTTTCGCTGTATCGAGGCGCCATGTTTTCGGGAAGCACAGCAATAGGTACCCACGAACGTTTCCAGTAACTTGATGTACAGAGTCTTCCTACGTTACATGAGTCGATCATGTCTCATATTGCTTATGTGTCGCCCTACGACAATCTTTGAGGGATTACCATGTTGCATCAGTTGGCACATCACATTACTGTCCCAGCCCCTCTCTGATAGGCTTCCAAAATCTATCACTCTCCTTCACGACCTTCTCTCTCATCCCCATCACAGGACCAAAGACTTTGACGTCCTTTTGCCCGTGTTTAAACACTTCTCTACACCCCAAACTCATGGTGAAATTCTCCTCATTGCCTTCCCCAGTGATTTCCTTCAGCACCTTTTCCTCAGCCGCATAGACCACGCTTCCGATATTAGCCCAATAAATTGTACCAGTACACATGGCACAAGGCTCCCATGTAGTGTATAGTGTGCATGTCCAGAGGTAGGCTGAAGAGTAGTGCTTTGAAGCTAGGAGAGCTAGACTGGATTCGGCATGCTCGATGTGAGAGATACTGAGGTGGGTCAAAAGGATCTCATTCGTGGGGCTGACGAGAAGAGCGGCGAAGGGTCGTTTGGCATGTTGTTCGACTCCCGCGGTTTGTAGTGAGAGGCAGGCCTCGAGGTGGTTGATTTGCTGCGCTAGGGTTGGGGTGGCTGGACGTGGTGGGAAGACCGTCATGGTTGCCTGGGGCTGTGCTGATGTGGTTGGTACTGTTGGCTCGTATGTGGTATTCTTGGTTGCAGAAAGTGACGTCTATAGTTTTGAGTTAATCACTGGAGATGTTGGTGCCAAAATTGCTTGACAACAACGGCCGATAGCTCTGATATAGCCCTGCCCGCGCGGTCAGCTCCGATAGGTAGAATGCGGATCTACCTGCCCGATAAGAATGCTATCCTATCTTATACGAGTTACAGACAAATGAAAGAGAGAAGGGGATAGACAGGTTATTGAGAAGTTTCAATTGACAGCATGCAGCTGTGGTAGACAGGGCCTAACAGCCTCAATCATTCTGACGAATTGCCAGTGGTATACTACAAAAAGAGTTCTAGGGATTATAAAATCTTGGAAGCTTAGGCATTGCCTGGTTGAGAATCAGAAAAAGCAGTGCCCTGATGCAATACTTAAAGCGCTGCTAAGAGGAAGAATCGAAGAAAGAATTGGGGATGCCCAAATATCAAAACTCCTCAAGTCCCAGATCATTGGTCATGGCTGTTCCGCAAACACCTTGTTACGCCGGCAGGAATAAAGATTCAAAAAGAGAACCCAAAAGATAAGAAAAGGGCCCAGAATTGACCTAGTAATGTTCAAAAGATGCTTAGAACAGGGGTGCCTTGACGTCCTGGACACCACGCTTGATGATGTCTTCGAGCTTCCAGCGAGGGGGCTGGTAAGTGGGAGTCTTGCCCTTGGCGAGCTCTTCGCGATGCTCCATCTCCTCGACGTTCATCAAGCCATCTGGAATTGGATCTCTGCCACCCGCAATACCACTGCTGAACTTTAGTTGCAAGATATCACCAGCCTGGTCGCATGCTGCGAGGAGGCGATCCAGGTCATCCTTGGTGTGAGCGGCAGAGACACAGAATCTGGCGCGGGAAGAGATGAGAGGGGTGGCAGGGTAACCGACGACGACGACAGCGATCTTGCGCTTGAGCATCTCGTGGGAGAAGGCGGGAATCTTGGCAGGGTTGTAGAGAAGCAGGGGAATAATGGGAGAATCGTCGTGGCCGTAGATGATGAAACCGAGACGCTTGAGTCCAAGGCGGAGGTATCTTGAGTTGAAAGCCAGTCTCTCGAGACGCTCCTGACCTTGGCCGGGAGCGATCTCGCCGATGATCAAACGAAGAGCTGAGGAGATTTGAACCAGAACCGGGGGAGAGGGAGCCTCGCCGAAAAGGGTTCCAGCGTTTGTCACACGAAGTTTGTCAATGAGGGCCTTGTCACCAGCAACGTAGCCACCGTTTGCACCAAACGACTTTGTGAAGGTACCCATAAGGATGTCGACTTCAGCAGGATCGATGCCGAAGTAGTCGCAGATACCTCTACCTTGAATACCGAGGGCGCCGATGGAGTGAGCCTCGTCGACGAACAAGTTGAACTTGTACTTTCTCTTGAGAGCGACAATCTCAGGGAGGTTGCACATGGTGCCTTCCATCGAATAGAGACCCTCAACAGCAACGAGAATCTTCTTCCAGGGACGGTGAGTGCGGGGCTGGCCTTGAGAGATTCTCTCACGGAGAACGCGCTCGAGGTCATTGATGTTGTTGTGCTTGAACATTTCGATGACGGCGCCCGAAAGTCTGGCACCGAAGCGGATGGAAGAGTGGTTGAGCTCGTCGGAGATGATGAGGCAGCCCTTTCCAACAAGAGCAGGGAAGGTGGTGGCGTTCGTACCGAAGCCCATGGAGAAGATCATTGCTGACTCCTTTCCGACGAACTTGGCAACCAGGTTCTCGACCTCGACGTGAAGCTCGGAAGTGCCGGCATCGCCTCTGGGACTGGCAAAGCTGACGCCGTACTTCTTGGTAGCGACCTCGACAGCGTCGGCGCACTCACCCTCAGACTGGGCGAAACCGAGGTAGTTGTAGGAACTCATGTTGAGGGTTTCGGTGGTAGTGCCGGTCATCTTGAAACTCAGGTTGAAGTCGTCGGACTTGCGGTCGAGCAGAGTGATGAATCTACCGGGCACTCCAGTAATGGGGCGTCTGAAGCAGTCGTTGATGCGCAGCTGCAGTCTACGGATGTAGAAGTTATCGAAATCACTGTTCAAGGGTGCGTATCCGTCGCGTGCCGACAGATGCTTGTACTGCTCCTGCTTGAAGCGCTTGCCGAAGAAGTCGCGCACATGGCCGAAGATGATGAGGACGAGGTAGCTGAAGTAGGTGGTCAGGAGGAAGTAGTATGGTGGAGTGTCCTCGATGGGTTCGGGGAAGGCTTGTCCATCGTGACGACTCGAGTAGCGGTGCTCTTGGGAGCCGAGAGGGCCAAACGCGGCTTGTGCCTTTGCGATGCGGCGGGCCTCTTCGGGTGAAGGAGGCTGGAAAAGTGTCATTGGTCTCTCCTCAATCTTGCTCTTCTCGCCCGTAGCGGTAGTGAGGTTGATTGTGGGCAGCGACAGAGTGGCACGGTTGACCTGGGGAGAGGGAGGGCGACGAGTGGCTTGCTGAGGAGTCAGGTGCAGCGACGAGGACTTGGGCGATGAGAAGAAGCTGGCGATGCGGTTGTTTGACTTTGCGGTAGGCGATTTGAAAGATTGAAGTGACGCCTTTTCGTTCAGCGCATCGACCGAGGGAGTGGGAGAGTTCGCGACAAAGGGATTGATGGTGCGTGTCGGCATGGCTCAGGGCAAGCGTGCGTCTGCACGATTAGGTATTAGAATTATGAAGTCGGAAAATGCGATCCTGCAGCGAGCAAGAAGGGCGGACGGAGAGCAGACAAAAAACGAAAACAAGCGCAATTGAGAGGTTGGGCGGACGGTGAAATCGGGGCATTGCTCATGGCTGATTAAGGGGAACGGTGATGACGGAACGACCTCGAAACCGCGCCAAGTGCCCACGGAACGTGGCGGAGAAGCCATCCTGAAGCCTTTTTTTGCATTTTGTTTTGCTGCCGAGCAACAATCGCAAGATGCCCTTGAATCGATAACCCTGCCAATGCCCGCCCTCGTTGCCGAAATGCAGCGGTCATGCAGAATGGAAATCTAGGAAATCGCTACTCTGACGTACCTTTTCCGCGAAGAGCCTCGATACACGGACGTCTGCGGCTGTCTTCGCACACAGTTCAATGTATCGTCGACGTTTGATGTCGTGAAGCCAATCTGGCGCGTCGATCGCGTTTTGTACCTGGCGATCGCTATGTCGCGACGTGTCGTAGGGATGATGGTGAAAGCGAGTCGGATGGGCGTTGTAGAGAAGCTCAAAGGTTGCGAGGTGCGCCGAGTATCAATGATAAATGCTCGCCAAAAGTGATGGTCAGGGCGTAGCAACCAACAGCTCTTTAATTCAAAAACCCTCAGGGGTCAGATGTCAACCACCCGGGAGCCGGTACGCTTTCTGCCGGCGATCCTAGCGCTTCTCGTACTTCTCGCTCTCATTTGCCTCCCAAGACAATCAAAATGTTCCGATGCTGTTAAAGTGTGATCGAGATCTTGAATTGTCGTGACTCTTCTGTCTAAGTACATAATCGCTCGCTGTGAAACTACCTCGGATTGCTCGCCTTCAAACACTCAAAGTCACGATCATCTCAGCAAGAGAGGTTGTTGACATGCGCAATAAATTCTTGCGAGTCTAGCCCGCGTTTCACGGCGTCGGCCAAAATGTCAACAAACCATGCAGGCACCCGCCGCAATCATACCGACGGGACTCAGGGACGTTGGAGAAAATAATTTGATCACCTCTCTTCCACCCAGATTCTGACCTCGCAAAAAGTTCCACCCCCGGACGTCCACATCCAATGGTCTTCAAAACAGTGTTTGGTGTAAGCAAAGCTTTGCCTTTGACCTTGTAAAAGAGTGACGGATGCAAGCAGCGCTCTCGCAACGACCTCTTCGGAGCTTCCAATGTATGCTCGAGACCGTCAAAATGTCTCGTGCATTCGAATAGTCACAGGTAGTACAGGTGTTAATAGAAAATGTCAGAATCCGAGCCGTAAAACGTCAAAGTGCTTACAGGGAGACCACATAGACAAGTGTGACTGTATCGAACCGGACTCGTTCCTCCAGGTGGGTGCTTCTGCTTATTACAATGTACATGGCATTGCTCAAACGGGCTTCTTTCTAGTGTAGCGCGTCGAGATAGGACTTCCAACGAACAAGTTGACAGGTGGCAATCGATGCCTGAACTAATCTCAAGTACACAAGAAGAGTGAGAACGCTCACGGTACATGCAAGTTGTGGTTGTAAGATGGAACAGACGCTTCTCTTCGTCTTTTCGCTTTCACGTCACGACTGAAGGCAAGCACGCCTTGCTGTATCTGCTCGCCCGCAGCTTCCTCTTGGGCCATCATATCGACCACAACAAACTTCTCGTTTTCTTCGCGCTCTCACTTCATCACGCGTCTCATCGACACAGGCACTTCACCTTCTGCACGTCGCGCGCTCCTCAATTTCCTGTTTCCCGGTCACGCCAGGCTGCGCGAGAACACCCTCTTCGATCATGGGTGACACTGCTGCTGCTGTTGTCTGGTGAGCTATCACACAATCTTCAACTTAATCTCCATTCTGACAACCACGACAGGGGCGTCCCTGTGAAGCCAGTGGATCTCATCGTTAGTCTCGATGCATTGCGCAAGGCGAGCCCAGCGATCCAAACTCTGCGTCTGTGCCACCAGTTTGGCAAAGGCAAAGACGCTCATGTCGCCAAGCTTCCCAAAGAGATCATCGTCTTCATCGAGGAAGAGTTGTTGGCTATGCATCGCGTAGGCAAGGAGAAGGAGCCCTTCTCCCTGCCCGGAAGATACTGCTGCTTCGAAGGATCTTGTCGTCCAAGCGATCACATGCATCATGTAGACCATGTCTTCCCGAAGGAAGACTACGAGTTCGAATATGCCTCCGATGACTCCGAAGCCTACGAGGATGACTACGAGAGCCTAGCTGACACCGCCCGCGCCGAACTCTGTGAAGCTCATCCTGAGTGGCGTACAAAGCAAGGTCTCGTCTTACCCGCCAACTTTCCGTCGCTCCTGCATGCGAAGATCGCCGACATTTTTGATATCAACACTTCAGAAGAAGTCCATGAGCTTTGCTTCATGTCCAAGGTGGAGTGGGAGGATGATGTCCGTGACTATTTGAGCACCCAAGGCAACAGCGAGGTATGTGTAGCTCCGCAGCGATTGGATGAATGGAACTAACTCGCGCCTAGATCATTCGCAAGTACTTTAGCCTGAATGTTTTCATCATGTGCGAAAATTTGTCCGATTCGACCAAGAAGTACCTCTGCGACTGTGACGAGAGGTTTTCAAAAGTCCACTCTGATCCCGAGAAAGTAGCTATTTGCTACCTCGTCTTGCCCTCCCGGTCGACAAAGTGGGAAGTACGGCTCGATCCCATCTCAAGAGAATCTGGAAGCTACTACGGCGAATCAGCAACCTCAATGTTGGTCGACCGTAATTCTCTCGACTTGACTGAGGAACACCAACAACGCTTCGCTCGTGCGATGAGTCGTCTCGCATTGAAACCTTCAGTGCACCCATCTCAACTACAGACAACTCTTTTAGCATCGTGCTCTATGACTGCCTCTTCACCATCCTTGATGCAGTACCCGCGCCGTGCTAAGAAAGAGCAGCCATCTGCAGAAGACATCGAGAAGAAGCACACTGCCATCACGGGACGCATTCGCGACATGGAGAAGACTCACTGGCCAAAGTTGATGCTCCTTGTCAACCATAACTGCCACGAGTTTTGATCACAGTCAGCACAAGCACATCCCCATCTTCAGTTCCAGAGTAAGGGCTCTATTCTCATTTTTTCGTTGCTCTTCCGTCCAGGTTCGCTCATGCGAGCGTTCTGCTGTCAATGCATAGCTTTTACCGGTTGCTTTATGGTAATGGGCTTCTCCATACTGTTCTAGTTTACATATTCTGTCACCACCAGACATTGCTTAATGAAAAACCACCATGGCTCATGACCTTTTCTCATTGATGTCTTACAGATCTTTGCGTGCTGCGAGATGAATTTCTATCACATTGCGTTTGGCTGCCGCGGATATGGGCTGTCACTACAGAGACCGTCTGTTGTGCACAGTATGCACCTTACTGTCCGACAAGACACTTGCCATGAGTGGCACTCCTTGCATACTTCTCCGAATACGTCACCTCGTCCTCGTACTGATTAAAAGTTCGGACATTTGCGTACAGCGTCTACAGACTGTGTCACTCAATCCGTGAGAGTATGCTACAACAAGCGACCAGAGATTCAAAAATGCTATTCTTCTAAAATCCAGACCAACCGCTTCTCGACTTTCACACTGATGTACTAAGCTATAGACACACAGACATAGAAAGATCAACATATAAGCCGGTACGCTCTCCCCTTCTCGACGCCAATCTTGAGATCAAAAGCATGTATGTAGAGCCAAAGAAGCTGGAATCAAGGTAAAGTCAGCAGCCTCCTAGAACTCATGGACTGCTCAAATCATGGCAAGGAGACTCCGACTATCAACCATGTATAAATGCCAAGTACCCTTCGCAGGATCGACAAATCGTTGTCCCAGTGACATGATCTCTTTCGACTGTAGGATAGGATTCAGCATACAAATCCAGGACCTCTCTTTCTCTATGACTTGACAAGAGTTAGATGTTCGAGGACATAGGACTGAGGCTTTCCCTCTCCTTGATATCGATACGTAAGATAGTTTGTCGAATATATACATCAATCTCGTGAGACGGCTGGTGATTAATCGCCTGTGCATCCACACCCAGAACCATCGCTATGAGCAGACTTCAAGGACTTCTGGCCTTAAGGCAACGTCCTTGGACAAAGGTCACTTCGAAAGATCGAGGTAGGTGGTCATGGAAAGAAGTTGAATGATGTTCATATAATTCAGAGGCATTGTATCGTGACGAGTGCAGTCTGTAGGAAAGGCGTAATACTACAAGAATTGTGGTGAAAAGCATCTAATGGAGAAAGAGAAAGCATGAGAAAGTCAAGAATGCTCATTTAAAAAAGTGATGACAAGAAAGCGCTGCCTCCCAAGAAGAAAGAGGAAAAGAAAGAGGAAAAGAAAGAAGAAAAATTCATATGTCCGGAAGGACAGAACCTGAAAGATCCGGACATGGCATTCATGAGAAGAAAAGTGGAAGGGAACGAGCTCATCAAAACGTCTCACCAACATCGGACCAAGCAGTTTCGCTGCCATCTTCCGACACACCTATTGCTTTCACTTTGGCACCAAAGCCTTTGGCAGCGCCTCCGTACGCGCTGTCCTCTGGCGAGTCGCGCTTGGTTGTACGCACTTTGGCATAATACGCCATGCGAGAATCTGGTTCCTCGTCATCCGAGGCATTGGTATATGTTTCCCAATTCTCAGACCCAGACGCAGCAGAGTTTGACGTTTCGACAGACGAGGCATTTGACGTCTGACGGGACATTGCTGCTGGCGGCGGTGCGGAAGGGTATTCGAAGCGCGGCGATGGTCGTGGCGCAGCTGCTACATAGTGGTGTGTAGCTTGCGATGCAGGGCGCGATGAAGCGGTTGATTGGAATGTGCGTACTGAGCGCAACGAGCTGCGATCGTTGTAAGGGTCTTCGGGAGTCATGTGGCGAATAATGCTACCGCTGCGCTCGAAGGAGGTGTCGGCGTTGTTGATGGGGCAGGGGGTCTCTGGTGGCGAGAAGAAGTCGCGTGACATGGGCCGCGGTGGTGGAGGCATGCGACTACGAAGAGTGCTGCTGTCGGACTCTGTCCTGCAATGACCCAGGGGACCGGGAGGAGGCCGGCGTGCGGTGGAGTTGGCAGCTTGGAATACACTGGTCAGGGGTTGACGACCAGGGATCTTAGAAGGACTGCGGAGACTACCCGGACCGACCGAAGCTGCAAACGAGGAGTTAGATGACGAAGAAGATAAAGGAGGGCCCATGACAGACGAGGCCAAAGGATTGCGCGAGGCGGTGGGAGTCTTTGATCGAGGAGGACCACGTAGAGTCTGACCCTTGATAGCTGTTGTGGGTGCAGTCGCGGCTGCCGACTTGGGACGGACGGTCGAAGGTGGAATTGATGACGGAGTTTTTGAGCGGGGGGGTATCGAGGGAGTCTTTGCGCGCACCGAACCTTGTGCAGAAGCCCTCTGCGAAGTGGCCTCCAGCTCGTCCAGATAACGTTCGCCATGAACAAGGAAGGGGCGACCGTACTCTTCTTCCCACTCCTCAAGGATCTGACGCAGATCGCTCTCAACCTTTGGCAAGTCCTTGGCTATACGCTTGCGCATCTTTTCCTCGCGCAGAAGGCGTGTAGGGTCGCGCTTCTCGCCCTTCTGACCACGAAGCATCAGACGGGAGGCATCTTGCGATGAAGCAGCCAAGTCATCCCGGTCTTTTACAAGAGAGCGGTACTTGTCGACCATTGCTAGAGTGGGTGCACGTTGTTCCTTGAGAGCCTCGAGTCGAGCAATTTCTGCCTCGTGAGCCTCGAGCAGGGCATCCGAATAGACGTCTGCGGGACGGTTAGCCATTGGACCTTGCTCAGTCGCTGCTCAACTTACCTGAAAACGCCGGGGTGAACTCGAGCATCTCTTCCTCAGCGAAATAAAGGCCGTCCCAGAGTTCTTGCAGTTTGAATCTCGCATCTTCGACAAACAAATGCAGATTCTGCCGCTTCAGTTCGTTCAGACGAGCCAGCTCATCCTCGAATTCGTTGATGGCGCGCAGGCCACATCCTCTATTGCTGGCTAAGAATGGCTTTCGCTCGCTTTCGTCGACTCCAAGTTTGTCCCACAACGTAACAATATCCTCCTTCAGCTCTTCTACTCTGACTTCACGATTGCGCTTCTCAGCCAGTAGTTTCTCCTTCTTGCCTTTCAGCCTAGTGAGGTCATCCTGATGCAGGCCAAGTTGTTCGGGAGCATTGCGAGCGTGCTTAACAATCGTGCTGTCAACCTGTGCTTGTGGAGTGCCTAATTCTCCCCAAAGCATGATGATTTCTTCAGCTAGAGTCTGGACTGTGACCAGGCGCTTGTTGTACTCTTCATATACGCGCGTGAAGGCATTGTCCAGAGAATTGACATATGAGGGCGAGACATCGAACGAGGGTGGGATTTTGGAGTTGGGCGAAGTAGGAGGGAGCTTGATGGTGACGAACGAGGGTTCGAGGTGGGAAGCATAGGATTCGAGCGCTTCGGCAAGTTCTATCGATCGTGTCAGTGGAAAGAGCATGGAGATAGGAGCGTCCAATGCGCACTCTTGATCTGTTCGTAGCGCTCGCGATGGATCCTCGAGACGGTGGCATGTTTATCTTTGAGGGCGGTGATGCATTCGCGCAGAGGAAGAGTAATGTCGAGTTCCGAGTCCTGGTAGTCGCTGTCTCGCTGGGGCTTGTCGTCGACCAAAGCGGCCTCCATCTGGCGGATTGACTTGACCAACCGGCAGGCCTCTTCCGTCAAGTCATTCTTCTCTCTACCGGCGCGCGTCAGCACAGTCTCTTGTTTGAATGCGCGTGTTTTGACAAAATGGCCTACTTTGCGACTAGCTTGAGCTGGTTGTGTAATGTTTCGGAAAGAGCAGCGAAAAGCTCAGACTCTCGCGAGTCTCGCTCTTGGGCTGGCAGGCCAATGTCATCGAAGTAGGTATGCAGCTGGTTGATGATGGTCGTAACTTGGTGCGACAAATAGCCAGTGTCCATGTCGTCGTAGAAGGAAAGAGCTGCCGGCAGCGTGGGGGGAAAGAGCGAAGGACCAAGACGTCAAATGTCAGTGTTTAGGGCATGTAACAGCTCCTGCTGGGAGAACGAGTCTGGCGAGTCGGGGTTGCGCGCTGCGTTCACGCCAATGTCGGCAGTCTGGAGTAGCCGGGTAGCGTGCTTTGCGATGTAACGATTCGCTTCACCCAATTCTTCAATTGCGCCTGCTTGTCATGTAGAATTGCATCCAGTGTTCAGTCGTCTATCGCAAGGCAAGTTATCATCAATAGAGAGACGAAGAGAAAACAAGAGTTTGCAGTAGCCGTCGGCGCCAAACCACAAGCCAGTCCACTGTACTTAACAAGGAGAGTTCGTCTTTGTTGTCTGGTTCGCTGCCGTCGCGTTGCCCAGCAACCACCTTGCACAACCTCCACCAAACCACCCGGCCCTCCAACCATCAACCAACTTCTTGTCCCTCGCAGCATATATCCGGATCCTACATGGCTGTCTGCCGCCCCTTGCTAACTAATGCCTGAATCCGTATACCCTGCTCATTTGTCACCGCACTTTGACCTGCCCTCTGCATCTGTATCACCATGCCCGTGCAGCAAACCAGACGCCGCGGCAGAGGCGCAAATGACCCGTCCGTCATCAACACTCAGCTGTAGTCGGTCGCATCTACAGCTTGTGCGCACTGCAACTCTGTCGCTTGCCGACTTCAGGCCTTGAAAGAACACACCCATTCATCGCAACGAAGATGTCGGGAACAATCATGTTCCGTCGCTGGCTCAGACGGCTGTGTCTGACAGTTCTGCGACGGTATCTGCCGAGGGTACGACCCTCATGTCTGTGCCGATACTGAGGCACATAGCCCGACTAGACAGCTACTCCACTGGAGACACGTCCAGAAATCAACCTGCTATCCGTTTCCACCGTCACAGCGCTTGGATGTTGCTTTTCGACCATGCTCGCTCATGTTCACCTCATCGAGATTTACTTCTGTCTTCCTTACACCTGCTATCGGCCGTACGATGTGTTGAATCTCCAAGCGTACTCTACATACCGTTCTGGCTCAAGTACCATGGTGATGGCCAATCGCTTCCCGCGATCGACTGTGCTGAGTGTCGAGTCGTGGTCTCGCAATCATGCGCGTCGCATATGCAAACTCAACATTCCATACCAGCTGCAAGCCTTAGCCTTAGTCTTACTCCACAGTCGTACGCGTCTTTGCCTAGACACTAAATGATTTCGCTGATAGAGACCCGCGATCGTAGAAAGTAGGTTGGTATGATCATTTTCGAAAGCGCATTGAGACAGACTTCACGTCATGCAAAGCCCACTCTTGCGTGATCATCACCAAGTCTGCTGAGCCCAGTAAGTGTTCGTCGCCACATCTTCAGGCTACCCTGACATAGCGGACTGAAGATGCACAGCCCTTTTACCTATTGCAGGCCATGTACTGCTGGTCTGTGGCTCCACCGCACTCTTCACACTTTCTCGCTTTAGCAGTTGACGTTAGTGGGCCTGTGAAGGATCCGAGATTGTCCTTGCGAAATGGCAACCTGCGGTTTACCTTGCATGTCTAGTCGTTAAGCAACAACGATAGTGGATTCTTGCACCGTGGAAGATCTCAGTCGGTGTATAGAGCGAGTGGTTGAACTTTGCGGCGCCTGCTTGGACCCGAGGAAGAGAAGTTCCCTTGTCATCCGCGCTGGTCTGAGTCGATGTATGACAGATGTTGTACATTGGAGGACCTTCCAGCGCTGGTCGATGATCAGTTCCGGTCCATCTTTGACAGTCCGAGTCGAAAGCACCGGCAGAAACTCCTACCAGCACCGAGCCTATCATGCACATTGCGCGTCACTACGCAGTACTTCTAAAACTCGAGCTTGTCCGTAGCTCTGGCTTTGCAAGCCTTTCTTGGATATGACTCCACCAGTCTCCAGACTATCGCGCACTACGTTGGTCATGACCAGCGCAGTGCGGTGAACGCAGACCAGCTAACCAATCCTTACGCAGAAACGCCAATACTGGTCTCATGACGTTGGTTGCTCATCAACATCGCGGTTGAGGAGACTGACTACGCGTATTCTCTTTGTTGAGGTCGTTGGTATGCCGCTGGACGATCTCTCACGCCATTGTGTGTGTGTGTGTGTGGTAAGGTTTGAAATCGAGACGATAGATGCAGATGTTGAAGAGCAAAGATTTCTCGCACTTCGATGCGACTGACCGATGTTTCGTCTTATCAACGGTTCACCTCAACGATATACAGTTATCTTATAGGATCTACTCTGGATCTACCCATTGCAGCTCAAGATAACCGGTTCCAAGGTCCGTGCAAGATTGTTCGCTGGAAGTTGCCAGCCGTACGTACGAGTGCAATCAAAAGTCGTGGTTGCTGGGATTGTTCGCGGAGTCATGGACCTTGATGTTTCATATCCTGGTTGACACACAAGCCATGTGGTTATCCGTTGCTGCAATGCTGCTCCACTCTGCACTTCCGATCTGATTTCGGAGCAGCGGGATCTCTGTATCCCTGTCATCTGTCGAGACTCGACCCACCGACTCTCCAACACTGTCAGTTGTCAGTCGTCACAGACGTCACTCCGACCGAGTGGTCGATGGTCGCAAGTTCCAGGCCGGTCGCACAGCAAACAAGTCAAACTGCCATGATAGATTTAGCATAGTGCTTCCAAGACAATAGAATCCTGCAAGTGAAGATTGCATTCTGTATTCGATAAATCGTATATTGTTTGCTACCCTATTGTTTTCGTGCATACGATGCCCGTGTGCCAAAAGTTTGTCGCAAGCTCGCATATCGACGGGCTTGGCTTGGCAGCTCGCCTTGATTATGCAGGGGACGATCGCAACAAAGACATCAAGGTCGACTTCTCGCACGTATGAAATTACTGATCTTCACTCTGCTGTTTGGTTGACTGACAGTGAGAGCATCGACTTCTCACCATTAGCCAACCCCTTTTCAGCCTTGTGTCGATGCGCATGTGCCTATGACAGCATTCGCACGAGCAGCGTAGAACGCCTCGAAAGAGACTTTCAGACCTTGACTGCATGGACAAGATCAGAGTTATCTGCAAACCACGCCGATAGGTATGCCGTTCTACAGCGCGGCGCTGCAGGCTGAGACAGAGGAACTTTGGCAACGGGCTTCCCGACATGACGTTACATCGTTTTGTCTCTGCTATCCACACGATTTCATCAACGGCAATCACGACTTTCTGATGGATCGCGCAAATGGCTGCAAATTGGGTGCGACATGTAGAATGTGCCACTGAGATAGGAGCCGCCTAAGCTACTTCTGTTATACTCCACTATCGAATGCTGATTAGACTCACCTGTGTCTCTGCGGCACAAGCACTCAGGATGCAGGTGCATATTCGCTAGTGTGCGAACCTTAGGCAATCAAGAATCGCGAAAATTCTACGGCCGGTCGAAGCGAATCTGCCTTCTCGACTCGAATTCGCACCGTTATCTCTCAAAGATAGCCGACCAGCTTTGTTCAGGCTCAGCTCGTCGTGGCAGCTGAAGACTGTAATTGCTGCCTCCCTTGTCTCGTGATAATTTGATAGAAAGCTAGAAGCGCCAGCTGCGCCGGTCTCATCTGGCCCAGTGGTCTTCCAGCTTCAGCTCAGCTGCCTCTCTCGAAGACGAGCAAATGTTATGCACGGTACCTTGCAGGCTAGCTCGCGGGCAAGGCCGCACGGACAACGGACTAGCCGCCGAGCGAACGCAAAAAAGGGTGCTCGACCGCGGTTGATCTTAATTCGGCGAGTAGGACGTAAACACTCCGGCGCTTCCACGCTTTACGACCAGGTTTTTGCGACGCTCATCTTTCTGCCCTCGGGTTTCTGCAGGGATAAAAACCTCGAGTTGATCAGAATCTACACTGGTCGTGCTGCAGCTCACTTACTTCGGCTAAATTTGGAACTTCGCGACCCTAAATTTTGCCGTATTATTGACTCCAGGCCAGCGATATCAGCTCCTCTAGCCTCACGTGTAGAGAGAGCCACGGGGATGTCGTTAAGGTTAGCCTCAACTGTATGAGGCACGGACGTGCACTCCAGGTGCTCGAAACGGCTTCGGCGTGGCCATTTACTAGTCAAGCTCGGCAGTCTTCCGTTTATACATTTCAGCAGCTCAACCCAGCTGCAGGCTCTGCAGCTCGCACTAAAGGCTGGAAGATTTGGTTGATGCCCAGCTCTCTGATCAGTTGCCTGATTTGATATCACTTTGACCATTGGATCTGCACAGCACTTTAGTCTGCTCGGATTGGGACCCACGCTCCTCAAACGTTCTAGCACACGTTCTCCCTCATGCTTGTTTTCCACACGTTCCCCACTAAAGATAGCCATGTCTCAAGCGTCCTTACGGCCTCAGCTGCAGCCTGCGATCATGTCAAGCGAGTCAACGGCGTAAGGTTTGGGTTGACTGGCAAGGAACCGTTGAAGTGGGTGGTGTACCGAGCCAACGTGCGTGGCATCATCATGGAATTGTTCTATTCATCCCTTTATACATATAGGCTCTTCGTACGCCTCTCGTGGCTGGTCACTGTATCCCCTTTCCTGTTCATCCTCCCTCTATTTACCAGGCCCTGTGCTTGAAGTGTCTGTCGTTTCTCACGTTACATCACCCAACATGGACAGGACAGCAATCGCCAACTATGTTTTCGAACACACATCAATAATCACAAGTCATCAAGAGGCTGCTCTATCTAATTGTTTGGATGCTGCTTTGAACAACCCTCATATTAGCAAAGTCGACCTTCTTGCCTCGATACCGTTATCTAGCAACACTGCTCTCGCCTCATTACGACTACTCACATCCTTACTAGCCACACTCCCTGGATCGTGGCCGACGTTCGATCTTTCATGCTGTTTCTCAAGGTTATGGAACCTCCTGCCAGAGGATGTGAAATCTGGTAAAGACACACAACACAGTGCTCTATTAGACACATTATCACGACAGATGAAGAGCACGTATTCCGATGTCTGCTCTTTGCTACCCGAATCAGAAACACCGGCAATCTATGGCGCATTGTCTTCAAATCCATTAAGTCACAGAAGGTTGCACCGCTTCGTGAGGAACTTTAGTCTGCCCTCCAAGAAGACTTCTGGATCTAGAACAGTCGTTGCGTTGGCTCTACCTAACGGCCCGGTACTCGGACTGGCCCTTCTCGCCACTGCAACCTACTACACAGCAGCACCCGTAACAGTGGCCTCAGGACCGGAGCAGTTCCAGAGCGATGTTATGCAGGCAGGAGCTAGCATAGTACTAGTCACTAAACCGGATGTGCAGAGACTTGGATTGGATGGTGCCTGGATCCGCGAGGCTGGTATCGAAGTAATCCTGGTTGAGTCCAAGGAAGACTCAACTTTTGACATGACATATAGCAATGGATCTCCTGCTATTGCCAGTTCAAAGTCTACACCCAACGGATCTGACGACATCGCACTCGTACTATTCACATCGGGCACTTCTGGCAAGAAGAAGGTTGTCCCTTACACCGTACACACCATCATTTCTGGCGTAGGGTTCGTCATTGAGTCATGGGGACTAACCAAGGACGATATCTGCATCAACATGATGCCCCTATTCCACGTTGGTGGTATCGTCAGAAATCTGTTCGCTCCTATCATGGCCGGTGGCTCCACAATTTGCTGCCCAGCATTCGATGCCAACCTGTTTTGGGACGTGGTAGAAGACCTACAACCGACCTGGTACTACGCGTCACCTTCGATGCACTCCGTCATCCTAGAGGAGGGCCGCAATCGTCCTACGGCACTGCAGAACAGCAAGATGAGACTGATCTGCAACGCAGCCGGTGGTCTTCTGCCCTCACTTGCAATCACACTACGAGACACTTTCGACTGTATTGTCCTTCCCAGTTACGGTATGACAGAATGCATGCCGATCTCAAGTCCGCCTCTCAACTATCAGCTGGATAGATCTGGCACTTCTGGTATCAGCGTCGGCCCAGACATGGCCATTCTCGATGGCAACGACAACAGGCTCCCCATTAACACAGTCGGCCATATCGCCGTAAGAGGTGCACCTGTATTTGGTGGATATCTCAAAGATAACGATGTACTTGACACCTCATGCTTCACCGTCGATGGCTGGTTTGATACTGGTGACATGGGGTATCTGGATGCAGACGGATACCTTTACGTGACTGGTAGAAGCAAGGAAGTCATCAACAGAGGTGGCGAGCTGATCTCACCTTTCGAGATCGAGGAAGCTGTTGTCACTGCTGCTAAGCGTCCAGGAAACCCTCTTTTCGGCCGTGTCTCCACAGCTCTGGCCTTCTCCATGCCTCACGACGTTCTGCAGGAAGTCCCTGGCGTGGTTCTTGTTACTCCAATTGGTGCTCGTCGCGCCGACATCAAGACCGTTCAAGAGGCCCTGAAAGACTCCTTGAGCCAAGTCAAGTGGCCCAGCTATATTGTCTACATGGATGATCTCCCCAAGAACAATAACAAGGTCCTTCGCATCAAGCTTGCAGAGCGTCTTGGTTTGAGCGAAATCACGGACATGACGCCTCTGGCAGACCGCCACTTCGAAGCAGTCTGCCCTCCCGTAAACACCCCTCTCAGCACTCGTATTGGCGGTTCAGTGTGTTCATTCGATGCAGCTTTTGTGTCCCGAAAGCTGTCGTCCGTCTTCGGCATGGACATCGACATTGCTGTGAGAAAGGCATCTCACGATGGCTACCCGGAGGCTTTCCTCGCCCCTCGCAAGAACTCTACCATCACACCCGTCATGTCAAGCTACCCCAGCTTCGATTCTCTCCTTCGTGCCGAGCTCGATGGTTACAATATCCCTAGCAAGCTCCATTGCCTAGACGTGCCTCTACCTAGAGACAGAGAGGGCTCCCTTGACACTGCTCAATTAGAGACACTGATCGAAGCTGGACCTGATGAAATTGATGGCGACATGACCGCGACCGAAGCCAAGATTGCTGAAGTCTTTGTCCGTATCCTTTCGTGTGCCGCTTCCGAGCTTACTCCTGAGTCGGACTTCTTCGCTCTAGGTGGTGACAGTCTTCGTGCCGGTCGCCTGTTGTCTGAGCTTCGCAAAGAGTTCAAGGTCCGCCTGCCCATCGACCTGCTCTTTGTACACAGCAAGATCAGCGCCCTGGCAATGAATATCGACGACATGCGTGGTCCTACCGACGAGAAGCATAGCGCTGCTGAAGTCGAGCAGGCCCCTGTAAACCTTGGCTGCGAGAAGACATACAGCTCCACCAATCCCCTCGTCCTCTTGATCCAGCTTTTCCCTATCGGCTTGCTGTATCCTATGAAGCGTGCCTTGACTTGGACATGCTTCATGTACATGCTCAGCGCTACTCGTGACTGGGTCACTTCGACTAGACTGATTGGCCGTCTCTTCAACTTGATGCTCTCTCTTGGTATCGCAAAGGCAATCACTCTGATTGTCTGCCCTATCCTTGCCATCTGCCTAAAGTGGATCATCATGGGCACTTATAAGGAAGGCATGTATCCTATGTGGGGTCCGTACCATACACGCTGGTGGGTCACCGACAAGATCATCACTATCCTTGGAAAGGGTGTCTTCGGACAGTCCGAACTCAGCACTATTTGGTACTACCGTCTCATGGGTGCAAAGATCGGCAAGGGTGTCAAGATCGCGAAGCGTGCCATTATTCGCGAATTCGATCTCGTCACTCTCGAAGATGGAGCAAACTTGGACCCGTGTATCTGCAGAGGCTTTGGTGCTGAGCAGAACACCAGCATGTTCCTTGGCCATGTTCGTGTAGGCAAGGCAGCAAGTGTCGGTCTGGCATCCATCGTCGCGCCTGGAACCTCAGTGCCTGACAATGCATGCATTGGTCCCAACTCCTCCAGCTGGGAGACCGATGACGCAAGCGAAGAGTTCCGTGATCTGTCTTCCAGCAAGATTCCTGGCGCTCACCCTGTCCTGTCTTTCTTGTTGATCACTCCCATCTCGCTGCTTGTCACGCTTTGCAAGAGCGGTCCTTGGATTGGTGGTCTCGTCGGTCTGGTCCTCACGCGACCAAAGCCCAGTGCGGACAAGGTTCAGTCGATTATTTTGTGGTTTGCCGTTCCCCATCGTATCGGTTGGCACTTCGCCGCAAAGATCTTCGGTGCTGGCGCAGCTCCTCTGGCATGGTTCGTTGCCGTTTGGACAATCAAGAAAGTTTTGGACATGAGCATCGGTAAACTTACCCCAGGCCCGGCCCAGTCCAGATCCCAGGCTCAGCGTTTCCGAATGGCCGTGCTCAAAACCATCGCACCACCTGCCGCTTTCCACAAGCTTACTGAGCTATTTGGTGGTCACTACGAGGCTACGTCAGTATTCTATCGTGCAATGGGTGCCAAGGTTGGACAACGTGTCTATTGGCCAGGAACTGGACCTTCGTTCCAAGATTTCGACCTTCTCGACATTGGCAGTGACATTGTCTTCGGGTCTCGCTCTCATCTTGTCACCTCCGATGGTACTGGCAGTGATTACGTCCGTGTTCAGGATGGTGCTATGATCTCGGACCGTGTGGTGCTCCTGCCCGGTGTCACCGTTGGCAAGAAGAGTGTTCTGGGTAGCGGTGCCTTGACTCGCAGAAACAAGTACTACGAGCAGGAGACCGTATGGGTTGGAAGCAAGGCCGGCGAGGCCGTCTGCCTCAGTGGCAGCAAGCGCCCTACTACCTCGGATACTGACGACGTGCAGCACGGCATGCCCGGCTTGAACAGCACAACCAACTCCAGCAGTGTTACTCTGAACGTGAAGCAGAAGGCGGATTACGAGAAGGCAATCCAGGAAGGTGTGCTTAGTAGCAGCTCATCGATGACAATGGTGGAGAGGGAAAAAGCATCCGCGTCATCGTCGCCTTTCGGTCGTGCCTTCTACGATGGCCAAGCACCCTACCACGTTTTCGGCCCCTGGACCATCTTCCTCTACTCGACCTTCACAACCATCTTCGTCTCTTTCTACTGGAACATTTCTTCCATCGGCGCTCTGCAACTTGTCGCTAAGCTGATCAAGACATCGGACCCCGTCTCTCAACCCGACACCCCCTTCCGCCCCGTACTCATCTTCGCCCTCTTTGCCGCCTTCATCGCCGTCCTCCACACTTTCCAGGCCATTCTCGCTTTGGCCATGGTCGTCGCTGCCAAGTGGATCTTGCTTGGTAAACGCCAGGTTGGTAACTACGACTGGGACAAGAGCAGCTACTGTCAACGTTGGCAGTTGTTCCTCACAATCGAGAAGATCCGTCGCCAGTGCTACGGTGGCGCCGGTGTTGTTGGTCTCCTTACCGGCTCTCACTACGCCGTCATGTACTTCCGCGCCCTCGGTGCTACTATTGGAAAAGATTGTTCCCTCTTCTCAGGTGGTCTGCCTTCGCTCATGTTCACCGAGCCTGATCTCCTCACCCTTGGTGACCGTGTTGCCGTCGACGATGCATCCCTGGTCTCTCACATCAACTCTCGTGGTGTCTTCAATCTGAACCCTCTGATTGTTGGTGACCGCAGCGTCTTGAGAAGCGGCTCTAGATTGCTGTCCGGTGCCAACATGGGTCAAGACGCTACCCTGCTCGAGCACACTCTCGTCATGGCTGGTGATATCGTCGACGATGGAATCACTTACCAAGGCTGGCCCGCTGAGGGCTTCGAAGGCCTCCGTGCACCTCTTCGCAAGGGTCCTGTCACCTTTGTGGCCGAGGCCTAAGACACTCTCTCCCACTTTTTCGTTTTCATTTCCTATTTTGTTATATGCGTTTCTCGCCTTTCACAGGCTTATACCCTCACGCACACGTCGCTTTCCATTTTGTATCTTCTTTAGCGAACCACAGCCTGTTTTCTTTTTGTCAATACAACACATCATGTGTCATCTCATAGCCAGTTGTCTTGGGTCGCTTTTGAGCGTTGGGTGTTTACATATAGAGTGGCCATCATATAGATCAATATCACGAACTGTTCATACTTCAACAAGATCCAAGTATCTGTTCAATTGTCTTGTGCTTGTCAATTGGCACGCTTAACATAACTAAAGCGCTCATAAAGATCGTAAACATGTACTTTATTATCCTACAATTTGCTCTATGGTCATGCTCTTACTTTTCATCATCTGTATCCACAGAATGACCCAACTTTGCATCAATAAATGCCCGCATAGCTCCTCCATGCTTTGCGAGTGTCCACACCAGAACTCCACCAGTAATGCACAAAACAACGCCTATCGTAGCAGCAAGCCCAATGCCTATTGAGTCGATCAAAGGCACAATCGCTGCATTACCAGACGCGCCAAAGATGTATTGGATAAAGTATTTGGAGGCAATGACTGCAGTTCGTTGCTCTGGTATCGCTTCTGTGGAGGTATCGTCAGCGGTGTGTATGTAGCTCTGAGACGAGAGTACTTGCCAGCACAATACGTATTCAGCGAACTAAAAGCAGCCATAAGACCCGCGCCCGTGAAGAAGGCGGCCACAATGGCAAGACCCAGACCTCCAACGTTGTATTGTAGGCACCATCCGTAGATCAATTGAGAAGCAGGGACAATGAAAAAGAAGGCGATGAGACCACTGTTGAGTCTGTCTTGTGGTACTCGTTTTCCTCCACGCTCAATGGTCTTTTTGGCCAATGTCATGTCTGAGAAACGGCCTCCTGCCACAGAACCTAATAGGAAGCCAGCTCCAGGTGCAATGTAGAAGAGGCCAGAGACGAGGGGAGATGTGAGATCGAAGCGAGGGTTGATCAAGTGGCGAGGCGCGGCTAAGAGGGAGTATTGCGTCCATGCGAGGAGACCGCAGGCGAGATCCTAGTATAACTTGTCAGCAAAATGTAGCTAATAGACGTCAGGATAGTAAACATACCGCGAAAAAGACATTAGGATAGATGAGCAAGGTAAAAACTTTGAGCATCTCCACCTGCGACTTGGCCCAGAGTTTGAAGCTGGGCTTCTCGTTGGTCTGGTGTGGCTGGGCGATGGACGGAATGAAGAACAAAGACAGGGCAAGACCGAATCCTACCATCCCAGTCTGTACCCAGAAGATTATCCGCCATGAGGCGAACGACACGATGATACCGCCGACCAAAGGGCCAAGTGCGGGTCCAAGATTTGAACCAACCATGAAAAATCCATTAGCTGTGCCTCTTCTTCTCGGATCAAAGATATCGGCTATGATGGTTTGGCCTACAAAAGATGTTAGCTTGTCCGTCTGGTTAACATGTCTGAGGTGAGGTTATGCATACCGGCAACCATATTAAAAGTACCTTGAAATCCAGCAAGAACTCTCATAGCCGTAAACATAGCCATGTTGATCGACAACGCAGTGCCAATTGAGCACAAGAACAAAACAGCGATAGCACTATTGTATGCCGTCCGCCTTCCCAGCGTCCTCGCTATCGGTGCCCAGATAAAACTAGACGAGCCCATGGCAAGCAGTACTCCAGCATTGGTAACGTTGATATGTTCTGCCGTAGTCCCAAACTCTGCTGCTATCTCCGGTGTCGCTGGGTATAGACATGTACTCGAGAATGTTGCAGCCAGGCACATGAAACTGACAGTGAAGAGAATGACGAATTTGTGCCAACTTGGCAAATCTGTTCCGGTCTTGAAAGTCTCCTTGGCTATCGGCGGTGGTGTAGTGGATGACCCCATGATGTGTAAATTGTCCAGATATCAGACAGGAGTCGTTGTCTCATTGATTGGCAGTGGAACAGTCGACTTGAAACGATTTATGACAAGAAGAAGAGCGCATATGAAAGCAGGTATAGTTAGATGTATACCCAAGAGTCAGAGACATGATCTACGTCAATGTAGGAAAGAGATCCCATTATTTGCGGTAAAATGTTCAACACCCCGAAAGATCGGAGGGCAAAAGAGGTTTTACCAAGCAGCGACTTCGCCCATTTTCTCCGAGAGGAGCGCCGACTCGGCTACGTCTTGCCGGAACCCTTCGCGGCGTATAGCAACACACCTGCGTATGCATAACCGTAGCAGTTTTAATACAGCAGACTCGTTCATACTTCGAAGGAAATGTCGCAATGGTAGTAGTTGTGCTTTGCGCGGTGCGAGGATGGCGGGTCGGCAGAACAGTACTTTCCCATTCGTGACGACCGGCAACAGTCAGCTCGGCATCGGTGAAGATCTTGCCGAACAACCTGGGAGCTTCTGATCCTGACTCTTGCCTCTAGACTTGATTCTCACACGAGACAGAAAGCGATCCACGTTCCCTGCAGAGCCGAATCGTCACTGATAGCGTGTAGCGTGACCGTCTTCATTCTTCGGCAACCATACTGTCATTTTTTGGACACACAATGTACATGAGCTTGAATCATGGTGTCAGAGAAATATACGAGGCAAGCCTCCAGGTTGAATTATTTTACATAGAAAATCCCGAGTGGGCTAGAAGAGAAAAGAAATGGAAAGGGGTATCTAAGAGCAAACAAGTAAAGGCATTAAACGAATGACTGGATGCGTTTCGACCGAGGAGAAAGTGCTGTAGCTTAGGAATGGTAATAGGCAGCATTATCCTGTGCTGCCCTGATCCGTCGTCGAAGGCATGTGGATCTGTGTTCCCAAGAACTAAGACTAAACAGACTTCCATGCTTGGTAGTAAGTGGTGAGCACTGCGACCGATGTATTAGCTTTCAAGTGTCCACTCAAAACAAACCGCGCAGACGACTGGCTATGACTTACGAGACAGTAGTTGACGCTGCGACATGGCATCTTCGCTGGCACACTGTATTGAACCTTCTCCTTGAACAAGATCGCATATCACACTGTGTGGCATCTCCTGTCGGTCGAGGTCAGGTATAAAAGGAGCACTGATATCCTTCAGATGGAATTTCGAATTGAATGGTCTGTGAACGTTGCTGTGACGAGCAGCTGCAGTGAAGATGATGTGGCCGGTGCTATCAATCTCAATCCAGCGTCGCTTCCAAAGCATGGCGTCTGGGAATTGAACATTGAAATCTCCAATTGAGACAGGAGGAGGGACGTCGGCGATGGAATCCGGACGGGGTTTAGGGGTCGAGATTGCAGAAACAGCTGGATTGGGAGCGACAATTGGAGCAGGTGCAAGTTCAGACCCTGGTGCCGGGATAAGTTCCGGAATCGAGGTGATGGCTGCAGGACTGGTTGGGCCCGATTGGGAGATAGATGTAGGGGACATGGGCTCAGAGGGCGTAGTAGTGATCGTAGGCACCTGAGGCGGGCTCTTCTTCTTGTCCTTACCAAGATGAGAGATGCGCTTGAAGAACCGGCTAGTACGGCTCGACTTATCAGGGCTGGTCTCAATAGGCGGCATTGTCATGCTCTGCTTGAGTGCGTTCTTCTTTGGGCTCGTGGGACCGGTCAGACTCTTGAACGATTTGCGGTCGAATGACTTGCGTTTGCTGGTTGCGTTCGTCTCTACAGAGCCACGCGAAGCCATGCCGTCTCTGCTCGCAGGGGACATAACACTGTCATGTTCCCCTTGTGAGAGCTTAGATGAGAAGCCGTTTGTGATGATAGGGGCAGGGGTAACGCGGCTGGCCGTTGCAGGACGCTGGTGGTTGAAAAGCAAAGGAGAGGCCTGCAGTTTTGACGCGTTGGCGGGTTCTCCTGCACGGGGAACGCGAACAATGCGTGCAGTGACCGAAACCGAGTCGCGATTGCCCGGCTGAGCAGTGCGAGTCTTCAAGTTTGAAGGGTTAGATGGTGTCGCAGCAGGCCAAACAGACAACTTTCCAACATATCTCTTCTCGGCACCACCACTAGTCTGGTTGTCGGCTGACTGGTCGATGTAAGAGCTCTTGCGCTGTGCTATGGTAGAATTCGCAGACAGCTTGCGAGATCCAGGCACCACAGGTGGACTCCCCTCGCGTGTTGAGGATTCGGCGAGTGCTGCAATTCTAGCAGATATACCAGAAGACACGTTTGACTTGCGCATGAGTGGCCCGGAATCTGTGGTCCTGACCGATGAGACTGATGGTGTTCTGGTCGGCAGTACAGACTGAGGTTCCGAAGGAAGCAATAATTCAGGAGCGATTTGGCGCTTTTCCAAGGTGTCGCTAACAGAAGGTACGATGGGGACAGATTCTGTCGAGACTGCAGTAGTGGCCGAGTTGGACGACTTGGCTGAACGGGAACTGGGACGTCTTGGAGGGAAGAACGGGCTTGCGGGCGATTTAGACATGGCAATAGGCGTCGCCTGCTCGAACGTGGCGGTCTGTAGCTCGTCCATGAAATCGTCGTCCGAGAGGAACTTGTGCTCTGAAGTGTGGCGTTCTAGACGTACTTGAATCTGCAAGGGTTCCAGCAAACCGCGACGACGCTTCTTATTTGGGTCTTCAGCGCTAAATTCGGTTTCTGGCTGGAAACTGTCTCGCTCCCTAGGAGAGTCCTTGGAGGGGATGTGGATCGAGTCTTGAGAGGCCTCTGGCTGAGAATCACGATGGGAAATTGTAGGCTCTGCAGGTCGTTCGAGCTTTTGAACCGCCACTGTATCGTCCTGAGAGTCACGATCTTGTACTTCAGTGACGGTGGAACCGTCAACAAGTGAGTGTTGAATGCCACCAGCCTCTGCGCTTGGACCGTGCACGACAATGGTGTCCTCGTTCTGAGTGAGAGAGTCAATTGTAATAGTATTCGGTGATTCTTCTTCGTTCAGCGTTGGCTCTGGCTCGACGTGTGTTGATATCGCAGTAGTGTTTTCCATATTCGTATCAAGAGTCGTCGCCTCGCTGACACTAGGCATGATAGAGTTTGCGGGAGGAGTGTCTGCTTGTTCATTGTCAGAACCCAGTCCAGCGACAGGTTGTACTGATGGTATCTCCGTCACTGGATCCAGCTCCTCTGGCGAAAGAGGCGTCTGAACCTCCTTGGCGATGGAGCTATGCGCAATGTCAATACCGGAGTCTGCCTTATTTGCGCCCGAATTCTGCGGCATCTCCTGCGCCTGAACTCGCGCAGGATCCACGGATGCTGGACTAGTGACATTCGCAGCGGCCGACTGAGACATCGACTCTACAGGAGCCGAGGCTTTCGTTTGTTTCTTCCTCATCTCCAGCGCTTTCATAAGTCGCTGCTTGTCAGGAGTCAGAAATGTTTTGGATGCTCGGGGAGCTGGTAACGAGCGAGAGCTTCCTCTTGAATTAGGTCGTGGTGGTAAAAACTCGGGGATGTCGGGGATTTGGGGTGAGAAATGAAGTGAAGGTAGCCTCGGCGGCGCCGTGGTACCCGAAGGAGCGTGATCCGTAAGTCGACTGCGAGATACGGGATAATGTGGTTGCGGCTGTGCCAGAGGTTGCTTTGTCCTAAATTGAACTCCAGCAGGAAGGCTCGACACGGGGGCGGATGCTGTCGTGTGCCTACCCTTTTCAACAACGTTCACTGGACGCGGGCCAAGCTTGACCTTTGGCTTGAAGAACGAATCGAGATACCGCTCCAAATCGTAGTCAGCCGACTCATTGGCAGGCGTCCGTGTAGGAGAGGCTAATGGAAGGGCAGATTCTGTACGCGTGCTGAGTATCGACGCGGCGTCGTCCTTGATCGAGGCGTTGTCTTCGTTTGTCGGATATCCATTCAGCTGTGTGACTGATTTATGCCCTAGCTCTTCCCGGACCAGAAACTGCGATAGAGATGACTTGTGCTTTAACACAGGCGAATGCTCGCCGCTGAACTGGGCACTCGTGAAGGACGGAGCGCGGTAAGAACGCTGGGAAGGCGGCCGCTTTTCAAGCGTAGGTCTTCGACCCGACACCGACGAGATGGACGGAGTGTGGGTAAGCGGCCTAGGGGCGTCGCCATCCTCGTTGTCTTCGGTGATCTCATTCAATTGATTGCTGGACAGTGCGGGTGAGGCGGTGTGAAGAGGAAAGGCCGCTGCTAGAGCCGTGTCGTTCAGCCCTTCGGCCGTCCCAATCTCGAGCATCGTCTCGTACGGCGCCCATTTGTCCTGGACGTCCCGGAGGTGTACCGTCGTCCGCGCTGTATTTCTCCCGGTCAGCGATTGATCTGCGCCGGCTCTGGTGGCCAATTCGTACCTTGCAATAGTCGCGATGTTCCTTCGGGCACATATTTGACGAGCACCTTTCGGCGCCTGTAAACCACCAGCCCATACAGAGGCGACAGTTCCTCATACTGCAGGATGACCGTTCTTGCTTCGCTCAGGCCCGCTTGCCCACTGCCAAGCAGGGCTACCTCGTCGCGAGAGACGTATTTCAAGAGAAACCATCCCCCAGCTTCGCTCAATGTAGCCTGATAGGCTTGCTGCACTTCTGGTACATCCAGTCCGTTTAGAGACATGGTTGCCAGTCGTCGCCGGACCGTCTTCTGACTTTACGAGACCTTATGCCCTTGCTGCAGAGGAGATTCAGGGGCTTTAATTCCAGAAGCGCGTGTGACCGTGTCTCGCGCGAATTTCGAGTTGAGTGAGCCCCTTTCTGGCGACCAGCATTATTGTGCTCTGGTGATGTTTGTCGCCATCAGACTCGAAATACAGGACTGCTCTATTATACATACTTATCCACCCTTTGCTCACGCCTCAACCAAACTTTGCCAGCAACACGAATCGGATTGATCGTCGTATGCCTCATCTAGGGATTTCCCACATTTCCGTAGCCCCTCGGTAAGTTGCAGCATTGATTGGCTCACCCTGACTTTGTGTGGCAGCGCCTAGGCCAATCTTGCCTCCGGACAGAAAATCACCACACATCATCATTGAAGCTGAACCACGGAAACTTCTCAGAAACAAACCTACTCCATGGGCTTCTTACTGTATGCATGCAGCATGTTGTGCATCTTGTTGTTCGCTGGTACGCTCTGGAATCTACGTTTCAACAAAGCCTCCGTGAGACCCACGATCGGCACAACGGCTGCCGCTTCTGTATCCTCACCCTTTCGAAATTGGTATGGCTTCAGCCTCTAGAGTCCTAACTCATCAGTCTGCCGTGTGCCGAACACCTGAATATCATATCTTCCCAGCCGTTCGCCTATCTTGGCCGCACAAGACAAGATCTGAGTTGGTTTAACCTTTGTTTAGATCGTTCACTGCGCATGGCTCCAGGCGTCTAGTCCGAGCTCTATCTGACTGGAGGAAGCCTAGCATTGTTCGCAGAGATCTATCAGGAGAATCTAGCAGTGGTGGTACCCCAAAAGACCTGCAAAGAATTGTACACGATACGATCAAGGCACAAGACATGGAGACTGTGATACGGTCAGTGAAGACTCGCTTCTGTGGCACTCTCTGCTCATGTACGTCAGTAGCACTTTGAATATGTTGTGATAACGAATGGTGTCTTCGAACAGAGATGATATCCGTCTAAAATGTGCTACTACAATCATCCACCCGCGGCGGCTCAGAGCGACAGATGAGCTTACGAGATATCGTTCAGGTTAAGCTCAATGATGCCGGTCAAAGACGGCTCCCAACAGGCGTTCCTCCTTCTCTCGGGAGTATTGTGCATCTTTGCTATCACGCATAGCAAACTGACTGCAGCGAGCGAGGAGGAGGAAAACATACTGGAAGATCGTTGCGTAGTCCATAGCTGAGTTGTTAACAACCCCTTCTGATGAGTAAGAAAAGCGACTGAAAACGCAAGGGCATCTGTGTGGTAGTTGACAACTCGAAGCATGAAAGACCAAAGGAACACAGAGGCTCTGTTTCATCAAAACCTTCACGTATGGAAAATACATAGTGCATATGTAGAGCTCAGTAGATGCACCGTTTTTATCCGGTGGGAGTGCCGGGGTAAGTGTGGGTCTCTACACTACAACTCTAATCATTGATTCGACGCAAACGTTCCGTCTTTGTATATCTCAAGCTTCAACATGTCCGATCTGCCATCCATCTCGTCCCTGCCGTCACTGTCTGCTGAGCAGAGGGCAGATATTCTCGACCTACTGTTCGAACCCAGCACCCCCCTCCATACGCTGTCGGTGGAGCTGCTGCGTAACCGAACATTTGCATCGTACAATGACCTTATCGCGACTGTCGGCGTACAGCTGACCGAGCTCTCCGAGTCATCTTCGGCCAGTGACACCAAATGGCTGGAAAGCATACTGGGATCACACCCTAGACTTGGTGCAAAGAAAGTCGAGAGTGCTCAGAGCCAAGCAGAACAGGCACAACTCAACACTGGCGGTGAAGAGGAAGCTGCCAGACTGCGCGACCTCAACGAAGAGTACGAAAAGACGTACCCTGGACTGAGATATGTTGTTTTCGTCAACGGTCGTAGTAGACCCGTCATTATGGAGGACATGAAACGGAGAATTGCTGCTGGAGACATTGCCGCGGAGCGAGCAGCCGCGATTAAGGCATGAGTTAACATCACGTTATGTATCAAGCCATGCTGACCGAAAATCCAGGCCATGTGTGAGATTGCTGCGGATCGCGCGAGCAAGTTGCAGAAAGCATGATCGACCACGATATTGTTCTCCGGGTCTGGTGTATCGCTGAGAGTAGCACATTTGTGAGAAACACTGCATCGCTCTGCATCGCTCTGCATCGCTCTGATGGACATTGACACACTGCCCGACCCTTCCGACATGCGAGCTCTCTGCCTGTTTCCTTCATGGTTCCATCGGACCTAGCTAGAACTTGTGTTTAGAGCGGATGGGCAATATTATCGACGTGCTTGGCTCGAGGAGCAATCTAACCGCAGTTTGACTCTCTTGTTCATCGGTCTACTACAAATGTGAAGTGTTGTGGCTACATCTTCCTGATACCATTGATCTTCTGGTTGTTTCGAAGGGGCAGCCCAAGGCCCCGCGGTGTGCCCGAAGGCGGGATTGCCCGAGCTACGTCAAGCTATGATGCGATGCGGATGCCCCTCCAACAAAATAAACTCGTGCTTCCCCTCAACATCATTCTTTGCTTTGATACTTTTCATACACTCCAATACTATACAAACTCTCCCCAAAAACCACATCACAACACAAATCCGCAATCATGGGTCGTCAATTCTTCGTCGGTGGTAACTTCAAGATGAACGGTTCGGTTGACACTATTAAGAGCATTGTCAACAACCTGAACCAAGCCAAGGTTGACCCCAACGTCGGTATGTAAACACGGAGCAATGTGTTCAGTTGCTCAGTTCTAACAACTTCCAGAGGTCGTCATTGCCCCTCCTGCTCTCTACCTCCTTCTCACCCGTGAGCACCTCCGCCCCGGCCTCGAGGTTGCTGCCCAGAACGTCTTCGACAAGCCCAACGGTGCCTTCACTGGTGAGATCTCCGCCTCCCAGCTCAAGGAGTCCAACATCACCTGGACTCTGACCGGTCACTCCGAGCGTCGTGTCATCCTCAAGGAGTCCGACGACTTCATCGCTTCCAAGACCAAGACTGCTCTTGACCACGGTCTCGGTGTCATTTTCTGCATTGGCGAGACGCTCGAGCAGAGAGAGGCCAACCAGACCATCGAGGTCGTCACCAACCAGCTCCGCGCTGTCGCCAAGCAGATCCAGGACTGGAGCAAGGTTGTCATTGCCTACGAGCCCGTCTGGGCCATCGGCACCGGCAAGGTCGCTTCCACCGAGCAGGCTCAGGAGGTCCACGCCGCCATCCGCGCCTACCTCACCAAGGAGGTCAGCCAGACCGCATCGGACAACACCAGAATCATCTACGGTGGATCCGTCAGCGAGAAGAACTGCAACGAGCTCGCCAAGGAGAAGGACATTGACGGTTTCCTTGTTGGCGGTGCCAGCTTGAAGCCCGCCTTTGTTGACATTATCAACGCCCAGTCCTCGTAAATCTTGTATATAGAAAGGACTGGTAGGGCGGTGTCGTGCAGTAAACGCACGTCTGCCTTATGAGAAATGATTGATAATAAAAATAAAAAAAATATTACGAACCAAGCATTGCACTTTGAAGGTTGCGCCAAGAACACCGAGCGACTGTGCGAATGAGTATAGAATCTGTTTGACCGTGTCAACTGCGAACAGACGTATGGTGTTGGAGAGCTTGATGCCCAAAGGAGAGCGTGTCTAAATTGGACCTAGCTCCTCCTACGTAATGGCGATATGGCAGCATTCACTAGAGTCAAATCCAGGAGTAGATGAACCACACAGCTTGTTCTGCTTGTCAAGCTAGGTGTAGATGATGAATCACTTTGACTCAATAGGTTAGGCTATTCACCAAAGGTCGATTGAACTCATGACCACCGTAGCTGTTGAGATGGCCATATTGCGGGCTTTACCGATTGCGTGCAGGAAAAGTGTAATGATGGAGAGAAAGTATAGTATACAATTGAAGAGGCCATTTTCTCTTAAAACATGCTTGGTATCCCCAGAAACGCCATTTGAAATGCTTTGTACAAGATAAATCGTTGAAGAGTTGGAAAGGAAGCAGATGAAATGAGATCAAACAGACCACTTTGAGCCGTGGAAAGGATCCCAGATACCTCTAACACTCTCGTTGATACTCTTGACAGGCTTTGTGACCTTTTTCAACTTGTCGCCGCTCGCGTCGCGCAGCAATTCGGCCTTCTTCATGACTTGCTCTTTCTCGAGGTTGCGTACGCAGATGGCCTTTTCACGGCCATTGATGTATGTCCCTTTGATGACGGGGTGTTTGCGAGGGCGAGGCGAGACGGTGATTTCGACTTGGGGGTTTGCGCGGGCAAAGGCTGGGAGGTCGTACTTCAAGAAGGAGCTTGCGCGATTTGTTAGGATTGAGACGTTTAAGAAGGAGCAGGTTCGGCGTACTTCATGCCCTTTGAGCTACCAGCCCAGTCACAGTAGTGGAAATCGAGGCGTTTGCATTGTAGGATAAAGGCACCGACGCCATTCTGCGGGTTCAAATCAGTTCATGGTCAAATTTTGAGATTGAAGATGCGGCGACATACCTGGGCCTTTGAGATAGTGCGCAGAGCCTGCAGGGGCATGATGACGGCAGATCTGAATGGATATGTGAACTAATCGACCATCATTCGTGATTCTCGAGAATGTCCAATTGCAGGTCTTGGCGGTGGAAGAAGCCGCGGACGGTCGTGTCTCGACTCGCAGCTCCAGGCCAAGTCACACGTCAAGCGCTCCCTGTCTAGCATATTCATCCGACCTCATCATCATCACTCCCAGATGACGGACAAACTACCCCCGCAGCTGCTGCAGCTGTTCGCTCCAAGACCAGCATTACGATACCTTCCGCCATGCGACCACGCCCCCGAGGACCGTCGCACCCCTAAGATCTCTGGTGTTGCGCAATACGTCCAGGCCGCAAAGGAATACGAAGACAACTACGTCCCCACCGAGAGCTGGCTGCAAAGGAAGGACCGCGAAAAGTTGGAGAGAGACCAGGCTGCTCAATACCGCATCACCGAGGGCTACAAGAACGAATGTGCGCTCAATCGCCAATCGCCAATTCCTAATCATCCACCCCATCACTAACCTCTGCTTCTAGTCAAGCCCCATGAAGACCCTAACGTCGTCGGCGATCCGCTAAAGACCCTCTTCGTTTCTCGCCTCAGCTACAACACCGAAGTCAAGGACCTGGAGCGCGAGTTCGGTCGCTACGGTCCCATCGAGCGCGTGCGCCATCACCATTGATCGTGTCCTCAATTCAATGCTGACTCTTCCAGATCCGCCTCGTCGAGGACACAACCACAGCTACCCCTAAGAAGAAGCACCGCGGCTATGCTTTTATTGTCTTCGAGAGAGACTCTGATATGAAGGGTAATTCGTGATTCTTGCCATTTTGACACACTTGACTCTAACCCCCAAGCAGCTGCCTACAAAGACGCCGATGGTATTCGCATCAAAGACCGACGAATCCTGGTCGACGTTGAACGTGGTCGCACCGTCAAGGAATGGCGTCCACGCAGATATGGTGGTGGTCTCGGTGGCCGTCACTACACAAAAGCCGCCCCCCCTCGTCCCTCCGGATACGGCGCTCCCTCTGGACCCGGAGGCTTCGGTGGCGGTCGCGGCGGCGGCTTTGGAGGCGGCGGTTTCAGAGGAGGCTTCCGCGGTGGAAGAGGTGGAGGTGACAGAGGCGGCGGTGGCTTCAGAGGAGGCTATGGTGGAGGCGACAGAGGTGGGTATGGGGGCGGCGGCGGCGGCGGCGGCAGAGGTGGCATCGGCTTCGGCAATGGCTTCCCAGAAGGTGCCCCGTCCGGTCCTCGTGGCCCAAGAGGCGGCGGTGGAGGCTTTGGAGGCGGTCGTGATGGCGGCTACGGAGGTGGTCGCGATGGAGGCCGTGACGGAGGCCGTGACGGAGGCCGTGATGGGGGTCGCGACAGCTACTCGGGTGGAGGCTCAAGATACGGCGACAGACCGCCACGCGACAACTTCGGCGGCAGCGGCGGCAATCGAGAACCAATTGGAGGTGGTGATCGTGGTGGCGGCTACCGCGACCGTGACCGCGAACGCGACAACGATCGCAAGCGCCCTTACGACGGAAATGGCGGCTACGACGAATCACGCAAGCAAAGAAGGTACTGAGCTCAGCATGCGGATCTCTATCTGGGGTTTGTTGCCACTCATTGTCTCTGTCCTTCACGCATACACGACCCTGGAGAGGCTTGGAGAAGGACTCGACCCTACCATCAATTCATCAATTCTATTGTACTCAAACAAATCGACGGTAAGCTCATCACCTATATGCGCATTACGTCGGTAAGCGAACCATGTCTCACGCCTCAGTCAAGCACGCTCTTTCGGTAAGGCACCCGAAGATACGAAAAGAGAGCACTTCCAAAGGGTGGAGCCTTTCGACATTTGACGCCTCTCCGAAAAAAAAAACGCATCGCCTCAGAGTCGATCCCTAAAAGCTTTCAGCAAGGCATGACGGCGTTTATAGGCGAAGGTAGGGGAGGCATTGAATCGCATGCATGGTAATGAAGGCGCGCGATGGATTGTGTATGCGTTTTCTTTTTCTTTACTTCCGTCTTGCCGACTTTTGGGTAAGTATGTACTCTTAGTCGATTGAAACTCAGCGAAAAGCGAATGAATAGCATGACTGCCTTTCAGATCATGAGCCGATGGTGAGTTGCGAGGATTGTTATCAAAAATATAATTGAGGTGCGTGTCTTGAAAGACAGTTTGAGCAAGAACTCTTCACCTAGCGCATCATGTCTGGCTAGAAAGCGTAGAGCAACCATCGCCGTAGTCCATAGTGTCAATGAACATTACCCCCTTTCAACACTTCAGAGCTCGTCCTTGATCTTGCGCAAGAGGCCCTTGATGCCACCGTGCTTCTTTTCACCTCCTTCTGAATGCTGATGTCCGTTACCACCGACAAAGGCAGACATGGATGTGGTGAGATTGCCCACTCCCTCTCCCATATAAGGACCTTCTGGAGTAAAGACCACTCTTTGCATCCTAGCCTTTCTATTGTTCCAGCCATCGTCAGGACGATCTGTAGCATGGTAGCTGTGTTCATGTTAGTGGACGTTCTTGAGGGTTTGTAGCCAAGTTTGAATCGCAACTTACATGCCAACAATATCGTCTCCGATATTCATAAAAGAACCATGACCAGGTCCCCAAGGCCCTTTACCATGTGGACCATTCTGAATCAACGGCTTCATGCTCTTCTGCCAGGAGTCAGGTCTCAAAGGGTCGCCTCCAGTCCAGCGAAGACAATTCATCTTGTATTCATTGGTCCAACTGCCTGAGCAACTGTACACAATTCCAACCCACGAGTCATCAGGAGCAGCAAGATATTGGGGTCCCTCATTGATACCATGATCTCCCGTGCGTTCAAACCCCTCGTCAGGTCTACAGATCTCGACAGGATCTGAAGAAGCAGTGACCGGATCGGACAATCTGAGGATGAAGAGATGTTGTTGCAGATCCGACTCGTTGGGATTATCAAAAGGCCAGCCCGAGTACACAAAGTACAGCTGACCGTGTAATTCAATCACAGTACCATCGATAGCCCATTGATGCTGTCCCATACCCCTAATAGGACCCACAAACTCCCAGCTTCCTGTAGCAGGGTCTCGATCTGCGGGAGGTCCGGCAAGTACGACCATTCTGTGCGACTTGTTGCCATGCTTTGGATGACATGCAGCATAATAGACATACCATCTTCCTCTCAAACAATGCAGCTCTGGTGCCCATAGATCATTGGAGTACTCAGTATCTGGCGGTGGTCTGTAGATGACGTGCTTTTCAGGGTGATCGTGGAAGTTTGGTAGGCTGTTTGCTCTCCAGATCTCTATCCTATCACCGGCGGTGAATGTCTAAAAGTCATTAGAAATACTCAGGAGAAAATATTTAGACCCGATCACGACGTACGAGATAGAATTGGCGGGTTGCTCCAGAGTAAGTGACATAAGGATCTGGCGTTGCGTCTTTTGTCAACGACAAGACAGCATTGTTGTATTGGTGCGTCATTATCGTCCGTGGATAGTCGAGAAATTGTTCAGAAGTACAGGCGAGACAGAAGAGAACAAGAATTATCAGGAGCGACAGTCGTGACTGCTTGCATGGCATTGTTCCAGGTTTTGGAAGTCAGTACGCAAGCTTATGAAGTCATTGTTTGTGAACCTTGTTCGAGCCCCTCCCTCGACCTGAGCTTGATGTGTTTTCTTGCCTTCCTCCTTGAAGTTTTTCTGATCTAACACATTGGATTCATATATAGTTGGCAGGAACGTACTTATTAGCTCACTGGACGCTGTTCCATTGGTTTCTGTGAGCATGGTCACAGTATCAACCCGGTTATCATTTTATCTTGATTACAGCTATTGCAGCTATTGCCATCTTGGCCCACCATTCCTGTATTCTGTTGAGCAAAGAACAGATATTCCTGAAGTTATGGGGGACTGTCTTTAATGCCTCCTTCAAATCAACATCCTCCCGCTTCTGTAGGTCCGAGTTTCACAGTACTCCATCCGATGTTTATATAACAAAACGAATGCCCGTGTGACGGTCATGCCGCGTCCTCCTCTCCTTTGCAGTATATTCGAGAGGTTTGCATTGCCGACATATGTGTCTCGTTGAGCGAGTCGACTTCGAGGGGTACGGCGTGGCCACTTCTTACAAATGTGCCCATGGCAAGATGTGCAAATGCTGAGCTTGTAATCTCAGAGCTCATGTTTTTGCAGCTCTGATTCTGCCGCAAATATTTCATGTTGTGGCATCTGAAACCTGCGCTCTCCTCGGCTTCAGATGTACTGAGAACAGAGGCCTCGACGCGGCTGCCTCAATCGCCGTCGCGTCCTAGGTCATACATGTCAAAGACGTGTGACAGACCATTGCGCCTGATCAACTCCATATCGTTTGCATGATCCACGCTCTTTCGCGATTTCTGTTGGAAAACGTTGTCAGCAGGAGCTCATCCCAGTTTTCTGTTTGGATATTGGATGAACATACGACTCTGGGATTCTTGACCATCCAAGACCACGGTCGATGTGTGGTGGCTTGTTTCTCATTGAAGGCGCCATCTATGCGTACAGCATACTTTTCAAGCACTTGGTCGGCGACCACGTTTCTTTCAAAGTCATGGAAGCCTAGCTGTTCAAGCATGGGTAGTTGTCGTAGGATGATATCAATGATACGGTCCACCTTTGCGGGAAGTGAGGTGGTTGAAGCTCTGTAGACATGTCAGCATGCGCGTTTGCTTCATCTCAGTTGTAGTTACCTTGTACGGCCCCGCAAGTTTGGTGCATCGATCGCGAACCTTCTCAACTGGGGAAATATTGGTTCTGTGGGTATTGCCCAGTCATCGAGGTCAAAGACGCCATACAAATCACAGCAATAGATCTCAGGATGTGTCTTGCTCAATGAGGTGATGGCCTTGAGTGTGATGCTGCACTCGACCTGGAAAGCAAGGCTCTTGAGTTTTGGCAGACTCGACATCAAACTGTCGAACTGTTCATCGCCCAACCATGCAGCATTGATGTTGTTGAAGTAGGCACGCCCTCTTGTCCAAGTACGGATCAGTAAGATCTCGAGGTCTTGGAATGTTCCGAGTGACTTCATACTCTCTTCTGAGAAGTCCACGCCTCTGTGTAGGTTATGATACTCGATCTCGAGGTGACGCAGATGTGTCATGGGCTCGAGAGCTTGAAGCACATCATTCTCGGAGTCTCCAGCTTCGAGGAACAATGTATCGACAGAATCAGCAGCGGCTGCTAACAAAGCGACTGATACAGACGGCAGTCGGAGATGGAGGATGCGTAGGTTCTTAAACTTGTTCGACGGGTCAGAGAAGACTTCTTGTACCATTGCTGGTCTGAGGAAAGGCACGATATCGAGCCGTTCAAGGTGATCAATAGTCGAGACCTGAGCAAGCACTTCGTTCTGTAGCGAATACGTCCAACCTCTGCCAAACTCGATGTTCCGCAACGATGTTCGATTGCGCAAAAACTTGTTTAGCTTTTCCACGTCGAGTTCCAGCTCGAGAGGTTCTACAAGATGCAAATCGTGCAACCGAGGACATTCAGTCTCCAACCTTTCAAGAGCATCTTCACAAGGATGGCCACCCCAATATGAAAAGGACTCTAGACGAGGTTGTATGTAGTGTCCGAGGTGCAGCTTTTGATTCTTTCGTAAGCGTACGACGTCCAAACCGATGCACTTTAGTCTCGGAAACTTGAGGTTCTTGTACTGAGAGTGATATTTGCTCTCATCCACACTTCTGAAATACAGTTCGGTGATTTTTGTTGCGTAAAACTGTCGACGGCGAGCAGGAAGCGATGCCAATGCTGCCGGAGGAGGATCTCGCCAGAGCACATCAGTAGCCGGGTCGAACCATTCCTTGCTTACCAGAGCTGCAGACCGGAGACATGTATGGTGACCTTCTATGGTTTGGAATATGGATAGTAGGATTTCTGGAGGAAGGTGTGGCGTATGTACATTGTCATCCATCCTTGTCCGGGACCACTCGAACTGTGACACAAAGTGCAGGCTGACGAAATAAGATTATGTCACAAAGTTTTGATGATTACTGGTGAGGCTGCTGGGGTGCACGAGAACGCCGCTTCACATGACGATCGCTTGCGAAATCGCGGAGGTCAGTCGCGGCCCGCAATGTGTTTCTCCAAAGCACCTTCCTTTCACATCGCAAACAGTAGGAAATCCCGTAACTTTCACATCAGCTTGCTGCAACAATCATGAGCCCACTTCCGACGATGAGTCTGAGATAGGGCAGACTCATGGCAAGCGCGGCTGTTGCGGCGACCATACAGGACCCTCACAGATGCCCGTTACTCATTCTCAATTGCTTTAACCTTTGGAGGCAAGTCCATGCGCTAGAGACCCCGTCTCGAGCACAACTCTATACACGCCCTATCTGCGACATGTAGAGCGATGACTACTTGTGTATAACCTTTTTGTCGTGACTCACTGTTTCTACATTGACCCAGCAGGAAACAACATTACCTTCCCATAAGACCACACGCTCTTCACACCAACCGCCAGACCACGAGAACACGCTCAAGCAACTGCGCACAACTTTACAGACACACAATCCACACTTCTAGAAGATACACTACAATGTACCTCCGCGCCATCCACGCCGAACCCTCCATCCCAGCCCTCAAAGCCTTCATAGCTGCCCACCCCCTCGGTCTCCTCACAACGGCCCTCCCCTCTACAGACCCTTCCCACCACTTCATCCAAACCTCCCACATCCCCTGGGTCCTCGACAACCCTTCACCAGACACCGACGACCTACCCATCCTCCGCGGCCACATAGCCCGTCAAAACCCCCACGCCAAAGTCTTCATCGAACATGCCTCTGCCTCCCCAGGAAAACCATTCGCTCTGCAGCAAGAAGTGATGGTACTATTCAATGCCCCTCATCACAGTTACGTAACGCCGAAATTCTACACAAAGACGAAACCGGAGAGTGGAAAGGTTGTGCCGACTTGGAACTATGCTGCCGCACAAGCCTATGGTGTTGCGACTGTGTACACGGATTCAAAAGCAGACAGCACGATTGAGTTCTTGGACAAACAGATTAGGGATCTGAGCCAAAAGGCGGAAAAGGAGATTATGAAGCACGAGAAGCCTTGGGAGGTGGATGATGCGCCTGAGAAATACATTGAGCTGTTGAGGAAGAACATCATTGGTATCGAGATCAAGGTCACTCATCTGGGTGGAAAGTTCAAGATGAGCCAGGAGATGGGCGCAGAAGATAGAGAAGGTGTTGCGCGAGGTTTCGAGGACATGAAGACTGACACTGGTGATGCAATTGCAAAGACGGTCAGAGAGCGTGGTCAGCTCAAGTAGGCTTACATTCAGGCTCACGATCCACACATCACACCACATTAGAATAGATAGATGCGCTCAAGAGTAAAATAAAATTTGGTATCGTATTCTCCGTTTCATTCTATGTATCCATTACCCCGGTATCAAGGAGGGGGTGTACATTTTAAAGGTTAAAGAAATAAGTCATGTCAACACGCGGCCGTAACCATCGCAATCATCCGCTTAGATGAGCTGGAGGAAGGCACGGTTGATGGGCGAGCGAAGAGGCTTGACGTCCTTGTAGAAGTCGACAGTCTTCTTAGCACGCTTGGCGATACCCTCGGGGGTGAATTCGAACTTCTTGTAGACGTCCTTGTAGGCACCCGAAGCACCGAATCTGTTGAGACCGAACTGCTCGTGAGAGTACTTCTCCCAGCCCATGGTGGACATGACCTCAACCGACATGGTGGGGATGCCGTCAGGGATGACGGACATTCTGTAGTCCTTGTCTTGTGCGTCGAAGACCTCCATGCAGGGCATAGAGACAACACGGGTGGTGAGGTTGTACTCGTCCTTGAGGGTCTTGACGGCCTCGAGACAGATGCCGACCTCGGAACCGGTGGAAACGAGAGTGATATCGGCCTTCTCCTGCTCGAGAGCGACGTAACCACCCTTGGAAGCCTTCTCGATGGTGGAACCCTCGAGCTGGGGCAGGTTCTGACGGGTCAGGGCGAGGAGAGAGGGAGTCTCCTTGCTGGTCAGGGCAACGTAGTAGGCAGCAGAGCACTCGTTGCCGTCAGCAGGGCGCCAGACCATGATGTTGGGGAGAGCGCGGAAGTGAGCAAGGGTCTCAATAGGCTGGTGAGTGGGACCATCCTCACCAAGACCGATGGAGTCGTGAGTGGCGATGTAGAGAACGCGCTGGTGAGACAGAGCGGAAAGACGGACGGCACCGGCAGCGTATGAGACGAAGTTGAGGAAAGTACCACCGGCGGGGATGAGGGTACCGTAGGCGGCGAGACCGTTCATGATGGCGGCCATGGCGTGCTCACGGACACCGTAACGCATGTAGCGACCGTTCCACTGGCCAATACCGGTGTTGGGGGGCTGGAAGTCGACGGCCTTCTTCCAGCGGGTGTTGTTGGAGCCAGTCAGATCGGCGGAACCAGAGACCAGCTCGGGAACGGCTTCGTAGATGGCCTCAAGAACGGACTCGGAAAGCTTTCTGGAAGCAATGGCGTCGTCTGTGGGCTTGTAGGTGGGGAGGGACTTTTGCCAGCCCTCGGGGAGCTTGCCGGTAAGACGGCGGGCAAGGTCGGTGTGGGCCTCCTTGTGCTCGGAAGCGTACTTCTCGAAGAGCTTGTTCCACTCCTGCTCGGCGGCGGCACCGGCATCGGCAGTCTTGTGGTACATGTCGTAAACCTCCTGGGGAACGACGAAGGACTTCTCGGGGTCGAAGCCGAACTGCTTCTTGACGTGCTTGATGTCGTCGGCCTTGAGGGGGTTACCGTGGACACCACCGGTGCCCTGGAGCTGCGAACCGAAACCGATGGTGGTGGTAAGCTTGATGACTGAAGGCTTGTCCTTGACGTCCTGGCATCTCTTGATGGCATCCTCGATACCCTGGAGGTCAGTGTCACCCTTCTCGACGTACTCGCAGTGCCAGCCGTAGGCGTCGAAACGCTTCATGACATCCTCAGTGAAGGCACACTTGGTGTCACCGTCTGGTCGCTTGTTAGCTCAAGTGTGATTTGTTGGGATTTGGAAGATTTCTCACCAATGGAAATGTGGTTGTCATCGTAGATGGCAATAAGGTTACCGAGCTGCAAGTGACCGGCGGTGGAGGCAGCCTCGGAGGCAATACCCTCCATGGCGCAACCGTCACCGAAGAAGCAGTAGGTGTAGTTGTTGATCAGGTCAAAGCCGGGCTTGTTGAAGGTACCGGCGGTCTGGGCCTGAGCCATGGCAAGACCAACAGCGTTGGCGAAACCCTGGCCGAGGGGACCAGTGGTGACCTCAACACCGGGAGTGTCGTGAGCCTCGGGGTGACCGGGGGTGATGCTGTCAATGGTCTGGATTGTGTCAGAAAACATGTCTCGTATGCAAGATGTTCTGCAGGACTCACTCTGAAAGCCTTGATGTCGTCCATGCTCAAGGCGTAGCCGAACAAGTGGAGGAGAGCATACTGGAGCATGCAACCGTGGCCGTTACTGCAAGGCAATCGTTAGCTATATTCCAACAATGTCGATTTGGGCTTGCTGTCGGCTTTTGAAGTCGAGCTGCGGGTTGTGGAGAAGCTCCCCCGCCGGCTCCCTCGATAACAATGAGAGGAAAAGCATTGTATCAGGTACGACTCGACAGCCAGCCCAATCAATTGTCCAAGGTAGACTTACGAGAGAACGAATCTGTCTCTGTTGACCCAGTCGGGGTTCTTGGGGTTGAAACGCATGAACTTGTTAAAAAGAACGTGCGAGACAGGGGCCATACCCATAGGGGCACCGGGGTGACCGGAGTTGGCCTTTGCGGTCGCATCGACCTGAAGAGAATCTCATGTCAGTCTAGTCCATCAATGACTACCCTCTGGTAGCAGACTTGAGGTAGATGTGGCGACTCAACGAGCAGTCACATTTAGTCGAAGCGCCATGGAGGGGTAGCTCTGTCTGATAAGTGAAGACTTACTGCGAGCAGTCTGATGGTGTTAATAGCGGTCTGGTCTACTTCTCCGTAACCCATTTTGAATGATATGACAGAGGTATGTGATGTGTGAAAGGAAAGAGGGATGTTGATCTGGATGAATGAGAAAAGTGTTGTTCCCACGTTGAGCCCCCACCCATGACGTTTCGGAGCAGAGCCAGCAACACTCGCACTCGAGCCACTCAGCGGCCGACAGAGCACCGAGATCACCGGTTGAATCGGGATGTCTGTGCACCCTGCCTTTGAAGGACTGCCATCTTTCCTCTCGTTTCATCCGCAGGCTTCCATTGACACACCACTTATTAAGCTTCTCGGTGTTAACATGGACGAGGCCAGCATTACGGATGAATCGAGTCACTTCACATTGTTCCGAATCTATCTTCAGGACGCTTGGTGCTCAGGGTGCATCTTTTCCCAAACATCCCATTTTGCCAAAACTGCGGTGTCGGCGGTGAAGCTCTCCATGGCTTGGAGCTCCTGGAGATGCCGGTGGGATCGAGCATCTCCGCCCGGCTTATGATATTCTTCCGGCGCTTACCAAACACCCTTGATTGCCGCGCGACAGCTGATACGGCTATGTTGTCTTTCTGTCTCCATTCAGACCCTTTCGATATTTGGCGTAAAGAGCCTCTCAACGGATGTGCTCTAGAATTGAACTGCTTTTCGCATTCTGACAGCTCATTAGCCGACAAACTATACCCTATGGAGAGACAGCTCGGTATGTGAGAAGATAGAGGTTACCGACTCTGAAGCTTGAAGAGTCTCTCTGCGCAAGCCTTTCATCTCCCCAGCTCACAGCTGATCACGTCCACCTCGGAGATGAGCAAGTGAAAATAGAACTCTGGAGAAGGGACACAGCATCTTTGGATAAGAGTAGAGTGGTAATACATGTTTACTTCAAAGAGCGACTGTGTTGAATGGGGCATTGCAGGAAAGTAAATAGAAGCCCAAAAGACACCCTCGCTATGCAAACAAAAAGGGTATCTCGCTTTGCTATGTCCATCGCTCGACGAGAGACAATCGGAAGAACAAAAAAAGGAATGTGATTCTAAGAAAGCAACTTTCCCACGACTGTTCGTCAATGACCTCTCACCTCCACGGAGAGATAAAGATCATCTCCTCTTCTACTAGGTGTGAGCTTAGGCTCCCAAAGTGGACTCTTCAACTGCATCTGAGGAGTGTTGTTGGTGCCTCTTTTAGTTCTGTTGCCATAGTGTTGCAGCGGCGACTCTGGTACTCCTCTGATATTGGTGATCATCAATCCACCACCCAGATTCAACGATAGATCCTCACCGCGTCTCTTTGCCGCGAGTGTGACCTTGCGGCTCGATGTCGTGGATGGAGGAGAGCGAGGAATGGCTTGGTTGGATGGACGAGGAACTTTGGGATACGAGACTGGAGAAAGTTGTTTGTCGACCTCATTCTCCGGTGTGGTCTCATCAGGGTCGACGGACTCGAATGTCGTGGCAGAAGCCCATGAGCTGCGAACACCACGTGGCATTAAAGGTAATGGCGCAAAGCCAGGATGGCTGAATCGTTCGTGGTCGCTGGGACTCCATTTAGGGGCTACAGGGGTGCGGCTGTCGGAGCTGGTATAGTAGGCAGGGAGATAGCTTGCTGCACTGCTGGGTGGCATGGATAGATGATCCATCCTGGAGATGCCCGTGTTCAAGGAGATACCGTTTAGTACCGAAGCTTCGTTCGATTTCAAAGGCTTGCGTTGGATCTGGAGCATAAGGCCAGATCTGGTCATGTCTTCGGGTGAAGTTGTGTATTGATACGTGAAGCTTGGTCCTGGAGGCAGGCAATTTGACGACGGAAAACTGGCTTTGGGCATTGCAGGAGGCTCTGGCAGCACATCTTTGTTCATTGGAGATTTGCTGTCTTCTTCGAACATCGTCCATCTAGTGGCGGCGCTGTCGGGTCGAAGGTGTTTACTCGCTGTCTTCAGGTTGATTGTGATGTTTGCGATGGGAGTGAGAAGCCTAGGGGACCTCGTCTCACTACGATTTAGCGAGGAGATGCTGGCTCTATGAGACTTGAGACCATCGGGAACCTGTCGGATATCTGGCCGGGAAGTTTCTCGCCACCATTCCTGTTGAGGTCGGAATGATGGTCTGAAGCGACGCTGTGTGATGACTTCGGGTGACTTGGAGAAGCTGCTTAGAGATGAGCGAGGTGACCTGTTTGGACTTGCTGGAAAGGATCTCGGGGGTCGAACGGGACCCTTTGGAGAAGATGTAGCTGGCCTGGTTGTACTCTTGGAAGGAAATCTCGATCCTGTGGGAGATGCCTGATCCTGAAAATCGAGACGGTGGCTCGACTTGAACCACTTTCTTGTAGGACTACCGGCCTTCTTGTTCTTCTCTTCCTTCTTTCGGCGCCTTACGCAGCAACAGCAGAAGAAGCATAGTCCGAATAGGAGAGCAGCAATTGCTATCGAGGCGACAGAAATTCCGACAGTCTGACCGGTTGTCAAAGCTTTGGGAGATTCAGACGATGTTGCAGCAGCACTGTGCAACGACTCTGCAGCTGATATTGGCGCAGATGACGTAGACGCATTGGTCAAAGTTGTTGAGGTGGGTACTGTGGGAGTATCTGGTCTGATGGAGGCAACTGCTGTTTGTGTGATTTGTGAAGACGATGCTGATGTAATTGATCGAGATATCGTTGAAGCGCCACCAAGCTGCGTCAGAGTCAAGACCGGATGTGTGGGCGATACTGTACTGGCAGAACCTGAACAGATGTTGAAGACCTGCAATTTTACGGCTCCAGCAGTGGTCGAAGAGCAGTTCTCAATAACGCAACCGAGTGCCAACTCTCCAAGAGTGAAACCAGATGTGCTGTAATGCGAGCAAAGGCATGCCGATACATCGGACTTTCCACATTCAGAGGATGGGAACTCCAAGCCGACTCTTGATATGGCGCAGTCCTGAGCACACCGAGGTATCGCAGACAGAAGCTTTGCCGGCAAAGTAACTGTGTCACGAAGATAGACGGCATCAGATTGTCCATAACGAGGTGCCATGATGCGAGAGTGTAGGCCTGCTTCCAGGGAGAGGTTTGTACTTTGGTAGACGTCAAATTTCTCTTGTTTGGAGAGGAGAGTACGGGAACTGCGTAAGTCTTTGCACTGATAGTAGAGATTATACCGTCAATAGATGCTGTTCAAGAGAGTTGGGGACAATTACTATTGTGAAACCCCATAATAAGATGATTAGAATGAAAGAGTCCGACCAGCGGCACACGAATAGACGAAAAGAGGAGAAGAGATCAGGAGAATAGAAAACTTAAGAGAGACAATAACAAAAAGAGGTGTCGAGAAACTACGAGTACTTGCGGCTGAGAGGTCTTGTACTGTGGCTCTACCAATGTCTTCAGCAGCCGCCCAACCATCGTCATCGTGCACTCGCGGCGGCAGGCATAGTTACCCAAAGCGCCAGGAAGACACTAGGGGCCCGCGCCATAGGCTGCAGAGACATATTGCAGAAGAGTCGGCGCTTAGCACCAATTCGAAGACGGTCGAGAAGCACAGACCACCGGGTGCTGCGAGTGAAGGTACTCGATGGTTCACAACTTGAGAGACAAAGACATTGTTGGAGAAGTTGTGAAAAGATGATGGAACATTTCCTGTCCCGAAGACATCAGCATTTCATTGCGCCATTGCTGTACGTTAGGGTATCAGTGTGAAAACATATAACAAGCAAAAAAACAACCTTTAGTACTCCAGCCCAATGCTTCAAAATGCAGTAAATGCAGGACAGCCCAATTGTCGTGCGCCGTAACCGTACCCAACCCCCCGGGATCCGGATACCAAACATGAGGAAAATCGAATCAAAAGTCGGTCGCATCCAACACGTTAGATGCCGCTAGTAGGTGAGAAGATGAATTGGAGTTTAGAAGGCGAATGGGGCGTTTTCCTTCAGATCTTGAACGAGCTCATTGACGTTGCCCAGATATTGACCGAGCAGACGTTGCTTTTCGTCTGTGGATTTGGAGAAGGCGAGATTCTCAGTAGTGTTGAGGCGCTTGCTAGACTTTCTTTGCGGAGCGGCCGAGGAAGAGTTGGCGGAAGGGGTTTCAGGCATGAGGTAGAAATAGAGGAACTCGACTACCTTCAGCTTGACCTCTCTGGATGTGCTGCGAGACTTGAACAGGCTTGCGATTGCCAGGAGACCGTCCATCTTTTCAAAAGTTCGAGTGCTTTCGGGAGTAGCAAGGAGTGCAGTGACGAGGACCAGGAGTGCTTGCGACTGGACGACGGGTGGATTTGCGGCATCCAGAAGGTCGAGGATCAGGTCCATGTAACTCTCTCGGCGGAAGAGGGCGCGTGAAGGAGGATGTAGCAGGAGGACTCCTTGGAGGATGTCGAGGGCTGAGAGGATGATGGCGTTGGACTGGGTAGCTGTAGAGGTCAGAATGGCGCTCTTTGGCGTCGATGTCATGTTGAGACACGTACCATTGGGCATTCCCAGCAGCGTCTCGAGACAGGCCATGAGGCGCGAGGCCACTAAGCAACGCGTCAGCACTCATTCAGAGTCGCACGATAGAGGCAGACGTACCATTCCACTCGAAGCCTTCTTGGAGACGAAAGAACTCTCTATAGGCGGGATCCTGGCACACCTGAGTCAGCTGCCTGGGCGGCAGCAGCGTATCGCCAGACAGACGGGTTGAAGAAGGTCTACGCTTCTGTTGCGAGCATGATGGAGGAATGCAGATCTGAGCCAGCAGACCCTCGATCTGGCGCAGACCTTTGCGGATCTTTGTGATGTCCTTGGAAGACGTGTTGTCGAAGGAGAGGGACAATAGTGCTTCCATTGTGCTTAAGGGCGCAAGTCGGCACAAAGTATTGACAAGCACTACTCAGACACTTGTGCAAGTGCAAGAAGGTCTCGACGTGCAAAGACCTCGAGCGCACTGTGGCTGGGATCAGCAATTAATAGATGTCTGCGGTAGACGAGCGTTTCATCCAAGTCAACAGAGTTGCGTGACAAGCCCCTGGCAGGGCAACCAGCGACCAGCCCCCCCCTCAAAGTCAAATTGCGCCAAACGTCGACCAAGCCGTCATACTCAATCTGTTTGCATGTTAATCTGACGACTGCACAATCTAATGCGAGCTTGACGGTAGAAAGAACTGTTCGGGCGGTGCTCTTTTCCAGCCTCGTCAGGCATCAAAACGCCAGCTACGGCCACGCTCACTCGTTCCGCTTTGGCCAGCTGCCTCTGACCGACATCATCGATATATTCATTTCAAGACCCGACCCTGACGCCTACTCGTCGCAACGCCTATAGCGATTCGTTTTCTTCGATATTACCGCAGCATACCTCGATCTCATCCATGGCAAATCGACTCACGCCCGTCTTGGCCTCTCTCTAATAGTCAAACCGACTGAGCAATCGGCTTGTGATCCAGGATTGATCTCTATCTATCAGCAGCTCACAGAAGTAAACACTAGATAATTAGATAGAGCTCTGATCAATTTTTCGTATCCCTCTGCTAACATCCAAGACATTCTTACACATGCATGTTCCAACAAACTTTCATGCCAGCACTCACCCTGGCGTGAGTTGGTCGATCACGTGTGTCCATAGCGTGGAGTTGTGCATACATGTTCAATCATCCATCAACACAATGCAAAAGGCCATAATCACAACGCTCTCTACACGATGGCTAGCACTATGGCACCCTTCCCAAGGATCTACTTCCGCTACATAGAGCCCATCACGATCACCTTTGGGAGCCTAAATCTCATGCTCAGCGGTGCGACAAGCGCGTCGACCTACCTCTCAACACCAGCACACCCGGTATTGGCGACAGAACACTTCTTGGCCCTACAAGCAGGCAGTATGATGCTTCTAGTAGGCTTGCTACTCACCATCATCATGTGGACGACCGACGATATCAGAACCGTCAGGTTGACCGTCATGATTCTTGCGGCATCTGACATTCCCCACTGGATTTTCGGAGCGTGGTGTTTGGGGCCTCTCGCTTCTGGGCCCAGCAGTTGGAGCGCCGAGATGAAAGCGTACATGGGAGTTCCTGTTGTGACTTTTATGATTAAGATCGCATACTTGTTGGGATGGCTGGGAAGTGATCGGACGACAAGCAGGGTCAGGAAGGAGTTGTGAGGTTTTGCGGAATGGTTTTGGAAGGTGCGCTCTGGAGGTCTGCGGACATGCAAGCATCATGTTTTGAGACCTGTCGGATCCAGGCGAATTTTAGGCGCATTTTGCATGATGCAGACAAATATAGCATCTCACATTGGCCCTTCTCGTGAATGCACTCTCCAAATCCGGATGTACAGTAGAAGATTGCTAGCGAAGCGAATTTCTAGCATATGCAATTTCCGCCACATGTAATCATACCTCTCAGATGCCAATGCTACTGACAGCAACCTTGCAACCAATCTTGTTGACAGGTTTTACAATTGTAGAACCCAGATCAAATGCGTTCATGTGGCTCGCCTGTCGAGGCGATGCCGTCACGGAACGGCTGGTCGGTCGCTCCTGCCGGCACCGTTTCATGACGGGCGCCTTTGCCGAAGGTTTTTGATGTCAAGCGCCCGGCGCTTTTCCACCTCCATCACTTTCCGAAACCTGGAACCAAGATGCGACCGGGCCGTGAGATGGTCGAGGACATCACAAAGAATCCTGCGTTCGACTGCGGAAGTGTCTGTACGGCGGTCATACGCTTACGAAATATCATGGCAACAGGCCACGGATGAGTACGGTCAGCAATCCCTGTCTCTGCTGCCGCCATTTGCGATCGCTTCCGAGTAGGTTCCATTAAAGCAGCAAGATCAGAGCTACTTGCTTGTGCAACATGTTTCCGGTGGAGTCGCAGGATCCTCCACCCCCAGATGTACCTGCAGATCGTTAGTCTGCAGAGTCAGTCAAGGCTCCCTGACGATTATTCAATCCAGACCTGCGGGTGGATCTCGATTCACTCATATAAAATAATTTCTTTCAGGCACCCGACTCTTCCCATCGTATCCTGTTGTGTTTCGGAGATTCTGTAAGACCTTTCTCTGGTAACCGCTCTTCTTGTTGCCCACGCTCGTTTCGTGCTGCCTTTTCAATTCTTGCCCTCGTTCTCCAGCAACGAAATTCATACAAGACTATCTTTACTTTATATCAATCATGTCTCTCCAACGTCTCGGATTTGCTGCTTGCGCGTTGTTCCTCGGAGCCAGGGCGATCGACACCATTAGTGTCCCGGATGTCATCACTGCTGATTCTCCTTTCACCTTGACCATTACTCCCAAGGATGATGATGATGCCTCGGGCAACTATCGCATCTATCTCGATACCACCCCTCCTGGCTATGCCGGTGGCCAGTCGTGTAAGCTCCGAGACAGCTCATCTCTACATTTCCTCGGCTGACAGCAGCAGGCTACCTCAAAAACACAACCTCTATCGACATTACTGCTGTCAACCTGACCATTCCCGCTGACTTTGGACCCAACGGCGACTTCTATTCCATCTCCACCCGCGATCTTTCAGACTCGGATACTGATGCTAGCTATGTCTTCAGCAACGCCTTCAACCTCACTGGCGCAACCGGAAAGTACTCTGAATATGAAAACAAGCTGAACGGCGCACCTCTCTGGGACGCTAACAGCCTTCCCTGCGAATCTTACAACTGTGCACGTAACTGCGCTCAGAACTCTTACCCCAAGGATATGATTCCTGGCTCTGATGCTTTCAATGCCATGCGTGCTTGCATCATGGAGTGTCCTGGTGTTTCCAAGGAGACAAAGACTGCTTCTTCGACCTCGAGCACTGCTACGAGCACCAAGACTGGTTCTCACTCTAGCACTTCTGCTTCTGCCACTGGTACTTCTACTTCTGACGAGGCTTCATCGGCTTCCGACAGCGCTGCTGCCGCTTCTTCGTCAACTGGCGCTGCTTCTGCCAATATGGTTCCTGTCTCTTTGGTCGCTGCTGGTGGACTTCTCGCATTCTTTCTGTAGATCAATATCGTGCGCCTCTCTATTGCTAGATGGGATCACGATATTAGCTTCTGGCTATGCGTATAGGTTTGGCTGTTCTTATATAATAATACGAGCGAATGAGTGGCAACGGAAATACCACGTATAACACTAATCGATTTTACATACCTGTCATCTCATCCCTCTTAACCTTGCGTATCTTCATACATGATGCAGAGATCTTGGTGTAGGACGCAGAAAGTGGTGACATGATGTTGGTCGAGATGTAGATATTTCGGATGACGATTATAGTCAGGGTCACCCCTTTGTTACCATGACCCTGTCTTCAAATGACAATACTTTTCCCGACCTCGTGCGGCGGTATAAGGAGTCCAGTACTACTGGCTAATGGACTTAGAGAGTCTTAGACGCAGTCCAGAGAGGTTCTCATTGTCGTAGAGGCTGCCTTCGTCGTTGATGTCATGTTATATTCTTGATCTATAAATCGATCAGTGATTGCATTCCAAAACCAGCGACACAGAGGAGAACATTTGTGAATTGTCTTTGATTTTCAAAACTGTTTACTGTGTCTAGTGAGAGCCACAATTCAACTATCAATCCTTACGCCAGCCTTCAACACACCTCAATGTAATTCACCTCAAACATGCAGATAAACAACGTATCTCAAATCCTCATCACCTTCCTCTCCAATATCCATATACGTGCCCTGACTCTTCGATATCCTCATTCCAAAGTCGAGTACAAAGTCTGCTGTCCAAGCTGGATTCGTCCATAGCGATCCAGGTAAAAACATGGCAGCCTTCTTGACACGATTGAGGTATTCTGCTGCTTCTTCATCTGTTTCTTCGTCTGGTTCTCCGGCTTGGATATCGGGTTCGCCGTATTCATCGACGAGTGATTGTATCCATTTGCCGATGAGACTGGGACTAGATGTGGATGGTTGAGAGGATTGCGCGAGGTAGAGGTAGCAGAGGAGGATGGTCCAGAGATATTCTTCATGTTCTGAGCCGCGTAGTTTGCGGAGTTTTGTGGTGCCAGTGACGTATTTGACACCGGACATGAAGGACTTGTGGGCAGCTGGAATTTCGATCTCGAGAAGGTCGAGGGCGTCTTCTAGAGTCCAGATTGCTGAGCCGGCTGTTGAGACTACTTCTTCTGGTTGTAGGTCTTTGAGGTAGGCAGCCATACGCGCTTGTACTGTGTTGATGACTTCGTATTGCATGTCTCTGTAGATCTTGACGGATGCTTGACGAGGGTTTGTTGGTTCGGAGGGCAGACTCTCGTTGGCCTCTTCAAGCTTGCCAATTTTCGGGATGAGCGACATGATGATGTAGAGAGCGATGCGAGGTAGGTAACGTTTGCCGTCACCGTGATAGAGGTGCTCCTCCGCATCCTCGATGGGAGCTACATCTACGCCTCTTTCCAACTGCACCACATAGCAGAAGAGTTCGGCCAGAGGTGCCGGAACACAGCCCCAAGCTTGATCGAATGTACTTGCGTTGGACGTCTCTTGCAATTTTGCGTGCAACAGACGGAAAGTCGCAGCTTCAGAGTTCCACTCGCCATTGTCCTTGAAATACTCGGGGTGAGTGATACTCAGCATTTGTTGTAATGGCGGTGGAGGAGGTCTCATAGCGAGAAGAAGACCATCGTATGGATTGCCAGGTGCACAAAAGCCATAGCCCATCAGCAACTCCTCGCTCGACTTGGGACCGTAGTTATTGTAGACCTGCGAGCCAGGCTCGATTCTCTCAGAAACGTTCAAGCTGAAGCGATCGGGGTCGTAGGTCCAGTCCACACGAGCATTTGGATTGTGATTACCGATATCGATGGCTGGGAAGAGTACAGAGAACTTCTTCCAGTCTTCAATGTAGTCGCTGTGGTTCAGAAGTACCGTTGAACCACCATTAGAGTCATGTTTGTATGCCGTCCAGTGTTGGCTGCCTCGCGGAGTGACAGTCAGGCCATTGAAACTGCGTGATGAGTATACTGTAGCAGCCCATCTGAAAAGTTCCCTGTGTTGAAGTCAGGTACAGTGACGCGAGGAAATAATTGCCAGCTTCAAGATGTTGTTATCTCATAGCGTTATCACTTATAAGGGCGAATATGTTGCATGCCCCTATTTCTGGCACATGCGCACTTACCATGTGTATTCTGTTACATCCATACCGGCAGATTTCATAACCTGTACACCATCCTCCCAATACCTCTTCCAGGCAGCCTCTCTTCCAAGCAGTGTTGGATGCAAATCTGTGCCCTCCAGCCATTTGCGATCTTCCTCATCATAGAAGATAGGTGTCTCGAAGCCTTGTTCGGGGGTGGGTAGTATGTCCAGATATGGTTTCCAGAAAGACTTATCCTTGTTAAGCCATTGTGCCATGAGGTAAAAGAAACTGAGACCCTCAACAGTGAATTCTTTGGCATGAGTTCTGAAGACAGGGAAATCATCGTCAACTTGTGCGTTCAAGTTGGACATTGACAGACTGTGAGGGACTGTCAAAACATGTGTACCAGGCTCAATGACAGCAGTGGCTCTGAAATGGGAGCCCTGGTCTTCGTCATGCGCAAGGTGAACTGCGGGATGCAAGTAGCCGCCATTGTTTCTAAACCAATTCTCGAAAGCGTCCATTGCGACAATTATGATTTTGTTGTTTTTTTTTGAAAATGCTTGATCGGATCTCGACAACTTTTGGATCGCGAATGCACGTCATTGGGGAAAGCTTGGGCCTGGCGATCGTTCTCGTCAGCCTCCTCACCAGCTCACGCGTTGCTCTCTTCCTGTTGACGCGACATGTGCTTTTGGTTCAACACTGACAGCATTCACGAGGGCCGTACAAATATGCATCGTACAAAGCCGTCGTACCATGCACTGCAGTGACTGCACAAAGCGAGAGGCTCGATTAACCTCCCTATCGCCGGCCCGTGTAAAGCCGCTAAGTCCGGCACCGCGGTGATGTAAGAGCATATAAGACGTCGATTGCCTTCAGAGAGCATTGAGTCTTGTTTAGCAAACTTCCAGAGGCCAAGATGACTTCAGCACAGAAAACCAACATCAATGTCGTTTTCGGAGCCATGACGTTCGGCAAAGAGGGCTCCGAACAGGCCCGCGTCCACGACCTCGAGACTGCTGGAAAGATCCTCGACATCTTCCAGGCGCATGGTCATAACGAACTCGATACAGCCCGAGCTTACTGTGACGGTACTACGGAAACCATGCTCGGCGATCTCGAGTGGCAGAAGAGAGGAATCGTGATGGAGACCAAGTACTATCCTACCGCCGGAAAGTCCATCCCCTCGTCATGGAACAACAACCTAAGACACACTGCCGAGGATCTTCGCGAGAACCTCATGACCTCTTTGAAGGAGCTCAAGACGGACAAGATCGATATGTGGTACCTCCACGGCGTAAGCTCAGCATGTCATTCGCCCACAACCTCACAGCTAATGGACACCTTCAGCCCGACAGAACAACTCCGTACGAAGAGACCATGAAAGCCGTAAACGATCTGTACAAGGAGGGCCACTTCAAGAGACTTGGAATATCAAACTACATGGCATGGGAGGTGGCTCAAATCTGTGAGCTGTGCCGCAAGAACGATTGGATCCAGCCGAGCGTCTACCAGGGCGTATACAATGCTCTGCATCGCTCGGTCGAGCCCGAGCTCTTCCCTTGCCTTCGTAACTATGGCATCGCCTTCTACAACTACAACCCTTTGGCCGGTGGCTACCTCACAGGCAGATACAAGAGAGAGGATGCGGAGAACGACATCGAGAGCGGTTCGCGCTTCGATCCCAACAAGTGGCAGGGCAAGATGTACCGCGGTCGCTACTGGAGAGAGGAATACTTTAATGCTCTCGACCTGCTGCGCCCCGTTGCGAAGAAGCATGGTCTTACTGAGGCCGAGTGTGCATTGCGCTGGATGCAGAACCACAGTCAGCTGAAGCGTGAAAATGGTGACGCCATCATCATTGGTGCCTCATCTCCCCATCACATCGAATCAAACTTGAAGGATATGGAGAAGGGTCCTCTCCCAGAGGATGTCGTCGAGGCCTTGGACCAGGGCTGGGAAGGCTGCAAGGGAATTAGTATCAGATACTGGCACTAGATGCGTTTAGTATACATTTTGTGATAAGTAGCTTTCACCATTATGCTAGAAACTACGACGATATGCTTCATCTCATTGTGCCTTAGCTTATTCCAGTCGGCAAAGTTTATGAGTTTATCATCCTCGGTAGAAGGTTACACAGTGCCCCCATGCTGACATACCGTCGACAACTGAGGGGAAAAAGTTATTGCATGCTCGTCGACTTACGCCTTGACCAGTAAAGGAATGTCGAAGCGTTGCAGCTCAGGGATGGCTGTGACTGGCGGCGTCGGCAGTTCCCCTCAATCTCCTCAACCTCGAATGCTCCTTCACCGTCATCGCGAGAGGAGAAGCGACGATCTAACCCTTGGTATTGGACTGAGAGTAGGTAATGGGGAAGAGTGGCATGTATACAAGAGTTGCAGACGCCCCAGAGGGTGAAGAGCCTCTGTCATTGCCTCTCGCCTCACAGAAGCAGCGCATGACAAAACGCTCCCTATTTGGTCTTCAAATACTCCTATTCATCGGTGCTGTTACATTCTTCGTTATGCTATACAAATCCTTCGCTTTTGGCACTGTCATCGGATGTGCTGGTGGAGCTGGTGTCTCTTCTTCGAGGACTTCTTCGGGCATTCCGCAGTATTACCAGACGAAGCCAGAGCTGTTTGCAGGTGGGTAGCTGTCCATAAAGTACTTCTCAATCAATGCTGATGTATCAAAGGCCCAACTCCGACTGGCATCGCTCCTTTCTTAGCACAAACCAATCCTGCTCCCTTTGTGGGCACATCTTACGTCCCGAGTAGTCCTTTGGAGACACAGGTCCCTATCGCTGGCAGCAATGGCTCCAATATTTTCCAACGTATGGGTCAACTTTCGCCTTACTTCCCCAATCCTGTTGGGTTCGGCGTAGACGAATACTCGCTACCTCCTGGAGCCGAGATTGTCCAACTGAACATGCTGTCACGTCATGGGTCTAGATATCCTACGACAGGGTCCGGCGCTAACAAGTTCGGTCTAAAGCACGAGAACAAGACTGGAGATGCGAAGTACACTGGCGAGCTCTCTTTCCTCAGCGACTGGAGCTATCAGTTGGGTGCTGAGATCCTGGTTCCCATCGGCAAGCAGGAGCTCTTCAACTCGGGTACTCTTCACTACTACCAGTATGGCCATCTTTATCCCAACAACGGCTCCAAGATCATTGCCAGAAGTACGACTCAAGATCGCATGACCAAGTCTGCAGAGTACTTCCTAGCTGGTTTCTTTGGACTCGAGTGGCCTACTAATGCTACACTGGTGCTTGCCATCGAGGAGCCCAATGGCGTTTGGAACACCTCATTGGCCGGCTACTACAACTGCGATAATAGCAACAACTTCCGCAGCGCTGGTGGTAATAACGCTACAGTCGAGTGGTATACCAAGTATCTTGCCGATGCTACCGCACGTCTTCAGAAGTTTGCACCAGGCTTCAACTGGACAGTCGAGGACTCGTATAATGCACAATCTCTGTGTGCATACGAAACAGTGGCCTATGGATTCTCTCAATTCTGTGGTCTCTTCACATATGAGGAGTGGGAAGGATACGAGTACAGTATCGATATCCAATTCGCTGGAGGCAATGGCTTCCAATCGCCAACTGGTCGTGCTATCGGTATCGGATATGTGCAAGAGATCTTGGCTCGTCTCCAGCATCACACGATCAATTCTCCAATTGCACAGATCAACGTTACCTTGGATAGCAACACAGAGACGTTCCCTCTTGACCAAAGCCTCAACTTTGACTTCTCACATGATACTAACATCATGAGTATCTTGACTGCTTTTGGCTTTACTCAGTTTGCTCAGTTCTTGCCTTCTGATCGCATTATTCCTCACGAGTTGGTAGTTTCGCATTTGGTAAGCACGAATGCCAACTATCATTTGCAAGCCGATGCTAACAGAAGTAGGAACCATTTGCTGCCCGCCTCGATATCGAGATCGTTAATGCTCCTTCTCCAGTCAAGGCCTCGCGTAAGAACGAGGACCTCTACGAAGAGGGTAAGTCATGTCCATCAGCCCGTAAGTGACCATGCACTGACAACACCATAGGCAAAGCGACCAAATACATTCACTTCATCCTCAACCAGCGTACCATCCCTCTGCATCGCAGCTTCCCCGAATGTCCAGAGCGTGACGATGGTTGGTGCGAACTCGACACTTTCCTCGCCGTGCAAAGCAAGAGTTTCGAGATCTCACAGTATAATTGGAGTTGCAATGGCGATTATCCTGCTGTGCCGTACGGAGGTATCACGAATGGGGTGCCTACGCAGTCTGGTTTATAGATTCAAGGACAAAACGAGCGATAGTCTCACGCTTTAGCTAAATATCCCATCATGTACAAAATTTAGACCATCTCTTCATACACCATATATGCCATCCATCACTTTGGTCACCAAAAAGTAGCAAACAGAAACCCTCCTAGCTGCCGAGTGCTAAGAGGGGAAGAGAAATTACTGACATTCCTTTCTTCATAATTTGTGTCGGGTGAGGATTACTGGGACCTCAGGCGGGAATCGACCAGGAGAGCTGGCGCAGGGAGCAGGAGACACGAGCTCGACTTTCCCAGTGCGCCAGAGAACTCGCTCGATACTACTGGCTCAACTTTACATCTATATGATATCTAGAGTTAGAGTGCAGGGGTTCGATTCTGGGAGGAAGCGAATTTGGATTTGTTTGTTGTTTCTTGTCTTTCCTCTAGGAAATCGACTAGAGAGGAGGCTATGTCTCTGGTAGTACATCTCGACGATACAGTGGTCAGCACACACGCCTGAGAGTGTCTTCGATGGATACGTTTGGAATGGTAAAAGTAGTGATCTCATAATGTGTACCTAGAACTCTGCGATGTGAGTGCCAATGTCACGCTCGCGAGCGATTCTCACTACTTCATTGCCAACAACCACATCCATGAGACCCAGTCCAACAATCTTTGCAATGACATTACCCTTGCAAAGCCATTCCCTCAAGCCCGAATCGTCAGAAACTTGGATGCCATCGCCCTTGTTATCGACATCTCCCTTCCTTGCTGCATCGGCAGCGGCCTTTTCGGCCTCACGCCTCAGCATTACCAATTCACCAATCTCGACCACTTGGTCGGGCTGCACATTTGCTTGGATGAGCTCGCCGGCTTCCTGTAGACATGCCTCGACACTGTCGACAATGATTGCTCCACCCTCCTTCTGATGCTTGTGGAAGTGGCGATGTTCGTGGTGAGGTGCTACAGCGCTCTTGATGATATCTGGATGCAGCTCAATCATGTGTGGCTTGTATGAACCGATGAGAGCTATGTAGCGACCCTTCTTACGGCCCTCAGGGTTTAGTAGATAGTGAGGCGGGAACAGTGGCTGCGTGCTTGGAGTCGTGCAAAAGATGATATTGGCACTGCGAACATACTCCTTCAGCAAACGAGTATACTCGGCATGACCGGTGGTGAGGATGCTCGTCTTCGTCTTGCTACCGAACTTGTGGCCTAGTGGATTCTCGAAGTCTGGGTCATCAGGGAACGGGTTGTACAACTTCATCAACATCTCCCGTGCTCTGTCAAACGAGCGGTTGATGATGTTGACATGATGAATTTCCGAGCCACGGAGGAGTAGAGCTAGGCGAACGTGCCAGTACGCTTGCTTTCCTGCACCGAAGACAGTCAAGTCATGCACCTTGTGTCTTCTCTTGAGAAGCATACAGCTGGTCAAAGCAGTGCGGAAGGCTGTAAGCTCCTCAGCATTGATCAAGGCACTAGGATTACCTTGACGGTCGAAGAGAGTCAATGAGCCGCGGGGCGCTGTAGGTGGCTTGGACTCCTGAGATATGGATGGAGCAAGTGTCGATCCAGACATGGAAGTAGGCCGAGACTTGGAGCCGCTCGTGGAACTCGTTTGTGTCGACTTTGTTGATCCGATCGAAAGGCGTTTGAGATCTGGAGTAGTTTCGGGCTTCTTGACTGAATCTAGAGTGATGACTTTGACACCCATGCCGGAGCTGCTAGATGCCGGCATGAACAAGCTTGTCGCTCCATCAGTTCGGTCCATGTGTATTCTTTGAGGTTGATAGGCTGAACAGCAGCCATCTTCCTCGCCAGCTGTGGAATATTGATGCAAAGCATCGGCAAGAGATTGCTGGATGTCGTCGATATCCTCGCTGGTAAGAGAATGCAGTACTCTTTGCACATCGTGATCTGAGAGTACGGTGACAGGCATCTCGATGGTGTCGAGTAGTGATAGCAGTTTCCGACCAGATGGAAGCAGAGCTACAAAGAAGAGGTACGATGTCGATGATGCGATGACAACACCAAATATGAGCAGTTACGAGTGTTCGGCAAGAATGCTGTCAGTGGTGTTGATGCTTGCTTGTGGGCTGATAGTTTTTTGTTTATTCTTGAGTGTCCAGAGTGTCTTGCGCTATCTGGTTACACGATGTTAGATGAATGCACAGCAGGTACGGCATATCTAGATAGTAAGCAGCTCGGCAAATCACGGTTCAGGAGGGTTGGGCCAGCCTTTCCCGCCTGCCTTCCTGACATTTTGCCGTTGGTTTCCCGCCTCAAGCTGCCAAGAACAAAACCATTGCTAGAAGTCATGAGGCATGCTAAACGTCTTGTTATGGATGTCAGGAGGAGAGTCGCTTGCTTGTAGATGAGAGCACAGAATCTTGATGCTCCTGTATACTCGAAAGGTGTGATGTTAGCAGAAGAGTGATTGCTCTGCCCAGTAGCATTGCTTGGCGTTCGCTCTATCAAGTATAATCATGGTCTGGCTTCTTAGACTGGTAGAAAGTATTTGGTACTCCTGTAAGTTCAGAACCTGCGACTAGGATGAAAGAAGCAAAAAGTGGTGTGCAAAGTGACTGAGCAAAAGTGATGGTTACCCAAACAGGAAGGGATGATTGATTGGTCGGATTTGCCGAGAACTTTGTTGGTCCAAGCGCAACGCACACGAGCTTTTTCTTCTGCTTCGACATTGCGAACTTCTTTCCTTCTCCAGCCGCGACAGAACCAGTCAACCACCGTCCAGTTCGACAATCATTCAAAATGGTAAGCTCGCATCACATTCTCGGACCTTGAAGCGCTGTCGTCTCTGCAGTGCAATGCGCCGATGCGCCTTGCAAATCTCGCTTGCCTGCGAGCGCAGCAACTCAAGATGATGTTCGACATCAACATCTATTGTAGTCGATTCTTCCTGAAACATGGAAGACGGCAATGACCAATGGCTTGGGCTTGTGACTGGAGTAGAAATACTCGTCAGCGCAGCCCTTTAGAGTCTAAGCAATGAGCATTATGCTGATTTGCTTTCTCAATGATAGCCTCCTAAGTCTGGAAAGAAAGTTGCCGCCGCCCCCTTCCCCCAGGGCAAGGCCGGTGTCTCCAAGAAGAATGCCAAGGTGAGTTTGACAGTATCCTTTCTCTAACCACCCGACACCCTGTGTGCTGACATGGCCTCCAGAACCCTCTCATCGAGAGACGTCCCCGCAACTTCGGTATCGGTCAGGACATCCAGCCCCGTCGCAACCTCTCGCGCATGGTGCGCTGGCCCGAGTATGTCCGCCTTCAGCGTCAGCGCAAGATCCTCAACATGCGCCTGAAGGTTCCCCCAGCCATCGCCCAGTTCTCCCAGGTTCTGGACCGCAACACCGCCGCCCAGGCTTTCAAGCTCCTCAACAAGTACCGCCCTGAGACCAAGGCCGAGAAGAAGGAGCGCCTGACCAAGGAGGCCACCGCCGTCTCCGAGGGCAAGAAGAAGGAGGATGTTTCCAAGAAGCCCTACACCGTCAAGTACGGTCTCAACCACGTTGTTGGCCTCATTGAGAACAAGAAGGCTTCCCTCGTTCTCATCCCCAACGATGTTGACCCCATTGAGCTCGTTGTCTTCCTTCCCGCTCTCTGCAAGAAGATGGGTGTCCCATACGCCATCGTCAAGGGCAAGGCCCGCCTCGGAACGGTCGTCCACAAGAAGACCGCTGCCGTCCTCGCCTTCACCGAGGTCCGCTCTGAGGACAGCTCCGAGCTTTCCAAGCTCGTCTCTGCCGTCAAGGAGGGTTACATGGCCAAGACTGAGGAGTCCAAGCGCCACTGGGGTGGTGGTATCATGGGTGCCAAGGCTGTTGCCAAGCAGCAGAAGAAGCAGAAGGCCCTTGACAACGCCATCAAGATCTAAGTGCATTGATTGTCACTTTACATCTGGCGTTGGCTGCGGACTGGGATTCTGGTGGGAAACAAAAGCTTTTCGAGTTATCTTCCAGCACCAGAATGACAGTTTTGTCGTGCTGCAAAAAATTTCTTTAACGACCATTCGAATGATACCCTTTTCCATTTTGTTACAAGTGATCCATTGCTATCATTGTCATATGCGCCACCCTCTTCTCAAGTGATTCATTGGCGCTTTTGATGGCAGTAGTATATGATTATCGTTGTCGTCTTCTGACATCGCTCTCGTATCATGCCCCACCACTTAAGTTTGTCGTCGTTATAATCCCCTGGCTATGTACAGTGGTCATACCTATCTCATCTGATGCCCGTTTCCTCCATCTTTTTACGTTAGCCCTGTTGCTGCGTGGCGGCACGGTCCTCCTCGATGGGCCTTTGGACGTGCTGCAGGCCTGCCTGATGTGGCTGAATCGGACCTCACCACAACAATTTGTTTCAAGAGCTGAGAGCTGTGAGGGATTGCTGTTGCCATATTGATTCCAACGTGGTCTTTGATCCAAAATCAATGCTGGTAAAGCATTCTCAAGACTTCTGAGCTGTCTCGAACCACTTTTTTACAGCGTTGGTGCCATCATGGGCAGCGCGGAACACTGCAGGATATATGAGTTAGTCTCTCAAGAAGCATTCTGTTGGGAGCCAACACTTACATTGTCGTTCTGTCTCATCCAACCCCCTTGAAAAGTCGGCACCCTCACCCAATGCACTTCGTGAATTTAGCGCTTGATCTGATATTTCGGCTGCACGTTGTTTAAATGTCTGTTCAGATGGATGTGAGAAAGTGATCAGTCGAGAAAGCAGAGATAGATACTTACGTCAGTCAGAATGTCAACCATTTCTTCTTCCTCGAATAGTTCTAACATGCGAGCACCAATGTTATAGAAATGTTGCGCTTGAGCTCGTAAATCTACCGTCTTTGGATCTGCTTTTAGAGCGTTCATCACACGTTGAGACAATGCCTGAGGCAGATCTAGTGTTGCCAGTGAGGAGTTTCCAGAAGGATTACTGACAGCCAGCATCTCAGCGAGCCAGAGTGGTAGCTCGAGCTTAGAGCCTTGTTTTATCTGAAGGAGTTAGTGGGTTGAGCTCTTGGAAAGAGGCCGAATCAAACGCACGTCTTCTCCTGGGTTGCCCTGCAGATATCCCATATTCGGAACCGAGAGCTCGAATGTGCAAGGAACTTTCTTTTGATCAGTCAGTGTGAGTTAATCCATGGGAGTAATTATCTTCTCCTTACTTGAGCGTCTGTCAAGATTGCATCAATGTTGTAATATGAACCCATGATTGCTGTTTTGCCAGTGGGCCTGTAGGGAAAATAATCAATGAAGATGGTAAAGCACGACAGAAAGAAGACCAGATATCCAGAAACACGGAGCTGGGTCAACTTCCAGCACAAAGAGATCCCTAGCAAATGGTGATCGGAAAAATAGTATTGAGTATGCACGGAGGCTGCGTGCGTGTCGTGCTACTGCCTGGAGTGAAAAGTTATATTTCAGACGATATTCCCCAGCGGAACAAGTCGTTCTTTTAGTCAGAGATTTCGAAGAGTCCTAGGATCGTTTCTGAGAGGGCTTCCAACTTGCAGATCAGTCAAATATTGTCGTCTAGCTGAGTGGTAGATGGTAGACGCGTCGAACGCGAACTCGTAGGTAATGGACGGAGATTAGGGCGACAAAGGCCGTGGACTGACTCGGTGCAGCAGAGCTCCGCTTTCAGCATCGGGCAACGAGACAACCCAGAACGAGTGCACAACATCGCATCCATCAAGGGGGCGATTTTATTATCTTTTCTAGAGGCTCGTTGCACAAGCAGATCCCGTGCAAGAAACTGCACCACTTCCACTCCACTCCCCCGGCCTAAGACTTGGAGAAGGTCTTCGTGTCGTGTGAGCACACTATTGTCGACATCGACGTCAGCACCGCAGCGCTTCGCCCATCGATGAAGTGCTAGGCTGGCTTCTGGAACACAACACACTATGGGCACCAATACCGACCCAGGCAATCATGCCGCCCATGGCTCGTCTGGCAAAGATACGACCATGCTCGACGTCATCAACGACAGTACACATCCCTCCAGTACCGACATGTCAAGAAACACAACGCCCGATGGTCTCGACAATAGATCAAGTCGAACGCGCCCTCGTGTCTTTCCCTACACCAAATACCTACCCTACGATACAGAGACTCCAGACCAGAGGCAGCAAGATGTGGATGAGATGATCAAACACCTATACATTGCAGTTGCATCGGGCGACTTTGTGCCGGGAGCTGTACACTGGACAAAAGAGATTCGCGGTTGGCTGTCACTCAAGTTCGATCTAAACCGTGAGCAGCGCATCAACCTGACGAAGCTCTACTACGAACTCGCTCTGGCACCTGGTCTTGAGTACACGGTTGCAGAGCGCTTCGCTAGCATGTTCATGGTCTTGACCAAGCGCCGCCACTACCTCAAGCCGATAGATGACCTTGTGCTCGACTGGCGACCTCTATACCAGGAGATCAAGGTCTTCGTCCTCCCCGGCGAGTTCGCCACACCTAACACCTTCTCTAGCAAGCGTAGCATCCGTACCCTCACCAAGATTTGCACCTTTGCCCAGCTCTTCTTCGACCCGCAAGAAATCCCCGCCATACTCGATGAACTCCTCCCCTTCTTCTCCATGTCGCCTTCAGAAAGTGCCTTTGTCGTCATGGGTCTGGTCAACCTCTTCTTTCCCACACACGCCCCGCCGCCGAACCAACCAAAGCTCCAGCCTCAACATTACCTTCCAACCTTCTTCCACCTCTGGTCCATCATAAACCGTTCGACCTTTACCGATCAGCGCTTCCTCGATATGTTCTCAAGACTGTCGCGCGACTGCCTGACGGTTGAGCATGTACCTTTCGGCGAGCACGGCATATATACTGCAGAGCAGACATCAATGATCTTCACCTCCATTTTGAGATTGCTCGAGATCCCCGTCGGTCAAGCCTCATCGCCCTATCACATTAATATTGATCTCGGTGCTGGCTTGTCTGCTCTTCTTGAGCGCGATCCTCGCAAGCATCCTGCTTCCCGTAGCATTGCAAGATGGATCATCATGTCCCTGTCTCCAGCCTGTCTGAAAGTCAAGGATGGTAGATCCATCTTACACCAGCTCGAGGGCCTAATTCAGGGTATTGAGACATTCTTCCATCCCTCCAACACAGGCGCTTGGACCAAGACGCTCTCACAACTTGTCTACTACCTTGCAGACTTTTTTGTAATGCGTTGGAACAGGGAGGAGAGTGGCGAATACAATATGACTAGCGAGCGTAAGTTGACACCCGAACTGCGTAAGCGCTTCGTCATGTGCTTGAGAGAAGTCGTGTTCATGAACATCTACTCAAAGAGTGGCACGGCTGTCAACTACGCTCTGTCTACTCTACAGTGTTTGGCCTTCCTCGAACCCAATCTGATCCTTCCCGGTGCCCTGCAGCGTATTTACCCTGCCATGCAAGGGCTAGTTGAGGTGCACAGAACAACTTCATCCATTCGTGCTCTGCAAATGCTGTCTAGAATTATCGCTCGTACAAAGGGTTTCAGATGTCACTTGACTACTCTCCTTGGCCTTGCTCTTCCTGGTATCGATGCAAATGATCTTGACAAGACCATGAACTCACTGTCATTCGTGCAGGCTGTTTGTTACAACATTCCGCTTCATGATCTTACCAAGAGTGCGCAGACAGATTCGGATGGCGAGCCCATGTCTGGCAGCACTGCCACTGCAGTCGAATGGATCACACAACAAGTTGACCGTTTCGAGACCGAGGGCTCCCTAATCGAGCTGGACTACGAGAATGAGCTTACCGACGAGGACGAGGAATTAATTCTTCGATCATCCACTGCCGGATTTGCCGAGTTTTTGATTGCCTTCCTCGGTCGGGTGTTCACTTTGCTCCAGAATCTGCCCGACGCATCTCGTGTCAAGAGCGGCTCACCCGAAGAGAACGTCGTCAATACGTTGCCAGCGGCTTTTGCACCTTTGCTTGCAGCTTTGTCACCCGAGCTCTATGACATCGCCTTGCAACAGATCGCCAAGTTTGTTACAAACCATGTCGTGCATCAAGCTCGTGATGCCATGGCTTTCATCTGTAACACTCTGGTCAAGGTCTCGCCCAAGAAGGCTCTAAGCCGTCTTCTGCCCGACCTGATCTCAAGTATCAGAACTGAGATCGACGAGAACGGCGCCGGCTCGAGCAGAACATCCGGATCAGAGATACTTCCCCGCGATCGCGCTCTGGTTTGGAACATCAGTCTACTGAGCATGTGCGTTGTCCATGTAGGTTCCGACGTGCTTGACTTCAAGGACGAGCTGTTCGACATTGCTAGTTACATGCAGGATAAGTGCAAGGGCATTCCTCTCGTCCATGTCTCGAACTTTGTCCATCATTTACTGCTCAACTTGACTGTCACATACACCACGGACTACTCTCTGTACGATCAAGCTGATCTCGCCAAGGGACTACAGCCCAATGACTGGGCCAAGCTACCAGATCCGAAGAACTTGAATGTTCAATGGCATGTTCCCAAGGAAGCCGAGATTGAGTTCGCTGTCAGAATATTCGAGTATCAAGGCAAGCGCTCTATTGATGCACTCACTGCTTTGACCAGCGATAACTCGCCCGTCAAGCGTGATGGTACAGGCAAGGACTGGTCAGATGAGGTGTCTCGCAATCTTGTTCTCTTACGTCTGTTGGTCTCGGGTATCTCTTGTTTCTTCCGCTCAGACGATGAATCTGTCACTCCGGTCAGTGGCCATGACACTGAAGTAAACGGCAGCATATTACCCAAGCAAGAGATCCAGCAAAGTCCCACTGATCTAGCCGAACCGGACGATGACAAGATCCGCAAGACTTTCATCTACCCTACCGGCTACCCGCTGAAGACCAGCAGCCCACACTACGAGACAGTGCATAAGCTACGCCGCTTCACTGGTGAGACTTTGCATCGCGTTCATGAGTTCTTGACTCAGCACCAACAAGATGATGTTCTCTGCTTCAATGCGCTCTACACAGCCTATCGCTCTTGGTTCATTGATATCGGTATCGAGCGATCTGCCCATGTATTGGACAGACTGAGTCGTCTTCTGTCGGCGGATATCCACCCTTACAAGTTCAGTGGAACGCGCAAAGCTTACCCACGACCTCTCCTCGCCAGACGTGCAAACTTGTACCATTTCCAAAGATTGAGATACAACGAGTCCCCTCGCGCTGCGTCAGATCTTGACAAGATCCTGCTGCTCGATTTGGCCCAGTCGAGCGTATCAGTATACACAGACATTCGACGCACGGCTCAGACTGCTTCCGAGTCAGCTGTTCAATGTATCATTGGAGCCAAGCCCCTCGTCATTCCTCCTCTTTTGGATGCCCTAGAGGACGCTGTGAACAAGACTGACTTCCCACGTATCAAGGGTGCCGTGTTCTCTCTGCTCTTCGGTAGCTTGGCTCGTCCTATCGAGCGCAACTGGAGGTTCACTCCTAGGCTCATCAGGCTCTTCATCCGGGTGGGAGAGACAGACAAGCCGAGTATCCAGAAGCTTGTCAGCAACGCCAACTTCCAAGTACATTCGATGTGCAGGGCTCTAGATCGCATGGTCATCTTGGACGAGAAGACGGTTGATAGTATCTGGCCGGTCGAGAGCAGTCATCAGTCTCTGGACAAATCCAAAATGGTCGCGACTTCCCTCGAAGATGCAAAGGCGTTACTGTCCCCGAAGCAAGACCGTATTCGTCAACGCAGAATGCTCATAGAAGGAAAGAAGTCTGAACTGTCCTCGGAACTGGTTGTCATGATCAAGGACTCACATTGGCGCAAGGCTCAACGCGTTGCAGCTCTTGTCATTGGTCTTGACTACCGTTACGAGACTATTGCCTCGGATGGTATGCTTGATCTCGTTGTCAAGGGTGTCATCGACTCACATCCGTCACTGCGCGTGCTTTTCGCCAATGCTCTGCTCGCCATCTCTAGTCTGATACAGACAAGATCCATGACTGAGCACAAGTATGAGAACTACCTTCTCGACAAGCAGTTCCCGCCTGATCGCATGGTCGTCGAGACCAAGTCAGACGACCCAAACTGGACTAAGCAATACCTGGACGCCTTCTCGCAGCCTGAGGTAGAGTACTATGTCGATGCCGAATATCCTGGTTGGCTTGTCTGGGACAAGGTGATGCGTGTGTCGAAGAATCATGCTGTCGACTTGGATTACGATCAGGTCGAAATGGATACTCGTAAGCGTATTGGCATGCACATTGATCGTCAATGGATTTCCGTGTTCTTTGATTACATGAAGCAGGAGCCCCGTGACAATCAAGATCGATTCCGCACCACGAACTGCACGGTCATGTCTTGGATATTGGATCTGGTCATGGTCGGATTGACACCGGCAACATTTGACGACGTTGTCGATCTCACCAAGGCCACTTTTGGCGATGGTAGCGATAAGCATCAACACCGCGCCACTGCAGAGATCATGGGTGCTTTGATCAATGCTGCTGAAGACTGCCAACCCAAGGTGAAGGAAAAGGTCTGGGAGTTTGTCTTCCCTCTTCTCGAGCGTGTCTTCCAGGATGGTCTGACGCCCGAAAACCTTTCATACTGGAGCAGTTTCCTGACTCTCACTGGTTGCGCAAGAGATCCTCGACGATGCTGGCCTCTCGTTGACTACTTCTCAAGCTTCAGATTGGACATGTCTACCAATGCTGCTTTCAAGGAGAGCTCCAAGATCACTCTTCTGCAGCTCGTCATCGGCACCTTTGGCTGGCATTTCCAGAACGAGAAGCCTATCCTGGAAGATTTCTTGAAACATCTCGATCATCCTTACAAGGGTGTTCGTGAGAACATTGGTCACACATTGTCATCAATCTACCGTAGTCGTTACTACGAGGGATACTCGGATGTCACGACTCTGATGGAAACTCAGAAGGCCGCGTCTTCCATTGGTACGCGGCCTTTCCAAGCAACAGATGAGTTCCGCGCAACCATCAAAGATGTCTTTGATAGACTTGAGAAATGGCGTCAAGAACGACCTCCTGGTATCCAGACTCCGACACCGTACACACAGGCCAGTAAGACCGTGTTGTACTGGCTAGAATCGACGGTCAATAACTATGACTGTACCACCCTTGTCGAGTTCTTGCCCGATCCTTTCATGCAGCAGCTCTTGAACATGATGGACGTCAAGGAAGACCCTGAGCTGCAATCTCATGCATGGAGCGTGTTCAAGCAGTTCCCCAATATTCCTCACAGGAAGGGTGAAGACGAGGCTCTCGCAAAGAGTCTTGTCGAGATTGGCAGAACTAGCCCTGCCTGGCATCAGCGTCTTCGCACCTTGATCAACATCCAAGTGCTCTACTTCCGCTATCTATTCATCATGGAGTCGCCGCGTCGTGAGTATCTACTTAATAGCGTCAGAGACATGTTGCACGACACACAGCTTGAAGTCCGTCTTGGAGCTGCTCAAACCATTTCCGGCATGATTCGCTGCTCACCCGTCGAATTCCGCGACAAAGTTGTTACAGACTTGAAGAAACACTTTACACAGCTGCTTCTCAATAACCCTCTGCCTAAGCGCGGCAAGAACGCCGGGCCTCCCGGTACGCCTACACCTGAACAGAATCGCCTTGATATCACCCGCCACGCAGCTGTTCTTGGTCTTGGCTCGCTTGTGCAGGCCTTCCCCTACGCCAGTCCACCTCCACAATGGCTTCCTGAGATATTGGCTACGCTTGCCATGAAAGCCGCTAATGATCCTGGTGTCGTCGGCAAAGCTGTCAAGACGATCCTGAGTGAGTTCAGAAAGGTCCGCCAGGATACCTGGCATGTAGATCTCAAGGTAAGAACGATGTCTACTTATACAACTCATATGAGCATTTACTGACGTTATGATCAACAGGTTTTCCAACCCGAACAGCTAGAGGATTTGGAAGGTGTTTTGTGGAAGAGTTACTTTGCATAGAAGGGGGTACGATGGAACCCATTTTCACTTTTCAAGCGAGCTTATGCATTTCTCGTTTTCGGGCTTGCTGCATCATTATTGCAAGATTCTCCTTTTTCTTGTCTCACGTTGCATGAAAGAAAGGGTAGGCTATCCATGTAGACAATTCGGAATCAAGACTTTTTTTTGTTACATGGGTTCTCTCGAGGATGCCACGGATGCGAGGCGAGGAGTCACTGTGTTCGATTTGTGGGTTGATGGACTCGCGGCGTACATCGACTGTCTCGCCACTGGAGAGGCGATGTTGGCGGAGGTACTGTGTGCTGTGTCTCGGAACATCCATGCCACAAGCGTGTCTTGGGTAGCAGGGCCCCTCACGAGCAGGGCGTCCCAATTTGGCCACCGCTGTGAAGGAGCTGAACAAGCACAACGCGCCGCTCGAGGGACGACTTGCACATGTCAGCGCCAAAGGAGTAAAGCGTAAAGGTAAATTCGGTCGAACAAAGTCTATAGTACCATGTAATCGAGCAAGTCTAGTCTAGGATGGGATTACGGTGTCGCTACATCGCATGCTGGTACTTCAAAACCAAGTCAGCCATTTGCCGTGGATGAGTCCTCGCCACAGACTGAGTGGTACAGGCCACATGCGCCAGTATCCGAGATTACGACCTGCTTCGCCCAACGGTGGCAGAACAAAGCAACACCACGCCATGAACCATAAGATGTTCAACATCACGTATACCGATTTCGGCGTACCGAGACGACGTAAGATTATCGAGGCAGCCATCTCTATTGCGAACCCGACTGGCTGTAACCAGAAGAATGTCGCGATCCGCAGACGAATTTGATTAGCTGACTCAACTGCAAACATTGGATCTCTGGGTACGAGACCGATATGCACGATACCAGACAAGAAGAATGTAGTCGCGGCTAGCAAAACATAGCGAGCATAGCTACGACGAGACAAGTGCAGCAAGTCTGAAAGCCAAACTCCCGGGCTTGAGCAGTAGAATCTCAAGGTCTGATGCCAGTAACGACCCCAGAAGTTACGAACTGCACCCAAGCTTGAGGTTGTAAACATGGCTCTGAAGCTACCAAAGAAAGTTGGCCAGAGATGTGGACTCCAGGCATCAGGGAGGTAGCCTGCCCAGTGCAACGCTACTGGCACAGTGCAAGGCAACTGAAACTGCTGACCTACTGTCGCCCAGACCTGAAGTGCCATAATGGCAGAGCGAAGCAGTCTAGGCGGCAAGATCGTGACGAGTCCGGATTGCGGCAAAGGCGAATCAATGCTCACACCGAATGGAATCATGGGAAGGCGAGCCGATCTTCCAATCCACGAATCGCATCGTAATGATCAGTGTTCCGATCCAAGGTAGCCTCTCATTCCAGTTGCTAGGGTATGACTGCTCGACATACCGCGGTGTCGTAGATTCATCCTTGACGCTAATGTTGGCACTGTTGCCTAGTAGCGGTGTCTGGTTTCCCTTCGCGGTGGCTGGCTCGGACCTCTCTGTGGCGACTACTCTGCGGAAGTGCCGGCGCGGATCGTTGAACAGGAGCAGGTGATAGCTATGCAACAGCATATCGAATGAGATGACATCTATACCGCCCATAACGATCCAGGCATGTATGAGGGAAGCTGTGATGATGGGTAACGTGATCGCACATAGTGCCTGCTTTGAGATGACCCATGGCGGTATCGCGAAGGCAATTGGGAGTATTACCAGTGGAATGAAGTAGCTCAGGCTTTGCGGTCCAGGCACAATGCGATTGACCAGCTTATCGTATGTCAGCGCCGTCGCCATGCTATCTCTTCCGAAAGGTGGTCAGTCTGTTGGCCATCTTGGTTGGTCACTCAAGAAATGTGTCCATCAGCGATTGCAAAGCTAGGCTGTCATGTCGTCATGGAGTGTATCCAAGAATTATATGCACATTTTTCAAAAGACCTGATCTGATCGAAGACAGTATCCATTTTATCATGGTCGTACGAACAAGAAGACAGAGCATCTATGCTTGCACCAGAGTACAAGAAAATGGCGCAACATCATCTTCAGTACCGATTCTCGCCTACGAAGCCCTGGTGTCGGACCACCCACTGTACGACGACTCACACCAGTCTGACGAGAGCCTCAGCAAGTGAGCCTCAACGACTCAGCAAACAAGGAAGCAGAAATGGTGGGGAAATGGCATGAAATTCAAAGATCGATTTTACGATTCGGTAATGCATAGAAGCTTCGAGCCTTCTTCCACAAACGTCTCTGCGTTTTAACGTTGCGGCGATACGGACGTAGCATGGGGAATGGGCGGGAAAAAGCTGTGTACTTCCATACCGGGACGGTCTCATGATGCGCTCGAAATGGACAGGCGCTCCCACCTTTGTGACTCTCACGCGACCTTTGGCTTGGGCGTTTGCAGGCAACCACGATCATGATCAATGGCAAGGCTGCCTAAAAACTCGGCCCGCCTCAAGACCTGCCTAGTTGGTACGAGATTGCAAAAGACAGCAGACAACAGGTGGTGGGTGTCAAATTTATTCAACAAGCGAGAGGGAAGGGTAATCGGGAGGAAACAAGTGGACGATGAGCTGCAGCTAGGGAATGGCTGGACAGGGTCAGTGAGGGTCTCGACGATTCGGAGATGGTGGAATTCGTCATGCTTGGAAGTTGGAAGGAGGAGGAGGCGGTTACTCGAATTTCAGTCGGAAGGCGGCTTCGGACGCCCTGGTGACTCAGTAGTGGAGGCCCGGGGAAGCACTTTCGCTGCCTTCCCTGCCTCTTGAACACTTATCGACTCATCGCAACAATGACAGATCAAATCAAGAAGAACATCCACGGTGCTGCACGCGAGTAGAGAGAGCAAAAAACACGTCGGGTCATCGCGCGAAACAGAGAAATCTCGTAATCTATTCGCGGTCTCTCTCCACGCGGTGAAGAAGATCAGGTCGCCTTTGCTGCCTCCGCTTCTCGCCCTCGCCACTTTGCCTCTCCGCCGCGCCCAGTCACCTTGAGTCACCAAGTCCACCTGGTTGATCATCCGCCTATATCCTCTGTTGTTTCGACCCTTTCTCTACCTGCAATACCTTCTCTCATCTTTGTCCGAGAGGTCTTTGTCATTTGTGTTTCCGAATACCCTCTCTTTGACTCTTCTCCGCTCTACCTTAGCCTTCACCTGCCTTACTCCACCCAAGCTCCTAATCGCCGCTTAAACCCTCCACCTACACCACAACAACCGACTACACCTTGCTCCAACAAAATCACTGTCACTCTGGTCCTGAATCTGGCGCGTTAACCACCAACCTTTACTGTCGCCTCTTTCTTCGCCGCACCAGGCAGCTATGCTCATTGGGTCTTCGCTTGTTATCACTCCAGTCGCTTCTTACTCGAAATCTATCACCAAACCTCAAGAGATGGCCTTTTACATGTGGTAAGCCCTGACAGGGCCCAACCGCTGTCAACTCCTGCCGCACTTTCCTAGACGGAAACAAAGTGCCCTAGGAGTCATCATTTGAACGCTGGTGCCTTCGCGTACTAAAAGCTGACTGGAAGACTGCTCTTCTGTCATATCACAACGGTTTACTCTTCCCGGATACCTCTACTCTTTGTTCCAAACACAACCACACATACCACATACCCCACAATATGGATTTCGCTCCTACATATCTCTGTCGTCGCTCGATGGTCTCCCAAGAAAACATTAGAGTCCACGACAACCTCCACACACCTCCCTCTTCTCAGCCCTCGTCCCAGACTGACTGCAAAATTGTACCTCCCGAACAACGTCGCAATCCTCGCCGCAGTCAGGCAAATGTTCTCCTAAAGCCTCCCACTCTTGTACGACAAGAAGAGCGCAAGGCTACCTTTGTCGATGGCCTCGTTGGTACGTGTCGATCACCGTGATATACTGCTCGAGTCCCCGGCTAATCCCTCTCAGACTCTGCCGCCCAAATGGTAGAAGTCATTTGGCCTTTGTCGGTCGCCCCTTGCAAGCCTCAGGCTGGTGGCGTCTTGTCCTTGCGCAGGTATATTGAGGAAACCCTTCGCAGATCTAGAACAAGTTATTCTACCTTACAGGTGGCTTTGTACTATCTTGTCCTGATTATGCCTTCGGTTCCCAAATCTGATTTTACCATGCAGCAATCGGTTGACTCACCGTCGGTTCGATCCCTGCAATGCGGCCGTCGCATGTTTCTTGCATCCTTGATCTTAGCATCAAAGTACCTGCAGGACCGCAACTACTCTGCCAAGGCATGGAGCAAGATGTCGGGCCTTAAGGTCGCTGAGATCAACCTCAACGAACGTGCTTTCCTTGCGGCAGTCAACTGGAAGCTTCATATTCCTGACCATCTCTTCAAGCGTTGGACTGATGTTGTTCTGCGCTACACCCCTGGCCAGGCTCCTCCACCATGTGGACAGAGCTTCTCTTCCGAGCAAGAATGCTGGAAGACTATCATTCCGCAACTAACTCCAGACTTGGAGTTTGTCGCACCTACTGCAGCAGAAGCTGTTGTTAGCACACGAGCAGAATCGCCCGTTGCAACATACGCATCGTTGCCATCATTTCTCGAGCCCCAGACAGAAGTCAGACCTCGCACCCCTGTGCTCGGCCTCAGCTATCTTCCCACTCCTCGCTCTACTCCTCCACCTGCCGTCGCTCCTGCAGCGAGCGTTGGCAGTGCCGAGATGTGCAGCCTCGGTGGCAAGTTTAGTCGTCGCTCATCATTTGGCAGCCAGGTTTCTTCTGTGCTAAGCCCAGCAGCCTCGATGGTGTTTGAGGCATCTCGATCGTCACCTGCCTCGTCAGTGTCATCCACCAGCTCATACCAGCAGGACGGCATGGTCAAGATTTCATCAGTGAAATCAAAAACTTCTTTTACAGCATGGCAGTCGCAATTAACCGCGTATGACGCTCAGCCTCAGGCCAGCCGACCGGTCAAACGCAGTCAAGAGGAAATGTCTGACTCGGAAGAATATGAGGTTCGAGGACCTCTCCAATCGACAACATGCTCGCTGCTTCAGCAATACGAGGGAAGCAAGACATTGCCTATTGTTCTTGACGATGAGGACTACACCAGCACTAGCATGGCAGCAGAAGTCGCCAGTGCACAGGCAATGAGCCAGCCTACATGTATGAATGCTTTCGAAGAGGACAGAAAGCGTAGGCGCGTGGCATAAGATGGCTGTAAGCAGCCATGGGCTGACCGGGCTCTTGATTGCGGCGCAATAGTCGGCAATCAAGGAAAGACCACGGATCAGTACCAAATGAATTATTTGAACCCAAACCAAAAAGCATGTCCTTTGACAAAAGCTTTGATGAAGTCATTTTTTCTGCTTGATACCACATGGAATCGGGGAAGGATTATTGGGGAAGCTCTTTTTACTGAGCAGGCGAACGTAAGGCGCAGATAGCTGAATATTGAATGTACAGAGTCGGATTTTCTCTCTACTTGATGACTCATTGCTGTCCATGTCTCTCAAAAATGTGGTAACGTTATCGAATGAAGTTGGTGATCGAAGGCGGATGGCCATGCGGCGAAGCTTGACCTTCTCTCTGTGGCCTTGTTTAGGTCGCGGTATAGGTTAGACTCTCGATTTGACCATGATTGAGCTCGGCCTTTGTCGAATGGGATATATAAAATGTGTTTCTCTCCAGCGCAGAAGCACGCTATCATTCATCTCTAGCCTCTCTCTTGCCAAAAGTGTATGCCAGACCACCACTGACAATGTTTGCAGCGCAAAGACCCAGAGTAAGACCTCTGATGGCGCCTCTAGCACCAAACTTGCTGGTAAAAGCTTGCTTTCTCCTCCTCGCGACGACCAAGTATGCAGCACTCCACGCAGAAGTGACACCAGCAGAGTCGACGGGGAAACCGTTCAGGTTGAGGTACGAGGAGAAGAGCAGGACGGGGACGAAGAGCATGGGTAGCTTCTGGAAGGGACGGAAGTGTTGGGCGGTGATGAGGGTTGCGAGGGCGGTGGGAGGGACCGAGGACTCTGTGAGAAAAGTGTTAGTGAGGTGGATAGGAAGAGGAAGAGGAATTGGACGGACCGCCCCATGCGCGCATGTAGGTGAGGACACCCTCTTTGGCCTCTGTGGTTGCGTCTTGTCCTGGCATGGGCATGATGTGTGGTGTGTGAATTGGTATAGTGGATCAGATGGAGCAGAGATGCAATGCAATGCAGGTGGAAACGGCAGGTGGAAATGCCGTCATACTCGGGCCCCAAAGCCAATCGCTTGCAAGCCCAAGAGCCGCGAGTGACCCTGACCTTGTCCTGCCCCGTGTTGCGCCAACGAGAGCCGAGTCAAGTCTGGCCCGCGACGCTGATAGAGGCCAATTATCCACTTCAATCCGCGACCATCTGTTCACATATACCAACTACCCAAATCAGTCGACTAGACTCTCCGACACTCCCTCAGGGGCTCTCGCCTCTCTCTCTCTCTCTCTCTCCTTCCAAACACATCACCATGTCGGAAAAGCGCCAACACCATGACGGCAGCAGCGGCCGCGCCTTTACCGTCGACCAAAAGGCCGCCGTCGTCCGCGTTCGTAAATGCAGTCCGACAGCTTTCTACGACATCCTCGGCCTCGAGGCCACAAAAACATCAGCAACAGAATCAGACATCAAAAAAGCATATCGCAAACTCAGTCTCCTCACACATCCGGACAAGAATGGCTATGATGGCGCAGACGAGGCTTTCAAGATGGTCGCTCGTGCGTTTGCTGTGCTGAGTGATGCGGACAAGAAGGCCAAGTTCGATCGCTTTGGAGGTGATCCGGATAGCAGGTTCCAGGGTGCAAGTTCCAGCTCGGCGAGTCCCTTTTCTGGGGGTGGTGGTGCTACGAGGAGGGGACAGGCTGGTGGTATGTTTGATGATGAGATTAGCCCTGAAGATCTGTTCCGTCAGTTCTTTGGCGGCGGCGGTATGGGTGGTGGTGGTTTCGGCGGTATGGGAGGTGGTCCCTTTGGTATGCTCTTGTTCAACTTTCACAAAACTTCTGCCTGGTCACGTACTAACCAGCAACAACAGGCGGCGGACTTTTCGACGGCCCGGGCTTCGTCTTCAATATGGGAGGAGGTCCCGGTGTGCGTGTTCACCAGTTCGGCGGCGGCGCACCACGACGACGACCTCAACCACCCAGAGACCCAAACGCTCCACCACCCTCAATCCTCCAATCGCTACAATCTCTCCTCCCGCTACTCCTCCTCTTCATCTTCCCCCTTCTCTCTGGCCTCTTCTCCGGCGCTACGCCCTCGGGCCCCTCGGTCCGCTTCGAGTCCGTATCTCCCTTCACGCAACAAAAGATCTCCAACTACAACCACCAAATCCCCTACTACGTCGACCCACGCGAAGTCTCGGATCTCACGGCGCGGAAATGGAGAGACTTGGACAAGAGGGCGGAAACCATTTACGTGCAGCAATTATCGAATGAGTGCGAATTGCAACAACAAAGGAGGACGCAAATGTATCAGCAGGCTCAGGGTTTCTTCTTTACAGATCAGGACAAGATGCAAGAGGCCAGAAGGATGGAAATGCCTTCTTGCAAGAAGTTGAATAAATTGGGCTACAGGACTGGATGAGCAAATATGGTATCTTTGCTAGACATCCATCCCTGTTTGATTGTTCTTTCTCTCATCATCTGCCGTGAGGTATAGATATATCCACTTCTCCCTTCTCCTCTGCATTGCGTCTTGTTCAAGCGTCTGCGTTCCGCGTCTTGTTAGACATGCCGAGCTAAACACACTCTGCACGCTGCACTTCTCTCCAAAGAACACATCTCTCTATTCACGACTATCTTCTTATCCCTCGGCCGCTTGTTGTCAGCTCTATGCATCCAGACTTGATCATTCTCGACAATTCTCATGCCTTTTAGGCCAGACTGTTCTGCCAGTACATGGCCGCACCTTCCCATGTTGACTTTGCATCTTCCGCAATGCATCTTCACTACACTTTGGATCATTATCTCGCTGTCTCTTGACTTAGCTTCACTGTATTCGGATCTTGACTCATACTCGACCATTTGTACTCTCCACTCTATCGTCTTGTCTTTGTGCATTCTTAGCTTTACACTGCTGTTCTGCCTTGAGCATCTTGTTCCAGTGCTGTCGTCATAGGAGGATTTGCATCGTCCCATGTCAACTTACTGAGGGAATCACCCTGATCACAATCACAACTCTACTTTTCTCGCTCTCGAGCCCTCTTCCTACCATCACAAATTCACTAGATGTGACTCTCCAGCTCTCCAATATGCCAGGTGTCACTCTTGACCACTCGGCTCTTCATGACGGTGCCACACCACATTTACCATAATTCCAATCCCCAGATTCCTCTCCGTCATGCATCCCACCAACCACCTCTGACGACATATTCAAAACCACAAACCACAGGTTCCACAGACACGGTAACCCCAAACCTTGCTATACCTTGTGATGATGTTCTCTTATTTCCCTCCATGTCTATAAACTCATAAAACTTCCACCACAGGGTCCACATTCTTTATACCCGGGGAAACAATGTCACTACCGCAGTCTGGTCAATTTGCCACAGCCACGCGGTAGCTGGCGGAACAGAAGTGAGTAAGGAAAGTTCTATACCTTTTGTAAACACCCGCCTCCTCCTCGGACTAGCAATCCTCGGGGCTCTGCTACCACCGTGTTTCTTCCTATGACTTCATATGAGAAAAGAGAGAATCAAAACTGGTACAAAAGTAATCCACTGATGGAAACACCTAGGAGTTGCGAGGGAGTCTAGATGTTGGTTGGAGAAAGCTCGAAGGGGGAGGTAAGGGTAGGTAGAGTTTATCCCCCTCCCCCCCCCATACGGGAAGAGTTGTGGGCTCTGTATCTCTCTCCCAAATGTTAATTGCGTCATGCGTCATTGTCAAAATGTGAGAAACTGATTGAAGCTAGGAGTATCTCGACGTCAGATACGGGAGGTGCATGTAGAGTGAGAGTGAGAGTAGACGTAGGGAGAGGAGAGGCACATGCCAATTACAATATATGCAACAAAGAGGTTGACCAATAATACTATCTTCCCACCTCCTTAGGCATAGAGAATCTCATCGGAAGGAGCAACAAGAAGCACCACACTCCAAGAGAAGAAAAGTGTATGTAAAACATGTTCATCTGTAAGAAGAAAACAACAAAGACAAAGCGGAGCGAAAACCCATGCTCGACGCCCTCGAATAAAAACCCACCCCATCCCATAAGTAAAAATCAACCGTTTTCCAGTATTTTCTAAGAGGAAACTCCTGATGAACGCCGTCGCTGTGTTGGAAAAGGGAACAAGTACAAAAGAAACATGCATCCTTGATGCAGGACCGATCAGATTTAAGTGCCTTTTGTCGTAATCACCGTAAACGCCATGTAAAAGACCGCAACGGCCAGAACCATTACGTGGATGGGTGTAGAGGTTGGTCGTCACCTGACCGATATGCGAGCAGTCTGGTCAAGGTGCTGTTCATCCTTCGATTTGATGGCAGCGACATCCTCGTAGGTCGGGATTTTAGTCTGCTGCTTCAGGTGCCAGAAGCCGTCGTTGGGCTCTGGTGGCGGTGTGGGTAGCCAGCCTTGTGATTGTGCGATGGGTAGCACGATGCTAGGATCAAAAGATTTGATGAAGCGCATGTCGTCGTCGCGGCACTTGGGGTATGAATAATCGCGGTACTCGGCAACAGCTGGATCGTTCTGGATGTATTGTGTCTTGCGGAAGCAGGCCGTGACACAACCAGTGCGATGCTGTCCTTGAATTAGCATCACGTGAATACGAGTATTAGACGATGTGGTCAACGAACCTTGCCACGATTACAGTGGATGAGAAGAGGGTGATTGTTGCGATTCAGGACGACGGCAAGAGCAGTTGCCATTGTTTCTGGAGTAATGTTGACCTTTCCGTCTTTGTTGGCGGGTATGTGGATCTGATAATGGCGAATGTGGTTCTGCTCCATGAAGGTAATGTACTCTTCTGACAGAGGCTCGGGAACCAGGGTGCTGTGCGGCAAGTCAGAAAGCGTGAGGTTAGACCAGCAGAATCAAGACGTACAGAATGGTTCTGATGTTCAGGCTGTTTATGAAGTCGAAGTTCTTACTGGTTGGGTAACCACTTCTGTAGATGGAGTTTGTCTCGACGGCACCGAAGTTGACCGGCGGGACGTACATTCGCAAGCGTCCTGGGAGAGGGGCGATGCTGAGTTTCGGATTCATGTTCTCTTGAGCGGCCATGGTAGCCTTGTCTTGTTTGGACACTGGTGGATCGAGTCAGTGCCGGTACGGAACGACAGACGGAGCGGTAGTCACACCTTTCACGTCGCTAAGGCCGCCGACGACGGGCTTGAGGAGCGTCGAATCGCTGAGCGACTCGCGAGCCTCGATGTGGTTGAAGGCAGGGTCGATTCTGGCAGGCATGTTGAAATTGGGAGAAAGGATATGTCGCGTGACAGTCGTGTCTCAGGCGAGTCTTTGCGGGCGTGGTGAGTAGAGGATAGTATGGAATTGCGACGGTCGGTGTCTGCGGTCGGCAGCAGGCGCGTAGAAGTGCTGGATGGACAGCTGCTACAGCGTCAGAGGGCAGTCCAGCGTGAAGCTGTCGTCGCTGGTGCGCACATACCGTGATAGTCAGACCATCACGAGGAGCCGATGAGCGACATGGTGGGGTTGGTGTTGATGCGGAAGAGGCGCATGTTGACCGGGGTGTGGGTGTTTGGAGGTGTGCAGGTGAGAAGGGAGGATGTCGTTGTTCAGGAAGTGGAGTGAGTCCTCCTACGGAGACGAAAGGCTGAAAGGGCGCCGCTTGGAAATACGTGCGGTGGAGTCGGTCGGGAGATGGTCGAAATCGGGAATATTGCTCCTCGCTCGAGGCTAGAGCCCAGAAACTTAGTCTGAAGCGGCGTCCGGCCCAGCTAGGCCCGTTGACGACTTCCCATTCCCATTCACGTGCCCTTTCCTCAAGAATTTCCACAAACTCGTCATCGCTCGTTGCTGCCTTCGTCCTTTCATGCACGAAACCATCATTGTTCATCCCGACTTGTTCCTGCTCTGCCGTGCGCAGTCGACTCACTCGTGACCATGCATGACCCAAATGCTTTTACGACTCATGCGAAAGTGAAAGTGAAAGTGTGTGGTCCTGCGTCCGCCTACTTTCACCAATCTTCTCCATTGGCTCGCTTGCCCGCACTCTACTTTGTCCGCGACCCTTCGTATCCCGGTAGCCAGTCTTTGTCTCTGAATCCAACTCTTTGACTCCCGCAAAATGTTCCTCTCCCACAGCTACAGTAAACTAGCCAACCCCCTCTTTTGTGTAAATGTCTCGAGATCCTCACGCCTTTGCCATCCATCCCGCCTGTCATTATTGCCCAGATCCAAACATGGGGAAATGTTGAGCAGATCAACGTCTGATCGTCTGTCCTGTGCCAAACTCTCTCGTCACCCCCAGCCTTGTCATCTAAGCATACACCTGATCGCACCGTTGTAATTGCACGTCATCGTCTTGATATACCAAGCCCGCTCTCGTGCAAAGAAGAAAGTAGTTCATTGACGCCTATGACAAAATATTACACCGATCTGAATGCGCAGTGCAGGTGATTTGGAAAAAAAAAACAGTGACCGACGGGAAGCAAGGGGGGGATATGTGGGTAAAGACCTGAGCGACTTGTACTGAGAAAAGGAAAAAGACAAGACGTAGATGTGCGTGAGCCGAGCAAGACGAATGATCAAGACCATCGGTGCCATGTCCTCGACCAACTTTGACATTGCTCTGCGTGCATGCCTTCTCCATCCCGCTCGCTGAATAGTGGGCAACGTGTCTCTTGTGGTGCGGAAAATGACAACCAAGAAACTCCAATCCGAACGCCGCCATGTTGCAGAACCAAGGTATAAATCTGGGGGATGTGCAAGTCTCTCAGGCCTCGAACTGCTTGTTATCGTTCAGTTGGCAAAGCAGCAGCCGTTTGAAAGACGCGACATGGAAAAGAGCGCTTCGTCCATGGTCATGAAACCATGTTTTGTTCTCCATGCCTTGAGGGGGTTGATCGCGTAGTTGGGCCTGCCCGCTTACAGGATCAGGCACTTCTTGCGGCTGCTACTCCTCTCCTTTCTTGAGGTAAGGGCAGCACGAGTGGCATGCTCAAAGACCTCACGGACACCCTCGTTGGTCTTGGCCGAGCACTCAATGTACTCCTTGGCACCGATCTTGTCCTTGACTTGTCTAGCCTGTGGTATGTGTGAGTTTTGGTTCACGTCTTAGTCAAAGAGTTAAACGCACCTGCTCCTCGGTGACGGGAGTTTGCGAGGTCTTGTGAAGCTCCTCGATGGTCTTCTGGTCGTGTCTGAGATCCTTCTTACATCCAACGAGGATGATGGGAAGACCCTGGCAGAAATGCAGGACCTCGGAGATCCACTATCAAAAACAAATCATGTCAGCATGCAGCTAGGCACGTGAGGCGGCAGTTCAAGATATGCGGCGTACCTTCTCCTGGACGTTGTCGAGAGAGTCGGGGGAGTCGACAGCGAAACAGATCAGGATGACGTGCGAGTCAGGGTAGGAGAGAGGGCGAAGTCTGTCGTAATCTTCCTGGCCAGCGGTATCCCAGAGGGCGAGTTCGACGTGCTTGCCATCAACCTCGACGTCGGCGACGTAGTTCTCGAAGACGGTAGGGACGTAGACCTTTGAGTAGCTATGTCAGCACATCGGGTGCACAATACTAGGGAATGCTTATCGCGGCCGGGCGTGGGAGGTTGGCGGGGAGTGCGACGAAGAGGGGAAGCGGGTTGAGCGACGACAAAGAGCGAAAGGGGTTACGGAGAGACAAACCTCAGGGAAGGTACCCTTGGAGAAGACACTGTCGACAGCAAGTCAGCAAGGCATGATCAACAGACGACACACAGACGGCGCTCGTTCTTACATGAGAAGACAGGTCTTTCCGCATGCACCATCACCAACGATAACGAGCTTGCGACGGATTTCCGCCATTGTGGAGAATGATCAACAAAGAGACTGTAAGGTATTGAAAAGTGAGCAAGTTGACCAGGAGATCAGGCCAAGGCGCAGGTGGAATGTTATGGAGATAGGGTGTGAGTCGGCAACGGTGATGTGATGTTGGCTGGCAGGCAGGCGACGAAGAGGAAGGAAGCGCACCTGGCTGGAAGCTGGACTTGGCACAAGCGTTGACGCGGACACGGTTGTTGGGGTTTGTTTTGGCTGCAGAGAAACAACACACGTCCTTGTTTTCCGTCCTGACTTGCTTATGTCTCTCTATCTTGTCTTGAGATGTGAACACAATGTGGCAAGAGAGCAGACAGGCAGGCAATCACGTCAAATGGTCCGGTCGACGAGTATCAAACAGCGAACAGGGGAACGTGTCATTACACAGATTGCGCAGAGTAATTATTATAACGCTAGCACAACACCACGGCTCCCGCGGTATTCGAAGGGGGGCCTTCGAGAAATCCTCCATGCCATGTCTTGCGTGGCTTCGACATGCACGCCTTGTGTCGTTATCGCTGCACTGCCTATTTGTCCTTCTTCTTCCCCCGTGTAGCGCCTGAGTGTCTGAGTGTACGGCACCTATCCTGCCTGTGACGGTCACTTTCCTGCGCCTCGTTCAACACTGCATCCACGACGCTCGGATCACGTTGGATAAATTAGCTTTGTTTTGTCCAAAATGCGCCGAGAGGGCATGCACTGTCGATGTCTACCGTCATGAGCCACATGCTGTGCCACAGCAACCCGAATCATCATGCCTCATTTCCATACGTGTGTCTGTCACCGTATTGGGTGATGTTTCGGGAGTTCATCCGAGGAGTCATGTCGGCCAAGGGCATAGTCTCATCTAGGAACACTGAATGTTACCAATCTCCTTGCTGCAGATTGCGATTCGATGAAAAGAGTTATTCGACCTGAGGAAGGCACAAGGCGTGATGCGATCAACCAGATATTACCTCTTTGGGTGAATGGTCTCCAGCTCTGCTCGACAATAGAGCAAGTCGGACAAGCAATCAACGGGCTTTCCCGAGCGACATAATGCTGGATAAGACCGCAGCAAGTAGTCCTCACACTTTGATATTGAACATGATCACTTGGTAGAAGCGCAGACATGCAGGTCATTTTTAGCATGTTTGGACGCAAGGGATTGGAATCGTGGAGGACCCCACTCATGTGTTTGTGGAGAAGTTGACTTTCACAGAGATACAGAGCAGCCTGAGAACTAAGACGTATATTCTCGATATAAGATCAAGACGGAGGCCGTCGAGACTGAGCTCAAGAATCGCGTGCTCCAGGTTTCCAGACAGCTGCCACGGTGCAGTATTTCTTATGCTGATCAGTATGCCCGGCTCCGTGAGAGCGCCAAGGACATTTGTGCTATTGTTATAACACAATTTGTGTACTATGACTGTTCTACTAGCATGTGATTTTGGACTGACAATAATCACAAGACAGAAATACCGTACAATTGTCTCTGAAGGTGAAGTGCGAGACGTTAGTACCTCTGAGGCTCAGGGGCAAAGATCGAGCGAGCAAACAGAACCGTCCTCAGAGCTTAGTCTTATACTATCACACGCATTAGTCACGACTAGACAAGCTAGAAACAGCAAATGAACATCTTGTTTGGTGTATGTATCAAGAGTGTTTTCGCATTCGAGAAAATTCCAACGGGTATTTGAAGCTTAGGACGGCGATAAAGGCGGCGATAAGGCAGTCGCGAGCGTCACTCTGAGTGTAATTCACCTCTAGACAACTCACTCAACCCAGGTCACCCGTCCGACTTCTCACTACTCTCCGAACCAGGTCTGCTAGAGGCGCGCACGCTATATTTTCTTGTCGCCAAAATTCACTGCCGTTCTATCAATACACCCGCCACACAAAATGGCCGAATCCGAAGCAGACAAGGTATCTTGAGTTCGCGTCGCTGTCAGAGCGTTCACTTCTCTCAGCTCGGATCTAACATGGACAGATCCGCAACAAGCGCCTTGCTAAGCTAGGAGGTGGTTCAGGACCGTCTTCACCATCACCATCATCTTCCAGCGTTGCGCCTCCACCAGCCTCACCTTCGCCCGCCGAACAAGCTACGCCGGCACAGCCAGCAGGCAATCCCTTTCAACAGTTAGGCATCAAATCCGAGGCCAAACCACCTACAAAGATCAACATTACTCCCTCGTCTGCTCAGAAGCGCCCCAACGAAGACTCATCCGAGCCGAGATCACGTCCACAGGCCTCGGAATCTCTGGAAACATGGGAGGACCGCCAGCTCAGCCAGATATTCCGTCTGTCGTTGAAGCCCGAAGTCATACGGGACGGATCTTCACAGCCTCTGTATTATATAGAGAGCGTGAGAGAAGACTTGCTTGATCAAAACGAACCACTTCAGCTCAAGACCAGCCTGCTGGACCAGGCTTTGCCTGAAGCTGCCGGCCTGCTGAAGAACACCACACCACTGGACTATCTGCTAGCATGTTGGAAACGTATCTCCAAGGCTTGCCGAAACATGAGAAGCACGGACGTTGAGAATCCAAGATACAAGGTCTTGATGGAGGCAAGGCGACTCTGCATGAGCTATTGCATCTTTGCCATCACCATGCCCGAGATGTTCGGCTTTGAGTCACCACCGGAGAATACACTAGCCAAGCACCTTCTCGAAGAGCCCACAAGCGACTCTAGTATCGATCACGACTTCCTCAACGAGGCTGTCTCACGCTTCGAAGACGATGGGTCTATCAAAGACGCTTTGGTTGGTGCTATAGAGCAGCTCAGCAGGCAGTTGGCTGTAATGTCCATGAACGACATCAAATACAAGTCCTATTTGACCGCCCTGAGAAACCTCATCCGGTACCCAAAGATTGTAGAGGCCATCACTCAATCGCCTGCCTTCCTGCCTGCTGGGATTGCAGCGCAGGACATCGAGATGGTGACCACACTGGGTCCGTTCTTCCGCCTCTCGCCACTTCAAAATGGTGTTGCGCAGAGCTTCTTCATCACACCCAGGTCAAAAGAGAGAGGATACATTGTGAACGCTCAACGGTCCCTTCGCATGACTCTGAACACTCACCAGGAAGAGCTTTTCGACATCGCCAACATGATTGTCAAGTCAGGAAAGGAGCCTCGTGAGAAATTGCTGGACTGGTTCGCTCATTGTATGAACACCAACCACAAACGTCGTGCCATGAGAGTTGACGAGAAGACGACCTCGTCCGACGGTTTCATGATCAATATCACAAACTGTCTCGACCGACTCTGTGACCCCTTCATGGATGCCACTTTCAGCAAAATTGACCGCATCGATGTCAACTACCTGCGAAGAAATCCCAGAGTCGACATCTCGGATGAAACCAAGATGAATGCAGACCAGAAGACATCCGACGCTTTCTATGAGCAAAAGATTGATGGTACCAATAACTTTATCTCCGAAATATTCTTCCTCACCGTGGCGGCCCACCACTACGGAACAGAGGCAGCTAGCACCAGAATGGAGCAGCTCCAGAAGCAAGTCAAGCACATGGAAAAAGAGCTCGAAAGGTTCGAAGGTGAAAGGCAGAAATACGCACACGATCCCAGATACGCCGCTCGCTTCGAACAGCATCTGCAGAAGTTCAGAGATGACGTTGACAGAATACACAGCATCATCCACGCCACTACCGGTGTGTTGCTGGATGAAGTTTCTCAAGCAAGATCGATGCAATTCATGAGATATGTCATTGTCTGGCTACTCAGCCTGGCATCCGGACAGAACCTTCCGAAGGAGCAACTCCGTCTACCTCTCCCAGAAGAACAACCTGACGTCTTCAGGTGTCTTCCCGAGTACTTCCTTGAGGACGTCGTCGATAACTTCAAGTTCATCACGCGCAACATTCCTCATATCATCACTTCCACTCAATGCGAAGAGCTTGCTACTGTATGCATCACATTCTTGCGTAACACTAGTTATATCAAGAACCCATACATGAAGGCTGGGCTGGTTACGATTCTCTTCCACGGCGTGTGGCCTTTCGGAAACTTCACCAAGGGTGTTCTAGGCGACCTTCTAAACGGCTCAACTTTCTGCCACAAGCATTTGCTGCATGCACTCATGCAATTCTACATTGAGTGTGAGAGCACGGGAACACATACAGCTTTCTACGACAAGTTCAATATTCGATACGAGATCTTCCAAGTCTTCAAGAGCATCTGGTCAAACCCTGTATACCGAGAGAGTCTTGGGAAGGAAGCGGAAGTCAACACCGAGTTTTTTATCCGCTTTGTCAACCTCTTGCTGAACGATGTGACGTACGTTTTGGATGAGGTCTTTGGCTCGTTCACCAAGATCCATGACTTGCAAGTGGAGTTGAAGGCGCCAGGCGCCGAGAACATGGAGCAGGCCATACGACAAGAGAAAGAGGAAGCTTTGACTGAACAGCAAAGCCGAGCCAAGTCGTATATGGGCTTGACAAAGGAGACTGTTGCTATGCTCACGCTGTTCACCGACGCTCTTGCCGGTGCCTTCACCATGCCGGAGATTGTGCAGCGTCTGGCAGATATGTTGGACTACAATCTTGACTCGATGGTAGGTCCCCGAAGACGCAATCTCAAGGTTGATCAGCCTGAGCAATATGGGTTCAAGCCTCGCGAGTTGCTGTCGGATCTTGTCGATGTCTACCTGAACCTGGCAAACCGAGAAAGTTTCCGTCAAGCAATTGCTCGTGACGGTCGCTCGTACAAGCCTGCCAACTTCGTCCAGGCGATGAAGTTCATGGAGGACTTTGCTCTCAAGTCGCCGGAGCAGATCAAGCGATTCAACGAGTTGACCGATGCCGTTGCACTTGTGCACGCTCAGGAAGTCATGGCCGAAGAAGACCTTGGCGAGATCCCTGATGAGCTCCTTGACCCTATCATGGGCTCTTTGATGGAGGACCCTGTTCTGCTACCAAGCAGCAAACAAATCGTCGACCGCAGCACGATTCGCTCACATCTGCTTTCAGATGCCACCGATCCATTCAACCGCGTGCCTCTAGCTATCGAAGATGTCTTACCAGCCGAAGACAAGAAAAAGGAGATCAAGGCATTTATTGAGATGAAGAGGCAGGAGAAGGTCGCCAACAGCGCTGGCGAACCCATGGATACAACTACATGATCTTCACGGTAATAATGACAATAAGCAATGATGAGCGCAGATAGAGATTTGCTGCAACAGCACACTCAGTGTTGACATGAATTCAAGCCCCGGCTCTTGTATCACGATCGACTTCGTACCTTCTCAATTTCGCCGATACATAATTAGCTTCGTCCTCGCTCAAGACTTGTGCCAGCTCTGAACAGTGATTGCGGTGACCGAGTTCACTATATATATCCTCCATTCATGTGCATATTGATAAGACAAGGCCTAGCTGGCAAGCGCTCTGAGGGCGACGAATCTTCAGTACTTGTCCATTACTATCTCTCTTGCCGTTTGCAGGAGCTTTCCATACAAAATTCGCACAAATCATCGCTTGGACAAAAGGAAGTCACGACTCGAGTTGATGAGACGATGAGGTGATAAGATGAGGCTCTTCACAAACGCCGCAAAGTCCGACCAGAACCACAAAAGTCAAGATCAGGCAACAATCGCCTGCTTATTTCACGTATACAGCAAACTTATCAAAACCACCAAATAAGAGCAACATGCGCCCAGACGGTCCCCGTGATTTTGTTGTCGGCCCTGAGAGTGGCCCTGCGCCGCCGTTTCCCCTCAAGTTGAATGGCGAAGTGGTCAAGGGATTTGGCCGTGGCAGTAAAGAGGTATGTCATCATATCCATCAAGTGTATTATGATATATACAATCAAATCGCATGATGGAGAACTAAAACAAGCAATGTAAATTGATGTTCCTCTCAGCTCGGCATCCCCACCGCCAACATCCCCATCTCAGGCCTCACAGTAGGTGGCCACGACGACATCGAATCCGGCGTCTACTACGGCTACGCCTCTCTCTCCTCCACCAACAAAGTCTACCCTCAAGTCATGTCCATCGGTTGGAACCCCTTTTACAAAAACTCCGTCCGCTCAGTCGAAGTCCACGTATTGGAGAAATTCGAGCAGGACTTTTACGGCAGTCATATGAATTTGGTGATTTTGGGCTTCATCAGACCGGAATATGATTATGTTAGCAAGGAGAGTTTGATTGAGGATATCGAGTTTGATGTTCAGGTTGCGAGAAATAGTTTGGAGAGGGAGGGGTATGCTAAGTTCAAGGAGGATCCTTATTTGTTGGAGTTTGAGGGTAAGAGTGGTGTCGCTAGCTGAGCGACGAGGAGAGGGCGAGATGATGTAAATGTCTAGACGATGCTTCTGATGTTGATACGGCAATACACGATAGAGAGGTGGGACAGCTCAGAGAGAATGTCAAAGTCTTGATAACACAATTACAATAGCTATTGAGCATCGGTGGTCCCATGTCTTACAACCATACCGTCCTTACAATGCAGCCTATCATTTTTAATTCGACCCTTGTAAGCCATGCCCATCCTTTGATTGGTATCCAGCCAGCGCCACGCTAAGAAGCAAAATCGAGGTCCCCACACAAAGAAATCAAACCATGCTCAGGAGCGAGACTAGCTCATGTCCATCTCATCATCTGCTGTGTGTTGACGATCTTGCTGTTGCTGCCCAGATGTATCGGCCGATCCACCAGTCTCGTCTATCAGATTCATGAAGATACTGTCGTACTCTTCATCATCGCTGCCAAATGCCGAGGAGCGATCGTCGCTTGCTTCTTGACTATTGAAATGTTGGGTTCGACGATTCTCGTCCTCTTGCATCAGAGCCATCAAAGCCTCCATCTCCTCATCTTCTTGCCGCAAGATAGCGTCGGCCTCTATGTCAATGGGAAAGCCCGATTGCGATCGAGGGTCCATCGCCATCTGACTACTATATGTGGGTAGATCGTAGTCCGCTGTCTCTTCTGCTTCTGAGAAGTCAGGGTATAGGGGTGGTGCGGATCGTACTTGTTCGGCTTCCCATCGTCGCTTTTCTTTGAGGTAGTCAAGTCTGGCCATCTAGAGATTGTCAGTACAAGTGCTCACGGTATGAACTGTTCGGAGTGCATACATCATCTATTCTCGAGTCCCACTTATTGTCATCGCGAGATTGGCGGACCTTTCGAAGGAACATGTCCCTTCGACGTTCCCGTAAAGCATCAGAGCGTGGTATGGGAGCTGCTTTTACCGGACGAGAGGAGAAGGGAGTGTGCGATTGCTGGTTCGAGGCTTGTTGAGGTGATGAGGTCGGCATGGATGTATCGAAAGACCAGAAGGAAGTGGAGGAAGTTTTGACATGTGCGCGTCGCGGAGAGAGTGGCGACGGCACACTGGGCAGGAATTTGTGCGGTTGTGAAGTGGTGGATCCGAAGGTCGATGTCGCCAGCATGTTTGATGTGTTTAAAATCTAGTCTTCAGTTCAGGGAGAGGGTCCTCTTGCCAACAGGATAGTCACTTCCACGTCCCTGCCACCAAATCTATGGAAGACGCGGCGAGTTCGCGCAACGGGCGTGTCGAGCCGAGGGATGCCGACTCGCCGACGTCAATCTCTTGGCGTCGTCTCGCTTGCTTCGTGCTACACTTCTTTTTCCCTGCCCGCTTCCTTTCTGTGCCGTGGCATTCAATTTTGACTCCTCTTCGGCACGTCAATCTTTGCTGCAATTGAGACATGCTTCATCATGCATGCTACCGTAGCCTTTGGCTCGCTTCTCTGCTCCTCATCAACTGAGGGCGGGGTCAATGTCGTAGGACACATGATGTTGCTCTTGGACAGAGGGAGTCGTTCTTATTGAGTGGACGTCTCGCAGAATGTCGCGAGAAAATTTACACGACAAGATCGACTTCCCTCTGCTCATTCTGTCATGCTCGCTGATTGCTAAACCTCTCACAGCGTATCCTTTTGTCTAACATGTTTCGTTTTTGGTTACCCAGCGGTCTTCTTGCATCTTGCATTGATTTTGCTTTGGCTCAGAACAGCAACATACTTCCATACATTGATCCGCTCATAGGCACTGGCTTCGGAGGTCTGAAACAAGAGAAGCAGGGCAAAACTCGCTCTTATGTTGACAATCGTGCAGGTCATGTTTTTGCTGGTGCAACCTTGCCTTTTGGTACGTTTCCTGTCTTCTTTGGAAATGCAGCATGACTAACGTTTATTGCAGGCATGGCCAAAGCCGTAGCTGACGTCAATGGTGAGAACCAGGGAGGCTATGCGAGCGACTACTCCAACATTACAGGGTTCAGTCATATGCATGACAGCGGAACAGGAGGGTAAGCAATATCATCCCCTTCTTACGCGCCTTTACATGATGATCTCTCTTTTTTATTATATGTCATCAACCCATCGATACCCCTTGAGACCATTGAGCCTTGTCTGATTTTAACCTTTACACACCTCTCTGCACAAACACAAATTTTCAAGCATTTGTCTAACATGATTGTCAATATAGATCACCTTCGTTGGGCAACTTTCCTCTATTTGCGCACCCCGGCTGTCCAAATGATGAGCTAGATAAATGCCAATTCACGTCCACCGACAGGGCGACTCCTCAAATCAATGGCTCTGTTCTCGCTCAACCGGGGTACTTCACGATCACCCTCAAGAATTCAGTTCGTGCCGAAATGACCGTGACAAATCATACCGCACTATACCGCTTCTCGTTCCCGAAGGGCACTCCGGAGATGCCCCTTAGCCCGCTCATTCTGGCAGATCTCATCGATTTGCCCAAGTCCAGGAGTAATGGCTCGATCTCTGTCGATCCAAAGAATGGAAGAATAGTCGGCAATGGAACATTCAGCCCTAGCTTTGGTATCGGAACATATGATCTTCATTTCTGCACAGACTTTTCTGGTGCAAGCATTCGTGATACTGGCGTCTTCATGAACAACAGAGCTGGCAGTCAACCAAAGAATCTGACTGTGGTGACTGATGGAGTCAACAACTCACCTGAGATACTCCCCGCTGGAGCTTGGGTTCGTTTCAATGCACCTCAAAACAATGCTAGCTCGATATCTGCTCGCGTAGGCCTGAGTTTCATCAGCACAGCTCAAGCATGCGAGAATGCAGAGAAAGAGATTCCTGACTTCGACTTCGAGGCTACCCGCAACGCTGCTCAACAAGCTTGGACTGACAAGATGAGCGTCATTGCAGTAACTCCGGGTACCGTCAGTGCAGAGTTTCAGACCATCTTCTGGAGCGGACTCTACCGTGCTTCCATCAGTCCTCAAGATTACACCGGGGAGAATCCTTTGTGGAACAGCACAGAGCCGTACTACGACTCATTCTACTGTATCTGGGACTCTTACCGCAGTATTCACCCCTTGATCACACTTTTCGATCCCGAGTCTCAAGCCTTGATGAATCGAAGCCTACTTGACATTTATCGTCATGAAGGGAAACTACCAGACTGCCGCATGTCGTTATGTAAGGGGTTCACTCAAGGTGGCTCCAATGCTGATGTCGTACTGGCCGATTCATACGTTAGAAACTTGACTCAAGGCATAGACTGGGCTCTGGCATATGAGGCAGTCGTGTCGGACGCTGAGGACGAGCCTCTGAATTGGGCAGTCGAGGGACGCGGTGGGTTGACGAGCTGGAAGTCCCTTGGCTATATTCCTGCAGACGATTTCGATCCTTACGGCGTGGGACCTTTCACACGCAGCATCTCGCGCACAGTGGAATATGCGTACAACGACTACTGCATTGCAGAGATGGCGCGTGGTCTTGGACACACGTCTGACTACGAAAAGTATGTTGCTCGCTCCGAGAACTGGAAGAATCTCTACCGGGAAGATCAGAACTCCACTATCAACGGCACGGAGACTGGCTTCACGGGCTTCTTGCAGCCTAAATTTTTGAATGGCACTTGGGGCTACCAGGATCCAATCTTTTGCTCGCCTCTGCTGAATTTTACTTCTTGCTATCTCAACCCCGACGGCCTTGAGACCTACGAAGGCTCATCTTGGTTGTACACGACATATGTCCCTCAAGACATGGCTTCTCTGATCACTACGCTTGACGGTGCGGATGCTTTCGTTGCACGCCTTGACTACCTTCACGAAAGCGGTTTGCTGTATATTGGCGATGAGCAAGGTTTCCTACCAGTATACCAGTACCACTACGCCGGCCATCCAGGCAAGAGTGCTGCTAGAGCACACTCTTACATTCCTTCTCAATTCAACACAACCGTCAACGGCATACCTGGCAATGATGACAGCGGTGCCATGGGCTCTTTCATCGTTCTAGCCATGATGGGTCTTTTCCCGAATCCTGGGCAGAATGTCTATCTCATCACACCTCCGTTCTTCCCGGAGATCAGCATCACGAACAAGGTCTCCGGCAACAAGGCAACGATTCGAAATGTCAACTTCGATGCTGAATACAAGAACATTTATATCCAGCATGCTACGCTCAATGGAGTGCCGTATACCAAGAACTGGATAGGGCATGAATTTTTCGTTGATGGTGGTGTGCTTGAATTGACTCTTGGGCCGGCAGAGAGTGCTTGGGGAACGAGATATGAGGATCTGCCACCAAGTCTATCTACTGGCTGAGCCTTGATCCAATTGCTTATCAGGGACTGTATGAGTGGACCTCACCTCGGTGTAGGTCGACTTTTCGAAAGCTCATGGTGTTCGACTAGTCTGAATACATATCGCAATATAAAAGTCACTCAAGCACATACGGCCACAGTCAGCTGAAAACTGGGCATCCCGTCCGCTCTGCCATACATAAGCAGTTGAACGGCAGATTAGTACTACGGTGGGTGACCACGTGGGAATCCCTGCTGCTGTATGTTTTGTTTTGCTTATTTGCAATAACTAGCCAGCTAGTACTTCCCCGCTTCATGAAACCGTACCCATCTGCTACAGGCGAGACGTGTTGCTGCCCAACTATTTGCTCGCTGACAGATGTAACCTTGGATGCTTCTTCTTTTTCCACGCGACGGACGAGCAGCCTCCGAACATTTCGTGTCCCCGACGTCCAGTCCCGCTACCAGTCTTACTGTTCACCACTGCCAGTCAAACTGTTCAGGGAACTCATTCTCCTCGTCGTCGTCGAAATGGTTGCATCTACTCTCAAGTCTGCGGACACAAGTCCCATCCAAGATCTCCTGCTCAGTATGAACATGATAGTGACAGATACAAGCGAGACAACACTCAGTGAAGTCCTCGAAAGTCTCATCAGGTGTGAATTCCTTGTCTAGCAAGTCAACGAGAACATCCTTTGGCACATTGGCGTAGTCGAGGATGTCTCTTGTCAAGCTCTCGTTCCGGAGACAGATGACCATGTTGTCGAGGATCAGGTCATAGAGCTTGCTGTTGCGAGAGATGAGAGGGCAGACCCAGATGACTGTGCTGAGATCCATGACATTTTCAGCCCAGATTGTGATAAGCATGGTGATGATATCGTTGGCGAAACCGGTGATACCACGTTTATCGGCAAAAATGTAGAGATGGAGGAGGTACTGCTCAGCAGTGTTTTCGTCCAGAGGTTGTAGTCCGGAATGCTGGGTTTCGAGCTTGGAGTTGTACAGCCAGAGGGCGTATGTGCGGAAGACGGCTGGATCTTCGTCGTCGAGGATGACCTTTTGTTCTTTGGTTTCGGCAAAGCCGTTGTTCAGAGCGGCGTTGAAGTACGTGGACGAATTGCAAAGGAGCGCTCTAGGAAGGGTGAAGACAGTGGCAGAAACTCCTGGTCCGACGGTGATTCTGGCAAAAGGACCTGCAAGACTAGCCCTGTAAGCAGTAATGCGTCAGCGCTGTCATCGTAAGAAAGATCTCCGGTGTGACCTACCAGACTGACATGGTGATCGAATGGCTGCGCAGTCGTCCAGAGGGTTGAGAGAAAGAAGTAAACGCTCGGGAGACAGAAAGCACGGTGGTGTAGTTAAGAACTTGTGTGTGCGACAGTCGTAATGAGCCTCAAGAACGCACTAAATGGCCAGTCCGTCGTATCAGTGTGAGTGAGGTGGACAGACGATCGCTATCGTGGTTGCGGATAGTTCTAGGTGTTGCGAAGCTGGCGAAGTAAGTTCACTACTTAACGCATCCATGATGTACAAGTTTGTTCCTGCAACACGGTAGAAGATATTTCTAATGTACGAAGTCATTCAACAGTGACTTTACATCAATGCACGTTTTACATGGTCAAGACTCGGATGAGAGATATCGATGTTTCTTGAAGCTTTTGATAACAATAGCTGTACTGGCACAATCGTGCCCTGAGTCTTACCTGAATGCCCAGGCTCTTCCAAGTGCAATGAAACAGAATCTGTCAATAGGAAAGACTATAGCCTGTTGTCACCTCTGTTTTGGTGAACGGGGACGGGTGCGGAGGACGAAACTTGCGTGGATCATGGTCCTCTCAGTCATGCCATCACCTCCTGCAAAAGGCTAGCGACTTTGACATTTACATAGGTGCGCCCCTTGACAGCATCAAACGCTTTACATGATCAGATCTCGCTGTCGCTCAAGTGGCTGTGGGGATGGTAAAGCGATCTTGCTTCTCGCATCCTCCCCGTGCGCAGAATACTGTCACACCCTTTCTTCACGATGATTGAAGCGAGGCGACAACAGGCTTTAGAAAGGCATAGTGATATCTCGTATCGACAAGCCTAGTGCAGGGAGTCGATGGCACGGGATATCTCGACAACATCGCTTCAATCCAAGAAAGTTTCATGCCTTGACGCAGCTGTAAGTGTGACAGTATTTCGCACACGGGGAGGATGACCAGGATGGACAGAGGTCGATTTCGCTTGCCAATTCCCCACAAAGACTAGTCCCGAAAGGAACGACTCCTCCGTCCTTATCTGGGGCTCCGATTGGTGGTGGAGTCCAAGCGATATCTTCTGCCGCTGCTATTTAGGCAGAACAATCTCATGATGTTTGCTTCATCCCGCCGGCGCCGGCCATGTCTTCGATAGCGCCTCCTATCTCGCAGACCGACGCTTGTACCTTCCTTACGACCAAGGACGAAAGACTGCCGTTTCTGCCCCCTCAAAACATAAGGAAGGTCCAAGGTCAAAACGGCGATCCTTCACCTATACTTGATCTTGCTTTGGCGTAGTCTGGGGCAAATCGCGGGCCCTCGTGGCAGTTGAGTTCAGGTGTGACTGATAATATGTACAGGTCAAAGCGATGGGGCCTATCATCCTGAAGTAACCTCTTGCTTTCTTATACCTTATAAATGCCCATACAGTATCCCCTCGAGCTTCCACACTATTGCCTTTCCATCCTCTCTAATACTCGTGATTTTTATACCACACTGCTACTATGGCCTCATTCGCTGCGGCTCCTCCGAACACACATGCGGGTGGAGATGATGAAGCCCTTCGAACACACGGCACGATACCCATGAACCACACGACAGTCTACGCCGACGAAAGGGTGAACATGGAAGAATACAAAAACTCTGTTCCTTGGTGGAAGAGAGTATACCAGGACAGCTTCACGCAAATGATGCTCCTATCGATGCAGAGCTTCTGTGGCCCAGCCATGTCAGATGCAATCGCAGGTGAGTCTTTTTGTGCAGGAATTTGGACTGTTTTGACCACCGACAGGCCTTGGTGGTGGTGGTCTTGCTTCTGCACAAACGAACAATATTTCGAATGCCATCACATATGTCATGCTTGCCTTGGTCTGCTTCTTCGGCGGTCCTCTTGTGAATAAGCTAGGCGTCAAGTGGGCTCTGGTAATTGGTGCCATCTCATTCCCTATTCAAGGTTCATCATATTACTGCAACAGCAAGTTTGGCAACCAATGGGTAAGTATCGGTCTCATCAGGCTGGGAACGACTTCACTAACTTATTCCAGTATATTATCTTCGGCGGCTTTGTCTCTGGTGTTGGTACAGGCTGTTGGTACGTCGCAGAATCAGGAACTATCATGAGTCTTGCTCCATCAGGTGCTCGTGGCAAATACCTCGCTTTCTGGATCGTCGCTCGTAACCTTGGACAATTAGTGGGAGGTGCCATCAATCTCTCGAAGAACCATGTCAAAGGTGTCGAGGCTGGTGTCACACCTGACACATACATCGCCTTCTTGATCATCGAGTGTCTTGCACTGCCATTTGCTCTGCTCATTTCTCCTCTAGAACGTGTCGTTCGATCAGATGGTACCCGCATCTTGGTCTCCGAGAAAATCGGGACCAAGCAGGAGTTCAAGCTCATCAAGACCACCATGACTTCTAGTCTCATTATCCTGTCAGCAGTTTGGGCTATGTGGTCATTTTTCTGTAAGTATCTGGCAAGCAATGTGATATGACCCGTACTGATAGTCTACAGACTCCGGCACCTGGAGTACCTATCTTGGCATCTACTTCTCAGTTCGTGCTCGCGCGCTCTCGTCCTTGATCTCGCCATTCTTCTGCATGTATGTACACATGACTCATCTCCATCTCCGCGTATACTGACGTTCGCAGTGTCGGATGCTTCGGTCTCGGTTTCATCCTCGATATGAAGAGCCTCAGTCAACGCCAGAGGGCAAGAGTTGGCCTTTTCGTCGTAGTCATCCTTAACCTCGGAGTCTACATTTGGAGCATCATAATGCAAGCCAAATTTAATGCCAATGACCCTGGAAGGATCGATTGGGACGACGCTCTTTACCCGTCTGCTTTCCTCCCTTACTTCTTCGTTCAGACCACGGGACCGCTGTCGCAATCATACATGTATTGGCTACTTTCATCCTTCGCCACCGATGCTCAAGCCAACGTCCGCAATGGAGCAGCTTTCAGATGTCTCGAAGCAGTTGGACAAGCCATTTCTTATGGCATGAACACACAAACCGAGGCCAGCCCAATGATTGGCTTCTGTGTCAGTTTCGGTCTCATGGCATTGGCGACGGCTCCCATGATCATGTTGACCAATAAGACACCCGATCGCATCCCTGCTGACGTGATCCTTGAGGGTCAAGAGGCCTTCGATGCTAAGAATCCTGATGAGCACGAAGTTGTGATTGGCAAAATGGATCAGAAGTAGACTCGGATACGGTCTTTGCTTCATATAGATGAGAAGCGTATGACTGATGAGGTTTGACAAGATAGACAATCGGTGTCTAAATAGTTCTGCAATGTATGATCCACTTAATCCCCCACATTGGGAAGTCTATCTATCAAAGTCTAAGGTGATTAGAAATGTCAAGGATGAGCTTGAGTTCATCAACAAGCAGAAGACGATTTGGTGGTGTGCACAAGTTTTGTGCACACCACAGTGTGATATGCATAAGTCTGTACAACACTACTATGTGGAGCCGATCCCGTGCACATACACCTGGTGAGGGCGAATTATTCAAGCTTCGCGTCCAGATTGTCTCGGATATTGAACTCCATCCCCATGTCTCGATATACTGTGTGCACATGCCGCTCTAACGTTGAACTTGAGTCTAGCCAAGTGCCAATATACTGTCTGGATGGTTTGCCATGAGCCATAATCGTCGTCATCATACTGGAGCCGACAACCAGCTCAATGTATACAACTTCATCGCAGAAGTGCCGACGGTTTCATTCATACATTCGAGTCCAAGCCTTATCAACGGCTGTGATTCACCATAAACCTCTTCTAGGCCAGCCGCGTGAACGACTGGATCTTCACAGGTAGGGTTAGGGAGGTTGCAAGAGATCGAACAGCTCGCTACGTCACCGAGTCAGCTCGCCTAGCGTATTCATGACTTTGGTCACCACGGTAGCACTTTTGTATGGCATGACAAAGGCTCCTCGGCGCCTTTTCGCGATCATCACTCCATCTCCTGTCTTTCATAAATATGCGGTGTTCAAGTTTCTGCTCGATCTATGTTCTGCATGCTCTTGGGTCTGGGCCTGTTCGGCTTCTGGCTTCGTACCCGTTATATGCAATATTTCGATGAAACGGCTCATTGCGGGAGAACAACATAGAAAATGCAACGGCCCCCGCTCCTCAATAGGGAAGAATGGATAGCATCTGTTTCGCTTAGCTCTTCGATATACTAGGGTTAATGAACCATACGTTCGCTTTCAATTAGCGGGCTGCCAACGTCGGTATCAATATGGCAAGTACTTCTCTTCTTCACATCCTCAGTCCCCGCGTAGTCCTGTTTGCTCCTCTCTTGTCCCTCGCAAGTAGGGCTCAACGCCATGTCGAATGATTACACCTCTGGTGCCTTCTCACCGAGCCAATTCTCCTTCGATACTGGCCGCAAGAATACTGACGAACTTGGTCCCCACGACATAGTCACTTCAAGTACAAAACAAACTTCGCATGGAGGCTTCCGCTGGCAGTACGCAAAAGGCAGACGATCCACGGAACTGGAACCAGATGAACTTGCTCCGAGCAATCGCTCTTATCAGACTACGGCTTGTGACTTTCTCGAGCTGAGCCCAGATGAGATCAGCCCAGACCAACTTGCTCCTGACAAGCTCGGTTACCAGGAAACATTAGAGACTGATGGTGAGCACTCGACGCAGTCTAGAGGAACTGGTCTAGCTTCTTATGAGCAAAGTGTTGTCAAGCCTCTCCCAGTACATCAGGCATACACACCAGCCGACAGGAAGACAACAAACGCTAGCTTACAGGCCACTTCACTCTTCTCTACATTCTCCAAGCCAGCAAGTTATCGTACAAGTTGGAAGAATCGGATATCAATAGATACTGGACCACATGCCGTTGCTGCAAAGTCGTCGAGCCCAACAACACCAGCTACTCCAAATTCAACGGGTTCTGGAAACTGCGAGTCGCCTAGCATTAGCCCTGGTGGGGCAAGTGGTGTCGAGCGATCACAAACTTCTACAAGCATTCCTACTGCTGGCGGTCTAGTGGACGACACGAACCCCTTCTTCACGTCTGGCAATCCTTTCGCGAGGGAACCTCGAACCTCGAGGACGATCTCTATCACGAGCGAAGTACCAGCTCAGAGCACACGCGCAAGCTTCAGCAATCACTTGTCGAGAAACTTTTCGAAAAAGTTGTCTACGATCGCGATACCAGAAGATGGCGTAGTTTCACAAGATCAAAGCTTCGTGGACAGCACACCGATTCGCACGCCGACACCCCTCCGGACATCTTTCGCTTCGGGTTATGAGCGGAAGAAGTCTCGTGCTACTTCTGTAACGTTCGCTGGCGTTAGTCTTATATCGGAGAAGACAGCTCGACCTAGCTTAGTGATTACCACGGATATGACCCTTCCGGAGAGTAGAAAACCATCTACAGCTGTTAACAGTAGGCGCACCTCTGCTATGAGATCTCTTTCTGCTACAAGCAGCACACGACCATCGTTGGTTGGTCTTGGAGGCTCCCGCCGCTCCTCTGTCTCTATAACAAATGTTGTCATCCCGGCGCATCTTCTGACACATGTAGAAACGAACTGGAACGAAGATAAGGTCGTCGGTAGACGCAAGTCGGCATACAAGCGCGAAGATTCTCGTGGCTCTTTCAATGTTCAGTCCATGGCCCAGAAACAGCAAGAAGAAATCAAAAACATCATCGACACTACTCCACAAGCTCCTCGTCACATGAGTGAATCTATGGAAGATCTGGCCTATGCGGATCCTTTTGCTACGATGAGGGATCGCCAAGCCAGCTCCGGAGGATCTAAAGCAAGGTCTCTTGCGGCCGTCTCTGAGAGCGAGAAGGCGGACTTCGAAGAGGTGGAAGAGAAAGACGAGGCGAAAATGGAGCAACAGATCGCCCCAGACGACAAGTCGGGACGCTTGACTCCCTGGGGCAATTTCGTCTTCGACTATCATGAAAGGGACATCTCACCAGGTGCTACTGCAAGCCCAATTGATCCGCTGGAAGCTGCTGGTGCAGCTATGGGGGTAAGCAGAGTAAGAGATGCCGAAAAAACGAATGCAACGCCTCATAGACCAAGTATGTGGAGACTTGGAGCTACGACCAACGTCAATGCCCATGGAGGTAGAAGAGGCACCATCATCCAACGAGCGGGATCCGTATTCCAGGACAGCTATCAGCATGTTCGCAAAAAGGTCCGCAGAAGCAGCATGTGGGACGTCTACGAGAACGCCAAAAAGCGACAAATCGAGATTCGAAGAAAACGCTGGGTGCAGATCTTGTTTGAATACACTTTCTACGCGATGATTCTTGCGGTTTCGTATTTTCTGATAATAGGAGTACCCCTCTGGAAGGGCGCTTACTGGGAGCTTTACTTGGCTTTCAAGCACAAGCTCAACCTTACTGGATCATGGTCTATTGTTATTGCTGTTGCATTTGCGTAAGTCGTACATCGCTCCTTCTACATTGATCTTGAAGCTAATTTGTTGTCTCAAGCTACGCATATTCCCCGCTGTTAATATTGTTCGAGCCAGATCCGCCAATGCCTGAGGAGCCGATTGATCCTACCAAAACTCACAACGTCGCTGACACAGCCTTGATGATTCCTTGCTATAAGGCGGCTAGTCTGATCGGTGCAACTCTTGAAGCTGCTACGAAAGTCTTCCCGCCATCGCACATTTTCGTCGTTGCTAATGGTAAGTCAATATGGTCGTCTAATTGTACCTTCCGTTAATTGTCGCCACAGGCAATAGCCCGACCCCTCTAGATGAGACAGAAGAGATCTGCCGACCTTACGGCGTCAATCATGTCTGGAGCCCAGTCGGTTCGAAAATTGTCGCCCAATTCGTCGGCTGCTATGCTGCCAAAGAGTTCAAGAATATTTTACTCATCGACGATGACTGTGCTCTGCCTCCCAACTTCCCTATCGTCTCCGATCGTCTGAAAGGCAAGGTCATGTGCATGGGGTACACTATCAAGTCCGTTGGACCCAGTAGCTCTAAGGGCACCCTTTGTCAACAAGCACAAGATCTGGAATACAAGATTTCTGGTATACAACGTGCGCTTGCTGGTAAAATCGGTTCGGCGACATTTCCACACGGTGCCATCTCTCTCTGGGACAGAGAGTTTCTCATCAAGACCTTCACTAAGCATCCTGGGTTCAGCGTGTCCGAGGACTGGTTCTTCGGTCACGTTGCTCGTCAACTTGGATGCCGAACCCAAATGGCCACATCCGTGTTCATCGAGACTGAAACCCCTTCTTCGGTATTCTTCAGCTCTGGTGGCTCTAGAGGTGGCTTCGGCGAGATGACTGTCTTTAAGCAACGATTCCTCCGATGGAACTTCTTCTTTGTGAACGGAATGTACTACAATTTACACTATATTCTCTTCTCGTGGGAATTGGGCTGGTGGGAACTTGGTACTAAGCTGTTTGTCTTCCAGGAGATCTACGAAACGCTGCTTTACCTCGCCACACCTATCGTCGTCCCGATTTCTCTTGCTGTCCGCCCACAGTTCTTCTTCGAGCTCATGGCTCTTACCTTCGTTCTGTATATGACCAACGCCATCATCTTCAACGAGCTTCACCTGCGCCGCAAGAACGAGAAGGTGCCTCAGAAGTGTGTCTGGTTTTATTATATGCCCTACAAGCTCATCTTGACCTTCGTCAACGTCGCGAGTTGCTACTATGCTATCTACAAGTACGCTACCTACTTTGCCAACCGTCACCCTAAGATTATCGAAGACGAGAAAGCTGTGAACGTCGTACTACAGCTTGAGGAAGAGGATGTTGATGACGATCCGGTACTTCCTGCTGGTGGTCGTCGCATGAGTGTTACAGCTGTCGGCTCCCAGGTCGATGTTCCTGGTGGCGCACCTGGAGGTCGTAGAATGACTATCACAGCCATGGGTCAGTCCTTCAACAATCCCGACAGCACAATCACGGAGGAGGAAGAGGAGGAAGAAGTCTCCAAGAAGCCCGAACGCAAAGCTCCGGTCAACTTTGTCAAAGCTGGAGATGCGCATACCTCCTTGGAACCTCGTAGACCATCTATCATGGTTCAAGGTCGCCGCATCAGCATCAGCTCCAACAGCTTTGTCAAGGAAGCACCGGCTACAAAAACCCGTCGTACCTCGGACGCCTTCCGATCCAAAGGTATCTCCGCCGCAACTATCGTAGGTCATCGCACTCCAGACTCCGTTCGGTCTAGAGGCATTGACGACGGTCCTCTCCGTCCTGTGCGTCCAAAGTTTTACTCAGCAAGGGGCTCGATCATGGACGTGATCCCGGTACTTGAAGAAGCAGAAGAGGAAGAAAACGACTTTGACGAGAAGAAGCTCGATGTCATTTCCACCGTTGGATCCGAGCGTCACTCAAAACGTGGGTCTCAACTGATGCAGTCAGACATCGCGCCAGTGGTCGAGGTCACGGAGACGGAGATGCTACCTACACCTCCGGAGCCTTCCATCGACGACAGGTTGCTGAACTGCGTCAACGCTATTGAGGAGGCACTTGCTGCCCGTGGTATCGACGCTGTGGAGTTCACTGTTCATGACGATAATGTTGCTGAAGTTGTTTCTGCTGCAGTAGAGGCAAACGAGGATTTCATTTCTGTCAGCGAAACTATTGCTGAAGAAGAGAAGAAGCATCCTGATGCTAAGAGTATGGTCTGATTATGTTTTTTTTTTGTTTATTGCACCTTGCGATTTTTAATTCATAGCGTGGCGTAGCATATCGGGTGATGTATCGAGGTACCTGTAGAGACGACCTTTGCAATTTAGGATTATACATACCTATTGGCCTTCGTTTCTCGCGCATGCTTCCTCTGTGATGTCGAATTCTTCTAGTCGTTCTATGAGCAGAGGACAATGAAGGCTGTCCTTGAGCGAGCACGTCATAGATGTATCGTGTGGATTCGTCAGTCTTTGGACATTTTTTTGTGATTTTTTGGTATGCTATGGAAATATGGAAACACTGTCTCGATGGTGTGTGCTTGTGTTATGTCGTTATGCCCGTGCCGTTACTGTTTTGTTGTATTTTGGTGACCTTTGTTAATGATGTTTTGGGGGGGGTTTATTTTGCTTCATGGACGTTTCATCTCGTCTTTTCCTGGTGCTTGGTCGCTCCTCTTTATGAGGCGGAAACGTGTCCATGTCATCGATGTACTTTCTGATTTTTGCTGTGGTGTTGAGAAGCTCGACCTCAAGTCCCGTGGAAACATCAAGTGGACCTGTTGGCGAGGTTGTAGAGAGCAACCGCAGCCTCGGCTGACGTGTTCGCTTCGATAGTGGCTGAACCCTCATCATCGTCCTCTTCCCACTCGCTAGCATTGACGGCGTCGAATTTACATGACTTCAAGACTTCACGGGAGGCCATGGACGTGACTAGTGACGCAAGCTGGTTCAGTGTTTCCCGTCGTAGTTAGCGAATCTCGATGCGAAATTCACGCAACGAGATACACTCAAGACGGTCCCCGAATGCTGTGAATAGGGAAATGAGGTACTCTGCACGCACAGAACAGCCCTCGAGGTGGAGTTCGCGAAGGTCTGCGATGCTGACGCTCGGCAAATACCACAGGAACTCGGCAGAGCCTACGTGAGAGCCTCTGATGATCTTGTTCTTGACGTCGAGAGAGATGCGTCTTAGTCGGCTGTGATATTTTCTGCTCGTGCCTAAATTGAACTACAGGCCGCTGATCTGATTGTAGCATGAACCACCGTTGAGCAATGCTGAACTTGAGCGAAACGGCCATCTGGAGCATTCTGACGGCAGCAGACGGCCATGAGGCGAGTCCTGCAAGTCTGTCATGACGTACCCAAGAGACAGCTTGGTACGTTCTGCGGCAGGCAGCATCTTCTCTTCGAGGAATCTGATCATATGACACCAGCCCGCGTAGGATTTAGGCTGGTAATTGTGGAAAGTCTTCACACGACGAAGACCGATAGAAATGGTGTTGCCGAGAGCGGCGAGATTTCTGAACGCCCTCTGGATCAGGTCGTGATAATGTGCAGTAGAGTGCTTCCCGCCGTGACCAATTATTACAGTCCTGATATGATGAGCGAAGGTCGGGTGCATGGTGATTTCGAGGAGGTCAGTGAGCCCCTCTGGTGACAGCTCGTAGGCGCGCTCTTCGAAAAAGGTTGTTGCAAATCGAGTAGCCGCACCGTCGCGGAAGACTTTGGCCGACAGTCTGAGATTCATAAGGTCCTCATCGTCGACGTGTTCGGTAATCATGTACATGACCTCGTTCGGAAGGTAAGGAATATTCTTGGTCACCGCCATTGGAGCACCTTGCAGCACGGAGAGCTGAAGGTCTGTTGCTGTTGTGTCGTTCATGCTGGCAATTTGGGTTTGCGATGAGAGATGTAGATGTTGTTGTGGTGCTTTAGTCTTGCAGTGAGTTTGAGAGATGATGGAGGAAGTCGGTCGGTTGAAGTCAAGCAGTCAACAGTAGTGAACAGGGCATGGAAATTCGAGATAGTTGGAGAGGGTGGCTAGAGATCTTCGAAGGAAAGTGAACGACGACGGAATTCGTCCGAAAGATGTGAAGAATCTCGATCCACGACGGAACAGTGTAATGGAAGTCGTAGATGTCGTCGCTCCAGAGCAGAGCTGAACTTTAGATGACTGCCGTATAGCAGTGGAGAGTGAGGTAGAACAGGAGAGCAGGAGAAGAGATGGAGAGAGAGAGAATTGGGCGAGTGTTGTATCGGAGAGAGATGTGTAACGGGTTCGGAAGGAGCGACTATACGAAGGTAATAATTGAGTCCGTACGGACTTTGATTGAAGACACACATCTTGATGTCAATCCGGCTGTAGCGTTACCCGAAACATGAATACAGTCACGAAACAGATGGGAGCGAGAGCGCTAGATGATCGCAAGTGGAATACCTTGTGGTTCATTTGCTTGTTCCCAAAGGGGTGATGCACTCTATCAGAGCTTTGTTGTAGAGAGACGGGAATTATGCGCCATCATTACAGGATGGTTCCTCTTCCTATCTGAGAGACGAACAGAAGACTGGAGCAAGAGGAGGATGAACACTCGAGTAGATGGCGACTGGCGATACAGGCGGCTTGGCAAGCAAACCGAGCAAACTGATGTCGCGTTCGAAGAACGATTGGCGGAAGTCCAACTTTTGGACATCGCAATTGGCATCACATCTCGCCATTTCTAATCATCATGCTGTGTGCAAGTGAGTGGCAGCGCACCATGGTAAAGGAGCATATTCGCTGACGAGCTCGGTAGTCTCTGGAGAGGCCCCTCAGCAGCCGGTTGCGTCGCGCAAGAGCGGTATGATTCCACGCGATTTGCGACAAGTTTGCGCCAAATCTAATACGACCACTAGGCAATGTCTTCGAAAGACGCTTGATCGAATCGTACATTTCCGAAAATGGTACCGACCCGGTGACTGGAGAAGACCTCACTGTCGAAGACCTGGTCGAGCTCAAGCAAGCTCGTACCGTTCGCCCTAGACCCCCGACCTTGACTTCGATTCCCGCCCTCCTCTCTACCTTCCAGAACGAATGGGATGCCCTCATCCTCGAGACATACCAACTTAAGCAACAGCTGGCCGAGACTCGTCAGGAACTCAGTACTGCTCTCTACTACAGCGACTCGGCCGAGAAGGTTATTGCACGTCTGCAGAAGGAGAGAGACGAGGCCAGAGATGCTTTGGCCAAGATTTCTGTTACCTCGACCTCAAATGGCACACATGGAGACGCTATGCAGGTGGATGGACAAGGCTTGCCTGAGGCCATTGTCGCAAAGATTGAGCAAACACAAGCAGAGTGCGTTGATCCAGAGCGACTACTATCTATCGCAGCAACTAACACGGTGCTACCAGATTGTCATCTACACGACGAAAGCGCCCGACGCCCGAAGGCTGGGCAACTCCCGACTCCCTGCAGGCTATGCAGTCCACTCAAAACTCAGAACCTTTGTACCCCGGAGGCCGTTCGATCGCCGTTAACGAGACTGGCGAGTTGGCACTTGTTGGAGGCAGCGATGGCGTCGTTGGTGTCTACTCAGTATCACAGGGCCAGGTCGTTCAGACATTGAAGTGTGGTGGTGGATCCGTGACCGATGCCGTTTGGTGCGGCAACAAGCCTATTGTCGCTCTCTCTACTGGTGCCGTCAAGGTCTTCGACAACGGAGCCGAGACTGCCAGCTTTGATCGCCATGCCGGTGCTGCCAACGCACTTGCTCTCCATCCTTGCGGTGACATTCTTGCTTCGGTCGGCGTGGACAAGAGCTATGTTCTGTACGACCTTCAGTCGCTCCAACCCATCACTCAGGTCTCTACCGATTGTGGTATGTATTCTGCTTCAAAAGACGAAGAGACGAGCGCTGACAGTATCCAGAACTCACAACTGCTGCATTCCACCCTGACGGTCACCTCTTCGCAGCCGGCAGCAGCAAGGGAGCCATCAAACTCTTCGATGTCAAGACTTCGGAGAACGTGGCCAACTTTGACTCTGCCTTCGCACAATCACCTCTTCAGACAGTATCTTTCTCGGAGAACGGCACATGGCTTGCATCAGCAGTCCAAGGACAGACCAGTGTCAGCGTCTGGGACTTGCGCAAGATGGCAGAGATCAAGACGATCGATCTGGGCACGGCGGTCACGGGTGTCAGCTGGGACTACACTGGACAGTACCTCGCAGCATGCGGACAGGGCTTTGTGGCAGTTGAACATTACTCCAAGAGCTCAAAGAGCTGGTCGGAACCATTCAGAAAGGCGCTGAACGCGGTGGATATCAAGTGGGGATCCAAGGCGCAAAGCCTGGTTGCGTTGGCGACAGATGGAAGCGTCAGCGTATTATCATCATGAGCGCAAGATGAGAGCAGTGTCAATATGTTTCAAAAGCAATTAGGATCTGTATCAGGAAAAAGCAAAGATTCTTAGACAAGCCTGGCGTGTTGTGCCGAACGAAAGGCAAGATGTTGAAGGCCAAGCAGTCCAAGGATGCCTTCACCCCATACGCATTCGGGAGTCATCAGTACTGCTGCCACGATGGGAATATAAGATTACGAGGTTCCCTCGATGCGAGAGGCGCTTATGCGTAGACAACTCCAAAAGAGATAGCATTCATTCAGACCCATCATTCGTTCTGCAAGTACTCGTATACGACCGCTCCTTCCCTCGAAAGGCGGACATCCAATCGGGAGAAATGCTAGAACCTAGTGAGTAGATGCCAGGAATTGTTCACCAGCATCAACGCACGGACGCATGAAAGACGATTTACATGCAAGTGATGTGTTGTCGGGGGCTGGCATGCGACTTTGTCAGATGGCGGCAAATTCACCAAACAAAGAGCACGACAGTCGTCACTGGAACCACCGACTTCCCCACACAGGCACTGCTTGACCACCAACCTCAATGCCACACGGCTTTTCTTTCTCTCTGCTTCCAAGACAAAACGACTACTGCTACTGACCGCCCGGGAGTTCGGTGGAGCTGACATCCTCCATCGCCCGTTCTTTGTCCCCAAAGAGCTGCCAACCGCGCAGCATGGATGGTGACCAAAGAAGACCCCCAGTTGATTTCCATTTCCGCCGTCCCGATAGCAATAAGGTGACTTGGTCTTGCCGACAGCTTTGCAAGCATGCATACTGAACGCGCACGTAGCGATCTTACTCCCAAATGGACTCTCGCCGCCGCTCGTCTCCCTCGCCGCTCTTTGTCCGCCAAAACAGTGCCACTCCCGAGCGCCGTCCCACTCCGCCCTACTCTCGCCTCGCTTTGCCCATACCACTACCTTCGCTACGATCTCACTATCCCCATGATGGCTTCGACTTCCGACGTCCTGTTTCTTCGGCTCGATCAAGCACTTCGGCCAACAATGTGATCGACCTGACGTCAGACGATGATGCTGCCCCTACTGGAAACGCCCCAACTCCACAACCACGGCCTGCCGCTGCGCCAGTCGCCCTGCCTCGCTTTGGAAGAGAGATCATAGATCTATCTGCAGACGCTAGCCCCGTACGAGCCACACATCCCCCCAACTTGAGGACCTCACCCAGCCCCGAGGTGCAGTTTGTTTCCAGCAGACCGAGATCACGCACCGATCAACACCCTAACCATCCTCCTCCTCCATTTCTGGATCCGAATCTCGAACGTCGTCGTCCCGTGGCAGGCTTGGTCCTAGATGATCCAGAAGACGATGTCGTGATAGCAGGTGAACGCACTGGCGTCAATCTGCTGGGTCCATTGGCCGCACACAGGAGGACAAATTTCGGCACTCTAGCTCAAAGACTCTTCGAAAGAGGGAACAACACCCTTCCAGGCCTTCCAGGCCTTCGAGCTTTGTATGCCGATGTGATGCGAGAGGGTGTGATGCCGACTCTATTCGGAGGCGTACATGACGAAAACGATCACCGCTTCCCCAATCACATGGGCTTAGCGGACTTGCCGGGCGCCTTGAACTACGAAACCCAAGCCTTCAACTTGGGGACAGGCGGCGAGCATCAACAAGTACCGATACCGAAATTTGATCCGCCAAAACCGGCTGCCGAGGGTTTTACTAGAGATCCAACCGAGGAGGACACCATCGTTTGTCCCAACTGTGAAGATGAGTTGGCCGTCGGGGATAGCGATGAGAAGCGACAAGTCTGGGTCGTCAAGGGCTGCGGTCATGTAAGCCTTTTCGAAGCAGCATCTCCAGAAACACAACTAACATGATTAATAGGTCTACTGCGGTACATGCATGAACAATCGCAAGAGGAAAACGACGAAATCCACAAAAGGAAAAGGACGAGCAGACGATCCAATGCTGCCGAGCCCCTTCGCGGCCTGCCGTGCCGATGATTGTGACGTCCGCGTCTCTCACAAGAGTGATGTGATGCAGATCTTCCTCTGAGCTCTCGGTCTCCATCTTGACTCTCTCGTTTCTTCTTCTCTACTGTTGATACCCTCATCTTTCGTGCGTGGGTCGCTGCATTGGTTGTGGAGGATTGGGATTTTGTATTTTCGGGGTGTAAAAAAGGAGCATGGACATGTTCTCTTGAGACGGGCGGGCAAACCACGTCTTCAAGCATGCATAGCGATGGCGTTTATCAATGGTGACATCTTTTCGGAAGAGAGAGAGAGAGAGCAGAAAGTGCTCCTCGCGGCGTTAACTTCATGGGCTCTCGACATTCGCTTTATTAGAGCAGTGCTCATCAGAGGGAACAACATTTCAAAGCTCTAGCTTGATTCATTCATTCAATCAATATTGATATCAGCTTCTCGTCCTACACATATTTCTGGATGTCGTAAATAGTGATGCCGCTGAACCTATGGCGGAGCTTCCCGATGTAAACAGTGATCGACACAAGTCCAAAGCTCCTTCCTCAGGGTCCAATCTCGAAACACCAATCTGTCCAAACAGCACCAACTTCCTCGCCAATCGCACCTCGAGATCTTTCACACACAATGGCTGACCGACCTCAACAACCCGTTCGACCTGCTCGCGCACGCAAGGGCTCGCCCATCAAGACCGGATACCTGGTTCTCTACAATGCTGTGTCGACTATTCTTTGGGGCACCATTTTGGGCCGCGTCCTGTTGATTGCTTCCGTGCATGGCACGAAGTATGTTTACCCGGGTGTTGGAGAGTTTGCAAAGTGGACGCAGACATTGGCGTTGTTGGAAGTTGTGCATGCCGCTGTTGGTGAGTAGAGACTTTCTTTCCGGACTCATGGTTAGCAAGAGATGGAATGGCCAGGAGGAGCATCAGAACAAGGGAAAGAGAGCAATAGCAAGGGACAGACAGTCTGGCTCGAGGGAAGTAAAGAGAGATATCTGGCTAACACAACTCCTTTTTCACAGGCATCGTACGCGCCCCTCTCCTCACAACCCTTATGCAAGTCGCCAGCCGTATCCTCTTAATCTGGGGCATTGTCCACCCCTTCCCCAACACCGTCGCCTACTCTCCCATCTACAGCTCTATGCTGGTCGCCTGGTCTGTCACTGAAGTCATTCGCTACTCCTACTTCGCCATCAACCTCTCTACCGGAAGCGTCCCTGGTATCTGGCTCTGGCTCAGATACAACACTTTCTTTGTGCTTTATCCTCTGGGTATCAGCAGTGAGTGTGCACTGGTTTGGAAGGCTGCCACTGGCCCTGCTGGACAGTATACTGGTGTCAAGGAGGCTTTGTTTGCGATTTTGTTGATCTATGTGCCTGGTAAGTTGAGGGGGGGATGTTGCTGGCAGTAGGGAAAGACTAATGTTTTCTCAACAGGCTCGTATATTCTCTTTACGCATATGATGGCTCAACGTCGCAAGGTCATGCGTGGAAACCACGCAAAGACCATTTGAGTAAATTGTGCTTTGCTGCTCATACCGAAAAAGAATGCTCTCTTGCTTCTGAGATGAAATTCCAATTAGAATGTACATAATAGCTGGTCAGATATAGCCACGACTCCCTGAAAGGCTTGAAGCTGTCAATACTTTGCATTTACCAAAAGTACCATGATCAGAAGCTAGCAGGCTGATCTGTCATGACTGTTTACGTTAGAGGAGAGTTTGAAGGCATGCACGAATCTCAGGCTCATTGGAGTCTGCCACTCCCGGTGATGTCGAGCTGTAGACGGGCACAATCGTTTTCCAAAGCCGAGAGTCTACAAAGAGAGCCATCGAAACGATGTACCTTCGTAAGCATGACTGCAATTTTATACAGTACCATGCTTCGAGTCAGCTGCGAGCGTAACATACATCAGTCACGGGAGAAGGACGGTTTCAGAGAAGACGGCTTCCAAATCGATCTCTCATGTCAAAGACACTCACGATGAAGATCTAAGGAAGATCATGTTATCCATTCTTTCTGAAATGTGAAATTGGGATCGCTATTTAGGAAAGAAACTGTCATCACTGTCTTTGTCTCGAGTATTGCGATCCAGTTCTCTCGATTTCTTTTCTTCTCTGTTTTCTTCATCTCGCTCTCCCGTGTGCTTCACTGTTGTTCGTTTCGTGCTGGTTGTGTCCTTGGATGCTTCGTTTCGCTGTCTTGCTTCTTGTTGCTGTCGTTTCTTTGCGCGCAGCAGCCAGCATTTTCTTGTCAAAGAACTGCCATGTCTTACGCGAATAGGCTATCGAGACAAGTCCAGACTTGCTTGTGGCGTGAAGCAAGCGAAGGCCGATGGAGATGACGTTGCTATTGGCAGCAAGATTCGAGAAGGCTTGGTCAAGCAGGCTGCAGTACTTTGGAGTTCCACGTCTGTCTTTGAAACCGATAACGACAGAATTGAGGTGACGAGCGAAGACCGGATGCTCGGTTATCTTGACCAGCGCTCTCAGGCCAACGGAGGAGAGCTCGTAGACACGATCTTGGAAGTAGATCCTGGCAAAACGAGCAGCTGTTCCTTCCCGAAAGACCTTGGCCGACAGCCGGAGATTCGGAGAATCTGTGATATCGACGTGGCTGGCAACCATACACATGACCTCGTTCGGGAGGTAGGGAATGTGTATGCTTGTTGTCGTAACACTTGGCGGATTTAAGACTGAGGGTTGATGATTTGTTCCTGGAGCAGCACTCATGTCGACGAGTGTGATGTGCGGTAGGAGGTCGGACGATTGGCAGTCGATGGCTGATGGTTGATAGTCGATGGCTGATCGGTGATGGTTGGTAGTTGGTAGTTGGTAGGTGATGTGGGGGTAATGATTGAAGATGGTGATGCAAACTTCAGTGAGTTTGAATGTGGAGGTGGAGGAAGAGGATTGGTGCAGCAGATAGAATATAAGACCAAGATTGGCTTGACGGTGACAGTGAGAGTAGAACTGTTGTGAGCTGGGAGCTCACCGGAAAAGTTAGTATTGTCGAGTCTCTTTTTACGAAGATGCAGGCTATCACTGCTTAGAAAATGCATCTTGCCCAGGTTTGAAGCAAGAGCTGCAACAGTTGATTATTCAACTTCACTTCGGTGTTCACAAAGAGCTGTTTGTAATCGTCTAAGACCCCCAGTCATACCGACTCCCTGCTTGCTCGACTGTCGCCGCTCTCCTGGCAAGACAGAGCAACAGTGTGCCGTATAAAAGCAGCATTACGTCCTGGTCTGAGGAAGTATTTGTGGGTATTGATCCAAGTCGCTTCTTAGATCATCCGGCGCCGAGAGCAAGATTGGTAAAAAGCCGTAGATATGCAGATTGTCTGCAAATTCGAGAACTTGCCATCAAGAGTCGTGCTATACAGGCGGCTCTCGTATAGCAGGCCAATCGTCGAACGGTATTGTGCATATTGATGATCCACGACCACTAAGCATGTTGCATGGAGAATTGACCTACTCTTTGCGTGTAGACGTGAAGATTGTCATTACCATAGAGAAGCGCTTCCACTGGGTGGTCATCATGTAAATTTGTCACCTGTCATCATGGCCTTCTTGCAATTGAAACTGTCGCCGGCCTCGGTGAGACTTTGCAGGGCTTGTAGGTTTCATGGCATGAGATGGCAATTGAACTGTTGGGATCGGAGACCCGTGTTTCCAGGCTTGACTTGCTACGACGTCCAAGCTTTGGCTGGTTGCTGAGGAAGGAAAGCTGACCGCTTCTGGGCGTCGTCGAAGCTGGAAAGAGCTCTCGAGATTCGGACGGCGTGCAACATTTCTATGGTCAGAATCCATTTCTCCGGACTTATGGTAAGTGGCGAGAGCTCATTCGTGCGTTTTTTATGGCAGCACCGCAAGATGCGAGAAGTCAAGAGCTCGTCGACTCCGATTTCCTCCGTCGGCGGACCTCGGTGTTACTCCTCTGTGTTTCCAAACGTGTGTGTGATGCAACCAATTATTATGCCCCTCGGGTCCGTGCGGACAGTATGATGCAGTGCCCCGCTAATTGAGGCCTCTTAATCTTCAGCTCAACACTCCTCGCTCGACTTCCTTCTCATCTTCATCTTTCTTCAATTCCACAAGAAATAACAACCCATACACATCAATTCACTATGTCTGCTGCCGAAGTTCTCAAGAAGTCTGGTGTCATCTACGGCGAGGACGTCAAGACCGTACGTTGTTCGCGAGACACAACAAGCTGTAAAGAAACTTCGCTAACATTTGTGACTGCAGCTCTTCAAGTACGCCCAGGAGAAGAAGTTCGCCATCCCTGCCATTGTAAGTTGGGACCAACCATGAATCGGATTGGTCATTCACTAACATTGCCAAGAACTGCACTTCTTCCTCCACCGTCGTTGCCTCGCTCGAGGCTGCCCGCGACAACAAGGCCCCCATCATCCTCCAGGTAAGGACTTTTGTAATCAACAGATTGAGAACAAACAGCTCATAACATCAAACAGGTTTCTCAGGGTGGTGCTGCCTACTTCGCCGGTAAGGGTGTCGACAACAAGAACCAGGAGGCTTCCATCGCCGGTTCCATTGCTGCCGCTCACTACATCCGTGCCGTTGCTCCCGCCTACGGTATTCCCGTTGTCCTCCACACCGACCACTGCGCCAAGAAGCTCCTCCCATGGCTCGATGGCATGATGGAGGCCGATGAGGCCTTCTTCAAGAAGAACGGCACCCCTCTGTAAGTTGGTCATGCCTTGATCATCAAAATCCACTCCCTAATAAACTCCCAGCTTCTCTTCCCACATGATCGATCTCTCCGAGGAGGAGGTTGACTACAACATCCAGACCACCAAGAAGTACCTCGAGCGTGCTGCTCCCATGAAGCAGTGGCTCGAGATGGAGATCGGTATCACTGGTGGTGAGGAGGACGGTGTCAACAACGAGGATGTTGACAACAACTCCCTCTACACCCAGCCCGAGGACATCTACGAGATCTACAAGACCCTCTCTGAGGTCTCTCCCTTCTTCTCCATCGCCGCCGGTTTCGGTAACGTCCACGGTGTCTACAAGCCTGGCAACGTCAAGCTCCAGCCCGGTCTTCTGTCCAAGCACCAGAAGTACGTCCAGGAGAAGACTGGCTCCAAGGATGACAAGCCCGTCTTCCTCGTCTTCCACGGCGGTTCCGGCTCTTCCGTTGAGGAGTTCCAGGAGGCCATCTCCTACGGTGTCTGCAAGGTCAACCTCGACACTGACCTCCAGTACGCCTACACTGAGGGTATCCGCGACTACATGGTCGGCAAGAAGGACTACCTCAGCAGCCAGGTCGGCAACCCCGACGGTGCTGACAAGCCCAACAAGAAGGTACGTTCATACCCTATTTCACTCCATCGATCGTTCCTGTATACTAATGTTATCCCAACAGTACTACGACCCCCGCGTCTGGGTTCGTGAGGGTGAGAAGACCATGACCAAGCGTGTCACCGTCGCCCTTAAGGACTTCAACACTGCCAACCAGCTTTAAATCATTTCAAGATGATGATTTACGAAAAAAGATACACCCTGCTTATTGGAACGTGATGGAGGTTAATCGCCTTATCATTGCGTGAAACAGGATGATATCTAATCACTTACGGGTTTATGAATGCTACCTCAGGTACCTTTCTTCACAAGTAGTTGTAGAAAGACAAAATTTGTTGTACATATTGTTTGTTTATCTTTTTGTTCTCACATTGTCTGTTCGTCCATTCCTCTACGTGTCTGTCTCTGTTTACCATGTCGGATCGTGGCCCGAGTCAGCATGCTCAACGAATGGAAGCAATCGATGATTGCAAAGCTGCAAACTCGATTTCTTGCTGACCCGGATCGACACGCCAGGAAAAAAACCAATGGGGATGAAGTCATCTCTTTGGCGAGGGTCTTTTTGTTTGCGGAGTCGCGGTCCGAGAAGGCTCGGGTATCATGGCCGAATCATGCTGTTTCTCATCATGCTGCTTTAGCTGACATGATGCACAATCATGCTACTTTTTCTCGTAGATGATCATAACCACCTACCAATTCCCGGAAACATTATGGACCTCTGGCATCCAATAGCAATTCTTGATATATTCTTGAATCGCCAACTTGGGTAAAGTGGATGGAAATCCACAAGATCGCAAGCGTCAGTCATCTTTGGTGCAGGCTTTGCTGTCCCTGGTTTCAGAAACATGAAACATCACAAAGTTCATCATCGCGTCTATCCTTGCACATAACGCTCATTGTACCACCACCTGATCTAAGCAGAATCTAGCAAATAGTTATATTCTACCTAGTGTATTCCAAATTGCCTCTCGATCGGTGTGGAAACGAGATTGGATATCGAGCTGTAATCGTCGTCAGGGTGGCCTGCTCGACGAGCATCTCTGACAAATACAAATCCGCATCGTGTCTCGCATCAATGCACTCTGAATGGCTTCATTCTGCCTGACCATGTTCGGTCAGATCTCTCCGAGATTGAGGTGTCAATCGCTATCTCACGTGGTGGAGTAGGGATGAACAGAAGCGTTCTCAAACATGACAGTCTGTCGGCCAGGCTTGACCACGAAGCGCACAAAACTGACGATGATGAGTTGCTACACTTGGTCAAAAACATGTTATCGCTAGGGGCAAACATCTGATTAATTGCTTTCTCCTGAAAGTACTAGGATTGTGACTACGCTAGGCCAAGGCGACCTTCATAACCTGCATTAATTTGTGACTTCATGCCCTCGACATGAGACCTCACGGATACACATCTACTAGTAGCGAGGAGGCTGGGGAGGGGCACCATAGCCTTGCTGCTGGCCTCCATAACCGCCCTGCTGAGGTGGGTAGCCGCCTTGCTGCTGACCATAACCTCCTTGCTGTTGAGGAGGGTAGCCACCTTGCTGTTGGCCGTAGCCGCCTTGTTGCTGCTGGCCGTAGCCTGGGGGAGCACCGCCAGGCGGGGCAAATTGCTGCTGACCACCATAGCCACCCTGCTGAGGTGGGGGAGCACCATATCCGGGAGCGCCGCCAGGAGGATGGTTTGACTTCTCGTCCTTGGTGTCGTATGAGGGGTCGATTGCACCGAGGATCAATTTGAGGATCTGTATCACATAAGTTAGCAGAGTCCATGCGTAGCTGGGTTGATTGTTGCTTACCCAAAGATCGGGAGTGAGATCGACAGGGGGGTTAGCACGTGCCATCTCAGCAGACTCGTTCTCGAAGTCTAGGCATTGTCAGCATATGGCTCGGATAGAGCATGAGGTGCAGAGACATACTGGAAGTACAGTCGACCAACTGTCCAACAGTAGGGTCATCATCGAGCTTGCCGAGGAACTCGCGAGCCTTCTCATCGTTTCCGACTTGGGCAAATTGGAAGGCAATTGCTCCAGGACCGTATTGCGAGTTGCTGGCCTCCTGAATGGCGTAACGAACAGTGTCAAAGACGGCAGTGGTAGGCTCTCCTGCAGGCTGTCCGTCCGTGATGGTAATAACCAAAATGGGCTTGCGCATCTGTCTGCTGCGGATGGCAGGTACGACAATGCCCTCAACGACCTTCTTGCGAAGCTCAGTACCCATAGGTGTGAGACCGCTGAACTTGTGGCCAGCAACAAGCTGCTGGATCTGTTGCTCAGTCTTGATGTGCTCAACCATGTGCTGGGGAGGGTTGTCATTCATGAAACGGACGGAAATGCCGTCGTCGTCGAAGAGGGTAGCGGCGGTAGCGACACGCTCGAGGATAAGCTGGAGATCCTTGATGCGCTCGCCGTTCTCCTCGAACTTCATGGAACCACTGTCATCAATGTAGAGAACGACGTCGTACAGAGCCAACTTGACAATATCGTTGCCGATCTCCTTGTTGATGCGCCACTGCTGGCACAGACGGTCGACCTGGGCTGAGGCCTTCTGAGCGATCTGGTCGATTATGGGCGAGCCGGGAGGGTAGAAGGCCTGGAGGCGCTTCTCTTGGATGGTCTGCTGGAGCGACTGCTTGTATGCTTGGATCTCAGCAGGACCGGCAGGCTGCGAAGGAGGGGCACCGTAGCCACCCTGGCCACCCTGAGGGGCTCCGGGCTGCTGTCCAGGGTATCCGCCCTGCTGGGGTTGGGGTGGGTAACCACCTTGCTGCTGGGGAGGTGCGCCGTATCCGCCCTGTTGCTGCTGAGGAGGCTGGCCCTGTAAAGACGTCATGTCAGCGAGCAATTCTACAGAGGTTGCGAGAATCAATGAAAACACGGTGTCGCAAAGATGTCACGAACATATCCAGGAGGACCGCCACCATATTGCTGTTGCTGAGATCCGTATGCCGGCTGGCTCTGTCCGTATGGCTGCTGAGGTTGACCATAAGAAGGTTGTTGACTCAAGCCGTAAGGAGGCTGACTTTGGCCGTGTGATGGAGGCTGGCTCTGACCAAAGGGAGTCTGGCCCTGGCTCTGGCCGAAAGGCGCAGGAGATTGTGGTGGGTATCCTTGGCTCTGACCATACTGCGACTGCTGTCCTGGAGGTGGAGGCGGAGGAGGCCTATTATAGCCTTGAGAGGGAGCTGTACTGTAGGGCTGTTGGGCTGACTGAGGATATTGCTGAGAAGGATAAGGTGTCTGTTGCGATTGACCATAGGGAGCAGGAGAAGAATAGCCACCAGGGTTCTGCTGTCCTTGCTGGGGAGGTTGCGACTGGAAGGGCGAGTTGGCAAAAGGTCGTTGCGGTGGAGGCGGGGGCGCGCCGTAGCCGGAGGCGCCAGGATATGCTTGGTAGCCCGACATGGTTCCAGAGAAGAATATGGACGTGACGACGATGCGAGTGAAGAGATGGAAAGAGTCAAGGAAACAGGCAAACACTCACTTGAGGCTGGTAGGCTTGGTACTGAGCTTGGCCGGGCTGTTTTGCATGTCAACGTCAGCCGACTGATCCGTCGTCATCAAAGCTTGGTGGGGCAGCTCGGGTCCAACTCACGTAGCCACCTGGCTTCGGTGCTCCTTGCTGCTGTTGCTGCTGGTATGAAGCTGGAGGGGGTGCGCCGCCGTATGCTCCACCAGGAGGAGCGCCGCCCTGAGCTGCTGCGAGCTTGCTTGCCAGACTGTACACATTCATCAGCTTGCTGTTACTTTGTTCATGACGTGTGCTATGGCCGCGGGGTACGCGTCCTCTTCACGGCACCGTCAGGCATTGTACGCACCCCATGTTGATATCGCGATGTATGAACTTTGATGTGGTTTGCGAAGGGAAGAAAGAGGACGAAGTGATTGGAAGATGGAATGTCTGAGCCAAGAGAGGAGAGCAGTGACGAAGGTGCTTTGATTTAATGTCAGGAACCCGCCAAGCCTCAAGTGGCAGTGAGCCCTCAGCCACAACTGTCCATCGAATCGTTCGTGTCTATTCGCGCCTGTCTGACTTCATACTTCACGGCGCTTACTCGCAGCTTTAGAAAGGATTCATCATAATGTTGGTTGCGCCTCTCTGATGTTGCAACCCTAGGTGAAGGATCTGGGATGTCCTCTGGATGTGAGATTGGCGATTTGCTTCTGCTACTGCTAGCCTATGATCTGGTGTCGATTCCAGTGGTTGGTCTGCGTGAGCCCACTCCCAACATCTCTAGCGATGTCCCTACCTTATAGGCCTATAGCTCTTGTTCGGACCTTGTCCAAGCGAAGCGGACCTCCGTTGCGGAACTCATCACCGCAATATCCGGATTTCGGCTCCAAACCTTCCCCGCGTCGGGATGCTTTGGAGAGCAACCCGGTCATATACTTGTCCAATCGCAACATTTTCAGGAGACTTTGTGCCATCTACTATATTTCCAGTCAAACGACCAATAGTGACTCAAGCAATGCCTCACGCGAATGGTGACAACGACTCTAGTGTCGCCAATGGCCAGGACCTCGGATCCGAGCTTTGGAGGCACCCAGCGCCTGAGACCACGCAGATGTGGAAATTTCTACAGACAGTAAACAAAGAGAATGGTCTTGGTCTTGAAAGCTACGACGATCTCTACGACTGGAGCATTGATCAAACTGTGGGTTTCTGGGATGCTGTATGGCAATTCACTGGCATCAAGGCCTCAGCCCCCTACGATGAGGTACGCAGACGTGTGGATCATATTCGAGATAGAAGCGTATATTGATATAGAGAAGGTCTTGCCAAAAGATGCTCCCATGTTTCCAAGGCCATCCTTCTTCCGCGGAGCGAGACTGAACTTCGCCGAAAACCTACTCTTCCCACCTCAAGCACCAAGCCCGGATAGTCCAGCCATCATCGCAGCCACCGAGACTGACCGAGAGACGGTAACATGGGCTGGACTGCGCGAGAAGGTTCGTGTATGCCAATCTGGTATGCTTGCTACCAATGTCAAGCCAGGAGATAGAGTGGCAGGGTATGTTGCTAATCATACCAATGCTCTGGTTGCCATGTTGGCCGCGACATCACTTGGAGCCATCTGGACAGCAATCAGCCCGGATACTGGTGTGACTGCAGTGCTGGATCGTCTTACTCAGATCGAGCCTGTCATCTTGTTTGCCGACAATGCCAGTATGTACAATGGCAAGACTCATCCTACCATGCCGAAGGTTCAGGAGATAGGCTCTTCTCTACCTAGTCTAAAGGCACTCGTCATATTCCCCACGGTTACATCAGTATCAACGGAGATTGACGTGGAATCACTGGCGGGGATTGCAGTCTCGTATGACAGCTTCGCAAAGAACGAGGCCACGCCCAAGGAAATCATATTTACACAGCTGCCCCCAGATCACCCAGTCTATATCCTCTACAGCTCGGGAACCACAGGAGCACCGAAATGTATCGTCCACGGTGCGATCGGTACACTCATCCAACATAAGAAGGAGCACATCCTACATTGCGACATTCTACCAGGAGACAAGCTGTTCTACTTCACAACCTGCACATGGATGATGTGGCATTGGCTGGTCTCAGGCCTAGCGAGCGGTGCAACTTTGGTGCTGTATGACGGCTCGCCTTTCAGATATGTTTCAGATGGCAAGTCTGTTCCAGATGATCTGGCTATGGCAAAGTTGATCGACGAATTGAGCATCACACATTTCGGAACCTCGGCCAAGTATCTCTCGGTCCTAGAGCAGAAGTCTGTCATGCCCAAAGAGCAGGATGTCACTCTGAAGACGCTCAAAGCGATCTACAGCACTGGCTCTCCTCTCGCACCATCAACATTCCAATATGTCTACCAAGCATTTGGCTCAATAAACCTGGGAAGCATCACAGGCGGCACAGACATCATTTCTCTCTTCGGCGCTCCTTGCCAACTGACCCCTGTATACACCGGCGAGATCCAAGTCCTCGGCCTCGGTATGGCCGTTCGCGCCTGGGACTACCTCGGTGCCGATGTAACAACTACAGGTGCAGCCGGCGACCTTGTCTGCACAAAACCCTTCCCCTGTCAACCAGTCCAATTCTGGGGTCCCACAGGCGAGTCCAAGTACCAGAGCTCATACTTCGAGACCTTCCCCGGAGTCTGGCATCATGGAGATTTCATCCGCTTCAACCCAAAGACTGGAGGCTTGTATATGCTTGGTCGTAGCGATGGTATTCTCAAGCCGTCAGGTGTGAGATTCGGCAGTGCGGAGATCTACAACATCTTGCTTAAGCATTTCCCTGAGCAAGTCGAGGATGCCTTGTGCATTGGTCGTCGTCGCGAGACGGATGACGACGAGACCGTTGTGCTGTTCTTGAAGATGAAGGAGGGAGAGCAGTTCGATACTGATTTGGTCAAGGGAATTCAAAAGGTCATCAGGATGGAGCTCAGCGCTCGCCATGTTCCTGGCATTGTGGACGAGACCCCCGAGATTCCAGTGACGACGAACGGAAAGAAGATTGAGGCCGCGGTCAAGCAGATCCTATGCGGTATGAACGTTAAGACGTCGGCATCGGTTGCTAATGCTGGATGTCTCGACTGGTACAGAGAGTGGTCAAGCACACATAATTGAGAGATCACGGTAAGTCCTACAACCTGGAGTTAGCTATAGAAGGACATTTTACTCGAGTTTGGGACACAGAAGCAATCCTCAATCAGAGTCTTCAAGTGGTATGTGATAATAGATCGAGGAATGACTTTGAGCTCTCGTGGAGACAACGAAATAGATGCATACCATGAACTCCTGCTAAAATGGGGTATTTTGCGACGAAATGCGCATAGCAAAGCAAACCAGACCCTCCCTCTTTCTTCCTTGTCTTTGTCAGGCGATCAACCGAAGACACCAGCTCTTCTCATCACGCCCTCAAAGTCCTCTCTTCCAACAACAGGACCACCTCCACTCGTGGCCTCCTTGATCATGTCTCTTAGCATCTTGTCAGGAACGTCTTCTCTGAGCTCGCGAGCGACACGTCTGAGATGGGCTAACGTGATGAAGTCGCCTTCTCCGCGTGTAAATAGCGTAAAAGCCGCGTCGACTTCCTCGTTTTGTTGCTCGGGATCGTTGTGTCTTGCATGAAGCTTGAGTGCAGCGACGGCGACAAAATGTGCATATGTGACAAACCCACTCTCTTCCGGGTCCACTGCTTCGAGTATCTCAGACAGCTCTGCTGCCGAGGTGGGTGGTGTGTTCAAGGCGATGAGGCAGCGTCGTACATCTTCTGTTCGTAGAACTCCTTCTTTCTCGTCCGAGTAGTCCGAGTCATCCGTCACGGCGAATAGAGCGAAGGCTTCAAGTATTTCATTTTCTTGGTCGGCGGTGATGTCGTTCTCTTTGGCTAATTTCGAGGCGCGTTTCTTTGGTGCCGCTGCTGCTGCCGCTGCTGCTTTGCCGGCTGCTGCCTTGCCACGTTTGGGAGGCTAGTTGAAGTGTTAGACAGGTTTGACACGCAATGCTTCAATTTCAAAACTCACCATGTCTACAAGGGCCACCTTTTGCAGCACAAAAGTCGAGAAATCTAAAGTGGTCGAGGGCAGACGCGATTGATCGATGATGTCGACTTTGCTTTGTTTGTCGAGCACATGGACTGTGCGCAGATTCATCAAAACTTCAGGTTCTGATGAGACTTTCCTGCTTCCTTCCCAAACAAACACATTTCTTGTAGACGAAGAGCAACACCTAGTCCAAGCGATTCTGAAAGACAAATCCTATCTTCCCAGCTGCTTGTGTTAAGAGTGTGCCTTTAGGCCAAGTAGACCCTTTTCCTTCTTTACCCCTCCCCCAACACAAACAAGCTGTTTCATATGCTAGAGCCCGCCATCTCCAACAATCCAGGATGAAGCGAGTGTGGACAAAGCAGCAATATTGAACAACCCTCGGGGAGTCCCTTCAGACAGAACCGGGGTCTTTGTCATTCTTCATACGCGGTCGTGGCTAGCCTGCGACTGGGTCGAGTGATGGAGTGGACATTTCCATATCTACAAATCAATCTTTTGACCTTCAAGCTCTACTGTTCCACTGTTGCTTTCTGCTTTTGCATAGTGTACATCCAGAGGCATTATCTATGTGTTGTGCTGATCGCTATAGACCGTGCCCTGAGGCCTTGGCTGCCTTCTGCAAGCATAGACATCACTGGTCATCTTCCAACTCAAACCTCCTCGACCGTCATAATGCACGGCGCTTCCGCAATATGGACAGCCTCTTAGAGGCGTGCTCTTGGCTCTTGTCAAGACATAGTTGTGCAATTCTTCTACTAGCCCTGGAAAAACGGTTTAGCAAAAGAGAAACTGACAAGGAAGTCGCACGCATGTCGGTCTCCAACGAGTGAGACGGCATACGATCAGCTCCGAGATCCTGTTCGATGCTTTGTTGCCGTGGTGGTCGTCACGAACAAACGCAACGCAAACAAGCGATTCCGTAAACTCCTGGAAATCAAGAAGCACCTTGACTTGTGGCTCGATCTCTCTTCACTTCGTATTTGAGCTTCTTTCCTCCACTCAAGTACTCGTTCCGACCTAATATACCAACCATGGACAAGCGTAGCTTTTTCGACTTGAAGTGGACGGGAGGCAAGGACGATGACCAGATCGCAAAGGACATTGTCGACAGAGAGACATGGCTCAGATCCTTCGGCATGATCTCGTATACTGCGTCTGGCAAGTTCGATACATCAAAGGTCGACAAGAAAAGGGCCGAGGCTGAGAAGAAGGCTGCTGTTATGCTCTCTGCATAATGAATGTGCCATTTCATACCATACTCACACAAGGTCTAGTTGAAACACTTCCTCCTTGCGAAGAGAAACCGGGAGCCTTATCTGCTGGCTTCGAAGAGCATCTCGACAGCCTCAAAAAGTACAGTCGCTATAATGTATCTTGTTTGAGTCCTTTCTCTAATACGAAACAACCACAGAGACTGCTTGACCTCAGCCAATTGGAGCGGCGCACGCAACCAGCTCCACTATGCCATCAAGCAGCACGGTATCGACAAAGTCGTCGTTCTAGGCTCGGGCAGCATCTTTCACCAGCTAAGTGATCACGTACGCTGGGGTTATGAGATGGGATTCATCCTTGCTGTCTTTGAGCTTGGTAAGTTGCTTCACTTTGCCCTGTGTGTCTGTCGAGAAACAAGAAGAAAGATCTCGATGAGCCATCAGCTTGTCTAGTCTCTCCAGCCAGATCTTCAGCCTGACTACAAACTACTGGTGTCAAGCTTGACAGACCAGCACTGATAAGCGATATGTAGTGAAGCAACAAGCCGAAGATACCAAAGCTCCCACACCCAAGCTGCTCTTCCAGGAGCCCAGCTTCTGCGCCGCCGATCATCTTCTCATGACCGACCTCGGCGGCCAAGTGATCAAACACCCAGAAGCCTTTGCCGACTACATTGACGAAAACACACTTGTGTTTGCCAAGTGTATACCTCTCCTCGTATACTTCAACTGTCTCCTATTCATATCTCCTGCTATTTGCATCACCACAGTAAGCTGTGCAACTTCTGATAAAACGTCTCGCTATGAGATCTAACAGCATTGTACAGGACCTCACACAAGCGACAGACGGAGCACTAGACCTTCAGAAAAGATACAACGACTTCAACCCCGATCTTGACATCCGTGGCATATCCAAAGTCTTTATCGCACCCAGGAAGAAGGTGGAACTGCATGAAGTCATGCTTAATCTGTGCCATGAGGATCCCGATGAAGGCTTGGACAACTTTCTCGAGAGCATGGGGGTCATGTGATTGGCTACCGAGAAGGAAGATGCCAATATTGCCCATGAAGAGCGTGAAAAGAAGATGGTCGGCTCATTGGGCAAGAAAGCAAAGAAGTGATTTGAGTCACTGTGATGAGTGGACTTGAATCGTCAAGCTTTGATACATTATCTATGGTACTAGCATGGAAGGACTTGGTATCGCAGCAAAACAGTCACTGGACAGGGCACCATCAAAGTGCACCAGAGTTCAATCGTAAGGTTCGTTAGTAGGAATTTCAGAGCTACCCTTCCCTAAGCATTGCTGTGAGAGCTTTGAGTGACTGATGGATGAGCAGTTGAGCCATTGCCTTTGCCGTCCTTGTGCCATGCTGCATCGGCATCTGGGTGGATGGTGGGCTCCTTGATGTACTCTCTGACCTCACGCTTATGACGGTGATCCTCACCAAATCTTCCGTCTCTGTCCCCAACATGCTTGTCGAAGTCGAATTGATCGTAGTCGGTGAAGCTGGTCATGAGCTGAGGTTGGCCCAGAGGAAGCTTGTGACCCTTGTCTGTCTGCCACAGGTGGAAGACCTTGCCGTACAGTGTGACGACCTCTTCCATCTCCTTGTTCTCGGCAACTTCCCACACAGCCTCAGGGATACCAGTAGGACGAGGCATGAGCAGCATGCCTGACTTGACTTCGAAGACGTGCGAGTGCCAGAGCTTGCGTTCTTCTTGATCCAGAGTTTCGTAGAGACGAGCGCTGATCATGTACTCGATACCGATGAGACGGGCATTCTTTTCAGGCGAGTCGTAGAGTAGGCATTGTCGCACCTCTGCTTCGGGTTAGTGAGGTGTCGATGAGTGAGACGAACAGGCCATACCGTCGTTCACGTGTGCGCAGTAGTGATTGGTCTCGACATGACGAGTAGGATCGTTGGCATAGGCGTGGAAGGCATTGAGATGTGCGCAAATACGCTGGGGTGGGGCGAAGTTCTGTGTAAGGCCGGCTCCAGTCTCGAGGATCTTGTTTTGCAGCGACTCAGGCTGGCCCTTGGTGTCGTTGGTGGCTGGGATCTTGTCCATGTTTGGGTGCTACTGGTGAAGGGTTCCTGTGAGGCTGCTGGAAGGGGAGTGTAATTGAGAGAAGAGAGAGATCAAACAGAAATACTTATTCGAGAAGGAGCTATACAGGTCACCGCACGATGACGTTTGTCAAGTCTCACGAATCGCCGACTTTGATTGCACCAAGCAAGATCACTATGCAGGTGTTCGACGTGCCGGCGACATGCCGAGACGAATCTACGAGACACGATTTGGCGACCCCAGGTCGAGATCGAGGCATCTCGCAGCAACGGTCTGTGCTATGCAGGACAAAGTGGACAATGTCCAAGGAAGACCGAGGAAGATTGGAAACATGACGCTCGGGCCAGCTGTAAGCACTTTATCCTCTTCGGTGCAGCAGCACGCGACAATTGCAGGGAAGGGACGCCGCGTCTGGGGCAAAGGATTATTCTTTGTTTGTCGCGCACTTCAATCTCTACACCGCAGCCTAGCTCTCGCTCACCCCTCTGCTGCTGTCGACGACTCTATTCTTCCGCACCTGCGCTCGCTGCATATCTTCCCTCGCTTCCGACCGACCGGCCCAACATGAACTTCTTCGGCACAAAGAACAAGCCGGTCATCAAGACCAAAACCGTTTCCGTCACTGTGCCAGCCAAGAGGATCGTGAGGCCAGCTGCTGCTCCGTCACGACCTTCACCGCTTCCGAAACGCCCTTCGCAGTTGTCCACACCGAGAGATCGCCTGTCAGTCCCCTCAGAGCCGAAAGAGAGGGTCAGAAGAGTGGTCAAGCGCAAGGCCTCGACCCCGACGCAAGTCTTCAGCGACGACGACGACGACGACAGCGGCATTGAGAGCAGTACCTCTTCGCTCGACACAAGGAAGCGCATCAAGTCTCGCGCCACTTCAGAAGACCCCAACCGCAAGCTCGAGGACACAAGATTGCGCAAAGACGAAGGCCGTTTCGAATACCTTTCTGGCGCCTCCCTGGTCGCTGGCGAGTTCGGAAAGTCGTACAAGTCTGTCTTTCCTGGAGACTCCCCCACTGTAGTCAAGTTGCAATACCCTGGTCAGTCGATACCTGAAAAGTTCACCCTGGTCAAGAACGGCGTTCAGCAAGACTACCAACCCCTGGATGACATCAGAGAAACCGTCAAATTCATCTGCCAGAACTACTTCCCCGAAGACCTGGCCAAGGAATATCTCGATGATGAGCACGGCTTCGAGCGCCGTCTACTTCGCGCAGCCAGCAAGGGCTCAAAGGAAGACTACGTCGGCACGATTCAGGATTTCAACACCATGATCCTCAAGGCTAAAAGAGACGGAACGATCAGCAAGGAGCTGTCCACAAAGCATAGTCTGACTTTGGAATGGATCCAGCGCATCCTAGATCAGATCTATACCCGTACTGTCTCGCCTCAGGTCGACAGTCTGAAGGCTTATCAGAACGGCACCGACAATGTCTATGGCGAATTGCTGCCACCACTCGTCTCTGAGATGCTCAACGGTGCTGAACTCAAGTCTGACCAGGTCTTTGTCGATCTGGGCTCTGGTGTCGGCAACGTCTGTCTACAAGCCTCTCTCGAGACCGGTTGCGAGAGTTGGGGCTGCGAAGTCATGGAGAACCCTTGCAAGCTCGCCGACTTGCAGGCCAATGAGTTCCCTGCTCGCGCTCGCATGTGGGGGCTATCGGTAGGCAAGGTGCATCTGCTCAAAGGCGACTTCCTTGCGAACCAAAAGATCGGCGAAGTGCTCAAGCGAGCCGATGTCGTCCTCGTCAACAACCAAGCCTTCAGCCCCGACCTCAACAGCAAGATCATGGATCGCTTCTTGGACCTCAAGGACGGATGTCGCATCATCAGTCTCAAACCCTTTAAGCAGGAAGGCTATGAGATTAGCGATCGCAACCAGCATGACCCTCGTCACCTTCTCGTCGACGAGCGCAAGCTGCCCTTCTACTCCAAGTGCGTAAGCTGGACCGATGCTCCCGGCGAGTACCACATTGTCCGCAAATCACACGAGCGTCTTAAGCAGTTCTCGGATGATAACAACAGAAGAACTCGCAGGAGCTAGAGACTCTGGAACAAGGTAAAAGTAAAAGTTTCATCAAAATCAAGGCGTTTCAAAGCAGCATAAAGATACCCCCTTGGAATTTCTTGGTTTTAGTTTTTCTGGTTTTTGTCGTCGTCGTAAGAGAGGTGGTCGTTTGGTCTTATGGATAGACTTATTTTTTGCTGCATTCCATTGCAGCTAGCATAGTTCTGTTGTCGCATCTGTCGTTACCGCATCTTCATTGCATAGCGTCTGCGGTTTACATAGCCATGCACTCATTCCTTCCACCTACTGTCTAAGCCTTCGTGCCATACGTTGCTGCTAAACGCTCAAGCAAGTGATCTTTCGCAGTCAATGTCTTGCCACCCTTGTTCACCCCCTCAACACCCCCCTTGTACTCCTCCACCCTCTTACTAGGGACGGCAACCAATTCCGCTTCGTCCAACGGATGGCAGAAATATGCCATGCTATGTCTATCCTCTCCTCCCCTTCTCCCCTCTTTCGGGAAGATGACTCTATGCACTGTACTCTTCAACAAACCATTCGTCCAATACGCCAGTAAATCGCCAATGTTTACCAGAATGGGCAATGGCTTTGAAGCATCGGTTTGAGGATTTGTGGGCACACTTTCCCATGTTTTGGATGGTGTCAAAATCTCCAGACCTGGTTGGCCTGGGAGTTGGAAAAGGAGGGTTAGAGTGCCGTAGTCACTGTGGGCCTGTTTTTCTTGACATCAGTATACTACTCCAACCATGCAAAAGGGAGTGAAAGCAGGGGAAAAAAACATACACCAGCACGAATATCATCTTCATCAGGCGCCAGAGTATCAGGTACAGAGGGATAGTATAACAGCCGCATTATACTACCCGAAGGCCCCTTTGTCTGATCATGACGGGAACTGAACCAATCAGAGGGAAGATCTAGAGCTTGAGCGAAGAGTTGAAGCAGTTTGTTGCAGAGGGCGTGGCAGGAGTTTGTGAAGTCTGCTAGGGTTGAGGCTTCTTGGGAGAAGGGAGTTGGGAGTGGTTGGTTTGGTTTGTTGTTGGTGAATTCGCCGAGATTGAATGCTCTGGTTGGGGTTAGTGTGATGGTGGGATGAGAGTTGGGGGTATTGTACTCTTTGAAGTCACCTCTCTGGTCAGAGGTTAGTTATAAGTCTGTGACAAGAATGAAGCGGTTATAGTCTCACCTTCTGGTTACCAGGATCAAGCGTCTCTTGCTGCATAGAGACCCATCCACGATTATTCTGGGTCGGACATTCTTGCTTATTTTCCACCGGACCTTGGAAGAACTCTTTACTCTACTCTCTTCTTAGCGTTTTGCTATTCCCAAGAACTCAGATCATATCGCTCTTACTAAATTGAACATGTTGGCAATCTTGGCTGGTGGCATTCCCGCGGCGTCATTGTTCTCGACAAACACAAAGCCATTATTTGCTGCTGCATCGAGAAGCTGTGTTGCGGCATGTGGATTTGACGATGATATGTCAATGACTGGAATTTGAGCTGATGCTTTAGACATACCGAAGACGCTTTGGTAAGGTGATGTAGATGGATGAGTTGTGGTGGTGGTCATGCAGGTCGTATCTCGTTCCTTCGGCGAGCCCCGTTATCTCTGCCGGCCAACCTCACAGTAATTCCTACATCGCAACAACGTCGTCAAGTCTACCGAACAGTGACATATAATCGCCGTGTGAGGCTCCCAACGATAGCAACATCGTCATACTATGGTAACGATCGTGATTCTAGGATAGGAAACGCTGTGAGGTAAGACGAACACATCAAACGACCTTGTCGAATCTCATGAGGACGCTCAGCATGGTTCATCTCCATCTACCTCCAGAACTTCTGCTCCTCGTCTTGAAGCAAGTTCGCTACGGCGAAGAGCCTGCCGCTTCGAAAAAGTCACTTCGCAATGCCATATTAGTCAACCGTGGATGGGCAGAGGCTGGCATTCGCGTACTATGGCAAGATGCAGATGTCGCCGCACTTACTCGGCTACCGGCAGAACGGAGACAATACTATACGAATCAAATTTGTGAGCTCTCGTTCGAACACGAAGACCAGAGCAAGCACCACGCGACCTTCGGGGACTTGAGCTTCCCGCGCTTGGAGACCATCTATGTCGGTAGAATCGATCTCAAATCAGACAAGAAGCTACACCTCTCTCAGTATATGCAATCCCAATTGAGAAGCTTTAGTTTCCTGGGAGGCGGACTCTGCGAAGATGCTCTTGACGCTTTGACTTCAACCTGTCATAATCTCAGAGAGATGAACCTTGAAAGCCCAATCGATGCCAGCAACGCAAAATCTTTGATCGGTTGCCTCACGCATCTCAAATTATTAGAAGTCCTTCGACTTGGGGATGGCTGGGACAGTTTGGTCACTCGCGAGTTGTTCGGAGTGGTGGCTGGTCACGAAAGACTTATTAGGTTAGAAATCGAATGCCTGACAGGGGACTCAGCAATTCAAGAAGGTCTCGCCGTGGCCTCTGCTCCATTTCGCAACCTTCGGAGTCTTCGAATGACAGTAGGATCGAGGTGCATCGAATTTTTGGCCTCTGCCACCAGATGCTTACGCGTGTTGGTCTTGGAGGTTGAAGACTCCGTTCATGATGTCCTTGTGTCTCTCAGGCCACTCATGAACCTGGTTTGTCTGGAGTTGACATTTCTCGGCAATACGGATCTGTCCCCACAAGGATTTAAAACTCTAGAAGGAATGGTAGACCTCAGTGTTCTCGCATTGAAGAAAGGTCACGAGCCGCTCTCGACGATGTGGATGGATGACACGTTCTTCATCGACTTTAGTTCGAAATTGCCTAAATTGACCAGTCTTGACTTCAGAGTGATCTGTGATATCACTGCTTCATCTTTCGCCTCGTTGTGCAAGACTCACCCGAACATGGAGGATTTGGACCTCTGGGTCGATGCCGACTTTAGCGATTGGTCAACAATGTCGACTCCTCTGTTTCCGAAGCTAAAGAAACTTGGTGTCTATGGCCCCTTGAACGAACGTGCAAGAAGGTATAAGCTTCCATCCGCCATAACAGCTGCATTAGGTCCTTTGCTGACATATCAAAGAGCTACAGAACCTTTGATGTCTGACGAAGCTACACAGATCGCGGACTCGATACTTCGACATTGCCCAATGCTCGGACTGCTGTGCTTCCACTCCTACCATACGGACAGACTTGCCCAATTCACACTCAGAGCCTGGGAGTCCAAGACCGACGGCTATTTTTTAGTGAGCTCTCTGACATCATTCCGGTCCAATGACTGGATGATCAACAACTTTCTCACCATGAAGTTTCAGCCCAGCGAGACAAGGATCTATCACGAGTGGCCACAGCGTCATTCACTAAGTTCTAGAGGTGTAATATCCTGAGCACGATACTTCCCAGTGACAAAACGAGCTCCTATGAAAGTGCGATGGTTAGCTATCCTCCACAGACAATGTTGCCTAGTACAAAACCATCGTGCATCTGAGCAGCACTCATGTGACGTGAACAAAGCTGCAGAAGTATTGTACAACTCGAGTGCCCTCGATGGTCTGGAAACGGTAGAGTGGATAGAACTGTCCAGTTCTATGCCGAAGGCGTGACAAACTTCAGCAGATGGAGAGTAGCCGGCTCGTAAGGTGAGGCTCAAAGAAGATGGCTTCCGCCGGTACCGCATCGAATGACAAAGGGCCGATTCGCCGACTTGACAGCAAGCCACACGTTGAAACCGAAGATCTGCTTCATCGATCTTTTGAGCAACCCGTTTCATGGAATTGTTGTGCCATGCAGTAATGATACAAACTCTGACATACTGAAAAGAGATTCTATAGCTTCAGTACCTCGATGAAATGATGGTCTTATGCCTTAAGCGTGCTGCTCCAGATGTCTTCAGCATGTGTACATGGCCACACAAGGATAATCAGTTACGACTGTGGCATTGGCAAGGTTTGGCACATGAGAAGGGCGCCCGTCGGGCACGCAATTGCAACGAAGTCGGATGTGAAGTTCAACAAGTTCAGAAATGGTTGACAAGACACGGCTAAAACGTGTTCAATGGAATCACCCGCTTATGAGTGTTTTATCGAGCTCGGCGTTAAGAGAAGCACAGGGCTCGCAATCAGCAAAAAGCAGACAGGCCTCGGTCGAGCAAATTAGACTTGGGAAGCTACAAGATACCGAGACGTAAGGAAGGGACAAGAGACAGCGAAACATGCAAGCAGCTGAACAACCAAGCAAAAGGCGACATGGATGTTGGTATACATCAACGATGGTCATAGCGATTTAGATCTGAGTTGAATGGTCGGGAGAGGTCCAAGCGTTTTTCTTGCAAAGGCCGAAGTTGCAGTTAGCTCATCGCGCAGGGCAAAAAGTTGAAAGTTGCTTATCGGGGGGCTCGATTTTGTTATTACTGAGAGACGCTGAGCACAACCTTCTCTCCGCCCGACCTCTCCAACTCTCCTCTCACCCCCATACCTCGCTCTAATGGCTGCCGCATCAGCTATGAGGCCCGCAGTTGCCTCGATGCGCGCTGCAATTGGTGCATCCAAGCGCACCTTTGCGACCGCCAACAAGCAGAGCTTCGCATCGCGTGCCCAGCCCTCGCCTCGCGCAACCCTGTCGCAGCAGTCGCTCCGCCAGTCCTTCAGACGCTCATACGCCGACGTTGTGAAGCCCAAGAAGAGCGGTTTCCGTGTCTTCCGCTGGGCCTGGAGAGCAACCTACCTGTCGGCCATTGCTGGTCTCATCTACACCGGCTTCGCCATCTACGAGAACAGAACTCCTGGTGACCAGCCACCGCCAGACCCGTCCAAGAAGACTCTGGTCATCCTCGGTATGTCTCTCGCAAGCATGCGACCCCAACACCTTTGAGCTCTGAGCTGACAATAGCAATCAGGTTCCGGCTGGGGTGCCGTCTCCCTTCTCAAGAAGCTCGACACGGAAAACTACAACGTCATCGTCATCTCTCCTCGCAACTACTTCCTGTTCACCCCTCTCCTGCCCTCATGCACAACCGGTACCATCGAGCACCGCTCCATCATGGAGCCTGTTCGCAACTTCCTCCGTCACAAGAAAGCCGCCGTCAAGTTCTACGAAGCCGAAGCCACAAAGATCGACTACGAAAAGAAGATCGTCTACATCAACGACGAGTCTGAGGTCAAGGGTGCTACTTCTCTGTCCGAGGTTCCTTTCGATATGCTCGTCGTCGGTGTCGGCGCCGAGAACGCTACTTTCGGTACGTCGAGAAGAATACAAGAGACTCTGAGGGTAATGCTGACAGTTCCCCACAGGTATCCCTGGTGTCAAGGAGCACTCTTGCTTCCTGAAGGAGGTCGCTGATGCTCAACGTATTCGCAAGCGCATCATGGACTGCTGTGAAACCGCCACCTTCAAGGACCAGAGCCCTGAGGAGCGCAAGCGTCTTTTGCACATGGTTGTTGTCGGTGGTGGCCCCACTGGTGTCGAGTTCGCTGGGGAGCTCCAGGATTTCTTCGAGAACGACCTCAAGACCTGGATGCCCGAAATCGCCGACCAGTTCCGTGTTACTCTCGTTGAAGCCCTCCCCAGTGTATGTCTGATCAGAATCCAAGTGCTGTCCAGTATGCTGATAGACCATCACAGGTTCTTCCCATGTTCTCCAAGCAGTTGATCGACTACACCGAGCAAACCTTCAAGGAGGAGACCATTGACATCCGCACAAAGACCATGGTCAAGAACGTTACCAAGGAATACATCGAGGCCGAGTTTGTTGGTCCCGACGGCAAGAAGGTCCTCGAGAGGATCCCTTACGGTCTTCTTGTCTGGGCTACCGGCAACGCCGTCCGCCCTGTTGTCAAGGATTTGATGAACCAGATTCCCGCCCAGAAGGAGGCCCGTCGTGGCCTGAACGTCAACGAATACCTTGTCGTCAAGGGTACCGAGAACATCTGGGCTGTTGGTGACTGCGCTGTCGCCAACTACGCTCCCACTGCCCAGGTCGCCGCACAGGAAGGTGCTTTCCTCGCCCGCCTCTTCAACCAGATGGCCAAGACTGAGGAGATTGAGGCCGAGCTCCAGAGCTTGTCCAGCGCTCAGGAGACCGCTCCCAAGGATGCCCGTGACCAGATCTTTGCCAACATCAAGGACCTCCAGAAGCGTCTTCGTCGTGTCAACCAGATGGGTCCTTTCGAGTACTCTCACCAGGGTTCGCTCGCATACATTGGAAGCGAGAAGGCTGTTGCCGATATCTCCTGGTTGACTGGTAACTTTGCCACCGGTGGTACTCTCACATACTTCTTCTGGCGTAGTGCCTACCTCAGCATGTGCTTCAGCAGTAAGTTTTTCCCCCGACAGCCTTTTCCTGTTCCGATGTTAGCATCATTAGAAGAGAGGAGAGAGAAGCAAGACAGAAAAGAACCCGGCTAACGTGTTTTCCAACAGCTCGCAACCGTGTCCTTGTCATCATGGACTGGATCAAGGCAAAGACCTTTGGCCGTGACGTTTCCCGCGAATAAGCGCCCAATTGCTCGTTGTCCACTTCTCAGCATGCAGACATATCATATCTGCACCTCTCATATGACCCTCACCTGATGCCCCCCACACCTTACGAAACGCACCCACCGACGATCGACAGATTGAGTGAATGAACAGGGTTGACGAGGGAGGAGATCTTGAGCAACAAAAGAGACAACCCACTTTTCCTTTTTCCGTCATCAAAACAACATAGACTTGGGAGGGACATGGGCGGAAAGGCGTCCTCTTTTTCTTTTATCTCTTTGTAGAAATATTTCTTGCTCTCTTTTTTTTTGAAATTTGAATATTTTGAAATCTCACTTACCTGCTTGGTACTTTGGACGAGATCTTCCGTGTAGTCTTGTACACTATTGAGTGTGCAGAGGTGGAGAAGATTGGGTTGTTGTACTTGAGCAGTGATTGGGAGATGTTGGTCTGATTGCGCCTTTCTCGTAAAGTTTCGGAAGCGAGGAGAGGCAGTTGGGATGTGGAGCCGAGAAGTCCGAGTCTCTCCGTCCATGGGCCATAGACGACATGGCATACACTATTAAAACAGTGAAGCTGCAAATATATAAATGGGCTGAGGTATCCTCTTGTTGATGATCAGTATTTCTTCGTGATTTGACAGTTGAGAGATGTGCTCTGATGCACTGTAGCCGTCACACTCGTGAGTGGTGCGTACAAGGAAATAGAATGCACACGTTTGGAGACAGCGGCCTCTGATGGTCGGTAACCCAATCTGTGATGAGTGACTGGCCTCCTTTCATCCGGCATCTGCTGCTCTCAAACAATGTCAAGCATACAATTCACGAAGCAGCAGATCACCAGAACCGAAAGAGTCAATCTGCCCATGTCACAAAATCAAAGAGGAACGAGTCAAGTAAAAAGCGATAAAAGTGGTCATTGTGTTTGATCTGCAATAATCAACCTAACCCGGTCTTCCCCCATTCTCTCTCTGTCAAAAAGAGCCGCAGAGAAACAAGAAGAAAAGGACAATAAAATACGAAATGGTCTCGGGGGGACCAAGTCCTCGGTCCTCTGTGGACCTCCTTTCCCCCAAGAAAGTTGTGTGATGTTGGAAATAGAAAACACCATTGAAACAAGCCATTGTACGCCGGGAAGATGTTGGATGGGGAAGTGTATGGGAAGGATGGGGAATATGATGGGGGTTGGGGGGTTGTTACATGACGGGGCATCTTTGATGATGTTGTTTTTCTCCTCTTCGTGATCCATTTCATGACAGATCGTGAGAAGTTCGGGGTATGGGGAAATGTTGTGTTGGAAAGGTGCTTAGTGTATGGGAATCTCCATGGCCATGCGAGCGGTGGTGGCGAACGCTCGCAGAAAGCGGTGGAGGCAGTGACCTTGTAGATTTGTGTAAAGCGACAAGTGGTAGCTCTAGCTGAGAGTTGCAACGCACAGTATTGATGCAGTGCGAATCGCAGCAGTCCCATGCTGGTCAGGTGAAGTCATCACTGGCAGGAGCTGCACCGAGAGTAGCGGTCTCGTGTCGTACTGAAAACTTCCAGCCAGCAATAAGAACGCACTCAAGATATGAGGTCATCTTACATGTCCATCGAGTCACCACCGTTGGCAAAGTTGAAGTTCTGTTGTTGCTGCTGAGCACCAAAGCCGAACTGACCATCTTGACCGGCCTGGGGAGCGAGCTCGTTCATGTCACCCTCAGCCTCCTCGTCAGAGAAGTACTTCTCGATGATGTTGTAAGCCTTCATGTAAATCTCCTCGTTGGCGTTGTTCTGGCAGTCGTGGATCTTCTCCATACCACCGCACTCCTCGATAAAGAGAGCGTAACGGTTGACGGGGGGCTCGTTGGTACCCTCAGCAGCCTCCTTATCCATGTCGCCGACCTTGAGGATGTTCTCCAGACCATCAAGAGCGACCTGGATGATCTTGTTGTCAGGGCAAGACAGCAAGTCGCACAGGGGGCGGATAGCACCCTCGTGGACGAGGTAGCGGATCTGGTCAGGCTTCTGGAGACCACCCGAAGTGGCGTTAGAGATGGCCCAGCAAGCCTCCTTACGGGTCTTGAAGTCGCCGTTGGAAAGAAGGTGAATGAGGGGGCTCATCAGGGCGGCGTCAATAACGGCCTGGATCTGAGTAGAGTTCCCAGCGGTGATGTTGCTGATGGTCCAGCAAGCCTCCTTGCGAATGCCATCCTTAGTGGAGCTCAAAAGAGAGAGCAAGGCGGGCAGAGCACCGCAGTTGATGATGACCTGGGTCTGAACGTCGTCTCCAGTAACGATGTTGCCGACTGAGCGGAGAGCGGGGGTCTGGACAGAGGTAGAGGCGTGCATGAGCAGCTCGACCAGGCGACGAGGAATATTAGCCTCAATGACGGCTTGGATCTTGTCGTTGGAGCCATCTGAGAGGTATGAGATAGCCCAGCAGGCGTCGATCAGGACCTCGTCGTCGAGAGAGTAGACAAGCTTGGCAAGAACGGGAAGAGCAGGGGCAATCTGTGCAAGCACGTGGTCAGCAGGGAGCACAAAATCAGAGACGAATGCGAAAACACTTACAGTGGCCCAGTCAGGCTGGGGAGTCTTGCCACGGCAGAAGTTGCTCAGTGTCCATGTGGCGTTACGGAGCATGCTCAGCTTGCGGCTGTCACCAAGGAGGGCGACCAGGGGCTGGAGAGCACCGCATTGAAGGACAAAGTCTCTGCATTGAGGGCTGTCACCGGCGATGTTACCAAGGGCCCAGACGGCCTGCTCGCGGACATCGGGTTCGGGGCTCTTGAGTAGCTCGACGAAGATGGGTACAGCGCCGGCGTTGATAACGACTTGTGTTTGCTGGGCAGAACCAGAGGCAATGTTGGTCAGGGCCCAGGCAGCCTCGAACTGCACCAGGGTGTGGGGAGAGCGGAGGAATTCGACGAAACGGCTAACGACGCCAGTATCGATGACCTTTTCAATCGGAGGGTTGCGCTCTTTTGACAGGAGCTTGCGGAACTTTGTTGTGGCGGCGATCTGATCCTCGATCTTGTCTGAGAAGACACCTTGAACCATCTGAGGGAGCTCTTCGTTCAACTGCGCGCAGTGTGTCAGCGGATTGTGTGTGTACAGGTGGGGGTGCGGCATGCTTACCTGGCTCTCGATGGTTGTCGACTCATCGTCGCTGTCGGGAGCGGCGCCCAGCGAGGCACCGAGATGCTCGCCGCCACCGATTCCTCTTCTCTTTGCGAGGTTCTCCTCGCGCTTCTGCTTTCTGATCTCGACCTGCTGTTCCTCGCGACGGCGGCGGAGCTCATCGGGCTTCAACAGGTTCTTTGCCTTGAATCCGGTGCGGCGATGCTCGGGGATGTAGCGGTCCGCCATAGTGACTGGACTGAGGCGTTGAGGAGCGGGGTGGGAAGAGGTGGTGGAGTAGAGAGGAGATAGTGTTAGGGAGGAAAGCGAAGATTTGTAGAGGCAGTGATTTATTTGATTATTGTGAGGGGCCCTCTTTTGCTTGAGTACGCACGGCAACAAATCACAAAACTGCCCAAAGCTCTGCGCAAACCCACATCAAACTCCCTCCAGCCCGCCAAAACTCTTGGCCACAATCAGGAAGCTGCGTCACTCGCGTGCTCCTTCCAAGAACCCAGCCTTTGTGGCCACTTTCACTCACACTCTGCCCTGCTTCTTTCATCCATCTAATCGACCCCGTGACTTGGCGACGCTGCGACGCCAGTCCAACGCGTCTCCCGAGAGGAACTTGCGCAAAGGCACCTCGACCAGGCGCCTCGACCGGGCACGCGGCGGACAATGCTGGAGCAAATGCCCGACATCTGACAACCTGCCGAATGGGTCTTGTACTGTTCTACCCATTGCTTATCCCATAATCACAATGGCTCTATCTCGTCCCAATACTATCAGGAGCTTGGCCGACGCCTTCAATGCCTGTAAGGATGGCCAGCCTCTTTGGTCAGTCAATCTCATGGGCACCGTCGTTGACAAGCTGGACCCAACCAAGAACGAGAAGACTGGGGGTATGTCCAGAAATGTCTCCGTCACTTGATTCAATGCTGATTACACTGCAGACCTACAAATGACCTTTACCATCAACGACTCAACAAGATTGCTCAAGGCTAGGTTCTTCGGCGAGCTCCCTCCCATCCAGTCGCTTGGAGACATCATCTTGATACGCAACTGCAAGGTACTCTTAACCGCTATTCCTATTTTGAGTGGTTCTGACTATAGCGGACAGGTCATGTTCATCCGGAACACTTCCGAAATATTGATTGGCAATGAGAAGAAAACGACGAGTACATTCGTCTTTCAACCGGACAATCTACCACGAGAGGAAGCATACATGCAAAGCTTCTACGGTGGTCAGAATCTTCCATACTTACGCCAAGTCCCCCAAGGTTCACACACGACGCCTTCTAAAGACGAGCAGATGTATGCAATAGGTCTCATGCGGCTGTCTCTACCCGCTCTAGTCACTGCCGCTGCTTCTAAAGCCACCTCTCTTCCAGACAGACCGGCCGCTTCCAGAACCGGCGGCCCTCCAAAGGTCAAAGCCAATAAACTCCGTTTGATCCAGAGCGTAGGCTATGACCAGTATTGCGATCTCGTCGTTGAAGTCGTCAAGAAGTTCCCCGATTCTTATGGTAATATGGAATTGTATGTGACTGACTACACATCCAATAACCTGCTTTACGACTATCCTGCTCCGAACGACGCAGATGCGGAAGACGATTACAACAGGTATGTCGGAAGGAGCGAAGCCAGGTCTTGACTTATGGACTGACAGTCCCTCAACAGGGATGGCGACATCTACGAATATGTCTCGAACGTGACTGGCAAGCGTAAGAATTGGTCAGGACCTTCTGGCCGCCACACTCTCAAAATCGACCTTCGCCCGCCACATGCAGGATTTGCTCGCGACAAAGTAAAGGAAGGTGACTTTGTCATGCTCTCAAACGTTCGGATCAAGAAAAGCAATGCGGGTAAAATGGAAGGAAATCTCTGGGAGGACGGGAGATATCCGGACAAGGTTTGTGTGCATCAACTAAGGAACGGCAGTGAGGAGTTGAAGACTCTCCGGAACCGTCGTGAAAACTACTGGGCGCATCTCAACAAGGCCACGCTTAAAAGGCAGCTAGAAGAGCAAGCTAAGGAGAAGTCACGAAACAAGGCCAAGAAGCCGAAGAAGAAGGGGAAAAAGGCCAAAACATTGGACAGAGATGCAGACAGAACGGCTTCAGGTTCGTCGGCCATTGCCAACAACAAACACGGTACGCTTGCTCACCCTGGGTCGGCATGTCACTTGCTAACTTCGACCAGTTACTTGCGTTGGGCCTGAGCATGACATCAGCACGATTGGAGACATACAATCCATGATCCACTCTTACAAGAGTAGATCTGGACGAGAATTCACAACACCTCTTAACGTCTGTTACAAAGTCAGGACTAGAGTCGTCGACTTTTGGCCACCTTTACTGGAGGACTTCGCACGACTCGTACGAATCGACCAGGGCTCTGGAGATGCTTCAGACGATGGAACAGGCACGATAAGTCCTTCGAGTCAAAAGTGGCAATGGGACTTCTATCTTCTCCTAGAAGATTTCAAATCTCATCAGTCAGGCCAAACGCCAGCCCAGCAGTGGGTACACGTGGATCACATGGGTGCGCAGTACCTTCTGGGAATCGAGGAAGATGCTACAGAGTGAGTCGTCGAAACAATTCACTTGTGGAAAGCTTGTACTGACTACAATAGCTTGCGGCACGAGACACAGACACTGGCACAGCTACGGGAACAGATGGCAGTTCTTTGGGGAAATCTGGAAGAGCTCAAGACTGATGCTACGGCGAAACACCAGCCATATCCACCAGACCCGTTAGTGGTAGCGGAAGGCATGGAGCTATCGAATCTGCCTTTCCACTGTTGCATTGAGGAATACGGTCAAGAGCTGGATGAGGCGGACATCGGGTCTGATGAAGCTTTCGGTTACATGACAGTGTATGCGATCTTCGGCACACGCATATTCTCAGGCAGACGTAATGAATGAGTCTGGATCGATTACATTTTTTAATGACAGTCATGATTTCACGTACACCTGCCTCTTGCTCCCTATTTGATTTGAATGTGCACGTGCTTCCGGATTGGACAATCATGACATCTACAAAGCACAAGACAGCATGTACCTCGAACTAATACAGCATGTTATGTGACACTGGCTATATAAGCAGCGCTTTCCCATCCTCTCTTCCTCTCAACAACGAAATGTATGGCTATCGCTGTGAGACACGGAGGGTGCTCCATCAGTTAATTGGCCTTGTACTGGTGATTGAAGGGACTCTGACCAGCTAAGAGTTGTTCTTCATCTCTCTCAAAGCGGCCATGACATCAACGGGGTTAGTCTTGCCAGTGGCCTTCTGAACAACAGGGTCCTGTGAACTGTCAGTACTGACTTAAAGCATCTTAGACTCGCGATGACTTACATCAAGTCTCATGAAAACGTTGTGAAGCTGTGTGGTACATGAATCAGCCTCTGAGTGCACCTATGTAGATATGCAAAACAGACCTTTTCATCACCAATGGTGAATTTTCCTTGGGTCTGCTTATTGGCGTTGGCGAAAGCCTCGAGCTTCTTGACGGGCTCGCTTTGTAGGACTTTGATGCCGAACTTGACATTGGCCTTTGTGTACTCGTGACCAGGCTACAATGACATTGTGAGCATGTCTGCATGATTGATGTCTAGCTATTATTCCATGTACTCACGTAGACCTTGGTGTCATCGGGAAGAGCAGCAAGGGTCTTGTTCAAAGCCTTGTGCATCTCCTCGGCATTGCCCTCGAAGAAGCGGCCGCAACCTGCTCAAGAATTAGATGCTTGTTCGGGTCAGTCAGAGAGATGGACACTCACCGCCGATGAAAAGAGTGTCGCCGGTGAAGACAGCCTTGTCGTCGCCATCCTCAAACAAGAAACAGACACTGTCCTGGGTGTGGCAAGGAGTATGGAATGCCTTGACCTTGATGTCACCGATGTTGAAGGTCTCGCCGTGTGCAGGTACCTTGTTTACTCTGCTGCAATCTCTTCCTCCGATGATGGGGAGGGGATATGTCTTGAGCTGTGTAACGGTCAGATTAGCGACTCTTCTTGTCGTCTTTGTTGAGGTCGAAAGATGTTCGGCTTACCATTTCGACGTTACCGCCGGCGTGGTCGTGATGGCTTTTACTTGTCAGACAAGGTCTCCGTGGTATAACACTGGGGTGTGCTTACTGGTGAGTGTTGATGATGTGCTTGAGGTTGATAGCACCGCTGTCTACTTGCTTCTTGAGCACAGGCAGTACTCTATTGGTATAGATCTCAGTACAACATCAACAGCTTCTGTTGCAAGACAAGCTTACTCCGATGGGTTTGCGGGGTCGATGATCACAGCATCCTTGGACTTGTCGTCGACAACAAGGTAGGCGTAGTTGTTACCGCTACCCTCCCCTGATATACGGATAAGCTTCCTGCAATAAAGACGTTGCAAAACATGTACTCACACATAGGAATCGACTGAATATGCATAGCTCGAGATGTGATAGGCTGAGGCGGGGTCAATCGAAGGTAGAACCAAACACAGGAAACAAAAACACAAACAAGTGCAGGTTTGAAAAGAGACTTGCTGATTGTTTGTCTGGCTAACGTGAACAGACTCATGTGGTTGGATGCCGTCGACGGTTGATGATGATGAATGATGATGCCTGTCTTTAAAGGTGGCTGTCGCTGGAGTTGTCCATGCTTTCCATAGCTAGCCGGTTGATTGATAATGAACGCACGGGCGTCTATACAGCGCATTCATATCTTCAACTCAGAAGAACTTGATAGACATCGACTTTGCCTTCTTCACATTTGACTTGAGCTTGCCGTGGCAGAGCGTACGGTATATTCGAAAGTCATGCGATGAGTGATTTGTACAAGAACGAAGAGGTTTCAACGTGTCGCTCAGCCCACAGCGAAGTCTGTGACGTGCTTCCACTTCCACTTCCAGCCGCGTTTCGTCTAGCTTGTGTATCTCGGATGCCAGACACAGCATTCACAGACTCACGAGATGACTTGGAAGTAAGAGACATTCAGGTCAGACCAAGCTCTCAAAGTATTCCTTGTATCGATAATATGCGATCACGACAACACGTTATTGTAGGCTGACCAAGTAAATGTGCTCTATGCTCAAGATCTACGTTCTTTAAGCATCCACGCTCTCATTGAGCCGCCAAACATGATGTCATGCACGATTGTTGGAAACGTGAAATTTAGTGAAGTAAGGGCAAACATCCGTACAAACGCGCTTTGGGTTTATTTGTTCTTTCCTCAGGTCTCGTACAGCTTTCCATGCTCAATCACAAGTGACAAGCGTCGACATTTTCTGGACGCAGGGGACCAAACAGTGTTCGATTTATCGATCCTCCGAAGATGAATTCTTCATTTACCCCACGCGATCTGCCAGAGAGACAGAAGAAACTCCAGCCGATCTTGGGTATCCCTGTACCATATCTCTTTGCGGCGACATCGGTTCTGTCCATCGCCCTCTTCACCTGGCCACTACCATGGATTCTTTCTGGTTCCGCAGTCTTGACCTACACCATCCTAGACGGCGCTGCTAGAGGCCATCGCATTCTGCCATTCTTCAACATCTGGTCTTTGCTTCTGTTGATCAACCTTACTTACGGTGTCGCGTCTACTTCCTGGCTGTTGCACGGCGTATTCACCGCAGCATGTTGGCCGGCGGTGTTCTTAACTTGCCTCTTCCAGTTCGATCCTGTTGGCAGATTCGTCAGAAGAAAGATAAGAAATGTTCTGAAGCAGCTTCAATTCATTGATGATCAGGTTGCTTTCTTCGACCTCCCCGCTCTCGAAATCGATGTCGACGTAAACGGCCTGATGAACATCCGCGGCATGACCTTCTCACTGTCTTCCCTTATGATCATTGCGCATGGAGTGGAGGTGGGAATCAAATTCTCTGACGACATGGAGGTTGCTATTGCTGTTGATGAAGTCCGAGTGTCTCTTTTCAGAAGAATCGACATTTCTGACGTCTACGCCAACGTCAAGGGCGGCGAGCTAGAGATGTCTCTTAGACAGCTATCAGAGAATGGTCGGACACCAACCGGCGATTCGTTCATGTCTGCTGACACCCCTCTACTTGCCACCGCAGCAAAGACTGGTGACACACGTTCTCCGATGGCCGCCATGACTGAGAGGATGACCAATGGTTCTGCTCCTCAGCCTATTGCGCCCAGCGTTGGTCTCAAGGGTGTCAAACAGCTTTTGCCTGACGACGATCACGCCAGAGAAACCTACAAATCCATCCTCAACTACATTCACGAAAGCAGTGTCATCACCGTCAGCCAGGAAGAAGTTCAGCAGATGTTGAAGGAGAAACACGTCAATGGCGAGGTTCTCGACGACAAGAAGGACTATCGCTCTGCCATCTGCTCTCAGCTTCACGGAAAGCCTACAGTTCCTCACTGCAGCAAGCGATCGATTCGTGTTTCTACCCTCCAGCAAGACATGCCCATGCGAAAGTTCCTTCACAGACTTCCATTGCTTTTGAGATGCTCCCTCAACCCTATCGCATACTTCCATCCGATCTACATCAAGTCGATCACTGCTGGAGGCTCAGGAGCTCTGATCGAGAGCATGCTACACAAACATATCTTCCAGGACCATCCCGAGCAAGCTTCGGATGTTAGAAACCTTAAGAAGCGCATCTCGGCCTGGCTCAAGGATGCCAACTTTGTGTTCGAAGCCGAGAAAATCACTGGCATGGCTTCTGTCCCAATCAATCCTGCCTTCAACATTCTCTCCGATCTATTGTTTGACGACATCATGGTCTACAGAACTGTTAAAGAACAGGTTGATTACAACCAAATCGTTCGTCTTGGAGGAGCAGATGCACGAATTAGCGTTCCGTCCTTCCTCTTGCCTCATCACGAACACATCCTGCCACCTCTACCGACCCGCGAAGACAAGATTGCTGGGCAGGAAAAGATCGATAACGCCGACAGTCAGCCCAAGGCCATCCAAGCTGAGCAGGAACTGGCCCAACTACGCAAAGATGAAACTAACGTCAACATCTCCGCTCACGTGCGTCTTCCTGCTTGTTTCGATCAGAACCTCCTCGACTTCATTGCCGCACTCGTGAAGGCGACCAAGATTGTCGAGATGGACAAAGGTGAAAAGTCCTTGGACAAGGAGATCCACGGCTTCAGAGAGTTCACAAAAGCAGTCAAGACCGATCTCAATGACAAGATGAGAAGAGTTGCCGTGGACGCTGCTGCCAACGACAAGTGGATTGCAAAGTTGGTCGGCAAGGTTACCAAGAAGCTCGAGACGATGCAGGGAGATATTGGTTACAGTGGTGACTTGCCGGTGGCTCTTGACATTTACCGTAAGAAGGCAGAGCCTGGTAGTAAGCTCATGCCTTGATGAACATATTAAACGACAGAAATCAGTGTATCAGAACAATCAAGTAGCTCATTGACAGCAAAGTATAGAACAAGTTCAGTAATCAAATCCACTCCCATCTCTACGAATACGTAAATAGAAGTTGTGAAAAGGCAGGCGGATAGGGGGGTGATCGACTTGTCACACACTTAATCACCATAATAGATCGGGGCAGCTTCCACCAAGCAATGCTTCGGGATATTCGATTGACATTTGACAATATAACATTTACACAGATAAGGGTATAAACAAAAAAAGCTCTGGTGACCCGCCCATCCTCAAGGGTCTTGCCCGAGGTAATCACAACTCCAATGAATAGAAGAGCATCAGACAAAAGAAAAATCGCGGCTTTCAGCGCAAAATCAAGGTGCCTCGAATCTGTTACTCTTCTCCGGAGCATTTCCAGGAAGCTCGAAGACAGGAGCACCAAACTCTCTCTCGTGGTCATAGAATTTCTCGTGCGAGTCGTACTTGTGCAGGAAGGCACTGGGAGGCTGCTGGGGCTGTTGAAGGGTATAGGTGGAAGTAGAAGCGGAATCGAAGGTAGTCATTGTGCCGGACTTTGACAAGTTGGAGAAGGAGCGTCTGCGGTAGGTGTCTGATGTACCCATGGGTTCCAGGCGCTGTTCGAAGATGCTTTGGAGGAGGTACTGTTGTCTTTCCTTGCGAAGGACCATGACGACCATTACTAGTGCGAAGGCAAGAGGAAGGCCAACTCCGAGGGCGACTCCGATCATAGATCCCGGGCCGTAGTGGTGGGTAGAGCTGCTTGATGGGTTGGTGTAGTTGGCTGTAAGAGCTGCAATTTGTGCCGGACGAAGTACCAAGGCAGTTCCATCGGTCATGGTAAAGGTCGAGTGTGCAGTCTGGCACTGTGTGGTGTTAAGTCCACAAGCAAAAGTTTTGGAGTTAGTGTCGCAGGCTGTCAGGCCAATTGCACTTGATTCGTTGACTAACAGGTTATGTTAGAGGAAGCTGGAATCTTGCATCAATGGGTCACAGCATACCATCAGTGCAGTACTTTGGGCACTCGGCCGAGGACCATGCCTGATCAGTACAGGACGCTCTAGACACAACACTGCCTCCAAAGCACAATCCGTTGTCCATGCAGAAAGATCCGGTAGGGCAGCATGGTGAGACCTGTGCATTGCTGTTGCAAGGAATATCATCAGATGGAGTCAGACCATCCGGATAGTAACAGGTCTGAGCAGATACAGCTCTCAACAACAGAGAAGCAACAGCGAAAACACTAAGTTTGTTAAGGAACGGCATTCTGGTTATCTGGACCAGAGAAATGAGTGTGATAAGGAAAGGAATGGCAGCCAAACGGCTATCGATATTGGACCGACGGGACAACGAAGACAATCAAAGCAAGAGAAGAAAGAAAGAGATACCTCCGTCAAAGGTGGAGAGAAGAGTGCTTCATATGGTAAATTGTAGACGTTATAGTCCTTGCTCTCCTGTATCCGTAATCATTCCGGGACAGTTGTACTGGCTAACGGTGTGTCCATCCGGGTGCAAGGGCGGGCTGAATTCGAGGTGCTGTACAAGACTGCCGCCATTGTTCAGCGATGGAGGCCTTGGCTGAGAAAAGGATGCAGAAAGGTAAGATCGAAGGTCTTAAACCCAACCACCCCTGTCGACCCCCGCAAACAGTGATGCCAGCTGATCGACGTGATTCGCTGATCTGATATTTCTTTAGCCCGATCGAGCACTAGCGTAGATCTTGCTTGGACAGCTTTCCCTATGTCATCTCTCCTCTGTCTGTTTACGTCGTTCAAATTACCATATCAATATACAGACTCGTATATACTATGTCGTTGGTTTGCGATCGCGACTCTCGTGTACCTGTGCATGACTTCTCTGCATGCAAGAAGCCTGGGCGCGTCGACCAAATCTCCAGGATTTCGCACACGCGGTACGGGTACACGCCGCCGTTTCTCAGGGGGCAACCAAAACACCTGTCATCCTGCATTAGACTGTATCTTTTTTCCACGCTCTAGCCTCGAAAGGTCGCTGAGAGATGGCTTGCGCAACCAGCGGTTCTGCCGAGCGGCTGTATCGCTTACATTGAGCAGAAAGAGGTCAGGGAGTGGACTTTTGCGATGAGGGGTTTGCACGTTTCAGGAAAGGAGCAATATTCCAAAGCTTTTGATACCGAATGTCTGACCCAGCAACCTGGATGTGCTGAGCACTGTTGGTATAGGTGCACGACCGTGGTGTTCATTGGCCTGGCTCAGACTGAGAGCTTTGCTGTAGATTCGGCAAAGCGGTGCACATTTGGGAAATCAACTATTCCTCACAAACACATGGGTGTTGCGCGAGGGCAATGGCAGTTCAGTAGGTAGAAAAATAACCCGGCGAACTTTCTGAAAACAGCCGCACTTGAGTCATGGCCGTCTTGTGGTGTTGCAATAAGGGAGTTTCCGCTTCGTGATCTCAAGCTGTTAAGCTGCGGCGAAAGAAACCTGTCAAGGCCAAGAGAGCAGATTCTTATGTATGGACCAGCATCAGTCAGTGTGATCGACTACATCAACGTACGAATGAGTTCTGTTCGATAGTAGAGAAAGGTAGTTGGCAAAGCGTGTCGTCTTGACCTTGGTGTTTGATGCTGATGTCGGCAGCTTTTCCAAGACTTTGCTCGATAGTTCTTGGGCAGCACCTGGAAGCCCGCACACCATACGAAGTGTTCACAAAAACGAGCCATAGCTTACATTGTGAGGTAAAGACAGTCAGACTTGCCGAATTTCGAAGATCGGTCAGGGGAGGTGAGTTAGAATGTCATGGAGTTCATGAGCAGGGTGTCCCCCTAGTCCACGTTTCTTCATAACACTAACATACTTTGGTATCCCGAACCAAGTCCCATACTTTTACATTCGGTCCTCGACAGTCGGGTTCGATATCTGCTTCGCCAATGACCACAAGCATACGAACTTGGAGTACGTCTTCGCCTCTTAGGAATACAAATCTCCATGAAGCGGAGCATCTTGCGGTAAGCGTACTCCGTACGCGCATGGCGAATCGATCAAGTCTTTCGTCATCTTGGACACCAGCCTCACTCGGACACGTTCTCGAGCAATAGAGATGTCAGCTGCACGCTCATGAGCTTGCACACTGTCCTGTGGCGTAACGGCGAGAGACAGATAGCCAGTGGCTGAGCAGATACGATGAGCTGCGGCGAGAGATGGTCAAAGGCCAGTACGAATGTCTGGACAGCACGCGAGCGGCCTTCCTAAACACCGAACCTGCTCTGACCAAGCACTTATCGCGTGGCGTCACGCTGTGCCCATGTTACAGAATGAGCGTGTGTTTCCCGTTGATGATGATCTTCTGTAATCTTGGCGCGCACTTTCATCCGGATCCGCGAGCTGCGGGCGTTGCTTGAGCTCTTTCACCGTATCATTTTGAGCGCGCTGGTCGATATGCTCACGGCACATTCACACAGCCTCGTGCCGTATCAACTATCAGCATAGTGAAAGTCGAGATAGTTGGGCAGGTGGCTGAGTTCTTGATGTCATGAAGCTTGATTTTGCGGACGGGCGGTAGAAAGAAGAAAGCCCAGCCAAAAGCCAATAAGTTGCCAAGACAGGTGCTGGCGGCTTGAGATGCAAGATGTGAGAGTCCGCCGTCGAGCAAGGAAATGAGATGCAACACAGCTCGTTTGCGCTACCACCTACGTAGGGCGATTTCTCACCGTACTTGCTTTTCAACCTCTTTACCCTTCGTCTTTCCCTAAAATATTGTCATACTTGCTTGACAAGCTGCACCTCATCGAACAGTGTGTGGACCGAACGACAAACACGCATCATCACTTTTCGGTATGTATCTATGTTTCAAGCGACCCACTTCTTCCCCGGCTTCTCGTGGGCACAGCCACGCTCATCACATCAGTGAGCGTCTGTCGGCCCTGAGGCCCAGGCAAAATCAGTTGGGCAAGGACTGCCCTCTCGTAGTGTTGTTTCTCGCCTCGAGTGTTCGAATGACCTCCAATTTGCCAGGTGGATGCAATTCGCCGCTGGCGGCACCTCTCGTACTGCTTTCAAGCTTTTGATGCTAACATCATTCCGCGTTCAAGATACAAGGCCTTCCTTCATTATCCACTTGTCAACTCTCGGCTGCTTTTCTTTTTCTTTTCACTCAAGTTAACTTACCTTATCTGCGCCTCGGTGACCTTCATCACGAGACTTGAAACCTTGGCGGCGGCCTCTCCATTCAAGCACTGAGATGCGTAAGCCGAGAGTCTTGTCTTGTTCTTGTCAAGTTTGGCACCACTGACAAGCCTTGTGAAGATTCAATCAAGCACCAAGCCCGAAACATTGCCTGGAGATACAACGACGGCGAGTCCAACTACAACCCTTTCGCCAGGCGTTCCCGGTCTTATGTTGGCCGACCCGAGGACGAGGAGAACAACCTTCAGCGTCGCCATACCGCCGACCAAGTCATGTCGGACAGCAGCATCAGGCGCAACGACGCGCGCGATGTAGACGACGCCGACTTTGCTTACCCACACCATGCCAACACTGCACCACCAGACTCGAGTGCTTCTTCGGACACACCCACATCCAATGGAACCCTTGTTGGCCAACCCGATATCAAACCACAAAGGGAGAAGGAGGCCCTCCCACTGGACAGAGACAACTCCCGCTCCATGTCGGAGAAGAATGTCTCCGAGCCTGCACACAAACCACGCAAGCGCCTAATGCTCATGAACTTGCTCGGTCAACCTGATCGCACCAAGACGGACAACTCTGACCTGGAACGATCCGATACTGGCGATACCAAGAAGAAGCGTAGACCGAAGATCAGTGTTGTCAGCCAGTTCAAAGCCACTATCCTTGGCTCCTGGGTCAACGTCCTTCTCGTCTGTGTGCCCATCGGTTTCGCTCTGAGATATTCCCACGCCAACGGATATGCCGTCTTCGTTGTCAACTTTGTTGCCATCATCCCTCTTGCCGCCATGCTGTCTTTCGCTACCGAAGAGCTTGCCTTGTACACTGGTGAGACTCTTGGAGGTCTTCTCAACGCCAGTTTCGGTAACGCGACCGAGTTGATTGTCAGTGTCATCGCCTTGCAACAGAACAAGATTCTCATTGTCCAAACCTCCTTGATCGGAAGTATGCTCTCAAACTTGTTACTGGTGCTCGGCATGTGTTTCTTCTTCGGTGGCCTGAACCGTGTCGTTCAGCACTTTAACGTTACTGTTGCTCAAACCGCATCCAGTATGCTTGCTGTCTCCATCGGCTCATTGATCATTCCTACCGCTTTCCAGAAATTCGGCAACAACCCTGCTGGTGGTGTCGCTCCCATTTCCCGAGGAACTGCTATCATCCTGCTTCTCGTCTACTTCGCCTACCTCATCTTCCAGCTCAAGACCCATGTTGAGATCTACAACACTCCCAGTCAAAAATCAGAAAAGAAGAAGGGTTCAACCAGACAGAAGGGTGAGACTCTCATGGGTATCGCTCGCATTGGTGCGGGTACTGCTGCGTCCGCTGGTGGCCAAGTCAACCAGTCCAACCTCGTCTACGAAGAAGAGGAAGAAGAGACACCCGCCCTGTCTATCATCGGTGCTCTCGTTACTCTTACCATCGCCACAGTCTTCATTGCATTCACTTCTGAGTTCATGGTCAGTGGCATCGACTACATCGTTGAACATGGAAACATCTCAGAAGAATTCGTTGGTCTCATCTTGGTCCCCATCGTCGGCAACGCCGCAGGTCAGTCATCATGTTTTCGTATGTAATGACAAGGATGCTAACTTTACATGTAGAACACGCAACCGCCGTTACTGTCGCCATCAAGGACAAGATGGATCTTGCCATCGGTGTCGCTGTCGGTTCAAGTATGCAAATCGCTTTGCTCGTTCTTCCTCTTATGGTCGTCATCTCCTGGTGCGGTCTGGGCAACGAAGCCATGACTCTTGACTTTGATGGGTTCCAGGTTGCCGTGCTCTTCATCGCAGTCTTGTTGGTGAACTACCTCATCCAAGATGGCGAAAGTCATTGGCTCGAAGGTATATTGTTAATGGCTGTATACATCATCATCGCTGTCAGCGCTTGGTTCTATCCAACACCCGATGGTCAAAGCCTGGTTGGGTAAAAAGTCTCCTTTGTCAATCGTTTTTACTTCTTGGACTTCTCATATGGCGTTTTAGCGTCGGACATTCCTCCTTGACATCTCAATGTACCACTACTTTTTCGTCGATACCCAAAGAATATTACTTCTGCTTAGTTAATCAAGTAACATGTTCGTTACCACTCCTAGCCATCTCAAGACTTCTTTAGTACCCTTGGGTCAGCGACATAACATCCCGGCCGACACCATGTTCAAGCCGCCAACCAAAGACGTCTATTTATTGGCCGTCTGTCTTCAACGCTTATTCATCGGCCAACAAGGCCGCTCCTTCCCAACAAGCACCCTCTGTTGCTTATCCACGTGGGTTCCATTCCTGTCATGTAAGTTATAGCATGGCGTCCCTCAGATCCGTGCCGACTATCCAAAGTCTCGAGCTACACATCATCGCCATTAATCGACATCATCAACGTCAATCCTATCAGTCCTGCCTGTCACGTGCAGGATCATTGAGATGCTCTCTGGAGCTCATATCTATGCAAGTAAGCCTGCCTCCTATATGCTCAAGTGTACCGCCTGCTCTAACCGGCGACGCCCAGCCTTCGTCCTTGCGCATCGTGACGTCGACATCGTCTTGCAACTTCGAGGCTCGAGTAATTCTTCTCACCATCTTCTTCCTTCTACATCGAGATGCCATCTTCAACCTAGTGGTCTGTTACTTCTACTGAGCATTAGGCACTGAAGCCTTGCTAGCTCGTAAGAACCAGATCCTACCTGCTCTCTACAAACTTCAACATCATTACCGTCTTTCTGCCTCGACTTCCGCCGTTCCTTCGTTCGGCTACACCTACAACGGCGCCTCTCTGCAACCACCACTCATCCATCCCGTTACCACAGGTCTCATATCTGGCTGCTGCTCTTGATTGTCTTCAAGGTCGACCCGATCATTGTGAGTAGGCCTGTATTCATCCAAGCAGCGTCATTTCATCTGTAGTGCGCACATGCCACTTGGTTGTATACCTCAAAACCGACATACATATCATCATCAACTTCTGTTCCTCCTTCCCTTACTTATGACATTCAACCTCTAGATTCACTGCCTGTTGACAAATGTCACAGGCGCCGCCAGAGCTCCGGCAACACATAAGGTAATGTCTCGATCAAGATTCGTGCCCAGCTGTCATATGTCGCTATCCAACAAACTCCCCTTCGTTCTCTTCGCCTCCATATTCTTCACCTTGACTTTCTTCACCACAACACCGACCACTTTGTCTACTCTTCCTTCTGATACGGGCGCTACTTAGTTTTTCCAAAACTTCGTCAAACAGCACAGGTCAGCGCAAAACCGTATATTCATCATCTGATCTATGTAGCCTCCCCGTCTGCATCCACTCCTTCCACACCTTGACTTCGACATCCTTCCTTACCTTTCCTTTCTTCCACCGAGACAGCATTTACTTCTGTTTCGCGGCCTTCTGACATAAACAGCTCCAATCTCATTCAATAAACCCAACCATCACTTCAGGTAAGCCATTGATCAGACCTCACCCTATATAAACTTCCCAGCCGCACCACACCCTCTTACACCGCTACATCAACATTGCCTTATACTTTCAACACATTTGCAATACATCTGCAACTTTTTCAACCTTAGCCTCTTTCGACCTCTCCCTCCTTCCACACTTCCACCTTCATCTTCTCCTACCCTCAGTTCATCCTACCTCCAACTTGTTAGACCACTCCTCTCCCTCTCTTACGCTACCATAGTTCACTTGCTCTCAGAGCGCAACCGATAAGTCAGGTAAGCTTCACTCTCACCCGATCGTAGGCGGATGCTCTACATGAACACTTCTCCCCCTCCACTTCCTCTTCTCCAACATCAACCTTCCCTACCTCTCTTCAACTCAATCATCTACACCATCACACTTCACATCCATCCTTCACATAGCTCTTCTTTTACTTGAACCCACCTCACTACCGGTGGTTCAAAGGTCGGCGGGCTATATAAACCTCTTCCGGTTCGCACCCTCCTCTACCACAACAACAATCTCTTCTACCTTCCTCGACGATCTATATCATCACACTTTGCACCTATCCTTCACATAGCTCTTTATCACCTGAGTTTCACCTCACTATTAGAGGCTCGGGAGCTGGCGGGTTACATAGACCTTCTTTTCACGAACCACTTTCTCCACCACAACATCAACATCCTCATACACCTTCCACCACCCTACATCAACCAACTCAATCTCACTACTCTGCAGCAGATTTTCTCACAATCGCTCAGATTACAGAAGCTCGTCGTTAGTTATCGAGCTCTGTCAGAGACACCACTCTCTGACACCACTCTCTACACCAAAAATCTGGCAAGGCAATCTCAAAATCCACGTAAGTCTTCCACTTCTCTATCCAGGTCATTGCAACTCCTTCCGCCATCACCTTCAGCCCCTCCCAAAATAGGGCTGTAAAAAGGCACGATCACATTCAGATTCCGAGCAGCGACTGGGAGAGCCTCAAAAGAGGGGCTCAAATCTAGGGCTCTCCGATAACTCGACTTCCCATCTCAATTTCATTGTGCCTTTCTCCGGCTTCCTCAAAGAGCCATGTATTACGCCAGAGATCGTGCTAATGGAAAACAGTACCATGGATTCCAGCACTCGCAAGCACGCCGCTTTCATACGGCCTGATGGCGTCGAAGTCATCGACGTCGAAGATGAACCTGAAAGAGACACTCCCGCGACCGATTATGAACATGAGAAACCCATCAAGCAGGAATCCGGAGAGTCTGAACCGAAGCAACCTGGAGCGCAGCCCACAGAGGATATCAATGACTTCCTGGATGGCTCGATCGCCCCCTATGCCGATGGACCCTCCGAGCCCGATTCCCAGACAGGAGCCAAACGAGACCCATCCAGAATGACAGGTTCCAGCACTTTGGGAACTTCAATCACGACCGCTGGACTCGGTACCAGCATGTTGCAGCCGCCCAAGTCATTTGTTCCCCAGAAGAAGCAGTCCGAAGCAGAACTAGCGGCTCTCCATGCTCTCCAGACCGCTTTCTTCGAGCAATACGCAGCCTCCAGCGGATATGATCTAGAAATCGAAGACAACAACGAGCCTGAAGAAGAGTTCGTGAGCCCAATTGCTTTCGAGGCTAAGTTCTTGAACGAGAGAAAGGCCTTCGTGCAAAAGAAAGTGCTTGGAAAGGCTACCCAGCATGAAGAATTGGCTTTCATGAAGCTAGAGTCGCGTTACAACAAAGAGAAGCGAGCACTCGAGGATGCCATTGAGGCTGCAGAGGACCCACTTTTTGTGCCAGAAGAGCCTCAGAGTTCAAAGAGAAAGCGAGCCTCTGCTGAATCCACTTCTGACTCCGAGAGTAAAGATATGGCGTCTAGAAAGAAGCGTAGCAAGAAGGCAAAGTCGACTCGCAAGTCACGAAAGGCCAGTCGAGGTGATATATCTCTCCTGGATCTGGAGGGTACGACCAACAACTTCTGGGAGAACGCTGAAGCCGCTCAGCAAATGAATGATGAGGCGACCGTGCAAGGAGGAGCCGATCGCACCAAAGCCTTGGCTGCTATGAAGAGAAATCTGCCTGCAGAGTCAAGAGCCGCAGCCGTACGAGACGCAGAGCGACTCACCGCAGCGATGAAGTCTTTCACTGCTAAGAAGAGCGCAGGCCCCAACAGAACCCACAGAAGCATTGTTACAACCGACGCGGGATGGCTGGTCAAGGGAATGAAGACACCACTCAAACACTATCAACTGATCAGTGCTGGCTGGATGCGCTCTCGTGAGGGCTCTGAGTCGAGCGTCACAGGCGGTATCGTCGCCGATCAAATGGGATTGGGCAAGACCGTGACATGCATCGCCAACATAGTCAACGGAAGACCTCTCAAGGCTCAAGCAGCATCTACTGTATCATCGTCACACACCACACTAATTGTGGTACCTTCGAGTTTGCTTGGACAGTGGCAGTCAGAGCTTGAGCTTCACACCGTCGAAGAGAAAAAGAGAAGGGACTGGGGACTTGGTCCCGTTACAGTTTTTAAGGACAGCTCGTCAGCAGACAGCGTACCCGCAAACTTTGATCTCTTTGACATCGTGCTTACTACATACTACGATGTTAGAAAGAGCTGGCCGATCTGTGTATTTCCTGAGGGCCTCCCCGAAGCAGAGCACGAAGCCTTCTGGATGGAGAACTATTGGGAGAAGAGAGGTCCGCTTCACAAGTTTCCTTTCCTCAGAGTTGTTCTTGATGAAGGACATGTGATCTCCAACCCCGAGACACAGATCTCGCAAGCATGCTTCAATCTTGTTGCACCATACCGCTGGATTCTGACTGGTACACCGTAAGTGGCCTCCTGACTTGACTCGAGAATCTCGTACACGGCTGACTTCTGTTTAGTATGATCAACGGAGCCAAGGACTTCTACAGCCTGCTTGCTTTCATCGACCATCCTACAGCGGTAGCAGCTACATTTGAGTCCTTCAAGTCACGATTCTGTAACCCAAAGAATCCAATGAGTCTGTCTGGCCTGACTCGACTAATCACGCCCTACATCATCTGCTGGACACACAAGCACTCCTTTATGAACGCCAAACTGACTACTCTTCCTCCACCTCGCGATCTCTCTCTCAGGCTTAAGCCTGACATTCTCGAGTTCGAGATCTACGAAGTTGTTCGCAATCGCTTCAAGATGAGAGCAGAGACCCTAGATGAGAATGGCGACCCCAGATCTTCATCCTTCCATATCTTCGCCATGTTCGCCCTACTACGACAATTGACCGCCCATCCTCTCATGATTCCCAACAAGATTTGCGACTACCTCGAGATGGAAGATTTCGACATACTGGAAAAAGCAGTAGAAAGACAGATCGATTCGGGCAATACCGGTAACAGCCTGATCCATGCCTTCAAGAACTTGATGCAAAAACAGCGTGCTGTTGCTCAACAGCGCAAGGCTGACGGCTTAGAGCCCGTTCGCGAAGGCTCTGAGACTACTCTGGATGAATTCGACGAGGGTCCGGATGAAATCGAGCAATTGAACCAGCCCGAACAGATCAAGAAGAACAACAAAAAGCGCGGTACTGGAGCTGGCCACGGAAAGGATGTGGACTACAACGGTGTCATGGAGACCCTCAAGCGTAGCACAAACTATCACATCTCGCACAAGAGATCTACATGCTGCAAGTGCAACCGTCCTGCTCACGAAGCCGTCATGACTTCGTGCTTCCACTTCTACTGTCATCTTCATCTCGAAGACATCATGCACGCTGCGGCAGAAGCTGGCGAAGATCAAGCTACTTGTATCAGGGAAGGATGCGGAAAGAAGATCGTCAAGAGCCTGGTCATCGATCCTACCGCACCCGTAAAGCCCAAGTGGTTGGCTGCTGACGGCAATGTCATTCCCTCCACGAAGACTCTTGCAGTCAAATCACTCATTCTGAGTTGGCTAGAACGCGACCCTGAGTGCAAGATCATTGTCTTCATGCAATGGAGAGCATTTTTAGGCCTGCTATCGCGCATTTGCGAGGTCGAAGGCTGGGGATACACTACCCTACATGGTGGTCTGAACAAGAAGCAGAAGGACGCAAACATTGCAAAGTTCAAGGATCTGGCTGACACCAAGATATTGCTTGCCACATTGAAGACTGGCGGTGTGGGCTTGAATCTGACTTGTGCAAACTTCGTGGTCAACGTTGATCCCTATTGGAACACCGCTGCAGAAGTTCAGGCTTTCAGCAGAGTTTACCGCATCGGTCAGGAGAAGCAGACTGAATTCGTCAATCTCACTCTCGAAGGCACCATTGACGAACATCTCAACGGCATCAAGCACAGAAAGAAGCTCGAGATCGATCGTGTCAACGTAGGCTGCAGAAAGCTGAGCAACAAGGAGATGCTCAAGGTATTTGAGCCCGTTCGTCAGAGCACCGAGGACTCTGATTCTGAATAAGCAGACATGATTTGTACTATATAGCAGGACAAAAGGGCAACTTCTGAGGCCATATCGGGCAAGCATTTATTAGCCACCATCACATACATAGCCAGGAAAACACCAAACAAAATACTGTACCCCCCAAAAACAACCATGTCCTTTCCTTTATCTCATGAATTTGGCTATGTCAGTCTGTGATCGACGAAATTTTGGCTATGTCAAATCCTCCCTAGACATATTCCCACAATTTCAAATTTACTGTGCATTTTTACAGCTGATTTTCTGAGGGTGTGATGGGTGCTGGAGAACGAGTTTGGTCGACTCGTGGCCCCTGGCGCAAAACCGCGGGTTTCGTCTCCCAAGGAAGGGGTTGGAAAATCTCAAATACATTGCGCATTTCGACAGCCAGAACTTGAGCTTGTGATGGAGGTCGGGAGGAGTAGAGTGTCGTCTCTGGCGTAGAATCGCGGGTTTTGGTCTCTCAGTATGATGGGATTTCATTTGTAATGTGCATCTTGACAGCCTGCTCTTGAGGATGACATCGTCAAGGAGATGAATACAGTGTCTCATTTCTTATACATGGTTGCAGTTGAGTACAGTATCACGCCGCCAATTGCTACCACGACACCAAGAATACTGTAGCCGCTGATGACACTACCACTCCAAATCCAGCCCAAGGTGACGATCGTTACAGTTTTCGAGTGGCCTACGACAGTACTGGCTACTGGTCCGGCTCCAGCGATGATGGCGAACTGAGACAGATTGAGGAGACACGCGCAGAGGCCGCTCTGTTTAAGTCAGCTCATGTCATCTTGAGTCGGGAGGAGGAAGGACTTACCAGCATAATCATGATCCACCGATGAAGTGAGACTTCGCTGAACACTGGCAGTGTATCGACGAAAGGAATTAGGTAGATGAGTAGAACTCCTCCAAGTAGTGATTGGTTGTGCAATAGTTGCAAACTTGACATCTGAAGCTTCTGGTGGTAGTGACCAATCCAACAGGTGTAGATACCGCTCATGAGTACGCCGCTCAAAGCGAACACGACGCCATAAAAGCTGGTTTCTTTGGTTGTTGCACCAGGTCTGACATCAAAGTACGTGACCATGGCAACACCAGCGCAGACAGGGAGCAGAGCACATACAGCCTGTCTTGGAATGGTTTTCCGATATAGGACGTAGTTCAAGAATGCAGTGATAGGTGTCAGGAGCACTCGAGCGGTCTGATAGAAGGTGATAGACGAGTAAGCCAGGGAGAGGTTTGGCAAAATGACGTTCAGGCACATTGCGGCGGCCAGGGGCAGGATGTCGCGAAGCGCCGCTCGCTTTCTCTCGAAGAAGGCGAATTTAGAAGAAGACACGGTGTGGAGAGTCGCAAATGTGACTAGGAAGTGGAACGTCGCGAAAGAGACTTGAGCACTGCGGAAGGCCGGGTCGTCAAAGATGGACTTGTTGATGAAGACGATAGATGTCGTGGCGATGATATTGACCCCGATCCAGAACAGCAACTTCGAAGGCCTCTTCGCTGGAGTGGGAGCCTCTGCGCCTTCCTCGTCCAGCTGCTCCTTCTCTTCTAGTAACTCGTCGGTTTCTTGCTCCTCCATCTCAATGTCGTGCTCCTGTTCGAAAAATGTTGGGTCTTCGATCTCAGCGACCGTAGCTGTCGCCTCATGTTTGGTGGCCATGGTGTGAATATCAGATTCTCAGGGAATGAGTGAACTAGAGGAATAGGCTGACTCTTATGGACAGAGGCTGAACGCCATGGGATTCACAGTGGTACGCGCGGAACACGAGGACGTTGACAATTGAGTCGTTTTGCGACATATTCTGGACCTACAAAGGGAGAAGATACGAGATACACACACATGCGGCTAGCTGAGAAATTCAGCTCTGAAGATACCTCGTACATTTCAGAGACAGTCTTGTGCAAAGGGGTGCAGACGATAAGGCAGGGGGCTTCTCTGGAGGTTTTGTGGAAGTGAGCGTGCACGGACCCCAGCGGTGATCGGCAAAATGGTTCTCCAAAATGTGTCCCAATGTCAGAGTGCGCGGTCTTACCGTTCCCTGTTTCCGTCCTTTGTCTCAATTTAAGCTGCGAGAACGATGGTCAGAAAAAACGGTTTCGTATAGCGTCGATTCGCCAATATGGAAGCCATCTCCCTTCGTGCAAGAGAAGCCATCCACCTTCGTCGCCGTCATGCGAATCTGTCTCCGTCGGTGCTCATGCCTCGCAGGCATAGCTGTGTTCACCGACAAGATTCCTTACACTCTGATCTATGTACGATGAATTCCTTTGATCTTTTGCTATGCAAGGAGGACTATGTCTTCTTATTCAAATCATGATGCCTTGTCCATACTTTCTGGTTCTAAGCATCTTTGCTCTGACTCAAAATGCCCAGTTCAATTCCATCAGAGAGTGGGTTGAATAGTGTATTTGATAAAATTCGTGACTGACCATGCTGCAGCAGTGAAAGAGCACGCTTCCATCTGGGAGGATGCTCCCTTTCTCCATGGCACGACTCGATTTGAGCCCCAGTCTGGGATCAGTAATATCATGATTACAGGTGGTGCTGGTTTCATGTAGGCAAAACCGCAGAGTAACATCACCGAATGAATAGCTGATCTGTGCAGCGCCTCGTGGGTGGTGCGACACCTTACCAAAACCTATCAAGGTCACTACAACATCATTTCATTCGACAAGCTGGACTACTGTGCGACACTCAACAACACGGCACAGTTGGGTGAAGACATGAATTTCACCTTCCACAAGGGCGACATAACGAAGCATGAGGATGTGATGGACTGTCTGCGAAAGCACGACGTTGACACAGTCATGCACTTTGCCGCACAGACTCACGTTGACTTGTCTTTTGGTAACTCAAACGACTTCACAAGTACCAATGTTGTCGGCACGCATGTTCTACTTGAGTGTGTCAAACTGTACGGAGTCAACAAATTCATTCATGTCTCTACCGATGAAGTATATGGAGAGGTCAAGGATGACGGTAAGGATCTTTTGGAAGATGCACTTCTTCTGCCAACCAATCCATATGCAGCATCCAAGGCAGCTGCAGAAATGTATGTCGAAGCATACCGCAAAAGCTTTAATGTACCAGCGATCGTCGTACGCAGCAACAATGTCTACGGCCCGCATCAGTTCCCGGAAAAAGTCATTCCGAAGTTCTCCATGCTTCTGCAACGGCACGAGAAGCTATCCCTACATGGCGACGGGACACACACGAGACGATATCTCTATGCTGGAGACGCAGCCGATGCTTTCGATACCATACTTCACAGAGGTCAAGTCGGCCAAGTCTATAACGTCGGCTCTTCGGATGAGATATCCAATTTCACGCTTTGCTCTATGTTACTGAGACAGTTTGGACATCCCAATGGAACAAAAGAAGAAGTCTACAAGCACGTGGTGCACTGTGAAGATCGTCCATTCAACGACCACAGATACGCAGTCGATGGATCGAAACTCAAACAGCTTGGCTGGAAGCAAAAAACAACCTTCGAGGAAGGCCTTAGTATCACAGTCGGATGGTATAGGAGGTATGGTGACACATGGTGGGGCGATATCTCGGACCGATTGACACCCTTCCCGACTGTACCGACTGAGGGGCAGATCGATATAGCAAGGGACACTGAGATGACCGGCTCTCCTGTCAGAACCAAGAAGAGTGGCAAGCGAGGCTTTGACGAGATTGCCGGATCACCAGATATCAAGAAGCGGAGAGAGACTGACCATCATATGGATTCTGTGCTGGGTGCAGTCAAGGTCTAAACGTGAAGTAGTCGCTCCTTCGAATAATGACAACATGATTAAGACTCAACGTTTTTGTGCTTGAGAGCAGTAGTATGATGGTACCATGAATTTTGCACTCTTCCAAGAGCTATCCCCATTCTTGCCTTCGATGGACCGTGGCTATGCTTATTCCCGGGTGCTTACCGCATTCCAGCGGCATGTGGTTGTCGCTCTACGTGTTTCTGCGCTTTGTTGTGTGTTTATGTGCCCTTCTGTAGCGAGGCAGCAAGTCATACTAGCCGGCAAACTGGCAGAGCTTCCCACTTTCAGTTACTTGCTAGAAGTACTATGGTAACAGCATTATCTCTTGCAGTCTTGCAAAAATGACATTGAATAATACGTCAGCTGGAGCGTATACCGCGCGGAAAGACGATGTGGTGGTCGAGTCGGCGGATTGTTATCTGGATCTTATCGATTTGTATGGGCCCATAGGCAGATGTTTACGGTATCGAAACTAGGAGCGCTTCCATGTTGATGAAAGTTCACTGCCTACCAAGAAGATCGGGGGTGTGGCCCAATGGGCTCACCTCATCAACTTCACCAAAACCTCTCCAAATCTGAGTATAAATAGAATCCAGGGGTGTGAGTTCGACTCACGCCTTGGCTGGTCGCGTTGAAAGATTCGGTTTCAAAGATGTTTCCCCATTAAGTTCTGGTTTTTTGCTGTTTTGCGCCTCTATGCTCAGACCGCTGCGCTCCTGGGCAGAATGCATGTTTTGTAGCAAATAGGACGTCGCCCGATCGTTGCGAGCGGCTGGCACTCTGTGCGAAGTCTGTTGAGTTTACGGCGCGGGCGCGCCGAGAACGTCGTTCTCTTCCTCGGTCTTGAGCTTCTTTCTAGGCGGAGGTCCGCCTGTCGCTTTACGGACCTGTGGAGGAGGTGTCATTTCGTCCTCAGAACGTGGCCTTGGATCATCGCCTTCCATTTCACGGAACATTCTCTTGTGTTCTTTCCTGAGCAGCCGGAGCACCTTTCTTCTGCAACTGTCTTTGTCGAAATTTGAAGGCCAGCCATGATCCAAGTAAGTCTTGTAAATCTCCTGTGGTTACTTTTAGCGATTGTATGAATAGCATTGAGATGACATACGGCTGTGACCAGCGAGCCAGCGTGTAGATGCACAGGCTGGTCACTGAGATCTGGATGCCATTCTGTCAATCCGTGAGCCTCAAGCTCTTCTTCATCTTTCGGTCTGATGACCCGACTGTGAAAAGCTCCAGAAGTGGGGCCGTTAATTGGGTCAGATGTTAGCATGAATACAAGGTTCTCGTATCTCCTGATCCAGTTGTCGAAGAAATCCTTGACTGGAAGGGTGAGATGACATTTCCATCGTTCAGTCTTCGGTATGGCCTCCGACTCGTCCCAAGGTAAATTTGAATTGAGACTGTATTGCATGATACTGAATGCGGTCACGGTACCTAGAGAGCATCAGTTGAATGTCAAGTACTTACCTGAACATAGCTCACCCTGCTCGGTGTCCAAGATAAGCGAATATCCTTCTCTGTCTACGCCTTCGGTCAAGTACAAACAGTGGCTAGGAACGGGATACACTTCGTCCATCCAGGTATTGCTCCATGGTGTGCCTCCTGCGTAACATATGGCACAGGTCTCATAATGCAGCAGAATTCGGTCGCCATGGTTCACAGAGCGAAGGTAAGGTAGATGACGTGCGAGTTCGACGACAACATCGCTCTTGCCGCTGTCTTTGAGCACGTCGATTTCCTCAGATTCCCACCCACTGGCGGGCGGAACAATGAGGGCTTGGTCGTTTAGATATGGATGCCTGATTATCTGCTGGTAGAAAGCGAGTACGGCATGTACAGTCTCATCTTGCGAGTACATATTTTTGTGTCGCAAAAACTGTCTGGAAGTGAACGATGAAGTGACGTCGAGCTCGAGCGCGTTGAATAGACAGTTATGCTGCATGCTCTTCATAACTATGTCCACTTTGTGTAAAGATGGCTAGTTATGTAATGACGTACATGACCCTGGCTATAAATTGTGTCTCTGCTCAACGCGATATCTGCGATCCTGCTGGACGCCTTTAGAACGCACAACAATTGCTCAATCTACACAAGGCTACACTTGAGATCACAACCATACAAAATGATAACAGAGATCAAGCCACGCAGCTTGATTTCTTTGCATCTTCGAGTTATGGCATGTACGATCGGGCGGCCGAAGCTTTATCTTTCACTCTGGCCTAGGTAGTAGATGCGAGCACTATTCCAACCCCGGCTCGACATTTGCGCTGCCTACACCCGCTGCTGTACGTATCTTCTTGAACAAGCACCTGTCCTAATTACTTCACTTCTTCTTATCCTCGAAAGATACGACTTGCTGTCACTTCTGTTTTGATGGTTGTCTAGCGCAGACGAGGCATGAAACAACTCACATTTCACGGCGTAGATTGTGCCCTCTTCTGCTGTATTAGCAATCTCAGCCATAGACCCTCGACCATGTCACAATTGTCTGAACGCAGAGTCCTGATTTTCTTGCAACGCGCCAACATGGGATGCGTGAATGCGGCGAGGATTGTTTGTCTCTCAACTTACGGTCTCCCTCGCAGTCCAGGTCTGTGCATTCAGGCCACCAGTAAGCAATCGATGATCAAGCCTCGAGACACAGAGAGCAACTTGAGCTCGCAGACGAAAGAATCAAGCAGCTTAAATCGTCCCTTGAAGACGTCACCACCAGACACGATGAAGAGGTCAACAGCCCGACTTCCCATGAAGCACTATGGAAGTCCGAAAGTGAAACCTTTGCCTTGAGATTCTGTTCGAGAGAAAGTGAGCATCAGAGGCAACTCGACTCTTTCTCGTACTCCGGCGGACAAGGTGTTGTTCTCAGAAGTTACTCTGCATCGAGTCAACTACACATCATCAACTCCATCCATGTCACTCTTTTCGACAGGCTGGGCCCATCTTACATCTATCAGACTTCCGCTGAGAGTCAAGTTGTCCTCCACTCTCAGCGGACATAGTCCACTGTCTATAGTCCACTCTGCATCGGGTCAACAAGAGTCACGACAAGACACGACTCAATGGCGGGATCGAGAGCCTCAGAATGGAAGGGATGATCACATGCTTGTCCAGAAACAAGCGAGACCAGATTACACGCGCTTTGTGTATCATCTGCGAGCGGGTCCATAACCATCACCCGATGGGATCGATACCTGCAGTTGCTCGTCAATGCAACATGCTGTCATATATGTAATGCGACGGATAATTTGAAGAAAGGCACAGTCATTTCTCGGTTTGAGGAGGCGCTCCGAGAGAGTGTATTACACAACCATATTCGGTGGACAAGGCTCAATTTCCGGAAGTTAATGTGCATGGATACAAATGTTTACACAAGCCTTTTATAACTCGAGGACAGCACCTCGACAAACGATCCCTCAACGTCCAAAGCATAGTCTTGGTACTCAATGACAAAGTACTGCTTCGGCTCCTGATCACGTTCGAACAGCAACGGGATCGTGACCGTCGATGTGGCCATCTTGGAAAGGAGTTTCTTCGGTCGATATAGGTTCATCGACGTCATGAATATCAATGATGGCTTCTTCTTCGTCGTCGAACTGGCTCTTCATTCTGAAATGCATACCCTGTCGAGTCGATTCTGGAGTTCTGGCGGTACCGCTCATTCTCTTCATGGCTGATTCGAAGGTCTTCCTTACTGAGTCGAAGATCTTCCTTCAATTTCAGGCTTTCATCTTTCCAAACTTGTCTCTCAAGCTCCAAATCTTCTTGAATCTTGAGGACACTGGCTTCAGCTACTTTGGCCTTCTCGATGAAGTCGTTGTGCTCTTGGGATTTCGATTTGAGCCTTTCGTCAAGAGCGACGTTTTGTTGGGTGACTGTGGAGACCAGGAATGTCAAAGTGGGTATGTCGAAGAAATCAGCCATGTTGTAGGTATTGGATCGATCGAAAACTGTTGATGGAACGACAAAGGTCGAGATGTGAGAAAGGTCTTGTCAAGATTCGCTGTTATGTTCTACATCGGATCGAAATCAGCAGGAAAGCACCATTCCGCGCACATGACTACCTAATCTCGAGACAACAACCAAGACACGTCATCAACAGTCGTCGTTTCCGTTTTTGTGATGGAAAAGACCACCCTACCAGTCAGATGTTTCGTGACTCATTCCGATGGACGTGTTGTACTCTGCCATATCTCGAAAACGGATGTCGGTTCAGGGGTATCGTGCTTTGGTGTGCTGTGTACATGCTGACGTTTGTCGGCATGTGTCAAGCTCACGGCGCTGTTCGCATGAACACTCACATCTGACAAGGGCAGCACAACAGACAACAGATAGATAGCGGGGAAGATCGTGGGTATCATTGTACAAAGCAGGATCCAAGGTAGGCCGACAATCTAATCAAAGGGCAATCGTCTCAAAGATTCACCACCTTGTCGTTTCTTCATCTCTTGCATGGCGCCAATGGCAGAGGGTACCTTGATACCACAGCAGTCGTCCCAAGTCTTGCCGCTGTGATCGTGAACATGCTTCATGCCACCTTCTGGAGCGACTTGACCTTGACCGCCTTCCGGTTCCTCCATCTCACCGGCAACATCAGTCTCTTCTTCTGTGCTCATGCCATCGACGGCAGGCACCAGACCGCCAAAGAGAAAGTGTTGCATAACAGGAAGCTTGCCCAAGACCTCGGCGACAAACATCTTCTTCATACCGGCCTCTACCTTTTCCCAGTTCTTCGCACTGCTGATGTCGTCGAGCATAGGAGAGTGCCAACGCAAACCATCAACATTCTTGACACTGTTGACATATGCGACTTGGTCGAGATACAGATAGTCCTTCGAGCACTCTTCGAGGATAAGAGGCTTGTGTATTGACATTGGTCGGATGTGAGGGTGGTGAACGAGCTGGGCGCTGCCGAAGAGGAAAGGAGCGAATTGGTAGTCATCGAGACCCCAGACACCATGTGAGCCAGCAGGTTCGAGGTAGTATGTGGACTGAACGACACGCATGACGCGGAGGTAGCGAGGAAAGACGACCAGGGCGAGTTGTGGGAAGGTAGACTGTGGGAGGAGGTCCAGGCGGTTTAGACACAGTAGCCAGATGAGGAAATTGAGCTCGTGACCAGAGCCGTAGTCGATGCGAGTCTTGTTGCCAAAGGAGTGGAAGATGTATGTTGAGACATCGTCTTGAGCAGCAGTCTCTGTCACACCGAGCTTGTCGTGCCATTGTCTAAGCAGTGATTCGACCTTGTCGAGGTATGTGACGAAAGCCTTGTTGCCGAAGCGGGAGCCGCCAGCGTCTTCAGCAGGACAGTCAGCAACCAGTCTCTCAGCTTCGTCCAAGATTTTGACTATCGTGTTGACTATCGGGTCTCTTTCTGCTTTCTGAACAGTGGTTACAGTTGTCTCGCGGACTGAGTCTGAAAGTCCAAAGACGAAGGCCGTGAGCAAGTTGTAGGTAGGAGAGGCGAGGAAGAGATGATGATCTTTCTTGGAGAGAATGCGACGGGTAGGGTGTTGGTATGTGATGTCTTCCTTCTTCGGCGGGGCAGGTAGAGCAGGAGTCTGGGGCGGTGGATTTAACGGAGGTTCGTTTGCTTTGTCTTGCTTGCGTCGAGGGATGAGCTTAGGAAGCTTGTGGGAGAGATCTGGCGGCGGGCTAGGGATTTGACTGTCCGGTATGGGTTCGGCGGACGGCATTGTGTGGTGTGAGGTGGTGGTTGGCTTTCTAGGTAGTCACGATGGAGGGGCATCGACTTTCAAGGACCTGAATGGTCCGTAGATTGTTGGAGGACGGACGGCCTTGGCAACGGTCTGCCACGAGGCTGCCGTGTTTGCGGAGCTGTTGATCATTTCACTGATCCTGATCATCTCGACGACGCGACTCGACTCGCCTCTGCACGACGACCAATCTGCGCCTGTCCATCTTGTAGCGCCTGCCCTGTCGCCATTCTTCTTGGGGCTTGGCATACCTTTCCACCGCGATCCTAATCGGCTATTCCAACTGTCGACATTCCTGTCTCGAACGCCAAGCTAGGCTTCTAACGAGACGTCATCAGGCCCGCCTAGTTCGCCGAATGTGATGATTGACAGAAAGATTGTTATATCTTCCTGCATGCCATAGCCCAACACGGCCCTCGGGCATGTCCTGTTTCCGATGGTCAAGCGCCCGCGACTCCCCTTTCGCATCCCCTTCTTCCGCATCTTCTACAGCACCACTTATACCACCCTCTTCCTCCTCATTCTCATCTTACTGGCCATTACTCCGGCAACCCTCATCTATACCGCCCTTCGCGCCAGCGCCTTTCAATATGTCTTCGAGGTCGGCGGTATCTATGTTCTTGTCGCCATCTTTACCCTCTTCATCTACTCGAGTAGACTTTACACCAACCGCTCGGTTCTCGCCGCCGTCGGCAAGTCCTGGATCCCCGTACAGCCCGGCGAGGTCAGCAAAAAGGTCCGCAAAGAAGTCGTCAAGGCCGCTAACAGGAGTGCCTTGATCGCCTACGAAACAAAGCCGAGGAATCTGCACCCAGATCTTGCTCGTCTCAAGAAAGACGACAATGACTTTCATCATGCCGAACCCACCACTGTCGGCAAGATAGTTCACGTCGACCCACAACATCCTCCTTGGGGACGAGTCTCTCACGCTGGCTGGTCTTCACCCTCGCAATTAGATGCCCATCTTGCCCCTCATGTCCACTTTCGCACTGTCGTCATGGAGCTGCCCAACCTTGTCGAAGCCCGTGCCGTCTCACTAGCTCCTCCCGATTCCTCCTTCGACCCCCAAACACGAGACGGGACCGCCACTCCCGACCGACAGGTCGTACACTTGCTCTCCAGGAAGCCGACAGCAGACATGCGATCATACCTGGCTCAACTGTCTGGCCTCGGTCTCATACCGCCAGAGGCCGGTCAAGATTTCGTCCAGCGCTACGAGCACGCCCGCTTCTCGCCCATCCCAATCAACGAAGACGACTTCGAGGACCTCATGTCCGCCTTTGCAATCTTGCTCGCCAACTTGAATCAGCTTCCGCCACGACTCATCGACTTGGCTCACTCCTCTAGCTCCGATTTTACTTCCGACTCATCCAGTCTATCTTCCATTTCTTCCCGCAGTGACAGCATCTCTTCTTCTATTGCCGGCTCTGTCTTCCGCGCTCGCACACCCGGGTCGCGTCTACCATCCTTCTATACCCCTCGCGCTTCATTATCTGTAGCACGTACACCCTCGCCGACTGCCCGTCGTATCGTACCTCTATCAACACCTCGGCCGCTCACCACTCAGACTGGAAATACCATCTATCGCACGCCTTCTCAACAAACCATGTCAACCATGCATTCGGTACGCAGAACATTACCGAGAGGTCCACACGGCATGGTTGACGATAATGGCTCTCCTGCGGCTAGTCTCCATAGACTGGAGAGCTACGAAAGCCAGCAGAGTGTCATCCGCACACCATTCCGCTCGAGCTCTGGAGGCTCGTACTATGGTTGAGATCCTGTTCATTTGTCTTCTACCTTCTATACTATACCCCTTCTTTCTACATTAATGAGAATAAAAATGTTTAATGCCTTCACCATCTATTCCTTCTACTGAGATGCGTGTCGTGAGTCGTGACTTCCAGCATACATATGCCGCTTCCTCCGATCACATGCACAAGCACATGACCATCACAAGACAAGGCTCCGTGACCACGATATGCACAAGCCAGTAAAGTCCATCTGAATCCACGATCCAAGTTTGTATAAGCACACGATGGCGTAGGATAAAATCAATGATCTTGTTGTATTCTACTTTCTTCTTGTGACTGTGGGAGGCTAATTGAGTAGAATGAGGATTCTTTCATATGAGAGCTGCTGTAGCTCCACACCCACGACAGGCTAATCTCAATGTTCGCAAAAGTAAAATGTTGCTTCACACTCAATCATGCCCTGGCCAATCGGTCCTCTCTCCTCCATCAACGTTTCCCTGATCTGCTTTGCGTCAGCCATACCAATGGGGAAATCTTCAACATTGTCAAACACTTTATCCATCAGCTCGTTCGGCAAAGTCTTGAGCTTCTCGATCTCCCCTCGCTGCTCTCGAATCTCTTTCTCCCACCAATCTTTCCGTTGCGGTGGCACTTTTGCGGTCGACAAGACTCTGACATGAGGATTCACGAGGAAAAGAGCCAAGATTTTCCGCTCGCCTGGCTTCGTCTCATCTTCGAGTTTGAACGAACCGACGTTATGTTGCAGGACATTTGGAAAAGCGAGTAGACGACCTTGGTCACACATGACACTTCCCAGGTTCTGGATGAGCGGATCAAACTCGTTTTGAAAGCCAGTGATCGTTTCGAGGTGGGCGTAGTCGAACTGTTCGTACTCCATGTCGAACCACGACTCGTCGCTACCGTTGTGACGGAACTTTAGTTGGGATGGTGTGATGTTGGTGTTCGAGTAGTAGTAGATTGCTGTCGCGACAATTTGCTCATTGTGCAGACCTGTACGATTCGTTAGTCCCAGGGGATGCCTGACGCCAAGTCTGATAGACTTACCTTCGACGTGCCAGCTACCTCCGTCCCATTCTGGGTCATCAGGAGTCAAATAGGTATTGGCCAGTTTGACGATAACCTGTAGTCCACTACCGGCGTACTCCTTGCGAAGATCTAGAGGAGGCTCTTCTGGTATCTCGCGGGGTTTGTACGGTTTTGGTTCAGGCAATACCAGGACACGCATGTTTTCCCTCCACCACTCATCAAGCTCCCATCCGTCTACGCCATCTTCTGCCTCTTCGTCTATACCAAGCCTCTCCGCAGTCTCCGCAAGGTGGTCATTAGCGCGTTCGACGAGATCCTGGAGCTCTGCCTTCTCTCCGTCGGTTTCTGGTCGCCGCCTGAGTGTCCAGTGTATTGGCCGGTGCTCGCCATAGGGCCATGTGAACTCGAAGTCGTTGATTTCAACGCGAGGCTTGTATGGTCTGACAAACTCACGATGTCTCTGGATGCCGTTGTGCTCATACGGCCCACCACCAGTATGACTGAGGACCTGATCCCATAGAGGTACCGCTTTCGCGATGACCTTCTCGACCAGGCCGTAGATATCAGGATGTTCTTGAGGATGCAGGTTGTTAATGTAGCTAGTGATCTTAACATCTTCCTCGCCTTCGAACTTGATGTCACATGGAAGCCACTGAAATTGGTCTGACCAGCCACCGCTGATGGGAAGCTCAGGCTTTTGGATGATCTCACCTTGACCGCAGTAAGAAGTACAGTCTTCAAGGCCAACATCACCATTCTTCAAAACTCTCGAGCGACCATAGATCAAAGGAAACATGGACGGGTGAACAAGATCGAGGACTCTTTCGCGTGTTCCGGGATGCCAATCTTTGTCCTTGTCGGGTACGTTTTCCAATGCCGCAACCGCCTTGTTAAGATCACGCCTGATTTTCTTCGAGATCGCAACATCCGAGTAAACAACCTGAGTATCAACATCGATTGGTGTGACAAGTCCAGTCTCTTCCAATGTTTTGGCCTTGTCGCGAAGCTCAGCAACACAGTACTTCCACATCGGCTCACTGAAGTCAACCTGACTCATAATCTCAGACATCCATTTGTCGCAGATTTTATCGTCGAAAATCTTGCGAAACCATTTCGGCTTTTTCATGATCTTTTGCATTGCCAGAATCATGTTGGTTTCGCGACGTGCGAGGATGACGCCCTTCCAGTCCGTCGGATCCACTTCTACCAAGTGATGATGTGGACAATTGTTTCGCCGTATCTCGGAAGGATTGAGGTCCATACCCCAGCCGGGGAACACTTGCTCGCCGGCATCGTTAAAGAAGTGATGGCATTTGATGCTGTCTTTGGTCGGTGGTAGGGTCTCCGGAGCTGACATGTTGAGTGATTGCACAGATTCGAAGGCGGCTGTTCAGCAACGAAACCACAGCTTGTGACTTGAACGTCTACTTATAGCCTAATGCATCCTGGGAATCGTTCGAGTCGTGGAAATTACATGTTGGAACCAGACGTGTTTCGGAGTCGCTTGCTTGGCTTCTCCAGGCAGCGGCAGGCAGCTGCAGGCAGACGCGACCGACGATCACGACAAATGGTCACAGACTTGTGAGCAGCCAGAAGCATGGCAATAATCAATATCGATATCCTCTGTTTATGCTTTGTGCCAGGAGTGAGGGCGAATTGTTACAAGACTCAGGGAGAATGTTGGACAAACTCCTCAAGGAAGGCGTGGGGAAAAAGTCAGGGAGCTGGTCAGAGTCGCAGATTGTCTTTGTTCTCTATGGTCGTCATTTTCTCTCCTCCCTCTTCAAAAGTACACTTCACGTGAACATCAAGTTCCTCTCCTTCGCCAGGTCTTTGAGCTCGACCCTAATTCTAGCCTTCCGCCCATCCAAAAACGTGCCAAGTGGTCTTGTGCCGGGTACAAGCTCCTCTTCTCTTTCCTTCCACTCTTCTCCTACATTCTCTGCATCGTCCTCATCGGAGTCCCATTCTTCAACGCCGTTCCACGTAGCCATATCAACGCGGTCTTTCTCGCCAGTCTCTAGTATGAGGCGAAGTTTGTAGGGCTCAACTCCCAGGCGTCTGCCAATCACTCCGTGAACCTTGTAGATGCTGCATGATTTGGGTATCTCGACGAGCAATGGGTCTTGCTCATTTGGCAGATTGACGACATTTGCTGCTGCTGGAGAATACACTGTGCACTCCAACAGTCTTGCCGCGAGAGAGTTGGGGTCGACTTCGTTTTCCGTTTTGCGTTCGACTTTTGGTTCGCCGTACTCCTCACACAGTCCCTTCCACCTCGGATGAGCTGAAAGAGTCTCCTTCTCCTTTTCTTCTGGAGCTAGAGAAAGCTCTCGCCCAATTTGAGAGAGGTAGTAGGACTCTGAATTTATTCGCTCCTTGTCTGTAATCTTTGAGTAGTTGAGTGTTTCGAGTTGGGGGAGTCGGGCGATGGTGAGCATGTAGCCGTCGGCTGAAGTTAGTGGTTTGCCGTCGGCCGAGCGTAGTGAGGAGAAGAGAGGGTTATGGGCGATGCGCAAATGCTCCAAGCCTGGCACGATTGCTGCGAGGTGGTTGATGAGATCCCATGAGGTCATGTTGTTGTATGCGAGATCCACGTCGACTATTGTTTCTGGTAGCTTGAAAGTGGCAGCCGTGTGCTTGCTCCTTGTGGCATCTGCGATCTGGTTGTTCTTAAGCCCTAGCGTTTGTAGATGGGGACAACATTCTTTGAGATGCTTGATGTCTTCCAGACTCGAGAAAGCGTTGTCCTCCAAAATGACAGAGGTCAAAGTGCTGGGTAGGCCGCAGTTGTCCAAGGAGCCCAGCTGGTTGCTCGATGCCGAGAGCTCCTTGATTCTAGGCATAGAGCGCAAGAGGTTTTCTAGCTGTGAATCAATCAGTATTATGCGTTGCATCTGCTGCAAAGCTTAGACTTACCTCTCCTCCCGTGCACAGCATGTGATCGAGACTCGCCGAAGTAATCTGGGCGAGCCCGGACCCAGTGCTGTTGGGGACTGTTCGATGTGAAACATCTCGCAGACGGTTTGCACTGTCATGATTTAGCATGGTCTAAGATGCTGATCGGACTCGTCTTACTCCAGTCGCAGAAACTTTAGCTTCGGTAGCCGGTCGCAGATCTCAGAGATGTCGTCAAGAGTCTCAAACAGATTTCTTCCCAGATCCAAGTCGGTGATGTTTGGACACGTTTCGAGGATTTGATCTAGACTATCTTCTTGTGTCGTATTTGTACCATCGTATGCTGCGACCAGCAAGTCGTCCAAGACCACGATACGGAGATTCTGAAGTTGAGCTTGCTGTCGAGCGATCTTCTCGAAGCCGACTTCTTCAGCTTCTTTACCGCTGATTCTGATGGTGTTCTGACTTGATGCATCTCCGCCCGTCTCGGCAGCCGCATATTTTGTCCTCAGAGCCTCCAGAAAAGTCCTCGGTTTGTCCCATACTGCCGATGGACGCAAGAATGATCCAGGAGTGGGATGTGAACTCCTACCTTGATACAGAATCAGACTAGTTCTGAGTATTCAGAGAGCGTATCTTTCGACCTACACTTGAAATATTCTATGCCATCATGACTTCCAGAGTGCTTTCCGCGAGTAGGATCGTCCCATTCCACACCAAGCCATTGGCCTGATTTACCCTTGACTTCGCCGATGTAGCGCACTGTACAGCGCTCGCCTTTTGTAGAAAGGCGTTTGCCAGGGTAAAAAGATGACATCAAGACAGTTTGTGAGTCGTGTCGAAGTAGCGAGCTGGAAGAGGGTCTATTTCACGATGGTCTGTGCCCAGGCTCAGACTGATCAAGAGCGAGGGAGATTGATTCGGTTTCTCTTGAAAATAGAATAACAGATGCGATCTGGAGAACCTTTCTTGAAAAGAACTTTTCGAGACGCGAATAGCACACTGCCATTTGAATTGCAAAATACATTCGTCAGGCGTCCGTATCAAGACACCTCGAAACTCGCACACCACTCAACGCGTCCTTCCGCGAAACTTTCGCGCTCATCTCTCTTCCGCCGACGACAAACGGACCAACAATATCCGTATCAAAAGGCACCTTTATTCCAGAAAGACGGCAAATTTATTTCCCTCCACCATTTGCGGATCATCAGGAACCTGAGAATATTGCATCTTTCTTTGCTCATCTGACGACACAACCCGAACCGCAACCATGCCTGGCAGAAAATCAAATCTTTCGACCGTCACGAATGGCGAGGATGAATCACCTGCACCCACTGGCCGTGCAGCCCGTGAAGGATCGAGTGTTGAAGTGTGTATCGATACGGGTCCAGATGAGATGAGACGGGGTACTGACAATGAAGCAGGACCTAGCCCTACCACGCACCATGATTTCGCGGTTAGCAAAGGGAGTTCTTCCTCCCAACACATCAATTCACAAGGACGCACTATTGGCACTGAGCAAGAGCTGTACTGTGTTCGTGAATTTCTTGGCTGCGAAGTAAGTCATGCTGATGTTTTTTCGATGCTCCCTAACGATTAGTCTCATAAAATGATTCCTGTGACTATGTGCTGACTTTATCCACTCAGCTCGAACGAATATGCACAAATTGCCGGCAAAAAGACAATTCAGCCCGCAGACGTAATGGCAGCACTCAAGGAGAATGAGTTTGAACATTTCATCCCCAGACTGGAAGCAGAACTCAAGAGTAAGCCCCTCCTTCCTCTAACATTATCGTAATTCTTCCTAACCACTAATACGCCTACAGAATACAACACAGTGCAATGTGACAAACGCAACTCCTACCGCCGTAAGATACGCGAGGAAAAGGCATCAAAAACAGGCGATGAAAAGCACGCAGACAGCGGTGCTGAGAACGGAGATGCAGATGCTTCGATGCTTGATGCCACCGAGGTGTCTGCTGTAAACGGTCACTCCAGAAGCGATGACCAGCCGCCATCGAAGAAGATGAGACGGGAAGCCGGCGAAGAGGACGTCTCAGAAGGCGACGAAGAGGAGTTCCACGATGCCCTGGAGGGTGAAGATGACGAGGCCGTAGAAGGTGATGGTGATGACGAGGTTGAAGAGGACGAGGATGAAGATGAGGATGGTGATGAGGAGCAGGTGGAAGATGGAGGTGATGAGGAAGATGAGAGGATTGGGGATGGTATGAGGGACGAAGCACTGGATTCTGCTGAAGACAGCGATTAGGCATTACGCCGGTACGAGAGCAGAGGGACATGGACACCCAGACGAGCAAAGACTGGTGGCTATTAGAATTCACAGAACCTGGCACGAGCTCCATAGGCCAAATTGAGCTTGCTCTACGCATTGCTACACATCATTATTGCAATTTGCAGGAGCTCGGAAGACATTGCAGACGATTCAACCTTTTGTGTGTATGAGGCGACTTGCTCTATCGCATCACTGTATGTAGTGTTGTGTAACTCCGTGAAGCCTTTCCTTGGCCGGCCATGGCATGCTGTTCAAATTTCCGAAAGTGTATAACCCTCAACGCCGTGCGCCATGCTTGAAGAAGAAGAGGACGTGAGATCGTCAGTGTAGACTTGAGATGGCCATCACTGTTGGCGCGAGTTCATCATGGAGAGCTCGCGATCGGCCATGGCAAAAGGATCGCCGTACCTGTCTGGATTATGTTAGCCACTTGACAAGATGCCTTAAGGATGGACTCAGGACGCACTGCCGATGATACGGTTCTTGTCTACAAGCGATTCCCAGGCGCGGTTGAAGTCGTCTTGAGCCTTCTTGTTCTTCCAGGCGTAGCCAGGTGCGTCCTCGGGCTTGGTGTACTGGTAGGTGGTGGCAGCGTTGGCGCTGACTTGGGCATCGGTGGGAATGTGTGCACTCAGCGAGACACCGCCATTGAGGTCTTGAGAGGGGTCGATGGACGAGATGGGACGTTTGCCGTTCATGTTTGCGCCTGAAGCCGAAGGAGCGACCGTGGGCATGTCGAGAGGAAGAGGACCGCCTTGGGAATTTGGAGGCGACAGGTCCGAGATTGCAATAGAGCGGATCTGAGCGTGGGGAGTGCTCGGCTTCGGAGACGAGTTGCCAGACTGCATCAGACTGTCACCGTCGTGGTCGAAGGGAGAGTGGGCGTCTGTTGTGCACAGTCAAGATGATTAGTCATGGCTAGGCAAGCAGCCGTGGGCAAGAGCACTAGGTAGGTGGTACCTGTCATGATGGGACTGGCGCGATTTGCTGCTTGAACCGGATGGATAGATTGAAAAAACGAACGAACAGATTCACTCTCTCAACTCTCAACTCTCGGCGTCCACCTTGATCCAGTGCAGATGAAACGGTGCAGTGCAGCAAGGTGGAATTGGCAGAAGGTGCGCTCGGACATGACGCAGGGCGGGGTGCCATACACGCGCCGACCCGCAACCACCGAGAATCCGGCCCACCCTGTCCTGATGCAAGAGGTAATTCGTCCACCGTCACCTGTCACTTTTATGCGAACTCATCTCACCACTACATCTCCCATCTTACCGCACGCCGTCTACCAAACCAAACATCAGCTTCTCTTCCCGATCATCCTAACGGGTCGACGTCCACCCGCCGTTCTTGAACTGACACCATAATCACAATGCCTGATGCGTGGGATGACGATTGGGACAAGGTCGCCGATGTACGAGCTGTAACCATGTATCCATGAGACCCGAAACTGACTGCGAACAAGACATCGGCCAAATCTGCACCACCAGTCCAGACCCTTCCCAAACTCTCTCGCGCCGAACGTAAAGCACAGCACCAAGAGTTGAACAAACAATTATGGGATGCCGCAGAACAGCCCGAACGTGCCTACTTTCTCGAAGCCAAGGGTGCTGCTCCCCTGAACTCCGACTTCAAGCCTCAAGTCAAGCTCTTGAGCCGCAGACCGACTCCCCAAATCGCAAATCGCATGGCTGGTCTCAACCTGGAAGACGAAGATGACAGCGAGGAGGAAGAGAGAAAGAGACAAGAATCCTCTCTGGCCGAGAGACAACGCAAGGCTGCCGAAGAGCGCAAAGAAAAAGAACGTAAATACGCAGAAGTTCGTGAGCGCTTGTTCGGCTCGCCAGACTCTTCCCGGGACCCATCTGCCTCTCGCACTTCTTCCGCCAGAGGAGACAGAAATTCACGGAGAGGCAACCGAGGCAGAGGTAACAGAACTGCTACCCCCAGAGACAGTCAGTCGAATTCTCCCGCCGATCAATCTCCTGCAAGAACAATCTACCAGCCAAATCAACTCTTCGATCCCACATACGAACAGAAGCCGAGGAGCGTAGCTAGCCCGCGACTTGTTGTCGCTAGAGACGAACAACCTGTCCGCCAGCCCAGAGGTCCCGAAGGACGTGGTGGCTTTGGTTTCGCTCCCCGAGGCGGCAAGTCGAGTCCATGACTTCGCCATGCTTGACTTGTGACAAGTCAACATATCACAGCGCAGTAGTGGCCGCAAGACTAGACATGTTTCGCCATTATTTGCCCTATTTCCATCTCAATGAAGGGCACTACCATCCCAGCGAGCGATGTCGCATGCATAATGGTATTCCCATGTTCGTCGCTACAAATCCCGGCGACGCGTGGCAGACACCTTCCAGCAACACACTCGGTTATGAGATGGTCGCCTCTCGTACAGCTTTACACACGTGCGCCACAGCTCCAGCCAAGGCTATTGCCAACAAAGCTTGCACATGCCACATCATCTCTTGATGACGTGAAGGCTCTGCCAGTTCTATCACCCAATGGAAGGAATTTGGATGTCATTGTTGACAGCCACCCGGACTGGGACCTCAAAGGATTCTCAGAGCCTCTGCCTGTTGAGGGGGCAGTTGCTAGATTCAATATCTATACAGACATGATCCTGCTCTACTGTGCGATTAGCGGGAGTGGACGTTTCAGCTTGACGAGGACTTTCTGACTTCTAAAGTTTCATGATGGAGATCAGCCCTAACACACTTCCAAGCCCTACAACGTCTTATACCACAAGACTATCTCAGCACTATATCCTGAAGCCGATTTTTTTTTTCAGCCCTCTCTCTTTCTCTCTTTTCCATACCGATTCTTGTTCTTTTTTCCAGTCACTCCTTTGATCGAAGATGTCTTCTTTCCTCGCAAAGGCACTGACTTTCAGCGCTCTGGCAGCGCCTGCCTTCGCCGCTCCTAGTTCTATGGTCAAGAAGTCTCAAATCATCAACACTTCTGCCAAGCAGGCTGCCATTAACCTTTGCGGCACTGCCGATAATGTCGTCCTTTATGATACTCCCTGGATTGTCTACAACATGTTTTATGGCGCTGCCGGATCAGTTGGCACACAGTGCACTCGCTACGATCACGTCGAGACTCCATCCACTGGCAACAAGAAGATCGTCTGGAGTAGCGAGACCAATATTGAATATGTCAAGGCGACGTAAATTTGACCTGTTTTTCATGCCATTCAGGAGCTTCGACTAATCTGTGCGCAGTGACAATATCCCCAAAGGCTATGCTTTCGTCGGACTGACCCAGAGCCTTGAGACCACTATCTCTGACATCGACTCTATTCCCACGACATATGACTGGACCCGCTCCAACAGCACTGCTTTCAAAGGCAACGTCTGCTACGACTTCATGACCAGTGACACCAAGGGTGACTCTACCTCTTCCAACGCACAAGAGCTCATGCTTTGGCTTCAGTATGAGGGTGGTCAGCTTCCCATCGGCTGGACTGATGGAGCAAAAGCCACCATCGAAAATCTCTTCGGTACTAGCTGGAAGCTGTACGAGGGCAAGAATGACGATACCGGCATCACTGTCCACACCATGATGCCCGAGAAGCAGTTCGAAGGTAGCTTTACAGGTGATCTCAAGGAGTGGCTTAAAGCGCTTGTGCAGCACGGCACCTTCAAGGACTCGACCTATGTCAATGTCGGTAACGCTGGTACCGAGTACTTCTACGGCAACAGTAATCTCAACGCTACTCTTGGGCTTCAGATCAACCTCAGCTAAGCGGACAGCTTGAAGCAGGCAGAGCGAATTGTGGCGAATCTTCTCTTCTGTGCATATAGTATATTTCCAATACATGCCAGTCCACCTGCACTCAGAGAAGAATAATAGTTACGGATCTTACCAGCACGAAGTCCGAGCCGTGAGAATTCTCCACGTGGATGCATGCCATGACCATATACAGGCTTTTAACTCCAATATTGTTATGCTAGAGGCCACAGATTTGTGTCTTCGTTCTCATCATTTCACTGAACCCGTATTTTAGTCGGCTGTGTAGCATTAAGCACACCAAGCTTTCTGCCCTTGCCGGGCCGTGAGGGGCAGATGAATTCGTGGAGACGTTTCAGATTGAACTTGCCCTTTTCCAATCCAGCCCTCATGCACAAAACATCTGACTCCAATATCTGGCATTGGCATACATTATCGTGGTACTTCTTCTTTTCGTATCTCTGCAAGTTCGGGATAAACTGCACATCGCAGTCTTGAACCATTTCCACCAATGGGGTTTTAATCCTGATCAAATCAACAACAGTAATGGTCAGATGAGCAGACTTCTGCCGTGCTTGACCATCATTTACTCCTGATCTACGGCTACAAAAAAGTACGTTTCAAGGCTATTCGATCCCGGCAACAGATTGCTTCCCCTTATGAACAAACAACCGGAAGCATTCAATGTGGGGTGCAGCGGGCGCACTGTCTTCGTCCAGCATTCGTGGAAATACTTGCTGCAATCAAGAGTCGTTTCATGTAGCTGCCGACATCTAGACCACTGTCGGGAGGCCGTAAGAGAAATAAAGTCGTCGTATGCATGCTGGGTAAATCGGCTGCGCGATCATGGTAAGTCAAGGAGATGTATAAATAAGGATGTCTCGCCTTCTGGCATCATCGTCAACGACCACCTATTCTACCTTCAAGGTCTCGTCCATCAACAATGATTTCTTACATCCTTACCTTGTGTCTCAATCTCTGCCTGGTACTGGCCGCCAGCAGGACTTCTGCCCCTAGTGGTGCACTCGTAGTCAGCAAGGCTCCAGCCAAAGGGCAATACTCCAAGATCCAGGATGCCGTCAATGCTCTCTCGACTTCTTCCACCACAGCTCAATCCATCTTCATTGAAGCTGGTACCTATAACGAGCAAGTCTACATCACCCCTCGCAAAGCTGCCCTCACCATCTACGGTTACTCGGAGAACACAGCAGACTACAACCACAATGTTGTCACCATCACCCAAAAACTGTCTCAGAATGAAGTAGCCACCAATGACTTGACTGCTACACTCAGAGCTTGGTCCACAAACTTCAAACTCTACAACGTCAACCTTGTGAACTCCTACGGTTCGGGTAAACAAGCTCTCGCACTCAATGCTGCTGCTACCGTATGTATCTCTCCAACATCCTGCTCTCCCTTATCTTCCCACTGAAATATGCATCTGCAGAACCAAGGCTACTACGCCTGCAAATTCAGCGGATTCCAAGACACAATCCTCGCCCAAACTGGAACCCAGCTCTACGCAAAATCCTACATCGAAGGTGCTACAGACTTCATCTTTGGTCAACACGCGTCTGCCTGGTTTTCTTCCTGCGACATCCGCGTTCTTTCCGCTAGTCTGGGTTACATCACTGCCTCTGGTCGTGCGTCCAATGAAGCAGGTTACTACGTCCTGGACCACTGCAGTATCGCCGCTAAATCAGGGCAAAGTGTTGCTAAAGGAGCATACTATCTGGGAAGGCCTTGGGGCGCTTATGCCAGAGTTGCGGTGCAGAGTACGACGATTAGTAATGTTGTCAATGCGGCGGGGTGGCATATCTGGAACACTGGGGATGAGAGAACTGATCATGTCAGTTTTGGAGAATATGGAAATAGTGGGGATGGTGCTGCGGGGACCAGAGTTATTGGCACCAAGTTGAGTAAGGCGGTCGCTATTACTGATGTCTTGGGCAGTGGGTATGTTAGTGCGGCATATGTTGACAAGGCATATCTTTGAGGTGGATGTTGGCTTGAAGGGTCATCGGACGGCGGTCGTTGCGATTAGCGATCAATTATGCTGGACATATAGAGTCGACTACATTGTCATCACGACTTGTCATATAACACACGGATGTTCTCCGCTCGAATTGTTTACAGTGTGAGAGAATGCGATCATACATGTCGCGTTAGGGTGATTGCAGCGGTGTGAGAACTCTAGCAAAGAACACCGCTTTGTAAGCCTCACGAACAAAGAACCAGCATCATTTGGACACTCTGCATTCCGAACAGAAGAGTCAAAAAGAGCGTACGAACAACAGCTTGTCAAAGGACTTATTTCGCTTTCTATGGACTCAAGTGATTAGAAGAGTGAACCCGCAAGATTGACGGAGTGCCTCAGCAAGAGCTCGAAGAGTCAAGCGAAAGGAGGTTTCTGGTGAAGTGAGCAAAGCCAAAATGATTTCTAAGTAACGAGCGTCTTCCATCTGGAACCTCGGAAAGGGAAGAGCAAAAAGTAGCAAAATCATGTGCTTGTGTCGCATCCCGCATGCAAATGCCATATCGCCGCCCAATGCTGTCATTCTCACTTTTCGTCGTGTATATGTCGTTCAAATCATGGATGCTGTGCATCAAGTCGAAAGAGGCGACCTGATAATGGGATTGTCTCTTGTGTCGAGGTCGCTGGAAGACGTCTAGTCAAAGCGGTCGTCACGGCGGCGGTAGTACACGACATCGCCCTCACTACGGGCGTCGTTGAATCTAGTACCTGGATCAGCTTGTTTCTTCGAAATCAAAAGACCTGAGACTGTAGATCCTCACCTTGCGCCACTGGGGTCTGCGGGATAGTCTCTACGCTCGTAGCGATCCATTGAACCACGAGGAGAGCCGCGGACTTCGTGGCCATGGGGGGCGTTCTGCGACTGGACTGGAGCGTTGTAGACGTGAGCGTAGGGAACGTAGCCAGGGATTGGTCCAGAAGTGGAGACAGGACGAGAGCCGTTGGCAAAGGCAGTCGTCAAGGGGGGCGTGCCATGTCCCGAGCCATTCTATGCACAACAATCAGCATCACATCTTGGTGAGCATAGTTTCAAGCTTACCATGGCGGAGGGAGCATTAGCAGGCGACTGAACAGCGTAGCCGTGTCTGTCGATAGGAGCGTAGTCGGCAGGGTTGTAAGATCTACGATGGGCGGCTTTGTCTTCGGCCTGTTGGCGACGTCCGTCCAAACTGCGGTGTCTTCTGCGGTCCTGGCGATCGTACTCTCCTTCATCAGAGACGTCGGACTGCTCCTCATCTTCGAAATGGCGACTTCTGCGGCGGCTACTGGAGCGCTTGTGGGAGTGGGAGTGTCTACGCTTGTGCTTGCGGGCGCGTTGGTACTCTCGCTCCTCTTTCTCTAGCTCTTCTTCTCTGGCGCGATAGTAAGGGATCTTCTCCATCCACTTGTCAGGGAACTTTTCCGCCATGTAGGCTATGCTTTGAAGCAAAACGTTAGCCAAGGATGGCATCTTTGCGAATCCGAGCGGTGATATCCAATTGACAAGGCTCGAGCAAAGAAAGTGTAGATGAACGTAGTGAGCGCGCGAACAGAGGAGAGATTATGTACGTGCGTGAGTGAGTGAGTGAGCGATTGCGAAAGTGAAGTGGCAGACCCTCCGTGAGACTCGCTGTTTGCGCCGAGCTCGACAAACGGCTTGCGGGATTTAGACTGCTTCAGATTCCGAAAGTACATGACTCTGCAATATTTCAGGTACAGGGATCCCTGCACATTGATTGGAGTCACTTTGCACTCTCGTGATCCTGTATCGTCTGCGCCGAGTCGGACTTACACCACATATCCTGCCTCCCATAGAGCGCCTGTCATAAACTTCTCCGCCATGATGAGTCCCCAGCTCTTTCTCTGCTCTAGACAAGAACAAGTTTGTGCTACTCAAAACAAGATACGAGGTATGGTCGTGGGTAGAGACGTGTATTGGCGAATGGGGGAATGAAAGACAATTGGGCACTTCCCTGGATAGAGTATCCGCCAGAAGGCAAGAAAGAGGAGAGATGCAGGCGAAGAGGTAGAGAAGGAAGAAGAGAGATGGAACGTACGATTTGAGACCTAAGCCTGCCATGATAGAACAGCAATTTTGGTAAGAGCGGACAAATTGGGAAGTCGCGACCAGATAAAATTGCAAGACCGACTTCGTGAAGCCTCTTCAACTACAACTGCACTGCGGGTAACGAAAATACTACTTGCACTTGGATGAACAAAGGTCCAAGACTGCTACGAAATTTGGCCTGTCCTTCTGTTAGTTATCAGGAATACAATGGTGACGGTCTTGGGAGTTTGTACCAGAGTTAGAGGCCTTGATCAGCGAGATATGAATCTATGTCGGTGCAATAAAATGATAGAGCAAACAAACTTATGGTTATGATCTACCAACGGTAAAGTATATAAGAAAGTTCAGATGTGGTACAAAAGATCGGTGAGCAAAGGTAGTGATACGCGAAACAATGACGTCGGCACGCGCATTTCCAGCCAGCTGTACATTTTTCCCAGCCACCTTTTGTTTCTTTGCGAGCTAGAGAATACGACTACGGAAAATCCCAGGGATGTCGGCAGATGCGTGGTATTTGCAGCTAGCAGCGACAAAAGACATCTTCCAGCACATAGCAGACGCATTCAAGCCCAATCTTCAGGCTCACGTCACTCGAAGTCGTAGCGTGACCAACGAGAGCCTGCAGAAGACTGAAAACATGTATTTGCCTCAATGATCAATGCATGGTTTGACGACACGTCCTTGAATATCCTCATATCCTCATATCGAAGGTGATATGGAAAAGACAAGTAAAATCAGCAAAAATTGGTAGTCTTGTCCAACATTGCGTTCTGGGTCAATCTGTTGGCCCGATCCCAGCCGTCTGCCAGTCATCAGTGCTCGTTAATCTCTGAGGACGACTATATTGGTTCACGGCTCTCAGCAACGACCAGTCAGCTTCCGTCCATGTCTTTCTTGTTTAATGAATTCGTGTCTCTCGCGATTCTCGCTGCCGCACCAGACAGTCGCTCTCTCCATAGACTATCACGATTGGCAGTCTACCAGGGCTAGAGTCCACTGACAACTTTCGAGTGCCCGATTGCATCTGGTCACAACTGCGATGTGACCCTCTCAAAGCGACACCCCTGACAACTGGCCGTGTTATCGAGTAACAGTTTCGGTGAGGAAGGGTTTCGAGAGCGACTTCCAGCCTCTTAATGAGCTTCGCCCTTCTTGCCCACCAGTTTCCGAGCACATCTGACAAATTCTTTGCAAATGTCCTCTATAGGAGCGCTGAGCTCCCTGGCCACGATGTGGCGGACATGGTCTTCCTTGGATGCTTCTCCATCGATTCCAAGGGGCTGTAGCTTCCTGCCCATGATACACGTGTTCCTAGTGGATGGAATACGCAATACCTCAGTTTCTACAACAAAGCCCACATCATCCGCCAAACCTGAGACATAATCACAGAGTGACGCATACGCGGATTGTACATTCTTCGTCCCCGCTGACCTTTTCAGGGTTCCAGTTTCTGCGGCTTGATGCTTGCGCACCTGGTCGGTGTCGTCTTGATCTGTGCTTAGAGGCACTTGACGTCGCTGCGCTGCGGCTTTCTCCTTTGCAGCTTTCGATACAGGCGCTCGCCAGCGAGCACCTGCGAGATTATGACTGCAGCATGGTATAGCAATGAATGGAGAACTGTTCAGATATGCAAGAAGAGGCGTCCATGGCGTGAGCTCATCCGCATGGTTTGACACGATAAACGTTCCCTTCTTGAAGAGGCCATTATGGAATTCCCGATCTTGCAGCAGATCGACTGCCTCCATTCTGTCTGCTATGTCTGCCACGTCGTCGTCGTCGTTGTCGTCGTCATTGTCGTCGTCGTCGGGTGACCCGTTCGAATGGAGAACATCTGGAACTAAGATGCCTTCTGCGAGCTTGTTCTGGACGTTCGGTGCGAATGTGTCCCATGATTTCCGGTGACGTGCGTCGAATCCCCAGCCCGGAAACCCTTCTTTGATCAAGATGTTCACAAGCAGGCCATTGCCGCAGCCAATATCGACGAAACCCGGGAAAGGTGGTTTGTTGTTGCCTTCAAAAGTATGCGCGGGTTCGTCTCCTTGAGACTCAAGCGCGCTACAGTCATACATGTCCTTCCAGAGCTCGATGAGGAAAGAAGCGATACCGAGATCCTCGAAAACATGCTTTGCAGGGTCAGTGACTTCTGCCCAGCCTTCGATCAAGGACCTAGCATATGTGCTCTTGAGTCTTGCATATGTCTCTTGAAAGATCCTTTGTGTGACAACTTGATCATGGTGGACTCTCTTCTGATAGCCTGCTTGGTGGCCTCGACCATGCTTGTGAATCTTAGTCAGCAATTGCAAAGCTGTTCTCTCGAGTCTTGAATCAAGAGGTACGTCTGGAAACAGCGAGTAATGGACTGCGACGACACCGGTCTTCAATACAACCGACCAGTCGTGTGAGAATGCAACCGCTCGGACTCTAGGATGATACCATGGCATGGCTTCCGCATCTTCAACGTGAGGGACGTAAAGAATGACGTTCTTCTCCAAAGTGCCGTCCTGATGTTTGTAAAAGTGACATGTTTGTGGCAAATCTTTGTCGAGATGTCGATTTCGGGGGATGAGTTGTCGGACAAAAGTTCTATCCCAGGTGAGATCAGGGAGCTCTGTATACCATGGCCGATACTCTGGCTTCAGATGTTTCGTGAAGTCGCTGAATTGCGTGGTCGATGGTCCGTCGATGATGGTGTGATCAGCGTCGCTGTCATAAAGTATATCCGCTCGAAAGAGATGAGTGGACATGATGTTGGGGTTTTTTATCAAGTTGTGCATGACCTTGAGAAACATATCAGGTTCAAAAGTGCAATCACTCTCTAACATCGGCTGCCATTGTCCTCCTACCACATCTGGGTTGAACAGTTGCTGCGAAGGAGTGCGTGGACTGAAACCGCCCGATGGCACAGTTGCTTCTTTGGCCATGCCTCGTCGTAATGGAGTGCCACAATCGAAGATTCTATCTAGCGACTATCGTGTTGTGTGAGAAGACTCCTGGACGGACCAAGATGCAGAGTGCTAGGAAAAACGACACGGTGTGGCTTGGCGTTCACTAACCCTGGCGCAGACTTGCCCTTTTTTCTATCAATGTTCACTGCCTCCATCATACCCCACTTCGACCACCCTATGTTATATCAAGAACTTCACTTGAACCGATGTATGGCCTTGTCCGGACGAAATCATGTGATAGTTACGACAACCGGCATGCTTACGTTGTTGTGCCTCACCGGCTTCTGGACAATCGTTCCTCGCCTCACATCCTCCCACTTACATTTTTGCTCCAGCCTTCAAATTTTCTGACATATCAACTTTGTGCTTGAATTTAGTCTAGTGACGTGCGAGTACGGGTCGGACTGCTCTGCCAGACATGCGACACGCAAAGACTGGCCGCACACCAGTGGGACTATTCAACACCCAATGTGAATTTACATTCAAGGCGCTTCTTGGACTTCGCTTTGTCAAAGCCGTTCGAGTCAAAAGCACAATGACTGAAAAGCACTGCAAGCAGACACAACGGACGACACAGTGCCCAAGACGGAGCTAATCACCATTTGCGACAAAGAACTGGTCGACAAAATGACCTTCTTACAAGGCGCTATTTCCGATGCTCAAGGTTCCGCACAAAGAAATAATATGAACATTTTGTTCCGGTCACCTTGGTGAACATGTCAAAAGAAAGCTCAAGGATGAAGGTAGGTTATTCATCTTATCGGCTGTCGATACCACAAATGCATAAGACTGTATACCGCTTTCGCACCGCAATATTTCCCCAATCCACAGAAAAATGATTTATCAATACTCGGGTTTCATGTTCGTCTTGACACTCATCCTATCGCTTTTATCTCACGCAGTGGCCTCTGATGACTTCGGTACGGCTAGTAATACCACGATCGAGAAGCGAGGCGTCACTTTGACCCCGGTCATGAATGGCATGAACTTCCCGGATCCCTCGGTCATACGAATTGGCAATGAGTGGTGGGCTTTTGCCACCAATGGGTGGGTCAACGGGAAGCGTGTTCATGTTCAGATGGCCCACACGTTCGACTTCAACACTTGGACCAGCTTTGGCGAGCGAGACGCACTTCCCAACCTACCTAGCTGGGTCCATCCAGATAATCCTAAGGTTTGGGCCCCTGATGTTGTACAACTCGGTCCCGGACGATTCATCATGTACTATACAGCGGCGCTCAAGTCAAACCCAAGGTTTCATTGTCTCGGCGTTGCTTCTGCTCCTACGGTCACCGGGCCTTATACAACCATAGGTCCCGATCCATGGGCTTGTCCCACAGCTCAAGGAGGAGCGATCGATCCTGCTGGCTACTATGATCCCAAAGACAACACGCGCTGGGTCGTATACAAGATTGATGGAAATGCAATCGGACGAGGCGGGAGTTGTAACAACATGGTCAAGCCGATCGTTAGCACGCCGATCATGCTTCAGAAGGTGTCAGTGGACAACGGCTTCACTAAGATCGGATTTCCAACACCTCTTATAGTCAACGAGCCTGCCGATGGTCCTTACGTCGAGGCTCCAGCACTCACGAAAATGGCGGACGGAACATACGTCTTGTTCTATAGCCCGAACTGCTTCGTAACTCCGCTGTACGACGTTTCCTATGCAACATCGAAGAACATCCGAGGACCCTATAAAAAGTTCGGTGGCTTGATCAAAACCGGTACACATGGACTTAGAGCGCCAGGTGGTCTTGATATGGCCATCAACGGTGATCATGCGGTATTCCATGCCGACTGGAAAGATGGTCGAGCTATGTTTGTAGCCCTCATACGCGGCAAGGGTAGTCGATTACAGGTCTATGTCAAAGATTCATGATGTTATCAATTTCATTGACCGGACAGCAATAGTGTTAGATACATACATATTGTTTAGCTCTATTCACAATGGAAAAGCCTCTATGTTCAAAGTACGCAGCGTGATCCGCAATCTCCCTCAAGCCAACCATGACGGGGAGACGGCCAGCGCTCCGTGGCTCCGACCTCTCCGCATAGAACTTGACGGCCTCCTTCCCCAACAGCGTGTTTAGTGCCATCGAAACGACCGAGGGCATCAGCGGTCACGTCCAGAGGTCAGGCAGGTGGCCGAAGGTCGGCGGAGTCCTATGGAACGACACACGGAAGCCTTTTGCTCCTCTAGCCTTCGCATTCTTCGGAACTATCTCCGCCCTTTCCTCAGGTTTGACCGTCGTGGGTTGGACCTTTCTTTCAGAGACCTGTGGCACGTCATCGAAGCTCGTCGCATCTTGTTATCCTGGACACAGACATGAACATGGGCGACGGCAATACGCCTGCCGACTCGACTGGCTCAAGTGAAGCAGCCCGGGCAGCAAAGTCAGCTTCAGGAGTGACAGCGCAGCGACCAACCGAGGCGAGGGTCACTAAACCGAAACGAAGTGTTGTCCATGTGGCATGTGCTTGTTGCAGACGGCTTCGCATCAAGGTAACCGCACCGTATACCCCTCAAGGATGCTCGTTGACTCTTGATACCAGTGCGACGGAAACAGGCCGACTTGCCAACCATGCGCGAAGAGATATGAGGATTGCGTTTACGATGTCGAAGCGAACACCACCCGGTCGAATGCTTTGAAACGCAAGAATGAGGAGCTGACGAAGGAGAATGCGAAACTCCGCGAGCTGTATGCCTTTGTGCGCGACCGCCCACCACGAGAAGCGGAGGAGATCTTTCGTCGCATACGGACGACTCAGGATCCACTGGATGTCTTGAAGCACGTCTCTACAGCAGAGTTGCTCGTCGCCCAGGCGGCTACGTCCAGCTCGCAGACCCAGAATCTCGATACTCACACCACCACACTTAACGGCAAGCGTACTTCCAGACTTGGCTCCAAAAAGTACGATCCTGTCTACGACGATTAGTGACCGGCATGGTCCGTATGCAGGGAGACGAGCCCCTTCTCATTCAACGAACACATCCTCTCAGGTTACCTGGCGCTGCTCGTTTTCCATACACACTCCCAGTCGAGCCTGTACTTGACACGTCTTACGGACAATTTCATTGGACTCATCGAACCGCCAACTCCTCGCAAGACTTCGAGAAGGTGTGAGCTGTACCCAGAGGCGTATCTCAGCGGATGGTCGATCAGATGTTGATTGAGCAGCGGGAGGAGTTGAAAAAAGAGGAGGGTTATACACCAACAACGCGCATCGGTAGCTTCTAGGACTATTGCTCGAGCCAGCCGCTGCGTAGCTTTATCATGGGAAGGAAAAGCCACATAGAACGTCAGGGAATCGACACGCACACCTACCTGGGTTTATCATATACACACATTGGCTATGCTAAGCGGCAACAAGGGCCCAGGTGTGACGTGAACAGATACGCCACCGATCTCCTTTGACGCACGGATTGTCATCAGGCAGTTTATCATACCTTCTCTTAGGGACGCACATTACTGTGGGCTTCCGTGAAGCATTCTCATGCATTAGAAGTACTATTGTCATTCCTATCTGTTCGCAATAAGTAGCCTCAAGACTCGGTCCAGACAAAACAGAAATTACAAACCAGATCTATACGCTACCAAGGACCATGTACAGCCAGCCGATTACCAGTCTAACCTCCTGCAGGTGCAACCATGACCTCCTGCACCTTCTGAGGGGAGATTTCCTTCCCCAGTAGCCAACCGAAGCCCAAGAAGGTGTCCAGAACTGCCTTTTTACTGCCGTTCAGGAATGGCAGGAAGCCGAAATGTGCGTGAGGTAGTCCGGGCCAGATGTCGATTTTCGTCTTCACACCATTCTCCTTCAAGACTTCCTCATAGATCAACCCGTCGTCGCGCAGAGGATCCATACCATCCACCTGCACATAAGTGGGCGGTAAGCCCTTGTGAGGGTTCTTGCTGTTGAAAGGCGAGTAGAGGGCCGACGACTCGTCTGGCTCGAGATGAACTTGAATGGCATCGATAGCATTTTTGTCGAGGATAGGCGCCTCGGCATTCTGCTCATGCGAGAACCAAAGTTCCTTATACTTGTCAGGTACGAGCTCCTGATTAGGGAAAACGAGAGGAACACAAAGCCAGAGACCAGTAAGAGGATGTGCTAGACTTTTGTCCTCCAGGGTCTTCTGTGCAATGCACGCTGTCAGGTTACCTATGACATGTCAGAACACTCTTCATTACAGGGTCGGGCATGTTGTGCTGACCGCCTGCACTGATACCACCCAAGATGAAGCCTTTCGAAGGATCTGACCCAATGGCTTCTGCGTTCTTCGATAACCACAGCAGAGTGTCTTCAACATCGTTTGCAGCAGTTGGGAATTTGTGCTCCGGCGCCAACCTATAAGCGATGGTCACAGCGACCGCATCAAAGGCTTTAGCGAACCCACGGCCGTAAGGCGTGAGCTGCTGGTTGTTGCCAACCACAAACCCACCGCCATATACCAAGACAAGCAAAGGTCCTCCCGTCTTGCCCGCCGGTTTGTGGATCTTGATCTGGCTCTCGAAGCCATCCCTCATGGTGATATTCTTGAACTCTTCCTCGAGGTCGGGACCCGGTGGTCCCAGGGCGTCAAGCTTCTGCTTCTCCATCATCTCGCGCATGGCACGGAACTGCTTAATATTGGACCAGTCGCCCTTAGGGATGGTGTTCGTCTTGAGCCACTGCTTGGGTCAGCGATGTACCTGCCCTGCTCGAAACGATAAGACCTACTTCAGCGAGCTCTGGGTCCAGCTCTGCGAGCTTCGCAACTTCTTCCTTGGTCCTCATCGTGGCGGGATATGTATGCAGCTGTATACAACAACCAAGTGGTGATCGTGGTCTCAAAGTGCAGGGTATGCGTCTTTTCTACTCTGACCAGGGGTGACATTCTCTAGTCGAGACCGAGGAAGGCCTCGGCAGATCATTGACCGTTCTACTAAGCTTTTCGACCCCTCATCCATGTCAACGTGGGATTTAGCCTCGACATCATGGTGGTGACGATTGGCGGTATGATCGGCTTGACTGCCCCACATCCATCGTCGGAAGTCGGGGAAGTTGTACCACCGGGTATCGTGTCGCGCTCGTATCTCAACCACCTTTGAAACTGCCGACCCTGTCCGCAACTATCACTACGTTCGGCCAGTATACACACGAATGGCTTCTATGGGGAGTTTGCTGGGGCATCATTAACAGTGACTGACTACAGGTCGTCTGGCAAAGTATGAGACCTCGGCACCCGTCAAATATCCAATTCGATATCTGGCTGCCGCTTTATCAATTTCTACCCTTGTACTCTTCCACCAAGTCCTTGAAATGTTCGTCACCAGCGTCGGCTCTTTCAACAAACTTATCCCAATTCTCCATGATCCAAGCAGCATCTTGTCCGGCAGGAGGAATGTTCAAGCCTGCCTCCATACCAGCAACGATGGCTCCGTAAAACATGACCAGTCGCAGCTCTGTTCCTGGCACAATCGTGTTCCATGCTTCTTCCAAAGCATTACTCACAGCATCGTAGTCTGACTGTGTTCTTGAAGGACCATGGCGTACATAGGCAAATATACGATTGCTTTTATACTGTTCACCAAGCACTGACATTAGTATCCGACACCAAAGATTCTGCATACATCTGCTGCTAGGAAAGTTGGTGAGAATCGCGTACCTGTTTTCCGGCTACATATGTCCTGTGATTTGACACATCTGTTATGCGTACATTAACAAACAGCTTAGGGGTCGAGAATTGTTGGCTGTGAATCTTGGTGATTGCCTCGGCTAGCTGATCTTTCTGGTCGTCAGTCAACCTGGTGATGTGTTCAACTTCGTAGGCGGGCATGTTGGTGATTATTCTGAGGCTATGATGAGGTAGCTAGCAGTGAGTTGACTGTATGTGACGATCTCAATCGACTTGTGGGTTACCCGTTTATATGCTCCAAGGTCTCCAGTCGAGCGGAGCGGGGTAGCAGAAAAGGCAGTTTGTTGAATAATCACACTTGTGATTTGTGAGCATTCCGTCTATCGACCGAGTCTGTGGAACTCCGTCTTCTCGTTGTATGGTCGCTGCTCTTTGCTCATTGCTAAGCAGCCTGAGCTGCCAACAGACAGGTACAAACTGCTGCTCTGCTGACATGGTGCCGTACTTGCCACCCTTGACGAACGGCTTTTTTCCGTATGTGTGTCCTGCCTTCACGCGTCTTGTTCAGCTCTTCAACAGTTCTATGGTTGAAGAGGTCTGCCAGTACAAGCTTTGGGTATTGCAGTGTCGAAATCCAAGACGTTTTGTAGGGACGGACTTAAGTCGAACACCTTCGTGCAGAGCGTGTCCATCTGTGTCACTGTACAAATCCAGAACAATAGCTACATCTTGCATTCGATTGTTAAAAGAGTTCTGTATAGACGCGAGATGCTGCCTCCCCGTGTGCGAGATACTGTCACGCCGTCTCTCCTCGATGATTGACGCATGGCAACGACGATCTGTAGGAAGGCACAGTCACATCTCGTATCGATAAAGGTAGCGCAGAGTGTCAATGGCATGAAGTATCCCGATGATTTTGCTACAAATCTAGAAAGCATTGTGCCTCGGGACAGCTTCAAGTGTGACAGTATCTTGCATACGAGGAGGTGCAGCCATGCAGAAAGAAAAGTGCCCCTCTGCGGTGAAGTGCGCGTCTGCAACATCAGTTCCCAACGGTGAAGCATAATGTTCTAGAGGTTCAATCCAACCTTTATTCCAACCCATACCCTCATACCTACAACCATGTTTCCTACACTTGCGCTCAGAAATTTTGCTTGCCGTATCACGTTGTTCACACGCTCGAATTGCAAACTCTGCTCTGATGCAAAGGAGGTCCTGTCAAACGTCTGGGACAAGCGACCCTTTGAGTATGACGAGATCAATGTGATGGAGCATTTTGATCAGAAGTGGAAGAACATGTATGAATTTGACACGCCGGTGGTAAATTATGATGTCTCAAATGCGCTACCTTAGGATACTGACATCATCTCAGATCCATGTGGACAAAGCGAAGGAAGGCAATCAATTCAGCACGACAGGCGAGGCCAGAAAACTCATGCACAGATTCAAGGAGCATGAAGTCGAGAAATTGATGGATGAAACTATGCTGGATGCACCTTCTTCCTCCGCTTGACCTATTTTTTCTGGTTCCTGAGCTGTGTACCTGCCGGACTTGCAGCTAAAGGATGGCCGACGACGTGCGGGGCATCTGACTCACTTGTGTACGACGGCTTCGCTCCTTCTTTCCACCAGCTGCCAACTTTCTCAATTCAATTGAAGCATCAACAGAGTCCACTCTACGCTCTGGAAAGTATTGCATCAAACAACACCATCATCATCACAAAACACACGGAGAAAGACATTAGAGACGTCGTTCATCAGCAGTTCCTCAGACCCACTACTTCATACACCACTACAATTGATCATCACAATCATCATATCCATCACATTACTCAGAGCCAATCATGCAAGCAGCAAATCGCCTCCACAAAACTCTTCATGGCAATGCTCTCGCCCTCGGAGCCTGGCAAATGCTCCCCGGCTCAAACCTGTCACGTATCCTCGCCCGCACAAGCCCCAACTGGATCTGCGTAGACACCGAACACGGCAATATCAGCGACAGTGCTATGCATGAATCCGTCGCCGCCATTGCTTCCTGTGGTGTCTCCCCCATCGTTCGCACCGTGGCTAGTGAAGGCTGGATGATCAAGCGCGCTCTAGACGCAGGTGCCCATGGCATCGTGATACCGCAGGTAAACACCGTCGAGGAAGCCAAGAAAGTGGTCAGCGCGGCGAAGTTCCCTCCTCAAGGTGTCAGGGGATTTGGAAGTCCTTTTGCAATGGAGAGATTTGTGCCTAAAGGCGGCGAACCGGTTTCTGCGGCCGAATATCTGCAACAAGCCAATGAGGCCTTGATCACTATCCTTCAGATCGAGACGCTACAAGGTTTGGAGAATGTGGATGCTATCGCTGCTGTTCCTGGTGTGGATGTCTTGTTCATCGGTCCTTACGATTTGGGCAACAGTATTGGTTACCCTATCTTGGCCGATGGCATGCATGATGAACTCAAGGCTGCAATTGAGAAGATCCACATTGCGGCCAAGAAAGCTGGCAAGCATTCTGGTATCTACTGTACAGATGGCGATCAGGCAAGGCACTACGCAGACAGAGGATTCACTATGATCAGCGCCATGACTGATTCGCTGGCTTTGAGTCAAGGTGTGGCTACGGCTTTGGGCAGGGCAAGAGGTTCATGGGGTCATGCGGCTCTGCAGGGAGTTAAGCAAGGTGCAAGCAAGATTGTCTCAGCATCGCCCTACTGAAATCGCATGACAGGAGTTCTCGAGGCAGGAGCTGGACCTTGGTATTCGTTCGGACAGAAACAGAGCTAGTTCCCCTGCCATCACAATTGCAATCGAGACCACAAACACTCATTGCAATGCCCCTGCATGAAGGGGCTCCACCCGGATAGACAGTATAACCACAGGCGAATTTCAACAGTGCACAAGATCGGGTAACAAGGGCGTCGGGGAAAAAGGAAAAAAATTATTACAAAAGTTTCTATGCCCATGGCTGGCGCTCAAGAAGAAGACGTCGAACTTTTTGTGATCTGAAATAAAGCTCAGCGCTGTTTCGCCTCTTCTGGCTCGTATCTTCGAGCCTGTGTCCTGACATTGTAATGACGATATCCAAGCGGTACGCAACAGACCGTTTCGGTATGGTCTGTCGCGGCCAATTACTCTTCAGCCCATCTCCTTTCTCGCAACGCAGGCTCGCGGCCTTCTCTTTCCCTTGAACCGTCTCTTTCTGATTTCCAAGCCCAGTACTCGCCCAGACGGATATCAGCGTATGAAGCATAGTCAAAGTCAATTTGCGAGATGGTTGCTTGAATGAGGGACCATATACCCCAGTAGAAGCCTGGCAGACCGCGGAAAGTGTCGACTTGATCTATGAGTTGTTGCTTTTCGCGCTCGATGGTTTCTGAGTCGGATACAGGGGCGAAATTGCGGTATGAAGCGAGGTATTGAGCAATGAAGTCGGCACGCTGGCCACGGGTTGGCAGAACAGAGTAATCGCAGTCGAAGCCGCCCCACTCGGCAAAGTGGTTTGCAATGTCGAAAGCGGCGGGTGCTGGTGTTGCATATTCGTAGTCGATAAAGCTTACAGTCAGGCCCTTCCCGCCTTCCCGTTGGCCAGGGTGTACAATGACATTGCCGGATAGAAGATCGCAGTGAGCAAAGATATAGTCGTAGCCATCCAAGCCTGGTGTTTGTCCAAGCTCGTTTGAGAGGTGTGTATATTCTGCTTGTAGCATGTCCCTGCGCTCCTTCTCCTTCTGTGAGGTTACTGGCAGCGCGTGGATCCACTCTTGCATGACGGTCCAGAGACTCGGTTTCGGCCTCACATTTCCGGCCTTGTCAACCTGATGATCGATGTGTGATTTGTCTGCTACGTCACTTTGCTCTTGCAGTGTTTGGAGCGAACTGATGGCAGCGATTGGTAGTGTGCTGTGCCATTGACCGAGTCGTCGTGCAACGGCGCGGTATACGTCAGGTCTGCGGAGGTCTTCGGGACTGCATACGTCGCCCGCGATGTATTTGTACAGTAGACCGTTCTCGAAGCGTGCAAATAGCGGTGGCGCTAGTCCGCGGCCCGCGAGCAAAGAATGCGATCGAGTTTCTCCTGTTGTCAAAGTCAATTGCGTGTCGCACAAGTCGCAATTGGTAGAGACGTACTCTCGCGGTCTATCAGGACATCTGTTCCCTTGCCGTATGCCCTCAGGAGGATTGCGTCCGCATCAATGTCTTGTTGTGTGTATCCTGGTCGCTTCTTGATCGCTTTCATAAGCTGTGAAGGACATCATTTAGCTGGGCTCGCAGGATAGCAGTCAGGTGCTCAAGGCTTGCCTCTCACGTACAGTATTCGTGATGCCCTCAGTGAAGGGGATCAATTCAACCGGGCCTTCCGAGTGCTCCCAGTCGGGACATAATGTGTATATCAGGCGCAAGGCCGAGCGCTCGGAGTCGGTGTGATCGTAGCAGAGGTTGATGTGTCGGACGGCCATGGGAGAGTCTGCTCTGAGCAGGTGCAAGTCCATGTTAGAGAGTGTAAATTAAGGTGGGTAGGTAGGCAGGCGGGCAGGCAGTACAGGAGGCAGTGACCAAACAATTCTGGAAGAAGTTGAAAGTCTCTAGAAAATTCACAAGTAGGTCGCGAAAGATCCAGTCAAGCCATGCAGAAGCAGAAGCAGAAATGAAACAAAAGTCAAGGCGGGCTGCAGCAGTCGAGTTGTGGTCGTGTGAGTTGAGAGGGGCTCGGGAATTGGGATTTGGAGACGAGGGGCCAGTGCAGGATTCACAAGAGGCCACTTTGGTAGGCCCTGGACTGAAAGACGCGGCCTCGAACTTGCCTCGCTGCAAATCCCGCCAAGCCGGACCCTCTCCCCTTGTGACTTTGAAGCCTTAAGTCGACCTTCACCGTCTTTGGAAGGAGCAGAAAGGGGGCCTCGATAACCCCTTGACCCAACTCTCGTCGCAGACTCTGCTTGCTACAGAAACATTCAACCAGATGCTGTAGCTCTCTCGTAGGGTGCCTGTTCGATCCCTTCTCTCAAGTCGAAATTGCTCACTTCCTTTCCCTTGAAATTACCCGTCCAATAGCATTCTCCGAGGTTTCAAGCTCGGCCTTAGAATGACGCACTTCGGTCGAAACACCTCTATTTCCACGTGATTGGTCGATAAAGCATATTATTTGCATGTGAAAGTCCACCCGACCCGTCGCATCCTTCTGGAATATCACAACCGCTCCAATTATGATGTCCTTGCCATGGCCGTCGACCTCGTAGAACGCCACTGACTACCCTTACGAACGCCCTCTACGTCCCTGAGGTCATACCTCGCACTCTAGCTGGCTAAAAGCATCACCCGAGGGTCTTTTTGACCTTCTCCCGCACCTTGTGACCTGAATACCAGCCATTCCTCCATCCAGCAAACAGGCGCGTGTCACTGAGGAAGAAAACAACGACTATCGGAAGGACAATCACGATCTTCGCCAGCACCGGCAACATGAGCTCCTCTCCGTGCAGGAAAAATGATAATGAGGACATGATCAACATCACAATAATGACTAGAGCTATGCGTCGAATGGCTCATGCAATGTCCAACTGCTGTAGCTATAGCCCAATAAGAAACAGTCTCCGAAGCCGTGATCGTTTCTCCAGTCGCTATGATTCTTCTACATTTGAACGCTCAGTACTCTTCCACGCTACACATCTGCGGCTCAATCATAGGGGCTTGGGAGTGCTCCAGTATGACGCCAAGACATGTCCAGGGTGCTGACCTTGACAAGCATTTTCAGAACGTATCGATGCCTACCACCACCAATCAAGCATCTAGCTATCTGATAACCACTCTTGAGCTTTGGAAGTATATTATCATGAGTACACCCGAGTTTAGAGTGTACAGATCAAGTATTGATGGAATAATGGTAAGTATAGAGTTTTTGAACTTCGACTTTCGAGAACACTGGTCTGTACCACCGCAATTCTACCAACACATTCAGTCGTCAAGCAATCAGCGACAAAACAAGTGCGTCATTGACTGTCGTCCATGAAATATCTCATTCTTCTTCCTCATCATCAGATAAATCTCACAGACATTCGTTATGGGACAGCCACCGAAAACACCCACGACGTCGTCGCTCCGCGAGAGCTTATCTAAACACCATTGATGTAATTTGACGCAATTTGATGCACATTTGATACACCTTCGATATACCCTTGATACACCTTTGATATACTAATTGCTCATATATGTATCAAAGTCAGAATCGCTGGTATCCTGCATCGCTTCAGCTCGCTCGACCGAAGGACAGTACCTACTCGCATCAAGAGTTTCTCCCGCGAGACCTCTCATGCATATATGGTTGCAGCTGTTCGAATGCACAGTGATTTTTGATTCTGGTACCTTGGCGTGAGAGAGCAAATATTGAAAGAAAAAAAGTCATTGACTAAGGGTATCTAAAAAAACAAGAAATACATAAGGTCGTCATAATCATAGAATTCACTGCTTGTTTCCTTCCGTGGTAGCAGCAGCGGCGGCGGTAGGATCTGCCGACCAGTTCGCACCGATACTTCCAGCGACGATACCAGCCATGGCAGCGCCGGCCAATGCGGAGTTTGCTCTGCCACGCGAGCGACGACGTGAATCAGGGGTAGGAGGTGCGAGCGAATGAGCATCGCCCTCACCGTGCTCGCCACCAGGTGTCTGCGGTAAAGATATGCTACTACGCGATCTGGATACCGAGCGGGCTTGGAGAATAGCCTCACGCGGGTGCTTGATCGAGAACTTGATCTGGTTCAATCTTCCTCCCTTGAATCTCTTGATGAAGGCAAGTTCATCGCGAATGTCGAGAAGAGCCTGTGTGTACTCGAATGGACGTGCCTCATCCTCAACAGTGAGCTTTGGCGCAGCTCTGCGTTTGATCCATGCTGGGACCAGTGAAGCCACGAACGCGTCAGGAATCAGGCGGATGATGATACCGACTGGGATCGAGAGGGCACCCAAGCCTATCGAAATACCCCATTGCTCACCAGTAAGTCTGACAACATTGAAAGCTCTGCCACCAACAAAGATAATCATAACTTGCCCGCCGATCATAATTAGCGTAATGAAGCAGAAGAATTTGTTGCGTTGAACACCTTCGAAGATGTTGAACTTGTTGTCGAGACGTCTGTTGTTGAACATGTTGAAAATCTGCATCCAGACGAAGGTGTTGAACACCGTGGCGTTGAGTTGTTCACGTTCATCATCATCCCTGTAGCCGAGGATACCACTGCCGTTTCGCTTCTGACCGAAGTAGAGAATGTAGGTAACAACAAGTTGGTAGATGGCTTGGCCGAAGATCATCTTCCACATGTTCACGGTGATCAGTGGACTAGACTTCGGGGCGGGCTTGCGATTGATGATGTTGCGAGTTGGAGGGTCGGTTGCGAGGGCCAGAGCAGCAAACGTATCCATGATGAGGTTGACCCAGAGCAGTTGAACGGCAGTAAGAACAGAAGCCTCCTCAGAACTGGCCACAGCTGAGACGAAGGCCAACAAGACGGCGGTAATGTTGACTGTCAACTGGAACTGGAGGAACTTCTGCACAGCATCGTTGACGGCGCGGCCCCACATGAGTGCTTTGATGATGGAGGCGAAGTTGTCATCCATGAGAATGATATCGGATGCCTCCTTTGCAACCTCAGTACCGGCAATACCCATCGAGAAACCAACGTCGGCAGCCTTGAGAGCAGGAGCATCGTTGGTACCATCGCCAGTGACGGCGACGGTTTCACCCATCTCCTTCAGGCGCTTAACCAGGACGCGCTTGTCATCAGGCGAAGATCTTGCCAACACCTGTAGCCTGGGGATGACATCCAGTTGCTCTCGCTTCGACATCTTTCTGAAGACAGGTCCTTCAAGTGCGACACCGCCTTCAGTGTAAATACCGCACTCGGTAGCAATGGCCTTCGCGGTCATGATGTTGTCACCAGTGACCATGCGAGGGAAGACACCCGCAGTGAGACAATCGATGACAGCCTCTGTGACACCGTCGCGTAGAGGGTCCTGAATACCAATAACACCGAGGAAGGTCATGTCCTTCAAGACGTCCTCGAACACGGCTTGAGTCTTGTCGTCCTCTGATCGGCGGGCATTCTTAGGAGGCCACTGTTCAAAGTCTCTGTACAGCATTCCGATCGTTCGGAGCGAGTTTGAGGCATAGTTATCGATGAGGTGATTGAGCATAGTGACGTTGTCGTTCGACAAAGCCACGCTCTCCACGCCCTTGCTCGGATCCCTGATTATGTTTGTGCATTGCTTCAGCATGATTTCGGAGGCGCCTTTGACGAGGAGACGATACTTGTCGCCAACCTTCTGAACAACACCCATGCATTTTCGGCCTGAATCGAATGGCATGAATTGAACCAGCTCCGAATTCGAGCGTTCTATGCTGATTGAGTCCATTGCAAGGAAATCGCGAGCGAAGGCCAATAACGCTGTCTCGGTTTTTGAGCCGATGAATGCGGCCTTACCACCTTCCTCGCCCTCAAAAGCAGTCGAATTTAACGCAATCGACGCTTTCAATAGATTCGCGACGTCTTTGTTGAGCGTGCCAGCGAATTCGAGGGTGTCAAGGCTATCGACGTCAACTCCGTGCTGAGTTGAATCTTTGCTAGCCTTTGCGCTGAATCGAGACGAGGTACCTACGGCACCGGCAACGACGGTCATGACGTTTTGGGTGAGCGTTCCGGTCTTGTCAGAGCATACAGTTGTAGCGTTACCCATGGTTTCGCAAGATCTGAGCACACGAACAAGGTTGTTGTCCTTGGTCATACGCTTGGTAGCGAAAGCCAAGGCAAGAGTGACAGCTAAAGGAAGACCCTCGGGGACTGCCACAACAACGATGGTAACAGCAACAATCAGGATGTTGAGGAAGTTCTGAGCCTTGTCGGAAGGGCTTCTATCGTCTCCGGGAAGCTTCGCACAGAACTTGATCAGAAGAACGATGAACAGCAGCAAGGCAGCAGCTCCACCAAGCTTCGCAATTTGCTCCGCGAGCACGTTCAACTTGGATTGCAGCGGTGTGACCTCGCTGTCTTCGCGAAGAGACATCATGGTCTTTCCGTAGCTCGAGTTGACACCAGTTGCAACAACAAGGAACTTGCCAACGCCCTCGGTGACCTTGGCGCCAGAGAGAATGAAAGGATCCATCTTTCTGAGTGGTTCCTGAGCTTCCATTGCACGCCAGACCTCCTCAGAAGCACTCTTCTTGATGATGTCAGATTCACCGGTGGCAGAAGACTCATCGCATTTGATACCGTGACCCTCAATAAGAATACCGTCGACAGGGACCATGTCACCAGGCTCAAGGAGCAAAACATCACCAGCGAAGATGTCGTGAACGGAAATTTCCAGAGTCTTGCCAGAGCGAATGACTTTGACGACACGGTTGTCCTTCTTTTTGTTGAGCTTGACGAATTGACGCTCCTTCTGCCAGTCATTGAGAGCTCCGACCGAAACGACGATGACGATCGCAACAATAATAGCCACGCCTTCAACCCATTCGACGGGCGGGTTACCGGGCTCATGCTTCTGGCCAAAGGTCTGGTACAGTCCAAGGGCGAGAGAGATGACAGCGGCTCCAGTAAGCAAGAGCAGAATCTTGTCCTTGTAAGCCTCCCAAGCTAAAAGCCACAGCGGCTTAGCCTTCTTCTCGGGCAGGCGGTTGTCGCCAAAGATGCGAACGCGGTCTGAGAAAGGGCCACTAGCAGATGAGGCAGCACCGTCACTCTTGTTGACGAATTGGGCGTTGGGATTCTCGTGGTCAGTGGCCTCTTCAAATGAGACGTGGCCATCAAGGTGTTGCTCTTCCAGACTCAGACCAGTCTTACGGTCAGACCTGAGACCCTTCTCAATGCCCGAGATTCCTCCAAGGGCGTGGAATGCACCAAGACTTTTTGGGTTGAACATTCTACCCATCTGACCAGGGGTAAATGCAAAGGGGTTGTTCTCTCTGGTGAAGTCGGCCTCGGTACCAGGGTCGGGATGTAGAGCCTCGCTAGCACTGAGGACCTCGGGGCCGCCATGGCTGTCATGTGGGCCGAATGCTTTGGGAACTCCATGCTCAGGTGTGTTGACGAATGTTGTTGTCGAAGTTGTGCCTAGGGTATCGAAAGATCCGGCACGCGAGCGTGCAGGAGGGACAGACAGGAAGTTTTGGTGGCTTTGGGTCGGTGACGAGACATTGTGAGGAGAAGTCGGTCGGCTCTCGCGGTCGTTGTCAAAGGAGCTCGAAGGACGTAGTTCAGTGGGTGGAGTCTGATATGAAGTATCGATGGTAATAGTCGGTGCCCTACGGCGGCCCTGGACAGGGTCGTCCTGTGCGGACATGACTTCGATTGACTGTTTGTGTTATGTACGATGATAAAAAGGTGTGTGATAATGTGGATTTGAAGTAGCAAAGTGTTGATGGTGCTTTGTCAAATAGTCGATTGGAAGGCGACAATTGTTGATGATGACGAGCCGAATAGCAAGCCAACAGTGAAGCCCAGCAGCAACTGGCAGGGACGCAGCTTCCTAACTAACTACTTTCCCGACTTTACATGTCGCATGGTGGTGTAGTGATGGCGGAGTACGCCAAGAGCACTGCCCCAAAAGATGAAAGCGCTAATTAGCGTGAGGCTTCTCGATCGTCCCTTCCCGCCTTGGCCCCCTGTCAAAGAGCCTCATCGCCGCTTGCAACCTTTGAGCAAGCGAACAGTTATTTAGATGCGATAGTGTGCTCTCAGATGCCTCCAAGGGTGATATTGTGACTGTGGCAATGCAGAGAAATTCCGCGGAACAGAGCAACAACTGCTAAGAGTCGACGCTTGGCTCTCTCTCAGCGCACAAAACACTGTAGCCGAAAAGCACCGTGCATTTTCATAGACCGTACATCGTTCTATACAGCCGGTGAGAGACGTTGCAGTAGCAGAGGCAAGGTTTGACCTGGGGGCTGTGAGTCCACCGCGGACAGGAAACTCGCTTGGCGGGTACCATCTCGCTCCAGGAGATTCTCGTAAATTGCTGCAGGCAAGTCAAAGCGCTCTGGGCGACGTTTGATTGTTTCTGCTGCGATGCCTTGGCTGTAAACACACAGCCACTTGACAGTAGTGGCGCTTTGGTGCGACTTCATCGACCGACCCCGAGGACCTGTCTTTCACCAATCGAGCTTGGTCTTATGATGCATAGTGACTTTTACTTTCGGTGTTTGCCTCGTACATGCTGTGCTTGCGCCATACATTGTGAACTCAACACCTGCCCCATGCTCTACGTGATGGCGTGAGGATAATATCTCTCTCAAAGACGACCTGCTTGATGCGTCCGAAGCTTCGATAGGCGGGGCCATGGCATCGGAAACACAGCCCCCAGCCAAGGACAATAGGCATACCACAATGTACTCCGTATCAGACAATGAAGTCAGCAATCTCTTCGGCTTGTGCTTACCCACACGCCGTACTCGTTCATAGTCTCTTTCGTAAGAGTTGGTACTTCTGTCATAATGAGAGCCGTCATGATCCATGTTTCGCCATCTCAAGGAGCAGTCGATAGGGTTTCTATAAGCTTAATTCTAGCGACTGCGGTCGGCTAAGCACCCGTCGCGCTCATCATCATGCGCCAAATACTCTTCGCATCAGGTACGGCGCGAAAAGGTCAACACCAGGCGATTGTACACATCTTCCAACACGGTTACCCGCATTGGGGCTTAGCCAGTTGCCCGCATCACCAGGGATCTCACCCTCGCCGTCGTCCGGAGCTCGCTTTTTACGGCCGCGTGTGTCGACCACCGTCATTCCCCGTGTCCACTGACCTGTCGTCTCGATTCTGATGTCTTCGTTCTTCTTGATCTTCCATCCCGCATCATCGTGAGTCATTGCATACCAGATACACAGAGGGTCATGCAATTCAAGGCCAACGGCGTCGCCACTGATTCCTTCCATCAACGACTCTATCTTTCCAAACGTCGAGTTCAAGAATGCTGCGGCCCATTCCGCCAAGGGTGATCCAGCCTCAATCAAGGGCTGAATCGTCTGTTTGACCTGGCCTCTCGTAATCTTGTGAGGCGTAGTGATATCCAGAGGAAACACGGTAAGCTTGAGTTGCCTCGACAGCTTGTCCGGATAGGGTGCCAAGTGAGGCAGTGACTGCGAGCCAGGCAGTGTAGGAGGCGATGGTGGAATCGTGGAGTTTGGGGTGGGCGAAGTAAGAGCATAGACACGAGCTGTGGCAATGCTGTCGGCGTATGTATTGAATTCGGCCACAGGGGTCACCTGGTTACGGACATTTAGATCTGTGCGCAAAAAGGGTTGTGGAGCCCTTGTCAGGTGAAGGGGAGGCTCTGAGATCGGAGCGGAGAGCAAAGACAAGGGGAAGGAGACTACTTACATTTCCTGCTTCACTGATGGTATTTCCCATCACAATCACTTCTTTGACGCGCAAGAACGTCTCGGGATCTTGAGCTGCTGCGATGGCCAGGTTGGTCAGGGGTCCGATTGCAACAATGGTAATGGTGTCAGCTTCATTTTCCTTCAGCAGACGGAGAATTTCTTCGTGCGAACGTCGCTGAGAAGGCTTGAACATCGAAGCCTCACGGACTTGCTGAGAAGTGGTAGTCGCCTCCGGTGAGAGAGGTGCCGCCCCAGCCGCATCAAACAGCATCTTCCATGTCTCTTGAGGAGTCAGATGAGGATGCTTCGGTCGTGTCAGCCATACCAGTTATCCCTCATGCTCAGGCTTCCAATACTTACACTGGCATGAATACCCCCAAGACCATCTGTACCGTCTGATCGGAGGTTAGTCACCTGTCCATGGGAGCTTTCTGAAAATACTCACGGAAGAAATCTGCCATCATGAGCTGCTCAGCCAGCGGTTCTTCTGCGCCAACAGCGACAAGAGGTTTAGATGCTCTCAATGTCTCGAAGCCCAGCTCCTTTCCATTCTTGCTTCTCCATTCGATCTCTCTTTCCATATGGTGGAAGAGTGAAACTGCATTGCGGAGGCAATTTTGAACATCGATATTGCCAAACGTCAACGAGATAAGAAGAACGTCGATCTCATCGGGGGTAGCGGAGAATGCGAGAAGCATAGCCAGAATATCGTCGACACCCTAGAGTATGTATTGGCTTAAAATGTCCATGAATGTAGGCGTTATGCGGACGGCAAACGTACAGGGTCGGTGTCGATGATGATCCTCTGTTTTGGCGCCATGGTTGTTTCTATGCGTGTATGTTCAGTGATTTGTACGGCGTGATGATCTGGAACAGATTGTTTGTGAGGTTCAACACAGTATGTGCAATCACGATAGGTGTTATCTAATTATATGTTCTCGCGAGAATGATAGATGCTCGGTGACAGAAAGCTTGACGTTGGCACCCGCTCTTTTGGCCTTCCTACAGTAAATCGTCCTAGCATTCGATTTTCTCATTGGAAGGCTAACGAGAACGCGAGGGAGGCGATTCAGAGGATGATTCGGAGTGTATTATAGTGTCCTGTCTACAAGTCTTCCAGTCCTGCAAACGAATGAAGACATGGACCTCAATAAATTTGACTGCGTTCAACGACAGAGTAGTTCCAGCTGCCCCGGACGACACTGTCAGCACAGACCACGTTGAGACGAACAAAACTTTGCGTCTCCCTTGATATCCTTCTTCTTTCTTCAACAATGTCTAGTTGGTCGTCTTTAGAGTCTCGGTACGACTTTTCAATGTTTGTACAGGTCCATGAGGCCTCATTCAGCGTGCTCCGACGGCCACAGAATCAAATACGCCTTCTGTCCAATTGTATCTATCTTTCTTCGGGAAGAGATGGGAATGCAGCATGGACATGGGTGTGAAATCTCTATCTTGTATATACAAAATCTTCGTGAGTTCAAACGATAAGTGCAGCACGCGTTCACTTGACACCCTGTGCGCGCTGTCTCATCTTCAGTCTGAAAGCAACGGACAGTCAACAGAGGGAACCTTGTGAGAAAAGAAGTCGTCGAGAGTTCTTACCTTAAAAGACCAGCCTTCGGACAACTTACGGTCGATGCGTTATCACCATTCTTCTCGTAGAAGGCATTGCAGCACTCGTACAAAGCATCGATCTTTGCCTAATCAGCAGACTTAAGGTGTGCATGGATTGAGATCGACGTACCTGCTTCTGGCATTTGCTTTCGTCGAAACCGTTTTTCTGTATGCAAACTGCTGCCGTGTGAGTAGGCTCTCTTGAGGCACCAGATACTCCAACACACCTTGTATTGCACACGCGCGAGGGTGACACGGGGGGTCAATCTTGAGATCCTGCTCTATACCCTGCATAACATCTTCAGTTTCGGTGATTCTAAGATTTTGCGTGAAAGTGTCTTTGTCTTATCCACAGCTGGTGATGACTTCATACCATGATCGAGCTTGCGGTGGCAGTCGTGAGAGCCTTGGAGAATTGAGTGGTGAAAGGAGAGAGGAAAGTGAAGATTCAACGAAGTCACAAGACAGTTCTAGCAATTTCTGTGAAACGTCGAGTCCTTGTATGAGTGATGGAGTATGCGACTTCCAGGTGCTTCAGAGGTGGGCTTTTGACCAAATGGCCCTTGAGACAAAAGACCCCGCGCGCGTCTTCAGTTGAGCGCGAACTGGCGTCACTGCCTTTTCCTTTTCACCTTCAACTCCCCAACACCTTCCGCTTTCACACCCGTCACTTTCATCAAGGTACTTCGCTTGTCCACCAACTCTTCTCGCTTCCCGACTACCAACCTCACACACCGCAGCTCTCTATCAGCTTCCTCAAACTCAGCACTCTCAAGCCCGCGCCACCACAGGAGTCGACGGCGATCACATCAGTAAAGCCGCACCCTCGCGATCGCTCACGGTACATTCTCCCACCCACAACTTCACCACCGCTTCTGCACGACAGATCCATCTAACAAGAGATCGTGGGACTAGAAACAAACATGTCCGACACTGGATCACCCCCACAGAAGCCCGAGGGCGGCGAGCACCTCAACATTAAGGTGACCGACAACAACAACGAGGTCTACTTCAAGATCAAGCGTACCACTCAGCTCAAGAAGCTCATGGACGCCTTCTGCGAGCGTCAGGGCAAGGCTCCTACCAGCGTGCGATTCCTCTTCGACGGCCAAAGAGTCAACCCAACAGACAACCCGGAGACTGTACGTTTGCTCGACACGCGTCGCTTCTCCCAAGCGTCCTCTTCATCGCACTTTTACTAATACGATACCTTTAGCTCGACATGCAAGACGGCGACACCCTCGAGGTCCACCAGGAGCAGATTGGCGGCTGCTGATCACCTTCACGCGCCATGAACCACCATACTCAGCCATACTCGACGGAGGTGCCTATACAAGCATCAACAATCGGAGGAAGGAAAGGGCGCACTATCCAAATGCAACTTGGCGTTTTCCCACCAAGCCGGAGTTTTATTCAATGAAGGCGGCCCGTCTATACCAGCTCGAATCGGGGCCTGCGCCTTGTGCCAGTGTCGACAGAGCGACACCATATTTTCTTTCCCTCGACCCGTATTATACTCTTCTTTTCATACAAGGCTTGCAAGAGCGGTCAACGCGTCATGGAGAAATCTAGAATGATGTTGAAATTTCGATTCCTGTGCCCTCTTTCGGTGTTTCTTTGCTAAATTGCCTGACAACTTCTGTGATAAACCCTGTGATGTGCTTTCTTTGCTCAGACCTTCGCTGTGAACTCCCCGGCTAGCTGTTCTTTGCCCGCCTGGTATGCTGACCGCTGGCGTTCTGCTTCCCGGCTAGAGTGGCTTGCATACATCCTGATGATTCAACTTCCTGATACCGGTCTCGCTTGAAATCAGTCTTTGCGTATCGTTGGCAATCAGGTGCAACTCAGGGCAGGTCCTCGCTTCCAGCGAGCCACACTGTAGCTCAGAAGCGCCACAAGACCTAGCGGTCCTGAATCTACCATGGCTTTAACCTCTCGAAACTGCCATCTGGTCTCAAATATGTGATTTCCATCGTCTCTTGTCTCGTGGCCTTTCAATCGTCCCAGATAGCAGCCTTTGCCTTTACAGCATCTTCCTCAGCCTTCTTCTTGGCTTCCCTCTCCAGATCTCGCTTCTTTTTCTCTTGCTCTCTCATTGCTTTGTCGTAAGCTCTTTGCTCCTCTGTCCTACGAGGGACTTTGACTCCTAGGGCACCAGCGATCAGACGGTGGGCCACAGCATTGGTCTTCTCAGGGCGACGTTCGGAGGACGTGGTGGATGAGGATGTGGTGCTTCGAGACGGTGGAGTTGTGCTGCGAGTGGGAGGCGAGGGAGCGGCCGAGCGGTACTTGAGGTGAGGTGGGAGATAGGTAGACTTTGGCACTGCGGCTGGTTCTTCGGTAGACTTGACTGTGACCTTTGGCGATGAAGGAGTCGAGATATTGTCAAGATCTTTCTCGGACGCGACTTCTTCTTCCCACGAATCCGCTACCTCTGTTTCTTTCTTTGCTGGTTTGCTGAACTTGGTGTGAGGAGCAGTGCCTCGAGTTGCCGCATTGGGAGTGTACTCCGCTTGATTACTCTTCTCCTGGAGGGCTGTGGGCTCAGGCTTCTCAATCGTGCGGTCCGAACCAGTAGGAGTCACAGGTCCACCAGCAGTGGTCTTGGTGAATGTGGCAGAGGGCTCGTCGTCCACAGCCTTTCTAGTTATGGGTGTGCTGGTCTCCTGTGACTTGTTTGCTTGGGCGTACTTTCGGTGAGGAGGCGTATAGCGAGGCGCGTCGGCGTGACGTTTGCCGTTCACAGACATCTTCTCCATCTTCTGAGAGAGTTTGTTGGTCGACTGAGAGCTCGCCATGACGAACTTGTTGATCTGACGAAGAGATTAGGAATGCAAGATCGAAAGGAAGACCAGTAAATATAATTGAGCAACGATCCAGCAAACAATAGAAACCAAAGGGAAACCAGCAGCTCAAATTTATTGACAAAAAGTCTTTGGTATGCGACCCCAAGCCAGAAAGTGAAATCGCAAACTCTAAACCGGACCCCACGTTTGGGACCGAACTGTGGGGATCTCAAGACCTTGGCATCACCGTCACTGACATCATGCTCCAATGATGCTTGCAAGAACTCGATGCGGTGAACGATAGTTAACTATAAAGACTCTCGAGGGTTTCGATCTTAGGCGCAGACACTGCCCCTAGTCATGACAGCGTACACACTGCGCGTATCCGACTGGCCGGACGGATAAATTGCCCTATGAACTCACCAGCTCCGGCCTCGGCCGGGAAGATCTGCTGGTTGCCGAAACTCCACTCGTTCATGCCGACAGTTTATATACTGACGTGCTTCTCCGCAACGACAACTATTCAACTCACAGAAGTCCAAGTGAACGAGGAGAGACCACCATGCCTGTTCCCCGGTTGACTTCCAATCTCATTCGATCATCGAGGACACGGCTCTTCTCGTCCTCGGCTGTGAAGCATTCTTATGAGGATACGGTACAGAACTTGAAGATCGGAAAGCATACCAGAGTCCTATACCAGGGTTTCACTGGAAAAGTCGCGACTCAAAACGCAAAGGAATCCATTGAGTATGGCACCAACATTGTTGGCGGTGTGAAGCCTGGAGGAAGTGCAGATCACTTGGGCTTGCCAGTTTTGTCCACTGTGAGAGAAGCGAAGGAGCAGTTAAAACCTGACGCTACTGCCATCTATGTTGCCGCCCCCCATGCTGGTAAAGCAATTGAGGAAGCCATCGAAGCAGAGATCCCATTGATCGTCGCGGTTGCTGAGCATATACCTCTCCATGACATTCTGCGGGTACGTAGCAGCCTTACATTTAGCACTAAAGGAATCTCACACTGACTTTCCTAGATCATGTCTATCCTCAAAACACAATCGAAAAGTAGGCTAGTCGGTGCCAATGCGCCTGGCATTATCTCAGCCATCGGGAAATGCAGAATTGGGTTTCAACCATTACCGACATTCTCTCCTGGCCACATTGGCATCGTAGCCAAATCAGGAACTTTGAGTTACGAAACAGTAGCCTCGATAACACGTGCTGGACTTGGCCAAAGTCTATGTATCGGTATGGGTGGAGATGTTGTCGCAGGCACGAATTTCGTAGATGCTCTGCGAGTCTTCGAGACAGATGTTGACACCGAAGCTATCGTTCTTGTTGGCGAAGTAGGTGGAAGTGCTGAGTTAGAAGCAGCAGAGTGGATCAAGGATTATCATCGCCGCGAGAAGAACCCAAAGTAAGTTCTTCCGAAGAACGGTCGATCATGAGTTGCTAACATGCCTTGTAAAAGACCAATCGCTGCTGTTGTCGGAGGTAGAATGGCGCCGCCCGGGAGAGTGATGGGACATGCAGGTGCTTGGGCAGGTGTTGGCGAGGCCACTGCAGAGGAGAAGTACAAGATCTTGCAGAACGCAGGCGTTACCATGGTGGACCATCCTGAGAAGTTCGGCAACGTTATGAAGACTTTACTGAAGCAAGCTGGAAAGGATGTAGGAAAAATTCAACAATCTGCCGCCGGCAACCAGCGCAGAAGCATGCATACTGCGAGGCGACTGCGACCAGCAGTGACCAAGGAACTCCCTAGAATCAACACAAGTCAGCAGAGGAGCTTACATCTTCGGAATCAAAAGGCTGTCGATCACCTCAGCAAGTCTCTGGAAAGCTTCACTATCTCTGAAGAGACATCAAATGATACAGACAGCGTATACTTGAGCATTTCTGTTGATCGCTCGAGTCGCGAACCATGCGTCATCGCGTCCCCATCTACGAATCCTCGCAAGCTTCACCACCGTCTACGCCGCTTCCCCTACTCCTATCTCAAGGGACCTGACCAAAAAACCATTCAAGCGGCGATCGAGCATCTCCAACTCGACGCTGCGCCGCCAGCTGCCCATGCTCAAACCGCAAAACTCATCTCCCGTTTGGCAGAACTATACCGTGAGCAAGAGGCCGTGAGTCTGGCCGTCAATCTCTCAGTATCGTCTTCAGGCTCCCTCCACCTCTCGCAACCTCAGTTGTTCTACGACGATGCAGCCTTCAAGTCAAACAAAAGGCATTCCGAACTTCACGCTCTCCGTGACGTGTCCCAAGAATCTACCGTCGAAGTCGAAGCCGAAAAATCAGGGATTGTGTTCGTGAAATTACATCCTGATGACGACAGCGCCAACATCGGAACATTGGTGAACGGAGCAGGACTCGCCATGAACACAGTCGACGCACTTGCTCTACCACCTCATAATGGTAAATGTGCCAACTTCCTCGACACCGGTGGTAAAGCAACCTCAGAGACCGTGAAGACCTCCTTCGAGTTGATCCTCAGAGACCCTCGCGTCAAAGTGATCTTCGTGAACATCTTCGGTGGCCTTACTGATTGTGGCATGATTGCGGATGGAGTGATCATGGCTTTCGAGAAGGTAGATATGCAGGGCAAGCCAGTGGTTGTAAGGCTGAGAGGAACAAACGAAGAGGTGGGCCAAAAGAAGATTGCTGAAAGTGGACTGCCCTTAGAAGCATTTGATGGGTTCCATGAGGCTGCGCAGCGAGTCGTCGAGTTGACCCAAAGCACATGAGTATGCGACCGTCTCATCCGACTCCGAGGAGTCAACATTCTGGTTTCGTCATCAGAATTACATACCCAGACTTCTGAGCCTACTATAGAGGTCAACTCTCACATTTGAGCGTGTTCGACCGAATGACACTGTGCTTTTGGTCAGGCTACTACTTTGTGGAGCAATAGGGGCAAAGTTGCTGCAGTCTGACTGCAAGAGCATTTTACAGCATCTTCTTCTACAGGACCATGAATTTACCCCAAAGTCAATTTTCCAATTGCCATTCAATCTTCACACCCAACTTCCAAAAACCGCTATCCACAAAAATACACCCGAGCTCCCAACCTTGCGGCTCTCCACATTCTATCATGAGGCCCTTCCTTATTCTCGTAAGCACTGCCGCTCTAGCGCTCGCCAACCCCATTAACATACTTGCTCACGATGCTCGGGAGAGCGAACTTATTAGTGGCAGGAATGTCGAAAGTCTTGACGCGAAGAAGGAGCTCAGTAGATGGACGAACCTTCACCCCCGCAGTCAGTATTTGATAAGTAAGACCCTGTTTCGTTATCATGTTGTTGAAAGGTGGTTCAATCCTTCTCCGCTACATAGTGAGATTGAACAAGGGGGACTTAAAATTCTATCGCCAAGTGCTCACATACAGACATGCGCGTGCTTCAGCTGGATCAGGCATGGACTGATGCTGGAAAGCTCCTGCCTTCTCTGCCATGACGACTACGAATCCAGCAATACTCCTCCCGATGCAAACAGTCAACATTACTTCCTTGACTGCTTCCATCGGTATCCAAACTCTTGTCTCGCTGCACGCACCGTCATCTCAACATGGAAATCATCATTCTCATTAGTACCGCTGTACTGGTGGCCGCAAGCCCACGCAATGTGTTCACCCTCTCTCCTCGTCAAATTGATGACCGACCTCGTCGGAAACATTGAGCAGACCTGCTCCAACCAAACTTTGATCAATGTCCGGGCCATAAATCGTCTCCATCGAATCAACGATGCCGCTGTCTAAGAATAATCAAACGAGCTGGTTGGCAATCACTGATGCGGACAGGAAAGACATGGTATATCTTTCCACCATATCAGGCAGGATCGCGGAGACAACCCGCGTGATGAGAACCAGTACTGATGAATCCTCTCGCATCCCAAATAAAAAAGTATTTTCCTTCACCACGAAACTCATCCTCCTCTTGATCGGTGAAGTGGCTCTGACATTCGCCGCACCCTTGAGAACAGATCGCCGCAATATTGCCAACGAAAATGACCTCATCTCCAACCGCGACGACGAGCTCGACTCTCTGCCTTGAGCCTATCAACTAGAGATATGGCCACGCTTCGTTACAATTGGTGCTACTCTGCTCAAGACCGAAAGATGGTGTGAGTGATATAGCTCAGCAGACAGGAAGGAGAGACTCAAAAACACACGTGCGATCATACCATCGAATCTCAACTCAGAAGTCGAAAGAACATCATCTAATCATGCGCAAAAAATATGCTCGAGCAACATTTGAGTCCATTCCTCCAGTTCGAAAGTCTCTGACGCACATCCGCATAATAAGTGCTCTGCACACAACTGTTTCCCCTTCCCATCCTCCTCCGAACCTCCTCTTATTATCATCAAATCATTCTCCACGAACATCAACTATGAAGCTCCTCTTCATCCTTCTCGGTGCAGTCAGTCTAGTAGCCGCCGCCCCAATCCGCGACTCTCAAGCTCTTGATGACTGGGACTGCAACTGGGCATGCAAGTTGTTCATCTCTTGGCCACCATCGTCAGCATCTTCTGCCACCTTGAGCGAAAACGAAAAAGAAGAATTCAAGATCGAGAGCGCCCGACGTCGAAGCACAGTGAATGAACTCCACGTCAATGGAAGACCAGGGACGTTTGCAGAGAGAGCACTTCGTAGGGCAGGGACAAGGTTGCGACGAGACATGAATGCTGGTGTCGCTGAAAGAGTTTAGTCAGCCTTGGAAAATATGATCGGAGTCGATCACTTTGTCAGCCGTTTTACTGCATCCAGCAACAGCGCAAGGGACGGTCAAGGAGGTGCCTCTCTGACCTTATAGAAGCGTGAAGCGTAAAGCTAGGTACAGTTGCAACTAAGCTAGCTTAGACGTCAAAAACATATTTCCTGATAATGCTCAGACAACATCTCCCCACCTCTACCAACCTTTGCGGATATCTTGTAGGCACGGGGAGCTTTGACCTTAGGATTATATAGATGGACGATGTCCCGCACAATGCGATGTCCTCCCCTCATCCCCTTAGAAACTTCTTCTTGCGCACATTAAATTATCAACCATGAGACTCCTACTCCTACTCAGCGTTATCGGTCTGGCGACTGCAGTCCCAATCAGCGACTCTCAAAATCTCCAGCCTGCCCCGTCCGATGCTTCGCTCTAAGCCAGCGACTCTCAGGCCCATCAAGCTTCTTTTGACTGCGACTTCTTCTGCTGGTTATCCAGTTTCTGGCCACCATCACCAGCAGCTTCCACCACGTTGGACGTGAACACAAAGGAAGAAGCCAACGTCGACATGAGCAGTGTTTGAGTAGAAAGCTTTGTTCCACGCAAGACGAACGATAAGGGATGATGGATGTTACAGAAGAAGTTCAATGCTTGGAGATGCTCCGACAACCAACTTACTCCAACTGTTGCCTGAGCGCACTAATACATCAGAGCACAACAGGATTGTGGAGTGAGCGTGTACCTTGAGTTTTCTGCTCTCGAAAAGTGTGGTTGAGATAAGCTCAGATGTGAGTGATATTGGAAGGTTTCATAGAAACATGTATCTTTCGTAAAGTCACCCGACAGTCTGGATATCTGACATAAAACCGCAACGTATCCTTGAAAGATTGAGTCATCACTTCTTACTCTGCTTCCTACGTGCTCTTCCCGAACGCAAGGCATTACTCTCTGCAGTTCTCCAGCATCTGTCATGAGACTTGCCATCATCCTTAGTATCGCCACTGCATCAACAGCAGTTCCGGTCAGCCAGGAACATCTCCATTTCCTGAATCGATGCGGTCCATATGATACAGATTGTCATGAGATACTCCAGACATGACCAACATCGACTCCCACACCAACATCAACTGCCACCCATATGATTCAGACAAACGATCAAGTCGTCAAAAGAGGTTGAGGTGGTCTCGGGTCAAAAGGGACTGTGTGGAGCCACCCAAAGCGTGAGACGAGGTGTTCAAGAAGCTTTCTACCATTGGTTGAACGCATCCTTACGGTCCAGTGCTTGAACGAGGGAGTGAAGCTAAAGTCGATATTTTCTTCGGAGAAAGCGTTGGTACTTGGGGCTCGAGTGTGTCCGGTTCGTACTATTTCGAGCTTGATACATCTTGTATCCATCACACCATCAAACCAATGGGGATGAGATGATCGACCATACGGTGGTCTGATTATATTATATAAACATGACATGCCACCAAAAAAAAGATAACATCCTCCTCCTCATCTTCTACATTCCTGGAACTTGCAGTGCATGAGCCTCTCTGTCTTCAATCAACTCTACTATCAATCCTCTCGACTTCAATCATGAAACTCATCCTCCTCCTCAGCGCCGCTGCCCTAGCCACCGCACTCCCAATGAGCCCACCAGAGAAAAAGTACCACTATGAATCGGAGCCCTGCCCGCTGAATGAGTCCTATTGTATCCAGAAGATGGAGCGCCGCCCACCTGGAGTTCCACCTGGTGACTGTGGCAGAGGACGTCACACCCTGGAAGACGGGAAGCACACCGGCAAGAAGGAGCGCCGCCCACCTGGATCTTGTACCGTGAGAAGTCACCCACCATCCAACAAGGAACCCACCGGAGAAACCGAGGAGATGGGCGTTGGAGCAATCAACGAAGAGGTTGAAGCTTGAATCAAAAAGAAGGTTGCCACCGGTCTGGCGATTGAGAGCTGGTTGAGAAATGGTGGGCTGATGCTTTGATCTGTGAGGAGGGTGTCTCTTCGCTAGTTTCCTGGTAGACGTGGTTGATCGTGCTCAATTTAAACTCTTGGTCCTTTTGATGGCCTGATGGTTAGGATCCACTGTGAACAGTGGAAGGTGATGGAGATCATGTCACTAGAACATTGTTCATAGTTATAATCAGCCCCCAATGACTCCTTCCCAAAATCTGCCATTCTCACATCTCAAGTACTCCTCTCACTTCAAGACTTGTTAGCGAGTCTTTCGTCATGCAACTCATCATCCTTCTCAGTATCGCTGCCCTAGCGACCTCGCTTCCAGTCAGCCAGGTTGATGAAATCCTTTGTTGCTCTAAATTGGGTTGGTCTTGTCCGACACATTATCGCAAATTGAGACCACCACCTGCCGTTCCACAACACGTCAACGAAGACATTTTCCAGAAGGATGGCTAGCCTGTCGAAGCATGCAGGTGACCTGAGCCGGATCGCTGCACACAGATGCTTTCCGATGGGTGCAAGGTGCATCTGTACCATTGAAACTCATCCTGTCCAGCGGGCGAGATAAACGGAAAAACAAAGAGTTGAGGCATTTATTTTTGCGAAGAGGGCGACTCGGTACAGAAACTGTGGTAGGATGAGGTTGATTGTGCTGGATTTCTTTCTGAAGCCGGTGTTGCGTCGATTCGATCCGTGGTTTTCGAGCGGAGATGGAGATTGTTTCAAGAGGGTATTGAATATATAAACACAGTCAGGAAACAATTACTTCTTCCCACAACCTCCTACTCTCGTACCTCGTACGCTCTTCTCTCAAGTCAGAATCTACCATCAAATCTTTCGCCATGAAACTCATCCTGCTCCTCGGTCTGGCTACTCTGGCAGTCGCGCTTCCGCAATTCTTTCCTGGTGGGTTGCCCGATGACCCGTATGACGACCATGACTGCTCTTTGTACTGGGAGGTCGGATGTCCTTGGGACTTTGAGTTGTTCCAGAACAAACATGACCCTCGAGCACTACCAACCACCTCCAACCACCAGACCGCACCACAGGTCAAAGCCACAGAGTGAAACGGATCAAGGTGGATCAGCAGGAATAAGTGGTTGTGGTCCATATGAATATTATATGTTCGGATCCTGTATCGATCGTCCGGCATGAATGTCTCAGAAGCTTCTCCAGCTGTTCGGACAGGGTGGAGAGATGGCGATGAAAGGGAGAACTTTAGTCTCGAAAGCGGTAGTCAATTTTGTTCTCATCCAACCCACCTACCCACCCGGTGTCCAATGCGAAGAAAGTGGAGAGCGTAAATTGGAGAAAGGAAAACACACACGAAAATATTATCTTGGAAATGATCTTTCATTCTTTCGCAAATTTCTCCAGTGAGAGTGATTTCTACACCATGATGATACAAAGCCTGTGAACGAGTGAAAACGATTATCAAGAAAGAAGATGACAGGACGCCATGCAAAGGTCCGACGCATGTGGCTGCTTTTTCGCTAGAAATGCATAAACAACTGACGAGACACCCAAAAAGTCCTCTTCCGGAACGCCGCGCAAAAATTTCGACAATTCAAAAAAGGAAAAAGAGAGATAGAGACACGAGAGATTGTGAGAGAATGAATGAAGGAGATAGGTCGTAAGACTCAGCACTGCTGAGTTTTGGTCGTGATGGTTTCGCGCGAAGAGGCCATGGGCCTGGCTAAATGGGTGGGCAGCCCTCGACCTGGTCAAAGGTCTGTTCCGAGGACGTTTGCAAAATCGGTATGTTTGAGGTTACGATAAGAGGTCTTCGCTTAAAAGTCCACGCTCCAACGTGTAGTCACGTCTCGGCGCACTCTGTCGGCAGCCCACTGTGGAAAGGTACCAAAGTCTTTGCCCTCGTACCACGAGTCGAAGCCGGCTTTGCCACTGCCTAGCAGCATCATCTCTTCGTACTGGTCGGCTGTAGGAAGCTCGATACGAGCCTCGAATGATGGAGCCTTGTTAAGTCTTTGAGCATTGAGTGATGAATTTGCTGGCACGAGCTCTTGTAGGACATTCAAGGAGCTATCTTGACGTCGCGTCTCGGGGGATAAAGGTTTCCGGTCCTCGGCCGATGAATTGCGTTTGCGACTGCGGCTGCGAGAGCGCTCAGAAGACTTGGCCGATATGACTGGGGAGAGAGGTTGTGGGGGGAGAAGGTATTTGTTTTGTGAATTGTTGGGTCGCAGGTCTGTTACCGGGGGTCCAATGGAGATAAGAGGGCGAGGATTTGTCGAGTCTTCTTGTACATTGATAGGCGGCGGCGGCCTGCGTCGTCGTGACGGCTTCAAGTCGTCTGATGAAGAAGAAGGATTGAGGCTGTCTACGGACGGGGATTGGCCGTTCCGCAGCTTCTCATCGACAATGCGGTGGCTGACTTGTCGCGAGAGGTTCTCGTTCGTGGCACGCCTCGTGCTAGGTCTGCTAGCGCCGCTATCGCTTCTTGCAAGGTTGGTCTTTGAGCCGTTTCGTGCAGTACGAGCAGGAGGCGGAGGCTGTAACATCCACATGGCATCAGCCCTGGTGTCCATGCGCGTAACGATGGGCGGATGAAGCTCGTTTATGGGAGGATTCGAGGCAGAATGATAACTCGTCGCAGCTGATCGGTCGGTAGTAGCGGTGCGGGCGGTGAGTGGACGACTGACAGTGCTGGCAGCGTTGGTAGACGTGCGTCGACTGGTCTTGTAGGGATAGTTGGGCCCCCAGTAGTTGTCGTCTTCGTCGTCTCGCTGCCAATGGCGCAGGTTCCACGTGCTGTCGTTGCTCTCGTTCTGCGTCAGACCCAGATTGACGCTACTAGCGACATTACTGGCATTCTCATCACTTGTCCGCGTGCGGCCTTTCTTCTGGGCTTTGCGTTTGGCAGGAGCTGGAGTGGGACCAAGGTCTATCTCGGTCTGCCAGTGGACGTTTGTCGCAAATGGGCTGGGGTGTCGGTAGAGACCGGGCTGTTCCATCTCGAGAGCATGCTTTGCGACGCGATCACGGTCTGCCTCCTTTCTTCTCTTCTTGCGATATGAATAGCCGGTGCAGGGGGCACATGATAGGTAGTAGAATAGCGCGGATTGAATGCCACGATGGAGAGCCATGCCTTGTTGAATTTGTAGCAGGATCTATGTGAGAAGAGTATTGTTCGAGCGATGCATTGCTTCCCGGCAGCCAGTGCCGTGTCGTGTGATATTCAAGCGGGCTGGGTGTAATCGACGCGGATGCCTGACGCGGGTGCGGCTGCAAGTGCTCGTAGGGTCGAAATGGCGGTTGTCCACGGATGACGCCTGCACGCTGATCTCGTTACTGCAAATATCCTGCCGTGTCGTATCGATTTCCAAAGGATCAGCGCAGTCCGGTGCCTCGTCAGGCTTTCAAGGGTGAGAGGGAAAGAGAGACAGAGAGAGTAGCCTCTCGTATAGAAACAAGATGTCGAGGGGAGGACGCGCTCTATTCTGGGAATCAATCAGACGAAGGCCAAGCTAGCCAAGGCGAGATGCTCCAGACTCGTTTCGTTCCGCGTCAACGTTGGCAATGCGGAGTCCTGCTGCGCGAAATTATGGTCGTGGCGTTTTCAAGACTCCCGCGTCACGCAAAGGGAGAGAAAGCACTGTCGTCGCCTTGTAAAAGGATGTTGGCCTATGGATAAAGGGGGCCGTTGAAGGGGAGCAGCAAGGAGGCCATGTAACAAAGCCCTGCCTTGAAACAAGCAACATGAAAATACTCAAAGACGTAACTGGTAATTGCGATGTTCATCCCAAGTCCTCGAACCATCCAAGCAAGCCCATCAACCATGCCCCGCCTGACATCTCTCTCTCTCGGCCCGCCCGTATTCACCCTTCGCTCCCTCTGCAACCTCCGTCCCTGCACATTGCTTGTCTATGTTTTGCCTGCAGATAGAGTGCTTCTACCGACATTCCGTCCACTGTGATTTCCTTCTATATGACATAGATACTATACGAGGAAACCTACGCTTACAACAGTCTTGCATGCTCTTCTCATCTCATCTCATCTCATCTCATCTCATCTCATCCTCGGTGAGCAGAGACGCGTTCAGCTCCTTGTCAAAAGGGCGGGCGCGTTTCCTGTCTGCCAGCCCCTCTTCACCCTTGGCGGCCCCACAGTCCAGAAGCTTTGTCTCGGACTTTGGTTGATCCGTCCAAAGCGTCTTGTTCATCCTGGGTGTTTGCTTTGTCGTTTCAGCCCGGTAAAGTCCATGATCCAAATTAATCCCAGATCGACATACCCATGCGGTCACCAGGAGTCTGTCAGGTTTCAGATCTCTGTTTGACCTTCTCGCACCTCCTTTGTCAGCATGAACAGTATAGTCACGAACTGCTGTAGGGGACCATCGCAGACGTATGACGGAAGTCTGCAGCAAGTTGTGTTTGGGCTTGTCGTATGGTTGAACCCACACACGACGCTATCGAAACCCACAGAATTCATTCCTACGCATGTTATCCACAACCAGCCGTCTACTCGCCTATCGTAATGTGGAGAGCTGCCTCGCGGTCGGTCAGTTCGTGATGATCTGAGCACATCTTCATGAAAAACTCCTTGTCTCAACGTGATCATGGCGGCACAGGCATCTCAACATGTCCACATGTCGCAAAGTCAAGTGGCACAAGGATTGATGCCCATTGACCGTCGATTCTGAAAAAGGCAATAAACAGTCACGCTGAGATGAGTCGGTAATGGTAGAAGTACGATACCTCAGGCTGTCAGCTCATTATCAACCACCATGATCATGTAACAATGGCGGTTGTCGCAAAAACCACTTTAGAATCCACTCGTAGACAACAGAGGTACACAGACCGCGTGTGAAGCTCGACGCGACGCAGCCAACCACAACCACCACTCATCAATGATAACACTGCAACATAAAGTCGAACACTAACCACTGCTTCCATCGCCGAATATTCAACTATGACGAACGATCTATACAGACAGAACTATGGAAAGGCCAAGGCCGCAGTGGATGCCAGAAACATTGACGATGCTGTCGCCACATGTAACACCCTGCTCGCCGACACAGAGCTTCCTCGCTACTATCGTATCAAAACACTAGTATTGCTAGCTTCAGCAAACAAAAACTGGCGTCAGAAAGAGGTGTGACTTCTTCCTTTGAATATAGGAAAGAGTGACTCTGACATATACCAGGATTTACGATTACGTGCTGAACACACATGGTATGAATCACGGAATTTACACCCTAAAGGTCAAAACGACACAACCGATGCTGTGCTAAAGGAACTTCGTGGCATCTTGGATGAATTCAAGACCGATCAGACCAAGAACATGCCGCTAAACTACGAAGATGAATTGTCTGCTGCTCTGGCCGAGACGGAGATTGAGGATCTGGCCGATATTGCAGATGGAGAAATTGAGACCTTGGTACGTTGTATAATCTTCCGGTCGCCGTGTCTCACCCCCCATACTGGAGTGAAAGATTCTCAAGGCTGTGACCATGCGCAATGATTTCCTCAGTCTCGCGCTGTTCGTGGAGAAATAGCAGACATTGAGACTCAACGTCACAGACAAAAGCACTGCACCTAATTGCGATTGTGGCTCTATCTAGACTACATGCTAACAACACTGTTCTATACAGGCCGATGAAGAGTACGCTCGTGAACAGCAAGCAAAAGATGGACCGCCAATCGAACTCGCAAAGTCCGCTGTGGCCGATACAGAGGCGGAGGTCGCCATACCTGGTTCATCACCCAATGCCTCTTTTGCGCCCGCTTCAACCCTCAAGGCATCTCAAGACATCTTGATCAATCAGACGCGCGATGGTCAAACTGCAGGTACTAGGATGGCACATCGCACCCGTGGCGTTGGAAGACGTCCTTCCTCTTGAGTCACGTCAGGCGCCACGTCCATCTTGCGCAACCTTTCTTTTCTCCCGGTCCAATCATGAACCAGTGGCCAGGTCAAGTTAGCATTAGGAAGAGCGAGAAGGCACAAGTCTCCTTTAGTAATGTCGCACAGCTCATTGATCGCAAACATTCAAAACACACCATACACGTTACTGCGGTTGTGAAGAAGGAGAAGTTGCTCGTGAATCATAACACAATGTCGTCAATTGCTTGACGGTCAAAGTATCCTGCGACTCAGACCATCACCCAGATTGTTTTACTCTCAGGCCCATGCTAGCACCAGAAAGTTTTCCCCCTTCACTCGCCAGTCTCAGACCAGCAGAAGCAATGGGGCGACAGAGAATTAGGGAATTGCGGAAGAGGAAGTAGGATGAAAGAAAGAAGAACGGATGCGACGAGATGGAGGTACTTATAGAAGCGATGAGAGCGGCTGCTTACATAAGAAAGCGACGGAGTCCAGTGATCTAGGCTGCCATCTCGGAGATGTGGATGTGGTTATTAACTCAATCTCTCTCGTGGCCTGCGGGATGGACGTCACAAGGGAAGAGATGTCGGGAGTCTATCCACGGACTTCAAAAAAAAACATCAGAGACAGAATGATAGAGAGATACACCGAGATCATTGCTTAGCGGCCATGTCTCCAGACTGAAGGCTCCACCTCTCCGGTCGGGGCCCCAATTTAGTACTCTTCTAGAGCTCTCGTTTGGAAGACGTGCCCATACTTCTCTGCCGTCGGCTTGATGCTCAGCTGCTCTAACGTACTTGTTGGCATTGCTCTCTCATTCTCTATCGACCTCTTCGCTTCAGGTGGTGATTCTCTGGTAGTTGCGAAGATATAGCGTGAGGAGTTTTGGGAGACGTTTATGCTTTTTAATTTACATGATGTTACTGTACAGTGATGGAGGAGAAGAAGGGCAGCAGAGAAACATGGCTTAGTTCTTGCTTGTCCTTCTCTTGCCCTGGTTGCGGACACGCTCTTGGACAACGTGCTTGTTGGGATTGCGCTTCGCACGAGTCTTGTAACCACTCTTGGCTGGTTGTCCCCAGATGGAGACAGGGTGGACGTTACCCTTCGATTTACCTCTACCACCACCGTGAGGATGGTCGGCTGTAGATAGACAGTCAGAGAAGAACGACATGTGACAACAATACGAGGAGGATTAAACTTACAGGCGTTCATAGCAAGACCACGGACGGTAGGACGGATATTGAGCCATCTGCTACGACCGGCCTTACCCAGCATTCTGAAATGATGATGAGGGTTGCTGGCAACACCAATGGTGGCGCAAGCATCAGGGCTGACTCTTCTGACTTCACCACTTTGCAGACGAAGTGTGACCTCCTTGACTTTCTTGCCAACTTCCTCCTTCGAGACGACAGTTGCGAATGTACCAGCACTGCGGCAGAAGACGGCGCCCTTGCCTGTAGTGGATCCAACGGCGTAGACCTGGGTTCCGAGAGGGATCATGCGCACGGGCAAGCAGTTACCACGGAAGGCAGTCTTTGCGGCAAGCATACCGGGATCCATGACACCACCCATGCTCTTCAAGAGCTCACCAGGAATACCAGCACGGTAACTCTCGATGACGTCGCCGGCACGCATGCCATCAGCAGCCAAGACATAGCTCTTCTCTCCAGTCTTCTGCCTCGTGAGGAGGGCCAGATGGGTACTGCGATTGGGGTCGTACTCGATGCGTTCGACAGTGTGCTTTCCAGGCTCCATGCGCTTGAAGTCGACAGTACGGATACGTCTTCTGTGACCACCACCACGGTGTCGCACGGTCACGCGACCTGTGCAGTTACGTCCTCCCTTTCCGTGACCGACTTTGGCGAAAGTGAGCTTGGCAATAGGCTTTCCCTTCCACAGATGGTCGTTGATGGGACGGCGCAAATGTCTTGTACCAGGAGTGCGAGGCTTGTATGTGCGGAGTTCGAAGCCACCACGTCTTCGGCTTGGGGCAGCGGTGGGAGGGTTGAAGGCAATGGCATCCGTCGTCGTCTCACGGTTTGTCGTCGCTACTTTGGGAGTCTCTACGGCGGTGGCATACGAGCGGCGGGCGAAGGCGCTGGTCGAAGAGCGGAACAGGCATTGAGCTTGCCTCCAGGGCTGCTGTTGCCATAGCCGTGGCTGCAACATGTTGTCTGCTCGGATGTGGGAGAGCACGGCGACACGACGAGTCGAGGTTGTCACTTGTGAATTATTCCGAACGCCTTGTCCGTCTCTATGATCAAGCCCTAAGCTGACTCGCCAAGACATTGGAACATTTCTGGAGGCAGGAGCGGTCGGCTTAAGTCCGGCTCCTCTTCCTCCTTGCAGGAGCGGCTGCCTGCCTGGCTTTCCTTTTCCCTCGCGCTTTCCAGACGTGTGTTGTTTCCCCAGCGATGAGACCTTGAGCTAAAGTGCTATTTTTTGTGCCGCTGCTGTCCAAGGCATACCATGGCCTAATTGCTGTCTATTCTTACGTGACAAAGTCCGAGTGAAGTGCTGAAACTAGGGGTTGCAACTGGATAATTGGACTGACTGTACAGGAAATTATGTAGTGTTGTGAAGACGTTGTGGTTTTAATCAAAGGCGAGGCTGGGAGTTGTGCTCTTACACGAAAGTCGTCATCTGCATTGCATGTCTGGGCCAAAATCGCGAGACGTGAGCGCGAGAAGTCCGAGCTTTTGATGTTCAAAGCCAAAGCAAACAACATCTCGCACCACGCTTCTTCAAATCCCTTCCCTCAGCATCCGCAAAAGTCGTCGTCGACATCGCCAATACTCCCATCGACCGGGACCAGCAAGAGAGCAGCCGTGACACCGAGTCCCTGCCAAATTGACCCCTGCCGCCCTCGTCGACCTGCGACCCGCGACCTCGATCTCCTACTCGGCGCGTCAATTGTTTCAAGAGCATCAGTATCCAGCAGACCGCCTTCTTTGCTTCTACTGCTCCGCCATTGCTTCCATCTTATCCAACCACGCACAGTTGGTCATCTTCCGGCTCTTTAACGTGTGTTCTCTCGCGTGTCCAGAAGCCGATTACCCGATTCGGACGTGTTTGTTGTGCCCGCCCAGACTGACTCGACCCAGTCAAAGCAGCCATTCCACCACTTCTTCACGACTTTGACTTTGTCTTGAACATCTCATCCTCATATCAACATGCCTCCAGTAAGTACCCTCGCCCTCACCCTGTCCTCACTGTCGCCCGTCCTTCACCTCTGCCAAGCCTCCCTTACTACTATACCTCGACGCGTCCACAACTAACCTAACAACTCTCAGGCCAGAGCTGTTCGACGCGCCGTGACCAACGAGAACGATGAGAATGCCGCCACCACTCGTCTGACACGCGCAAAGGCCGCTGCGCTGTCTCAACCCGACGCCATCGCCGGTGACCCACCTAAGAAGGCCGCCCTTGGCGTCAAGCGTGCTGCTACCACAAACACCACTGCTGCTGCTGTCCAGCCCACCAGAAGACGCGCTGCCCTCGGCGATGTCAGCAACGTGACCAAGAACGACACCATCGACACAAAGGGCGCCGCTGCCAAGGGTGGTAAGCTCAGAGACGCTCAGAAGCCGACCGGCATCACCAAGCCCTCAACCCGCACCAACTCGACCCGTGCTGCCTCCATCAAGTCCGATGGTGCCGAGTCGAAGGCCAAGAGGCCCATGCCTCTCTCCGGAACCTCCGGCAACGTACCCAAGGCCAAGAGACACATGACAACCAAGATCCCCAAGGTGGATGAGGACTTTGTCAAGGATGCCGTCAAGATCGAGGCCATTGAGGAAGAGGTGGAGAGCACAACTCCCAAGGAAGAGGAGGACTTGGACGAGCCTCTGTACAAGACTCTCGAGCAGCTGGCCACTGAGGCCAAGGATCTGGACTCCGAGGACCTCGACGATCCTCTCATGGTTGCCGAATATGTTCACGAGATCTTCGATTACATGAAGGAGCTTGAGATCACCACACTTCCTAACGCTGAGTACATGGACAGCCAGGGCGAACTTGAGTGGAAGATGCGCGGCATCCTGGTCGACTGGTTGCTCGAGGTCCACACGCGCTTCCGCCTGCTGCCCGAGACCTTGTTCCTCGCTGTGAACATCATCGACCGCTTCCTCTCGGCCAAGGTCGTTCAGCTCGACCGTCTCCAACTCGTTGGTGTTACTGCTATGTTCATCGCTTCCAAGTACGAGGAGGTCCTCTCCCCTCACGTCCAGAACTTCCGTCACGTTGCCGACGACGGCTTCACCGAGCAGGAGATCCTCAGCGCCGAGCGCTTCATCCTTGCCGCTCTGGACTACGATCTGAGCTACCCCAACCCCATGAACTTCCTTCGCAGAATCTCCAAGGCCGACAATTACGACATCCAGACCCGCACTCTTGGCAAGTATCTTCTCGAGATTGGCTGCCTCGACCACCGCTTCATCAAGTACCCTCCTAGCCATGTCGCTGCTGCCGCCATGTACCTCGCCCGTCTCGTCCTTGACCGTGGCGAATGGGTAAGAACCATCCATTCTCTCTTGCCATATCTTATACTGACTCTTGCACAGGATGCCACCCTTGCTGTCTACGCTGGTTACACCGAGCAGGAGATCGAGCCTGTCTTCAAGCTCATGGTCGACTACCTCCACGGTCCCGTCCAGCACGACGCCTTCTTCCGCAAGTACGCTAGCAAGAAGTTCCTGAAGGGTATGTATCCTTGACCCATTCTTCCCATATCAATCCATACTGACCCACCACAGCCTCCATCGTCCTTCGCCAGTGGGCTAAGAAGTTCGCCCCCATGTACCTTCACGACTGCGATCGTGATGGCAGTGAGACTCCTCAAATCTAGGCGTTTGACTGTCCACCTTCTCCAATGACTGCTTTCGACTTGGCCAACTGGCAGCCTCGTCCAAGTACCAAATGATCATCCTTGTCTCTTCAACTTGCTTACACATGGTTCCGGCGTTTCTCAACTTGCGGCAATTTGCATCGCAACTGGCATGGCGTTTACGGCGTTCAAAGCGATTTCCAATCTGGATAATGTCGTCATCCTGCTCCAGCTTCATCACGTCCACACGCAACAAGAGCGCCTATTCGCATCGTCGTCTGCGCTTTTTTTTCCATTTCCACTCTTACACGAACACAAAGTCCTCGATACGGACCATGTTCTTGGACAACACGGCTCTTATGCTGGCTGCACTACGGGCCCAACTCCAGCAACATGTCGCCCTTGTCAAGACATAACTAGGACCTCTACAATAGAAGGTCCCATTTGCTGATTTTTACACACGAGGATGGCTTTCTGCGGTTGCTTTTCTTCTTCTACATTTCTGCTGCACTGTTTGTTCTTCTTCTTACAAGTATCAAATAGCTTTTTTATGCTACAGGCCCTCGTCGCTCATGCGCTGCTGGGAACACGTAGAATGATACCCATGGGAAGCCTGCTGGTATGCATGGGAAATGGCGATGAAACCAAGGGGAGGAAGACTTGGATGAGAAGGAGTGGTCAAATTGTATTGGTTGTTCTTCTACTGTAGCCTCCCTGTTCTTTTCCAGATTTGTAGTAGCGCAAATAGCGACGAGCATGTTGAACCAGAGTCAGTTGCACAAAATGGTTGTTGTGTTCTTTCGTGTTTGTTTTTTCGTGAGATGTTTAGCGCGGTTTCTCGCCTTTCTCGTGACGCTCTGTACTTGTGATGGGAGCTTGCTTCGAGGGTGATTCACACTACACATAGTCATCTGCTTATACTGGCACTAAGAGTGGCACATCCGATGGTTTTATGGTACCGCGAATGTTTTTTGTTTGAAAAGAGCTAGTGTCAGAGATGCAGGATACTGTGGTGTTTCGAACACGACCAGTGTGAGAATCGCTCGTCTACTCCTCCTCCTTTGCACCACCCGATCCATGTCATCTCCAAGGATACCCGATAACAGCCGGCGGCCGCCTGTAACTAACCATGTATCCATTGAGATCCCTAAACAACCTATAATACTCCGTCATAACACTCGTATACGGACATTTTACCCACCCGACATGTTTTTCCGTGATACCGTCAATCTCCTCATACCCACTTTCCTCTTTCCTCTTTTTCAATAGTGGATGCACCAGGGGAAAATTCTTGTCAATAACTTTCACCCACCCTTGGTTATCCTCGTCAGAGTCCGGTGGCGCGGGCGAGGAGACGCAAGACTCCAATGCCTCAGAGTCGACGAGGATACAATATCTATACCGTGGTGAGAGCCCTGCTTCCTGCACACCTTGCTCAGATAGCACTGCAGTCTGCGTCCAAGACCGGAATTGCTCCCTGATATCTGCGACACTTGCATTCTCAAACTCCTCGGCATTGTCAAAGATTGTCCAACTCATCTTGTCGAGAACATCTTGTCCGTTGAAAATCTCCATGCTATCGTTCGTCCACCAGTGCAGGCGTGGTAGGAACGCGATCCAAGCTTCATTATTCAAGTATGTGGTTCTGTAGATTACGAATCCCCAAGTTACGTGATTGTCCGCGAGATAGCCTGCTTCGATCAGATCGGCGTCGCTGGACTCTTTACTGATGCGTGGATTTCGGAGTGATGGGTTTGGTGCCGTATAGTTTTGCATTCTTGAGAGAAAGGCATCATGTGTGGTTTCGGCCATCATCTACGAGATTGTTGGACGTGAAATGTAAAGAGCGCGGTTGGGTCAGATACGCCTTGTGCAGTCAGTGGTCTCTGCGGAATGTAGCAGGTCTGGTGAGTTTGTTGATGGAGACGATGAGATAGAGAAGGCACGGCGGGGATTATTTCAGAAAAAGCTATGACGATGTGACGTTTTCTCAATCATGGGTTATCGATGCACGTCGAAAAAATGACAGATTGATAACATAGGAGTGAAATAGTCTTTTATATGCAAAAAGGTTACTAGAAATGAATAGGAGGAGTCGCGCCAAGAAGAGAGAACGCCTGATGCCTAGAAGTAACAACGATAATGCAAAGAGAGACCAACGACAAACATTCCACCCCAATCAGACCAATCACTCACACAAAAAACAAAACCGCCCCTCATCAATTGAATGACCCATTGCTGCTCTCATGCCTACTCATACTCCCGAAACTTGCTTCCGAAGCCGGTGTCGCAGGCGTACCAGGTTCAAGAGACAACTGATTCCTCAACTGCATAATCCATTCATGTTGCAATAATTCAGCAGCCGAGGATCTTTTCGCCGGGTCACGCTCGAAGCATTTCTTCAAGAAGTCCAATCCAAGTTCTGACAACTGGTCATTGGTGGGAAGTTGAGGAGGATTGCCTTGAGCAATGTTGTACATGATGGCCCACTCGTTGTCGAGAGAAGCCCATGGACGACGTCCGGTGGCCATTTCAAGGATCACACAGCCAAGAGACCAGATATCGACGGCGCCGTGCCGAGAGTTGACTGGTGCGCCTCCTTTGATGACTTCTGGAGACATGTACATGGGTGTACCGGTCATGGAGTTTTGACGTCCTCCACGGCCGGTCGGATCGGCCACGAGAGTCTTTCCCTGCTTGGCGATGACTTTGGCCGCACCAAAGTCGACGTATTTGATTACACCGTTGTGATCGAGGAGGATGTTTTCGGGCTTGATGTCGCGATGGACAACACCTGCTTCATGGAGATAAGCTAGACCCTCCAACATCTGAAGACCGTACACCTGGATGACTGTCTCATCTTCAATACGGCCGTGTTCGAGAAGACCTGCCAGACTGCCGCCTGAACAGTACTCCATGAAGATGTAGACCTTGTCTCTGTGAGGCTCGATACCGTAGTAGCTGACAACGTTGGGATGATCGAGCACTTGCAACACGCCCATCTCGTCGCGAATTTGTGAGACGATTGTCGGGATGAGCTGGGGATCTTGAAGTCGAATCTCCTTGACGGCCATGAGATGGCCACTATCAAGGTTGATGGCTGCGTAAACGGAACCAAAGGTACCACCTCCGACGAACTGACCCTGTTGCCATCGCAATACAACGTTACCTGCCGAAGCAGACAAGTATGTCAACGCACGATCAGCTTCATTGCTGTCTTCGAGAACGCGACCGAGAGCTTGTCGCTCAGCCTCACGCTCCTTGCGGAACTCGTCAATCTGTTGCAGCTGCTCCACCCATTGTTGTTGAACGAGTTTAGAGCTCTCGTCGTCGTCCTTGAGCTTGCTGACATCCAAACGAAGCTTACCAGCCATGCTTTCTAATCGCAACTTTTCTGCTTCGGCGGCAACGTTCGAGCGAGCGCCCATGATATCGAAATGACTGATTAGCAATGACATGCATCCAGCAACCTTAGCTCTCAGCTTGTCGTATTCAGTCATGCTGATGGAGAGAATATTCTGTCCTCGTGTCATGACCATGGCAAATTCAAGCGCGACGACCGCCCAGCGGAAGGTCTTGCGGTCGGAAGGAATACAATCATCAGCAACGAAACTGACCCAGTCAAGTGCAAGTCTCGTCATCTTCAAATTGTGGTAAGCGCGACGGTTGGGGTCCATGTAGAGTACTGAACGTTGTCCGAACTCGGTGGCGAAAGCGAAACATGTCTGAATCAGCTCTTGACACTGGAGTCCTTCGGTCTGCTTGCGCACAATCTCAACACTGTCCATAATGGTATTACTGAGCTTGTAAGTGGTGCGTCTGATCTTCTGGAGTTCCTGGTTAACTCTGGTCATGTTCGCACGTTGTGGCACAACAACATTGAGGTCGATGCCGATGTTTGATGCAAAAGCTGTATTAGCATCTCCGAGTCTTTCCTGGGGACCATCGGCAACGAGGCGCATGAAGCCTGTTCGAAGGTCGATGTGAGGGGGTGAGAAACCAGATCTCTCGAGGACTGCACCATCCCACGAGATGGCGCCTTCCGGCTTGAGGATAAGTACGTAGGGATTTGTGAGGTCTTCGATCAATTCCTCAGGGTGGTAGCAGGTACGGAGTAGGGTCTCAATCTCCTTGAGACGACCATCCAGAGTGGGACAGGCGATGAAGTACAGCCCTGTCTTCTCCGAGTCTGTGTCAATCAAGAAATGGCCCGAGCCAATGAGCGCGTCGATGAGGTCCTGCATGTGTACTGAGTTCATGTTGAGACTGTATTCGGTAGAGTTCTCGAAACGCTGGCTCAACAAACGAGAGAAACGGAAGATCTTACGCTGGCGCACACGAACGGAATCGAGGATGTTCTTATATCTCTTATCCATCTCAGCGCCAGCGACTTCATCAGGGCGTTTCTGCAATTCGCGTTCGAAGTGCAATGTGAGTCGGGTCAGTGACTTTGAAGTCAAAGAACTGAACTGCTCGGCGACTTCGACGTCACCACCTTCGAGGTGCCTACCCAGCTCGTTGCAGAAGCCCCATTCTTGTTCAAGAATTTCGGCCTCCTTGAACGTATTCTTGTTGGCCATGAGCTTCCAGTTCAACATGCGGAAGTAAAAGCGCACGGCTTCGAGTACTATGCGATCGAAGTTTTCGTCAATGCATGGCGGGAGGTCCCAACCAGGCTCAGGGTGAGCAGCCAGAAGATATGCTTCCTTGACCTTGACGGCCAGTTTGAGAAGACTTTGGAATTGCAGAATCATTTGCTCGGCCATCATGACGCCTTGTTGAGCAGGATCCTTCATCTTCTTTGCATAACCTATACGAACCTTGATGACCTCTTGCACAAGACGCGAAGGGAAGTTGATCAGCGTCAACAGCTCCTCGATGTAGGGAGGCAAGTGACGATCGGCGAAAGACTCGGCATTCGAGATGAGGGTGGACTTGGCCTTGTCGATGACAGTGTTGACAACGTGGAAGAGGCCATTTGACTTGTTCTCTTTGGACTCCTTCTCCTCATCCCATAATGAACGCAAACCGTCTTCTTTGAGGATACGATCGATGAAGGTGCTCTCATCAATGATGTGACCATGAGTGTCTTGGAGACCACGCTGACGAGGCTTGTCGAACGACAGTTCCTGGTTACCGACCCAAGCCTGCAGAATCCCAAGCTGAGTGTTGATGAGGTCGGTAGTATTGTGCCAGGACATGACGGCATCGCAGCTATTGACATAGGCGTCGGATGCAGCGCGAGGATTTGCCTGGACAAAAGACTGGCGGGTGGGGTATAGTCCTTCGATCTTCTCGATCTTCTGCACAACGTCGCGCACCTGTTCCAGTGGGATCTTGCCTGCCTCGGCCTCGCCTTTGATTTCGAAACCAATAATCTCCTCGATGACAGCCTTGATCTTGCTTCGCCCGTCCTCAATCATTCGTCGTTGGGCGGCCAAGGAACGACCGCAGACCTTTGCTCTTACGCCAGTCCAGACTTCCATAATCATAGATCGGTCGCTCTGAGGATCCTGACCACCAATCAAACGTTTCTTCTCTTGCTTGACAACATCTCCGGTGAGGACGTTGGCCAGCATCGAGTGCCATTCCAGGCGCTCGCGATTCTCTGGAATCTTCAACTCTTCGATTGAAGGTTGCATATCTTCATTGCCGTAGTATAATGCCGTCTCTTCATCATAGTCGTGCTCAATAACTTCTCCAGCGGCTGGTGATTCGTCGTCGGGCTCGGAGCCGTCGCTGTAGTCAAGACTAGGTGTACGTGGCTCGCCAACAAAGAAATCGTCGGGCGGAGCATCCTGGCGCAAGCGTTGAACGTAGGCCTTCTCCTGGGCGCGGTATTCTGCGTTTGGATTGCGGCGGACACGGTTGGTCGAGGTAGTGCGTGCACGTTGGGCGGTGTTGTTGTAGGAATATTGATGAGGGCGACGGGCGGGAGCGTAGGCATTTGAGGGTTGCCGAACGGCGGGCGGACGAGCTGGGCGGGTCTGGCCTGGTGGTATTGGATGTGTGGACAGAAGCTGAGGAGGAGCCGGGTATGCGGGCTCGGGATTGATGGCCGTATTGATGTTGGAAGGACCGCTGCCACCGCCAGACCCATTCCGAGCGCGCGAGTGGCTTGACACACTCCAGCCAAACTGTGAGGCAGGCGTCATCTGTCCGTCGGCCAGATGGACGGGTTGGTAATGCATCCTTTGCACGTCGGCATCGTCGGGGCCCGGCACGTCGGTCTCGGTCTCCGTCTCGTAGTCCTCGGAGAGTTCTGTCACATCGGTACCTGACGAGTCCATGGCTCGAACCAGATCTGGGCGTTCGTCGTTCTCCTCCATGATGGGCGATACTAAGGGAAGTGCTGAGGCGGGCGCTGGCGCGGGAGCCTGAGAGTCCATCTGAGCCATCGCAACGCCAAGAGATGCTAGTTCTGATTGGACGCCTCCGAGAATATGCCTCTGGACCTTGTGTCCTCAACTTCTGCTCGAGGATGTAGTTCTATATCCTACGCGTGCCTTGGTCGTACGCCTGTCAAGCCATGTTGGTGGCCATACTTTCCCGTCGTTTCCTTATAGGGCGGCGCCACACCGACCAATGAAACTACAGGTCTGTGTCCGTGCCTACTCCACAGCACCGCCACGATCCTCGACATCCTTATTTCCGCTGCCAACTTAATGACTTCCCGTTCTTCTTCCTCGTCACATTCATCATCATTTTCACGTCGAAGCAACTCGCAGGCTCTCAGAATCAACAACTCTCAATTACGTGCAAATCTAGGGTATAGTCCTTGTATCAAGTTTCATCAACAATTGTCTGCTATGCAGGGGTAAGCCTCATCAACAAAACAAAACGTCCAACTCCTGCATTCAAGCTTCAGTCGAGACCGTGAAACACGTCCATGTTTACACAAAGTTTCCAGCAGGAAGTACAGGCTCAGGAGTGTGGTGAGCAGGGGGCGGGTTGGCTCCAAGAGGTGTGTGCTGCTGGTATGGCGATCCCTCTTCGAAGCGCTTGACTGGCATGCCGTTGTTGGTAGGAGTTGATGGCTTCTCACGATCGTCGCTGGACACGCTACCAGATTCTCCATGCTGAACGTCACGCATCACCTCGACGTAGTCGTACTGTGCTACATGTCAGTCGCGATCTTATGATTTCCACGAGTCAAGACCTACAGCAAACTCGCCAATTTCGACATCATCTATACCCAAGTCCTCCTCCTCAGGTGTGGCGCGGAGTCTGAAGACAGCAAGATACTTGCCGATGAAGTTGAGAGTGTAGAGGATGATCAAGGAGCCAATGAAAGAATAAGCGCCACCTGCGACAGATCCAGCCAACTGAACACCAAGCTGACGGTAGTTGTGGTTAAGCCAACCTCCACTGATTACAGTAACTCCATCCAAGTGGGCTATGTAATCACTATGTTCTGTCAGTCGACGTCCTCATGAAAATTTTCTCGAGACTCACGCAGCAAACAGGGCAGTAAGCATGTTGCCAATGAACCCGCCAACGGCGTGCACAGCAAAGATGTCCAGTGCGTCGTCACAGTCAATGAGATACTTCAGCTTTGTCGCATAGTTGCAGCCGATACCAGCGACTACACCAAAGACAACGGCGGACCAAGCAGGAACGTAGCCAGATCCAGGAGTGATTGCGACCAGACCAGCGACAACTCCGCTGCAGAAGCCAACAGTCGACCATTTGCCCTCGAGCCTGTAGTCCAGAAGACACCAAGTAATACCGCCGACGGAAGCCGCAAGATTGGTGACCATGGTCGCCATGACTGCACGGAGGTTGGCAGAGAGGGCAGATCCGGCGTTGAATCCAACCCATCCGAACCAGAGGAACACGGTGCCGACGACGATGTGAGTGACGTTATGAGGACGGTAGTTGAGCTCATGGGTACCATGACCCTTACGATGACCCAGCACGAAAGAGTATGCAAGTGCGGCGCAGCCAGAGGCAATGTGAACAGGAGTTCCGCCAGCAAAGTCAAGGCCACCGAGAATGTACAGCCAGCCTGAGGGGTTCCAGGTCCAGCAAGCAATGGGGTCGTAGATGACTGTGGTCCAGATAAACATGAAGAGGACGCAAGGGAAGAGGCGACCACGTTCGGCAACAGCGCCAACGGCAAGAGCGACACTATAAGGAGGTTAATATCTCATGCCTCATGAACAAGCCTCGAAAGTGGACATACGTGATGGCGGCGAACATGCCCTGGTACACCGCATACAGAAGATCCGGGACTCTCGAGCTTCCAACCGAGGGCTGGGCGAGGACGTCCATGAACCCGAAGTTGTCAAGCGCACCGATGAACTTGCCGGCTTTGTGCGAGAAGGCAAGCGAGTAACCCCAAAAGAACCACTGGAATGAGACGACTGCAGTAGCCATGATTGAAAGCCATATCAGCGAGAGAGCCGACTTGCGTCTTGCCAGTCCAGAGTAGAAGAATCTGTGAGTACGGTCAGCATGGCTGCGCTAAGAAATCATGGGCCATGCAGGCTCACCCTACGCCTGGAATCATCAAGAAGACCAAGGCGGTACAGATGATGATGAAAGCTACATCGCCGCTCTGCGCAGATAGTCAGTAACGATTTTAACAATGAGCGCCGCGGAATTGCATACCTCGTAGAAGATGTTCAGGTTGTCGTTCAGCGAGTCGCCGCCAGTAGGAGCAGTGCCATTGTAAGCAACGAGAGGGACGTAGTTCGTGTCCGACTCGCCAGGACCTGTGCCACTCATAATGAAGCAGGCAGGTAGATGGTGATGCTCAGGTTCTGCCATCGAGTCAGCTTGTTGTTATGGTAGAGGTTTCTTTTGAAAGTGCGCACTTCTCGGCGTCAAGTATTGGGCGACTTCAGTGAACTTTGAGGTTGTGAAAGTTGATGCTCCCGTCACTTGCACGCGTCCATTCTGAGAACACGATGGTAGATCTGACAAGTACAAGCTCTCGCGAGCGAAGACAGAAAAATTGGTCTAAGACCGGAAAAGTGTCTTGAGAAATTAGGCAGGTAAAGAATGTGTTTATATTTTGCTGAGGTGATGGAGTACAGAACAAAGGATCGATTGCCAAACGTGAAGGAGTGGATGGAGCGTATGCGGGTCCCGTAAGCAGTTGCACACTATACTTAACAACCATCTGATGGCATCGAATGTGCAAACAAAGGCAATGTCGATGTCACAGCTTATCTAATTCCATTCCCTTCGTCGGCATGGCGACGCACAAGTTGCCGTGGAATGCTGAAAACAAGTACATACATCGACATTGTCCCCTATATCAGTATAGCTTGCCTTGAACTCCAGTAACGAAGTACGCGGTTGCAACAACCAAGTACGAGATCGGCACCTGCGCGATGTGACCTTTGGAGACAGAATAAAACAGCATAAAACAGATGCGATGATGCACGTCGTGCAGTCGCAGATAAGCCCAAAAGGCCATTTTGTACCTGAATTTGCCATTGACATAGTAGGTGTCAGGTGTAAAGGGATGCATATCGGAACACAGAGGCTCCGAGGATGGCAAATTTGTAGCCGACGACTTGACTGCAATGAGTACGATCAATTAGACACTGTTCTGGTTGAAGCTTCGACGAGCCCTGATGACAAATTTTGCATGGCTCGTTGTGCTCTTGGTACATCGACCCTTTCGCGGCTATCATATAGGTAGGCATTTGTCCCACTAGAATCCTGCTTGTACAATCAGCTAGGCAACTAGGTAACGGACATATGCTGAGGCAGGCAAGTGATTGGCAACAAGCGAGGTCTGCTAGTTTGGAAGCGTAATAACTGCCTCAGCAGCTAGAGAATAGCCTCAACTCGATCAAGAAACAGCAGAATATCTTCCTGAGTTGGGTGAGGCTCTTTCAAAGACGGTGGTCAAAGCTGAAAAAGAACTGTGTCTTTCGGCAGCTGCGAAAGGAGAGCAAAGCGGCCCTGGAGCGGGCGGTTCAAGCTCCCCCGCATGACGCAGTCCGAGAATGACGGCGCCGAAGTGTCCCGCTGGTTAGCTTCTCGAAAAGTCCGTCACTGTTGACTCTCGCTATACCGCTCTCTACTTGCGACTATGGCCGAATCAAGCGTTTCAGCACGGATCGCCTTCCCTGCCACTGAGGCCGAATTCAAAAATGATGTGCGCGTATCATTCGACAAAACGAGTGAGAAATGGATTCTGGAAGATGACAATGGCGAAGAATACGAATGGAATGCGCAATTCGAGAAGTGGGTACCTTCAGTCGATGAGGCTCTCATGCAGCAACAGGCTTCAATCTATGCTATGAAAGACGTCGACGAGAATGCGCCGGCTATCGATACCAAGAAGCGCAAGGCAGACATCAAGGCAGCATCGAAGCAAGACAAGAAACAGAAGACCGACCGACCAAACAGTGCCGTCTACGTAACAGGCGTGCCGCTCGATGCAAATATCGACGAAATCCACGACGTCTTCAAAAAGTACGGCATCATCGAAGAGGATATTCACACCAACCTACCCAAGATCCGCATGTACGCCGACGACGAGGGCAACTTCAAAGGCGAGGCCAAGGTCATCTACTTCAAGCCCCAGAGTGTCAGCCTCGCTATTACCATGCTGGACGGCACCGACTTCCGCAAGCCAGGAGAGGGAAATCTGCACGTCGAATTGGTCGACGACTCATACTCGAACAAGAACAAGGATCAGAAGGATCAGAAGGAGAAGAAGGAAGTGTCTGTTGAGAACATCAAGAAGAGACGGCCGAAACAGGACCGCTACCTGGCCATTGAGAAGACAAAACAGATGAACGCGTAAGTCTCTCCTCCCGCGGCAGGTGTGAGCCAAGATGGAGCTGTAAAAAGGCACAAACATTTTCAAAGACGGGCTCGCTCCGGCGAGAGCACCTTGAATCAAGGCTCTCCCAGGTCAGCTTTTTGATTCGAAATATGTTTGTGCCTTTCTACAGCCCTGTATACGTAGTCACTAGCACACCTGAGAGCCATGATTATCGTGAATCCAATGCTGACATCGCATGTAGCCGCCTAGCAGACTGGGATGACGACGATCCAAGCGTGGTCGCTCCTCCCCCGAATCCCTCGAAATATGCCAAAATGGTCGTCTTGAAACACATGTTCACCCTGGATGAGCTGGACGAGGATGCGGGTGCTCTGATCGATATCAAGGCCGATATCAGAGACGAGGCCTCCAAGTACGGCGAAGTCACAAATACAGTGCTATATGACCTCGAAGCACAGGGCGTCGTTACCGTACGGTTCAAGGAGGCTGATTCTGCTGCTCTATGCGCCGAAGCCTTCAACGGACGATGGTTCGATAAAAGAAAGATTATCGCTTACGTACCTCAGCATCGCGAGGAATATAACAAGAGCAAGGGCAGTGGCCAGGATGGCCTTCAAGACATTGACGAGGACGAGCCCGATGACGACGACGATGAGAAGGAAAAGGTCGCAGGCTCTGCCCTGGAAGGCCATCGTACGCTAGAAGCTGAGAAGGATACTACTGGCAATCCTGCTGCTGCTAAATCATGAAAGTGCAAGACGGTGGCATCTTAACTTAACGCAATGGCTTAAATAAACACCACCACCACCACTACTACTACTACTACTACTAATTTAGCGGGGCGTTTAGCAAGCAGGATAGACAGAGCTTATTATGTTGTACTTTAGAAGAAGCTTTACTTTGCTAAATAAGACTATGCATCTAATTAATACTTAAGCTGATTTATACCCGCCTCTAGAATTAATTCCTATAATGATTAGAAGTAGAATTCCTTTTTTTTCTTTTTTTCTTTCCTAAAGTAAGATCCTAGAAAAAAAATTATAGAACGGTTTTACTCTAGGTCTAAGGTGTCTAAATATCTACTAATAGTATATATTGTAGCTATTATACTAGTTAGGTAATAGACTAACTAGATTAGGTAGAACTAATGTCACGAAAGATCCCGGCTGACTCTAAATTATACGGCGCGGCTTTACCCCTACCTAGAAATTAGGGAAATAATCTATCTCTATTCCTTAACTTTACTAAAGTTAACTTCTACCACTTAATTTACTACTTTAAACCCTTTACAGGCTTTAACTTACTATTTAGTTACTAGGTAAGTACTAACGTTTCCTAAATTCCATTATATGGCGCCGCTTTATTATAGTAGCCATTTATAGGCGGATTATCTCTAGTAGCTTACGCGCACACATTCTGTGCGCGTAGGCCTCTATTACTGTCTTTCCAGCTGTAACTAACATAAACGCATCTAGTAAGCAAGCAATAAAATGCCCTGGCCGGTAGCACGCCACATGGTGCAAAAAGAGCTGGTAAGTGGTTATTTACTTCCGTAAACATCGGCTTCCTACGCGTCTTGACACTGTTTCATTTACGCGTCACAAACCTGATTTTTTACGATCTTCCATCTTGCGGAATCACTCGGCAGTTTCTGAATTGCACAGGACTAACAGATTGGTTGACCAACAGGTGCACGAGATATGCATTCACCGGGTCGTGGACGGCGTAGGTCACCCTGTCCTTTACCCCAACGTCCGACGTTCAAAAGCTGATTATATATTACTTGCAGGACGAACAATATCTCATTCGTTGGCGACACGATGATCCTTCCCAAGCCGTTCTATCATGGCATAGACTCGAGGATCTCATTTCAATCGCCGACGTTCTTCAGCTCTACATTACGGAGTATATTGCCAGGTATCACCTCACTTCCTCCCTTCTCCCTCCTCGCTCCTCACCGCAGGTTCCAATTTATATCATTTTGTTGCGTTCCATTTCATTGCATTCACTTCGAGTCGCTTACATCTAATCAGACTCAAGCGCGATCATCCCGAAGCTCTCAAAGCACCATCACTCAGGACCTCTTCACTGAAAAGAAAGAGTCCCCACGATGAGGGCGCGTCAAGGCGCGCATCGTCACTTGACACCACTACCACGCCTGACTTCCATCGAGCCACTCAAAAACTAGAGGTGTACAACGGAGTCCTGTTCAGAAAATCGGGTGACATCTATCCCCACTATTTGACATCTGCCAAAGTTGAACGTATCGATGCCACCACAGTTCCAACTCCTGCAATGCTCGCAGCCGCAAAAGCTGAAGTGTATGAAGGAGTGAAGAAGGGACGCAAGTTTGTCCGAGCGGTATTCCTCCAACAACTGGCTGGTATACCTGGTCCACCTGTCACTTTTGTCAACGAAGTGAACAAGGAGACACCCTCATTGAGCTTCACATACATCCAAGACTATGTCTACGGCGAGGGTGTGTCGAGAGAAGCCGATGCTGTTGAAATGGGATGCTCCAAGTGTCGACCAGATATGGGTAGCAACCGTGGCTGCGAGTACACGAAGAGATGCGAATGCCTGGAATACGCAACTCCAGACTTCCGCGGACAGGGACTGAGCGATGAAGAGCAAAGAGCTCAATACGAGGCATGGGAAGCAGGTGATCTCGACCCTAAGGGCCTCTCGAAACGATTCCCGTACAGAATTGATCATGATCCCCGGATCAACATCAAGCAGTACGTGCTCGACAGTTTCTACCTCGAAAGTAGAAACGTCCTGTACGAATGCAACTCGAGATGTCGATGCGGTCCGAATTGCAAGAACCGCCTTGTGCAGAGAGGTCGTAAAATCCCGCTCGAGGTTTTCAGAACGAGTAAGAGAGGATTCGGTATGTTCTCGATCCCTACGCAGCGACCACCTTTGATTACTAAACTTACTCTAAGGTCTACGCTGCCCCGAAAACTTGAGACGTGGCCAGTACATTGACCGGTACATCGGTGAGCTTATCACCGATGCCGAAGCTGATGCTCGCGAATCATCTTCCGGCCCCGAGAAAGCATCCTACTTATTCTGGCTCGACAAATTTGCAAACGATGATGGTCTTCCGGGCTCCTTGAAGACAAGCGATTGCTATGTTGCGGACGGCCAGAAGATGGGTGGCCCGACTCGTTTTATCAATCATTCCTGCAACCCAAACTGCCGTCTTTTCACGGTCAGTTACAACAAGTATAATCGCACGATCTATGACCTGGCCTTCTTTGCTCTCACCGACATCCCTGCCGGAACGGAGCTAACCTTCGATTATATGGACCTTGAGGAGGGCGAGGCCGGACAAGCAACGAAGGAAGTCGTGGATGAAGACAGCGTGGTCGTGGACTGCCTGTGTGGCGCCAAGAACTGCAGGAAAAAGTTATGGATGTGAGGTGGATTCGCTGCTCAGCATGAGGTGCTTGTGCTTAGCTTTCTCAAGGAACAGAGGAAACAGATTTACTATCCATATCCTGTCCGCGACGGAGGCAAGTAGCTCGGGCTTTAAGTCAGTACAACCGCTCGAGCTTGATGTCTTCAACAACGGACAGCAGATTGGAGAATTAGCAGATTGCATTTCTGTAGCATCAGCATATTTAGCATAGCGAATGGTTCTCCATCGAATTCAAATCATACGTGGGGATCATTTTACTCTTGGTGGTTGATGTGGTGCTTCGTGACGCGTGCAAAAGATATCCAGGCTATATCGAGGCTTCTGGGAATGAAATGACCATAGTATAACAACACACAGCTCTACATATTCAAGACTGTCGAAGCTTATGCTTTATTGAAATGTTCGAGTAGCCGTGTTCTCGCTGACTTGATTAGCGTTGAAATTTACGATATATTCAATGTTGATAGTCGTAAATAGATGTCGAACTCACCACCCTGTCACAAAGCTGCCAAGTCTGATTGAGACTCGATCGGCAACTTTAACCGAGCAACTTTCGACCTTGTACAAACCAAAGCATCGAATCACTCGACAACTATATCATCGCGCTCACATACTGGGACCATTCAGAAATCTGGACAAGGGGCAACAATCTTCTACAGTCTAAGTCATATCGTCTCGGATCTGGAAAATCGATATAGCCGCATCTAGCAGTGGTGCCGAAAAATCAAGTTTATCAAGGAAGAAAAAAAATCAGAGCACAAAGATGACTATGGAATATCTCATCAGACTTGCGCAGATGCACGAGACGTTTCGCAAGCCTGAATTAGAGGCTCTGGCGGTGTTACATAACGTCGACTTGAAAATCTTGGAATACTCAGATCAGGTACGATTGTTTTCGATACACAATTTTGTCGATGTACGGACATGAATACAAGCGGTCACTCTACTGACCGTTAATTTGTACTGGAGTCTCGATGGGTTTGATCGAATATTACCATGAATGTATGCTGATGGAATCATTTCCAGTCACCATTTTGTATCGCGAAGATCTCATCGGATGAAGATGCAGCAAAACTGATCTCTCGATCTCTGTTGGCGGGAGCAGTATATGAGCTTTGGGGTATCGGCAATGGCTACGAAGAATGTCATGCAGATACCAAGAAACGATCACAACATCTCTGGCCACAATACAAGGAAAACGCATCATTCAGCTTCCAGATCGACAGTTACCAGGCCAAGAGGACCAACATAGAAAAGAGAGACATCGTCGAGTCTTTCTCTTACATGGCTTTCGAAGGGCCTATCAGAATGAAGAACCCCGATCTTCCTATGGTTGTGCTCGAAGAGTGGGATCTGGAGGGCAAACATCCTAACCGCGTGGCACTAGGTCGTCTGCTCGGCGAGAGTGGACGCTCGGTGATGAACAAATACGATCTGAAGAAGCGCAGGTACATCAGTACAACCTCTATGGATTCACAATTGGCCTTGATCACCGCGAATATGGCTTTGGCAGCACCTGGAAAAATCTTCTATGATCCCTTCACCGGAACTGGAAGTTTCCCAATCGCTTGTGCTCACTTCGGTGCTACTGTGGTTGGCAGCGATATAGACCCTCGCAGCATCCGTGGAAAGCCAGATCGAAATGTTATGAGCAATTTCATGCAATATGGGCTGGTGCCGCAGTACCTGGAGATGTTCGTGAGTGATCTGACAAATACCCCGATCAGAAAGACGAGATGGCTCGATGGCATTGTCTGCGATCCTCCGTACGGCGTGCGCGAAGGTCTGCGAGTGCTGGGCAGTACACGAGAGGACTTGCAGAAGGAAGTTCTCCTCGCAAGTGGAGTACCTGCACATCTCGCCCCAGGATACATTCCGCCTAAGAAGGCGTACAGTTTTGACGCCATGATGGATGACATACTTGACTTTGGCTACAATCACATGGTGGACAATGCGAGACTCAGCATGTGGATGCCGGTTGCTAACGATGAGGACATGGAGATCCCCATTCCCAGCCATCCAGCGATGGAGCTAGTGGCCATGTCTGTTCAGCAATTCAACAAATGTACGTGCATTGTCGTAATGTGGAGTCCGATGATGCTGACCATTCTCGCAGGGGCCCGTCGACTGATCACCTACCGCCGCGTTCCAGAAGCTGAAGTAGACCAGGAAGCACTTCGAAACCGCGAGAAGCGTGAAGAGGCAACTGGAGTGACGGCAGATGATCTCAACGCCTTCCGACGAAAGGTATGCATGGCACGCAAGTCTAACGTCTTTTGTCACAGCTAACGCATAGCGCAGTATTTCCAAGGCTTCAAAGATCAGCAGCAACAGGTCGAGGCGGATACTGCATCATCATGAGCTGTGCCGCTAGGAGGACATGGTGGTCATGATGTAGGCTGAAGTCAAGACTTGAGCGGCTGAAACGGACAGCTGGGCGTCCGGTCTTCGAGTCCAGCTGCGCCTGTTGGACGCTCAACGTACGCCGGCGAGGCGGAGTCGGAGGTCACAGGTTCGGTGACGGGATTGTCAAGCTATGTTCTAGAGGACTGGTGAGGTCATATGGACTGGCCATCTGACAACCGAGTCGAGATGAGTTGAATACCAGCGATATACAACAATGTCAAGTGATTAGACCAAGGGGCTTTGAACCACGTGAGAATGTCTGATATTCTGCATGGCATTGTTGCCGGAAATGACGGACAAATGGCAGCCATAAATACGTAACCTGGAGTGCTTCGCCTCAGCACATGAGCAGTCATGCCGTCTGACTGTTTGCACAGTTGGTATCGCAATCTCCGCTCAATCGCTGTGGTGTTTTGTGGACATACAAACAGAAACGCGAACCCTTACAAGTCACAACGTCTGTCGCGTCGTTTAGCCCAGCTCCTCCCCATCGGCGGATCGGGGGCCCGGGAGGACCATCTCAAAGAGGGTAGTGATTTACACGAGAGGTGGTGGAGGGCAAAAGAAGTGGAACTTAGGATCTTCAAAACTCGACCTCGGAGGGAAAGAGGAAAGGCAATCTTGTACTGTAGATCTGTCCATGCCAGGGTTTGATGGCCCTGAATAATATTTCGAGATCATGTCAGGGACCCGAGGGACGGCAGGAGCGATTGACAGGAAGAAAAAGGCGTGTCAAGCTGAGACGTGGCATGTTTCCTTGGCGCACAAACGTTCCACACGCTTCTTGTCCACGCATTTGCACAACCGCAGAGAGGGAGAGATGATGTAGCTGAGCAACGTGTGAGGCTGACGCAGATTCGCAGCCCTGTACAAATAGTGGTGGATGAAAGAAGAATTGGTCAGTCCTGCTATCTGTGCTCGACTCTACCTTGTTGAGAATCCAGTATCCCAGAGACCTGGGTGAGTCGATAAAATAGCTTCGTGCCCTTTCTGCGAATATGGAATGCTTTCTGCGAACTCATGCGCCATACTGAAGCTACTGCAAGAGATTCATGACTTAAGCTCTATGTGGACAGGTTCTTGTTCATATCAGGAAACCAACGGTCGAACGGCGGGGGAAAGGGGCACGCTTGGTGGGTCTGATTGACATCCAGGGGCCGGCGGCGGTCGAGCGAAGGACTTGTTCGCGAGGCGGCCGTGTGTTTTTGGCGAGACTGGTGGGCAAAGTGTGGGGGCATCGCGACATCCCTGTCAAACTCTACTTGCTACACCCACGACAGTCGTGAGGCATCTTTCTGAAACCACATCTGGTAGATCATACTGTGAGGGAGATACGTCGCGGGTTGAAAGGTAAGATACGATGGAGGTGAGTACTTCATATTCTCTATGATCTTCTCTGTCTCGGTCGCTGGGCATCTTTCTTTCTTCCCTTCACGCTGCGCGTCTCTAAATTTACATTCCTTCACAACGTTGCTGCAGCGGCCGGAGCCCGCGATCGTTGTACTTCCCTTACATACTTTTGCACTTGGTCCTCCCGGAGCCACCGTTGGAATCGATATTTACTCCTTGCCCAAGCCTACCTCCTTTGCAACGACAGTCGCGTAGTACTTAAGAGTCCAACGTATCGACGAGGTTGGGATTTTCGAACACATATCCACTCCTTTGGTTCAGCAATTCACATAATCACATTCTTTAAAGTGCACCTTGCCTTGCAAAAGCATTTCCACAATCGCTACTTTTACAAAACATCCTTCTCGGCATCTCTTCTCGCAGCATCTTGACAAATCAAAATCAACACAACACCATCACAATGCCTTCTCACTCCAACCGCAACATTGCCTCCGGCTCTCTTCGTCGCCTGAAGACTGTCTTCTCATCTTCTCACACTCACATCCCCAATGCCCCTCTGTCGCCTGTCTCAGAGAATTCGGATAGCTGCTGGACTGTCAGCAGATCATCGACTGGCAGCCGCTTCAGCCAACTTGTTTCCTCAGTTTCATCATACTCAATTGGCAACTTCAGCATTCGCCGCAGTCCCAGCCAAATTGAGCTCGAGCAGGAAGAGGAAAAGATTGAGACCCCGGAAGAGCTTCTCAGCTTGATCGAGCCTCGTCCTTTCGCAGGTACTGCCGTGGGAGGCTTCGAGGATGTTCTCTTCGGCCGCCTGTGAACAACCATCACGGTCAACACATCAACATCAACAACAACCAAACTTTAATGATCAACGCCTTTTTCCTTCTTCAAAATTCAACCCACGACGCGACGCATCAACAACAACAGCCACGTTGGCGTTTCATCCCCCACTGTCGCGCGCAACGGCCTCCGACGGTTGGGCGGACTTTCTTAACGGTTGCACATGTTCCTCTTGAACGTGCAACCAGAGGTGCAGTAGCGAGAGACATTGGGATGACTATTCCCGGTACTCCTTCCACTTCTCTCTCAATGCGATGTTTGGCTTTTCTAGCCACTCGCCCTTCTTGGACATTTCTATTCTCTTCCTTCCATTCGCTTCTTGACGATACCAAGGTGCCAACTATTTGGTCACCGCTTGACTACCTCTCTTCTTTCTTCAACTTCTTTTACTCCCATGGAACACTATCTGTACGGAGTAGCTTTCAGTCAGGTCTTCTGACTGGGCCCTTTCTTCTTTTACTAGAATCTCAAATGACTACATGATCGTACACTTCAGATCATACCTGTCCACTTCTTCATCTGTGCATTGTGATCGTCGATTTCATGTCTGCCGATGTACTGTAATACAACGCCTTCGGTCTCGCCGTAGCTGAACGAAGGGCTGTGAGAAAATGTCATAGGGAAATTATCGGCCACCGCTGACTTCACATTCTCACAGAAGACATTGGTCGCAAATGTCTTTGAACCAGTCATTCGTGTTCCCGCATCACCGGCACTAGTTGTCTGTGTTAACCTCGCAGCATGATCAAGATCCGGAGATGAGTTGGTGTGGGGGAAATAAATTGATGCTTGAGTCTATTTTTGAGTTACGATTGGTATACGCCCCGTGCTGTGCATTACAAGAAAGCCACTATGCAGTAGAAGCACAAAAAGATTTATTCCAAGCGTTGTGTCATGCATGCTTGCGCTTGCCTGCAGCAATCCAGAAGGTAACACCGAAGAATGTAGGAATACTTGGCTGCAGCAAAGTGATTGGGACCTTCCCATCTTGTGGTCACTGCCTTGTGCTAGATGGATCTTCTTTGTCTGTTTGCTTGCTTTTGATACTCTTGATCTTCCTGTCCTTCTTGTCCCACTCCATCTATAATTCCCTGCTGCTGACCTCTTGTCACTCCTTGGTATTCCTTCTTGTACGGCAGGTCCGCTTGATATCTGCTCGCTATAATCACTTCGACTTCGATCATCCCTTTGCTCCGACATTTCTACCTTCCCGATAATCATAAGCTCAGGATGCACAGAACGACCCTCATAGCAGGCCTCGCGTTGATACTCTCCCCTCTCCTAGTCTCAGCACAAGGCACTCTAGGCTTCGCACTAGGAGCTAAGAATGGTGATGGATCATGCAAATATCAAGTCGACTACGAAGCCGATTTCGATGCCATAAAGACACATTCTGGCAGTACCATCGTAAGAATCTACTCAACCAACGACTGCAACACAGCTCAGCAAATCTTGCCTGCCGCAAGGAACAAAGGCTTCAAGGTCATCCTGGGTGTCTGGCCTGATGTAGATTCAAGTCTGCAGCTTGACAAGCAAGCTTTGCAGACCTACGTCCCTCAGTACCGCGACCAAGTCTATGGTGTTACCGTTGGCTCGGAGACAATGTACCGCAAGACCTTCACAGGCTCTCAGCTGCTCGAAAAGATCAACGATGTCAAGTCAGTGTTGCCTCAGGGTGTCAAGGTCGGAACAGCAGACAGCTGGAACAAGTATGCTGATGGCACGGCCGATGCTGTCATCAAAGGAGGAGTCGACTTTTTGCTTGCTAATGGCTTCGCATACTGGCAAGCGATGCCCATCTCCAATGCCACCAAGGCTTTCTTCGATGATGTCCAACAAGCTCTTGGTCGCATCCAAAGTGTTACGGGTTCGGCGAACGCGGTCGAGTTCTGGGTTGGCGAGACTGGCTGGCCTACTGATGGTGAGTACATATCCTTCTACAATCAGCTCGTAATACTGACCTTTCCACAGGAGGATCAAACTACGGCGCCGCTATGTCAGGCACGCAGAACGCGAAGACATACTTCGACGACGCCGTCTGCGGTATGCTAGCATGGAACGTCAATGTCTTTGTCTTTGAGGCATTCGATGAGCCCTGGAAGCCTCACGCCATCGGTGATAGCGGCTCTGCTGGAGACGAGACTCACTGGGGCGTCATGGATGTGAATCGCAACACAAAGTTCCCACTGACCTGCTAGTTGCTCTTGATGGCTGAGAATTGCGGTACGATGAGGTGATGATTTGAACATGAAACGACACGTACTTCTTGACAAGACGGAGAAGGTCCAGTGCCTCGCACATGGGGAGTTCTTTGAGGGGTATTGCTTTTCTCTTCCTGAGCATCATAGGAACGCTGTGATATTGAGCTTACATGCAAATTCTCATCTTCCTGTCTCCGGTGTGTCTTTCATCCATGAACGCCTGACGCCTTGCTTGTATGCTTGTAAGAGTGATGTCCTTTTGCTTCCATGCTGACTCTTGGTGGAGCTGATTCATAGTGCTTGACTGCAACGGTCAAGCGAGTGGCTGCGTCCAAAGTGGCGGATGTCAAGCAATGGCGAGTCGTTCGACGCTGGGTAGCGGCAGAATCTTCTTGGACAGTCTCGAGATGGTGGTAGTGGACGGGCAGCTCAATCGTCAAAGCCACCAAACTCTTCATCCTCGTCCTCACCCTCGATCTCTGCCTCAGCCTCGCTCAGTTCCTCATCGTCCTCCTCCTCATCATCCTCAATGCCCAGCCACTCCTTGACTCTTGAGTCGTCCAGAGCCTCGGCAACCTTCTTCCTCACACTCTTCAACAGACCTTTCTGTCCCAACTCGACCAACGGCTCCATCAGCTCTTCATACGGCGCGTTCTCACCCCCAACCTTCTCCAACTCATCAACATAGACATCAATGACATGATACTTCAATCCATTCGGCACCTTGGGATCCCTAGGATGCAACGGGATCTCCTTGAGCAACTCTCCATATTGCTTCCTCGTCTCTGCATCTTTCCAATTACCCTTGGCACACCACCCCCACGCGGCACTCACAAAACTCCTAATCAAAAACAGGAATTTATCCATACGCAGAGAATCAATCGCCGTGTATTCTCTAGCCATGGTTTGCCAGAATGCGCGCATGAAGCCGAGGAAGTTTGCGGGTGTGGAGAGGAGGGATACGAGGGCGGAGAGGTCGAGGGCGAGACGGCGTTGAGGAGCTGGTTTGTCGCAGGACCACATGCAGTAAAAGAGGCCTTTCCAGAGTTTTAGGAAATCGAGCGAGGTGAAGGGGGTGGAGCGGGAGAGGAATGTGCGGAGGGAGGCTACGGCTTTGTCCCGAACTTGACGGTCTGGTGAGGATGAGTGTTAGTCGGTTGCGCAATGAGAGTGGGCAGAAGGTAGAGGTGATGGATACCATTGTGGACTAATTGCTTGATGAATGGGTTGTTGGGCGCTGCTGATTGCGCCATCTTGGATGAATGTGATGTGTGTAGTTGCGTAGAGCGACAGTGATAGAAGACGCGATATAGACGTAGCGGCTGTGTATGAGGTGGACGCGAATGTGTTTTTGCGTAGGTAGCTTTGTCGCAAATGTTGATTACTTGCAGGTCAGTCTTGGCAAAGCGCAAAGAAAAAAAGTCGATGAGAGTTGCTTTCTCTCGCGCGGCTTTGTTCCGCAGACCCGAGATATCTGGGGTTGATCTGCAATGCGTTTGGAACACGAAGGCTTCACGCGTGATGGCATCGAGTAGGGCTCCTTGCGCACTTCTTGCTTCATAAGCTACCTGATGTTAATTATCTCCCTCGACCATTGAAATTGGACTTCCCACTTTCCTCCTCCATCATTCCTGTGTCACGAGTGTTAGAAGAACGCAAAATTGTTCGAACTTTGGAAGAGAGTGCAATTATCATAACGGCATGATGATGTGATTTGATGTTTGTAGACATGGGGTGTCATGATATCGTAAGTAAGTCATCGCTCATGCTTTCGAGTATGATATATCGTAAGCTCAGCCCAGCGGAGAGATACCCTATCTTCCTCTCTAGTCCCATTGCCCAGTCTTGGGCTAATCGTAACCAAGCTTGGTGATCTGCGATCCTGACGCTGCTCCATGGCCGGCGTATGCAAGCTCATCTCTGGAAGCATCCATATGCTTCGTCTGACCCCATTTCAGGACCTTGGAAACCGATCTCCAGCACTTCAAGATTCACTCATTGTTCGCCCTCTCCTACTCGTCACTTTCAGAACCACTCTCCTCCTCAGCGTCCTTGTCTTGACCCTTCCAAGCCATCATCTCCTGCTTGATCTCCTCGGTGACATATCCTCCCTCGAGTACTTTCTTGGCAAAAGCCTTCTTCCCAAGCAGTCCAGCCTTTTGTCTGCCAATAGCGCTCTCGGTGTTACGATTGCAGCGAGTGAGGAGAGCATCAAGGACCATGGCCAAATCGTCAGTCATGTCAAAGGTCTGGATGACGTGGTCGAAGGCGTCGAGGTAGCCTCTGGCTTGGAATGTACGGGCTTCGATGTCGATGGCTACTTTTCTGGCCTGCTGAGATGTCAGTGAGTGTAATGGAAGTGAATGTGAGTGTCGAGTTGAGGTTGTGGAAGTGATTGAGGGAGTCACGGTAACGATAGTGGGATCGTACCTCGACTTCACGGAGCTTGTGTTCATGCTTCTTGATGATCTTCTTGACATTCTTCTCGATGGCCTTCTTGAGAGAGCGAGGGATTCTGTAGGAGCACTTGAGCTGCTTGCGGTTGACCTGAGCCTTAATGGAAGGTGAGATGATGGCCATGTTTGTTGATGGCTGGTGGATGGTAGTTGTTCCTGATGGCTTGGTGTATAAGCAGACCAATGTTGATGAGGAAGTCGTGAGGTGAGAATGTCTCGGGTGATCGACGATGGTTGAGAAGGTTGGAAGTGGAAGGAGGTAGAGGAGGGAAGGAGAGATGGTTGATGAGGCAGAAGTAACCATCGTGCTGTATTGACTGCTTTACAATAGGCAAGTGTGAATGAGTTTTCAGCCTCTCTGATTGTCAAAGCCATTGGCTCGCATCCAATAGAGAGAGAGCATAGATTGGTATTATCGTATCGTCGGAATGGGGACCTTCACGGTGGGCAGTGAGCGAGGGGGGAAGATTGTGAAAGGCCGTTTGACACGGCCGAAGAACGAAAATGCTGATATTCTGCTGGCAACATGATGCTCGAATCCTCCTTGATCGACATGCTGTCGTTACTCTGCTCAAATTATACACACAAGAATTTATCTACGCAGACAACAAAAAACAGAAATGAAACTTTTTGATCATAACTCGTTAGATGGTTGGGCTCCTTCGACTCATGCAATGCTGGGAGCAACGCTTGCTGTGCGACTTCTGACTTGCTTTTTCCTAGTATACTCACTCCACTTGTGAGCGTCACTGAGCAGAACAAGACCGTGACCAGTGTCACGACAGTGGCGTTCGAGCCGTTGAGCGCGAGAGTCTCTGTACTCGCAGCCTGGGTGGGGGCACGGAATCGCGGTCTTGTCGTCCTCGTGGACTGTTTTGCGGTGTTTGGAGAGATTGGAGCTATCAGAGTAGCTGTCACCACACCAGCGGCACGAGAAAGGCTTCTCGTTAGTGTGGGTTCGCTTATGTGTTGATAGAGCTGTCTTTACGCCGAAGACTTTCCCGCATCCAGGGAAGTCGCACTTGAACTTCTTCTCACGGGAATGTGTCGTGAGATGGTTGTTCAGCTGCTGTTGGGTTACGCAACGATGACCACAGATGTTGCAGGCAAATGGCTTGACTGAAAACCAGTAAGTATTCATCTTAGTAAGAGATCTTCGCGGCGGAGTGGACTTACATCGGGTGTGGTTTTGCATATGGCGGTCAAGATGATTTTTCGTACCAAAGGGTGCATCCTTTTCGCACCCATCCCAGCGACAAACAAATGTGCGGTTGGGTGTTTTGGAAGGGATGAGAGTGCATGTATGGTCCTTGACATGGTTATGAAGGTCCTCAATAGTAGCAAACACACGGTTGCATGGTCCTGTATGTTCGTCGTTCCATCTGCACATGGCAATATCATCTAGGTCTCTTGAAGCCTTGTCTTGGCGGACTTTCGTCTTGATAGCAGGTGAGGCGCTGGCGGTGATAGGTTGGCTAGCGGATGGGAATTGTGATGATCCGAAACTTTGTGTTAGATCTTGCTGCCAGTAGTCATTGGGTGCGTAATAGGGTGCATTAAAATCGTGGAATGAATTAGATTCGTCGAGACGCATGCGTTTTCTTGGTGGATAAGCACTGCTATAAGTTAGCGACTAAATCTCCCAGACGTCATGAGTTGATCAAAAGGAGCTGTTACAATGCACAGTGAACTTTCATTTTGAAGCCTTGTCTGTGAGAGAGGGTAAAATTTCGATTCTCAACGGAAGAGCCTTTGGCACACATGTGACTGTGCATTGCGACAAGTGCCCTGAACATCGGTGCGGGAGATGGAGGAGAGAACACGTACTTTGTGGTGGGAAAGCTGTAGCCAAGATGCGGCATCAATGAAGCAGCCTCAATCAGAGATTGAAAATTGTCTGGCGTTGGTATGGAATCTGTCGTTGGCGTGCTAATGGTGCTCGTTGACATGGTATCTTGACTGGCGGTAGCGATTGTTGACGGGATCTTGTAACCATACGGCTGTGTACAATTCACAGCAGGACCAGGGTGGCAGACAGTCGACGGTATATGCTGGTCATGGCATGGCTGAGGGCATTCGGTACCCGGAGGATGAGGACGTGGGCATACATCCGAGAGACAGCAATAGAGGTGATCCTCGCTACATGTCGGATCCGAACAGGAGACGGTGACAGCAGCAGCAGCAGCAGCAGCAGCGCAGGCAGGAGTGCACTCTCGAGCGTGTTCTTGATCGCATCCAGGCTCGTGGCAGTTCAAATCCGTGCAAAGCCATTCGGCGGCATTGCAATTCGTCTCGGCACAATCAAAGGCCTCGGTACAACTGAGAGCATCCTGGGAGCAGTGCAGGTCGCCATAGTGCGGTAGAGAATAGTCGTAGCAAATTGTGGCTTCATCGCAGTCCGGCTTGTCGCATGGCGAGAGAAAACACGCTGCTTGGTCGGATGCGGCCATGGCAGGCGCAGGCGCAGGCGCAGGCGCGTATACAGGACCCTTCGAGGCCGACGCCGACGACGACAGCAGTGGTCCGGGCGGTTGCTGGCGCGCCATATGGTCGACGGCGTGGTGGTGGAAGGACGGCTTTGGTGTCGCGCTGACGTTTTCCGCTGACCTGAATGGCTGCTGTTGTCGAAAAACCGTGGGGTCCCGCGCCTCGTTACCACATGCATCTACACCAAGACACTGTTCCAACGACGGGTACATACCGCCGTATGAGTCGGCCCAAGCGTATGGAGGGTGCGACATGACGGCTACTTGATTCTCTCTTCTCAATTGGCCAGTAATTGATCGGAGAGGGCTCCTCCTGAGTGCTGGCCGTGCGACATAACTCGAATTCCACCTTGATGAGTAGCCAAGCCTGAAAACTGAGAACACGTGCTGCTCATCAAGGTTGTCTTGCCATGCACATCCACCTACACTTGTCTTCGTACATGTGATTTCGGCAGGGACGATACAACTAAGTATCATCAGATTTCATTTGGGCCATACAGGATGTAGGAAAGCACAATACTGTCTGAGAGCGGAAAGCACGACTTTGAGAGGGGGCTGCCAAAGTCGCTCTTGATGACCACGCTCGATGGAGCAAAATCATCGTGCATCGCGACTTCTACACTGCCGACCTTCGGGCATGCTAATACGCATAGCAGGACACACGATGAGATACATGCTTATATAGTGCACCACGAAGTAAACCAATTCATCCCTTTCTCATCGTCTGTTCAGGTATACAAATCCTTCTCACTACGTGTACCCCCACAAAGTGCGCCACGATGCTCGCGTTGCCGAGAGCTCCCAAGCCATCTCTCGGCGACCACCCTGTCCATACCACGATGTCGTCGCCTCGTCTCTACTCCGCCGCATCCTTCCCCTCTTCGCCTCTTCACCTTAAATACTCACCACCTAAATATCTTCAATCATGGGCAACTGTTTCGGCAAGCCCAAGTCCGACAACTTCTCGAGCTCCGGCCAAACCCTCGCCAATTCCTCCGCCAACGCTCCGAAGCCCGTCACAGCAACGACACCACTCAAGCCCAAAACTGCTTCATACTCACCCACACCAGCGCAAGGACGCACGGTGGGCGGGGCTTCCACTTCTGCACCTGGTAGCGATCCTCGCGCTGCTGCTGCTTTGGCTGCAGAGGTATGTCACTATCACTCCGACTCGAGCAATCATCAGGCAACGTGCTAACGCGCTATGATAGGAACGACTCAAAGCAAGTCAAGCAAGAGAAAAGGGGAAGCTCGGTAGACAACTCGATGCTCAGAAAGCGCAGACACACAACCAGGTCCTGGACGAAACAAGTAGAGACAACCGACTCGCTAGAAACGCAGACGAGAATGCTCAAACCAGAACTTGGAATTGAGTATTACAGTAGAGAAAGAGCATGCGCAATTTACAATGAGATGACGACGGTGGTGGGCGAGGAGTTTTTGCATGCTTGTTGGCCTGGCGCAACTGGATACCCCTTCTGTGAGCTCTGCTCGGAGGTTGTTGATTTTCTATCTTCTTTGCTTGCGCGCTTGCATATTGATCACACTGCCTTCTGTGGGCGGCAGTCTATCTTCTATTGAGCCTTCCTGGTCCACCTCTTTCGCGAGAGCAGTGGTTGTGATCCTCCATCCGATACCCCTTTAGCGCCTTTGTCTGCCCAGTTATCCCACACTTTCACCACATATACTGTGCTGCCTAGTACGATGGCTACCGAGCGATAGCCGAGCTGGCATGCTGGGCCAGCTCTTGTTGCATACAGCTGATTTTCTCCCGACATATCGATGGGTACTGTGTGCAGCTCGCCAGATGCCGAGTACAGATAAGCTTCCCATTGCTCGTTCTCATCGCCTGACGATGAGCTAGCTCCAGTACCTCGTCGTCTTCGGCGCAACAAGTTCCCACTGTCCTTCGGCAAGATGACGGGAGATGAGGGCGGACTTTGTGGCTTCCTGCGCAGTCCGACAACTGCTTCCGTCGTTGACTCCCATGACCCAGCCTCTGGAAGCCTGTGCTCATTCTTCTCCCAGTGAAACTTGGCGGCGCAGTTGCAGACGAGATCTTCTGTAAACAGACCAAGAGGCTTGAATGGTTCGCCCTGTGCTGCGTAGCTACGCACGACACACTCCCTAGTCTCGACATCTGTGAATACGAGGGATAGACTGCTCGCAGTCATGCCGCCACAACTCAGACACTGATTCCTGCCTGTGTGTAAGACACGCACACTATTAGGCTTGACGTTTGGGATGTTGAAAGAGCCAGATTGTCGCACAGTGGGTGTATGCAGTAATGTGATGGTATTAGTTGTGCAGATAAGCGATGCCTCGACTTCGTCGATCGTGTGCAGGCATGCACTGGCACCAGCTGTTCGGTCTGCTAGCGGTCGTGGATACCCTAGAGGCATCTCTTTGAAGGTCCACATACCCGAGGCTTTTTGCAATGCCGATATGTGTCCATCAGGATGCAGGAGGATGATTTTGGGCAAGTGTCGCTGTGCTAAGCTAAACGAGGCAGCCAGTAGCTCTCCTTCTGATACTCGGAAGGTCTGTATCGAGTTGTTGTGCGTGTGGAACTCCGTCAATTTTCCGTCTGCCGAGACAACAGCAAAGGACACCCCTTGTCCATTGGGCGTTGATGGAGAAGGGATGAACTCGAAGAGAAGTGGCAGCCGCTCTTCGCTGTCTGTTTGAAAGTCGTGCGTGAATTCACCTCGCGACAGATTTCCGAGCGAGACCCGACCATCATCACCAAGTACTGCCATCCAATCGCCTTTGTCGCTGATGCTGCAAGCGTGTATAGGCCATTTGATTCTTCCGCACTGACTTGGCGACGGATGTATCGTCATATAGGAGTTGCTCACTGGCTTGAACAGTAAGATGGAGATTGTCCGATCAAGTCCTATTGACAGCATGTGACCTTGTCGGCAACCAGTTATCTTGACAACGTCCAACATGTGCCCAGTCTCGATTGCATCTACTGTCAATGGAAGATTGTCGCCTCCATTCTCGTACTCTGCATCTTCAGCTCTGTCGTCCCACAGCAGAAAGTTCATCAGCACTGTGACAAAGGCCACGACGAATACAACCGCGATGGCCGTAGGATAAAAGTGTTGTGTAGCGACCCCACGTAGAGACTGTAGCCATGTCTCCTTGCGGTATAATATGCCGCTTCGGTCCGCTCCTCCGAGTGTTATCACCAGCGGGTCATATATCTTGGCGACGAAGCCTTGAGCTCCAGGCTTGACCACCTTCATAAAGTGGACAGCATTCTCGTAGTCCTGTGTCCGAAGCCAAGTCGCGGGATGGCGACTTTGATCTGTAGGAGGGGGCGATGTTCCATCAAATGCAGTCATTGGTAAAGCCTGCTTTTCGAAAAGCCCTGGAAAGACGCCAGACGCCGAAGTGCGTGGTCCATGAGCCGTCAGATGCCAATTTAGAGCCATGACGAAGCTTATCGTGACGGCGGACCCGGCCATACGTGTTGAGAATGGTACTCTTCCATGAATTAGTGCATCTATCCAAGTATGTTTTTCGGAGCGATGAGTAGCATGATGATGGCTGTGAGTACGATGATGCTTTGGTCTCGACTTTTGCTTTGGGACACTCCCACTTCTTGTGATTGAGTCCTGCAACTCCAGTCTCCGTATATCCACGCTAAGAACGGCAAGGAAGAACGTAAGTAGGAAAAAGTAGTCGAAGAGAAGTGCCACAGCGGCAAATGCACAGAACGCCGCTACTCCAGGAGACACGACCAGGGATAGCAACCAAAGGATGAGTAAATTTTGTGCCGCTGAGGCCAACGAAGAATGACCGATGTCAGCCATTCCATTGGCGATACGTTGTGTGTTCATCATCTCCGGTGGATATGCCACAACAGCATTGATAAGTCTGAAGATGTTCTCGAGGCCAATAACCAATACGACGAACGGGTATGCCTCCTGGGGTATCTGGGCGAGATTAATTTGCAGTAGCCCACATATGGTAAAACTCGCAAGAATCGAAGTTGTCATCTGGGTGATAGCCGTCACCACCAGACCAAAGCGACTGTGGAAGGCTTTCAACCTCCTTAGACTTAAGCCGACGTAGATGAATATGATGCCGTACGCCATAGCCAGGAGGGAGTTCTGACGGAAGCTGAGTGGCTGGATGCGATACTCGAACAATTGGCTGTGCTCAGGGCTGCCATTCCGTTGGTACTGTATCGGCAGGCCAGAAGATTGGCTAGCAACTATTTGTATGTTTCGCTGCCACATTTCTCCTTTCGGATCATTATTACGATTGAATAGGGAGATGATCAGAGCATCTGCTGCTTCTAGTCGTGAACCGGAGAAAGCCTTTCCTGCAAACACAGATAATGGTCGAAGAGTGAAGTTCAAGAAAGAAGGCTGACACGTGTTCTCGTTGACTGTCAACAGAATGTCCGGATCTGCTTCCAATCGAGCCAGCGAATTGTTCCAATATGTAAGTGGTGAATGGTAACCCCAGTTTGGGTGAGCAATACTGTGAGCGTCAGGAACGTGGGCCTCATTGGCATCCCCAAGTATGGCACTTTGTAAGACGAAGACATCTCGAAGCAATTCCTTGTCAAGCGCTTTCATGTAGCTTCCATGAATCCATATTTGTCGCATCTCGAGATCGTGAGGCTTGTTGGCATCGCCAGGGAAAGCCCGTGTTGAAGCCCAGACATGATGGGGTAGTCCACTGAGACCAGCAGCAGGAAAGTCCGATTGGAATACGGTCGGATATATCAGAGAGACACCAACAGAAACTGATACCAGCATGCATAGAAGCCAGTATCGAGCTGTGATAAGTCCGTGTCGGTAGAATGCTCTCCTAATCGGGTGGTCGGATCTCAAGCGAGGAGGATCACTCGTCCTTCCAAACCAGATATATCAATACACAACATCTGACAATTCTTGCTTTATGACCTACCCTCTAATTGGGGAAAGCAGATACCACAGCATTCTGTCGGTCTCCAGGGTCTACCGCGTTGGAAAGTTTCGAGACGAGCCGTTTTCGTACCATCCGAGAATGTGTGACAGAGAATTAAGGCATTGACATTTTGTGCTCTCGATTGCTGCTTCTGAAACACTTCCACAACGCTGCTTCAATTGAACGACGACATTATTGCTCGGGACGATCAGATTATGCAGCTAGGCGTTCGATAGAGAGGGGAGGAAGTTTTGATTGGATGCTCCGAAGATGATGTGGCAGCCTTGGCTTCGGATGCACGTTCCAGGTGCTGGACCTTTCGACTCTTCTGGTTTGGACTCTCCGAATCTCTTGCAAACTCACTTGAACCACTATCTCACAACAAGAGCAGATTGTAGTCGATCAACAAAAGAGAAGACCGAGTTGCAGAAACATGTACGATGTATGCCTAACAAACGGTTAATTCGGAATATTCCAATGAGCGCTATACTACCCTGCCTGGTCATGTACTCCCGCTGCAAAATGCATCCAAGGATAGACAGCAATTATCTCTCCAATTCAAAGACTTTGCCAGAGATCCCAAATGTGGCTTCTAGCTACATTGACCAGCAATCTGCAATCAAGAATGTAAGCAACGATCTTGTCTACGGACCGCTTGACTCTACGCAAGCTCGTAAGGTCCATATTGCACGTATGTAACGAACTCAGAAGTGGTGTGTATAAGGTATTTCGGGTGAGGTAATTTATGCTCCCTTTGTTCTTTCCTTGAAGACCCTCACTGCTTTGAGAGACAGTCCCTGTCAATTTGAGACACGATGGATCAGTACAACAGCAAGCAAACACGAGGGACACCGAGACAACATAGAGATTCCCTTTCCGAAAGCCCACCATCATACTCGGAAACTCAGAAGAAGCGGACTCCGCGGGTTGATCCGATAGAGAAGAGCACGACTTCGGACATTACACCCGACAGGCATTACAACAAATTGAAAGCCAAGGCTAGTGACAAGGAGACGCCCATAGCCGAGACCCATGCGTACGGAAAGCACTGAGATCCGAAGAACTACGATGCTCAACTCGCCAGCCCTAGAAAGCAGAAAGTTAAAGACCTTCGTATCGAGATCGTTGACCTCGAACAAGATCTTCGCGCACGAGAGAGTGTGGCAACCCGTGTTACTGCAACACAAAATAAGAATAGTGCACAGCAAAGCGACGATAGCGTGCTCGGGACTATGTGTCGCAAGGTCGCCAACCTCGAGGCTGTCCTTCTCGTTAAAGAGCAAAAGGTCAAATCGCAGGCGGGTGAGATATACGAACTCCACGAATGCCGCACAGCAATATCCCAAGCCAAGGACAACATGATCTCCGCTCTCAAGCAGCAGGTCAAAGAACTCGAGGAGGATCGTCTCGCAGAGCATGCGAGGACCGCCGAGTATACATGGAAGATCGAATCTACACTACGGTCGAGAGACCAGAAGATCCTGGTCCTTTCTGTAGTCAACCAGAGGTTCTCTAGCGGTCGCGTCTATTCAGTTGGTGGTAAATACTCAACGCAGTCTGGTAAAACAACCTTGCATGTCGTTGTATCCAAACGATGTGGTGAGATCAAACATGAATGTGAAAGTTCTTGGAGGAATCCGGAGCAGGGTGACCAACCCCAACGAAGATATTTACCTCGGCTCCAACCCCGCATATCGGGTCCAGATTGTTGACCATCTTCACATGCCATTCCAGGACCTTGATGTGTCCATCCTGACGCCCCTGTCAAACCTTCATCAATCCTCTGCATCACCGTCTCTCGAAACAGCGAACCGCAACAATGGCATCCCCAAGACCCATCCCCTTCTCCGAACCCCCATACCTCTCCGGCATCCCATCTCCTTACTATTCGGACTCTCATCTCTCCTGGCAAAAGAGATGCCGCGAATTCATCTCCAAAAACCTGACCTCCCACGCCATGGAATGGGAAACCGCAGAAACAGTCCCCGAACACGTCTTCCACGATTTCTCGGCTGCAAACATGTTACTCCCCAGTCTCCCCGCTCCTCTTCCTGTTGAAAGATTAAAGAGCTTGGGTATCAAGGATATACTTGGTCTGCCAGTGGAAGAGTTTGATTACTTCCACAATGCAATCTACACGGACGAGATGCTGAAGTCAGGCTTGGCGGGACCGAGTGGGAGTTTGACGACTGGAATGGCGTTTGGAGTGCCGCCATTGTATAAATTTGGAAGTAAAGAGCTGCAGGATAGATTTTTACCGGATCTGTTGACGGGGAGGAAGAGGGCTTGTATTGCCATTACAGAGCCGGATGCTGGGAGTGATGTTGCGAATATCCAGACTACGGCGGTCAAGAGCAAGGATGGAAAGACGTATACGATTAATGGAACGAAGAAATGGATTACCAATGGTATTTGGAGTGAGTTGTCTTGTATGGCTGTTAGAACCGGTGGGTCGGGTCCTGGTGGCTTGTCGTTGATGGTTGTGCCGTTGAAGGGACATGAAGGTGTTAGTATGAGGAGGCTGAAAGTTAGTGGTCAGATCAGTGCTGGTACCACATACATCGAGCTTGACGATGTGGTGGTGCCAGCGGAGAACCTGATCGGAGAGGAAGGCATGGGTATGAAATACATCATGACGAACTTCAATCATGAACGCCTGACGATCGCTATTGGTTGCGCTAGACAGGCCAGAGTCGCTCTCGGTGCAGGTACGTACATCGCCATCTCTGCAAGGGTTTCATACTGACTCTTCCCAGCATTCGAATATTGCATGAAGAGAGAAGCATTTGGGAAATCTCTCATGGATCAACCAGTAGTGCGTCACCGTCTAGCTAAATGCGGCGCACAACTCGAGGCTCAATGGGCATGGACAGAAAGTTTCGTCTACGCCATGACCAAGCTACCCAAGAAAGATGCAGATGTCGAACTCGGCGGTCTAACCGCAGCTGCAAAAGCGCAGGCCGGCGTAGTACTAATGGAATGTGCTCAAGCTGCCGTACTTTTATTCGGCGGTAATGGCTATACGAGATCTGGTCAGGGAGAGATTGCAGAGAGTAAGTAACGTCTTCCTTGTAAATGTTCATGACAACCAATGCTGACTGGAAACAGAAATGTGGAGAGAAGTGCCAGGAAACCGTATCCCAGGCGGAAGCGAGGATGTAATGTTCGATCTGTCTGTCAGACAACTGGTCAAGAACTACCAGAATAAGACAAAGATGCTAGAGAGGCCTCGTGGTTCGTCGAAGCTGTAGAGGAATACACAGAAGAGATTGCATTACTACCACTCGTATCTGTTATCTGATATCCCAGCACTAGCATATTCTATGCTCCGGTGGCCTCCACGGCACACCCAGTGCCTCAAAGATCTTCTTCTCATCTTTGCCTTCAACCAGTGTACCCTGGCTCAGCTTCTCACGGCCACGGTCCCTCAGCACGTCCTTGTACAGACCACGCTGATTCAACCTCATACCTTTCTTGCTAGCCAACAGTCGCATGCTGCGATTGAAGATATCGTTGCCAGTAAAGTAGAGTAATGCGGCGCCTAATTCCTCTTCAGGTACAAGCAAGAGGTCTATGCGACGCCAGGTATTGCTGCCAGGGAGGCAAGAGGCGCCGTGCCATTTTGTGCTATCGGCATGGGACGTCTGTGCTAGTGCTGCAACGAGGAACTTGTGTTTTGTGAGCAACGGCACAAGACGGTCCATAATCGTCGTGCGGATGTTTTCAATCGGCACTCCTGGTTTGGTGATGAGAAGATCGATGTCACCAGAGTCCTGTGCGCCGCGGCGATAGGAGCCCATCGTGTGGATCTGGTATTTTGGATCCAAGCTCTTGAGCACCTTTTCGATGATGGCGGCGTGTTTCTCGACTTCAGATCGAGGGACACGGCTGTTGAAGTCGTCATAGTGTGCAATGCCAATCTTTTGATTGTCTGACAATTCGGCTTTTTGGAGCAGGTCGTCCAAAGTCTTGTGTCCCGCACTTGCCCATCGCTCTGCTGCATGTAGTCCTACTCCGTAGATCTTCATGAACTTGTTGAGAGTTTGCTGGCGCTCGTCCAATTTGGTAGAGTCGAGTTTGCGAAGGTGGTTGGTCCGAACAATTTCTTCTATCTTCTCCGCGATCGAGCTGCCAATGCCATAGACACGCATAGCTTCTTCCTTGGTATTGATTTTGCTTGTGTGTTTTCTGAGCGCAGAGATAGCTTGACGGTATGACTTGGAGCGCCACTGGTCGCGAGTTTGGTCGTAGTAGTCGGCCAACTCTTGCAAGACGGACAGTGTCTGGGCGTTGGGTCCTCCGTTACCACTACCACCCGTGTGCTTGTGCATACATTGGAACTTTTCTTGCCAGTTGTTTGGGTTGTGTCTCTTATGACTCTCACCTGCAAGAAAATGGAGGGTTAGCATGATTTTTGTCAACTGACACAACTCGATATCGCCAGTCGATGATAACAAAGCTAGCTGTCACATTGCGGAATGTATTGTCTTCCAAAAAGGGATGATCGTCCAAGGACGGTCGACTCTAGACCAGCGCTCGAGCGGGAACTCCAATCTGCCGAGTTCCACTCTGCAACTTGACAGCTAGAATTGACCCACTTGGATGGCAATTGAAATAACGTCCAGTGGGCATTGACCCCACTCCATACTCTCACATACGTACCGTCTTCTTCCTCGTCATCTGAAGCAAGGGGGTGTGAATCTTTGGCCTCCCTAATGGCCATATCGAGTTCATCCTCGTCCTTGTCTCCGACTTCTTGTTTGTCGCCAATGCCAGGTGCGATAGAACCTGCTGGTAATGCAGCAGACAACGCCAGGTCCGGACTTGCGTCGGACTGAGAGGTCGCTTGCGAAGAGAGTACGGCGGCTTTCCTCTTTACGGGCTTGAGCTTCAGTGACACTTCTGATGCCTGTGATGGAATTGCTTGAGCCTGGGCGGATGCAACTGAAGCAGGTGGTTTGTAGCCCTTAACTACAAACTGAACACCCGCTGGATCTACGAGCTTCAGAAATTCCATACAGGATGATGGGTAGTTCTCTTTGACCAACACAATGCCAGCCTACCCCTGTCAATAAGGGAGACCATGGTCGAAGGCAATACATAACTTACCGGCAGCTCGTTCATTTTGAGATATTTCAGTAGTTGTTCAAAGTTGTACCCGTGGTCGGTAATTATGTGAGTGACAGAGTCGTTGAAGTCATTCTGCCATGACGCGCCATACTCAATGGCTCTGATGATCCTCTGTCTGCGACCAGGGTGGGTGTCACTGTTCGGGAAGAAGTCTGATATGTCAGTATTGTGCGAGTGACCAACATTCGAGCTTCACTTACAGAAATGAAGATTTTGAAAGATGCGTTGATTTTCAGGGACGAGTTTGATATCGGCGACTTGTTTGCCAGGGCCTTTTTTGCTCTTCACCATGGGGATTGCCGATGAAGCAGGTGGGTCAGAGGAGGAAGGCATGTTCGCTTCATCGACGGGTTTGTTGAGGGAAGGTAGACCAATGACTGTGTAATGATGGTGGAGAGGAGGGGTGTCTCTGACTATTGAATTCGAAGCACTGAGCTCTTCTAAAAGCAGAAGAGGATTCTTAGCTCTCCTCGGGTCAGACCGTTGCTGAGACGACGAAGGCAGTGAAGGGTTCATGTTCAAAAAAGAGCGTAGGAGGCTGCCTGGAGGTCTGCGTGGTGTGTGGCGCGAACGCGAGAGGGAAGTGGTTGGATCACCAAGAGTCCTGCCTTTGACCTTTTGAAACGAAGCCAGCAGACCCTCGTCTTTCACCTCGTCGCTTTCATCGTCCAAGGCATATAAAGCGTCGAAATCAAGCTTCTTTTTGGCAGCGGAATTATGATTGTGCTCTTTCGCAATAATGTTGAGTACTGCGTGGCAGGGTGAAGAAGACATCGAGGCGAGTATCTAGTATACTTTTGGTTAAACTTAGTCGACTAGGGAAGCAATGCTACCGATGTAAATTCATCGTTGCAAGTTCAAAGATAGTCACAACAAATTCCGACATTGTGATGGGAATGGTCTTGTAGGAGATGAGGGAGGTTGTCAAGAGCATCTCGGGAGTGCTCCGACTCCGCAGTTTGGCGGACAAATCTCAAGGCCGGGGAGCTGCTTGAAGTCTTCCACTCTCGACAGTCAACAGTACATCAATTTTTTCAATACACAACATGACGATGAAAGCACCGTCACTATCTTGCTTGCGAGAGCTTCGTGCGCTGATTGCACCAGAAAGCAATCGATACTGCCTCTCAGCAACCCGCAATTATGCCACCGGATCAAAATCTACAACACCCACACCCACACCCACGCCCACACCGACGACGCCCATGAATTACACACCACGCGAGGAAAAGGACCCCGATGCTGATCCCGTACCCAAGCCACTGCAACGACCAATTGGCTTGCCTCACCCACCTCGAGCTGGCGAGAACACTGGAGTCGACGATCGCAGCTGGAAAGAACGCAGGGACGACTTTGTCAACTATGACAAGCATCTTGTTCGCCGCAAGAAGCTGAGCGACACTCTGTACCGTCCTTATTTCCGCGACTTTAGCGCCATGCGTCACTTCAAGGGAAAGACATTTATTGCGCCGCAATCCATCTTCAAGGCTCAACATGCTCTCTGGTTCCCCAATCTGCGTGGTCGTACTCTGGAAAAGGACTCGACCAAGAATGCAGAAAAGAAGGATCTGGTGACAGCCTTGAAGGGCAAAGTCAGCATAGTCAGCGTCTTCTCGGCTGCCTGGGCCGAGCACCAAGTTGCCACTTTCTGCTCGAAAGAAAAGAACCCGGCCTTACACGAGGTGCTGGAACAAGAAAAGGCGAGGGGTAAAGCAGGTCTTGCTCAGATGGTCGACATCAACCACGAGCCCAATGCTCTCAAGTGGTGGATCTTGCGGGCCTTTGCCGGCAGACTGAGAGGCATGCGACCCAAGCAAGACTGGAACAAATACTTCCTGATCAGACGCGGTATCGACGACGACATTAGAGAGGCCATTGGTCTGTTGAACAGCAAAGTCGGCTACGTCTACCTGGTCGATAGTGAGTGCAAGATTCGATGGGCTGGCAGTGCCGTTGCACACGAAGTCGAGCAAGAGGACTTGGTCACCAACCTGAAGAGGCTTTTGGCAGAGACAAGGAAGAACAAAGAGACCCCAAAGAGCCTGAAGGCCGACAGCGTGCTCGAGGCAGACGCCGTAACCGCCCCTCGAGCCGCTCAATAATCGATCTCTATTCGTACAGGAACAAGACATTTAATCTTCTCTCTTCCCAATCACAGCGCTCTCATGCCCATAGACTCCCAAACTCCTTGCAGCGAGTACTTGTTCACGAAAAGTACATGAAGAGCAAGAAGCAAAAGGCGATGAAGCTGCCCAATATCACACCATCCCGTCTCTTCTTGTTGCCTATCTTGCTCATCAAGCTGTTCATTCCAGGTACTTGGCTGGCGGCTCCGACTATACGACGGTTGATGCTAGTAAGCGTGTCCCTCTGGATGCCGAATTGCTCGTTGATGGCATATGCCGATGTGAGGACCGTGTCGGTCATGTTGTGGCTGTTGTCTATGCGACTTCGTTCGTCCAGCATGTAATCTGCTTCTGCTTGCTCGGGATTCTGTGCGCGATAGGCGTTGATGTCATTGCGGACGTTGGATAGGAGGTTGGCACGGTCTCGTTGATGGCCAATGTTCGACTTGAGTTTATCGAGCTCTCTTCGATGTTGTTGTAGTATCTCCCGATGACGGGCCAAGTTTGTGGATTTCAAGGCCGAGGCGGTGGGTTCAGAGTCGAGCAGGCGCGAAAGCTGCGCGATGAGGGCTGAACGCTGTCAGGCATCAGTCTATTTACATGATGATTGAGATTCATGTGAGAAGCTTACCCTTTCGAGTATGTCTTGTAGTTGAGCTTCTGTTCGCTGTTCGTCTTCGTCGGGCTTTGCAGGGATATTGGTCATGGAAGCATATTGAGAGTATGTGTGGAACAAGGCATCAGTCTATGAAGTGTTAGCTTATGGATGAAAAGAATACAGAAATTATATATACCTGCGTCTCGAGTGAACGAGCCTGTTGTCGTAGTTGTGCCCAGCTCCCGGTCCCAGATGCAGCCATTTTGGACGAGTGATGTTTATTGTACAAGGATGGAAGGGCGGCCAGCGAGCAACGCTCTTCACATGCGACTGACGTTACGCACCAAGGCTTGTGCTGAACTTTTGCTTGGCGCTTCCTCGTTGTGCTTGCAGACCCTCACTCTATGCTCTACCCCAGACCCGCACGTGATTTGTGAAATTTTGCCAAGGCCATCTAGCGGGAACACACACAGCGCAAATTCTGGAAATCAACTTCACGCCGAATCTCACACGACTTCTCGCCCACGTCGACTCAATCTACTAACTCACAGCGAAAATGGTGCGCCAACTCGTCATATCCATACCCTGCCACGTCGGAATGCTGACGGAAATTATCGCAGTCGTCCGCTAAGGTCAAGGCTAGCCAGCTCTGGAGCAAGAACAAGGATGAGCTCAAGACTCAGCTCGAGGAGTTGAAGGCCGAGCTCGTCCAGCTCCGCACCCAGAAGATTGCCGGTGGTGCCCAGAGCAAGCTCACCAGAATGTACGATCGATTTCCCGCATCCCGATAAGACGAAGGAAAAGAGATGGAAACCACGAATGGAAAAGATTGAAAAGGGCCTACACATGCACGAATTGCGACACGAAAAGAACCCTTTCTGACATATGATTCTTCCTACAGCCATGACGTCCGCAAGTCCATCGCTCGCGTCCTGACCGTCATCAACATCAACCAGCGCTCGCAGCTGCGCATCTTCTACAAGAACAAGAAGTACCTTCCCCTCGACCTCCGCGCAAAGCAGACCCGTGCCATCCGCAGAAGATTGAGCAAGGAGGATGCTTCGCGCGTCACCGAGAAGCAAAAGAAGAAGCAGACCCACTTCCCCCAGAGAAACTACGCCGTCAAGGTGCGATAATATCCTTCATCCTTTTATCGACAAAGGAAAAACTCTACAAAACTTCGTCAGTCCTCGTACTGACATAGTCTCTGCTCCCACAGGCCCAATAAATGGTTTCGCCCAATCTCTTCCGACTTGCTACTTCCCTCCCACCATAGCGGGGTTCCCTTTTTTCTTGGTTCGGCGACGGCTTCTCGAGGACGGGTTATCGCTCAACTTCTTAGCCACAATGTAGCCAGCATCAAGACCAACCAAAAAAGCAGCGCGCACTTTTTCGGCGTTAAAAGAAATGACAAGCTGGTGGTTACCAACCAAATGATCCAATGTTTTACGCAAAAAAAGAAGATTCTTTTTCCATCGACCGTCTGTTATCGCAATTGGCAAGCTGTGAAATTCGCATCACTGGGACTTGCAACATCTACACTGGATCATTTGTTTCACGTCTGCTTCACCTGGACTCTTGGTATTGGTTCGGCTGTATCGTCGTCTTGCTCGCTTCTCGGAAAATATCAACACATGTCCTTGCGTGTATTGCAACAACCGACGTCGTCTCTGTTTTCCCTGCGTATTACAACACCATCTCATCTTGTCGAAAGTGGTAAATTTAGAAATTGTCAGCCTTGTAGTCATGACGGACCAAAGTCCGTTCGTTGCATAATGTGAAGATTCTATGGTATCGAGGTGCAAAAAAACAAGATAGGTACTTTTTCCATCCTTTACATGCCAGCCATCTCTTCATCACCGTCTGCTGCCTCGTCGTCCTCGTCAATGCCTTCCCACTCGTCGTCCTCGTCGTCCTCCTTGCCCTCCTCTGGCGGAGGACCCAGGACTTGACATTGTGCATCGACCAACTCCTCGGTGTGTTGCTTGAGTCTCTCGTCCTCGTACTCCAAGACTCTGTATAGTCTCAGAGTATTGAGCAGCCAACTTCTGCTTGCTCTCAATGTAGCCAGCAACTCCTTGGCTTGTTCGGATTCGGCATTGTGAATAGCGTCGCCAAATTGTGTCTTTTTCTTGTCTGCCATGAGTTGCAGACACCAGCCACCGAGGTAGCAAGCCTCGACACTCTGATCATCTTCCAAAGCCAGACGCTCCAGAACGTCCATGGCTTCCTCTTCCATGTCGGCTTCCATCAGTAGACGGGCGAGACTGACACGGGTGGGGAAATCGGGGATTGTAGGGTCTTCGGGCTCAAGGTCCTTCCACATGCTGATGCTACGAGTGAGGGCAGCGCGTGCGTCTTCAGGCTTGAGTTGTGACAGGCGGACGGAAGCTAGTGTTTGCAGGACCTCTGGGCTCTCGGGATCAACCATCATGGCTTCTGTGATCAGGTTCTCGCATCTTTGTTCAGCATCCGCCTCCCATCTGTAACCTTGGTGTTAGCAAATCATTCTCTCAAAGTCGTAGAAATGCCGCAGAAGCAAACTTACGAAAGGTCAGTCATGTAGACCTCGACAACACCACACAGGGCATTTGCCAACTTCCCCCTCTTCTCCTCCAACAGCACCTCAGCCGTCTCATCTCTCTCCTGCACAGCCTCGAGCTCCCCGATCTCCCTCTTCAAGACCTTTGCTCCACGCTCAAACCACGCCACACTAGCCGCACCACCCTCCTCGCACAACTGCGCCATCCACAAGAACTTTTCCGCACCCCCACCCACAGCCTCTGGAATCGCACCCTCGGGATCGGCCTCTACAGCTTGCATGAAGTAATCGCGAGCTGCGTCTGCGTCTCCCAATTCAATGCTGATTTCTCCGAGAAGATTCAGGGCTGGCAGCACGGCATTGGGGGTTTGAAGTTTGCGGACTAGGACGAGCAGGTTTTGGGCGTGTTCGAGAGCTTGTTGTGGTTCGCTGGTTTCGACGCATTGGATGGCGAGGTCGTAGAGTTGTTCAGGGGATTCTTTGGGGAGGGAGGAGCTCTTTGGGCTCTTCTTTGACTTTGTTTTGGCCATGGTTTGCGACTTGGTGTCTTTTCTTTTCCTCGGTAGCTTTTGGTTTCGCGAATGATTGGGTGTGGTGAGTTGTTGCTACGCTACTCCGGTCGCGTAGTTGTTTTGGAGCCTAGGATTGACTATGCAGACCAGCTGATCAGATATCCTGTGATGGCAGATAGCAAAAGGAATACAACAAGGATGAGGAACAAGAAATGCCTTCTCCGCTAGGCGCTTCGTCTTTCGAAAAAATGCGAGCACAGACCACGCCGACGTCAATTGTTGGAGAGAGCGAGAGCGAGAGCGACGGGAAGCTTCATGCTGCTATTTTCCCATGCCGCAATATTAATACAAGAACTATACAACACACACAGTTATGGGTAGAGAAGAACAGACTGAGGAGCGCGAGGTCCTCGACTCCATCTTCCCCGACGAAATCACCGGTGCGTTGCTTCTGCATACTACACAGAATGGGTAGAACATTGCGCTGACGAGAAAGCAGACATCTCAGAGACAGAATACCGTGTGTCGATAGAGCTCGAAGTGACTGAAGAAGATGGATCAACAGAGATGCCTCGTACGGACGAACAGCTACAAGCAAGCAACCAGAAACATTAACAAAACACACAGCCACTATCATCCTCTCCGTCGCATACCCAGAAGACTACCCAGATGTAGCTCCGCGACTAGACCTTTCTGCACCACCAAACGCACCAAAGCACAAACACCTCGACATCCAAGAAGACAAAGCCCGCCTCTTGGATGGTCTGACCGCAACAATCGAAGAAAACCTCGGCATGGCCATGGTCTTCACCCTCGTCACAACCCTAAAAGACGAGGCAGAACTCCTCATCTCAGAGCGACAACAAGCCGTGCAAGCAGAAAAGGACATGGAAGCCGCGGAAGCAGAAGCAGAAGAAAACAGGAAATTTGAGGGCACAAAGGTGACGAGAGAAACATATCTGGAGTGGAGTAATAGGTTCAAGGAGGAGATGGCCGAGATTAAGAGAAAGGCGGAAGAGCAAAGGGAGGCGGAGGAAAAGAAGAAAAAGGGTGCCAAGGAAGAGAAGAAGATGACGGGTAGAGAGCTTTGGGAGAGTGGTATTGCGACTAGAGCCTTTGTCGACGAGGACGACGATGGTGCCGACGCGCTGGAAGCTTTGAAAAAGCTCAAGGTCGAGGCTTGAGTTTTTCCAGCCGTATCTTGTCGATCGATCGAACCGACACAGTGCACCGCTACATGCTCTTGCCATGTCACCGACGTCGAAGACGGACTAAGTCTGGTAAAGAAGTGCTTAGTACTCGAGGATAACGGAGTGCTCGAAACTACGTCCAAGAATCTTTCCGGGATCGAAGACTGACAGTCGGACCGCGTCAGAATCTCTCCAGACGGCCTCAGAGGAATCTGTCAGTGTACATAACAGATGTCGGACAGTATAAAGGGGACAAACTACGAGCATATTGACGACTATGGACATGGTTCCCTACACGTGATGTACCCTCTCCGCTTGAGACATTCTCCAGTGTGCACCAACAACCAAAATCATGGACTCTATCGTGGCAATCGCAAGCATCACGTCAATCACATGGCAGTCATCAGGAGAATGTACAACTTTGAGTCAACACACGTTCTGAGCGTGCTTTTGGACCATTATCTAAAAGTACATTATACAGGAGTAGCTACCAAAGAGACTCCCGTTCAGAGCACCAGTGCTCTGATCAAAAGGTAGGTCATACACTTCGTTTTCATGAAACAAACATCCCATCTGCTTAAGCAGAAGTGTCCTTGAGCGAGTCAAACTGGCCATCGTTGGTGAGCTCAGTCTGCTTGGGGCCAGCAGCATCACCAGCAGATTGCTGGGCATTACGCTGCATGTCGTTCAAAGCAGCACGACCTGGGTCATTCTTGCCACCGATATCAGTGTTGAAAGAGGCGTTGGGAGCATTGCTGTCGAAGCCACCCTCGGTGATGTTCTTGCCGTGAGGGGCTTGGCCTGCGGTACCCGAAGTGTTAGCGGGTCCACTGGCGAGATAGGAAGACTGTGGTGCGGCTGCTTGGCTGTTGCTGTTGCTGTTGCTGCCACCACTGCTGCTCAATCCACGTGCGGCGTTCAACTGGGCTTCCTCGTTCCAGCCTTCCAATGCCTGGCGGGCCTCGGCATCGGGAGCGGCTTGGAGTGTGGTTGCGCCAGAGGTGTCGGTGTTGTTTGTGGTGGTGGAGCTGGAGGGCTGCGATGAGGCGGCTGCGTGGCTACCGGCGCCGAACGAACCGCCTGATTTGAGCGATTCTCCAGCCAGAGAGTCTGATGTGATTGTGCCGGCCTTTTCAATCTTGGGGTTGTTAATACCTTGAGGGTCGTTGGTAACCTGTGTTGGTTCTTTTGTCAGAATGTGGTTCAATTGAGAAGCTGCTTCGAGCTCAATCTACCTTGGATCCGGAGGAAGACATGTTGTTTGATGTGATTGGTTGGTTAGAGCTTGAAACTGGAATATTTGATGGTTCTCGAGGAGTATTTGTTTGTCGTGAATGGAATTGAAAAGGTTCAAAAGATAGCTGCCTTCGCTGCGGTTTTGTTTGCTCCTCGAGCTGGTTACCCTCCTAAGCTCCAACTTATTGCGTAGAGTTTCTACTCATCCTCGGTACATCATCTCGACGTAATCAGTACAGCTCTCAGTCCCATTCGAGCCTCGAGACTCCCACGCGATGTGTACCTTGTGACATCGTGATCGTTACATCATTCGAGCTTAACCCCACCTTTTAAATTTTGCGACCGCGTGCCCCGCACCTGGTAAATGACGTTTACCGATCATGCTTTACCTACTTGTCGGAAAGGGCAGAGTTGGCAGGATGGCCTTTGGTAAAGTCGCGATTCTTCAGACGAAAATGTGGCCTCCAGATGGCATAGATTTCAAAATCCGGTCTGTCCGGACTTTTTCGTGTGGTCGTGGTGGTATGAATAAACATTCGGCGGCTCTGCTTGAAGTGACCCACTCACTTCCGAAACTCTGATTTCGCCGCACCTGTCGCAACCTCATTTGAACAATCCACTCTCGTGGCAGAATTTTTTTAGCCCTGTAAATAGTGTTGAGGCTCTATTGATTGTTGAGGGGGAGCAACAGACCGTGCTGCAGGTACGAAGTCATGAATCGAGAATTTCCATCGAGATGGTGTTCGGAGATAGGGCACAAATATCACACGAGCAATTGGGAAATCAAGGTGGAAGTTTCAAGAGTGTACGTTAAATTCATTTTCATTTCCCAAGCATTCTTGAATGCTCATTCGTTATCATTTGGCAGGTTCTCGTAAGATGCCGAATAGAACGCCTTGCGTGCTCATTCGCAAGGAGTTATAGTGTAAAATAGAACAGAAAGAAAAGTTTCATCCCTCATACAAGCCAATGTCCCTGTAAGCGCCCAGCGCCAGGGAAAATCAGATAGCTGCGAAACATAACTTTTTTGACATCAAGAAATGGTCAATGCCACTTTAGTTGGTGGTGTCAGCGAGCGAGGACTTGTTCTTGGCCTCACGGGTGACAGCATCGTTGGGGAGGCCGTTAAGACCGTCCTTGCCCTCACGGCCAACACCCTGACCGAGGGTGGCATCAGCGCTTCTAGCGACGCTGTCACCAGTGGCAGGCTCGCGGAGAGCGTCGTTGCCGTGGGAGAATGTGTCAGAAACACGTCCAGAGCCGACGTTGACGGTGCTGGGGTCGGAGGAGTTGAAGTCGGACTTGGCGGGAGGGGCCTCGGGCTTGGGGAGGTTGCTGCGGCGCTCCTCAATGAGCTCAGCCTTGTTCTTGTCGGCCTGGTCGACGATGGACTGAGGATATGTCAGATAATGTTCTTGGTCTTGATCGGTGGAAGGCATGGAAAACTGACCTGCATGGCAGCGGCGTTGGAGTCGGCGGCGACGTTACCACCGTGGGCAGCGGAGTCGCGAGCCTCCATCTTACGGACGTCCTCCTTGGTGTAGTGGAAAGTCTGCTCGGTACCGGACATTGTGAAGTTGTGTGGTGGTAGTGGGGTAGGGTTGGAGAGTGTAGAGCAGTGGATGAATTGTAGGGTTGGAAATTGGTTTGAGATATGAGATGAATGATAAAGAAAAACTTCAGAGACTGCAGAGATGCTCATATTTGAACTCGTTGTTGATTTCAATCGTGAAAATAATTATGACGGTAGACTTACATCATGTAGTGGGGCGGACAAGCATCAACACCTGGTAATGTCCAGAGATCAGAAACTCGTCGAATCTTTCGTTCCCCAGGCGGACAGTGCGCACCACCTTCATCATGCGATCCATCATGTTTGCCGATTTCGTACACGTTCAGGGCTCTACCAAGACGTTGCGGCTCCACAGCGTCGCGATGGCGGAGTCACAACTCTGCAAGCTTGCGAAATTTTCGATGGAGGATTCGATCTTTCTCGCAGAACAACATTGCGATCAACGGCCTGCAGTCGGCTTTACTCAAGTACTTGGTACCTGTTGCGCCCAGTATCTTAGCGGAGTTAAGTCCTAGCAGGACAATTGTCGCAATTATGCATGTTCCTGTGTGTACCAGGTATGTAGGTCAGCGAACGGTGTAGGTTACACTGACTCGAAGCGACCAAAGAGAAAGCTTGCACTTCCTGTTCCCAATATCGGTCGAATCATCAAGCAGATACTTGGTCTGGAGATTTATTATTCTCTCTTCCTTTCGAGTATTTGGTCTCTTTGACCTAGATCGTCTCAAAAGTGGCAGGAATGTTTTATGAGATTGACGCGGTAGGCGAGGAAGAGTGATCAATACTATACCGAAGACGCGTGCTTGACGTCGAGTAACACAGGAGGTCCAACTCTGGCTTCACGACCGAGATATGGTCTTGGTATCGACTGTCTCGCATGGATGTATCCTGACGAGTGAAGATGTGACAGGTGGTGGTGGGTAGTGATAACCGCGTGAGCATTTCAACAAGCTTGCCTGTCATTCATTCCCTCGTCATTCATAGAGAGGATCAAGGGTCTGACATTTCTTAGCATTGAGTCCCTTCAGGGACTCGAAACTGGGGAAGTGGATGTTCGACCACATAGCTGACGTGCTTCATCCACCTGGGTGAGCCCCAATCGTCTGATCATGATTCCTGTTGTTGGTCAGGGAATCCTGGCTCTGAAGCCGTAGCGTAGATAGCAGGCAGGCGCTCGATTTCGTTAGCGACCTAGTTGCAACAGTGATTGATGATGCTTCCTATAAGACTTCTGAGTGTTGGTCATCAGTTGATGAGGGTGAGTTGGTCGAGTGTGCAGGACGCGTCATCAACGCGACGAGAGTTTCGAAGGCAGGGTGATACTGACAACAATGTGCAAGCCGGTCGACATTGCGATGACGGGCGCAATGGTCTGTCGCTGGTCCTACACTGATCATTTGTCGTATCTATTGCCAGCGAGGAATGATGTGAGTGGATAACACGGTGGTTGACTGTGTATTACTGTTGCTGTTGGTTGTCAATCACTCAGCTCGACGGAGAGCACTGGTGATCGACGATCGAGTCACTTGAGATTTATAAAACCGAATGTAAAGAAGCCACAAATCGAGTGACTGTTAAGTCTGCTCGTGAGTAGTCTAGCGACGCGTACAGTAGTAGTAGCATCACTCGAATGTATCATTAACGAGGGATCGAACAGAGGTGCAGTCGCAGATAGAGCTTCAGCCAGTTCACAAGACCGTTGGGAGTTGAAACGCAGGTCACGGGTTTAGTTTCTCCTTCGCGTTTTGGTGAAAAAGAGCAACTGAATTTACGCGCCACGGTCACGAAAAGATGCGGTTGAAGAGGTCGACGTGGACAATGAGCAATTGTAATAAAGTCCGATGATGAGAGTGATCCCAGCAGAGGGACTATTGGGAAGGGCAGTAGAGGCTCGTTCGGTATGAGATCAATTGGTCGACGCGCTTTTAACAGACACACGACTTGGACTTGAGACGAGGCGTGCCTTCCAAGATTGGATCTGCATGGATTCCGTGAGACCATTTGAGTGCAGTGCCGATACAGTGAATCTGCTGCTGTTTGTATGAAGAGAACATGTGTCCACGTCTAGTCTTTGTGATGGGCAGGAGGCAGGGAAGGAGCGAAAGGGTTGATAAATTCCGTGGCTTTAGCGTGGGTGGGTGGCTTTCTCCACGTCGTGAATTGGCAATCGCGTTCGGTCGCGTCGTTCACCGTTCACCGTCGTCAGCTCGTCGAGAACGAGTCTCACCATCTTCGTCCAACATACCGATCCATGTCAGTCATGGAAGAGCATACGAACGAGACACTCGGACAGAGGGACTCGTCTGAGCCCGAGTCTCCATATGCAGCGCAAGCCGAAACCGAAGCCTCGCTGGTATTGAAGGCGACGGCCAATAGCTATCCTTTCCTGGTCCACTCGACCGATACTCTGGCCAACAATCGCCCTCCCAATGTCGACAACAAGCCGTTGGCTCGCCAGAAGCGGAGAAGGACAAGGTATGGAGGACATACACCCTACTCAGCACGTGCAGGTCGGCTAAGCGTGGAATAGTCCTGATGACCAGAAAATACTCGAGGAGGCCTATGCAAAAAACTCCAAGCCAGACAAGGCCACTCGCATGGACATTGTGAGTCGCGTCGCGTTGGGAGAAAAGGAAGTCCAGGTATCGCAAATCCATCCACACGCATACAACGCGTCAAACTAAACCATGTCCAGATTTGGTTCCAGAACCGTCGCCAGAGCTCGCGTAGAAAGTCGAAGCCATTGGATCCTCGCGAGATGGCCCATTTCCAGCCCTCGTTCTCCTCTCCGCTCGACACTCAGACAACAGATCCCCTCGAAGACACGTCGATAATCCAGGATGACGCGACTCAGACTGCCGATGCACACTCAATACCACACGAGAGGAGTGCTCCTTCTGCCACCCAGAACGCTTCCACGTCCTTCGTCGAAGTACCCAGTTCGCAGCCCGAAGGCGCATCTCAGGACGCGGCATCAAAAGCAGGTTACTTGTCTAACAGACGTAACAATGCTTCCTTCACTGCCATGGGCTCTCAGGAAGCACCAACAGATAGCCAGGAGCCACCGACAAAGCGTCTGAGAAAGTCGGATTCAAAGATCCGCTTGTCAATGACGGCAGATGGCGTTGCTCGTGTCATGGAGGGCGACGACCTTACATCCTCCCCTCCTCGAAAGCTCCCTCCTCCTGTTACCGCTAGCAATGCTTTTGACGAGCCTGCCAGTCAGTCCAACGACCTGTATCGTACAAATAGTCAGATCAGTCTTTGTGACACGCCGGGCAGCCAGGATGGCGGCTCCGCTCTTCGACGCAAGCCTAGTGGTCGATCGCGCGACTCACGCGTGTGGTCCTTCTTCGCTGATCGTGGTGCTCGTAGTGAGCTCGAGGATCGTGCCAAACAAGAAGCCAGTGGTGATGCAGCTGAGGCCATTTCTCTCCTTCGTCAACAGGAGAAAGATCGCGCTTGTAATCCCCTGACTCGTGTACCTTCGTTGAAGCGTCTCAATCCCCAGACCATCTCCAATGAGGATCGTGCCGTCAAGCGTCTGCGTCAAAGCCAGTCTTTCAACGCACCACCTCCTTCGTCAGCTCCTTCCGCTGTAGCTGCAACACCCTTCCGCCAACCCCTGATGCAACGCTCTTCTTCAGTACGTAACGTGCAATCTGCAAACAAACGCACCACACATCACGATCCCCTCCTCCTCGCCAAAACACCAAAGCTCAAGCAAACACCTACCTTTGAGATCTCAGCCACAGACTCAGACAAGGAGAACTGGAGCCCCGGAGATCGCCCCTCGGCTTTCATGGACCGTCACTTTTTGCATCAGATGGCGACCTCACCCGCCATGATGCCGTCTACTGTCAAGCGACCCCGTGCCCACGCAGGCTTTCACGAAACACCTGCCCCTCGCAGTCGCGGCAAGCATAGTAGAAGCCAAGTCGAGCCTTTGGAGGACGATGACGATGACGACGAGGATGTCATGCAATTCATGAACCAACCCAGTAGTGGTGTCAGAAAGGACAAGGCTCATCGTGCTCTTGAGAGAGACGAACGTCAGAGTTCGGAAGAGGAGGATTTGAACTGTGTTGAAGGTTTGCTCAAGTTGAGTCAGGGTAATTGGGGTGGCAGATGATCATGTGCTGGGACGATGATTGATGTTTTGGAGTCTTACTGTTTCTTTGCTTTTGCTTTTCGTAATGTGCTGCGTTGCTTGCATGGAATCGGCAGAAGAGATGGAGGCATTATGTGGGTGTTTTTGTAGAGTTCTGCTCCGTTTGCTGGTCGTTGCTCTGTTTTTCTCGGTGGTTGACGACCGGACCTCAGTCGGTCAGTCTGGTGTTCAATGGTGTTGGTCTATGTCAGAGGGAGAGGTGCATGTGGAGCGTAGCTAGCTTGACAAATGTGACGGTGTCTTTTGATTCATCGAGAATTTACAGTGATGTTGAGAGGAAGAAGACGCAAGGAAAGCGTTGCATTCTGATGTCCGCTGATCGCCAACACTGCTGTGTCTCGGCACGACCAAAGCAGAAAGTTCTAACTTTCCAAAGAAAAATCACTTTAGCCTCGCCAATCTGACTTCGACAATCGTAATTTCTAGTTTGTCAGGCAGTCAACCCTCTTGGAGCCTCGAGACCGTCATGTGGTTCACCCGCGTTGTCTTGACGCGCTTCTCCCTTGATGCAGTGACAAAGTGAAGCCCTGCCCTGGAAGTAAGAATCCGGTGAATTCGCAGAGGATGAGAACTCCGGCGAAACCTCAGCGTCCTTGCAGTGCCCTGATTTCGAAGTAAGCTCGGGATCTGGTGAATGAGTATACACGTGACAATAATTACCTCTCTTCGTCAATTCTCAGATCGCAAACACTCAACATCAGCCTGTGAAACCGGCTCACTTCATTGTCCTCTGGCCCATTGAGGGAATGTTGAGGCTGGGTGAGGTAGGAGTATGGAACACGCAAACCTTTGAAATGACACTCGGACAACACTTTGATGTTCGCCGGGAGACGAGTGTCTACGGGCAACATCGCCGTGAGCGCCGAAGCAACAGGAAGCGCGAATTCAATATGATAGCTGGTGGCCATGTATGCGATGGCATGAATATCGGCATCTAGAACCACGCTCTGCAGCCTCAACTCCTCGCGCACGTGGTTCATTCGAGCATATAGTCTGCTTTCAGGATCCTGGAAAGGTTTGAAAATAGAAAAAAGGCCATCAGCTATGAACTCTTCGATGGCGAGGACGCTGAATCTTTGATTGGAAGGTGTGTTCTTGACTTTTCCATGCACCAGAAACTCCCAAGAGTGGTTGTACTGCTTGTAGGGTGTATCGTAAGGTAGATCGAAGGCCTCCATAAGAGCATTTGCTGGATATATCGGAGTCGTCTTGGGTACAGTGCTGACATCGAGCACAGCTATACAAATGCCCTCCTTCTTTGCGTCCTTGTAGTGGTCGCTCTCAAGCTTCCTGATAGCATACACCAGAGCCACCAGGATCGAGTTGGTCCAAGACACGAACTTAGATTCTATCTGTCTTCCCCATCGGAGATGGCATTCCACTATGTCGCGAGTATGCGGCCCAAAAGCTGTGGGCGGAGTTCTGGGCCTGATTCGCTTGACTGAGCATATACTGCCCGAAGAGGGCGAATAGCATCTGAAGAGATAACGAGGGACCGTAGACCGGGATCCTAAGCAGTATTAGGCACCAGAATAGACTCCTTATCAGGTGACGCGTACCTTCGAGAGCCTGAAAGCCCGATGATTCTAATGAGCCTGATGAGTCTAAGCCTGTGTCGGAGAGGTCAGGAGATGGCGGAAGAGCCATGGTGGCAAGTCTTCTTTGTAGAAGTACTGTAGAACTGATGAGAAGTGTCAATGTAAACCGAGAGTGCAAAGGAGTGGGAGGGCATTCTATCAGCTATCCTTGCAAACAGTGAGTACAAACGGTCCAGCTGCAAGCTGCCGGCGACTCGATCCTTGCGAAATTAGACTCAGCGTGTCCGGCTGAGCCATTTCTGAGTTGTAGCATCATTATGGCCTTAGATGGTAGGCATACTCATATCGATGACTTGAATCGGAATTAGTTGATCCGATGTCTTTGTCGATGCGTGAGCTGCAAGGAAAGAGGTTGTGCTATCATCTGGGCTATCAATTTCAAGAAGAAAGCACACACACACTTTCCGTATACGCCTTCTGCTCCACCAGGAAGGAAAGAGAGAACATCTCGGCTGGAGCTTGCCAGAACAGGTTTTTGATATACTAAAATCTATCAGTACTCCATTCCACACAATCAAAACCCTCATGTGTCTCATAGACTCGTCATCATCTACTGCTTTTCTCTGAGCTCCAAGCGTGAGTTCATGCCGACAATGCACCTGATCAAATCCCAATCACCATCTTTGCCCACCCAATCAGTCACCACAATACCAACGCCACCATCACCCTTGTTGTCACCCTCAGCAGTTTCATGCTTCATGCAAAGGAACTCAGTGACAGCAGGGTTGAGCTTGGCAGCAATACGCTCTGGCCAACATCCGACCTTCCAGAAGTTACTGGCAGACAAGAAGTTGAGATACAGCGGGCCAGGAGGTACAGGATTGATAGCATCAGTAGTGATGCCAGGTACAGGGCAAACCTGAGCACCAGCACGCTCAAAGTGCTCGCAGCAGAAGCCGATCTTTTTATCGATGTTTTCGGTTTCGAGAACCTCGCAGAAGTCTTGTACGCACACTGAACCATGGTTGTCGCATGGTGTATTGTAAGCCCAATTCTGGGCGTCGAGACACCATCCTCTACCTTCCCATTCATGTGTCAATGGCTCGGCAAGTGCGAAGCGACGCATGAGAACGATCTTGCCGCGTGCCTCACCCAGAGAGGGCACGCGAGGCTCAGTGAACCAGAGATTATTGTCGTTGGCATAGTGTTGCTTGACAATGGTGGAGAGCTGTTCGTCCGTGTGTTCACCAGGTCCCTCACGCTTCAGACTCATGATTAGTGTTTCTGAGGGATTCTCGCGCAGAAACTCGTGAATATCGTCAACGAGCTTGCGGAAAGGCTTCGTCCCTGTGAGTGAGATGGGGAAGACGCCATGTACGAGAGCCAGTGCATCACTGTTTGCATCACCAGGGTTCTGGGGCTGGACTCTGATATCAAAGAAGCGTACTCCATTGCGCAGCTGCTCTTTCGGAGACACTGCCTGGCATCGGACCGAGGGTAAGGCTTTGTGGTGAGTGGGACTGTTGTGTGTGCCCGGGATAGAGAGACCAGACAATGGTGTAGCATCAGCCATCTCCTTCATCCAGCAATTCATATTTGCAGAAGAGTAGATAGCTAGATAACTATCCTTGTCAATCCAGATGGCCGTGTACTGCTTCCTTGGATCCGGACAAAGTGGAATGAGTTCCTGAGATTGTCTAGTCGTACGAGTGTCAACGCGATAACGCTGTCCATCGTACTCGAAAGTCAGTCGTAGAACGTCCTTCTCAGATCTCTCAGCAGTATTGATATCCGTCCTGTTGGTCGTGAACGGATCAACACGAATATTCACATCTTGTTGTCCATAGCTTTGTGCATTGATAGTGAGTGGTGCAAAACTCGGTCCCTCAGGAGGAACATTGCCCGTGGTATTTGAGACAACGAAGTGGGTTACATTGCGGGTGATGTTGGCGAAGCCTTTGGGCTCGTCGATGTGCGGGGTTTCGAAGCGCTCTATCACCTTGAGCTCGAGAGGTGTAGAGCTGAGGTTGCGAATCACAAGTGGTGGAGGACCCATGATGATAGTCAACTCTTTTGGACAGTATGGACAATCTCAATTTGTGACACGTCTTGCAAGCTAAAGTACAAGAGACCAAGTCGACAATCATGTTTCTGGCGGCGTGCCAAGTGACGTCGGCGAGATCCCGCCGCCGTTGTTCCCACCCGAAAGTGTATTACGCGTCGTATACACACGAGCCATTGGAAGCACGAAAGATCAAAAAAAGTTATCTAATGTTTGATTCGTCTAACTATCTACAGTGAGACTACGAACGAAGTGACCTCAGCCCGACAAGGATACATGCGCCTCTTTTTTCTCTCGAATGATATATTTGCAGCAGCCGGCTTGGTTAGGAATTCAGTCTGTCGAAGCCGAGCACAATGGTCATTGTAGTCGAGGGCTCGAGGATAAAACAACAACGAAGAAATCCGCCGTGCTTACTTACCTATACCAAGAAATGATCACTTTTGCATCACCATCAGAACCCAGAGCAAGATCACGTAACCGTGTAACGACCTGTCGTAGGAGCGCGAGCTTCGCTGTCGGCGGCTGCAATTGTTCCCTCCTTCAACAAACGTTGCAGATCACGCATAGCTTGAGTGACTTGAAGTTCTGTATCGCCCTCGACAAGAATGTAGAGCTTGGGAGCGTCGGTGGGACCTGGGTCTTTACCGGCAGCGTAGAAGTTGCCTTTGGAGGTAATGGATACACCAGTAGATTCGAGAATCTTGGCCACATTCGTACGATTGGTGACAGCCCAGCGTGCTTTCTGAGGGAAGTCGTTGATTTCGAGCGTGGCATGGTAAGCACCAGCATCAGGTCCTTTGTTGTCGATGGGCACACCAGGGCGGGTCGCGTTACGCGCACCAAGACGAGAGTTGATGTTCGCAGCAGCGGCCGCAACACGATCCAAAGGACGGTTGCTTGCAGGTGCAGGAGTCTCGGTCTTATGCACCTTGATATCGGCGTTAAGGTCGATGTGTGCTGGTACACCAGGGACATTTGCGTTCGTAGAAGGTGGAGGAGAACCTGTCTTTTTGACGACGTTGATGTTGTCTTCAGGTGCCTTCTTCTTGTCTTTCTCCTCCTCTTCCTCTTCTTCGCCTTCGAGCTTATGAGCTTTACGTTCACGCTGACGTTCAGCTGCTCGTTGCTCTTCGAAACGTTCGATACCTCTGCCACCGAAACCAATGGCGGCTCCCTTCTCCTTGCCCGCTTTGACGCGCTCAAGAAATTCGGTCGACATTTTCTGTAACTCCTCCGGTATGTCCTGGTTACTCATTTTGAGAGCCTTGACCAGGTCGACAGAGTATTTTGACTGCTCTGGTGTGACGAACGTGATAGCTGTACCCTTCTCGCCAGCTCGACCAGTACGTCCAGATCTGTGGACATAATCTTCCAAATGGTTGGGCGAGTCGTAGTTGATCACAAGCTTGAGTTGCTTGACATCGAGGCCTCGAGCAGCGACCGACGTTGCAACCATTACAGGGATAACACCACTCTTGAAGTCTTGAATAGCAGCATCACGATCAATCTGTTCCCTTCCACCGTGAATCGAGACCGCGGGATATCCTTTCTGTTGAAGCTGGATCATCATGTCGTCTGCGGATTCTTGGCGCTCCACAAAGATCAAAGCACGAGCGTCTTCGTCATGCTCAAACAGATCCCCAAGAGCTTCAAGTGTACGATACATCTTGGTTGATTCGGGACGCACCTCGATTTTTTGGGTGATAGTGTCTGCGACTGTGCTACGACCACCAACAGTGATTTGCACAGGCTTGTGCACCACTTTGCGGGCGAGCGATTCCATGGTGCGTGGCAGAGTAGCCGAGAAGAGAACTGTCTGGTGATCGGGGCGGATGTTAGTAAGAACCTTGACGACTTGGGGCTCGAAACCCATGTCGAACATGCGATCTGCTTCGTCGAGGACAACATAGGTAACACGGCGGAGATTGGTGACTCTACCAGAATTGGCAGCGAGGAGATCGACCAGCCGACCAGGCGTAGCGACAATGATCTCGGCACCCTTCTTCAGCTCTGCAATCTGGTCCTTGATAGGTGCGCCACCGTAACAACATACAGCGCGAAGGCCGAGGACTTTAAGATATGGCTTACACTCGCGATGGATCTGCACTGCAAGCTCACGCGTTGGAGCCATGATCAGCCCAATGGGGCCTTCCATGCTTTCGATCGGACGCTGGTCTTTAATGTGACGGAACATGGGTAGCAAGAAGGCAACAGTTTTGCCCGAACCTGTCTTGGCAACACCAATGACGTCGCGTCCAGACATGATTGCGGGAATGGTCTGAGCCTGAATAGGAGTGGGCATCTCGAATCCAAGATCACGGATGACATCTAGGACTTGAGTTCCGAGACCGAATTGGGCGAACTTCAGAGCGGGGCGAGGTACCTTTGAGCCTTGAACTTTGATGTCGTCAAGCTTGAAGCGAAGGTCTCTCACGTCTTCGTCGGTCATTTGTCCAACTTCGTAAGGCTCGGTGTAGAAGGCTTTGCGGAAGGGCTCGTAGTCGATCTTGGAATGATCGAGGTTGGGGATTTCCTTCTTCTTTTTCTTCTGGGCCACCTGAGCAAGAATGTCATCAGCGTCTTCTCCCATTGCATCTAGATCTGCACCGTCTTGATCGCCAAAGACGTCTTCGGCTTCGCGAATCTTGGTCTTTGTGAACTTGCGGGTGGGCATGGGAGCTTCGCCAGCTAGATCGTTCATGTAGGCGTCAAGGGGATCGATGTCATCTTCTTCAACAATGTTAGCGCTCTGAGTAGTTTGCACTCCCTCCATAGCGTCGTCGTCATCGGCATCATCTACAGAAGCCTTGGCGGCCTGGGTAGCACGTCTTTCTGCAGCGAGGCGCGCGGCAGAGTCAATATCTTGATCGGATCCTGCATCAGCGATGTCGACATCACCATCGTCATCATGAGTGCCGTTCGGGTTAGCAAGCGCGGCATCCCCAGTATCTTCAAGATCGGGTGTAGGAAGCTTCTCTAACTTGCGACGTTCGACTTGTTCGTCGTCCATGTCGATGGCGGGTGCCGGCTGAGAAGTCGTTTTCTCTTCAGCGGACGAGGCGGTCAGGCCGAAGCCTTTTTTCAGGGCATTGGACGCGGCTGCTGGATTTGCTGGGATCAGATCAGTCATGTGCACAGAAACAGGAAGCTGAGCGGGAGAAGCGAACGCACCCTTGGTCTGAGGGACAAAAGGTTTCTTGCTAAAGTCAGCCGCTTTGTTGGCAGTAAGAGGAGCCGCAAGAGCGGCATTCTTGGACTTCCCGGGTATAGAGACATCACTTCCAAGCGCAGAGAGCTTCGCCGTGGCAGCTGCCGCCTTCTTTGCGATGGCCTTGGGATCGAATTTTCCACCAGCAAAGCCCTTCTGAGGCTCGTCCTGAGAGACTGGTTTGGGCGAAGATGCGGCTGTGTCAGTCGGACTCGCAGCGCGTGCAGGAGTTGCGGGGGTCGCGGGCGTAGCGGGTGACTGAGGCAGCTTCTTCTTTTCCTCCTGCTTCTTCTTCCAGGCCTCGACCTTTGCCTGACGCTCGAGCTTCTTTCGTTCTTCTTCTGCGGCCTTGTCTGCGGTATGGGCCGAGGCTGGAGCATCGAGTTTCGTAGTGCCTCTGGGATCGTCGCGCGCGGTCCGACTTCTGGACTCAATCGAGTCGGTACGTCTAGGGCGCTTTCTGTCACGCGAGTCGTCACGGTGATGGCGAGAATCACGAGGTCTATCTCTACGGTCTTTTACGGGCGATCTCTCTCTAGAACGCTTCCTGTCATGCGAGCGATCGGTGAGCGGACGTTCTTCGTAGCGACGGTCACGGGTAGCACGAGACGAGATGAGGTCTCTGTCTTGGCTGAAGCGGTCTCGCTGTAGAGAAGTAAGCGGGTGCAGAATAGTCGAGGGGGTTGGTGGGTGCAGGCTTACAGGCTCTGGAGAACGGCGGCGGTAGTAGCGGTCATCTCCCCGTCTGTCATCGCCGCCGCGGTCCCGGCGGTCGTCTCTACGATAGCGATCATCACGGCGTGAGTCGCCGCCCCGGCGAGGTGGTGAGCGGGGACGTCCAGACATGTTGTGCGAGAGTGGTCGTGAGATGGAAACTGTTGGTCAAGGGTACCTTATCCAGCGGACGACGGGCGGGCTCGCAGTTGGCGGAGAAGGCACGATTTAGAGTTTGCGACGGCGAAGCTCGAAGGCAGCTCCCATCGGTTGGTGTCGCACCTCGTGCTCTCCTGCTTCCAACCATCGACCGCCGCTCGCTCTGCCCCTTTCCACACTGGGCTTGGACACGTTTATTCCACGCCTGCTCTCACATCTGTACCAACGCTCAACAACTCTGTCGCCATCTTCCGTACCGACGCGCGCATCCCGCAACCTTCACAATGCTCGCGCTTCGGATTCCGTTGCGCTTGGCCGCCCGTGCTACTCACTCCTCCAAGGCGCGCATCGCAACCCCCATCGTCACCTCGTCCTTGTTCGCTGCTAGGTCATATGCCACCACCCCCGAAGGCACAGAGTCTGTCGCGCCCAAGAAACCCACCAAGAAGGCCGCCGTCCCACTATCTAAGAAGGCTCAGAAGGAAGCTGCCGCCAAGGCTGCCTATAAGCTCCTGAGCCCGGAAGAGAAGGCAGAAATCTCAACCAAGGCAAAGGAGGCCAAGCAGAAGGAGAAGATCAAGCTGCTGAAGGCTCAAGCCCTCTCCCCACCCACTTATAGAGGCATCAATACTTGGATCATCTTTGTCAAGGAGAATACAGCTGCCAGAGCCAACGGCGGTAACGCAGTATCTGTCATCAAGCAGCTATCTGAGGAATATAAGGGAATCAGTTCGAGCCAAAAGGAGCACTACGAACGTCTGGTCACCGAGCACAACGCAAAGTCTCTACGCGAGTATCAAGAATGGCTCAACGACCATACCCCGGCCCAGATTAACGCGGCCAACGTCGCCCGTCAAAAGTTGCGTCGACAGCTGGCTAAATCGAGCCACAAGTACTCGCCCATCAAGGATCAGCGTCTGGTAAAGAGACCACGCGGTGCATACTTCACTTTTCACGGTATACGTCTGGCCTCTGGCGATTTCAGCGGCCAGAGTATTGCTCAAAGCGCCAATGCTATCGGTAATGAGTACAAAGCTCTCTCTGCTAGCGAGAAGAAGGTTGGTTTCTGCACCCTAACTTCGATCGTAGCTTGTTACTAACACTTCTTCTCAGAAATACGAAGACATGGCTGCCAAGGACTTGGAGAGGTACAGAAAAGAGCACCTCGAAGTCTACGGTGTTGAGCCTTCCTCACCAGCCACGGTCGTCAAAGTCTCGCCGGATGAGCCCGAGACAGATCTCTCCGCGTAATTACCGATGCATGTGTAGATTCCCATAAGGGTAGAGGCGAGTTCTTCCGAGATGGCAGTCTCCTTGTCGATTTCCTTCATCACTTGCATGTATTGACAGTATTCCCCAACCGGACTCTCGCGTTTTTCGGTCCGGTTTGTTGGTGCAAAGAGGCGCCGTGGCTTTTTGGCTGGTGGAACGAACGTTGGGTGGCAGGGGCAGGCTCAGAGGGGGTTTCGGGTATGTGACTTTGATACCTCTGACGCACAGTAGAATGCTATGAATTGTTGTTTTGCACATTCTGACATCGATCGTGTCTGAGCTCTTGATTGGATAAAGCAAGACACAGCAATGACCAAGTAAAATCAATGCTTCTCTCATTGAGTCCATATTCGAATTCTACGCCATGCATGCTCATGCTTGACGATGACGCTGACGCTAACGCTGATGCTGATGCTGATGCTGATGCTGATACCGTAATCTTCTCCCATGTCGTTGAATCATCTGTCATGTCCTCCTCAGGGGTCCTTCTCCTTTGTCATGCCCAGCACCGCTTCTCTGTCCTTGGTGCAGACTCAAATTCTTCTCCTTGGTACTGCTCAACACGTCTCTCCTCTCCTAATACAGATATCTTTCCTCTCCCTGATGTATACACACTACCACTGTCTTCAGCGCCTCTTGTGCTTCTTACAAAGACTTGTGACTGAACACCGTTAGCGATGGACTTTGACATAGAAGTCAAGTGCTTAACCTACCTGTCCATTCTGTTCTAGGCGTGTATGTTGTAAAGCTGTGACAAAATCTTGAAGGACTGCATACAGGCAAAGACTCCTTGGCGCTGAAGGCTCTTTACGTGCTCTTCTTGTTGGTCTTGTTGACAAACATTTCCAGAGCAAATCTCATCTGTCTGGCACGTAGTAAGGCTGATGACTGCTTCCCGTAAAGTACCTCTGAGGAGAAGGAGCGCCAAAAGAGGATGCTGCTTGACCCACAGACGGGCCTCTCTCATGAGGCGGCATTGGCTGCACAGCAGCTGGCGCTCCATGAACCGGACGAGGCACCACCTGCATTGCGACTGTCTGCGACCTCATCTGAGGGTACGCCGGCTGACCGTACTCAGGCTGACGCTGTAAAGGTCTTGTCTGCACGTTGATTCCCAGGGGAGCCCTCACATTCACTTCACTTCTCTCGTGATGAGGATCCAAAGCAGGGTAAGGGATCTCGCGAGAAGGAATGGGATAATCCTCCGGCTTGAGCACCTCAACCCGATCACGAGTTTCACCGTAATTGTACAGCTGATGGCGACCCTTGGGCCCAGCCTGTGCTCCGGCAATGGTCACATCATCGTTGAACATACCTGGCCTGTACACGTTGCGATGCGGTACACCTCTCGGAGTGACGGCAACACGCGCGGCTGGCTCGTGAGGACGATAACCGAATTCAGGTGGTCCTGCGTAGGAGATTCTATCGCCATACCCTCCTCTCGCTGCTGTGGAAGGTGATGTCAGATCGACAAATGGCGTCCCTATGGTTGGGTACATAGGTCGTCTCTCGATTCGGTCCCACCTAGGCACATCGTTCGAGGTACGATCCACGCTAGTGTACTGTGGTGCACTTGAGGATCCGAGCCCTTGATTAGCATGGTGACCATGAACTGGTGGACCGCGACGTTGTTCAGACACTAGTGCGTCGTCGACAGTTGGCCATGCACCAGGCATGCTGCGGTGCGGATGTTGTCCCTTTCCTGGCTCTGGGCTCGACGAAATCTAGACACGAAGTTATATGGTCTATTCAAAGATATGATAAGGAAGGAAAGATACAAACTTACCCTCACATACTCGACTCCTGCTGAGACGACCTTGCGCGGAACATTACCTCGTTGATCAAGAGGAACAGAAATTTGACCACCTTGACTGGGAGGCATGATGGCTTGGTGCCGCATGCGTGCATCGCGCCAGCGGGTCTGGATGGCGGCAGGCAACGCTCTACCTGCTGCACGTCCAACAGAGGCAACGACATTGCGTGCTCTTTCGCCAACTGCAACGTTGAGATCCTTGGGAGCTATCGTCTGCTGTAAGATTTCCAGGCTAGTGTCGCTACCATCATCTCCAGAAGCAGCGACGTTACTGTCAGTATCGCTGTGAGCATCTTCCAGCTCATCGTCATCGTCGATAACAATGGTCTCTCTGAGAATTTCTTCGAAGTCTTCGGTGTCGTTGTCATGTTCTCCGCGCCATTCGATCAGCTTTGTGAGGGAGATTGGTTCTACGATCTGTCGAGCTTCCTTCCAAGAGACTATCTTGAGTAGTTTGTCGTAGTCGGTATAGGTGTGTCTGATGCGAGCAATCGTGGCCAGTTGGACCTGCCTAGAAAGTGACAGATCAGACGCATTACCTACAGTTGTAGTACCCTGATTTCAATTCATCAGTTTGCTCACTTGAAGAAGGTTGTAATGACGAACCTGCTCCCATGCGCGCTTGTAGATTTCCTCGAGGTCTGCTTCAGGAATCTTTGGAAACAGCTCGCGGATGTATTCTTTGACTTTCGTGCTTTGCTCGGAGGATCGAGTGTTGACGTTGAGATCGATGCGAGGGGCGAAGCGCGCAACTGTCCGTTCGAAGCGAGAAGTTGTGTCAAAACCGGTATCACGGATCAACTTGCCATTGACTTCCCTGTAGCCCAAGAAGTTGCAGGCCTGATCGAAGATGTCGGAGCGAAAATGATAGCCAACACGATGTACATGGTGGGTGAGCTTCAGGGGATCGGCGGGACCCGAGCGTCTTGTGCCAGCCTGGGTGGATGGTCAGAATGGATAGCTACAGGTAGGAAGCAGTGCTTTGTAAGAGGAGTCCAGCTCGAAGGTGATGGTACGCACGGAGACAACAGCCACATCGACGCCTAGTTGTCTTGATTTCTCTTTACAACGCTCGGCCAGATCGGCGTAGCCAACAGGAAGGAATGTGTAGCCTTCTTTGGGTTGTGCGGAGCCTTGAATGTCCTGAGTGTAAACGTTTCAGCAATCGAGTGTGACGAGGGAGCGACATGGACGGACGAGAAGTTTGAGCTTTTTCTTCCTAGTCACGACGGATTCGAGTTGGACCTTGTAGGACTTCTTGTTGCGTCGGTCGCGGATCTTTGACACGGAACTCTGCCCCACCGAGGGGGCTCGTGAACCTGCGCGCACCATTGTATGCCGAGTGCGGTTGACAACCGGGAATATGACCGTGTCGAAAGAATACTGCAGTCAGTCTAGGAAAGTGGCAAAGCTATCTGTTTGACAGCGATCCTAAACAGGAGTGCAAGTGCTGCCGTCGTGAGAAAAGCCTCACAGACGTAGAGTGGTCAGGCGACAGTGGCAGCTAGACTCGCACGCAAAGAGCGTCTGTCGAGAAGATCGCAAAAATGCAGGCAACGCCGAGTGCACCTTCCTAAGAAGATGCGCAAGAGGACAGCAGATACAGGTTGCTCGATTGAGAAACGAGCAGGCCAGGAATCGGTAGCGTTCACTACCCTATACGCACGCGAAAACGTGCGACGACTGAAACCTACGAATGGCAGCGACGGTGTCTACGATCCCGCAGTATTCCTCACAGCAAAGCGCCAGGCGTTCAATGATTTATGTCTGAAAAGACAGGATGGAGAGATGACGCAGGACTTTGTGGGTCAAATGAGACTCGGGCGGCAATCGAACAGGTCAAAATTCTTGGAGACAACCCCGCCAAGTAGCTTAACTGAGGAGAGACTTTGCTGTTTCCATCAAGGTGAGACCACCGAACAGTTCGGGTCAGATGTCGCCTTCCCGTGTGCAAAATGCTATCACGGCCTCTCTTCATAATAATCAAATTAGGTCAACGACGAGCTGTAGAAAGGCGCAGTCACATTGTGTATTGATATGTTCAGCGTAGGGAGTTGATGACACGAGGTATCTCGATGACATCGCTGCAAGTCGAGAAAGTATCGTGCTTTGAGGCAGCTCTAAGTGTGACGGTATATTGCACACGGGGAGGTGATGTGTTAAGGACCGAATTTGGCCAATGAACTCGTGTGGTTCCTGTCTAATTATTGCCATAGTACAACAAGGATCGAGAGTCCGATTGCAGTCCAAGCCAGCAGGATTGCTCTCGAATTATCTTGATGCTCGTCCACCAGCTTCCAGAATGCCTTCCAACCAAGTATGGAGAGACCAACATAGATTGCACGCTTTCTGAACCCCAATTGGCCGCCTTGTACCGTGCGAAGGCTGTATTGTTCAAGTCGTTCAGTGGCCGTGACGGCGAAACTTCTGAGGGATATTTGCCTCAACAATTTCCATACGGTCGAGCTTCGCCTGGCGTTCAGCTTCTTGTTCCATGATGTCGTGCTTGCGGAAGTGCACGATGTCTTCAGGATGCGTCAAGTCCTCTTCTGTTGTATCGTCACCGTGAAACTTTTCGAAATGGTGGATTTCGTACTCGTATTCGTCGTCGCCATGGTGTCCAGGACCATAGCCAAAGTCGGGCAGTTTAATGCCGTGAGCGTCACCCATGAGGAACTCGGCATATGAGACGGCTCCGCTCTTATCCTTGTCGAACAGCTCTAGGATCCTACGAACGACTTCCTCCTTTTTCTCGTCTGGCAGGTCCTTTGTACTCTCGTCCTTCAGACCGTAGGTTTTGCGAATGTCATCGGGAGTCCATGTGCCGCTGCTGTCGTAGTCATGGAGGTTGAAGAACGAGCCAGCATCAAAGGAATTGATGTGATGTTCCTCTACAAAGTAAGTTAGCGATTGGCTCATAGGTGGCAGAGGAGATGCAGCAGTGTTACCAGCCATATGTTTTGTTGCCCAATCCGCGTCGGCGGCTACAGGGGCTTGCTCATGACCACCATGGGCGGAGACCTTGAGAGCACTCAAAAACACCAAGGCAAGTCCGAGTAGTGATATGGAGCGAGTGGAAGACATTTCCTGAAAGCCGTCAACTCGTGGGAGTTACTCGTGATTGCTGGAAGCCAAAGACTTTTGGTGAACCCCTAAGCTCTAAGAGCGTGGAGATAAGCCCAAGCCGCGGACATTAAGGTACGTCACTCGAGAGGCATTAACTATGGCGACGGAAAGGATGTCAGGCTAATGTCGAGCCTCGCAAACAGATACAGTGCTTCGAGTGACTTGCACACTACCTTGATCCGAAGTTCAGTGTTGGACCGACAGACCTCGCAGCATGTGAAGTGCTCGTACGTAAGTTGCGACAAAAGGAGAGCCAAGGATAGCGATACGCGGCCCTGACGGAAATATGAGAGGCCCTGATCCGAGGCAGAAGAAACACAACTTTATTCCCCCTCCCTTCTCGCTGTCATTGTTTGTATCCAATCTGCGTGCACCATGTCAGAAGGAGCGCCGCATGTCGACGACCCATTCGTTGACCCGTCCATCTACGAAACGCCATCGGCACTTCAAGGCGAGGCGACGCTGTTTGTGTCCGAGGATGCGTCGCTAACCCTCGGAGCCGATGCGACGATAATCTTGGGTTCGTGATATGCCTCGACTGGACCCTTTGTGCTTTCGCTCACACTCGACAGACGACCGCTTCGTGCATAGAGAGGCCGCAAACTGCTGTGGACTACTGCCGACCAGTAGGTCCACCCCGCCGTCTGCCAAATTCGGCTTGCCTAATTCAATTTGTAGGGTCAAAGACAACCCATTCCATTCCTTATTACAATATTCTTGACGCTTCTCTGGACGGCCTCGAGTTGACTATTCAGCATGCTCTGCCAACTTCGAAGAACTCATGCCGCCCGTCAACCATATCTTACACGCTTATCGATAAATCTTCCATCACTGCGGCCAAATCATGGCTGAACAAACTCCTTGACCTCGCGTATGGAAATTCGCAGAGGCACAAGAGAATCAAGGTCCTCATCAACCCTTTTGGCGGTCAAGGAGCGGCGCAAAGGTTGTACACCAGCGAAGTTGAAGCCCTCTTTAGAGCTGCAGGCTGTGACATTGAAGCACAACAAACAACACACTCCGGTCATGCTATCGAGCTTGCTCGCGACCTCAACGTGGATGCCTACGATGTCATAGCATGCGCCTCCGGAGACGGACTACCCCATGAGGTCTTCAACGGCCTCGCCCAGCAAGCGAAACCAAGGCGTGCTCTGCGAAAGATCGCTGTTGTTCAGCTCCCTTGTGGCTCGGGCAACGCCATGTCTATTAATCTCAACGGCACCGACTCGCCATCTTTCGCTGCTCTTGCTATTGTGAAGGGTGTACGCACACCATTGGATCTTATGGCCGTCACTCAAGGAGAGAACATGTACTGGAGTTTCCTGAGCCAGGCAGTAGGCATTATCGCGGATTGTGACCTTGGAACGGAAAACATGAGATGGATGGGGAGTGCAAGATTCACAGTAGGCATCTTGATCAGGCTATTGGGAAAGACAGTATACCCTGCCGAGCTCGCCGTCAAGGTTGATATCAGTGACAAGGAAGCCATCAAGTCTGAGTACAGAAACGTTCGAAAGCAACGTGAGGAAGTATCCGGTAAAAGAGAATGGGAAGCACACCAAGATCTGGATGGCGACAAGGATGATTTACTTCCCACTCTTCGCTATGGCTCCGTACTTCAGGATATACCTTCAGATTGGGACAAGGCATCCATGCCTACGTTAGGCAACTTTTACTGTGGGAACATGGCGTACATGTCCAGCGACACGCCTTTCTTTGCAGCCGCTCTACCCTCGGACAATCACATGGACATGGTCGACGTTGACGGCACGATCCCTCGTCACAAAGCAATTGAGATGATAACAGGGGTTGAGAAGAACAAAACGTTCGACATGGATGTTGTCAATTATCGCAAAGTCAGCGCATATCGTATCAGCCCCAGGTTGAGAGCGGGTCAAAAGACCGGATATATCAGCATAGACGGAGAAAAGGTGCCATTTGAGCCCTTCCAAGTAGAAGTCGTCGGCGGGCTAGGCACAGTACTGAGCCGCAACGGAGCCGTCTATGAGTTCGAGGGACCAAAGTAGGGATTTGGTGAGTCTAGGCGTTCTGATTTGGAGTTTGCTGTATTTTTATGATACCCTTCCGGCTGTCTGCAGAGACAGAGGATTTCTGGTCACTTCAAACACTTTGGATTGAAGGAGGTATTAATCCTATACATTCGTTCACACGAACCAAAGCCCTCATACCACAACCACATGCCTTTCTATATGGTGACTCCCAAGATAGAGAGCAAAACGAGTCCTGTGAGTTTAGCCAATGGTACATCAAGTCTTGGCAGTGTACGAGAAGATCTCCCCGCATCGACTTTCTTTGGAGACTCGATGCGATGCTTCAAGCTTCTTTTTCTTGACAAGCATCCATCCTACCTCGACATCTAGCCGAACAACATAAACACAATACAGAAATGGTCGGACCACCAACCAAACGCCAGAAGCGCGCCGAAGTAGAAGAAGGAAAACTGCCGCAGAAGAAATTCTTCCGCCAGAGAGCCCACGCGAACCCATTTTCCGATCACAATCTGACCTATCCCGAATCACCTGCTGCTTTCGACTGGGCAGAGCTATACCCGGCATATGCAGTGCAGGAAGAGAAGGAGAACCAAGATGCATTATCTGCTGGAACAAAGAGCGTGGGCAAGATCTCAAAACAGGTCGAAGTGGCAGACATTGGGTGCGGTTTTGGAGGCTTGCTGTTCGCACTGGCTCCTATCATGCCAGATACACTGTTACTAGGTACGGCGGAGCAACTGCTGCTTTTCTTTTGGGGGGTGACATGAGCTAATGAGACGCAACATAGGCATGGAGATCCGATCCGCAGTCACAGAATATGTCCAGACCAAAGCCAAGGCATTGCGTTCACAACATAGCGAGACGCAGGCTTTCCAGAATGTTGCCTGCTTGCGCGCAAACACCATGAAGTTCCTCCCCAACTTCTTCAACCGATCACAACTCAACAAGATCTTCCTGTGCTTCCCGGATCCTCATTTCAAGGCCCGCAAACACAAGGCTAGGATCGTCAGCACGACGCTCAACTCGTGAGTGCTCAATCCGCGACTGAGACTGTGTTTCAAAGCAACAAGCTAATCAGGAGCAACAGAGAATACGCATACGTGTTACGGCCAGGCGGTATCATCTACACAATTACCGATGTCGAGGACCTTCACAACTGGATGATCGAGCACTTGGATGCACACCCGTCTTTCGAGCGTGTATCAGAGGCCGAGCAAGAGGCTGACGAGTGTGTGGCTGTTATGCGCCAAGAGACAGAGGAAGGCAAGAAGGTGACGAGGAACAACGGCAACAAATACGTCGCTCTCTTCAGACGCCTCGATGACCCTGCCTGGCCTTGAATTGCTCACGGTCATGAAAAGACAACAGCCTTCATCTTCTCCAATCAACCTTTCCCCATTACCTCTCTGATCATGGCTATTACGCCCGTGGATCTGCGCCGCCTGCGGGCAAACACATGTATCTGACCATCTACATTCAGGCATGTGTCAAGAGAAATCAAGATTGAGCCTGATTGTGCATGAAGACAAAGGATCATGTGGCGACAATTCATTTGAACTAGAGAGACGCGACGAGGTCGGTCGATAGACATGTTCTGAGGGTGTGTAGCTTAAAGATCAGGTAAGCAATGAATGCTCCATACCACTTGTCTGAGCATGCTACAGAAAGAGATGTTGAGACACCAAAGGTTATCCACGGCTCCCCTGACAATCTGCAATCGAAGTCGTTGTCGGACCACCCGTATCACCAGAACAGCCCGGTGATCCTCGATGTCACTGTGGCTCCGGCTCTTAAGATGATCCTGATTTGATCTCCAGTGACGTGTACGAACCTCCATCGAGCGAAGTCTGAAGCCCTACATCTCCAATATGTCGATTCTGGAAGCTCAGCATGAAGCCAATCTAATTTACCAATCAGTACATAGATCGGCATTGCCACAGTCGAAAGTATTGAACAGAAAAGCAGTAACCCGACTTTGTACTCGACCCTCCGATCAGGCAAAGTCCTTCTCCCATCCCGTTCTGCGTCATGGTTGGTAGCTTCCTGGGCCAGCACTCCCGCCAAGTCTTCCGTGTGTTTCAACAGAGCCTTGAACCTCACAATTGTGTCTTTTATGGCTTCCAGCCATGCTATGAGCGAATCGATACTTGCATTCTATGCCTCGAGCAACGATGCTTCTGATTCAGATGATGCTTCAGGACTGCTTCTGTGTCTTTTCAACTCCTTGGCTGCGGTTCGGATCTGGCTGGCTATATCGTTAAGATTTCTCTCGGCCGTGTCGATTTCTTCTACCAATACATAGAACTGCTCGGTGATGTTGTCGATGTCTTCTTGCAGTGTGATGGCTCGTTGCGCAAGCATGGTGGATGGAGAGCCGTTGCAAATATCGGGCACAGCGTTTAGCTCAATGGGCGGACTTGAGAACAGCATGATGATTGAAGATGTGGGCGAAGTGACGATGGTTACGAGCAGGATGTCGGTTTTACTGGTAAACTCAGCATCTTTCATCGAGTCCTTGGTGACTGAGGGACATACTCGTCAGGTCAGTATGCCGCTGTAGGCGAGTATCAATACAGGATACAAGATCGTCGTAATAGATATGGTAATGAGGCACGCGTCCTCATGAATGGGTTAACAAATCTGGTTTTGATGACTTCGCGGCAACTACGGTACAACCACCCTTATGGATCTGAACGTCACTAAGAGGCAGCTGGCCTCTGGCGATACAGCGTTGCACTTTCCACCCGAACGACATAGCGGTAAATGACCACTGACGGCAGGCACGAACGAGGTCGCAACGTAGACGCATCCAGCGATCTTGCTTTGAAAAGATTCTCGGAACCACTCTCGAGTGTCAAAGGCATCATCAACACACAACCGCCATACCTCCTCCTCCCAATCGATCTTATCTACAGCAGGACATAGCGGTGTTGTGGCCATCGCTCACGATGTGCAGAGAAGAATCGAAGCAGCACTGTCGCCAACCTCGGGCTGACTTGATTCTACTGTACAGAGCAGAATCACCATCACCTTGCTGGGTGAGTCTGCTACGCTATACCCCAAGCATAGACTCGCCTCAACTTGCACAGTCTACGAGCCCGGCTCCTATACTCTCAAAACCTCGTGGTTCTGTTACGATTCTGGCTTCAGTCCGAGCAATCAACGTCGATTTAGGAACCTCTGTCAAAAGTTTCCATCATGGTATACATGACTGAGACTGTCTCGTCGTTCCTGGAGAATCTGTGATCTAGACCAGTCATCTACTTGGTTGTCCATGGCTATATGCATGACAAAGCGGACTTTCAGTCCGGCAAAGGCTTGTTAAAGTCTCACTCTCAGTCTCATAGCGACCGCCAGATGCAGTAACTGCCAGGGTATCCATAATCCGTACGGGAGGCTAACGTCAGAATATTGGTAGATGGATAACACCACGCGAGTCTTCAGGAGCCGAGTCAACTAACTCAACAGCAGTTCAGCGTGAAGTCGTAAGGTGTTTCATGCATATGAATTTTTTTTCACAGTGACCGAGACAGCTTCGCAACGCTTTCTTGACTGAGACGACTCAACTTCCGTTCAGAGAGCCTCATCGATATCCGAGACAGGTATTGTGTCCAGACTCGTTATTTATGGTCAGGATTCAAAGACCTAACAAGAACCACACTGGCAATCGGTTGAGAGAATGTTCATCCTGAGGAGGCATATCAAATCAAGAGAAGGATGTTCAAGCGAAGCGATACAGCGACAGCCACTCGGTAGTCTGCAAGCCTTGGCCTAGGAAATCAAGATGTGCAATAGACTGACAAGCGAGAAGTCCAGAGGCCTCAGTATCTCGTGCCGTCCAGAGCACGTGGATTTCATACTTCGGCCAACATCCTATAGCCAAAACGTCAGGCACAACGGACGCCGGGTTATGCTTATCGCACGAGTCTAAAGGCACCAGGAAAACCTCCAGGGAAGCCACCAGCAGCGCTCTCGTACAGCATGTCCGCTCTTTGAGTTTACCGACCATGTGTCATGACATATCGACTTTGATACGCCACAAGCGAACATCGATGCCTCGCCAAGCCAAGACAGCTTCACAACTGTTCTATCGAAAATGCAAGACATTGCACTGGTTAGCGGAGAATCCTTACGAGCCCCGGTAGGGATTGCCTTTATCACTCTTGACCATGACAATCGTACTTATCCGCGGACTCGGGAAGTGGAGAGCTCGAGAAACAGGTCAGATGGCCCATGTCAAGCAGTCATCAAATTCATGTGAGAAGAAGGGACGGTGCAAGTCATCAACAGGTACGGGACCCAACGGCCGACGGCGAGGCGTATCTGGGTACCTGCATCCGTTTCAGCACACTCCACCACTCTAGTCGAAGAATCTGGGGTGCGAAGGCCTCGAGAGTTGTGGAAGCTAGTGCTGCGAACCTTTTTCCGCTTTTTTTGTTGCGGCTTTTCGCCATGCAGGTCATAGGGCGTAATAGAGAGAGCAAAGAATCAAGGCAGTCAAGGCAGTCAAGGTGTGGCAGCGAGAAAACCGCCGTGCCCCGAAGCTAGGTCCACGCCTCCGTCCACGATCCTGCAGGTCCCATAAAGCAAAAAATAGTTCGTCATGGTCGATCGCTGAATTATCGGTGGCCAATCCTGCCGTGCTATCATGTCAGCTGAGCCTCTTACGAAGCCCTTGCTGATTCCTCAAGTGGATCTCGAGCGGGACCTCCTTTGATGGCATGACTGTCCGTTGCACTGATAAGGCCGTATTGTAACCGTGGACTCAGTCTCGAACGCAACAGTCACCAACAATCGAGCAACCCTTCTCGAGAGAAACGAGAGAGTCGAGGGCACAAGAGGGCAAAAAGATCGACGAATCCCCAAGGACTTACCAAAAGCGCCATATCGATAAACGGGTATAAACGTTTTTCTCGGTGGCAGTCGCCATGCGCACAATCCGTCGTCGGCCTGTCGTCCAGGTATGGAAAGCCCATCCAACACGGGAGCGGGCCGTTGCTCTCGCTAGCTCTTCCTCCCTTCCACCACCAAAGACGGCCCTACCCAGTCACAGATCTCGGAGCGCTTTTGCTACCTTTGCAGCTTTCCACTATCTTGCACGAACGGAACCAAGATTCAGGTCTGAAACAAGCTTCGTTCTTTCTTTCCCTCCCCACTTTTTGGCCCTGATCTCTACTTTTTCAGCCCTGGCTCTCGGGATCGAAGCCATTGATGACGGACGGGGACGCCCGTCTTGCCGACGGAGTTGGTCTTTGGAATGACATGCATAGGTTTCCAGGTCTGAGCGTTGGCGTTCTCGCCATGAGTTGCTACTCTTCCATCCTGGCAGGCGTTGGACAGATGTGCCACACTGTTCAGTCATGGGGTCGAGTTAGCCATATAGAGAGCTTTTTGACGAAGTCGTCGGATGAACAGAATGTCCGGACCTTCTTGCGTTCGGTATCCAATATTCACCGTGGACGGGAGAGGATGAGCAGAGCCAGAGCGTATATCAAACGGCTTTTCGCTCTATTCCAACTGCTGTATGCGTGACACGTTAGTCTGGACAAGGCTCATCCGATTGATCGCCAGATCAGAGGAATTTGGAAGAGATGTGTGTGTGCAAGAGAAAGCATGATGTGAGAGAGAAAGTCGTGCAAACCAAATCTTGATTCGGGGAGAGTAATTGCTGGCATCTAGATGTCCCATTCTCTTCCTCTTTCCTGTCCGCCCTGCTGCGGTCCCGCAATCCCTTCCGTAATGGGTATTCCCGTATGATACATCGCCGTGCTGAAGAGAAGTCTGTCGCAATAGAAATTAGGTGATTAAAGAAAGTTCTGAACGTAAGAGGTGCAAGAGTGACCATCATGAAAATAGAGCAGAAAGAACAGGGAACATTGAAGCTCAAACCCAGCTTTTCCTCCCATAATGCGCAAGCAAATAAAGCAGACATCAAACGCCTCGCTTCGGGATATCCAGTGCTGTAAGCCGTAAAAAAGAACTGGAACATAGAAAAGAAAACATGGTAGATAAAAGATGGTGTTGTCGTCAGGTGGAGAGATTATATCTGTCGTTGGAAAAGAGTTTCATGCCACGACCGAGTCGCAAGAGTCCGAGGCAGGGCTGGAACCGCCCTTGTGCTTGGTGTTCTTCTCGAAATATTCCGGTCCGTGATTGGAAAATGTGTAATTCTTCGGTCCACTCTCAAGTGCCTTACGAGGGGTAGAAGAGTTTTTGACATCGCGAGGGGGTGAATACTCGTGAACGAAAAAGTCGGCTCCAGAGTTTGCGTGCTGCTTCGGAACCTGCGAAGAGCCAAGAACACCTGGACTATGACTTGAGGATGGCAAAAAAGGCTGTTGCTGGTTGGGTGGCGTCACTTGCTGCATGTGTCCCTGAGAAAAGGGAGGCATGACTGGGTATCCTTGGATAACTTCGCCTGTGCTTGTCATGATGTAGGACATCTGGGTGTCCATGTATTGGGTTTGCTGTTGCTGGGCGGGGTACATGACATTGTGCATTTGGGGATACTCGTTAGGTAACATGCCCAGGAAGCCTTGAGGGTTTGCCTGCGATTGGACCATGGGCATTGTTGACATGTGAGGGGGACTGAAAGCACCGCTGGGGAAGCATTGCTGAGTAGGAGGAGCGGATTGAGGAGGGGTGTTCTCAGTGGGCACAGCCAGACTTCCCATCCTGCTACGGATGAATTGTCCACCGTACAGAGGAGTGGTGGGCGGCGAGAAGTTCATGCTGGAAACGATGTAGTTTTCTTCACCCTCGGGTAAGCTTGTCTGCCTGAGCATAGGCTGAGATTGCATTTGACGTAGCGAGCGTGATGCCTTGCTAGGAGACATTGGGGTTGGCGGAGCAAGGCTGACATTTGATGCAGCAAGACTGGCGTATGCAGGCGAGAAAGACGATACACGACGACCACCGTAGCGGGCATTGTTAGCCTCAGCGAAGGTAGTGTAGCCGGAAGGCGAACGCTGAGCAGAGCCAAGGTTTTTCTGGATGCGACCACCAGCAATTCCATTCATGGCTTGCGATGACTTAATACGGCGCAAGGTGTGACCTCCGGCAGAGTGGGCGGCGCCAACGGGGCCAGGAGAAGTGGGCAAGGGGCCACAGTAAGAGGTGCTACGAATATTTGTGGTTCCCAAAGGAGCAGGGCGAGGGCGCTGTCTACGGGTGGCGATGCTGGATGAGGGCATGGCAGAGCGTTGTGGCGCCATGGTGAAGCTTTGCATCGAACGAGCAAGCTGGACGGTTGACGATTCGCGACGGTTGTAGTCGTCACCGGGGAAGTCCATGGCTTGATCGAGATACTCATTGGGATCAGGAATCGACTGAACCGAGAAGTCGCGACGCATGGCGGCTTCCTGGAACTCTTTACGAAGGTTGTCCATCTCAACTGGTACCGACTGTCCAGGCTGCCATGGAGGAGACGTCACAGTCTGTTGGGAAGACTGGTCGGCGGCAGCTTGTAAGTCCATATCAAATGTGTCTTCTTTGTCCTCTGCTGGCGAAATGGTCACTGAAGGAGCCGAGCCCTCTGAGCTAGAAGACGCGTTGCGCAACTGGTGGTCAGATGGTTTGAAATCAGATATGACATCAGGAGCGAAGGAATCCATGCTCTCTGTAGATTGCATGGGTGGGGAAGTCAATGGGTCCACGGATTGATCGAAGGAGAAGTCGCAGAACTCGGCGTAGTTGAAGTCAGCGTTGGCTGTCGAGTTCATGGCAGAGTTCACATCGGCAGTCGACATGTTGGCAAACGAGGGCTGTGCGTAGGCGTCAAACTGAGCCTGAGTCATGGTACGTCTGTTGTTGTCGGCAAAGGACTCCGACTGCACCGAGTGCTGCGAGGCCAAAGATTGTGTTGAAGCCTGGTGGCGCATGGGCTGTGATGTGATTTGGTCGAGCGAGGCGAAGTTGCTTTCAGCTTGGCTGATGCCCAAGCCGCTGGACATAGGGCCGTCCATGATGGAGTTGTCGCGGATGCCGTTGTACAGATTCGGCATGCAGAAGGGCTGGTCGCCGGGCATGGTGTTGATGCCACCCATTGGGTTGATGCCGACGAAGCTCTGCTGTTGTTGCTGACCCTGTTGCTGTGTCGCTTGGAGCATGTTGTAGGCACCGGCAGCCTTTTTGGCGTCTTGCTTGGACTTTGCTCTGCGGTTCTGGAACCAATTCTGTATACTGCTTAGCCGTCTCGTTCAGCAATCAAATTGCTCGGGGCGACTTACGTTGACCTTGTCTAATGATACGCCGAGGATCTCTGCAAAGCGCTTCTTAGTGTTCGTGTTGGGCTTTGCTTGCTTCCTAAACTCGGACTCGAGCACATCATGCTGCTCTTTTGTCAAACGCGGCTTGACGTCGACGGCCAGGCCAGCCAGGGCGGCAGGGTTAAAATGTGGCATCTGTCCCAGGTGGTCCGAAAACATGTGTGTATCCCTCCTGGTGAAGTGCCTCGCATGGAAGTCTGCAGCCAGGTCTGCATTGAGGCCCGGGTAGTCGGCGAACTCCATGTTGGAAATGGTATAGGTGTGTGTAGCAAGAGGTCGCACTAAACAGAGTGGACTGGAGTTGGCTGCAGTGCAAGGTTTAAGAGAAAGAAGGCCTCGGCGGCAGCCCTCGGGAGTGCTGGTAAGAGGCGGCCTGGAGGCTGGGTGTGTCTCAGATGTGCACGGAGGTAGTCAGGATCAACAAGCTTGCGGGTTGGCCGGTGGTTGAGAGAGTGCGGAGGGCGGCTCAAGATGGTGATGTGTAGTGTGGATATGGTATGATGATGGCAATGGTAAGGATGATATCAATTGTAGCGAGTGAGTGGCATCAGACAAGACGCAGATCAGAAGGAGTTTGAGCGAAGAGTTGGGAAAACGAACGTCGGGGCAGGAACCAGTGTTTGGGTTTTGGAAGGAAGAGAGAAAAGGGTAGCGACAGTCGAGGAGATTAGGGCGCATCACGACTCGGAAGGTGCAAAGCTTGGGAGCGGCTGCACAGCGCAAGCACAGAGATCGCGGGTCCGGCTCGCAGACACCGAGCGGGAGCTTGAAGATCGCTACGATGCGCGCACCACTCACCAGTCGAGCAGGCAAGATGTGCACGTCTGAGCGCCCCCGTCTCACAAACCGAATCAACACATGCGCCGTTGCCTGTCTGGCCAAACTCCTGCGAAATCCTGTCCAGTGTCCACACGCCTGCATCCCAGGCGCCGCCGCCCAAGCACAAGCCTCCCATGCCCATGCCCAACTGACAAGCCCAAGCATCACAAACCTCAACGCTCGCTCGTGACGGAATCGTGCCAAACCTTCCTTGCCTGCAACTTGTCTGTCCATCTCTGCCCACCGTGAGTCTGCCTTGGTCAAACTGCCATTGGACCGCTCTGCCATCGCACGCCGCCGCTGTCATCGTCCTTGCACCTCGTGTGAGACTCTTTTTTACTTCTTCCTGTCCTGCGACGCTTGCCGCGGGAAGAGCCTCACCACCATCCAGCAATCACCACACCGCCGCCTAAAAATAAAGCCCCAACTTGACCACCCTCCATCCTGGTCCCTGCTTCTGGAATCATGTTTTCGTCCCGCTCCCTCGGCAGACCATGCATGAGCGACCATGGATTGTGTTTATTCTCCGCCTCGCTCATCTCTGTGCCATCCGCGATTGTTACTGCGGTATCGTGATAAGTGCTGTCAGGTCCCACCGGCCGAGTTGCCTGGCAGGCACCGTGCAAGAGGGGTCGTTGAGCCACGCGCCCACTCAAATCGACCAAGTGCTCATCATCAGTTTGCGCCACGCCCTGCTGAAGCAGAGCAGCCAAAAAGGATCCACTCGCATTGTTTCGGAGACGGGCGACGCTAAGCTGAGCGCCGGCGCCTCGAAAGTGTCGCTTAGCGGCCGCTGCTAGCTGCCAGCCCTTTCCTGTTCCTGCTTCGTCTCCGACGCATCACCCCGCCGTTGGCTGTGGGGTCAGACTTGCCATGAGGTTTGCGCGCGCTGCCAGGCGCTATGACAGGAGATTGCACTCATGCTTATGCACGACTCGTGCAGGCGAGAATGCAAGACTGCTTGCGACGACTCCGCCATTCCTCGTCTCGCTTGACGGAAGCAATACGGTCAGGTCTCAGGCGCGCTGAAGACTCGCCAATCCGCAAGCCATTCTCGCTGCACCAGGAGGGTCCAGCCAAAAGCGGCTGATCGACCCAAATAGGTGCTTATCATCTATCTGTCCAATCGCTGATTCAACTCCGGCTTCCCGTCTCTCCTCTGAAATCATTGCAGGGCAGAATCTGGCAAATGGCGCAATCTATTCTGCCCGAATGTGCAGTTGCTGGAAGAAGCTTCTTAAATCGCTCTTACTTTGATCTCAGAATCATCATGTTGAATCATGCCGAACTAGCCACGGCGCATCCATCCAAGGCTCAGCATCCGTCCCATGTCCCCGCATCCTTGGTGCTTCCTCCTCGGCGCTATGGTTGAGAAGTAAATCTTCAACTCTAAGCGGGCAAATCGCCGACACTGCGAGGCAACCCCCACCTGATGCAGCGATGCGCTTCATGAAAGCACGAATGCAGTCCAAGTTGCTATACCTAGCTTGTAGTCATCAAGCGTGCAACACAATTAACCCATTTGCTGACAACTTTAAAATATCATCACGACAGATTGGCGGTGGCTGTGGAGCGACCAAACGTTGCGGTGTGTACTCGAGTATGTAACCAAGGAGAAAAGGTAATCACGGAGCAGCGGTTCGTGCTCGTAGCCGCCTGCTGCATGTTCCTGCGCGACAAATATGGCAGCGAGACCTTGCCCCTTTGCAGTGCAAGAGAGAGCTAATTTAGCCATTCCAGCTGTCTGATAGAAGCGACATCCTGACACGTGCAGTATCGGGAGAGGTCAGAGTCGTGCGTGATGACGGAGATGGATGAGTAGACAATGACACCAAACAGCCCCCACAACTTGCGCCTCACTTGATTGCGATTGGTAACTCAAGGCCCGCCCGGCGGGCTTACTCTATGCCCTATGGGCTGATCGGATGTGAGCAGTCCTGACTCCTGGCAACAATCTTGAATGCTGTAACGATGAGGCTTCTTTCACAGGGCGACCACGGTGATTACAAAACTCACCAGACTCTGACAAACGTCGGAGCGAGAAGTATTTTTCTTGCAGAAGAGTATTACCACCAGCGTTGGAGATTGGTCTCAACGTCCCACAATCACCACTGCGACCGCCGCGCGATCTTTTCTCGTCTATGTTATCTACAAGTGCCATAGTTCGAGGTCAAAAAGTGCGGCGGCTGTTGACCTCTGAAACACAAGACTTTCGCCGATTCGCTGGCGCAATCTGTCAGCACACATTGGTCTTTTTTTCCTTTCCCACGCACCTCTTACCTTTCGGATTTTACCACGCCGCTATGTGCTCACATACTCCACTCATCTAAAACTCGGCCATGAATCGTCTATCTCTTGTTCTAATCCATTTGAGGCTCTTTTTTGCGATCGCGAAGCGCGCGAGTGTGGACGAGATTACTTTCGGAGTGTCTGCCCGGCGTGCGAGACCTCGCAGTCAGATTCTTGCGCTGTCGCCATCCTATGGTGACCGCAGCCGCGGGTAAGGTAAGTCCCGCCATGGGTTGGCCTATCTGTCAATTCCTGCTGTCTACAGCTCGGACCCAGCTCGTGTTGCGACTGCATGTGAGATGATCCCAGGTAGCTGCCCTTGGGCCCATGTGCTGCAGTGTCACCATCCATTCGAAAGACACGCGAGTCGAATTATTCTCGTAACACGCTGCTCCGACATTCCGAGAGTCACTTCCTTGGCCTGCATGCGCACACGCCACGGAGCATGAAGAAGGCACAGAAGCGAGTGTAAGGTGACCCTTGCCTTTTTTCCCATTTCCGCAAATAGCTGCTGCGTCTCCCTTTTGAACCCGGGTACCTGCAACCACAAAAGACTCGTAGGCTCCTTGCCTGTTCCTGTCCCGCCTTCGTGGGTCTGTGGTCCACCTGGCACCACACACGAGCTGACAAGAATAAAAAAGAGACCTCGAAAAAGACTCCTGTACATGTAGCAACCTTGCCTTGCATTCATCGTAAGTGGTCCGAGTACGACTGATTCAGGTACCTGCACACATTCAGGATTTTCTCACCATCCTTCCTTTACTCTGCATCGGCTGGCAACATGAAAGATCGCCCCTTTGACAAGGTGTTCTGGATTCGCAAAGATATACTGTACATGCAATAGAGAAATTCTTGCTATACGTGTCTTCATGCGGGCCTGTCATATGCACGCTGCAAAGGCTACTTCTCGCCTCGCTAAAGGTGAAAGCACATCTCACCGCCTCCCAAAGAGATCTTGCAGCAAGAGCAAAGAAGCAGAGGCACGCACATGTGCAGCAAGCAAAGAAAAGGCGAGATAACGTCGCATGATTGTCGCCCAAGAGTCATGACTATCATGCGTTGTGGCCAATGGAGATATCGAGTCGAACCCATACTCCTAGGTCGATTTTAATCGTCGGGAGTGTGGCAGATGCACTCTCATCGATCCCTTGACTCCATTCTACAGATGCAAGTCGTAGCTGAGGAAATCACTCTACCTACACTGCAACTTACAGCACCTGGCATAAACGAGTTCGCTGGCTAGATGTCTTGAGCGTATAGATTGCGATACCATGGCCTCAAGCGAGAAAAGTTCAGATCCATCACCCATCACCCATCAGCACGGTAAGCATAATATATCTTGCCCGATGTCTCGATCATGCCCATGATCAATATACGGATCTTTGGGATCTGGGCCTCGATATCACGGGAATGAACAAGGTCCGCGACCACAACAAAATCTTCCGTCTCGGCGTGTCAAGAGACGGCCTGTCAGAAGTAGCTTGTCGCTCCTCTCGATCGACATTGCCTGATACCACCCGGGAGCAATCTCACGACAACTCAAGACAAACGTCACTCCTTCGTATTCTCAAGAGACGACCTTCTCACATGACTTACTCAGAGGTTTGCAACTGAGTCGATCAGAAACGCGGTTGTCGTCATGGAAGATGATCACTTTACGTCACAGGCAAAAGACTTTGAGCAACACGGTTTCTCAGACGTTGATATCTAGTCTTCTGAGAATTAAGCCGGACATGTAACGATGTCTTTCGGCATTATTACTCGAAAGAACATCCACACGGCAGAAGAAATGATGACGCGCCTGGACGTCTAGGTCACTAAAAAAAAAACCACGGGAACAATCGCGGATGATTCGGAGAGATTTGCTTCTCGATTCACAAGGGTCTTTCTCTTATGTGTGGGAAGTTGCAACGGTCAAATGTTGAGATTGCAGCTGCTGCGTGCGAATTTTTGATTGTTGCCCCCCGCTCCCTACAAACGGTTTGGCTGCGTCGGCATATACAGCAAACCAAACAACACTTTTTACCCCTTCATCAAACTCTTGCCATAGCAACTAAGATACCAAAGGGAATAATGCATGAAAAAGGGATGGAAGGACATGACGCTTATTTCGCTTGCCTTTTATCTAACTCTTGTGTTTCGCATCTTCTACCCCAATCTATCTATGCCGCGCCTGTGCAAACGCCCTTTTCAAAGCAAAGTAGCAACAATCAGTGTCTCCGTTATCTACTGGACCAGTGCATCCTTGATTGATACTTCGACCTTGCCAGTCTTCTTGTCCAAGTTTTTCATCGTCACGCTGCGCATGTCACGCACGATCCAAGTAGCTCCGGCTTCCTGCAGTTGCTGCACGGTATGCGTGGTTGCCAATGCGACGACCTTGTAACCTGCCGCTATTCCAGCACGCACACCAGCAGGAGCGTCTTCGAGTACTAGAACATCGTCGCCCTTGATGCCTAGTCTTTCGGCGCCTAGCTTGTAGCAGGCCGGGTCTGGCTTGCCCTTTGCGACTTGCTCGGCGCTGACGAGGTGCTTGGGATGTGCTAGACCCATAACTTCCAGCCAACCCGTGACCAGAGGTTGTGTGCCCGATGTCACGATGGCCCAGGGTGCGGAGACTTGCTCGAGGGATTCCAGGATTGATCGACTGCCTGGTATTTCGACGGCGTCGTGACCCCATTTCTTGGGTATGGCACCTTCTGCCGCGCAGACGTCTAAGCAAAGGGCAAGAGTCATGTTAGCTGATGGGTCTTTTCTGCTTGCGAGACATGGTGTGGTGGGGGATGAGGAAGTCATCGCCAGATGGTGTGCAGAGTAGAGTGCATGGCGTGACTGTACATCTTCCCGACGTGATTGACGCGATGATTGGAAGTGTTTCTGCTTCGTTTTTCCGCCTTTCCTTCCGCCTTGAATCCTGAGACAAAAAGACGTTGCGGGCAAAGCTGAGTGTTGCAATGTGGGTGGGACTTTTGAAGGGCATCGAGAGACATGTATAACGCTCGAGTGGAGAAGTCGATCATCATCGCTGGGCAGCTTCTCTAGGCCCTTTCAGGTACACACCCTGTGATAGCATGTCTGTATCGTGCTGGACAGGTGGTTGGCTCACCATGGCCACTCGTGGCGGTCGCTTGAGAGTGAGCACTTAGAGGATCGCCTCAAGCCCGTGTTTCTCGCGTTAAGGAGCCAAGAGTAGGCAATGATGAAAAGATACTGTACCAATCGGTGACTCCGGAAGTGGCAAGTGTAGGGACAAAGGGAAGGAGGTTTACGTACACTCCCAGTTAGCGAGCTTAGGCTCCAAGATCTCGAGCACGTCGATTGAGCGCCTTCCGTGAGAGGTAGCGAGAATCACTTCTGGATCCACGCCGATGTCCTTGCCGATTTGGTGCCAGTGTTTGATGATTGCATTGGTGCTGTCGATGATCGTACCATCCATATCAAAGAGCTGTGAGTTGCGAAGGTCATGTCAGTCAAGATTCGTTGGCTGGTCAAGCCTTGTTGATCCACCCGATTGGCCTCTCTCGGATGGAGACTTGATACAAGGCGTGATCATATCACTAACCAGTGCTGCGAAAGAATGGACCTCAATGGGCGCCGAAAAGTTGTGCTGGTCAAGGTGCGGCATTTTTGCGGTCATGCGGTTTTGAATTCGGAACGCAGTCGAAACAGTCTTCAGTCGGTGCGGGATATTCTTCCTCTTCGTTTCCTTGTAGGCGAGTGTTTATGTATATATACATGCGTGAGGTGACTCTCAGTTGGGAGCAAAAGTAAGGGTGACTCAGACCGCTTGCCTTCCTATCGTCGGAACGTCCATAGTAGGAAACTCCGACCTACGCAAATCAGTGACGGGCATATTGAGGGCAACGACATTCAATTATGGATCTCGAGCAGACGTAGTAGTGCTCGATCATATATCATGCCTTCGGATTAGGCTAGATCGATGTTTCAATAACTTCAATTCATAATCAATCGAACATCGTAGATGAGGTTTCAGCCAGGGTTGTATCGTCAACAAGCGGCATTGGCTCTTCTTCCGAGCATAGAGGTATATAGGATGATAGTGGCACTAGAGTGAGCGACGTAATAGCAATGCTACATCGCATAGGAAGCGTTATCACCGAGATATGGATTTCTCTAGTGTTGGTTCATCAAGTACCTGAGCATAGGGAACGTCTTTTACCATGTCATGGAGTGTTCAGCCAGGGGGCGACCCTGACCGTGTGTGAACCCGATTGACTTATCAAAAGGGCAGTCCTACCTGAATGAGACTGCAGCAAGACGGTAAAACTGATAGACTGACATCGACACATCTTCTGTTAGGAGGCTGACGAACCGGACAGGACGAAATGGAGGACGTGCAGCACACGGAGACAGGGGAGCGAGCATCAATATCTTGACAAGCCATTCTTAGTTCAAGGCCGGGTATCTCGTTAAGTGTATGCAATCGACATAAAAAGGAACATGAAAGAACTCCGTACGCACTAGAGACCAGACCAGAAGAAACCACTTTTCCCATAGTTTTACGACTCCATTGCCGTATCATCAGTGTTAGCATCATCACCCCAAAGACCCTCGAGCTTAAACTCCTTGGCCCACTCGGTGACAATCTCCTTTTGGTCACCAACAAGACCGGTGCTGTCGCTGTTGCCAGGAGTCTTCTTGCCCTCCTTGGCGAGTTGTAGCGTCGGTGCGTCCATCCAGCCTTGAATACGACCGTCTCTCCAGTCAGTGACGACGGTTTGTGCAGCAGCGTGAATGTTGGGAACACCGCCCTTTCCAAGACGACCGCGCTTACGAGCGACCTGGACGAGAAAGTTTGTGGTAAGGTCGCCGTTGGCGACCATTAGGGCCGGCAGGCCGTAGACATCCAGCATCTTCTGGAAGCCATCGGGACTGCCACTCAAACGCTTGAGTAGCAGAGTAACGGCAGGAACGGGGTCGTCGATCTCCTTTGGCGGTACAGCGTTGAGCAGGATCAGACGGGCTTGCTCTTCCGTGCGGCTCGCCTTTGCACCCTCAACAGACGAGGGGAAGACGATACCGGGCGAGTCGAGAAGCTTCAGCTTGCTGTCGATCTTGACCTCGCGCAAGCTGGTTGTGACACCGGCCTCAGCACCAGTAGGGCAGTTGCCCTTCTTGCCGAGCTGAGAAGTCAGGGCGTTGATAACGGAAGACTTGCCAACGTTGGGGTAGCCAATGACACCGACAGTGATGGCGCGCTTGAGTTGGGAGGAGTGTGCGTAGGTCTTGAGGGCGCGGAAGAGCGTCTCGGAGGTACCCTTGACAGTCAAGGCCTTGTGGTCGAAGGTACGAGCGTTGGCAGCCGAGTTTGCGGCACGGAGAGGGAGGGTAGGGAAGGAGCGACGGAGGTGGATGAGCCAGTCCTTGAGGACTTGAGGGGGGATGAGATCGATCTTGTTGAGGACGAGGATCAGACGCTTGTTGGCTCCAGCCTCTGAAGCCATGATCTGTCTCTCGACCTCCTTTGATCGTGTTCCGTTGGGGTCGCGAGCGTCCAGCACGTACAGGACGACGTCGGCCTGCTCGATGACATTCTTGAAGACTTTGTCGAAAGCGCGACGAGACGAGTCCTTGCGCACGCCAGGGGCATCCATAGTCTGTTCCTCGCCAGCCACCATGTCATCCTCGGACATGTCCTCGTCCATGTCGTTCTCATCCTCGTCAACTTCGCCATCAAAGTCCTGTGCACGAGCGCGGGCCGAGGCGAGCAGAGCAGCCATGGGGTTTGCGGCGTCCTCGTCCATAGCGTCGTCGTCCATGTCGCTGAGATCAAGATCCTCGTCGTCACCGGCAACCTGGTCGATATCCTTGACATCAATGCCCTCGCGACGAGCCTTCGCCATCAGACGCGCTCTTTGCTTCTCCTCCTCTTTCCTTCTCTTTGACTCTTCAATCTCCTCGAGGACCTTTTGCTTGAAGGGGAACAAGTTGGGAATACCGGGATCCTTCTTGATCTTGGATCTCCATTCTGGGTTCTACAGGAGGAGGAGCCGGCGTCAGTATTTGTCTTGGTTTGGCGGATGGTGGAAAAGTTGACGAACGTTCTTTGCTTGCTTGCGAAGCTTTCTTTGCTTCTCGGCAGACTTTTTCTGGATGCTGTTGCGCAGGCGCGTCGAAGTGCGCTTCGAGATGGGCTTTCCGACCTTAGGCATTGTGAGATGTGTGTATGGTCGAGTACTGAGGCAAGGTCGAGAAAGTCTCCCAGGCTCAAAAAAATGTATGGCCAAACGCGGAGAAGAAGCGCTGCTAAGGCCGATGTCCGCGCTTGTACCCGCCAAGGCCGCTCCGTATGGCTGCTGGCAGCCTGGCACATGAGCTCTCGGTCAGTGGAGGCTGGAGCAGTCGCGACTCGCTCGGTCATAGCCAGCAGCATCCCGTCGCTGTCCCCGTTCCTTCCACATACGCAATCACAAACCCAACCAGTCCAATTGTCGCCTCGATCGCTCCTTCCCTGGCCATATCGATCGTGTACTCAACTCTTGCATCTCTCTATTCAACCTCACCCCGCGACATCCGCCGAGGCCCACATCATCGCCCAACATGTCGCTGTTCTGGTCAACTCCCTTGGACATAGACATTGTACTCGAAGATGCCGACGAACGCGCCATGGTCGACGTCAAGATGGACAAGAACCGTCGCGAAAAGGCTCCCTTATATTTAGACGGTGAGAGTGTCAAAGGCGCCGTCACCGTCCGTCCGAAAGACGGCAAGCGTTTGGAGCACACTGGTATCAAGGTCCAATTCATTGGTACGATCGAAATGTTCTTCGACCGTGGCACTCACCACGAGTTCTTGTCCATGCAAACAGAGCTGGCCGCACCCGGAGACCTACAACATCCCCAGACCTTCCCCTTCACCTTCAAGAACGTCGAGAAGCCGTACGAGAGTTATTCGGGTGTCAACGTGCGTCTACGCTATTTTGTACGCGTCACCGTGAGTCGCCGTATGCAGGACGTTGTGCGCGAAAAGGATCTCTGGGTCTACTCGTACCGCATGCCGCCAGAGACCAACAGCGTCATCAAGATGGATGTCGGCATCGAGGACTGTCTGCATATCGAGTTCGAATACAGCAAGAGCAAGTACCACCTGAAGGATGTCATTGTCGGCCGTATTTATTTCCTACTGGTTCGTCTGAAGATCAAGCACATGGAACTTAGCATCATCCGTCGCGAGACAACAGGCGTGCCGCCGAATCAATACAACGAGAGCGAAACGCTTGTACGCTTCGAGGTACGTCTAGCCCTTGAGCATTGCTTACACAGCCTAGACACATACTGACACTTATTTACAGATCATGGACGGCTCACCCTCTCGCGGCGAAACGATCCCCATCCGTCTCTTCCTCGGAGGCTTCGACCTAACGCCCACCTTCCGCGAAGTAAACAAGAAATACTCGACACGCTACTACCTCTCCCTCGTCCTCATCGACGAAGACGCCCGCCGCTACTTCAAGCAAAGCGAAATCGTCCTCTACCGTCAAGCGCCCGAGGGTGTCGAGGCCGCCCAAAGGCAGGCCAAGGAGATACAAATGAGCTGAAGCCAGACGCCCCACCGTGATCTCTCTTTGCAGCTATGAAGTGATGGTGTTGAGGGGGAGAAAGAAAGAAGAGGTCATGGTGTCGGGACCTGCAATTTTAAATATATCGACGAGAGTAAGAGTGCATTTGGCAAAAGTGCTTCTTCACACGTGGCCAGATATCTGCGCGCAACAATAGCGAGGCGTTTATGGCGTCCTTGAGGAGGGTTGGTTAAGAAGGAGAGAGATGAGGATCGAAGCATCGTCCGTCCATGAGAGTCTTTGTAGGCACATTAATGCCTCCCATGTCATGTTGTATTGTTCACGGAAGAGAACAACAATGTCCAGAACAACGATCGTTGTTTGATGTAATATGTAAATACGAAACAACCATTTTCCATTTTGAACATTCATCATCATGTATTTGAGCTCTATCCAAGCTATTCATCCTAAACTGTACTCCCGAAGGAGGATTTCCCAAGAAGAAAGAGAAAAAAGGTATAAACAAAAGAAGTGAAAACGCCAAAGATCGCCTTTTAGACCCATCCCATATGCTGCTTCTTCCTTTCTTTTATACATGAAAACCAAGGCATCATCAGTCGTCTCCTCTTAAACCTCATTGCTGGGGTAGATGACCTGGTTGCTGCCGACAAAGTCCTCCTTGATGGCACGCATGCTGACGAAGCGAGCCAAAAGGTTTGCACTGCCAGCCTTGTCGTTGGTACCGCTTGCTCTGGCACCACCGAAAGGCTGCTGACCAACAACAGCTCCGGTAGACTTGACGTTGATGTAGAAGTTACCAGCGGTGTTGCGGAGAGCTTCTTCGGCGAAGCGGATGGCATAGCGGTCTTGAGCAAACACTGCACCAGTCAAGGCATAGTCGGAAGAGGCGTCAATGTCCTTGCAGATGTTGGCAAAGGCGTTGGGAGCAGCGTCGTCGTAGACGTAGACGCAGAGGACGGGGCCGAAAAGCTCTTGCTTGAGAAGAGGGTGGTTGGGGTTACTTGTGGCATAGATGGTGGGGTGGATGTAGAAGCCCTTTGAGCCGTCATACTTGCCGCCGACGATGAGCTCGAGCTCAGAGTCGTTCTTGGCCTCGTCGATGACCTTGCTCAACTTGTCGAAACTGCCTTGGTGGATGACGGGTCCGATGAAGTTGGAGTAGTCCTCGGGGTCGCCAATCTTCAGCTTCTCGGTCTCGGACTTGAGACCCTCCTTCACGCTGCTCCATAGCGAGGCAGGGAAGTATGCGCGGGAAGTGGCAGAGCACTTCTGACCTTGGTACTCGAATGCACCACGGACGGTGTTGATGACGGCGTTGGAGACATCGGCTGAGGGGTGGATGAGATGGAAGTTCTTACCACCAGTCTCACCGACGATACGAGGGTAGCCCTGGTAGCGGCCCTCAGCAACTCCATTGGCGATCTGACCGTACAGGCTACGGAAGACAGAAGTGGAGCCGGTGAAGTGGAGAGCAGCGAATTGACGGTGGGCGAGGACAACCTTGGTTACCTCTGCAGCATCACCGGGGATGAACTGAATGACACCTTCGGGAAGGCCAGCCTCGAGAAGGATCTTGTAGAGAAGGTAGTTGGAAGCCATGGCGGCGGGCGAGGGCTTCCAGACGACGACGTTGCCCATCAGAGCAGGGGCACACGCAAGGTTGCCTCCAATGGCAGTGAAGTTGAAAGGCGATACAGCATAAACGAAGCCCTCGAGAGGACGGTACTCGACACGGTTCCAGACTCCGGGGGAGTTGTGTGTGGGCTGGTGAGCGTATGTGTCTTGAGCATACTGAACGTTGAAGCGGAGGAAGTCGCAAAGCTCAGCAGCGGCATCGATCTCAGCCTGGTATGCGTTCTTGCCCTGGCCGGCCATGGTAGCAGCCATGATTTCGTAGCGGTATTTGCCAGCAATCAGGTCGGCGGCCTTGAGAAAGACGGCAGCACGGTCGGCAAAGGGAAGGTTCTCCCATGCTGGCTTAGCGGCCAGAGCGGCATCGATGGCAGCTGAGACGTCCTGGGAGGAGGCGTTGCTGTAGGATGCAACAGAGTTGGCGTGGGCCGAAGGGTCGGATTGCGAGAGCTTGGTCTGGTTGGAGATCTGCCAATGTCTTAGTTCTTTGCTCTTGCAACTCGGATCGACCTTGTTCCTACAGTCTTGCCGGCAATCTTGACAGGCACATCAATGGGAGCTTGCTGTCTGAAGCTCTTCAGAGCAGCTGCGAGCTTTTCGCGGTCCACAGTACCTCTGGAGTAAGTAGGCTTCGCATCTTGGTCAGCTTCACTGTTGCGTCTTCTTCGCATGATCAAAACATACATTGGGCTCGTTGTTCACCGCTGGCACCTTGAAGGTCGCGATACTGCGCGTGTTCTTGATGCCATTGGCGAGGGATGTCGTCTTGGGAGCCTTGAGGTAGCTCTGGAGGGTGATCCTGGCGGCCATGATGGTGAATGACTAACAGAAGACTGATACAACGGAGAAAAGAGTAACAAGGACTGACTCTGACAGCACTCAGGACAGGTCCAGTTATTTATCTGGCGACCTTTACACCACCGATAGTGTCTACGGCTTCCGTCGGCTGGACGCGGCTGTACACAGAATCCCCACGTTTGGCCGCGTTTAAGCTCCCCCGAGCGGCCGAGGGCAGGCAGACACGAGGGTGGACGACTGGCATGTGTATGACCCTTGATCCTACTCTGGTATGATGATCTGTGTGTTGCGTCTGCCCATCTCGTCCTGCTTTGGATTGGCTCTTGAAAATCACAATGTCACCGATGGCACTTGACGTCCTGAATTGGACTTTGCAGAGGGATCTCCAAAACATGAAGTCAACGAGCTCGCACTGTAATGCGAGCTTGACGTATATATATAAAGAGGCCACGAGACTGCTGTTCTCCTACATCATCTTCAACATCCTCACCAATCCTACAAGTAAGTCCAACTCTGTGTCGTACAATCTTTATCCCAAGATGCGTTTCTCGACTATTGCCGCACCTGTGATGGCCCTCTTCGCCACTTCCGCCTATGCTGGTGTCATGAAGCGCGATGCGACCTCTGATCTTCTCATTCAGCAACTCAGCGAGCTTACTCAAATGTCCAAGACCTTCACACCCCAGATCAGCGCCATCAAAGCCGGCGGTCTGATCGCTAAGAGGCAATCCAACCCTTTCCAGGTACCATCTTACCTCCCGTGCTGACATCAAAGTACAATGTTCTGATTTGTCTTGTAACGCCTATCATCGACGACTTCCGAGCTTTCATCGAGAAGGAGACTGCCGATATCCAGACTGTTGGAAGCATGCCCCCAGTCTCCGATGAGACAGCCCAAAGGCAAGTATGCTCGGCCTATTCGACTTTTGTGCAGGCCCACCAAGAGCTTCTCAAGGTTGTGATTGGAAAGTCCGGTCTGCTGGAAGGCATCTTCCTCGGCCCTGTCGCTGCTGTTCTGCGTTCCCATGAGGGCGCTCTCGATGTATGTGTAGCCCCTGTCAAAGTGACAGCCTCCTGCTAATATCGTGAATAACAGACTGTTTCTTTCATTACAATTGACTCTGTGGCCTCCTGCGCGGAGGAGGTCACCAGCCAAAAGAGCTCCCTGGATGACACACTTGGCAAGGCCATCTGTGCTTATACTCCCAGCGGTTCTCTTGGCCTCGATCTGTTCTGTGAGAGTGCAGTAACATGGTCCAGCAGATGTATGTATGGACGAGATGCAGAGTTGTGTCACAATCCGATTGTGTATATTCAGACAGCATGTACGGTATGCTATGCCGACGAATACAATGTGTTCAAATACTTCAAGTGTAGAATCCGCAAGTAGTGCCGTATTGATCGCTACAATATTTTTGACGAGGAGGAATCTGTCCTCTGGACCGGTCCGAGGGCTTGCGATATGGGTGTTTATGCCAAACTTTCCAAACCTGGAAGTACTGTAAGTCCCAGTGCACGCTACCATTTGACCATGACAATTCACGCTCTTCAAGAGGTTGGTAGCCTCCAAGGTTGGTTGAAGTCAGGAAGAAGTAGCAAGAGCGGCATTTCCAGGAGAACGACGGCGCGTTTGTGAGCCAGAAAGCTACTGTTGCCCATTCAAGGAGTCGCATCGCTGCCTTCAATTTGTTCTGACACCCAGGCATCGATTCGACGGGCTTGACGCTCCTTTGGTTTGCCCTCTGGTTTGTCCTCGGGTGTATCTTTGGCATCGTTCTCATCATCACTGTCTTTCTCCAAGAAGATGCACTTCTTGTTGTGTTTGCGTACCGCAGTCTCGGTGAGAAAAGACGTTTGTTGCGAGCTTGCCAGTGCCCTTTCAGTCTCATTGACCGAATTCATAAGCCATCTCGTGGAGGCGGGAAACACATCAGGATCGTAGTCGTGGCCTGAGCCTTGTTCCAGGTTCAACAGCTGTCTAGCCAAGGCTTTTGTGCTTTCTGAAAGACCTCTGCAGCTCGGCACGTCTGCATTCGAAGCTTCTTGCACAGGGAGGACGTGGGCATCACTCGTGTGTCGGACGTCGGCTTGTTTCGACACTTTGAACTGTGGTTTCGAGGCCGTCGCAGAACCGTTCTTGGGTGTAGTTGGTTCTTGTGAACAAGCCATGGTGATGGAGGGCTGTAGCTAGCCAAGGGGAAGGAAGGAGAAGACGGCCGTGAGAGAATTTCCGAATACGTGATCACCTCGAATCGGGGTTGTGACGACGCGGAGAAGCTACTGTAGAGATACTCAAGGGGGGCCGTACATGTACACATACAGGCAGTCATCGGCGATATGATTGGTGCATAATGAGATCCGAGGTCTCCATGGAAATTGTACTGGACATCGAGGATGATCCGGCATTCTCGGGTGGTCTCGTCGATGTCGATTTCCATCATGAAGGAGCGACTTCCGAGACCTCGGGACAGCATAAGTAAATAAGCCTGCACAAAATCCGCACAACATGCTAAATATCCCTAGCCAAACGCTTAACTTCCCGCAGATCACATACCCCAAAGACGATCCGCGATCGCCAATTCGTCGTGCGGGTTCCGAGAATTGTTCCTGTGGTGGATGTACCGCAATCGGCAGAGGAGTGATCAGACGCCGAAAGAGCGAATTGCATCGGACAGATGCGAACAGAAACTATGTACAGTGAAGGGAACAACAAACTCATCTTCTTGCCTGATAGTCCACCCGAGACTACGGCGATGATTGGCCATGTCAATATATCATGGATCCTGATGAAATGCACAAACGAGAACCTCACAAACGCCACAATGTACAGAAGAGTCCAACAAAGACCCATGTGTCAGCCAGATATCATACCCATTCCCAAGTCATTTCTTCATGACCGACGCCCCGTGTGAGCTATCGGAACTCGACGGCACCAATGCAGCCCCTGTCTTCTACGTGTACCAATTCGAGTTGTTGGTATCTGGATCAGAAGTCAGTTCCAAGGCCGGCCCGCGTGGGTATGGCAACATACTTTTCACTCCTGGAGTGGAAATAGATTCCAGAGACCGAACCGTTGCGTTGGTTAAAGCAGATGTAGTAGAAGCCTTCAAAGCTTGCCCCAGTGATGGATTTGACCTTGTGATCTGGCACCAAGAAGTACTCTTTCCACCTCATGAAAAGATGCTCACGTTGAGCGAAATCCTGACAGGTAAAGTTGGGCGACTTGGCCTGCTTGGCCAGTGGCTTCCATGGCGGAAATCGAGCCCAGTGTTGCATGTCAACCTTTTCCGTAGACCCCCATTCCGGATGTGCGGTTCTAAATGAGTGTTTCGTACCGATTATCTCGCCCTCAAAGTATGTGGTCAATGTTGGATGGTCATCGGTGAGGCCTAGCTAGTGTCAGTACAATAAGTCGGCAGCCGCTGTCATTGACCACATACCTTGGATGCGCAGGTAACCGCAAACGAACGACTCTTCCATATCGACATGCTTTATCTCGACCTGCACGTCATAGGTCTGACGGTCCGACTGCTGTGTCCCTCGAAATTTGCTGCCCGATTGGAAGAAGGACGATGTCAAGCAAGGTATCAGCTGATGGGGCACAACGTCAGCGGCGGAAGTCACTGCATGTCGAGGTTGTACGAACTCTTGTTCTGCTAAGGGGATAACTCGAATAGGCGGGAGAGGCATGTGCCGAGGTTGACGGTGTGGTTCGTGTATCGGTCTCTTTTGGTTCATCGTTCACTGGACTGGAGGGAGTTGGTAGTCGCGCCTCTGTCGATAGATGATCCTCATCGAGGTCCACGGGTTTTGTGGGTGTCTCCGACATGGTTGACTCGGGGTCCTGATCCTCTTCAGGTGTGGGCATTTGTGCGACAGATTCGGTCACGAGATTACGACTCTGATCGGAAGATGGCGAGACATGTTCGCCTGGTTGTGGGAGGGTCAAGCGATCTTCTGGTGGGCAAGTCGCGTGAGTTGCACTCGACGCGGAGATATCGATGGGCGTGGGTTGCGTTTCGTCATGGGGCGTGGGCATGTTGCGCGAGAAAGATCGAACAGAGAAGAATGGCTATCGCGGTATTGAACAGGGTCGAGTATCAAGAGTGACAAGGGTGGCACGCAGTCAATAAATTAGAAACATAGGAAGGTTAGCGCAGGAGAAAGGCAGTGTTTGGTTTGCGGAAGTGTCAATGAGAAAGAAGTCACCATCCTTGACGCTGCACTTGCCAAGCCCATCATTGCCTCCGGGGTAACCTTAACTTCTTTGGCCTGGGCCGAGTCCGAAGAGTCCATGTCGCCGTCTTCAGCGCATCCGTGCGTAGCCCTACAGACAGTGTGCAGTGTGCACTCAACACGTGCTATCTTGTTTGTCCAGTCTTGTCAGACCTTTACGACTACCATTGTATTCATGCCCCAAGCCGACTTTGATTGTTGTACAGCTCTCGGAATTCGAATTGGAGAGCCACCCCGACGATCGCAGGGCCAAATCAAAGCCAGTTGTCCCTGCCAAATCCTCGTGACAGACGGCGAATTCCTGTATCAAATTTGGATGAACATGAATTCCGGGAATGGTGATTGTTGTAAAAGTTTTTGAGATACCTGAACGCCGTTCTCTCCTCCGTCTATTGGGAGTGTATGGTTCCGAATCTAAATGGGCTTGATCTGCGTAATTGTAAGCAACACTGTCCTTGATTTGATACTCATTCAGAAATATACCTTGAAGTGGAGTGCGATCAAGGAGAACACAAGCGCCTTCAGATCTTGCACAAGGTAGTAAAACACACGGAGTCCTTCTGGGTCCTCTGACTCGTTAACGTCGACGAGGGATCCAATCTTTGCGGTCTAGAAGGGGAGTCAGTACGGCGAGCTGAGTAAAGTAGTGAGTAGGATGTTGACCTCGAAAGAGATATGCTCGTTGCCCAAACGAATCTCAAGTTCCTGTCTACCGTCCTTGTTCTTCTGTGGCCATTTCGTGTCGTCTTCTCTGTCGATACGTTAAGGTCATGTCTCCTGAGCTAGGTCCTGCAAAGCATACTTCAGAATCTCGCTATCCTTGATGATGCGCTTGATCTCCTCGATCATGAGTGAGCTCACACACACTTGAGATGTCAGCTAAGGAAGGCGCAAGTCGATAGTCGATTGAACATACTCTCTTTTCGGATCAATGAGTCGTTGCGGTAGTTTGAGTTGTTGGCATAACGCGCCGAGGCAGAGCGGCCATCGCCTAGAGCGCGGAAGTCGAACTCTGGTAAAGAGATCAATAACCACGAAATGATTTGCAGAGAAGGCGAAATATACCCAAAAACTCATGTCCGAATCTACCGGAATGGCCTGAGCTATGGTGATGTAAGCAATGATTTTCTGAAAAGAGAGACTCAAGAAATATGATAATGCGGCGCAAAAGAGCATTGCGAAGTCCGCAAATTCATGGAAGTAGGCAGACAACTTACTAGTAACGCAGATAGAACGGCTCGTTGCTCGCCATGATGAGTGTGTGGTTGTGATGCGCAACTGGATAAAGACGCGATGGGATGCGGCGGTTGGTGGGAGATGGAGGAGATGGCTTATTTTGGTTAGCGGAAGTCGGGGGTTTGTAAACGTAGCCCAAGGAGCAGGAGCAGCTCCTGACAACTAAGCCGCCTAGGAGAGCAACAATTTACATCCGTGTCCGCCTGTCTCTCGCATCTTTCCAATCGCCAGCTCCCGAACTCTCCCTACCTCTCTGTCGATCCGTCTCAGTCTCTCGCTTCCGACTCAGACCGCGCCGCGCAATCCCGCTCATAGGACTACAGACCAGGGGATCCGCACTACTACCAGGACAAGCCTCCTATACTTGCACCCCGCGTGCATGGTTTACTGAAAGACATAAGCAACAATGGCGACCTTCCTCGATCATGCGTACAGCTTGGTGCACCAAGACAACACGGCCGACCAGCCGTCGCTGCAGGACCTCAAGAACCAACTGGAGAAGGGCACCGACGAGTCCAAGCAAGAGACGATGAAGCGCATCTTGACAATCATGCTCAACGGCGACCCAATGCCCGCACTGCTGATGCACATTATCCGCTTCGTCATGCCGTCCAAGAGCAAGGCCCTGAAGAAGCTGTTATACATGTACTACGAGGTGTGCCCCAAGCACGATGCCGGCGGCAAGTTGAAGCAAGAGATGATCTTGGTCTGGTAAGGATGCTATCTACTCTGTTCAACACAACAAGACCTTCTCGCTGACCACACCATTCTGCAGTAACGGCATCCGTATGGATCTGCAGCACGCCAACGAATACATCCGTGGAAATACCCTTCGCTTCCTGTGCAAGCTTCGCGATGCCGAACTCATCGAACCACTCCTCGCACCTGCCCGCCAATGTCTCGAACACCGCCACTCATACGTCCGCAAGAATGCCGTCTTCGCAATTGCCTCCATCTACCAACACAACGAGGCTCTTATGCCCGATGCTCCTGAGCTTCTCCAGACCTTCCTCGAGTCCGAGAGTGATGCTACCTGCAAAAGAAACGCCTTTGCCGCTCTGATCTCAATCAGCCATGACCAGGCCCTTGAGTACCTGAGCTCCGTCTTCGAAGGTATCCCCAATGCAGACGAGTTGCTCCAGCTTGTCGAGCTAGAGTTCATCCGCAAGGACGCAGTCACAAACTCTCAAAACAAGGTCAGTACACCGAATAGCCATACAGAATCCTCTGCTAAAGCTTCTGTTCCCAGGCACGTTATCTCCGTCTGATCTTTGATCTCCTCGAAGCCAAGGAATCAACCGTCGTGTACGAAGCCGCTTTCTCCCTCACAGCTCTCACCAGCAACCCCGTCGCAGTCAAGGCCGCCGCTGCCAAGTTCATCGAACTGAGCATCAAAGAGTCGGACAACAACGTCAAACTCATTGTCCTTGAAAAGGTCAATCAGCTGCGCCGCGTCAATGAGGGTATCCTCGACGACTTGACTATGGAGATCCTGCGTGTTCTGTCCAGCCCTGATCTCGACGTCCGTAGAAAGGCCCTTAGCATCGCCATGGACATGGTCTCAAGCAAGAACGTAGAGGAAGTGGTATTGCTCTTGAAGAAAGAGCTCTCCAAGACCGTGGACGAGCAGTACGAGAAGGTACGCAACCCACATCTGCGAAATAGCCCAACACTGACAATCTTTCTAGAACAACGAATACCGATCTCTACTCATTCACTCCATTCACCAGTGCGCCATCAAGTTCTCCGAGGTCGCTGCCAGCGTTGTTGGTCTATTGATGGACTCAATCGCAGATTTCAACAACGCATCTGCAGTTGATGTCATTCAGTTTGTTAAGGAGGTCGTCGAGAAGTTCCCCAAACTCAGAGCGACCATCGTCGGCCGTTTGGTTTCTACCCTCAGCGAAGTCCGTGCTGGAAAGGTCTACCGTGGATCACTTTGGATCATTGGAGAGTATTCTCTGGAAGCGAACGATATCCGCGAAGCTTGGAAGCACATCAGAGCCAGCTTGGGAGAAATCCCCATTCTTGCTTCCGAGCAACGACTTCTTGAGGAACAGCCCGATGGTGAGCCGAACTTGAACGACCAGGTCAATGGTAACGCAAAGACTGCCCCCACTGGTTCACGAAAGGTCCTTGCCGATGGCACGTATGCTACCGAGAGTGCTTTGACCAGCCAGTCTGCTGTCAAGGCCAAATTAGAGGCCGTCAAGGCCGCACAGAAGCCTCCTTTGAGACAACTTATCCTAGACGGCGACTACTATCTCGCCAGCGTGCTGGCTTCGACATTGACAAAGCTTGTAATGCGTCACAGCGAGATCTCGGACGATGAGGCTAGAACAAATGCTCTCCGTGCTGAAGCTATGCTTATCATGATCTCGATCATCCGGGCAGGACAGTCACAATTCGTCAAGCACCCCATCGACGAGGACTCCATCGATCGCATCATGTCTTGTGTCAGATCGCTGGCAGAATTTGCACAGAAGCGTGAGCTTGAGAACGCTTTCCTCAACGATACTAGGAAAGCTTTCAGGGACATGGTCAACGTTGAGGAGAAGAAGCGTGCCGAAAAGGATGCTCTTAGCAAGGCCAAGAACGCCATCCAGGTCGACGACGTTGTGTCTATTCGTCAACTCAGTAAGAAGAACGCTGTTGATGGCGCAGACGAGATTCAGCTCGACCTGGAGAAAGCTACCGGTGGTGACTCTGCTACGGAAGATCTCAGCTCCAAGCTCAGCCGTGTCGTGCAGCTTACTGGATTCTCCGATCCTGTGTATGCTGAAGCATACGTGCAGGTACATCAATTTGACATCATCCTTGATGTTTTGCTGGTCAACCAGACCCAGGACACTTTGCAAAACCTTTCGGTTGAGTTTGCTACACTTGGTGACTTGAAGGTTGTCGAAAGACCAACAACACAAAATCTGTCGCCTCTGGATTTCCTCAACGTTCAGGCCACCATCAAGGTGTCTTCCACAGATACCGGCGTCATCTTCGGAAATGTTGTCTACGAGGGCGCCTCATCCACAGACCAGAGTGTCGTGATCTTGAACGACGTTCACGTTGACATCATGGATTACATTCAGCCAGCTCACTGCACAGAGACACAGTTCAGAACTATGTGGACCGAGTTTGAATGGGAGAACAAGGTCAACATCAACACGAAATTGCCCGCCAACAAGGGTCTACGCGACTTCCTCAAGGGCCTGATGAAGGTCACAAATATGAGCTGTCTAACACCGGACGCAAGTCTGAGCGGAGACTGTCAATTCCTGAGCGCCAACTTATATGCCAGGAGTGTATTCGGTAAGTCGGCTCTAACATGTCTTTTTTTGCATGCAATGTGAAGCTAATGGAAACTAGGCGAGGACGCTTTGGCCAACCTTAGTGTCGAGCAAGAAGGCGACACCGTGACTGGATTCGTGCGGATAAGAAGCAGATCGCAGGGACTGGCTCTCAGTCTCGGCTCGCTCAAGGGATTGAACAAGATTGGCGACTATGTTTGAAATGATCCAATGATGAAAGATAGACCCCGCTGAAGAATTTGTGCCCGGCTAGGGCAAGTCATCTATGTGGTGAGGAGTAAGAAAGCCACTGTCATCCATCAATCGTGTCTGGTTCTCGGTGCAACATGCAAAGGCAGGCTATGGCGTAACAGAGAAAAGTAGAGCAGTATTATGCAAGGGTAGTGTTCGTTCTGTATTGCGACAAGGCATCTTCATGATTTCTAATTGTTATTCTGGTTGGTTTCGTGAGAATGAAGTGTACGAGTAATTAGCGAGAGCCGAAAGTTCCATTTCTAATAACTAGATTCGTAATAGCGCAACACATAGCGCCTTTGTTGCACGACCAACATGGGATACAGTTAACCACATTGTGCTGGATCTGTCGTAGTAAGAGGGCTATGGATTGCGCAGAGCAGATCGCTACTGTTGTACGATATAGGTACTGACAGAACAAAAACAAAAATCGATGCTCTCCATCAGGGAATCGAACCCTGGTCTCCCGCGCTTGACGAGATTACTCTTGACAAGCGGAAATCATGACCACTAGACCAATGAAGATGGGCCAGCTGTGCTGGTATTGGTTGGTGCTAGCTCCAGCTTACAAGTTTATATATTGCACTCACATTGCATATCTTGGTCGCGAGATCAGAGTGGTCTGTCGTCAGTCCAAGCTCTCACTCCAACTCCCCTGGGCCGGCAGCAAACGCGATCATTGCTGCAGGTCTGACACAAGCCGTATGCCATTGCGCAAATGCGGTGTGATAGCATCATAATCGGCCATGTACTGGCCCATTGGGGCGCCCAAGACTTATGCTGCTTCTAAGCATGTAACCCGCAGCACCAACCTACCCACTCCCGACCACGATGATGCCGACAAGCTCGCCGTCACACCTCTCTCGCCTGATGCTGGCCAACTCACACCTTTGGTCCTGGAACATGACCAAACGCCCTTTGAACCTCTAGTCGCGGCGAGTCCTGCTGTGGACGATGCCAGCAGTGCAGAAGAGCAGGATATAGTGGACATTAAAACATCTCGCGCTGGCAACATCTTCACCACAATCACGGCCTCATCGCTCAGCGTGTGGCAAACCAAGCCTACCGCTCTGCTTGCGACAGTCGCAAGGTCGGATCATTCCCTCGAAACATACGGTCCCAACACATCTCTCCTGCTGCGCCCAGACGCCCTTATAGTTATTGTTCAAACCCAAAAGGGCTTCCTAATCACATACTCCTTGGCCATCGATCCTGCTGCCAGAGTATACCAAACCTCAATCATCACTTCTTCCGGGTCCCACGTCCGTAGGTCAAGCAATGAAGCTTATACCAAGAGACCTAATCTTACCCCGGATGTCGGACCTGCCGAAGGGGAAGGCATCAAAGAAGTCAGCATCCGATTCCGCATGGTTATCAGAATAGACGCTGGTATCTCCCGAGCCCTTGTGCTGGATGACGAGCTTGTCGTGACTACTGTCAAGCCTGCAGCCATCCAATGTATCCGCTGGACGCCAGATAGCTCAGGCTCTTCTCACAACACTGAACTTCTTAAACGAATGTCTTGGCTTGTCGGTAGACCTTCAGTCACTGATATGTCATATGATAGACCTATGAACCTGCACACATGGGTGACAGATGATGGCCGAGCGTATGCTGTCCAGAGATTGTCTGGGTCAAGTGCTGACCCAGTCAACGCGAAGAGTTTATTCAGAGGATTCTGCTTCCATTCTCCTGAGCCCAAAGGTCGTTTTGCTACAAAGTCTGCGATCAATGCTCGATTCTCGCTAATAGCTATTGGATGCTCAAACGGCACGATTCAAGTGTACTCCGCAAAAGATTATGTTGGTAATATCCCGCCATCGCACGAATTGAAGCTGCCTGTCTCAGAAGCATCCTCTGGTAATCTCACCTTCTTGAGTTGGTCTCCCGATGGCTACTGTCTGTTTGCGGGCTACGATCAAGGGTGGGCCATGTGGAGTGTTTACGGCAAGCTAGGCGCGAACACATTCGGTGCGGATCGGTCTGTTGCCGAGTCCAATGCTGAAGAGTGGCTCTGTGGAGTACGCGCTGGATTCTGGGTAGGTGGCGGTGCAGAGATCCTGCTGCTAGGCCCCGCTAGACGTGAATTGCATGTCGTCGAGATGATGCGCAGCAGTGTGACGGGTTGCTTCGGCATGCCCAACATCTCTAGATCTCTCCTGCAAGGAAGCACCAGTCTAATGCTGTACAAAGGATTCGAGACCTCGGACCACACGACGATATCTGGGGACATCTCCTTGTGGCAGACTGTCCAAGTCCCACAAGCCTATCTCGCATATCAGTGGCCTATTCGACTCAGCGTTGTCTCTGCAGATGCACGATATCTCGCTGTAGCCGGAAGACGAGGGTTGGCCCACTATAGCGTTGGAAGTGGGCGATGGAAGAGTTTCGAGGATCCAATCGCCGAGAACAGCTTCACTGTGAGAGGTGGTATGTGCTGGTGGCAACACATTCTTGTGGCTGCTGTGGAGTCAGGCAGTAGTTACGAGGTATGCTTTCCTACATGTCGACCGCGACCAATTACTGACTGGATAGGTCCGGCTTTATTCGCGAGAGAAGACTCTGACCAATTCTCAAGTACTGCACACTGAAGTCCTTGCATATCCGGTGGTATGTATGGCCACGTCTGGAGAAGATTCTCTGCTGGTGTATACATATGAGAACATTCTGCTCCACTATATATTCGTCTCGTCGGCCAAGACTGTCAAACTTGCTCAGGTTGGCCAAATCGCCTTCCACGGCATAATCAGGGCTCCCCCTCGCGTTCGCGCTATCAGCTGGATTTTACCCGAGGACCAACGAGGTATGTATACAGACTCTGTGAACCTTCGTTTTGCTTACAAGTCCTCTTTAGATAACGGCGATCCATCTCACGACGTTGCTACAGCTTCCGTTCTGTTCCTTGTCGACGCCAAGTTGGTGTTGTTGCAGCCCTCAGCGAACGAACATGGAGAGCTGAAATACGACATGCGCGTCATAGCACACAACGTGGAGTTCTACACATTATCTAGAGAGCAGCCGCCCTCGACCTCATCACCAAGTCTTCTTGAAAGTGGTTCTGATAACAGCTATATCCCTGTTGATGTTCTAGGCCACAGCTTGCGAGACTCTCTGTGGTACTTTGATGGCACGTCGATGCATGCATGGTCCGACGTACTCGATGTGCTCTCATCCGCTCTCACGGAGCACGGGCGTGATGTGGCGCCCACGGTCGCTATTGAGACCGACTTTTACCCCCTATCTGCAATTGTGGAGAAGGGCCTCCTGACTGGTCTAGAGTCTGACTTGGTCCAACGACGAGACATTAACTTTGCGTTCTACCGCCTCAACCAGCGCACGCATCTGTCAATACCATCTCTCCTGCGGCACCATCTAGCCCAGTATGATTCGCCCGCTGCGCTCCATCTTTCGCATTCGTACCAAAAGCTTCCCTACTTCAATCATGCCTTAGAAGTGCTGCTCCATGATGTCCTGGACGACGAGGTAGATACTCCTCCAGAGTCTCTGGAGGCAGCACTTCTTCCGAGTGTGCTGTCCTTTCTATCTTCCTTCCCAACATATCTTGACATTGTCGCTGGATGCACACGTAAGACAGAATTGCGAAGTTGGGAAACTTTGTTTCGTTACTTGCCTCCCGTGGTGGAATTGTTCGAAGAATCTCTTCAAAAAGACATGCTCAAGACCGCGGGAAGCTATCTGCTCATTCTGCATGCCTTTGACGAAGGTAGCTTTAGCGCACGTCAGATATCAACTCTACTCAAAAGAGCTAGAGAAGAGGGCGATTGGGACCTCTGCAAAGAACTTGCTCGTTTCCTGGTTGGCATTGACGAGACAGGAAACCTTCTGAAGACTGTCCTCGTCCGGGCTGGGCTGAAGACCGCCGAGCCTGATACCACCACATACAGCTCCTCGGATGGTGGAGATGAGAACGTCATGACATTCGACGATAACGGCGACTCAGATGGTGCAGCAGTCCAGACGTCTGATAGGTCTGATGGGCACAGTGGTGGCAGCATCATAGTGAATGCTAGTCGGAATCCTGATTCCTGTGCGCAAGATTATTTCGCGGACACAGCAAGGTACTCATGAGATAGGTACCTCTGCCCTGGTCACAAGAACACATGCATGGGTAGCAGCCTTATAATAGGGCTGCATGTCGCGTGGAACGCATATATTTTGTTTTGATCGTGGCGGTCTGATTGTATTTTAAGGCTCCGGGAAGACGAAATCGCAGATGGTGGTCCTTGATCAATGACGCCAGAAAGTAAACAAAAAAGCTTCAGGCGGGGTCCTCGCATCTGTTTTGACTATTTGCTGCTTTGGGACGGCCCGCCAAATATCCATCTCGATCGCAACACCTTGAAGCTATTTCAAACGAAGTCGAATTGCAATAGTCCAGAAAGCATTAGGGTATGATTGTTTCCCAGTGGCACTGCCTCTGAAATGGCGCAAACAGTGGTGGCAATGACAGGTAGAGATTCACAGGGGAGCTGAAGGCTTGACACTCGCGTGGGAACCTCGTGCATGCCAGAGCCGAAAGCTTGTCACGCAGCTTCTACACCACCCACCTGTCTAGGAAAATGGAGAAGCTCTCGTCTCGTCTTGCTAGCCGCCCGATCAGAACCTCTGCTATAACCGATCCCAATACAATCATCATCACTCCACAGCAACCGGTCTACGTTATGTGCTATCTCTTGGCCCATTCTCTACTTTGGGGCGTCCGTGTGACACGCAACCAGGACAGAGCATTGCGCTACGTATGTGGCAGTGTCGTATCACCAGGCATGTCTCCGATATCGACAGGTTTGTTCACCGCAGATTCGATATACAACAAGAAGATTTGTAGTTGAGTTTGAAAGGTGAGTGGAATACTACCATGATCTGCTACTGTTGCAGCTTGAGGGAAGAAGCACTCGTCATTCGCTACATGTACCCCGGTCTCAATCCACGGACTGCTGGAGACGACCCAAAATCTGGCGGTTGGATGGCTGCTTCCATCCCTGAAAGTCTGTCTTCGGCGTTCCCGGAAATCGAAAAGTATCCCATGCATACGCCTGTGGTAGCCTGAGGTGCTTCATTTAACGCTTCCGGTTACCTTTTACTTTTCGAATGACTGCATTTCTTAGCATGCCTAGACGTCCACAGCCTCTTGACTGCGCCGTCCCTGCCTATTATTGACTATGGTGTCTACATCAACAATCTTTTCTTTATACTTCGATCTGGAATAGCTCGACCCAGTCATCTCGCCAATGTTGCAATCATTTGCTCATACTAATACAACATGAACTAGCTTGCTCATTCTACTACTTCAAGATGAAATAAAGAGAAGTCAACTACCATACAAGGATACCAGGCTCACTCTCACAGACACTCGGTTACACCACACCAGCTAGCGGACGCCATCAAAGCTGTAATCCGAACAGTCCTCCCCCCCGAAGTTGAGGTCAACACGGTCGTGACCATGATGATAAACCGGAGAGTGTCTAGACGATCTCCATCACCCACCGAACAAGACATCGGACAAGAAGATGGGAACCAACTATCAAACCTTACATGGATCATGATCACCGATCCAAATCAGTCCAGGGATAAAGAGATGATGAGGAATGTTCGAATACAGGTCATGAATGACTACCTCATCAAAGAGCGTCGCAATCCAAACAGTACCGACTCTCGTGTACGCCGGATCTCAAGAGCAGGCCGTGTCATACCTGGTGCGTCAGCAGATTCAAGGAAGAGATCCGATACATCGGAGAGGAGAAGTCAATCGCCGCGTGCGAGAGATTCGGCAATTAACTCTGCCTTTCCTTCCCCAAAAATAACATCGAGAGCCCAGATTCCACAAGACCCACCAACATCTCGGTGTGATGCAGAGATAGAACTACTGACGCCATATCTCGCTTCCAAGGCTGAATTGGCCGGCATTGGTGCGAGACTGGATGTCTTCAACGCAACACCGAAGTTTGACGGAGAGCACGTTGACGTCCGCATGCTGAAACACAACTGTATGTTATGTTCGCTAGCGGATGAGTAACGACTGACATGCAATATCTAGGCACTACATATTTCGGAAGCCAGGCAATGTGCAAAAGGTGGGCTCCGATGCTGTTCGCCGGCCGAGCGGCATTCCTGAGTACCTTGTGCATATCATCTGCCTATCTCGACATGATGCAAATGGACTTTTCTAATGTGAAAACGTCCAACTCTATAGAGTCTGTAAGGACACTTACTGTCAGAGAGCAGACCGTACAGCTGATTAGCGAGGGTCTGTCGGACCCGGAAACTTGCTGTAGTGATGCGAACATAGTTTCAGTCTTGCATCTTCTCTATGGTGAGATGATCGTAGCATGTGATCAGGCTTTGCAGTGGCACGAAGAGGGGCTTCACACGATGGTAGAGTACAGAGGAGGTTTGGACCAACTGGGGGGTGATGGTCTCCTGGCTGCTATGGTCACCATGTGAGTTCACCTACAACATCTCATAGGAAACCGTCCACAACCAAAAGCTAATCAGTAGCATAGTGAGATTTTCGAGCTTTCCGTGTTTCGCGAAACTAAGCCTCGACAACAATATCTCGACTACGCTCGTCACATCTCCAACTCCTCAGTACGAGACCGTATATCTGCAATACCCGAATCCCCTCTATACTATCCAGCAGGTCTCCACCATACTCTAGGTCGAACGCGACGCTGTGATGAAGACACGTTGGACCTAATAAATCTAACCCGAGATCTCACCCAAGCCGTCCTGGCCCTACAAAACGCCTCTGCAGTAGACACTTTCCCCGAGGAGATATGTGGCCCTGCTATCCCAAGAAAAACCTACACGGAGCAAGAAGCACAAGCTCTACACAGAAAAAAAAGTAACGCCACAGATCAGATCGTGGCGCTCGAAGCCCATAACGACGCCGTCTATGAAGCAACACGCCTCTGCGCACTCCTATATGCCACCGCTATCCACTGCAGCACACCATTCTCTACCGCCGCCCGCAGCTTTCCGAGACAAAACGGCACACTCAATATCGTGCTACAGATCCGAGACCACCTTGCTAGTACGGACCTGTCCAACTGCTGGGACAGTATGGTCGGGATATTATTCTGGTGCACGCTGGTGACGGGAGCAGCGTGCCATGACGCAGACGATCAAGACGTGGAAGTGCTGGCAACCAAGAAGTGGATGGTAGCACTCGCAATCAGGTGTTCGATTTTACTTACCTTCCAGCACACTGATGCCGTGGTGAGGATTTTGAGGACGATATTGGCTGTACAGTCGACGTTGGGAGACCAGACAGAAGGGCGGGAAAGTCAAATCAGTATCCCTGGTGGGTTCTGAATGGAAAATTGCTGATGTTTTGCATGTATCAAAAGGGAGAATCGTCATAGCGAAGAGCGTGGACAGTAGCACAAAAATTTCTCAATGTCTTTTTAAACACAACCTATTGCCTTGCAACATCTCCAGTAATCGGCTGAGTGATTCGAATCTCGAGGTGCAGAGGATCAGATTCTCGACCGAGCATATCAGACGCCTTTGTTTACGTGTACGTCTCGCGCAAGCTAGAAGCGACTCAAAGTTGTGAGCTGCTGTTCTATGGAAGTGGTTGGGCGCTCTTTTTGTTTGCAACAAGTCGATCAAGGCTTGATCTGATGTTTCTGGGAAAGGTCAAGGAATGAGTCGATAAAGTGTGTGATCATTTTTCTCAACATGACCGAGATATAAAACTAATAAAAGGGAAGAAAAAAGGTAGGGTATCATAAAAGAAGAAACCGCCGCAAAACGCCGACGGTCAACGGAGGGAGGTGATGAAGGGTGTGCAATCATCATTTTTCGCGAGGTTCTGTAGCAACACCATTGCGGTCCCGGAGATCTTTGATGACAGTCTAAAGGATCTAGTCAGTTGTCATGTTCTATCAAAGACCACATGTATCGTGGACGATGGTGATTGATGAATGAGCGGGCTTGAAGACTTACGGCCAATGCATCCGGATTTACGCCATTTTCAATGAGCGAGACACAGTAAGACAATGATTGGCGGTCCAAGTTGGTATTCTAATGTGGTGGATTCTTCCCGTTAGTAAGATGGCAAATTGAATGTTGATGTGGTCGTGTAAAATCGACTGCGCTCATCGCGTCGACCAAAATATGCAAGGGACACGGCGACTTACGAGTAAGGAGGAAATCTCGTAGAGAATGTCAATAGTCTCACGCGCAGCCTTGCGCTTATCTTCTGTTGGCGGCATGGTTGGTCTTGTGATTGTGAACGTAGCGAGAGATGAACGAGGACGGATGGCACTGTTTGTCTTCGGCCGGGCGTCTCCACTTGGAGCTGCAAGCTTTGGCAACACACGGACAAGACACGATAAACAAGAGTAGAGAACAGATGTTGAGGAAACAGTTCTTGTCAGGAAACAAGAAGAGACATAAATCATCATTATTCGTAACGCGACGTAAACACAAGGCAGAGACCAATCAACGCCTGATGGATGCGGTAAACAAGGCGCGCATTGCTTTGAGGAAGGCAGCCAGATCTCTCGTCTCATTCAGACGCTCCACCACGGCATCAACAGCCTCGTCATCCAATGCTGGTTGGACTGCTATGACCTGGTAGTCCTTTGTCTCCATGTTGAGTTCAAAGGCGCACTGACGGTCCCAATCCCTCTCATCGACGTGTGTGTAGACGAACTTGATCCTGTCGTCAATTCCCAGACCCTCGATACGCATGCATAAGTGTGACTCCCAGAAGTGTAGTTCGGGTCGGTTGTGTCGTGCTTGGTTGTCGAGCTGTCGCTGATGGTGGTGTTGGGCCTGGCGACGTGTGTGGATGGCTTTCTGCAGCGAGGAGATTTGCGAGCGGAGGTGATCGCGGTGGGCTTCATGGTTCTGACGCTGCATGTCAAGCTCCTCAATTTGCTGCTGCATCTCGTCGTGCTCTTGTGCTTCCTTGTCTAGGGTGTTTTGGTGGGCGATGGACTTGTTAGACATGTCTTCGAGTTCTCGACGTCTTGCTCGTTGCGATTCTGTAGAGGGCAAAAGAGTCAGTATACTCTCAACCTGGCAGTGGATGGGACAAAGGCACGACTGACCTTGAATCTCGGACATGTTGATACGGAAATGGTTGCGCTCCTCCAGAACGCGCTTACGACCCTGCTCGATGAAGTCGTCGAAGCGGGCAGTGAAGCGAGCCATGCGGTCGCGCAAGTCGTCGAAGCCAAACTTGATGCTAGGCAGCTGGTCGACCATTGATGGCGGATCGGGAGTGAGGTAGGGACCTTGCAGACCGCCTGCGCCGAAAGAGGCACCAAAGCGCGCATGGCTGGGCGTGTTCATGACGGCTGCCATAGCCAATGTCTTCGAATGTGCAATATGCCGAGTGTGGTGTGGTATAGAGCAATTCTGAGAGAATGATGCGAATGTGTCGGGCTTGCCAAAATTCGAGTAAACACAAAGCCACTCGGCGTTGCTAGGGACCGGACCCGGGAGCGCGCGGGCTACGTCAAGCGCGCGTCTACTACGGAAGCCCCCTAGATATGCTCTGTGTCCGATAGCGATAGACAGTTTTTGCTGGACCTTCCAACTGAACTAACCTCACCATCCATGACATGTGTAAAGCTCTGAAAGCCTTGGAACCGAGCTCGACGTCCTCACGAACAAGTGTCGAGTTCCTGGCCCTGGCAGATGTAGGCGATTGAGGCACTAAAGCGCGTGGTCCGTACGCCCCCTGCCGAAAGCCGGAGGCTGGTCAAGTCTGACGCGCTTGAATCTCGACAAGATTTTGGTCATTTATTTTCTCTTCGACTTTCAACCTCGACATTTCAAACGACTACATCTTACATCTAGACTCCATCGAACAAGCCGTCAAACCGTCAGCTCCCATAGACCGCAATTTTCCGTATACGCCTTCTTCCCGGCAATGATTCAGTCCGTCTCTGGCGCATTATCACGCATAGCTAGGAAGAAGCCGCATGGCTGACCACGCAACCGCTGACCTGAAATATGGTCACTTTGGTCAGGCCATATACCATTCCGAGGAAACCACCTGGCTGTTTCCTAGAAACCCTGAGCCTTCCTCTACCTTGCAGCCTCTGGGCACCTCACAGATCGTCTTCAAGTCACAACGCCCTCAATCGCGACCAGACTCGACGACCACTCAGAAACCAAGCGTCCAGCTGAACCACCAGCTCGCCGAACTTCTCACAAGAGACCCGACCTTGGCTCCTGGCGCCCATCTCCTGGCTGAACCTGCCATCGTGTCACAAGAGGTCCAAAAGACCGTCGTTCGCTACGATCCGACGCTGGGTCATCTGTTAGCTTTCGGCCGCGTGCCAGACCATGCCATAAAGCGCTCTATGCAAATCGCTGCCTTTCCTGCTGTCGATTACGCACACGTTCTGCGCCTCGTCCAAGTCCAACCTCAAAAGCATGGTTGGGATCGAAACAAGTCCATATGGATCGATGTACCCCGAATCTATGGAGAATCTGGCATTTGGGAAGCCCCTCATCCCATACGTCAAGTCTGTTTCGCAGATGCCGACGAAGACTCGAATCTGGCTCGCACTCTCGCTGTGCGCACCACGCTTGCTGTTCACATTTTGCGTGTTGCCGCGCGGAAGCACACCTCTTCTTGGAACACTCTTACCGCTACACCGTCTCGTTTCCACACGGATCAGTTGTGTACTCTGAGTTTGGATCTCTTCAGAGGCCTGGCTCCTGCTCATATGGCTTTCAATCATTGGTATCCTAGCCAGTTCATCACCGTCGATCAATACGGCACCTGGCATGTCTGGGACTCGAGTCTCAAACAGATTCCATCCAAGTATGGCAAGCCGACGGAGCTGTGCCGTGGGGCTACCAATGATCAGGCTGTTCCGGCTCATGAGACGACCGCCAGCCTCTTAGATGACGGCTGGGGGAGATGCATGTGGGCCGGCAACGTCCAAACCATCGTTACCGCCAGTCGCAGATCTTTAGCGGTATATGACATCCAGGGGAAGCCCGTGAGACTGCAATCTCCCAATCTCGGCCTTGTTGGGACCCCACATTGGATCCTTGATGTTATGCTCAGTCCCCTAGATCCGACTATCATCTTTGTTCTCACTTCCGTGTCGCTGTTCTGTGTGCGTGTGCGATGCTTGGACGAGTTCGATCCCGAAAGTTATAGCACTGCTGGTGCCGAGCTCGTTTTACAATGCAGGCACTTCAGAGACCCCGAAGACATCGGACTAAGCCTATCAGTTCTAGTCGAGGATCCAAGTACGATCAGCCATGCCTCAAGGAAATATCTCCAGCCGCTAACTCTTCACAGACGTCGTTGTTTTCATCCAATCGTCACTGAGTCCGCTTGCGACAAGCTACAGGTTTACCTCTCACGAGTCCTCACCTCAGTTCATGACGGCCGCAGATGCGACTCAAATCGTTTTACCAGAGCTCCCTTCGGCAGTCACTGCTTCTCCGGCTGCTCTAGGCTTCTTACTTCAGAATGCAAATTATGGGGAGAGTGCGCACCATGAACAGCCATCTGGTCCTGGAAAGCACTATCGAGACTCTTCCGTGAGATTTTTTGTTGCAACCGCCATAGCGAGCGATATGGTCGTTGTGCAGAAACTGTATTATACATTGCCGACCTCGTTGGCCGAGTCATTGCTGCCTATAGTCACGCCTCCTGATTGGCGTGGGAGGCTCGTTCACAGTCGTCCTCGACTTCAAGAAACCGGATTTGTCGAGCAACATGTGACCAATCAAGAGACACGAAATTTTCAAGAAGACCAGGACCTGGACGCTCTATCTCGAGTGAACACATTGAAGTCAACTTCAGACACATGGACCATGCTATACGAGCTTTCCCACGCGCGGACTACTAGCGCTGCTTCGCAAATAGAGGATTTCTCACGCATACTCGAACGAGCGGAGCAAACTCTGGAGTCTGCTGAACACAATATCCATGGCTACAGACTGTTGTCGGAGCTTTGCGACAAACAAATCCTGGTACCTGACATTGATCAAGCTAATGCCGAATTCAAGGATATGATCGCGTCTAGAACGGAATACAGAAACATCCCCGAAGCGTCCGAAACATACCTGCAACTCGCGAGTATCGCTAGCAAGTCTGCTCTGAATCTTGGTGTCACAACCGATATGAACCCAACCTCAGTCTACGACAATATCATAGCCTGTTGGCTGACACCACTTTCTCAAACCGTACCTGGCAGAGTGCGGCTCGTCAAGGAACAACTAGCACGAAGAATCGCTGCCGAGATTTGTCTTGCAAGTCACGTTCTCAGACAACCATCTGTGAGGCCAGCCGAAGTGGAAACGCAAATGCCAGAGACTCAGGCCACTGACGACCTATTTTCTTCTCAACTACGTTCTATGCAGTCCTCACTCCCAACCCCTTCACCGACAGCCACACCTTCAATGACTACAGCCACATCGTTGTCCAGCCATCCATCAACTCTGGTGTCAGGCGAATTCTCGCGACTTCAACGATACACTTCATTTGCATCGGAAAAGCCTACACCGGGTCCCTTACCCAAGACTCTGACCAACACACTTGCGCATTGGAGCCTTGGCGGTGACCCTGGCGAATACGACTGGCTGAGTATGCAAAGAGAGCAGGAGAGGAGGGCTGAGGAAGAAGACGAGGACCTGACGCCCAAAGAGCGAGCGAGATTGAAGCGGCGTGCCGAGAAGTTGTTGTTCAAGCAGAGGCGCGAAGCAGAAAAGGCGTCCGCCATGACTCTCGCGAATAGCCAAGTTCCCGGCATCGTGAGTGCGAGTCAGCCGGCATTCGCGACACCTTCTAGAAGCGAAGCACCGAATGTCCCTCAGTCCGCTAGAGCAGCAAGTCAGGGCACCCAGCTGCTAGCAAGCTCTCAAGCTCAGCCGAACATGTTTACTAGCCAAGTTCAGCCAGGGCGGTTTGGGGGAAAACCGGCAAAGAAGAAACGCAGGGTTATTGGGTTCTAAGGATGATCGGGATCTTTCCGCTCGCGGCCGCTCGCGGTATACTTCCCATTTTGTACATTTCTCATAGCACTTCAAGGTCATGTGGCCTCCCAAATTTTATTACCCAGTATCCTGGTCGTGTAAAACTACGATCAGCCCCTTGTCGCGAATCCTGAGGTGCCGTTATCCGCAGTGCAAAGAGTGGGAGGCTGGCGCAGCAAAAGCCAGCAAAAGAAAGTGTGCTGTCATTGAGGCTTGGCCCGCAGACAAGCTATCATGTGCCAGTTTAGACCATGGAGAATACGGCACAATCGTGCAAGTGTCTTGTCGAATGATTGGGCATTCTCTCGAACAACTGCCGCCAAGTCGGAGCGCTGCTACCAATTCTTACTTTGCACGCATTTGTGTCGTCTTTGAACTGCTTTCTTCAAGTCTTGACCCTGTCAATCAGGCCTTAATCGCAATCCTTTCGGCGAAGCCCGACAGCAGAACGTGGGGGCTGTGATGGCATCGTCCCTTGACTGGTGGAAGGAGCCAATCATACCAAGAGCTTCCTACTCCGATATCCCGCGCAATGACACTATTTAGCAAGGCTGAGTGAACACCAATGTGCAGATGGGCTTGTGTGAGGAAGCAACCACCGTCTGTGTTGCACGCTACCATATATGACAGTGACCTGCCATCATGTTTCTCGCACATTCTGACATACCCAATTCTCGTCACCTTGTACCCATTTTGCTTCCCCTGTATAGCCCTCTTCGGATAGAGGGAGCTCGAAATCGCTTGGATTACATAGGACTACTTACCACTTAGCTTCATATATTTTCATTCATCCTCGAATGGCCTGGCACAACTCAGCATACCAACACGTAGGTATCCATGCTCGCGTCTGGCCACGGAATGGATGTCACTAACTTTCGATCAGGAGTTCACCAAAGAAAGTCGTAATCAAGACTTTGAACTCTTTCCATCGACTACTCAAACCATCGATCATCATCATGCCAACGCAACCTCGTCAGTAACAACCTCAGCCTTTGAGCATGGCTCTGAGAACATGACTCCGCCTATCAAGGGTGAAGAAGCGTGGCTGGCTTGGTGCCATGCGACTACCGCTCAGGATATGCACACCATACCCGTCATGAAGGCCAGGACGAAGCCTTCGATCAGCGATAGTGGTTATGGCTCCGTGGACTATACCGACGCTCAGAGTGTCGAAGCCCTACAGAAAGTGCCAATGGAGCCCCTCAACAGCGAGCATGACCAGGCACCACAATTTTGCCTGGTTTGCTACGAGGAGGCCGAAAAGTATCGTTACTTCAGTAACAACGCAGACAGGAGGTTAGGCTCGTGTCTAACTTGGGATCGCACAGTGCTGACCACATGTAGGAAGCATATGCTAACCCACACTCGACCATTTAAATGCGATGTATCGGGTTGCGACAATCATAACGGCTTCGCTTCTCCCCACGATCTGGCACGGCACAAGAAGACATGTCACAGCGTCTTGACCGTGAAGACCTCCAAGTTCTATTATCGTTGTGCCGCTCCATCTTGTCAAAGGAAGGACAAGATCTGGCCAAGGAAGGACAACTTCAAAGCTCATCTAGAAGGTACACATAAGTACAATGAAAGTGAGGTTGCTGGGCTCCTGGTGAAGTCCGTTGTTACCACGAATGGTCACAATGCACGGCTAATGTTTCTTAGGTCAGAATGTACACCTGACTCTTCGCAATTGCCCACCAGTCTTGTCAGTCGGCAGAAGAGCAAGAGCAAAAAGCCGAAGAACAAACCTTGCGTTCGCAATAAATCATCGCCAGAACTCGAGAGCTCTATCGGTTCGGAGAGCTCGGCTGAGGAGTCCCAGCAGGAGCTTGCGCTTGATGACTGCGTGCGCGACATCTCTCGGTACGCTCATGTGATGCCGACTACTACACCTGAGCTGCTCCACACGATCTCAAGTCTAAGTCAGGCCAACTCTACCCTCGAACAAAGTCATCTGCCATGCATCTTGATATCAGATGATCCTGAGACCGACATCTGTGAACAAACATCGCCCGTAGAGATGATGGACACCTCGACAGACTTCATGGGTGAAATGTTCTCACCATACCTTATGGTGTGCGTACCGTCTTCCTTGCAGGACTTGGAGCGTCCGTCAACTCCATGCAGCTCAAGCACATATGCAGATTCATTGTTCGAGTCAGACATCGATGAAATAACAACAGATACTGAATTTGAGATCGACGTTGACGATCTCGAGACGGTCTTTCAACCACTATTACGTCCAGCAATTCATCAATTGCTCTCTGCTTACTATCTATTCCGCCAAAACGGACCTGCTTCGGGCGCAGGCAGATCATCAAGCTCCAGCTATCCATCTAGCTTCGACAGCCATGCCGGAGCCTATGGTTTTGGACCGAATGGTGCCGGTAACTCATCGTTCGGTACCAAGCGGAGACGAAATGGGATGGGACAAGAGGACGACAACGAAGACGAGCAACCCCCAAAGCGGAAGAGCAAGGTAGCCAAGTCCGAGGATGATCTTCCACCACTTGCGTGCCCCTTCAGCAAGTTTGACCCACTCAAGCACGACAAATGCTACACTTTCGTACTCAAAGGCATATCTCGTGTCAAGTAAGCGGATTGCAGCTTTTTATGGCGATACAATACTAACTCTGACAATTCAGACAACACCTCGAACGCGTGCACAGTATACCCATCCACTGTCCCAAGTGCTATGCCATCTTCCGGAACAACGCAGAAGCTAGAGACAGACACGTCCGCCAGGGCACATGCCACAATGCTCCAGAACGTCGTCTTGAAGGGATTGACGAGATCACAATGCGGAAGCTCAAGCGTCGTGTTACGAGCAAATCTGTCAAGGACAGTTGGTACTCGATGTACACACTGCTCTTCCCGGATGCGACGTGGCCAGAGTCACCCTGTACGTTGTATTTTGCCTTTTGATACACACCGTCGTATTAATACTCGACAGTCATGGACACATCGCTTTCTGCGGAGCTGCTGGCTTTCCGAGACTTTTGCACAAACGAGAGTCAGGATATAGTCACGACCATCATTAACAACAACATGCCTTCCTGGACCGGTGACCAACAAGAGCAAGTCGAAGACTTCACGAGACAAGTTTCTCAACGTGCCATTGAGCAGCTGTTCCTAGAATGGCAGAATCGAGGTCGCTCAACGACCAGCGCGCCAGCCATGATGGATCAACCTCTTCTACCACCTACTCCTCCCTCTACTTTTGTTCAAGACTTGAATGAGATGGGCACTTTCGCCATCACTGCGGAAGAGCCTTTGTTTGATTTGTCGCAACAGTATCAGGATGTTGACATGCAGCAGTGGATAGGCAGTGAACCTCAGCCACAGCTTCAGCAGCAGTGGATGTACTTTGGAGAAGTCATGCCGATGAATCAGGGACAGCAGTTCTGGAATGACAATGGCGTATTGGATGGGATGGGTGGTTGGTCTGGGTGAATGGAAGTTATGAGTATCCGGTCGGTGCTGTGATGATTGATGAACTTATGTATAGACCTTGTCTTTCTTTACTTAGAGGTTGTGGATTTTTCATGCCATTTGTATATCGAGATGATTTTACTCCAATTATCACGACCTTGAACAGCGAGTGCAGCCGGCCACAAGATTGTGTAACCACAGACGTGCCAACAATGGGAGGAAATATTCTAACCTCCTTCCACTTCTCTCTTATAGAGGTTATGGTACAGTCTGCAGGTCGACTGCCATGGTAATAGAGCGTGTCATGTGCATTCATAACAGCGGCCAACGGTCGAGACACCACTTCTCTTAGGCAATTGCAAGGTCGTGGATGCTTGTTAATGGTATCACCCTGATCTGGTCAGTGGTTCGGCATGTCACCCTGCTCTTCTGAGTGCTTACGAAGAAAAACTCCAGTCGATAGCGGCGATGAATTACACATTTTTTAGACCATAATAGCATAACAGCACGCAGAACGTACTCCCAGTGTTGACTAAATGGATCAATGTAGAGCTATTTGGATGAGAATACTTTTCATAATCGTGACACGCCTCCTCAGACCGCGATGGTGTTTGTTTTTCAGGGCATCAAGCTAGCTAGGAAGATAGTCCCAGACTCAGTTTAACCGTGACTGCAACACCATCAAAACTTCAATCTCAGCCTAGGAGAAGGCGGAGTCAAAGAAAGAAGACCAGGCGGCGAAGGTGGAGTCAAAGAAGCGCCCTTCGACGGCGAGGGTGAACGCGGTTGATCTGCCTCATCCTCAGCCCATGAGATGCTACGTAAAGGCGTCTGCTCAGTATTGCGACGCGAAGAGCGAAACTTTCGTGGCGAAGTGGATTCCTAGTCCATCTCCTCCTTCAAGCTCGCACCCTTCTTGACAGCATTAGCGCCGGCGCCCACTTTACCTCCAAAGCCGCCGTCTTGCATAAAGAAGTCTACTTCGTCGACGATGTCCCAGAGCACGTCTTCGGCGATTTGCTCCTTAAACCTCTCAGACATGGGGCGGAGACTGCGACCAGGGTAGAACCTTTGATTCGGGTCGGAGCTGTCTGAGAGTCGAGGAGCAGGTTTCATGTGAGCCGGTGGCATCCAGAAGCCAAGCTCACCAAAGTTGAGCTCGGCAATGCCACCGCTGAAACAGGCGATGGCGGGGAAATAACCGAGCATACCATCGTCGAAGCCTTCGCGTGAGCCTATAGACTTACTGGGCTGGCTGGCAGGTGGCAGGAAAGACAGGAGATTCTCAAAGGCAGTGCCGATCAGCTGACCGTTCTTGTAGACGCGAATGTTACTGTGTGGCAGAGTACGTAGTGGGGGATCTTGGTGGTGAGGGCCGGGCTGTGACTTGATGGAGGTAGGAGCGCCCGGAGCAGGAGTAGCTAGAGAGGACAAGGACAAGGTGCGGTCTGCATAAGCCTCTATGGCTTTGGTCGGAACATAGTCCATAGTCTCGAAGTAGACGTTGCCCTTGTAAGGGACTGGGATACGATCACGGATAATGTGGTGAGGCTCGAGCGTAGGGTCTGGGCGAGGTGGTTGGTCTTCAAAGCCATCGCCTAGATCGACAGCAGGATTGTAGTGACCCTCGACGACCTTTTGATGAAGTGATAGGGAGGGGAGGGTGATCTCTAGACCAACGACATCGCCCTCGTGGATACTGTCGTTGAGCTGGATGGGAGTGTTTGCTTTTGCTTTGGAGGTCCTAGGATGGAAGAACTTTGATGGTCGGCTGCGATGCATGGGCTCAAAGCGCAGATCACTGATGCCGTAGCTATAGCCGTCAAAGCCGACAGGCGCATCCAGGGGCGCTTCTCGACGCGCCCATCCGAGTCGGACATGTGGTTGCGGGCCTTGAGCTGTAGCAGCTGGGGCACCTCCCGGCTGAAGGGTAGGCACACCTCGCACCACACGGACCTCGTAGTAGAGCGAGCCCTCGCGCGCGCAGACATTGGCTCTAGCCATGCGCCATCCTTTCGGATTGCTCATGCTATGCCCACTGACGTCGTAGTGTATTGATTTGTCGGTGTCCTCGAACGACATTCGGGCACCGTAAGGTAAGCCGTCGGACTGGCGGTAGAACTGTTTGTGTCGGAAGTTGGGATCTGCCACAGCAAGCGTGTAGCGATAGCCTCGCTTGTTCTCGGCTTGATCTGTGACCTTCTTGAGCTCCGTCTGGCCGTCCGGCGTCAGATAAGGAAGAGGTTCGTGCGAGGTGAAGACGGGAGGCTTGGGCGGCTCGTAGTCGGACGTCTTCGGCGGAGGGATCTGGTAGCGCATAGGTGACGGCGCTGTCTGATGGGCGACATGACGATGGTTGGAGCCAGCAGTCGCTTTGCGCTTCGCTGGCACCGTCGGGGTGGTGCCGCGCGTGGCCTCGCGCTTCTTAGCCGTCTCTTTTCGCTCGCGCTGCGAACGTCCTCTGACCTCGGGGTTTAATGGTGACGGCACTGTCGGCACGTTCTCTTGCATCAGTCGATGCGTCTCCACCGTTGGAGCTGGTGATTGTGAGTCTGCCATGTTGATCAGTTACCTGGAGGGAAAGCTGTCGAAGCGCCATGAGGAAAGTCACGTCAAGGCGCTGCGTGCTTTCCTGGTCGGAGCTCCGATCGGATAGATCCGCCGATAAGACGCACGGGGAGCTTTGACCAGCCTGACGATCCGCAATACCAGTACCTGAGCGTCATCTCAGAACAACAACAAAGACAACGTGGGAAGGAACTCTTGATCTGGGCACTGTGTGGTATGCGCATTGTTTGGCTTCAGCAGAGCTCAGAGCCAACAGATTGACTGCAGATCACTCCATCCCATTGTCATGGAGTCATGTGCAGACCTTTTCCCGTCACCTCATCTGGTGCTCCATGGGGCGCCACATCCTCCACTTTGCTCCTACTTTGCCCGCCCGTGGGTGCATACCACGACACCACGACCACCGCAATCACACTCCGCGCCATCCGCATTTCCGCCACATTTCCCCCGTAACGTCTCTCATCACCTTTCATCCCACCTCAGACTGCAACTGTGGGTCTGGAAGACAGGTCCCATCGTCTGCGCGTGGCTGCACGTCTCGGGGGATCATCAGACAACATGTCCTAATCTGTTGTTAAACGCGTTCTGACGAGTGTTTGACCTGTTAAATCCGTCTTCCGTATCCTTTCCGACACAAATTTCGTCTTTTCCCCAACACCCTCCGAAGAAGAACCTGTTGAGGACGGGAGAACCGAAGTAAGACCACTGCCTACTTTGCATGCACACCGAGGTCGGTCCTTCGCCGGTCGGCTCAGCATATTGCGCTCCGCAAGGGCGTGCTGTCTTTTCTCGAGTGATTGTGTGCAGTGAGATCTCGCCTCTTGGGTCCAAGAGCAATGCCATTTCAACTGCAGGGCTATTCTGAATATCGAGTCGTGAAGCTGACTTCCAGACCTCGAAAAGACGTCATGCTTTCTTTCGACAGACGTTGGAAAAGACTTTCACGCCGTGGCTTGACAAGGGCATCGGGACACGAGACGGGCCGAAGACGCCATCAAAGGGCCGATATTGACTTTTCCGACGGCCCTTTTGAGCTTGGCTTGCTCGGCCGACGTCCTTCGATGCATTTTCTGGCCGCCTTCCATGACCCACATGATGCTGTTGCGAAGTTGCATCAGGCCCCGGGGCTGTCCCAGACTCCTCCCACTGACTTGCGAAGCGAATGTTCATCGCATGATCCTGGAGCAATCAAACCCCAAATGGGCCCCAGCCTAACCCTCCATCTCCAAGGAAAAAAATCTCTCTTGTGCTCCGTTACGTGGGTGCTCGACTAGCTTCGTGATATTCTACGTCATTTCTGATGGGCTGATGCGCTTTCCCTGGGCGTTTGAGCGAGATGTCAGTTGCTACTTCCGTTGCCAACGCTTGCCGAATCACGATGGTTCAGTCGGCTTCGGCTCGCAAAGCAAAATTTTGCTCGAAAGCTCTTCCCTCCATAGCTTCTGGTCCAGCTCAGGGCTCGAAGCTCTATGCTAGCAGGTGATCTGAACCATCACCGGACCGTGGTCATGGTTTGACGTCGCTGTTCGGCTGCATCATTCCGGCTAGTGGCTCGACCAATTTTCATGGACCCATATATATCCTCCGTGCAGAGCGTAGAACATCGATACCAAACCTCCATCAACAGGCCTTAAAGTGTCTCGTGCTCCATCATTTCCAGCCGACTCTCTATCCACGCTTCAGACTCTGCCCGCGTTAAGTGCCGTCTTGCATCCGGAGCACTCCAGAGCAACCCCGATCTATTACCGTCCCACCATCTGGCTCCATCCTTTATAAGCTCTATTCTCCTCATTTTTCCTTTCGACTTCCCCAGCAGACCTCCTCACTTGGCTGTCATAAGACCTTCCCTTCCGCCTCTCATCCGGTCCACTCCATCCATCTTTCCCTCTATCAACATCTCACACATCTTTACCCATCTTCACCATGGGTCTCTTCTCCAAGCGTACTGAGACCGAGGCCATGACCGCTGGTCAGGTCGAGTCGACCGCTGGCAACCATGAGCTCCCTGTCCCTGCTGGCAAGGTCACCTTCATGGCCTGCTTCATGGGTCTCGTTGCCTCTATCGGTGGTTTCATGTTCGGTTATGCTTCTGGCCAAATCTCTGGTACGTGCTAGCTTGCTGAAAGAGCTCCCGAAGCTGTTCGCTGACTCCTCTCAAGGTTACTTCCAAATGTCCGACTATCTCCAGCGTTTCGGTCAGCAGAACGCCGATGGCACATACTACTTCAGCGCCTACCGCCAGGGTGCCATCACTGCCCTTCTCTGTGGTGGTGCCGCCGTTGGTTCCCTGATCGCTGGTAGACTCGCCGATGTCATTGGCCGCAAGTTCTGTATCTCTCTTTTCGCCTTCTGGACCGCCATCGGCGTCATCATCGAGATCTCCTCCAGCACCTCGTGGGGCCAGTTCGCTGCTGGTCGTTTCGTCGATGGAATCGGTATCGGTGCTCTGTCCGTCGTCGTTCCCATGTACCAGGGCGAGTCTGCTCCTCGCGCTATTCGTGGTGTCCTCATCGCCTGCTACCAGCTCTTCGTGACTCTCGGTATCTGGACCTCTTACATGATCGATTTCGGAACCCACGACGCCTACTCCAACAGCGCTCAGTGGAGAATTCCCAACGGTATCTCCTTCCTCTGGGCATTCATCCTTGGTGTTGGTATCCTCTTCCTCCCTGAGTCCCCCCGTTTCGCCTACCGTATGGGTCGTGAGGACGAGGCTCGTAACGTCATCGCCCGCTACGCCGGAATCGATCCTGAGCACAAGGAGGTCTCTGACCAGATCAACGACATTCGCGTCAAGCTTGATGAGGAGAGAGCCGCCATCGGTGCTAAGTGGTACGAGTGCTTCACCGGTCCCCGTATGGCCTACCGTACTATCCTCGGTATGACTCTCCAGGCTGGTCAGCAACTTACTGGTGCCAACTTCTTCTTCTACTACGGCACGACTATCTTCCAGGCTACCGGCCTTAAGGATTCGTACGTCACCCAGATCATTCTCGGTACCGTTAACGTTGTCTGCACATTCGGTGGTCTTTACGTTGTAGCCAAGTGCGGTCGCCGCAAGGCCCTCATTGTTGGTGCTCTCTGGGCCTTTGTCTGCTTCATGATCTACGCCTTCGTCGGTTATTTCAAGCTTCCTCCTTTCGCCGATCACAACGACTCCGCCGCCGGCAGTGTCTTGATCGTCTTCACCTGCTTGTTCATTGTCTCGTTCGCCACTACCTGGGGCCCTCTCGTCTGGGCTGTCGTTGCTGAGCTCTACCCTGCCCGCTACCGTGCCACCTGCATGGGTCTTGCCACTGCATCCAACTGGATCTGGAACTTCCTCATCTCTCTCTTCTCCACCGTCATTGTCGATGAGATCCACTGGTTCTTCGGTCTTGTCTTTGGTGGCTGCTGTCTCGGTCTTGCCGCCATTGTCTACTTCTTCGTCATCGAGTCCAAGGACCGTTCGCTCGAGGAGATCGACACCATGTACATCCTACACGTCAACCCCATCACCTCCTCCAAGTGGGACGGTTCCAAGGTTCCCGAGGATGCTTACGCCTCTGGTATCGCCGAGCAGGGCAACTTCCCCGTCGAGCGTACTGCCTCCAAGGCTGAGGAGGAGAAGTAAACACGTACAGATTTCAGGAAGTCTTTTACGAGTTGTTAATGCTCAGATAAAAAGATTCAAATTCTCTCTTTTGGCATAGCATTGGTGTATGGATGGGCAAAAAGGCGTATTCCTTCTTTGCATTTTTTGAACGTAATCAGGAGGTCACTCTCACTGAACATTATAATGATACTCTTTCACTACTTTACAACTTGAACACCCACGAACCATATACAATTTCGCTGTAAAACGTGTCTTGCAATCCACATCCAAAGTGGCATTGGTTTGTATAACCCGTTGTTTGCACTTCGAATCGATCCCCTATATCCCGGACCGACTCAATTTTTTCCCCTTAGCATTTCGTTATATAAGAAACCCACCCTTGGCAGTTCAAAATCCACATCTCCTTTCACCAGATCAAATTGCATTGTCATCGTGCTGCAACTCGGAGCGAGCGGGCATCAAACGAACACGACTGATGACCAAATCTTGTTGCTACGACCCACGACAAAGAGGGTCTCGATCGATGCAAGGCGGGAGACGGAAAGCAGACACGACTCGAGTGGGCGTTTCGCGATCGCATCGAAGAAATCGGGACCTCTTGCGCGTCGATTTTCGATGTTTTGAATGTTCTTGGTGTTCTTCTTAGGGCATGGAACTTTCGATGCGACATTTGACAGGTGGTTGTTGAAACGGGAGGCCTGGCTTTGTATTTTCTCATCTCACGGGTTGTCCTTACAGGAGCGTTCTTGGCTGTGGAAGACAGAACATTCTGCTCTCTTCTGGATGCAAGCTTTGCTGGACCTCTGCTTCTTTGCCAGACTGTACATAACGAAAGATTGGTATGTCCTGCTACAGGTCCTCAAGGTAGCTGGCATTCTTGTGTGCTAAAGTCTGTCACACCCCCACTCTCCACCAATGTTTGAGGTAGAGCAATAACGAGCCAGGATCATATCTCATATTGACAAGACTGGTGCAGTAAGTTGAGGGAAAGATGCATTTCGATATCATCGCCGAGACCTCGAGAAAGCATCGTGTCTTGAGACAGCTACAAATGTGACAGTATCCCGCACACTGGGAGAACTGATGACGCCTGCTGAAGCCTTGGCGCCGGATGAAGCTGGATGCCATCTTTTTGACGACGAATGGCTGAAATACTCTCCGCAAGGCACCATCTATCATTCGACTCTACAATTATCACATCTCTCTTCATACTCGGCACATACTTCGGCCAAAGCAAGTTTGCGAGAGATATCCCTGCGGCTCTTGTGCGGCTCCAAAGGTAAGGTTGCAGATCTCATGATGATCGGGGTCGGGGTAAATCAAAGACCGGGGTAGACGTCATCATCCTTTGTTGCATCATGACTTTTGAGCTGCATTCCAGCACTTGTAGACAGTTATCAGCTAGGTTCTCCTTCTTCTCTTCATACTCGTACATCTCCCAATCCACGTACAGCTCTTCTCATCAAAAACACGCCGGAATCATGGGCATTGAATACAGCACTGCCAAATGGCTCGCACCCGCCTCGTTCATCTACGACTTCGCAGCTCAGCAGTATGGACTCAACAGCACACCGTCAATGAAGGACATTAACGATAGAAACACCTCGTTCTGGAGCCCTCAGCCTTACTTCATTGGAGCTTTCTTCGCACCTCAGCAGATTGTCCAGCTCGCCTGGCTATACCGTCTCTGGAAGCTTGACGCCAACAAGCCCAAGGAACGCGCAGAGCTCGATCAGATTGTCAATTTTTGCCCCTGGTACATTCTAGGCAACGTTTGCATTGGCACGTAAGTATATGTCCATCCACATGCATGATACGATGCTGATTTCGCAAAGGTGGATGTTCTTCTGGAACTCTGAACAGCTCAAGATCTCGAACGTCTTCGTCATGATCAACTCGCTCAGTCAGCTTTACTTCATCTTCAACAAGCTTGGCCCAATGAACACCTCCTCCACCTCGTCCATACTTACTCACATCAACGCCAAAACCTTTGCTGGTATTGGTGTTCTCGACTTCGTCCACAACATCAGTGTTGCATATTACAAGGATGCCCTTCCTACCACCGCCATCAAGGTCATCACTGGAGCTGGTTTCGCCGGTCTTGCTGCCGGTTCTGACTGGATCTTCGGTGGATGCCTTGTTTACGATCTGATCGCCCTGAGTGTCGGTCAGGCCACCCTGAACAACTCTGAGTGGAGCAAGATGTTGGGTGGATTTGCTGTTGCCACTGCTGGCATTGTTGGCCTCAGAAACTACTTCATGTAGGAGACGCTCTCACCAAAGCGGTTGTTTGACGACATCGTGTCTGACCCTCCTCTTACAGACCTCCCTACGTCAAGGAGCCCGGATACGATCTGACCGCCGAAGATGACACTTTTGATGACCGTGTTTAAGCCAATTTCATACCCACACTCTTGTAATGTACTAGGAACCTGCCACTCAGCTATCTCATATAGTCACGAAGAATGAACAATCTCAGCATTTGCATATCTTCCATCGCAGTCTTAGACTCTAAGCCCGACATTATGCCTGACAGTGAGACAACACGTACGGAAGACGGACGCGTTGCGTATGTGTGGGTGTTGCATGCATTCATGTCTCAGTAGCGACAAACGCGAGCGTGCTTAGGATATTAATTGATAACAGAGCAGAGAGTAAAGATGTTCTCCAACCTTCGTCAACTAGCAGCAAGCTCAACATGCCACCCTGTCTTTACATATGCTGCCATTTCGAGATATCGGATGAGCATCACGGCTCACCATCAAGACCAAAAGCGACTTCCAAGGCAGTACAAGATGGTCGGCGTGTATCTCGGCGACACTCCCACCACAGAGAAGTTCACAGAGAACGCTCTCGAGAAAGACAGAGACACCACACTCATCGCCATTCACGCTCAACTTCAGTATGCCACCTCAACCACCACCATGAACCCATTATACTAATCTTGCTACCAGCGAGATCATCAACAAGCACCCAACAGCTCCTCAAGCACTCCTCAAAAGACCACCACAACACTAGACCTACAAGACCACTCCCCAACCCAACAAGTAACCCTCCTCCGCCACCGCATAGAATCCGAAGATGCCCTCCACTCCCACCGCATGACCACCCTCCAAAAGACCCTCCACTCCGAGCACCAACGCCACAGCACCCGCGCCCTAACCTTTCGCGAACGCCTCATCGATCTCGGTACAAAACAACGAGATCGTCTGCGTACCTCTCCCAAGAAGCTCTCACCCACAAAGTCCAAAGCTATCGTGGTAAGGGATGGAGAGCTTGGAGGAGGTAGACAACAAAAGGGAAGTCATGTGGCTAGATGGTTGGAGGGTCTGGTTTCTGTCTCTTCGATCTCGGGGATTAGGGAGTCGAGTGATGGGAGTAGTAGTGTGGAGGTTGTGGCTGCCAAAGATGCAAAGGGTAAGGGCAAGGGAATTAGAATTGTTAGTGATGCTGTGGAGGAGACTGCTGCTGTTGTGGATAAAGATGTTGAGAGACATGTTTGAGTGCTTGAGATCGAGAGTGAAACAAACCAGGCAGCTGGGGAAATAGCGGATGGGCCGAGAAGCAATGAAGTTCTAGCAGGAAGTTACCATGACTGGAAAATTGATAGCGCTGGTAACATAGTTAGGGAAAGCTCGATTGAAGAGAAAGAGGCAGCAGATGACATGTCTTTGTATGGCAAGAACGAGTAATAGTGGAAGGCAGAAGCGATTGAATCATTCACAGACATGCTTCATTACATCTATCAACCAACATCAAGCCAACCACTTTAGACCATGTAATCATGGTAACACACACCCGCATTTCAGAGAAGACAGTCACGTAGAACGCAATCATCAGATAGCAGCGACATCAAAGTGAAGGCCTCCATCCATGTTCGTGGTCGAAGGCCCTGCAACAACATGTGCGCAGTAGATGTACAGATGGAAGGTGAGAACGTGTTAGTGAGAACAAGCAATAATTAACCAAGTCATAGGAAATGCAGGAACAAAGCTCGAAATACCGTACCGGACACAAGAAAGCACATCCCAAGTGTGCACAACCTCAGCAGATGGCAAAAGCACAAGCAAAAAAGTAAAAGCCAACCAGCAACGACCACGAAAAGAAGGAGTCAAAATACAAAAGAAAATACATGACAAAAAACAAAACTCAGGAGATGGCACAAGGACCACAAAAAAAAAGAACGAGGGGGAGTGAGAAAAAATAAAGCACCGTAGGCAGGATCCGAACCTGCGACCTCCTCGGATCTAGACTGACACGACGTTGAGAACAACGAGAGACCACGTACGTGTTAAGACCACGGGTGTGTTGGACCACTACACTACCACGGCTATTTTGCTTCTTGACGGGGACCTTAAGGAACCCGAATATATAGGTTGGACTAATGAGAGAGTTGTTGGCACAGTTTTGGGGGAAGGGGGTGGGATTGAGGGAGTTTTGTGAACAGCTGATGCTGACAACGAGGATTTGGGTCCGAGCTTATAGAAGATACGTAAGAGAGGAGAGGAGAGGAGAGGAGAGAATAGTAACTGTGCATAGGGGAAAGAGCGATACAACTATGTGAGCAGCAGAAAGATGTTCGACCTACATCATAGGGAAAGCTGGCGATGTTGAACAAAGTAGTGATCGTTTGTAGCGAGCCGGATGTCCGACAAGAGGTCAGTCCATACGCGCGCCATTCGATTGTTGGAGCCCGAGGAGTAGTGTAATGATACAAGATCGGAATCTTGCAGATACAATATATCTATTGAAGCGTGAGTGTAATAGCCTTACCATTGGCTTCACCACTCTTGATCATAGACTCGAGCTGTAGGTCAGGTCAGTAAGAAAAGCCTGAACGTTAAAACGTGGAGGCGATATCTTACCACTTCCAAATCTGCCAGAGCTTCCTCGGGAGATTGCAGAGGGTCGGCCTTGCCTCTTGAGATGCTCTCACCCCAAGCCTTGAGCTCTTGTCGCACACCGTTCTTGTCTTCCGGGAATTCTTTTGTAATCTCATTGTCTCCCTTCTTGACAATGGTCTTGTCGAAGCCGACGTCAACAGTACCATCCTGACAAGCGACAATATACTCGGCGCCGGAGAAAGTGGTACCGAAGCTGACGCTGAATGTACCAGAGCGACCGTTCGTGAGCTTGACAGTAGCGTTAATAGTGTCGATGGGAGGGAGATGAGGTTGCAGTTGAGCAGTGAAGGCAGCGACTTGCGACATTCTCGCTTCCTCTCCCAGCAGCTGTCTCATGGCGGCGATGAAGTGTACGCCTCCGTCGAGCAGGAAGCCTCCCTGTAGTCATTGTTCAGAATTTCCCATCTCTGGGTGTGATTTGGAAGAGACACTCACTTGGTATTCAGGAGTCTTGCGCCATTCGGTCTCGTAATACTTTGCTCCAGGCTTGACATTAGCGTGCATACGAAGACGGAAGCCTAGAATATCGCCCAGCTCTTTGACCTGCTCAGCACCATACTGGAAGCGACCAAGGTAGCGGAAGTTTTCAGCTACAGCCCAAATGACCTTCTTGGTATCAATGTTCTCGTGGTACCAGTTGATCAGCTCATGAGCAGTCTTCAAATCTTTTGCGACAGGCTTCTCGGAGAGCACATGCTTGCCAGCTGACAAGGCCTTCTTGATGAAGTCGGGCTGAGCGAGGATGGGCAGAGCAATGACTACGGCCTCGACGTCTGAGCGTTCTAGGAGTTTGGCGTATGACTTGTCTGAGCCGGCGTCCTCGGCGTAGAGGTCTGGTGTGGATGATTCAACTTCCTTGGAGAGCTTCTGGGCCGATGCGAGACTACGAGAGTAGATGGCCTTGAGCGAGAATTGATCTCCATTGGCTTTGATACCGGGCTGTGGTCATACATTAGACGTAGATTGCTAGAGAAGAGGAGACAAGCATACGAGATGTGCCTCTTGGACAAATATGCCTGTTCACATGGAGCTTGTTCTCAGCTGGTGGTCGTGCCTGCAGTTTGTCGTACTAGCCTACCGCTACCAATGACTGCGATACCGATCGTCATGTTGTGGCGTTTGTCTGATTCTCTTGAAGCTATCTGTCACTTGCTCAGAAAGTTTCCAGCTCCTGTTGAATGTGCTGAAGCCTGTTTCTATTTACACTGCGTCACCTTGAGCCCCACCCTGCCCCGCGTTTGAGGCTCCGCCCCGCTTCGGCTTGCCTTTGTTTAGCCTGTACATCTGTCTACTCGAAATACTGTCTTTAGCCTGTTAAAAGGTAGGAGAGATGGAAGACATCCTGGAGATCAGGGCTATCGATGGAAAAAGAGGAAGCGTGAGCGTGATCGTAGTCTAAGAATGGCGTACTGGTTTTGTGTAGTATAGGTGCAATCGTCTAGTTAGCCTCTACTACTCGGGGTATATGCATAGTCATATGGTCCCCTATTTTCCCCCATTGCCTTCTGCGGCAATGCCGAGCTTACTGAGGTCAATCGCCAGAGGATCTGACTCTTCTGTCGATTCAGTGGGTCCGCTGTAGCCGGCCGGAGGAAGAGCCCATTCAGGCAGTTCAGTCTCATATGACCATCTGCCATCGCCAGCGGCATATTTCCTTGCATGCAGGTAGATACCAAGTTCATGCGGTCCGGGATCACTGTATAGCTCTGTTCCGCAAAGGTCGCAAACCTCGCCACTGAGTTTCTCTCCCTTGGTCTTGTTGTAACGTTCAAGCATCTCGTCATGGTAGGCGATAGCATCAGCCACTTCGTCCTTACCCATGCGTGAGAGACGTGACATGATGTCCTCGTCATTATCGGCCTTGGACTCACCCTTGCCCAGGTTGAAGCCCCAGACGCGTTGGTTTGCGTAGATGGGATCGTTCAAGATGGGATGGCCTAGGTATTGCAGATGCACACGCAGTTGATGTGTGCGCCCGGTCAGAGGTCGGCAGCGTACAATCGAATATCCCTCCTTTTGCTTCCACTCCATTCCTGGGATTTCTTCTCCCTTCTCAGCTTCCGCGTCCCCAGCCTCGGGAGGGTAGTATGCCAATCTCTTGAACACCGTTCTGGCATCCTTGCCGTCGGCACGAACGCGATTCAGACCGAGTTTGGGACTGATTTGCATAATGGGTTGCTCGCAGACGATCTCTCCTTCTGGAAACTCTCCCTTGACACGAGCGACGTATTCTTTCTTGACAGTGCGGGCCATGATCTGCTCAGTGAGCTCGTCGGCGGCCTTGCGGTGTTTGGCGATGAACATGACGCCGCTGGTCAGACGGTCGAGACGATTACAGGGCATAGGGTTGAATCCATGACCGCGTTCGGCGCGCATGACTTCTGTCACACTGTTGTAGTTGTAGCGGCCCGAGGGATGTACAGGAATGCCTGCAGGCTTGTTGATAACAATCATATCCTCGTCTTCATGGACGATGCCAATGTTCTGCTGGGTGACGGGCGGTTCGTGGCGGTGAAGGGTATGTGAAACAAGGTCGCCATTCTTGACTTTATGGTCGGCACCAGTCGCAGGCTTACCGTTAATAAGCACAGCACCCGTCTTGACAGCGTTGGTGTAGTACTCGACGGGTCGATCGCGAAACTCGTCGGCAAAAATCTCTAGAATCTCGCGTCCTCGCCATCGCTGCTTGCACCAAGTGTTGTATGTGAAGTGATACGGCGCAACTCGTCGCAGACCCCCCTCGAGGTAATACGGCCGAGGCCACGGGTCGCAGGGTGTGATGATGACGTCCGGAGGTTCTTCCATCGTGTTCGCTTTCGGCGCAGGTTTGACGCCTTTCTCGACCGTCGTCAAGGCCATGGTTGTCGGCAGTTTTCCGCGCTTCGCCAGGAACGCTAGCACTCGGGGAGAGGGAGCCACTTCTACTTCGGCGATATGTTCGCTATTTGTTCCTACTGCTTGCTGCTCAGTGGATCCGGAAGATGTTGGTGGTTTTAACCCTGATTTGTTTGTCGGCGTCAAAGAAAAAAGTATTGTCCCGCATTAAACTTGATCAGCGCTGGACCAGCCACCTCGCGTCGACCTGCTTGGCTTGGCCTAGCCTTTCGACTATCTTATCGCCCTGTACTTGAGTACAACTATTCCGACCCGATCCTCCTCTTCCATCTCCCCATCCCCAAGATGCCTGTCGAAATCTCTCGCATGGTCGAAGGCGACATAGACGGCGCCGTTGACTGCATACAAAAGGCCTTCGCAGAAGATCCATATTTCGCTTGGGTGTTTCCTGAAAACGTAAGGATTTATACATCCATCTATTCACAATTCTAATTACAAGACGCTCTCGTCTGACTCTGTTTGTCTCTTCTAACACAATCTGTCATAAAGTTTTCTCCGGTGAGAAACCGCGTCTCGCTGGGCATTCGTTGCAGATGGGGTCTTGAGCACGCTCTGTTTTACGTAGCCAAAGACCCTTCTTCCTCTACGCCTGCTCTTGTCCTCGGTGTAGCTTGTTGGCTGTCTCCCACAAGTCTTTCTGCTCCACAGTCTTGGAAAAGTTGGCTTGGTGATTGGTCGTTGTGGTTCAACCAGCTCTGGATGAATTCCGTCTACGGCAGCGGTGGACTAAACAGACGCCGCTATTATATTTGGTTTGTGAGCGGAATGTATCAATATTGCGCTGGCTCTAATCGTATCTCCAGGAAAGCCGCGCAGAGTGACGCCCAGCATCAACTCTGGACAGATGATCAGGGATACTACTTCTGCAACATTGTGACGGTTCTGCCAGAAGCGCAAGGTATGGGTATAGGAAAAGAACTTTTCGGAGTCGTGATGCGTCAAGCAGATGCTGAGGGGCGGAAGTGTTATCTCGAAAGTTCGAGAGCAGAGCCTAACATGGCTATATATCAGAAGATGGGCTTCGAGTTGGCCAAGGAGATGAAGTGCGATGATCAAGGAGAGGCCATCACTCTGTACTGTATGATGAGAGATCCGCGGCCAAATTGAATGACCTCTGGCGGGAAAGGAGTGTATTAATGTTGTGAGTAGTTGGAACGTTCAGTCGTCAAAGGAGTGTCTGGGGTTGGTCTGAGTCAAGGAGCGTCAATGCCGTCGAGGTATTTGTGTTTGTTCAGCCGCGGAAGACTGACTTCCACGGCGCTGATGACTTGGACTTTGATGGTACTCTCGGAGGGAGATAGCCAGTACCACCAGTCTCCAAGAGCTCTTGCGCTTTTCCAGGTACTCCACCCGTCCTGGGCACCGGCTGTGTTGTAGGCAGTCCAGGCGAAAGGCTATCTTCTTGGATAGATGTTAGCTGGTAGTCGTTACCAAATCCAACAGGCTTGTAATTAGGGACGAGTGATCCATTTGACGTCCTCTTTCTCTCGATATTCAAGCGAGGTGTTGATGGTGCTTCAGAGTTTGTCCAACTCCAGCGAGTCTGTCTGTGTGTCGATGAATTGGGTGATGTAGGCTCGCTCCCAACACTTCGTACGGAGATGCTTGGTACGTTTGAAGCTTGTGACTTTTTGGTTCCGGAACGCTTGAGGAACCTCTTGTCTGAACTCTTCAGGTATGCCATGTGTGGCTCCATGATCATGCTAGGAGGCTTGTCGCTCATCTGTGCTCCTGGTTGGGTGACCGGTCCAGGAAGACCAGGGAGGTTCTTGGTCTTGGTCTTGCTCCTGAGCGATATTGGGTAACGTGACGATCTTACTGAGTATCTCTGTTCGTAGTAGATAGGATACTCTTGAGGACGAGCCATGTAAGGATTGGCATGACCGCGAGGGCGGAGTTTGAGAACATCGATCAGTGCAGCACCCCTTCGCATTCGCCGTATTACATATAAGATAAAGAAGAACAACAACACTCCTCCTATTTGTCGTTAGGGCTTGGATCATCTGATTATCGCATAAAGTTGCGTACCTATTGAACAGGTTATGATCACCAAGAGTCTAGAGCCTTTTGGCAGGTCACTTTCCTGTGCAGAGGATGAGCTCTCCCCTGCCACAGAAAACGAAGTCGAGCCAGAGTTGTCCATAGCGATGTATCGTGCACAGTGGGTAAATCGATCCAGAAAAATATAGCTTCTTCCAAAACAGTGCTGATCAATTGTCGAAATTGTTGATAGAGCAATGACAGCCGGCCGTCTGAAACTGTTGGAACGGCAAAAGGTATATGTCGAACGAAGGTGATGATTCTGACCAGCAGAAGGAAGTATTACCGTACCTAGATCGAGGATAGGGAAGAAGGGAAACAACAAAGGGGAGGAAATCCCACGAGGATTGCGAGGCCTCATGATACTGATATAGCAACTGGGGTAATAAGGCTGCTCTCGTTTCAACTCAATAATCGACTACCATTGTTAATCTGGGGCTTTCGATCCTGCATGTCGGCCTTCGATGATCAGTGTCTTGCGCAAGGTCCGCACATAGATCCGACGGGGACACCGTGCTTCTGTCATGAATAAGAATCTGATCGATTTCGAGACAGTTTTGCTTTAGATGTGACCAAAGTCGGGTTGTTTGGCATTGACGGCGTCGTGCAAAAATCGTCGTGCGGGTCGAGTATGGTGAAACACGCTTCCGACGCTTTGAAGCCTGTGCGGCAACCATCACGACGGAGCAGTTCCTTCGTCGAAACGTGATGCGACGATGTCTTCCAGCCGCGGGTGACCTGCAGTAGTCATGTTGATCATGGGTCAGACACGGCAAAGTTTTAAGCATATCCTTGATGTGCAAGAGCGCACTGAAGAAGAATCGTTCAGTCTGGGCTCTGTCGGTTGGTATACCATCCTCCAATAGAGATCAACCTCGAGAGTGAGTAGATGAAACTCAGCCGTGGTCCTCCGTGAATAAGCTCTACAGGATGAGTTGGTTGTCGTTCCACTCTATCAAAGCTAGAATATTAGAATGGACGACGGCAGTTGTGACTTCTCTCATGGTGGAGCGTACTGCACGATTGAGATGAGTCTGTTCAAGAGTCCATACTATTCTTACCTGGTTCCTGACTCGGAGGAGGATGAAGTAATCTCCCGAAGCGCACACGGCTAACCGCCGACGAGGTGCGCTTTTTGCAGGAAAGAGAGAGGTGGTGATCCATGTGGATAGAGACCCTGAGGTTCCAGCTACATCCGCAACAGCAAATTACGGCGCCAATGTGGATGTCTTCGGAACACAAAGTCGCAAGCATGGCGGCTTATTCAATAGAGTGTGCCGTAAGACATTCATCTCTGCTCGAACACAGGCCATGGCTCCGAGATGCAACAATCATGTGATGAGAAGTACTCGACGGCAATGGTTGTGGATTGGCGGGCGCGGTTACCAGCATCCACTTTAAGAACAAGGCTGTGTAGCTAGACACCGCCACAGGGCTGCGCCGACGGATATACGGTATGCTCTGCCTCCAAAAAACTGCGCATGTTCAACTTTGGACGAATACCATCTTGCTCAGGCTGAGTCCATGTTGCTGACGTGCATCATACAGCGGATTTTGCAGCGCAAAAGACTCGTATACGCCATCGTATTCACGTGTCTCTGCCACGTCATGTGCCAAGGGCGTGTGGGCGACACTTCCGAGCTACCCATCTGACCTCATCCCATGTATATATATGTACACTCTGCTTAATACACACCGACAATTTTTCTTCGCACTCACCTAGACCTCGACTCACATCACACCGAACACAACATGTCAGACCCTTACGGATACCAGAACCAAAACCAGAACCAGGGCCAATACGGTGGCTACCAGGCCCCGCAGCAAGGATATGGAGGCTACCAGCAAAGCCCTCCTGCACCCCAGTACGGTGACCAACAGCAGTATGGCGGCCAGCAGCAGTATGGCAGCACCCCTCAATATGGCGACAACCAGTACAACCAACAATACGGCGCTCCAGCCCACGGTGGATTCCAGCACGGCCAGCAAGGCGGAGCTCAGTACGGTGGACCTGCCCCGCCGCAACAGCAAGCATAGTCAGTAATCCTTCGTCTCAGTTAGACGATGTCTTGCGTAGGTACAGTAAGCTAACCTTCAAGTAGCGGCCAATACCCTCCACAAGACCCATCTCACCAGTTCCCTCAACAAGGGGCCTACAACCAGAATGCCGCTCCTCAGGACCCCAACAACCCCTACGCTCATCAACAGAACCAGTATGGCCCCACCGATCCTGCTGCCGGCCAAGAGGGCGATCGTGGTCTAATGGGAGCGGTAACTGGCGGACTCGGCGGTGGTCTGCTCGGACACAAGGCTGGTCACGGCATCATTGGCACCATTGCCGGTGCATTCTTGGGCAGTAAAGTAAGTGGATCAAGATCAAGTTGAACCAACAGCAGAACAACACTGACTGTGACCTTTCAGGCCGAGGACAAGTACAAGGAGAGCCACAACCAACAGCAATACGGTGGTCACAACAACAAGTGGTAGTACCATCTGTCCAACTAGTGCAGAATTCGATAATCCTAATGATGGCTTTTTGGAGTTTTATGGCTGGAGGAAATACGCCATGTGGGGGATCTGCTTGCGAATGTTCAAACTCGGCCGAGTATGAATGATGGTCATTGCGGCAGCACTTTGTCCTTGTATTGATCATCATCCTTTTGACGACTCAAGCGATATGAGATACACTTCCTACTATGATTCAACGTCTTTACTTGGAACACCTTGAGAACAGCGTGAGCTGCAGAATGGTCAGGGTGTGAGCGGGAAGATCAACACACTTGACTTTTTCTGGCGACACATGACAACTCCACTTCCTAAAACGCTAGACTGATGCTCAAGTGAGGTACTAAGGTCTACTGTTTCGAGAATCGACCAGGACAGCAGGCCCCTCTTTTTGAATGTCGAATCAACAGTTATTCGGAGCCCCATGTCCCTGATCTGCTGCTGTGAACCACTTGTGGAGTGAGGTCCGGCTCAAGAAGCGAGTGCCTGCATATTCGAATCCAGTAGTCGCAACTGCCGATTGAGGTAATTTGGAATTGGATCGTAAGCTGATCAAGTCGGAAGATGTCGTTGCCGTGGAAGAAGAAGGTGCATGTTACATCGTGGATCGACAAATGTTTCAACGTAATCACATGATACCGTGTCTTCTCCGACGCGTCCTTTGCTGATTGACAGAATCCATCCATTTCTCGATCCCAAACCAAAGTGACAACCAAGATGTGACATGAACAACAATCACAGGTGGCAGGCCGCGCCTGTCCACAATGCAAAATATTTCTTCGCTTCGCCCACCTACAACAAATGGGTGAAGCTGACCGCCGCCGACGTCCACGCTCTGCGCGAAGTAAAGGGCTTTGAAGGTGAGCACTACTCCCTGCTCCTTCACGACTACTAGGTAGTATGCGCAAAGACTCACCACATCCCTCAAAAACACAGGTCAAAATGTCTACTTCCACCACAACCATCCCATCCGCTTTGTCTACCTCGTCGCCCCCATTGTCGCCATCCAAGAAATCCCAAACACAAAGTTCCTCCTCTTGACTCTCGATGACAGCAGTGGCGCCTGCATAGACGTAAGAATTGAACGCAAAGACCCTACGAAGGTGGAGGCCGGCACTTCAAACACAGTCGTGGAAAACCTGAACATCACCACTGCATTTGGCTATGACTCTGAGATTCGGGTTGATGGTCAGGTCGTGGATGTCGCGACTGTGATGAAGGTGAAGTGCACGATTGGGAGATTTAGGGGCAGCAAGCAGTTGGAGTTGAAGAGATGTAACGTCATCAAGGATACGAGCGAGGAGACTGCGGCGTGGGAGAGTATGGCGGAGTTCAAGAGGGACGTGCTTGGGAAGCCTTGGGTTCTGAGTGCTGCAGACCGAGTCGATCTGGATGTTCAGCTGCAAGAGGAGGCCATGCGGGAGCAGGAAGAAGAACGTCGAGAAAGACGGACTCAGCGTGCGCTCCAAAAACGTGAAGAGCATCGAGCGGAGAAGAGAAAGGCCAGGGAAGAAGAAAAAGAGAAGAGGCGACTCGCTGCTGAAAAGAAGTTCAACCGGGGTGCTCTGATATGATGCGGCTGAATTATACATTCTAAACGATTCATGAGAACGAAACGCCTTGCTAAACCTGCAGTTGAAAAAGACAAATGAGAATCTGGGACCATCACGATTAATCGTCATCCTCCTCTCTTGACTTCTTGCGTCTCTTGCCCTCGTCATCTTCGTCGTCCTTGTCCATCTGCTTCTTTCTGCGCTCCTGACGCAGTGCCTTGGCTACCTTTTCGTCTCCTGCTTCCTTGGCTTCGTCCCAATCGACATCATACTCTTCAGCAACCATCTTAATCTCTCTTCTCAGACGATTGCCTTCCTCGACGAGACCATCCCACTTGGATACATCGAAGCCCTTGGCCTGATACAGCTTGTCCTGTCTCTTGCTGACGGTAAAGTTCATGGCGGAACGGTAGCTGACCTCACGGTTGTGGTACAGGAACCACATGTAACCTCCAATCAAGGTAGACAGACCGACGAGGTAAGTGACAGGCTCCATGACATCCCATCCAAGCTCTGTCTGGAAAGTGAGGACGTAAACACTACCCCACCAACCGACCAAGATGGCGAAACCTCCCTGAGCCACGCGCTGAGCACTTCTGTGGGCCAACTTGTCGCACTCAGTTTTGATATCTGCCAGCGACGAGATTTGCTTGGCTGTCTTTCGAAGACGCATGCGCAGGTAGTATGTGCGGTCGTTGAATGAAGGTACGGCAACGTAGATGGGCTCAGGAGCTCCCTCAATGTCGACACTGAACTCTTTACCACGAGCGGCATCTCTGATGAAGTCGCCAATCTCTGTGCTTGGTGACCAGCGAACGAAGTCGGTGTGCTCTGGGTCGGGCTGTTGGCTATCGTTGATGGGCTTCTCCTCGACTTGTCCCGACTCGTTGAGCTTGCCTGTACGATGTGTCTTGCCGTCAATCTTGAGAGAATCAACGCTGTCGAAGTTGTAGTCCTCTGACTCATCATCCGGATCGTGTTTCTTGTCAGGGTCGATGGCCTCTTCTCCTAGGTCTTGTGCACGGAAGTGAACAGATGGGATCTTATCGCCCCCGCTCTCGTTCTTTATGACGGGTAGTTCGGACTGAATCAGACGTTCGAGATAGCTGAGTGGTTGTTGTGGATGTACGAGAAGGGCTAGAGGTTCGACGTTCTTGCGGTCCTTGTTTGCGTCTCTGGTGGTCAGGGGGAGGATGAGCTTGAGCATGCGAGAAGGTGTAGTCAACAGCTTGCCTGTACATCATGTTAGCGTGGATTATCCATGTGTGAAGCGTATATATTACCTTTGACCATGGCACCAGCAGATCTCAATCTGGCGACAGGAGGCTTGTCACTGCCTTCATGCATCCAGGGTGACCTCATCTGGCTCTGTTTGCTGTGCTCAACCACTCTCTCATAGTGATCCTTCTCTTCCTTGCCGACATCTTGACTGAGGTTCGCTGCTGGCTGGCCTTGCGACGTCCTGTTCTCAGCGGTAATGCCCTTCTTCTGTTCCTTCAATCCAAGTCGCGTGCTCTGGCCGAAACTCCTCGTACATTGATGGCTGAGTCGCGTCGTTGAAGCCCGACACGTGCTACTCCGTCCGGCATATGCCAGAACCTTCAGTATTGATGGCTCCATTACTGTGTGTGATCCGAACGCTATCGACTCAGCATATTATGCTCTTGCAAAGGTGTGTGAATGCAGGGCTCTGTTTCCAAGATTGTTGATGCCGTGATGTGTGATGATGTCACAGCCTTCTCCCCATTCACCTTTGTTTTGCACAGCCACAGCCATTGTCGTGTGCCAAATCCACGACAAGATATCAATCATCTTGGCTCTCTGGACTGCTCTTTCATCGCGCAGTTGTATCGAGTCTTCTATCATGGCAGCTTGTTATGACCTCAACAGTCGGAGCATGGGGTCCTGGGAACACGACTCTCAGCTCAAGCTTTAACCAGCGAGAAGTGGTCACTTCCCCGAGCATACACGACATAATCCGTACCGGACCCAACATACTCGTAAAGGCACCACAGCGATAAATTGAAGGTCTCAGCGTTGTCGAGAGGCGACCAGACCTCATATAGACTGATATTTACACAGTTCACTAGGATTCAACATGAACGAATGTGCAACCTCACTGCTCTTAATGATCAACTCTCCTAGTCATCTCATAGGCAAAGGTATTCAAGGGTACGTACATTCGGCTCTAACGTTTCACAGTTCGTCTCCTTTGCTTTGCTCGTGCCTGTGATTCGAGTTTCGGGTATTGTGTACAGCGATCATGCTCGAACAGTTCATTAATCAACTTTTGTCGAGAAGTCTATCGCTCCATCGGCCGAATTTTGGATCGATATAGAACAACGGTTCGTATGCTAATCATTCGAATCCTCTTCTCCACTTAGACACTGCGAAACACAGCCTGCTGAGGTACGTAGACCATAAGCGAGTCAGTCATAAATGGTGGTAGGATGCAGCCACTTGTCACAGATCCCCCTGAATATGAGCCATCGAAGTTCTGCACTTAGGGCTTCTATCCTCGCAGCTCTGGGCTTGCGGGATTCGTGTATATGCTGTAAGTTCCTTGACTTTAAACCCTAAGGGCTAAGCACATGATTTAAGCTCACTACATCTTAAATCCCTCGAGACGTTGAATCCTACAATGTACGTGCCGGTAAGTTACCTACACCTTTCTACGACTAATTTGCTATTTGGCGGAGCAGCCTTTCCCTCGCGTTAACACATGATCAAGTCGTATAATGGCGGTAGAAATGGACAGCATATCATCTTTTGGTACCGCTTCTTAAGTAAACCAGGCAAAAGGGGCAAGCGCCGCTATCAAATCCACATTGCTAACGAGACGACACGTTGGCTCCAAATAACTGGCAGAGTTGGCAATAATGTCACAATCGCCATTTTTCGAAGCCTTAATGACTAAGGCCAAGTACCTCCCACTAGTTCCTACCGAAGTGGAAAGGGAAGCCGAATTTGTCAAGCTCGACTTCCCAAGTGGACGAATGTCAAGGAGAATGTTGCCACGCCTCAAGGAACTCAGCAGGACCTCACTTGATGCAAATATTGCTTTGGCAACTGTGAAGAAGACTTAGGTAAATTCTCGACAGTACCTATGCGCCATCGGTAACTGTTGTAATAACTCAGGCAGAAGGACTACGGGCGCTCCTTGCAACAAGGTCGACGGCCAGGAAGGCTCTGGCAAATCCTCCACAGTACCCTTGCAACATAGCCAGCTTCCGAGAAGATATTGCAAAGGAGTACGGGCGCTCCTAGCTCTCGGCAAAGATCAGAAACCCCATATGCCCGCTTTGCAGCATAGCTAGCTCTCGATAAACCCAAATGAAAGGACTACGAACGTCCCTTACAACACGGCTGACTCTCGGCAAAGACCAAAAAGCCCAAATGTCACCTTCGCAATATATATAGCTTCCAAGAAAGTCAAACGCAAGGACTGCGGACGCTCCTCGCAACAAGGTCAACTGTCAGGAAGGCTCAGACAAAATTCTCTATACTAATGCTGTAACATAGCTAGCTCTCGAGAAATTAGACGAAAGAAGTATGAGCACACCTCGCGACGCGGCTGGCTTTGGGCAAAGATCAGAAAACGGATGCCCCCTTTGCAACATAGCTGGCTCTCGAAAAAATCAGACGGAGAGGTAGATTCTGGGCAACTTGAGTACTGAAATTGAATCCTCAGAGATGTTGATTGGAAGCCCTTGAGATGCAGCTCGCGCGCAGATGCAGGTGAATGCCGCATCCCCCATTGCCTCCAGGGTGGTGCGCCAAAACCACAATGACATTGTCAGACGCTTCAATTACCACAAGAAGGTCGCCGACGGACGTATTAAGGTGCTCGAGTCATCCAGCTGGAGACTTTGTGGCGGCTATCACAGAGAAGCATATATGGAGGAAGATCTCCCTCGCAACCTCAAGGATGACGAGTCTCCTTCGGCTGCAACCTCAGTCGGCAATTCGGATCATGCTGTCCTCTCAGGCCACAATCTCGAGGAAGATATGGTTAACAGGAGAGAAAACCTGTGGGGGAACTATGCAAGGCAAGTAGACAGCTTCCTCCAATATCAACGATCGTCATTTGCGCCTGCTGTCGAAAGGCAAGGTTATTTTGCCAAAGGCAGAAGCTGTCCTTGGAGGACCGGGGCGAGAGGCCTTAGTCGATGAGGACGATGTCTTACGAGGCTCTTCGGCAGGAAGTCGTGATTCCGATCTGGCTCCCACCACGCTCGACTTGGACCTGGAAAACATCTTGCATTTACACAGCTACATATGCATTAGAGGGCTCGACTCATGGAGAAGTAGATTTAGAATCTCCAAGGATGGCGCTCAGAGATACAAGAGAGCTGTCGAAATGCACAGTCAAATTCGATTTGCCCGAGATTGTCCTCGGAGAACATCGAATGGCTGCCCTCCGACAACCCTCGATCTGAATCTGAAAATTATCCTGCATTTCCACAGCGACATATGTGTGAGAGACATCTACGCACGGAGACTTCACCTCAGTGTTCGGCCAGGCACATAGAAGGAAGACAGCAAAATCCGTTTGGTAACTTGTACCGCAATTTAAGTTTATATACTGTCTTCTCTATGCTCGACTATAGAAGTAAAATATGTACAAGGAAATTTGGTGGAATAAAGGCTTCTCTCGTCAGGTCACAATCTAGCAGTAGCTCTGATCGAGGGTGTTGGAAACAACACCAGCATCAGCAAGACCCTCCCATGACCAGTAGTCCTGGAGCTTGCCCTCACCATCAACAGTGTCTCTGGTGTTCAACATCTTGCCGTTCCAGAAAGCACCACCGGAAGCGTACTTCTGGTAAGCGTAGACCTGGGTGTCGTAGAGAGTCTTTCTGTTGTCGATAGTGTTGTTGTAAAGAGTTTGGAGGGACCACTCGCCAATGAAGACAGGGAACTTGCCGTCACCCTGTCCGATATATTTTGCTTGTCCACATACCGCGGCGGGAACATACTGAGAGTAAGCACCACTGGCAGCAAAAAAGTAAATGTGCGAATCGATGACCAGGTTAGTTCCAGCGGCGTAGAAGGGTGACCAGAACTGCTCGCTGAAGAAGCTGTCCTGGAGCATAAGAGGGATTCTCTTGTCGACCTTAGCGATGCGAGAGAAGACTCCGTTGATGTAGGTGTTGATCCAGTTGACACCGTCGTTGGTAAGTCCAGCAGGGGTAGCGAAGCCAGCAAAGTTGTCACTAGCCTCGTTGATAGGAGCAATGGTGAAAGCGTTCTGACGACCAGATGTCTTGATGAAGGTCAGGATAGAGTCAATAGCCTTGAAACTGTAGTCGAGGTTGGTGCTGTTTTGGAACCAAGCATCGTGGCCGAAGGCTTCACCAATACTCAAAGTGTTCACACCGCCAGGGAGCGAGTGAAGGCCAATGATGACGTGCATGTTACACTTGTCGATGGCATAGTTGGTCAGGGCTCTGAGGTAAGCCTGCTGGTTACCAGAGTAAAGCTGACTACCAGGGACCTTAGTCCAGGCAGCATAAGTGGTCGGGATGCGGAGCGTGTTAATGTTCTTAGCGCACATCTTATCGATGTCGGCAGTGGTGAAGAAGGAAGCGTAGCGTGCCTCGAGCTTGGGTCCGCAGACTGCAAAGCCTACGTTCTGGCACCAAGTCCATTCATCAGGGAATGATCCCACGTTGGCAGCCCACCATTCAGTATCCTATATAATCTTAGTAAGGTGTTTCAGAGCAGTCAGATGGGTGAGAAATACGTAATTCTCCTCAATCTCTAGCCAGGCACCTAGGTTGACACCGTTGGCCTTGTAGGTAGACCAGTTGATATACTGTTTTCCAGGCTTCGACCAGATGCAGTTTTGGGTAAAACGCTTGGCAGCAACCTCGATAGCCTGGACAGTCAGAGCGACCGAGCTGATGATCTGACCATGCTGGTTGGCGTTGGTCTGAAGAGTGGTTCCGAGTTTAGCGACCTGTTGGGCCAGACTTCCGGTGATGGTGGAGGTCACGGTGGTGAATACATTGTTTCCGAGACTGAGAAGGTCTCCGATCAAGCTGGGAGTAGGGGCAGCAAGGACTGCAGAGCCAGAGACGGCGAGGAGAAGGGTAGAAGGTTTCATGTTGTAGCGAAAGTGGTTGGTAGAGTGGTATACCGGTAAAGAGAGGATGATGAGATGAGATGATGAGATCGATTTTGGACGTCGAACCAGGCGATATATATATTAAAGCACTCAAGATACAGAGAGCGACTTACCTTGCGATCATCGAACTAGATATTTTCCTACCTGAACATATTGAGGTGTTTACTTAGGGCAGGAGAGCCTGACAGAAGGGCGTAGCAAGCCCATACCGCTGAACATTCATCTCTAAGGACGAATGCAAGACTCAATTTAGGGCAGCGAAGCTACATTACTGATTTCTGCGAGAGCGCCACGTTCTAGAGAGCGGTAGCGAGAAGTTGTAAAAGTATATCAAATGGTGATGCCGTTGCCAATGCTTCCAGAATCGGCTGAAAGCTTCCAGCCTCGGTTCACCCATGCTCGCCCGAGTTTAGCCAATTCCGGGGAAGTTGTTGACAAACTGCTTGAGACATTCTGACTGCCTCGTGGGATATGTGACTGTGCGATTTTACAAAACTTGCCTCTCACTCAAAAAGCATCAGCTTGAAGTTAGCGGTAGCGAGCGATGCCTCGCGATCGTCTACTCCAGTACCATGCGAGTGCCGCGAAGTGTTGCAGGACGGTATAACACCAGCATTGGTGCATTTGCAAGCCTCAGCGTCTAGACAAAGTCTATACAAGCCCGCGGCAACTACTAGGGTGCCAGCCCTGCCAGAAGCCGGATGGCATGTCAAAGCATCGGACCGCTCGCACATCCCGCGAACAGAGGGCTTGTTCTTATGACGCAATTGCAAGCGCTTTGCAAACAAGGAGGACTTCGGCAGAGACGATGAGGAGAGGCCTCCCCGTGTGCAAAAGACTGTCAAACTTGTAGCTGTCCCAAGGCACGAACATCTTCAGATCTGGAGCGTTTGCACCGAGATACATCTTCTCAACGACTCCCTGTATTAGGTATGTCCATACGAAACATAACTATGCCTTTCTACAGTTCGTCGTTGCCCCGCTTTGATCATTGTGGAAAGAGGATGTGGCAATATTCTGCACACGGGGAGGGTGGACTCTGTTGAGGCGATCGAGATACTACCCATACTGCGGGGAGCCAGGCCGATCTCGGACCGAGCAGTCATGGCAGAACATAAATCGCTATGCCATCTACACGCTCGTACAAACACTACTGGAGTGTCTTGATCAGCAAAAACGGTAGTATCTTGATATTGGTAGCAGCAATCATGACCACAAGGTGCCACTCTATCACCACATCCAGCCTTGGATGGTTTTGCTCTATGTGGATGTTTCTGGAGAGCACCACGCATAGGTATGATGACGACATTGTCGTCAACATGTAAGCTGCTCTCAACTTCTACACAGCAACCACCTACCTCAAGGCTTCCTTTCTGTACTACATCCTCAAGTAAAATTCATATCATCATGTCTCCAATCCGCATCGGTATCATCGGTCTTTCCACCAACTCCGAGGGCACCAGCTGGGCCAGCGCTGCCCATCTGCCTTATCTCTTGTCAGAGCAGGGTAAAGCCCACTACGAGATCAAGGCTCTGTGCAACTCATCTGTCGAGAGCGCAAAGAAGTCTATTGAGCACTACAAAATCCCTGGAGATGTCAAGGCTTACGACTCCGCAAAGGACTTGGCCGACGACAAGGACATCGACCTCGTTGTATGCGTCGTTGGTGTCGAGAGACACTACGAGTTGCTAAAGCCCGCGGTTGAGGCCGGCAAGAACATCTACACCGAATTGCCTCTTGCTTCCAACATGGATCAGATCAGAGAGTTGGTCTCATTGTCTGAGAAGAAGGGTATCAAGACCATGTTTGGTTCTCAAGGTCAGGCAGCTCCTGTTGTCAAGGTTCTTCAGAAGGTCATTGCCGATGGCAAGATTGGCAAAGTTTTGAGCACTTCGCTTAGCGGTTGCACTGGCATCGCTGGAGGTGCAGCTATCCCCACTGGCTACAAGTACATTGTCCAGAGAAAGGCAGGTGGTAACCATGCCACAATCTTCTTCTTGCACAGTAAGCCAGACGTAGCCATTGTATTTTCGAGAAGATCTAACACAGACAGGCTTCAACTGCTTGCTCGAGATCTTCGGCGAGCTCGAGTCATTCGACAACATCATGGGTATCGAGCGACCTCACATCAACCTTATCGACATCAAGAACCAGGGCAAGGTCGTTGACAGTATTACTAAGGACACACCCGACAACATCTCACTTCACGGCCGCTTCAAGTCCGGTGCTCTCTTGAGCTACGAACTTCGCGCTGCCGCTCCCTTCCCTGGTGAGGCTGGTGTCAGATGGACCATCAACGGAGAGAAGGGCGAGATTCTGGTCACCTGCCCTTCTGCCATGTTCGACATCAACCACGAGGGTGTCAAGATTCAGCTCCACGAGTTGAGCAAGGACAGCGCAGAGGACATCGAGCTGCCTTCTGACAACCTATCTGATCTCAAGCACCCTTCGCAAAACGTCGGTAGACTCTACGAGGCATATGCCAAGGGAGACACCAAGTCCTACTGTGACTGGAAGCTGGCACTCAAGCGTCATGAGTTGATTGAGGAGATGTTCCAGAGAGGCGATGGAAGCAGGCCTTATGGAGAGAAGGCCACATATGTTTCTAAGAACGGCTCGTCGAGCGGCACATCAGGCAGTAGCATTCAGGACAGCACCGCTGAGGTTGACGCTGATGCCCAAGGTACCATCTTTGCCGACCGAGAGGTCAAGCCTCGCGAGATCACTCGTGAAGCTGGATCTGGAAAGGCTCAGACTAGCGTCGACGCCCTTGAAGCTGAAGGCTTTGGTGCCTCTTCTGGTCCCAACGACCTGAGCAGTAACGGAGGAAACCGCGATCTGGCATCATAGGAGGATGAATCAATATGTTATAGCACACGAGCATGAAGATATGTAATGAATCAAAAGTCAAATGAAAACATTCCAAGGAATATTCTCCCTGTACACCAACGATTGCTCTTCTAGAATGGATGACCAGACGACCCAGGGCGAACGTCCGCACAGCAGGAAGAAGAAGCGGTTAAAAACATTATGCTATTGTAATTCAAATCTAGTTCTTCTTGACATCTTCCTCTGCATTCTCCACCACGTCGACCATGAAACCACCTCCTAGCAAAATAGCTGGCTCGTCGATGCTGTGGTGCTCGTAGCTATAGTGAAACGTCAGTACTCCATCCGTGCATCGAGAATGACTTGGAGAAACATACCTCAAAGTACCCACACCACCAGCATCAAGCAACATGCTCGGGTTATCAGCAATATTCTTGTTGATCCACCTTGCCGCGAAAGCTCTCAGAATATGTCCATGTGCCACGATCAACACATCATACGGCGGCGCCTCAGACTTTGGTTTCCCAATAACATCCTTGTGGTACTTTTCCCTAATCTCTGCAATCACAGCATCCAAACGCTCTGTAATCTGCTCAGGACTCTCACCCCCAGGACACCCATCCTTCCAAATATCCCACTTGTGCAAACCTTCCTTTTCCCTCTGCTCCCCAATGTATTTGCTCGTCAAGCCCTCATAATCGCCATAATCCCATTCTCTTACACTCTCCGTGACTTGGACTTTTGCATTCGTCTTTATGTTACCATCATCATGTTCCGCACCCTCGTTCCACGGCATGGGATCTTTACAGCCAAGGTTTAGAAGCTCGAGGGTGCGTTGGGAGCGAGTGCGTGGGGAGACGTAGATGTGAGCGAGGTTTTTGGGGACAATCAGACGGTCGTCGCCGACGAGGGCGTTGCCAGTTGCGCGGATGCGCTTTTCGCCGTTGGAGGTGAGGGGGATGTCCGAGGTGCCCGTGTGTCGGCCATTGAGGGACCATTCGGTTTCGCCGTGGCGGATGATGAAGACGCGGGGGGTGATCTTTTTGTCGGCCATGATTGATGCAGAGACAAGATTGAGAGAGTGAGTAGAGACTGAGAGTGAAGAGTGAGTGTTTATTTTGTAGATTGGTGGTTTCTGTCGCGGGGTCGCCGGCTCGATGAGGTCGATATGCCGCTACGTCATACTGAACTCGACTATCTTCTAGACCATGCTGACCTAACGGAGTATACATTTGGCGCATCAATATTCTCACTCTTTCTCTTCTACTGTTGCGACTAATACCAATGAGCAGTGGGTCATAATGATCGTTGATTTTTGCATACTGTACAGTATGCTCTAGAAATACAGTGTGGTAGCGTACATGTCCAAAAACTGCTTTTGGCCTGAAGATATATTGTCGACAAGATGAGAAGCCTGATAATATGGGTGCAATGTTCAGAACGCTGATCAAAGACATCTAGCCTTGACGTTTTAGAGCTGGGCTTGCCTTGTTGGGAAGCATGTCCTTTGCAATCTCCTTGGAACGCTGCATTCTAACAGGTCGCGCGCAAGCTGTGGGTGCCGGATATATGGGTTTTGTGTAGGTCAGCCAACGCGCTTGTACATTATTCGTGGCCATATTGGTGATGAAGTAGAGCAAAAGTCCAGCGGGCATCTGGGAAGCCGGAATGATAGATAGCATGGCGAGCGTCATTCCAATCCTCTGGATATTTGTTGGTTTCGCTCGCTCTCCGTCATTTGCGCTTGCTGCACCAGCTATGCGAGGTGAGAAGTATATGCTGGCGAAAAAAGTACCGCTGAATATTACGGGCAGTGTGAAAGTGGGATCTGCCATTGTCAAATCCGGACACCAGGAGAATCCCTCAGTCATCATGCTCGGGTCAAACCAAGCAGAGTTCGCATGACCCGCCAACGCCTGCGAAGCATCTTGAGAAATAGCAGTCTCATGCAGCGTTGCGTTGGACGGGACCAAGTCTTGGGCAAACTCAGGCGATTCGGGTAGCTCGACATGATCTTGGCTGGTTGCTGCGTTGGAGGCAGAAGCAGAGACAGGGGTAGAGGTAGATGCAGGAGCAGAGGCAGGGGTAGAGGTAGAGGCAGGAGCAGGAACAGAGGCATTTGACGAATTCTCGATGGGTTTCTCAGAATCGCCCTCTACAAGAGATGTTGGGAGTAGCCAACTCAAAGTCCAGTCGAGAGGACCGAGAATAAACTTCAAGAGGCCCTCTCTAGCACCCATCATTCTCCTGAGACCGTCAGAGACCAAGACTGTCGTCAGAAACATCATAAATCTATGAGGCACAGGCAGTCGATTGAACAGTGCCCGTTGAACCTCAGCTCTCCTTTCCCACGAGCGGAGAAGCATGCAGACCTCTTTGACGCCTGGCACAGGGAAGGACTTCTTGCTAAGTTTGCGCCTTTCAATGCTCATTCTGGCGTCTACCAAGGGTTGTATCTGGGCACGATCAACCATCTTCTCGCGCAACGGACGTTGGAGAAAGGGGTAGACGATGAAAGATCTGATCAAGACTGCGGATAAGGGTATGGCAGCAAACCAAGGTAGACCAGTAACATGAATGCTTTCCATGAAAGATACGGGCAAGAGGGCTGCGAAAGTCGCAGCATCCGAACATTCGGCGAACACAGCGCCTATTGAATATTGACGAGCGGCATAGGGACTGCAGAAGACTGGTGGGCGACGAACGGGAAGCATGCGATGAGCATGCCTTGCTAACAGGACCATTGCCCAGGACTAGGCAGTTGGCTTAACAAGTGAGAAACATGCAATGCCGACGATCAAGATGGTTCAGATAAAATGATATTTGCCATGTTGCCAAGGCGAGCGACGCGGGCCGAAGATGGCGGGCCAGGGTCAGGGTGGGCTGATGCAGGCGAGTCAGTGCAGGTAGGAGCTGTGGCCGATGTGTACGCAATGGTCAGGTAACAAGTGGACACAGTCGACATGAAAGTCATACAACAATGGCTGGATTAGCGTTGCTTTTAACACTGGTGGCAGTGGCCATCGGTGTGTCGTACCTAGCGTTGCCTTACTTTGGACGCTTCATTGCGCAGAGCATCGGCTCGACAGTGCGCTCCAGGACACTTGGCCGGAGAGAGCTATTGCTCAAGAGAGCCAACGATGACGAGTCCACTTCGGCTCCCACTCTGAACAAGGATCGTCTGGCCAAGGGCGAGTGTCATGGGAAGCCGACACACGAGTGGGACGGTGTAATAGGCTTCTTCCACCCCTTCTGGTGAGTTGTCCAAGCATTCGACATGTCGCAAGACACTGACAACAAGCATAGCAACGCAGGAGGAGGTGGTGAGCGAGTTCTCTGGGCAGCGATCCGTGCGACCCAAGAGCGATACCCCAAGGCGCTCTGCGTAGTCTACACGGGTGACCACGACGTCGACAAGGACACGATGATTGCGAATGTCAAGAACCGCTTCAACATCCCCCTGCACGCCCCTCGTCTCACCTTCCTCTACCTCAGCACTCGCGACTTCCTCCTCGCCCACCACTGGCCCTACTTCACGCTCCTCGGCCAGAGCATCGGCAGCTTGCTTGTTGGCTGGGATGCCTTCAATCTGGTCGTGCCCGACATCTTCATCGACACCATGGGCTATGCCTTTACAGTCGCCTTGTCGCACTTCCTCTTCCCCGACGTACCCACCGGCGCCTACGTTCACTATCCCACCATCTCTACCGACATGCTGGGAAGCCTTGACTCTTCGGGCCGTGGTGTCAATGCAGGCTCGGGAAGTGGTTGGAAGGGGAAAGCCAAAAAGGCCTACTGGCACCTCTTTGCCCGTCTGTACAGCTGGATTGGTGGCGAGATCGACGTTGTAATGACAAACTCCACCTGGACTCAGAATCACATCAAAGCACTCTGGGGCCCGACTCGCCAAAAGAGACGTTGGACCAAAGACGTCTCTGTCGTCTTCCCACCAGTCGCCGTCGAAGAGCTGGAACAAGAGGTCGAAGTTTCGGAAGAGTCGGAAAAGAGCAGAAGGAGGGATATCCTCTACATCGCACAGTTCCGTCCCGAGAAGGATCACCAAAACATCATCATGGCATTTGCCGAATTCTTGCGCGACCGCAAGACTGACGCAAAGGATACTCCCAGATTGGTTCTCGTGGGCTCTGTGCGTGACGAAAAGGATAAGATGTTGGTGTACAAGTTGCGCGTGCTGGCGCGCGAACAACACATTGCCGACCACGTCGACTTTGTAATTGACGCAAAGTGGTCGCAAATCTTGGACCGTCTGAGGACGAGCTGGGTCGGTGTCAACGGCATGTGGAACGAGCACTTTGGTATCGGTGTCGTCGAGTACCAAGCCGCTGGTTTGATCTCGGTCGTTGATGACAGTGGCGGCCCCAAGTACGATATTGTGGTTCCCATTGATGGAAAGCCTACCGGTAAGTCTTCGTTCCTCCTACGCTTGCTACTTGTACTAATATGCAATCATAGGCTTCCACGCAAAATCGCCTACAGAATTCGCCAAGGGCTTTGCAAAAGCACTGGACCAATCTCCATCAGAAACACTGGCCATGCGCAAGCGAGCGAGAACAAGTGCCAAACGTTTCTCTGAAGGAGTCTTCCGCGACAGCTGGAATGCTCAAATGGATAGACTGATACAATTACGCGTTACACCGAGAGGAGAGCGCCAAAAGTTGAGATTGGAGTAGAAAAGATAGACTATTAGATTAACGCCATGTCATGCTCATCCGTTCTGTGATATACCACTTCTATGTTTTGTATGTTTTGTATCTTCTATGTTGTATTCTATGTTCTATACATTCTATATTGTATTCTATGTCATCCTCCCGCTAATCGTGTTATTCTATATCATTCCAGCTTCTCATTACAACTCATGCTCCTCGGTCGTCGCTCTAGGCTGATTAAGACGACCACGCTGCCACTTCCTCAACAACTTCAACGCCTTCATCCTCATCGAAGTCTGCTGACCCTCGTCACTATGCTCAAACGCCTTGTCAATCTCCTCCAATGTCTTGCCCTTCGTCTCTGGCATTTCGGTCGCACAAACAACCACAGTCAACAAACTAGCAGCACCAAACATGAAGTAGATTCCCGAACTCGAATGCTGCAAAAACACCGGAGTGGTAAACGCAACGACAAAATTGACCACCCAGTTTGAGCTCTGAGCTAGTGATGTAGCGGGTGCTCTGGTCTTGGGGGACTGGATCTCTGAAGCGTAGATCTTGATTCCTACGGCCCAGGTTGCGCAGTAGGTGAGGGCGAAGATGTAGATAAGGACGATAACGACCCATCTTGCTGCTCCGTGGTCGCCGTGAACTGTGCCAGAGGCGTAGAGAGCGCCGATGATGAACATGGTTCCAGAGAGGAGGATGCCGCCGACAATAGTAGATGTCCTACGGCCCCATTTGTCTGCTAGCATAAAGCTCGGGATAGTGATGAGGAACATGAGAAGAGCGGAAACACCTGAGGCCAGAAAAGATGAGGTCGCGCTGTTGAGACCTGCTTGTTGGAAGAGCAGTGGTGCGTAGTAAAGCACACCATCGATTCCTGACAACTGCTGCATACCCATCACAAAGCAGCCTAGGAAAGTACGCTTGCGGGCACCCTTTGAAAACACAGCGAGCCAAGATGTATGCTGTGCATCGTGTACGCTTTGACGTGAGCGAATAGGCGTAAGAGCCAGACTCTCGGGTTCTTGAATGTTGAGGTTTTGGTTCTGCTGCTCGTTCTTCTCGCGCTCGGCGTCTGCGAGACCCAGTCTGTCCCACGCGTCATGCGAGTCTTCCATACGACCTTTGCTCTTGAGCCATCGTGGTGATTCGGGCAGGAAGAAGAAAGTGAGCAGAGCGTAGGTGAAGGCAAGGAAACTCTGCAGGGCAAATGGAAACCTCCAGGAGAAACTAGTGTTCGAGCTTCTGACCGTGCCATAGCAGACAAAGTAGCCGACCGCGATGCCCATAGTGACCAGAAGCTGTTGCACACTAGCCAGTACACCTCTTTGTCTTGCAGGTGCAATCTCACACACATACACGACCAGTGTGCTCAAGAATAGTCCTTCGCCTACACCGGTTATGCAGCGTCCTACAAAAAGCATGGCGAGGTTCTGTGCACCTGCTTCCAATGCAGTTCCTGCTGCAAAAATCAAGCCGCCGAGAGAGCAGGTGATGATGCGGCCCATGTAGTCTGCGATGTTGCCGGCGAAGAAAGACGTCAACGAGGCAGGTATGAGGATCGAGGAGACCAGGATACCGTGGATCGTCGAGGAGAGAGGGCCGAATGAGTCCAAGAAAGTGGGCATGGTCGTGATGGGACCGATACATCCGGTGTCTAGTCCGAACAGAAGTCCTCCGACTGATATAAGTGCTGAGCACAGGATGTACGGCGCTGGAAGGCGCATAGCTGTTGTCTTCATCATGAAATAGCTCTGCAAAGCAGACAGTGCGAATAGTGTTGGACGCAGGAGAAGAGGTTAGATCAGCACATTCGAATTTTAGTCTGCTATCTTTAAATGCCTTCTCAGTATCTCATGGTCGGCCTACCTTCGTCCTCACCTTGAATCGCCTCTACACTGTGGAGTCTCCCATGGGGATAAAAAATCATGATAGCATTTTTGGGTGGGCGGAACGCTCTCAACAGAGTCATTGCTATTTTCGAGGAAGGTTTCCCGAGCGGATGAATACCGAACAGGAAATTCCGCTGAGGCGGTGAGTCGGGTTGACATTCTCATGATTGAATTTAGGCAAAAGACAGCTCGAAGGGTCAAGATCTTTGACAGCTGCGTCGATTTTTGGGTTGTCGTCTCACTTGCAAGACAGATGACCATCAACCTCGAACAAGGAAGGTGTGGTCATGGTAAGGCGCGGTCCGATCGAGTACGCGACGTATCCCCATCCAACGCCTTTTTCGCGACCGACCAGAGATAGACAAAGCTGCAGCAAATCATGAGTCCCTGCATCATCAATCTCATGGAGAATATTTAGCACATTCTCAACTTCCCTGGCAATTATCCTGCTTTTACTCCAGCCGTTGTGTATAGCCTTCTCGTGATGGAGCTGCAAGTCAAGATACACAAGCAACTGATCGATCTTAGTATGCGCGCCCTGCCCCGCAGAGGAAGCAGTGCGGCGGGCTGGTGGCTGCATATGCCGTCATTGCTCTAATCAATGTTTGAACAAAATCACTAGACTTTCCACCCATTGGAAATCCTCTCCCTTTCGTTGTCTCTTTTACAAAGCTTAAACCGACATCTCTGCTGAGACAGAGAATCTAGCCATCAAGATGGACAAGGTCACTCAAGTCGTCATCTTTTCGTCGACAGCAATTGCCCTCTATGGTTACGATCAAGGTAGCTAGCTTGAGCAGCAGAATGAAACCAACACTGACCACGTTCCAGGTATGATGAGTCTGATCAACACCAATGAAGACTATCTCAGCACCATGGGCTTGCCTGAGGAGAGTCCCATTGTGGGTCTCATTGTAGCTCTGTACTACCTGGGCACCGCTGTTGGAGCTGTCATCTTCTCCTACCTGGCAGACCGCTTCGGAAGAAAGCCTGCGCTATTTGGATGCTTGGCCATGTCTTCTCTTGGAAATTTGATCATGTTTGTTGCCGGCTTGAAGTTCTCACAAGGAGCTATTATCGTCATGATTCTTGGTAGAATTGTCATGGGTCTGGGTGTAGGTGGTGTCGATGCTGTGGTTCCCGTTTACAGGTAAGTATCTTATTTCGATCTCGAGATAGGCTTTGACTGACTTTTGAAAAAGCTCCGAGCTTTCCGAGGACGAGGCCCGTGGAAAGGCACTTGCCCAAGAGTTCCAGATGAACATCTTTGGTCTGAACATGGCATTCGCTATCAACCTTGGCTTGACTGTTGCTCTCGGTAAATCCAACCAGTGGGCTTGGAGACTTCCCATCATCATCATGCAGGTCTACCCTGTTCTACTCATGTCGTTCATCGGTATCCTCCCCGAGTCTCCCAGATGGCTTGTTTCCCACGATCGCAAGGACGATGCCAAGGCAGCACTTGCCAAAATCTATGGAGAAGATCAGGCACAGGAAACTCTGGACAATCTCGTCGAATCCAATGATAACGAGTCTTCCAAAAATGTCACTTACACCGACATGCTCTCTCCCGGACACGCCCAGTTCCACCCAACCATGGTCACTGTTATGGGACAGATCAACCAGGCACTCACAGGATATGGAGCTGTCTCAGTTTATGGTCCTCAGATCTTCGAGCTGCTTGGATTTGAAACGCGCATGTCTGAGTACCTGACTCAAGGCAACTACGTCTCTTACTTCATCTTGATGACATTTGCATGGCTTCTGATTGACGCTGTTGGTCGTCGTAAGATGTTGCTCGGAGGATCAATCGTGCTCACTCTCTGTTTCTTCTTGCTCACATTATTTGGAGGTCTGGCTTTCAACTCCGAAGACCTTGGTATTCCTGACATGGCCGTTGCCATTCCTGGTATTGTAGCCCTTTACGTGGGCACGGGAGCTTTCGGCATTGGCTGGCTAGCAACCATCTGGGTAAGTTTGACCCCGTAGAGTTCGATGTCGAAAGGAAAAATGCTGACCAACATCTAGCTTATTCCCACGGAGATCTTCCCAACAACTGCCCGCGCTCAAGGCACAGCTGTTAGTGTCGTTGTTTGGGGATTGGCCAACTTCGCAGTCACTCTTCTTACTCCCATCTTGTTCAACAATCTCAATTACTGGCTCTTCCTCGTCTTCGCTTTCTCGAACATGTTCGCGGGTGTCTGGACTTACTTCTACCAGCCTGAGACTGGTGGTCGTAGCTTCGAGGAGAACCAGAAATTCTTCGAGGAAGCCAAGAAGTCTGGTACTTGGAGAGTGGGTGCTGTTCTTGACGGCGAGTTCAAGAAGATGCCTTACCCTAACTCGGAGGATGACGAGAGCGAAAACACACCTTTGTTGAGAAGAGTGAGGGATCAAGTCTCGGCTTGAGTCTAGAACGAAGTATGGTCGCAGGCCCGAAAGTTGATGATTGAATGACGATATGGTGATAGTGTTGATGGATTATGATTGCAAGACGATAAAAATAGTATAGAAGTAGCTACATACAAAATTTATTGGGAGATACAACCTCCCTTTTTATAGAACATTGATACAATCTTCAAATTGCAATTGGATTCATAATTGATAATGTGCTTGTCCTTGCGTGCTGGCCTTTATGTTTCTCGAACTCTGTTTGGCTACACTGAGCACCCTGACCCTCGTACGATCAGTAGTTACCTCCTCGAAATCGTTGTCCCTTTTTGACTGTACCATGCTTTCTCCTAACACGAGGCCTTTAGAACAAGTCTCTGATTCATTGGGGCTAAATCCTTCGGGGAGCGATGTGTACGTTTCTCCAAGAGCTATGGACTATGTTTTCAAACGTTCTGAGCCAAGATCTCTCTAATAAATCGCGAGGTCATGGTAAAACCCTTACTACACAAATGTATTATCCTAAATAGTGTTCAAAACTCTAGACTATTATAGCTTCACGCGCTCCATATCTTTCTAATACAAAAGCTCAAGAAAATTGTCATTTAAGAGGTAAGATGTGCTTGTTGGTCGTCGAGGCTGTCTTTCCTAAATAAGAAAATTGACTGACGTCAGGGCCCTTGGTTTCGATTAGCATTTCCCCCTCGATCCATCTAATGAACGTTCCACCATGAAGCCTTCTGCCCCTCCAACATCTCATTCGTGTCATTTACCATTATGGCGCGTCAACAGGGAGTCGCAAGATCGATTGTTTACGCGATACTCGACAATGATGGAGTTAGGGTTCGCTCTCTTCTTTCACGAGCTCTCGCAGCCATCACATATTTCTTTGCCCTATATCAACTATCTTTGACCAGGCTGAGGAATGATTTGTTCGGAAAATTGCGCGAGCGATGGCAGGTCGACGACGAAGACTACAAGGACAGCTTTGGCAAGAAAGACGCGTTAGAGGCGACAGGTGACATGGGCTTCTCCGGGAGCGTGAGTAGTTTTCATGGACCAAATAGCATCAGGCTAACCATGTGGCAGACCTTCTACACAACCTCTGACGGGTCATATCTTGTCAAAAGTGTCCCCAGAGGGTTCGAACATTCGTTTTTCCGTGACGACTTCCTGGAACCTTACTATGAGCACATGATTAACGACACGAAATCACTTCTCGTCCGCATTACCGATTTTATGGCATGGTCACGGTTTGGCATCGGCGGTTGGCTTGGAACAGCACCAACTCATCACATCGTTATGGAGAACATTCTGATCGGCAAGGAAAAAGACAAGACGTCGAAGTGGGAAACCTGGGATCTCAAACCTACATCTTACTTCTTCCCGGAACGGGATATCGCTGGGGGCATGCTGACCTCTGACGCAACCAAAGACCGCTTAGCAGACAAATTCGAGGATAAGATTGTTCTGACTCAGGCTCAGGCTGACGAGTTCTTTGAGCAGCTTTCCAAAGACACCGGATTGCTCGAACGGTGCAATGCTGTTGACTACTCCCTATTTTTGGTCCGGATCCCGCTTACCAACTCCGACAACTCTTCTGCCCAACAAAGTCAGGAAGAGGCCATAAGACAGTCAGAGCGACCTCCCTTTGTGCCTCCTACCCATTCCTGGCGCTCGGGAGTTCACTCTGCTGATCAGAAGTTCGTATTCCGCGCTGCGCTACTCGACTTCTTCTGGGCAAAACACAAACTCCACGCCAAGATCATGACATGGCTGATCAAAGCATGGAACTTGATTGACCGCCAAGGGCCTATGAGTATTACGACGACTCCAGAGGAATATCGCCAAAGGTTTCTCTCGATGTGTCATGAGATCGTCGAGATCAAGAGATAAGACAGCATGATCAAGTGTGTTGTTACGCGGTTCGCTGCCTACATACGTTCCGAGCTTTAGACAATTTAGCTCCTGTATAAGCAGCGTAATACTCGGGCCGTAGAGCTGTAGACGGTGTCACCGGCATCTCTTAAACGGCTCAATGCAATAGACACAAGGTTGCCCTAAGTCGAGGAGGATCGTTCTGGTCATCAAGCTTTCGTAGCCCCAATGGTGATAACCATCAATGCAATGTTTGTGTAGACAGGTTGGTTCCACCCCGCCATTAGCCTCGGATGAAGGCAACGCGTCTACAAAGCATATGAAGAATAAGGTGGGTCGGTTTCATACTGATGTTTGACCATCCTTCCCGTGTGCAGGGTACTGTTACACCGTTTCTTCACAATGATTAAAGTAGGGCAATAACAAGCTGTAGAAAGGCACAGTAATATCTCATCTCGATACATAAACCTAGTGCAGGGAGTCGTTGACACGAAATATCTCGATGACAGCGCTCTAATTTAGGAAAGTATCGTGCCTTGAAGCAGCTACAAGTGTGACAGTACTTCGCACACGGGGAGGATGGTTATCAGGTTCTTATTGTGGTCGGCATGTTCCAACTCAGGGTCTGGAGATGATCGACCGGAGTAGACCAAAATACCCTTACCTCCACAATCTTCATCGTGTTCATACGAGACTAGGCAACCAAGAGTCTGGTCACTTACGATGCACTGAAATGTTTCATCAGTCTTCCAGAGTACATATGCACCAAAAATTGACAGCGAAGGCATGGACAGAGTGCACCAAAGCGGCTACATGCATTTGAGTTGTGGTGGAAACCACATCTGAGGGCAACCAACACGCGGGACACGCGCTTCACACGTTCCTGGATAAAGCGTCGTCGACGCGCATTGCTCGTGGCGACCCATAGCCGCCGACACTGATGTCCCCGAAATAGCTGCAGCTCAAACAAACTGCAGCCCTTGCATACACAGCTGAGTGCGGGCGAGGATTTGAATTCTTCTTCACCACACTGTACTCAGAATGGACAATCTGGGGCTCTATTGCATACTGGAGGCTTGCGTTCCGGGTTTTGGGTGAGCGCTGTGCATCGGCATCTTGCATGGATGCTGCAGGCGGAACGCCGAGTGTTCCTTCCAGGGTCGCAAAGCTGTTTCCCAACTCTAACGACGAGATGACTGACGATTGTCAACAACACCAAATGTACGTATGGGGAATGACTACGTCTGGATCGTGGAATGGTAAAAACGTCATATTGGTACCATGACAGGCATATTGTAAGCGAGAACAAAAAAAAAGCGTCGCAGTGGACGGCTATGGATCCACTATCGCTCGTTAGCTAGCTGCATCGCACGCGGAGCTGAAGCGCCATCGGGATCCTGTTCTTTGGGTCATATGTACCAATCTGATTCGTTTAACCTTCATCAGGCATGAGGACATATCTCAGTGGTGGTGGTCATCCAGCGGTCAAGCAGCGGTATAAGCAGAAGGACATCAAACAAGACCATTTAACTCTGCTAGCCGGAACCTAACATTGGAAGGCGCTTTGTTTCCTCTAGATCCTACTCAAGCATCCAACTAGACCACTTCTAGGTAACAGTCTTGGGCCGAGCTTGTACACATCTTACCGGAGCTGCAACCCCTCAGATATGGACCGCGCTTTGCACGGCCACCTTGTGCACCTTCAATGCATGCAGGGACGGCGGCTTCGACATGCCAGATAATAGGCCCCCTCAGCGCGGAGACGGAGCTGTCCAAGAGCTCCTCAGTTCTGAGAGCATGGCGAGATGGCATATAAACTTCCTCATCCCACTCATTTGTAGCTCCGTCCTCTTAAGTTACACCATAAACAGTTTCGCATTTTCAAGCTCCCAAAATATCTTCCAGTCAAGTACTTCGCTCGGATCTCCCTCATAGCCCCACCTCGTACCAGATGGCCGCTGTAGATGTCCAACAGCCTGTTCAACCAGAATCGGCGCCTTCAATCCCTGACTATCTCGCCGATCCAGATGCTGTGCTCAAAGACGTCGAGTCTGAATGGCGATACGGAAGGGCACCAGACTATTCCAAGACGCGAAAGGTGTACGCAGAGAGTATGTATTGGTCCCTTTTCATTGTCCTTGGTTCACACGTCTTTGCCACGTACTACCCACCTGTCACCAGCAAGGCTCCCTGAAGATGTTTAGCTCGCAGATCCGAGCTACTCCACAACGGGAGCCCTCCACACGTCGGCATTTGTGATGCTGTCATGACTCAGACTCGTGCCCTGAAGACGAGTTTAGTCCTGCAGACATGTTCCCCACTTGTACAACATCTCATACCATGTAGGCTACAAGGCTAACGATACCAAAGCTAAACAGATGAACCATGTCGCTGGCAGTCTTGAATCAATGGTAGAGAACCTTGTCAAGAACTGGGAAGTCGAGGCATCTTTCAAGCCTGTGCTCTCGGATTGGCGAACAGTCGACCACAGCAAGTACACATTCGCCATCAATGGAGGCCCACCTCAGACAGCCGAGCACATGCTAAAGGTCGGAACATACAATGCCATCATCGCGCCCAACGAGTATTACAGCCCAAACTTCTCGGACTTTGCGAGCAGTCACAAGACTTTCAAACGCATGATGCCGACCTTCGCATGGGAAGTACTCGAGGTCTACAGCGGACCTCCGAAGGTCGCCTTCAAGTGGAGGCATTGGGGAACCATGAAGAATGATTATGTCGGGTTCAATGAGTGAGTTTGCAATGTTGTCTCGATGATGATGTGTGTGATAATAGGCTGACACTGGACAGCAAAGGAGAGAAGGTGACCGCCAAAGCCCATGAAGGGGCCATCGACATCACTGGTATCACGATCGCGACGGTCGATGAGGCCGTCCGGTTGCAAGAAGTCAGCACTTACTTCGATCCGATCGAGATGTTCCGCCAGATCGCACCAAACGGCATCGTCAACAAACAAATTATTGACAAGAGGACTGATCCGTCTACTGCCCTCGATGCCGATGTCCCATCGCAGGATGGCTTGAAGCTCGCTCAAGCACATAGCTCGGATCACGCAGATGAGAGCAGCCCTGATAGCGCTGCTGCCACCTCGAGTATCAAAAAGGAGAGCTCTTCGAACAATGATACGTGCCCAGTGTCCGGTGCAAGCATGAGCGCTGCCTTGTCTGCAGGCTATCCGGTAATGAGTTCCATGCGCCGAGGAGATGCGAGCCCTGTGATATCCAGTCCTGATGGCGAGTGGGTCAAAGTGCCTACCAACGAAGGAGCCGTCCCTCGCTCAGCATACTCGTCGTCAGTGACGGGAGATGTGGAGAATCGTATGTCGGACGACAACAAGATCGACTACGACGACAAGGCAGGTGCACACGACCACGTTGACGAGCACCTCGAGAGCTCAGCCGCGCGAGTACATCCCCATCCACACACCATGGAGCAAGTGGTCAAACCAGTGGTTGGAGATGCGGTCGTGTCGGGGCCTGAATCCGAAGAGACTAAGTTGACACACCGTGAGATGAGCAGCATCACCAAGGATGAGGAGCCGCTGTTGATGAACAGAGAGTGATCTTCATTGAGCTCGATTGCGGCGTGTGCTCGCTTGGAGGAAGCTGGTTTGTGGATTATTTTCGGATCTTGTTTTCTGTTAGATGTTCGGGATTTACAGTCAGTTGCAAATGCACAAGTCCATACCGTTAGTTCATCCTATGTTGTTATTGGTAGCATTTCAAGTCTTTTTGTCGACAACATCAAGTGCTGATCGAGACGTTTGACCGTCATCATGATACCACATCGAATTCAATAGCAGATCCATACTTGAGGAGGAGAGCGGCTATGAGTAGCCATGGTCGCTCTGTTGCTGCGGTGGTCTGAATGCTGTAGCCAGGGTTCTTCGAACGAGCGCTTTTATTGGGGGTTATGCCCCGTTGGAAGCAGGCGCGATCGGTGCGTTTGTCAGTACCAACTACCTTGGAATCATCAAGATCAATTTATTTCACAACAAGATGGAGCAAGCAAGGCAAGCGCTGGTGCTTGTTGCACGCGCACGATGTTGACGCGAGATTCTTGGGCGATATGTCTCGTCAACTCGGCCAATCATTTGCAATGCTCCTACTCCGTAGAAGAACACAACGGGGCGTGTGTATACCGTCTTGTCCTCAGTGCGAAACCGGATCAGAGCGTTCGTGGGCTGGAATACCAGAACGCAACGGCTCAGTGAGGTCATCCGGTCTAGGCCCAAACCTTGTTTCTCCTTCACGTGCTCGGCGCGCAACAGCTTTCTCCCTCGCATCCAAACATCATGGAGAAACCGTGACACCGCTGCTTTCCCCAATCAATCTGGCTCTGGTAATCTGGCTCTGGAATAGTGTAATGGTGTAGGAGCGGTTCCTCTCATACCAATCTGTAACCTGGCCCTGGAAGATGCCGACTTTCGGCTGGCAGGATAATGCATCCCCACATGCACAATTCATCCGCAGCGTGGATTGGAGCGCAACCGCAATCGGTGCGCCGGAAACATGGCCACAACAACTCCATCAGATGATAGATCTGATCATGCTGGATCCAACGCCGAGTGCCATCATGTGGGGTGATTCTCTCACTATGGTATACAACGACGGATTCGTCGAATTTGCTGGCGAGAAGCACCCGAAGCTTATGGGAGGAACTCCGATGGTGTCATATGCAGAGGTCTGGGAAGCTCAATTCGCTCCAATCATCGAGCTGGGTAGACAGAAGGGCAAGGCTACCCGCCACAAGGATGTACCTCTTTTTCTGAAACGTTACGGATACCTAGAGTATGTGTATATTCGTATAGGATGACGGAAGCAAGCTGATCAAGACTAGGGAAGTTTTCGTGGACTACACTTTCATACCTCTGACGGGTAACAACAAAGACGTGGTAGGGTTCTATCACACAGCAGTCGAGACGACCGATCAGAATTTGTCCAGACGAAGGACTCAGACATTGATTGATATAGGAAACCATGCTGGAGTTGCACGAGACATGAGGCAATATTGGGATGCGGTGCTGAAAGGATTTGAAGGCAACATTTGGGACATTCCGTATGCCATCGCTTACGAATTTCACAACGACAGAGATGGAGACGGGTCCTCCACCAACGGTTCACGTCGTTCGGACTCCCGATCTCGATCGCATCGCTCGGGTTCGTTCTCGGAGTCTGTTTCGTCTTCGGGTCGCATCACTATTCCTCGGGCATGTAGCTTGGCCGGAGTCATTGGAAGATCGATGGTCCAAGTTCCTCTAGGACTCGATGTCGAACTTGACGAGGACGGCTTCCATCAAATTGTGAAGAAGGCAATAAGTTCCGGAGAGCCTGTGCGCCTCGAGATCGCACACGAGAAAACACCTGATTGGCTCAGATCAGACGATCCGGGAAGAGCTTTCGAGGAGCGTATCAAACACGCTGTCGTGATGCCAATCCGACCAACCACTAGAAACGACAGCGAGGGATTGAACGCGATTGGATTTGTAGTGATGGGCCTCAACCCTCGCCGCGCGTACGATGACGATTACCAACGCTATACACGTCTCTGGAGCCAGCAGTTAGCTACTTCAGCTGCATCGGTGGTGCTTCTGGAACAAGAAACTAAACGACAAATGCAGCTCAAAGAGCAGCTCACTATCAACGAAACTCGATTCAGCCGCTTTACCGAGATGTCTAACGTAGCCATGTGGATTGTTGATCCTTCTGGTAACCTGGTCTATGGAAATCAATCTTGGCATGAGCAGATGGACGTTAGGGAGGGAAGATCTGCAGAACCGGGTCAGCCTGCTTGGGTCGGGAGCGTGACCGAAGACTCTAGGCCAACGCTGGCTAACGCTTGGAGACTTCTGACCGAAGAACAGACCGCAACGAATATCGAGATTCGACTAAATCCCACAAGAACCACAAATCAGAGCCGATGGGTCCTCTCGTCTGCTTTTCCGGAATTGGCGGAAGATGGATCTCTCAAGGCAATATGGGGTTGCAATACTGATATCTCACATCAGAAACTGGCCGAAGATCTTAAAGAGCAAAGACTGCTGGATGTTCTCGAAGCGAAGCGTCAGAGCGAGTCCTTCATCGACACTGTATCTCACGAAATGAGGAACCCGCTGTCTGCGATTCTTCAGTGTGCTGATGGTGTCAATACTTCTATCCAGGATTCTCTGCAATCATCTTCTGATGTATCACACACTCAGCTTGACCGCGAAACCATCGACTATATTGTTGAGTCGACGCAGACTATTATTTTGTGTGCGCAGCATCAGAAACGCATCATCAATGTACGTATTGGGGCCACACACCTTGTTATGAGCTCCATCCACTACTCGTGAAGAACATCTTGCTAATAATGTATTGTTATAGGATATTTTGACTCTGAGCAAGCTAGATGCTCGTCTTCTCGAAGTCACACCAACAGAAGTTGATCCCGTCGAAACCGTCAAACACGCCCTCAGACTCTATCAGCAAGAATGTCAGAACGCAGACATCGAAAGTGCAATCCGCGTGGACCACTCATACAACTCCCTGGCTGTCGATCGTGTCTATGTTGACCCATCGAGATTGTTGCAAGTCTTGATCAATCTCCTAGGTACATATTGAGCTGTAAAGTGTCAATGAGAGTATCGGCTAATCATGCTTAGGTAACGCGATCAAGTTTACACAGCATCAAGATCAGAGAAAGGTCACGGTCACCATCAGCGCATCAGTCCAAAGTCCGGCTATGCAAAGCGATGGAGAACAGTACTTCTTCCCCAGGGCCGCAAAGAAAGAGCCAGTCCTCGGTCCTGAGTGGGGAACTGGCGAAGAGCTGTTTTTACACTTTTCGGTCAATGACACAGGTGTTGGTCTGACAAATTCGGAAATGAAGAACTTGTTCCTACGCTTCTCACAGGCATCACCCAAGACTCACGTCACCTACGGCGGTAGCGGTTTGGGTTTGTTCATCTGCAAAGAACTTGCCGAATTACAAGGGGGCCGGATTGGAGTCTCGTCCGTACCTGGCAAAGGAAGCGACTTTAAGTTCTACGTCAAGGCCCGCCGATCTACAACACCTCACACGCGAGAAAAGTTCGAATTCGCAGAACTACCTGCTGCGAGAACACCACGACAAAGCAAATCTCAGTCTCCTCACAAGGGTCAAAAATCTCCCGACGAGAAGACTGAATTACGGGTCACACATCCCAACTATATTGCTCCATTGAATAGGAGTCACTCGGCATCTCAAAATCCGGTCGTCGGATCTCCAGCTGATGCCAACACTTTGCATGTTCTAGTCGTGGAAGATAACCTCATCAACCAGAAGTTTGTTCACCCTGAGGCATCGAGAAGGGCAGTCCGTTTGCTAACGCTTTCTAGGGTGATGGCTCAACAGCTCAAAAAAGCAAAGTGTGAGGTCCATGTCGCAAACCATGGTGCGGATGCACTGTTGTTCTTGGAGAAGACCACCTTTGCGAAGGGTTGCGGGCCGTTCGCAACTCCATTATCGATTATTCTAATGGATCTAGAAATGCCTGGTCAGTTGAGCTTCTATTGTTCATATGTGTTCCCATGCTAAATCATCGACAGTGATGGATGGATTGACGTGCATACGAAAAATAAGAGAGTGGCAAAAACAAGGCAAGCTCACAAGGCCAGTGCCAGTAATCGCAGTAAGTTGATCTGAGAAATCTAATGTCTGTTCTGACTAACGTTGCCGACAGGTCACAGCCAATGCACGCCAGGAGCAGATTACAATGGCGCAAGAAGCAGGAATGGTAAGACACGGTGCCTGTCAACCACGGCCGAAGGTCAAGTGCTAATGAATGTAATAGGATGATGTCGTCACTAAGCCGTTCAAGATCTCCGAGCTGACACCCAAGATGCATACACTGATAGAGAAGATTTCTACTTGATTGCTTTCCCACTTTGCATATGCCAAGGTCTGGCTCGTGTCAATGCATACACCGGCGTTTGGCGTCACATACATTTACATCGCATCAATTTAGCCCAGCGATTTTCAGCAAGACATAGCTGTTGCAGCCATCTTTCCCTGCTACTGCAGAAGATGCATTGAGCCTCTGCTCTGGATATAGACATCGCGATGCTATCAGGAATTCACCCAGACACAAGCTTCGGTCTTGACGACCATTTCGAGAAAGCGCAACGCATCGATCGTGACTGCGAGAATGGTGTGCCGTGTTGGACGCAAGCACGCGGCATGATGGCCGAAGACACGTTCGGACCTGCCTATTAAAGGTTATCGATAGATAAAATAGGTCATTGGAAGAAACAACGACGCAGGTATAGCCGGACAGCCTAAAATCTAATTTCAGCCAACCCCCCAATTCACCTCACCCCGCATCTTGACATGATGGGTAACATACAAATCTTCACTCGAGTATATATCAAGTGCTTACTAGATTTCTTGAATTGCGCTTTCTAGCCCGCATATCGTGCACTCAAGACTTGACCATGATAGCAACCACACCAGAATATCGATTGACCGAGGAGCAGAAACAACACTTCCTCGACCACGGCTTTATAAAGCTAGAGGACTGCTTCTCCCTACAAGATGAACAGTGCAAGAAGTTGATGGATCGTGTCTGGGAACGATTAGACATGGATCCTCATAAAAAGGAAACCTGGAACCCATGGCGAGGCATGATAATTACTCCGTGCTTTTACTCCAGATGATATGACTGACGATATAATTCTACAGTGCATCTTCCTCGCTATCATGAAGCCGTGCCCATGCGAGACTTTTGTCCCAAAGCATGGTCAGCAATCATCGAACTCTGTGGTGGCGAAGACCGTATCGATACCGGTGAGACGGAAACACCTGACATGAATGACAAGCGAGAAATCTCTCAATCAGTGATAAATGACGGCTTCATCGTAAACGTCGGCAATGCCTCCGACGCCATAAAATGGCAAGAAGCCTCAAACAATGGCACTCCTTCAGGTCCAGACAACCTGACTCCTGCACAACAAAATTTACTCGATCCACATGATAGAGATAATTGGCATGTAGATGGCGACTTCTTCCACCATTTCTTGGATAGCAAGGAGCAGGCTTTACTTCCCATTGTATTATTCGGAGATATCAGGATTGGTGGGGGAGGTACGATGATATGTCCCGATGCCATAGCCACGATGGCTGAACATCTGTACTCGCACCCAGAGGGAGTGATGCCAGACATGACGCCTATTGAAGGACGCACCAAGCCCTACAAAGATTTCGAACATGGGTTTTTCGACGAAGCTGTGAAGCCTGTTGCAAAAGAAAAGTTCTTGACTGCGACGGGAAAGGCTGGGGATATCTATTTGCTTCATCCTTTGATGGTGCATTCTGCTGCGCCTAACTATTTGAGAGGTTTGTTTGATCATGTTCTGGTGGCCGAAACATTATCGATTGACTCTTCTGAGCAGAACCAAGATTCATAACCAATCCACCAGTGGCATTGAAAGAGCCTTTTAAATTTGACAGACAAGACAGGAGCGAATGCAGTCTGGTTGAGCAGAAGACACTGAATGCATTAGGGCGTCCAGAAGGGTTGACGGGATGGAAGGTCACAACAGAGAGGAAGCTTATCGTACCTGAAAGAGTCAAGCAGCAGGCTACGATGAAGAAACTCTAGCCTACGAATTTACCATGTACAATCAAAATGTGTTGTAGTGAACATGGTCCACTCTCGTAGACAAACGATGATTTGCCAGCTAGTAAGGTGCTCAACGCTTAACCCCAAAGCACCCACACGCACAATACTGATCATGAAACTTCATGTGCTGCCTCACGAACCATCCAGTAAAGCAACTCTTCTTACAAGGCCTCTGTGGTCCAAAATCTGCTCTACAGACAACCTCTCCCTCATCAGCTTCTCCTTTCCTCCATACACTTCCCGTCCCTCTCTTTCTGTTGTCCAGATATGCAAAGTCGCAATCGCAGCCATGTAGCTTGCGATGACTTGCTAGGGCTCTAGTGGCATTCTCGCAATTATCACGAATGTAGGTAATGGGATCTGCATCTGACTTGGAAAAGTCGTTGTTGGCGATGCGGCGACGCTTTTTCCTGTTGCTTGTGCTGGGAGGGAGGAGGGAGAGCGGTTGCATGTTGCAAACGAAAGATATAGATGGTCGTGTTGGATCTGACGCTATCCCATGTTCGATGCTCGGTTCCATGATACTATCAGATGTAGGGCGTATAAGGAAGTAGTAGTCGGATCTGCAACGACGATCGTTGGTAGGATGTCTGAGGAGTGTGCATTGGCGAGTCGGAGGATGCCAGTTCTCTGGCTCTGGAGAAGTGGCACCGGAACTGTAGCCAGAGTCACCTGGAGTGTGATCGTCCAAGAGCTTGGTTGTGCAACCATAAGGAGGTGGCATCTCGAGTGCTCTTTGCCGTTTATTGGAGTTCGCGCTCCTATAGTTCCTAGGCAGGGTGGCATAATGTGGGTGAGGTGGTGGACTACGAGTGTCGTAGAATGTCATGTTCGAGTAGATATCGTCGTTAAACGACTCTGCATTGGAGTAGTTCCATGAGGTGGACCGAGTGCTGAGTTGGCCGGGACGCTTTGACGTAGACATTTGCTTATGATTTCCTGCTGTCTGATTCAGATGAGTGGAAGAAAGCGTGTGATTTTCAGGATAGACATTGGAAGTCGGTGTTTAAATGAGTTCTGGCAGGCACGATTGATGGTGGCATCGTCATCTATGAGATATGTCATAGTTTGATGTTTCTAGAGCTTCAGCATTGCCGGGCACACTGCTGCTCAATGCACCTGTCAGGCGCGATCATCTGCCAGGGTTCAAAGTCTTGGGTGCCAAACATTAATCAATCTGTTGTTCGGTCGTTGCTATGCATTTGATTGACAAGATTCACGTGCTGCCCAATGCCAGGGTGATGTTTGGGAAGTGACGCCCAGGCACCCGGGCCAGTTTGTGGCAAGAGCGCTGGCGCCCTGAAGCCATTGTGCCCATCACCCTCGCAACACATCAACATCAAAACATGGTCTTTGCGAAAGCGTGCATCGCGATGCGTAGTGTCAGATCGGAATTCCTTTCACTCATTGCCGTGTTTCAGATTGCAGGAAGAACGCCCTCTTTTGAGATTTTAGCGGTGTGTACTGTAGTCGTCGGGTGCCATGTTCTATGCATGAAATCTATCGTAGGGTATCTAGTCATCTATCAGTCGGGCTGCACCGCATATTGTGGATCACCAATTCTTTCCCAACAGTTGTTCACCGACTTCGGATGCAATCTTCTCAAGGTCTTTGAAGTGCTTCAATCTCAGAATGGAAGACTTTGCATCCAATGCACTGCATAGATCGTGCAGCTCTCCACCTTGTGGGGCACAGTAGATCAGATAGGCAAACGCGAACGTTGCTGTCTTGAGCATATCTGTGCCTGTGGCGTCCTTCTTATCAACCCTGCTGTCGAGCTCGGTGGTTATCATCTCTAGCAGGCTAGCAGCAAGCTCAACCTGCGAAGCCTCCTCCATAGCCTCGCGGCTCTCTTCCCTACGCAGTCTGTAAACAGTGGCTGCGATGTTGAACGCCAGCGAAGAAGCAGCGGCACGAACGGCAGGCTTGTCAGGTTCGGCCAGTAAGCTTGAAGTTGCTACCTGCACAAGCATTGCAGGTAAGCCGCTGCTGTGCGCGCTGCTGAACGCTGACTTTGTGAACAGATCTGATGTGAACAAGTTGCAGGCCAATTGGATCGTGACGAGCCTCAAGTTGTAAGGACATGTGTCATCATTGATCAGATTCAGAACGTGATTGATCAAGGACGTGAGTGTCTCCGGGTCTCTAGGAGTAGACTCTTCAGTGAACCATCCGCTTACTCGCTGATCAACAAGCGCACAACGCAGTACATCATACGCTGTGAATAGAGAGTCTGATGCTAGCTGGCTGGGCGTCTGACGTAGCCAGCGGGTAAAGGCAGGAAGATCCGGTAGAGTGGGAAGATCTGACGCACTCGAAGAGCGAGCTGAGATGAAGTTCTTCATTGCGATCACAGCCGGGTCCTTTGCCTGATCACCCATCTTGGCCAAAACTTTGTCTAATGGCGGGATCTTTGAGTAGGTCACGGGACTGAGCCTTCCGAATTGGAGGGTCGGTACACGGACCTGGAAATGAGGGTGGGGAGGGAAGGCCTGTTGGAGAAGGGATTCGACGTTCGCCTTCAATTGCGCGGGATTGGCACCACTCCACTCGTTGTCCTTTTTGCCATGTAAGAAGGTCATGAAAGTTGGTGTCGCACGAATTTGGTACTTAGACGCAAGTGCCTGAGCCTCGTTGATATCAACCTTGATAAAGGGAATATTGGTGTGCTCAGCTGCAAGGGAGTCGTACGTAGGGTATGCCATCTTGCAGGGACCGCAAGTACTCGACGTGAAGAAAATCACAGCACACTTGTCCTGCGCTCCTGCAAGTAGATTGTCGACTGACGAAGGCTGTGTCACATTGTATACCGAGCCGTGTACACTGTCGGCCTTCGCTGCAGCAGCGTCACGTACTTCGAGTTTCTTGGGGTGCTTTTTAGGTGTAGTCTGTGCATCACCATTCGTTTGATCAGCACTTCCGGCGCTACGAACTTCGAGCTTCTTAGGCTTCTTCTTGGGCGGAGTTTGATCTGGTCCATTTTGATGCGTTGCTGTAGGAGAGGAGGCGGAGCTAGAAGCAGAGATACCATTCTGAGTTGAACGGTTGGCCTCCTCTCTCTGTTGCTTACGCTCCCTCTGGATCATAGGATTATTTTCCGGAGGCACAGCAGCCTGAGTGATGTGTCTCATCTCTGCGTCGAGACGTTGCTTCATCATCGATCCGAAAGGAGTATTGAGCACGGTTTCGGGCAAGGCGGTAATGTGGTCCGGAATTCCCCTGCCAACCAGGAACATCGAAAAGTCGTTTGAAAAGTTGTTGCAATTGTGCTTGAATAAGTCATATGACTCAGCAGTATACGTCTCTTTCAACGAATCAAGGTATTCCAGAATATCGTCCAAAGGGATTTCCGTCTTGCCTAGATTGATCTTCTCCATAGGTTGACCATGGTGAGTAGAGCCGGGATAGCAAGTCTGCACGCCGGCGCCATAGAAGTACTCGACACCTCCAAAGACTAGAGAAGTGTGGTAGACAGCATCAATGTGAATACCGAGCAGACTTTGCGACATCATCCTCGCAAGTCCTTGACTCAAGTCGTAGACATATAGTTGAACATCCATAATGGAACACAGTCGAGTCGAGTGAACGCGTGTATGTAAAAGTGATGCTAGTATGACAAGTTTTTCGTGTAGTGGGAACAGTTCAGTTTGGTGACAATATCAACTTCGAATTGAACGAGGGCAAGTGAGTGTTTTGTAAAACAGAGTCATGGAAAATGCTGGATGTTATTGGAATTTCTAGGATGCCAGGCTTAGCCAGCAGTGGCGGCGTCATCAGACTCGGGCGGGTCTGGTCCGTGTCACCAAGCAGGAGAACACCTTGGTGATGCAAGCATAGATATCATCATAAGCCATCTTGCAATACCATGGCTTGATCATGTCACATCTTTCATCAAAAGTCGCTGCCCAGATACCGAACGCAGATACTACATATGCGGGCAAGGAGGTCTCGAGTTGAGAGGAATTTGCAAACACCTCCGAGATGTGATATATCCGGGGATACCTATGTATTGGAATGACTCCTGCTCGTACCTGATACATGCGCATGAAGATACAGGTTACAGCATGTCTGGCACCTAACGGAGGAAGGGGCTCTCAGTAGCCAACGACTCCGACTGATCTGGTGGCGGATCATGCGAAGAGTGTTGAACTTGGCGGCGACGCCAGAAGGATAGGGGTCTCAGCCTTGCAAGGTCGACGAGAAGTGGGAAAGGGGGAGGCAGAATTCACCTAGGAAGGGAGGAGAATCTATCTTTTGGCTTCTCCGGGTTCAGAAGGCGGCCATCTTGTCTCGTCAAGCTCATCCAAAGCATCAAGGCGGTGCTGCAAGGTGCAAAGTGTTTACTCTTTCCTCACCTCCAGAACTAGTCGTATATCTGGCCAGAAACAGTTGGCACTCCCCACAAAAAAACATCAGCGCGTGTACTTGACCGGAGTACTTGAGCGAAACTTCCACATGTCGAATAGGGGCGACGTCAAACAACGACCCAGCCTTTGGTCCTATATCAGCTTTTCGTCCACGCCACGGCGACGCAAGTCAGTCTCGTCGCACTCTCGCAACCACAGCCAGTCGATACCCCTGGCTTCGTCAAACTACGACCCTTTTGCGCCTACGACAAAATCTAGTTCAATGCAGGAGAAGGCCGGCTGGATGAATCAAGGTCAGCGCATGCGGTATATCAAGACGGGTGGCATTGTTGCCTTCGTCTTGTTCGTACTATACTACATGCTGCCCGGCTCGTCAGGGTCAACAGCAAAGTTCCCGACGGGCGATGTTGCCTCAGATCCTTCAATGGGCACGGCGAAATGCACAAAGTCCTACTCGTCCAGCAAGCCGCTGATCCAATACGCTCTCATGGTTGACGCTGGCAGCACCGGCTCGCGCATCCACGTTTACCGCTTCAACAACTGCGGCCCCACCCCCGAACTCGAGAACGAGGACTTCAAGATGACGGAGAAGAAGGAAGGCGGTTCCGGACTGAGCTCCTACGACTCGGACGCCGAAGGTGCTGCAAAGAGCTTGGATGTGCTGCTACAAGTTGCCATGGACAAGGTCCCTGAGAAGCTGAAGGGCTGCACTCCCATCGCCGTCAAGGCTACGGCTGGTCTGCGCAAGCTGGGTCCTGAGAAGAGCGATGCCATCCTCAAGGCTGTGCGCAACCGTCTCGAGACAGTGTACCCATTCCCCGTTGTCAGCGAGAAGAACGGTGGTGTCGAAGTCATGGACGGCAAGGACGAAGGTGTTTACGCTTGGATTACGACAAACTACCTGTTGGGCAAGATCGGCGGTCCTGACAAGACTCCCACAGCTGCTGTCTTCGATCTTGGTGGTGGTAGCACTCAGATCGTTTTCGAGCCCACCTTCGCTCAGGCCAAGGATGGCGGTATGCCCGAGCAACTCCAAGAGGGTGACCACAAGTACAAGCTCTCCTTTGGTGGTCGTGATTTCACTCTGTACCAGCACTCGTACTTGGGCTACGGTCTCATGGCCGCCCGCGAGAATCTGCACAAGGTTGTCATCGACAACATGCACAAGGCAAACCCTGACTCTACCGCCTGGCTGAGCAAGCCTGTCCTCAACCCCTGCTTGATCCCTGGCACTTCGCGTGAAGTCAAGGTTCCCCTCGGCAAAGGTCACGCTCTCGGCGAATCCGTCACTGTCAACATGACTGGTCCTACCACTGGCTCTGCCCCTCAATGCCGCGCCATTGCCGAGCAAACTCTCAAGAAGGAGGAGGAGTGCAAGATCTCCCCTTGCGCATTCAACGGTGTCCACCAGCCATCTCTTTCCAAGACATTCTCCCGCGAGGACGTGTACCTTTTCAGTTACTTCTACGATCGTGCTCAGCCTCTTGGTATGCCCGAATCATTCACTCTTTCCGAGCTCAAGGATTTGACTGCCCGTGTCTGCGAGGGCCCCAAGGGCGAGTCAAAGGCCTGGGATATCTTCAAGCCAATCGACGGCGCTATAAAGGAGCTTCAAGGCCGTCCTGAGACCTGTCTGGATTTGAACTTTATGGTTGCACTTTTGCACACTGGATATGAGATGCCCATTGATCGTGAGGTCAAGATTGCCAAGAAGATCAAGGGCAACGAGTTGGGCTGGTGTTTGGGTGCCAGGTATGTTTACGTGCCGAGTCTTTGTCAGTTGGTCGATGCTAACGTGTTTCCAGTCTTCCTCTTCTCAGCCAGGAGAGTGGTTGGTCTTGCAAGATCAAGCAGGTTGCATAAACGGGTGGTCATGTTGCATTTTCGGCATGAGGCGTTGCTTTCTCCTTGGGTTCACTGTATGACGACCAAGAAAATGGATAGATTGGCGATTTTACCTAGTCATTTTTCGCTCAGAACTTTTCATGGTTTTGATGCCTTACCTATCACCGTTCAATCAGAATAGGGTTCTCGTTCTACATTGTCTCGTCACTTTCAGGTATGCCATGAACAGTACTGTCGAAGCCTTTGGATGTTTTTATTCCTGGGTATCTGTACTCGTTTCGCGACGTGTATGTTCTACGGGCATGCATATCTATGCGTCACCCTGCTCTTCGATGATCTTCCTGTTCAGATTGATGTCGTGCAAGATGGATTCAGCACCCAAGTCAACAAGCTTCCTTGCAACGTCCCAGCCGAACTCGTCAGCCTCTTCTCTGCTTGTAATGCGTCTCTGCATCTCAGCCTCGACATGTCTCTGACCGTCCAAGCTGACAACAAGCGCGCGCATGATCAGGTTCTCTGTGAACTCTGAGCCGCTGTCTTCATTTTCATCCTCGTCCTGACCAGTGCGGCCAGTCGCGGCAATGCCGCTGAGTTTGTTGTACTCTGCTGCAGGCTTTGCGCCGACACCGACACCAGTGCCGACAGTGGTGCCCAGAGAAGCCTTCTTGCGCACCCACTCGGTCTCGACACCAATTGGTACACTGCAGCCGCCCTCGAGGGTGCGCATCAGACTGCGCTCGGCAAGACAGGCGCGGGTGGTCCACTCACAGCCGACAGCTGAGAGCAACTTCTTGATATCCTCGTCGTCGGAGCGGATCTCAATTCCGAGGGCTCCTTGGCCTACTGCGTGCAGAATGCCGCCTGATGCGCTATCGAGGTAGCTGGTGATGCGCTCAGACATGCCGAGACGAGAGAGGCCAGCGGCGGCCAGGATGAGAGCGGTATATTCGCCCTCGGGGTTGTCGAGTTTGGCAAGACGGGTACCGACGTTACCGCGGACGTCGGCGAACTTCAAGGCTGGGTATAGGCGCTTGAGCTGGGCGGAGCGGCGGACGGACGAGGTGCCAATGACGGAGCCCTCGGGCAATTGGGAGAGAGACTTGTAGGGAAGGGTGGGCTTGACGACGAGCGCGTCACGAGCGTTCTCGCGAGGGAAGATGCAGCCGATGCTCATGGATGGAGGGAGTTGAGTGGGCATGTCTGTGTGCTGTCAGCGCCGAGTGCTCTTGCATGACAGAGCGAGGTAGCTTGGAGCTGCGTACCCTTCAAGCTGTGGACAATGAGATCCAGGTCGCCCTTCTCGAGCAAAGCCTCGAGCTCGTGGGTCCACAGCGCCTTTGCATTGAACTCGTGCAGTGCGGTGGTCTGGTTGTTGTCGCCCATGGTGCTCATGGCGTGGATCTCATACTTGCGATCCGGCCATGCCTTGCGCAGTTCCTTGCACACAATGTCAGTCTGAACTCTGGCGAGGACAGACTTGCGCGTGCCAATCTTGACCGGGCCTTGTGTCGATGTCGTTGCCTCGCTTGCCATTTCGTGTGTTTGATGCACTGTCTTCGAGTCTTGCGCGACACACGATTCAATCGGCGAATTCAGTGACGTGCAGGCCCCACATGCTTGGATGTTGGCCCATTCACGAAACACAAGCCTTGCCGAGGCTCGTCCCTGGAGACCATCAACTTCACCATCTTGTCGAACTCCTCGATTCTTGCTACGTGATCATCAGGCTGAACACAATTCCCTCGTTCCAGACTTCGAACATCCCACGCCGACTCAGACTTGTTGTGGCTATGTCGTGCCCAGTACAATCTCGGCTTCCTCCTTGATCCGTGACAACCGCTTTTTGGCCCCAGATCCTTCCTTCTGAATTGCCGCGGACAAGTAGCTTCTGCCATGATTGTGTTTGCATCCTCTCCGGGAATAACGTCCACAAAAAGCGACGTTTCGCCGTAGTCGCTGCCTGATGAATTGATCATCTTTTGGTACCAAAGATATCGCTCAGCCTTATAGGTCAAGGCACCGACAGCGTTTAAAGGATTTCGGTCCCATTGTCTAGCCTCAATTTTATCACTAGCAATCCGGCTTGGCCTAACACATCTTAATCGTCCTCCAAACACATCATCTCATCAACGTATAAAGGTCCAATTCGCCCTGATACTTTCAGTCACGTTTTCGTCGCGGCTTGGACTTTCCAAGCGTTCTTCATTTAAAGCCCCCTTCGATATCTGATCGACAGAACATATATCCCTTGATATCTCGGTCGATATGGACGGCGTCAATGTTAACGCCAGAGATCAATGGGCTCTGCTGGCTCTGGCAAACGAAGCAATGCAGTTTTCAGTCAACTCCACTGCCGACGGCACCAAGAAGGATAGCAATGGCGTCGATTGGCTCATGGTTGTCAAGGGTCTCTTGCCAATGATCACCCTTGCTCTTGGATTTGGAGGCAGAACTCTGGTAAGCATTCGTGACTACGCCGATGTATTGGTCGAAACAACGCGGACGCTAACATGATCACAGATGGATCATTTCTTCCTTGTCATGACCACGCTCGCTGAAGTCGAGGCGCCCATCGCCGGCGGCGTCGACTCGGCCGATTCTGGATCTGAGAAGTATGGTCTGCTCGAAGGATCCAACTACAAGGACAAGGCTCGTCCGTCCGTCTCAGTAGGACCTCGATACGTGACCTCTAGTCTTCGTGCTACCATACGCCATCTCAATGCCGAAGCAGGCGACCTAAGCATGTTCAGAGGTATTGGCGCCAAAGCCTTCATCTACATCCTTATGGTACCGGTAGCTTTCGTGAGCGAATTCGTCGCTGGCTATCTACCCTACGTCAAGAGTGGGCATATCTCGGGCTCTATTGCAGAGCTCATCGCTGCACTCATTGCATGCCAGCTCTGGGCGGGCCTCATGCACATCATCATCTCGAAGCCGCGCAACAAATTCTGGTTCCGCCGCCTACCACTATCATTTATCGGAGTCTTGCGTCACGCTTGGTTTGCCATCATTGTCAACAATCTGTCTGACGACCTTCTCGAATGGGCCATTCGTTACTTCACAAGCTTCAGCAAGTCAAAGGTTCCCAAGGTTGAACATGTAGAACTGGATAATACCAAGCCGTTTCAGCTGAGTCAGGGACCTATAGTGGAGATCAGCATCGCTATCGTCTTATGGATGTTTGCCAAATCTCTGCTACGCTCGCAGATCAAGCCTTTGATCAAAATAGCAGTCCTGAAGCCTGTGCAGGCAATCGAAGGCCGCGTTATGTCGTCTATGCTCAGAGATGACGAAGACCCAGTCGTTCCGATGGACCGTAGCTTCCAAGGACGCCCACAATCAGGCGGTATTCTTCAACAGCAACCAGAACCTCTGGACTTCACAGCCGCCGCTCGTACCATTGACAAAGAGACATATTTGCGTCTAGTCAAGCTAGAAGTCAAGATGCACTTCATCAGTCAGTTCGTGCAGTGGGCCTTTTGGACTTTGATCTTCGCCGAGGTTGTCTACTTCATCGGCCCTAGTTCTGTCTGGCTTGTTCTGAAGCTCATCAGCGGTACACCCATCACTCAAGCGGATCTGAATCGCACGACAGGCAATATGGCCAGAGGTCTCTTCGAAAAGGTGATTGCTGCTCCTGGTAACTTCACGGTCACCACGGTCAACACGACCTCTAGTCCTCTCTCGCTCGATCAGTAGATTGTTTTCGAGAATTGATCGCTATGTAATTCATGTCATCTGTTTCTTTCGGAATGAAGAAGGATGTTGGATACAATTGATTGAAGTTGGATAGCTTCGAACCATCAATCCACTCTTTTTTTTTTTTAAATACAGAGTTTCAAACAATCGCCTTCTTTCTTTCTACTTCGTCAAGTGAGCTAGACTGTTCAAACCTAGTCAAGCTTGGTCGAATCTTTTCTTCTTCTACTAGATTCAGACTAAAACTGGCGATGTACTCGACCACAGATCGGCTTGACAGGGTGACACTGATTAAACCTTGTCGGTAGCCAATCAGCTTGTGCTCAAACAGCATGACATGTCAAGACTCAGAAGAGACATTTTACAATGCCCCTGGTAGGCAATCATAAATCCAGGACCGTGTAGACGATTGAAGAACCATGTCAAGAGCTTTTGTAGTGTAGGTACATGTTTTAGATATGAGACATTGTCTAATAAATTCACATCTCGATGCTAGATCCAAATCCACTTTGTGATAAGCCCATCTCCCAAATGGTCGTTCGAATCATGCAAGGAAAAGAGTGATGATTCGCTATGCGGAAGAAGAAAGATATGTTGTCCCCGGTCTTTGAAATTTTCATAAAGCTTTGCAAACGTCGTCCTAAATGTCCAATACTCCTCTTTTTTTTCTCTCCATCGTCATTCAACCGTGCAGTTGTGCTCCGAGCGGTACCCAGCTTCTGCTGACGTCCATGCTTCTGTTGACTCTAGCACCAGGTGTCAAGGGTACGTCGACACGACCACGGCTGCTGCTAGGGTCGTCACTATCTTCATCGTCATCGTATGCGTCAGACAAGCGAGCGAAGTAGTCTGCCAATCCAGATGTGGGACTGGCGATACTGTCGTACTGTGGAGGAGGGGTGATGAGTGGCGGTGGGGGCTCTTCATCTTCAAAGGCTGGGGGGTTGAACGAGGGAGCGCGCAAGAGATGGATAGGTCTGTCGAGATTATGAGGAACTGCACCCGTCAGATGCGCTGCTTGCGGGCGGGTCAGACTGGGTGCTGTGATTGTTGGAGGTATTGTTGTTTCTCTCATGCCGTTCAGGGCGTTGAGTGTGGGCACGTAAGAGGTAGGTGAGTTGCGACGGCGAACTGCGTTGGGGCAGCCGCATTCGTAGAGCGAAGTGCCGGCGGAGGCGGACTCGGGGCTGGTATAGGCGGGTAACGACGTGTTTGCTTGCGTTGCGCGACATGAGAGAATGTGGAAGGGCGAATCGATGGAAATCTCGAAATGTCTACGCTTGCCAGGATTCTCCGTGTCAGGTTTCGAGAGGCGCATCACGATCTGAGTTGTGTTAGTTTGGGATATCCACACTCAACATCGACATGTACGTACCTTGATCCAGTGATGCACCTGGATGTTTTGGTATGTGGTGTCAAAGTGCAACCTGGTCGCTCTTTCTCTCTCCCGGTTGGAGGTACAATTCGGCAGTTGTACGCTGAACTCCATCTCAGTAGGTCCTATGTTCTCTCCCTCGAGGTTACCTAGGAGGTTGGTCGGATCCGATGTCGTGACGGGCTCTCCAGCAGCGGCGGCGGCCCGTTGGTTATACGGCACACCACCCCCTGCCGTCACACGCATCGTGCTGCCAGGGAATGTGCTAGTCGGTGGCTGGTCTGCCCTTTTTTCGAAAAGCTGCACCTTTCTTGTAGGCTCCATTCGGTGGACGCGCTTGTTACTGCAAAAGTACTCTATATTCTCCGTCACGAGCACTTTTATGCGATGGCACTGCACCTTGGCTAGTGGCGTTAGTTTGAATGCGATGGGTACCTGTGCGCCGAGAGGAAACGATTTTCCAGATATGACAATGTCGTAGTGGAGTTGATCCTCCCAGTTTCTGCTGATGGCAATAGGTTCAACTTGCTCAAGGGAGCCCTCGGCTGGTGCTCTGATCAGCTGCACCTCGCGAACTCCAACAAGATTGGCCCGGAAAGCACCAGCGCGTTCTATGACTGCTTCGAGTTCGTATTTGACAGAGCCTAGGTCCACGTCGATCGTCTCGGGTAGTCTACTGTCGATAGGAAGCTCGAAGTTGTACACATAATCACCCGGGTTGAACGTGCGGTAACCTTTCTGTGCTACGGAAGGGCCTCCGGTTGAAGATTCACCCTTGCCGAAACTGCGTGACTGATTGACTTGTAAGGATAGCCTTCGCTGGTCTTTTGTAGTGAGGTTTGTTGTCGAGATATTTGGGGACTTTCCAATACCAAAGGAAGAGGTCGTAGAAGATGCGCCTGACTTGAAGAGTTCCACATGATCCGCGCAGGGTCCTGCCTCGGCTGTGGGGAATTGAGCATTGAAGAATGGCCAGGTGTGGCTCATTATGTTGTCAACCTCTTCGAAATCGACTTTGCGCGGAGGGATGCCTGTCGGATATTAGTCATGCTTCTCGGATCAGTAGAAAAGCTGGTGTGTCACCTTCAGGCCATTTTGTGGTTGCTCTTCCTTTGAACTTGAGGGTAACTGCCTTTATCTTGGCGGCTTTCGTCACGCGCAGGTGGAGAGTTCCTCGTAGCATGGCTGTGTTACCGCTGGATGCATCGTTTTGTTCGAAACCTTGTAAGAACAAAGCCGGCTCGGCCAGATTGATCGATACGTTTACGCCGCTTCCAGACACAAGCGGTTTGTCGGATGAATCAGTACCAGGCACTACCGAACTATGTTGTGCTCGAGATGTAGCGTCTGAAGCAGCTCTCACATCGTCCGTCAAAGCAGGTCTGGAGACCATGCCGCTCACTGGGCCGCCAATCGATCCACGGATGCCCGCCCTCATGTTTCCGAAGACAACCGGTCTCTGTCCTCCTTTTGTAGTCTTGCCTTCTGGCTTGGCTGTAGGCTGAGCCGGAGTGTCCAGAGAATTGCGTTGGGACGTGTGGTGCGAGGATATGACCGAGCGTATCTTGATCGAGAGTCTTCTGCACAGATGCCGAGTGGGACAAGGTCGTGGTCTTTCGATGCGGACTGAAGGATCGTAGTTTTCGTGTACGCTCTTGATGCGAATTGAACCTCTTCTGTATCTGCGGGGCTCAAAGTAACCCGGGTTGTCGGCGCCTTCGTGAAAGCTGGAGGAGCAAAAATGGACGCAGCTGCTACGGCGAGGATAGGAGCGGATCTCTGCCATTGTGTATTAGTCGAGGATATTGACAAGCACTCTGCGGCCGGCGAGAAGTGGGGAACATGTATGGGCGATCGCAGGGAGTTAAGGCTTGCGATGCCGCTGACAAGGTCGTGCAGAATCGCCGTGCCTGCCAAAACAAGGAATGGTGCCCAAATTGCACGCCGACATGTGGGAAACCTGCTATGTGCATGTGCAGGAGGGACTCACCAAATCAAGCGTGTTTCAAGTATTGAAAACCCCAATTACGTGCGTACGACTGCGTGATCTGACCTTTGAGCAACTTATGCGAGGATCAGACGTGTCGCAAGGTTAGAGATGAGGTCACGAATTGGGACTGGGCGAGTATCAACGCTCCTTCACGTGTAGCGATGAGAATTGCGATTGTAGGGCGACAGAGGCTTCAGGCCGTCTGAGCCAACTGGTCGCGGAATTGGCACACCAAGGCAGTGTCCGAAGCCAAATTGAGTGTCTCTGCTGCACTTGAAGCTGATATCGAAAGAAACGAGGGGAAATCCTGGCTGACCAAACAACAGTCGACCGGCACTGGTTATGTAGAGACAGCGGTGTGTCGAGATTCGTCCGTGGGTCCGGGGCGAGTGAAACACAATGAGAAATCACAGCAGAGAAGCAGGAAGCTGGTCAGACAAGGGTTTGAGTTATCTATGGGCTATGCCAGTGAACGACATGACCAAGCCTCGAGGGCGTTTTTTGACTTTCGTCATTATTTTCCAAAAGGCCATCTGCCGCGGCGCTGTCTTGCCTGGTTGCGCGGCTTGACCCCCAAGTCTGGCAGTGACGAGCATCCGCACTTTCCGTGATTGGCTTTGGGGAATCCCACAAGGTTTCGAGATATGCATTAGTCGGCTTCCCCAGTCTCTATCCGGCGCCTGCCCAAAGGCAATATTTCGCCGACAAGACCACTTCAAGTTTTGAGCGAAAGCAACTTTTCAGGAACCTCAGATTACCCAACGGCACCTGACACGAACACGAGCTGATCCGAATCTTCCGGCCTGTATATTCCTCAATCTCCGCGTCCCCCGGCGCCGCGTGGTTCACTCGTTCACAAGTCCCTGGATCGTTCTTCTGAGCTGTCTGTGTTACGTGTGTCGAATGGTTGGTCCGCGTTTTGCAGTCTGGTCGATATATGGCGGATCGCGGAGGTCGAAAGCAATGACCATATGATGTCCTTTGAAGTTCTTGAGATGTCTGGAGCCGCGGAAATAATTCACCATCCTCTACGACTGAATGTCACTGCTGCAAAGAAGTGCACGTTAAAAGCGATCAAGATCTTGCTCCCTGGAAGCAGTCGGGTATTTCGGTCTGCGACCAACTAGGTATGATCGGGCATCGCAATCATCCTGCCCTGTGCTGAAATTTGTCGCTTCCCACTCCCCTCTATCATGACTGACACAGGGAGTCAGATAGGTTGTCTCGAGGCACAGTCATGTTCTAGATAGTAAGAGTCCACTTGCGGATCCAGCGATAGGATACGCCTAGGTATAAATTAATCTGCATTGGGTTGTTGAGAGCGTTACATACTTTAGCTTGGAGAAGATAAAAATGCTTGAGATCGGAAGCGCCGATGCCGCACCCCGATCTTGGACAAGATAGCGGGGTTAAATTGACTCTCGGCTTTAACGCGCGAACGACGCGGGAACGTTCCAACCAAAATTCGCGTCCCTCGAGGCAAAGTGGTAGAATACTGATATAGAAAGAATCACATGTCAAAGAGCTGCACGCGCTATTATGCCCGACGAAGCAGAAGATGGTATGCGGATCTTGAAGGCTCTTGCTAAACGTCGGAACGAAGACTGACAGCGTCTGCAGGCAACACCCCTCTCCTTGGGGGCGTGGTCCTCTGCAGCACATCACTATCTCAGGACCTTAGAGTCAGTAACCTTTATGCCAGCTTCACAGAATCCGTGCCAACACATTATGTTCAACAGGACAAACTCAACGATCTTGCACGAAGTATGGGTGCCGTTCACCGCCTCGACTTGACTGCGGACGTGACACACCTCGTCGTCGGCAACCTAGATACACCGAAATGCAAGCATACCGCAAAGGAAAGACCAGACATACACGCGCTCAAACCTGAATGGATCCATGCCATTCGTAAATCCTATATGGAGGATCAGGAAATTGACCTCGAAGCACTAGTGCAAGAATACCGCCTCCCAGCATTCTACAACCTGCACATTTGTGTCACTGGCTTCGAAGACAGTACGTATAACCACTATCATATCCTTGAGTGGGCTAACTCTGCTGCTTGAAGTCGACCAACGGCAAGACTTGATCCAGAAGATAAGTAATAACGGTGCGCACTATCATGGTGATCTTACCAGGGATGTCACCCATCTTATTGTGGCTAAACCAAGAGGCGCAAAGTATGAGCGTGCGAAAACATGGAATCTGAAGGTAGTTTCCGCGAAATGGCTCGAAGAGAGTTTGGAGAGGGGAATGGCGGTCGACGAGTCATTATACCATCCGCTCATGGCCCCTGAGGATCAGGGCCATGGCGCCTTCGTTCGTGACTATCAGAAACCCTCTGCGCTAGGAAAGAGACGACGTGACGATCCTTCTATCAACCAGAGCGAAGAGCTCGGGAAGCGGAAGATGAGGCGAACTGCGAGCGCCAAGTTGGCAGACCACAGTCAAAGCATGATGACCAGTTTTCTTTCCCACGGCGGCGGTGAGTCGTCAGAAGTTGCGAAGGATCAATGGACGGAAATCAAAGATCAATCACCACCTCCCCGCGATGCCGATCGCTCAAGGTCAAGGTCAGAGTCGAAGGAAAGGCAAAGGATATCTCGTCACACTTCATGGGAAGCGGCGCCTATACATCAGGAAGAGGAGCCAGGATTGTTCTCGGGTGTCTCGTGCCTAGTTCACGGTCATGATGACAAGAAGGTATGCTTTGATTCATGAGTCTGCGTGACCGTCGTTTTACTAACGTTTCGTGCAGACAGCCAAGATCCACGAGATCGTGATTTCGAATGGAGGACATATCGCCAGTAACTCTGATGCCTTTTTGTTGAACGATGATGCGTATCAATACAAGATTCTTGTACTTCCCAGTGGATGGACTTCAACCACTAAAGGTTCTCTGCCTGAGATTCCATCCGGAACATGGCACGCGACCGAGTGGTGGCTAGAGAGATGTATCAAGCAGAAGGCGCTACTCGATCCCGCCTCTGATCTGCTCAGTCAACCACATCTGAGTCTACCGATCGATGGTATGTTGCGATTGTCATTGTTTATTATCCATGTTTGCTGACGTGCTCAGAATTCCAAGGTCTAACGATAGCGACTTCTGGCATGGGTCATGATGTGTTGCATATATCAAAAGTTGTCAAACTTGCAGGTAAGACTCGGTTTGGCCCTATCAACAACGCAATAGAGCTAAACCTCACCCAGGCGCATCATACGACGAAGTACTGCTACCGAGAACGTCGATCCTGGTAGTGCCTAGCGCAGTCCCAAATTCGGAGAAAATTGCATATGCTGCGAAGCATCGGATCCCAGTCGTATCGGAGGAATGGCTTCTCGCAAGTATCAGGAATGCTCGAAAGATGTCAATATCCGATTACGCCATGACTGGACAATCAAGATACCCCCTCAGCCGTCATCACTCCAGCCGTCCGTCCTCTCGGGAAGCAAGTGCTGCCCCACCACAAGACAAGAGGTAGGATAGGCCGGTATTGATCATTAGGACGCGGGCTGATCAAGTCTGTTAGAAAGGATGACCTACCTGCACAACGCCTTTCAGCCATCCGAACACGAAATGTAGCCACTTCTCTACATCTATACCACTCAGGTCCCGTCCAAGCAATACAACAGCAGAAGACAGTGCCCAACTCAAAAGGACCGTTCATCGAAGAAGATGAGGAGGAAACGGTGCCAGATGATGAAGGCTGCGGCAACGAGTCACGACTGCCGGCCCAGTTCGACGGTCAATATGATGATCCACCACCAATGATAGCAGAAGACGACATGGTGGTAACGAACGCTACACGGTCAATACAGCCGTTGCAGAACATCCCGCCAGAGGTGAATAGCACAAGGAAGCAGTCAAAATCGACGCCTTCAGGGGATATCTCGGCCTCTTCATCACTAAGAAAAGGCGGACAGCGAGGAAGATTGGGAGACGACGAGAACGCCGATGTGCCAAAAGCTGAAGCAGTGCAGACGAATCAAGTGAGGCTAAGTGGAGAGATCAAGTCACTACTCGAGCGACAACATTCTCACCCAGAACCATCGCCGGTTGAACAGCCAGTCAAGGGAAGATGGAGAAAGGATAAGAAATTGGGACGCGCGCCGTCATACACATCAAATTCCTCCGCTTCAGTATCCTTCCGCCAGCATCAACATTTGGACGCAGTGAACACAGGACCGTTAGCTAATCTGGTGGAAGGCGAAGCACCTGCACTAAGTCAACAAGTCACCTACGAGACACCAGAAGCTCAAGAATATCGACTGAAGATGAGCAAGAAGATGGGCACGAGACTGATGGACGACAGTGTCGGCGCACGAGTAGAAAGCCCGGGACTGGTGCGTGATGTTGAGGCAAGTGGTGCTGCTGCAGGTGTTGGCGGTAGAGTGCGTGGACGGCAGCGAACTGCAAAGAATGTATGATCAATGATGTCAGGAGATTGCTGCAAGCCTGGATACGAACATAGCTATGTAAGATAAGAACACAGCATGAAATGCTTGTGATTGTGATCGTGTGTTCTTGGTGCGCATGCGACAGTGATCCAGTGACGAAGCTAGAAGAAAAAGAGGAACAAAAGGAGAAATATCGAAACGATGTCGCCATATCGAACGGTCCGACAAAAGCGATCTCATCGGAGACGAGCACAGACGGGGATAGTTTCAGACCCTCTGCCGTCCTGCCCTGCCCAGGTGAGTCGTAGCCATGTGACGGCTCGTCTTCGTGACTCCATTCTTGAGATAGTCGTTGAGTTTTCCGTGCAAACGTATAAAAGAAGGCGCATCGTCATCGCTACATATCATAATTCGCCATGGCGTCGCTGCATACTCCGACTCAACTTCTCTCACCTCCGCCTTCTCCCGCCCCGCAGAACTTATCGACCGAGATCAACACGGCCACACGGTGCGCTCTCTATCAATGTTGGCGATAAACACGCTGTGCAGTCGCTGACATGGGACAAGCTCGGTTCATGCGCGCTTGAACAAGCTCATCATCTCTCGCCTACCTCTTGCCCTTCCGCCTGTAGCCATAACCCCCGAAGCCTACGCTCACGGCATCAACACGTTCGGCGACGTCTACCTTGTTTTTGAAAACTGCTGGCGGGTCCTGATCGCAGAAGTCGACAAGTCCGACGTAGACGACTCCTCACACGACAACAGACTACGGCGATGGCTATCTCAACTAGTCCCTCCTGGTCTTTGGCGCTCGGATGCAATCAAGAAAGATTTGGAGTACCTGGAGACGATCACTGGCGCTGATCTAGAGGCCGTCACCAACGCCCAAATACGCACCCTTACCGAGCACATCTATCGACAGACTCGGGACAAGCCTCATGTCCTGATCGCCTATGCTTGGATCATGTACATGGCCATCTTCTCGGGCGGCCGGTGGATCAGAGAGCAGTTGACGAACTCCGGCCCTGAATTCTGGGGTGTCAATCACGAGTCCGACAAGATGGAATATTGGGTTCATGGGACCTTGAGACCTGGTTTCACTCTGTTTTGCTTTTCGGGCGCAAGAGATGGAGAAGACATCAAGGCAGACTTCAAGACGCGTCTCGAGGAGGCCGAGGAGCTGCTCACTGCACATGAGCGACAGGACGTCGTCAACGAGGCCCAGTATATCTTTGAACAATGCGTCGCCGTTGTCGAGGATCTCGATAAGCAGCTCAAGACCGATCTCGAACTAGTCAAATCGCTAGCTGCTCGAGGAGCGGAGCATGGGACTGCAGACCTAAAAACAACACCGACACGGGCTGCTCTTCCACAACAAGCCGCAATGGAAAACGCAGAGCCGAAGTCGGCAAACTTTATAAGAGCAATAGTGGTGGCCTTCTTCGCTTTCGCCTTTTATCAGTCATATCGTTGGCAGTATGGAGATTTGGAGCGCGATTAGCCAACGTGACGAGCCTTGGTGGAGGAATTTAGATGAGAGGAGCGTTTACATTCAAAGATACCAGCATGCGCCAAGCAGAAAGATACCCAATAGACACGAATACCATAATAGCTTCTGATCTTCACTCCTTCACTCTGTCGTTCTTCAATCACTTGAGCGGGCCAAACGCGCAAACAGCCTTCGCTCAATTTGGTGTTTCATGAGCGGAGCTTCTTGAGTGCACGGACCGCCCTTCACATGCCACTTCAATCGTTCCCCAAAAGACTCCTTATGTGCCAACGCTCTGTATCAAAATCACACATTCACTCTTGAGACCGGAGGAGACCTTAGTCACATCAGTTTGACCATAACACAGTCTCGCCGCCATACTATCTTGTCGTTGAGTCACACCGCTACAACGATGATTTCCGGATTCAACGAATGGACCGCGTCGGCCCAGCTGGGCCATACCGATTCGTTTGCAGAGCTGAACGAGCGCCGACTTGGAATTGAGGCTGAAGACTTCATTGCCAACATACTCACAACTTCACCTACCAAGGAACCTCTTCTGCCAGCACTAGGTGGCCTTCCTTTTGCTCTTGAGGAGACTATCACGCATCAGGTCGAGATCTTAAAGAGGCATGGCTGCCAGCCTTACTTCATCTTCAGCGGAGTTACCTCGAATGGTCAGGAAGAGAGACTTCAAGCTGCAACTCGCGCAACCAAGAGCATCGCAAATGCTTGGGAGTTATACGGCGCATCCGAGCCCGAACGTGCCGTTGCCGAGTTTGGCACTCTGTGTAAGGACTGGTGCATGGTTGACTCCTGGATGTAGGGGCTGACCTGTATAAACAGCTGGCACAATCAACGTGGAAAATATCTACCGCTTCGTACAGAATGTGTTGCGCAAAAACGACGTTGACTTTCTGATTGCACCGCATAGCGCATGTGCTCAGGTATGTGAGATGAGTCGTACGAGCATATCACGGACTAACATCTTACTTAGCTAGCATCTATTGCTGGTACCGAATTCTGCGATGCTGTAGCAGGCTCCAGCGATATTCTCATGTTTGAGATTGATCAACTCATTACAAAACTTGATTTTGAGCAGGCTCAATTTTCTTGGATCACTCGTCGTGAATGCATCGAGGCGCTTGGAGTCACTTCTACCAGCATGTTTGTTGACACTTGCCTTCTTTCTGGATGCTCCATCCTGCCTACCCTACCTCAGCTAGAGAACGACTTGGCTACATCTCCCAGGGGTCCAAAGATCAGAGCTGCTGCTGATCTGCTCAAGAGAGGTCAAACTAACGGTAACGCCCTCTGTTTGCAGTATCAGGACGACCCAGCTATGGTAGCTCTGAACTACCTCGATCGCTACCGCAAAGCGAGCCTCTACGTCAAGCATTATGTTTGCATTCGCCCTAACGGTAAAATCGAGTCTGTTGATGGCGCGTCAGCACCAAGCGATCTGAACAACATTATGGGCCACCGCTTGCCCGATGAAGCATTTGGCTATCTCTCGCGCGGTGTTATCAGCTCGGAGGTTCTGAGTTGGATAGCATCGAACGAGATCATTGAGCGTCCACCCCTTGATGGAGGCGAGGCTGATGTCTACCGTCGTCTGGTCTCTGATGGTCTCACTCCCCTTCGAACTACTGCGCTCTCACTTCTCTCGTACTCGGTCCATAGGTTCTACCAGCACAAGCCTATCTATCTAAGGTGCTGGTTCAACCCTAGCGCCCCAAAGACGTTGAACGTCTCCGATACTGCTGACCCCAGAGAAACCGTTGTGGGATGGAACGTACGGCTCGATCAGATCACATCCAAAGCAGCTAAACTCGAACGCGACATGTCATCTCTGGCATTTGCAGTAGGTAGCTTGCAAGACACGGACTTTGCTAAGAGTAGTGTCACTCTGAAGCCCAGCGGATCCAAGCCACTCAACTCTCCTGCAGAGGTGCGATCTAATACCTTGTGGAGGTTCCTTCAGCTTCGTGGCTATATTCAGCAAGATCATCAACTGAGTCCTCTTGGTCAATGTCTGCAGACCGCATTTTCACGACACAACCAGCAGGATCTGGAAGAGCCAATACTGCTTGCTTTCGAGATGCTTCGTTTGAACCTGCTCAATTCGAGCAACATGTTCCTTTATAACGGTTCGCCGCAGCGTGGCTCCGAGACTGATAAGCGCAACACGTTGCTGGTCAGTAGGGTGGCTTGCTTCGCTGGACTACGCCACAAGAGTATAGGATTTACAGGACCTCTAAGCAGGCATCTTCTTGCTTACACATCGATGGTGTCTGCGGTCCGCGGTAGCCTGCGTAATGTAGTGGAGATGAGTCTCTTTGGGTTGTTGGCCAACTCCCACGTCGATCGTAACATGGCGCTTGGCCAGCTTGCTCAAACAAGCTACAGGTAAGTCGTGCTCCTCGTCGAGGTTGTCGCTCAACACTAATCATATTGTAGCCTGCCTTTCTTGAACGACGTGGACTGCGCTCTTGGCATTGCGGTCAAGTCATACCTGGACGAACTGTCGGCACAGAGCGAGCCGATTTCCGAGGCATCACGCCAATCCGTCAAGATCAAGGGAGCGAACGAGTGGTTCCCTCATGCCACTGACTTCCAAGGTGACTTGGAGAGGGCTTTCGCTCTCTGGGACTCGGTAAGAGCTGTGATTGGATGTATTCATGAATATGCTAACGTTGGGCTAGGTCTATGCTGCTGTCGCCGCGGCTCCCGACAATGTGGTGTCGTCAAAGGACAAGAAGGTATGGGAGGAGGCCGATGCATGGCTCTCGGACAGGAAGTAAAACGGAGAGCACCACTCTCACAGAACGGGCGGATGAAAAGGTAACCAAAACCACAAAAAAAGAAACCACAATCAAAAGCGTAAGAGTATCATGTTGAATTTATTTGCCAATGGTGAGGAACAGTCTATCACCGACATCTCCCAGGCCAGGCTTGATCATACCCTTAGCATCAGTACCGGGGTCTACTGCGCCTACCCAGATTTGTACACCCTCTTCCCAGACGCGGCTGACCTTTTCCAAGCCCTCGTGGCTGGCCAGTACGCTGCAGATGACTATATGCTTGACGCCCCAGTCTTTCAATGTATCTATGGCAGCACTGGCTGTGGCACCAGTAGCGATTATAGGGTCGAGCAGGATGGCGATGTCGGACGGTGTGGTCTGCTGCGAGGTGGTTGTAGCTGAATGGTAAGGGAGGTTGTTGTAGTATTCGACAGGCTGAAGGGTTGTCTTTTCACGGTACATGCCTAGGTGGAAGACAGGAACTGGGTCTGGTAGGACGGCAAGTAGAGCTGCGATATGTAGGTCAGACATGTGGGATGGTCCGGGTCAGGGTGGAGAGCATACCGTCTACCATTGACAGGCCAGAGCGTAGGATAGGTACGAGGGAGACATGATAGGGTGAGATTGTTTCAATGGGGAAGTCGTAGCCTAACGGAGATTGATCCTAGAGCCAGGGTCAGTGGCTGTCTGTGGGAGGCGCGAGGGTGCCAAAGTCGTACCGTGCCTTGGTGAGTAGGCTTCAGGGCGGATCCAAGAGCTTCGTAGCCCAGCATAGAGGAGATCTCATGTATAAGACGCTTAGCATCACGAGCTCCAGTCTGCTGCGATCGGAGCTGTGATATCTTTGCTCGTACACAGGGATGTTGAGCTACGTGCACGTTGGAAGGCAGAGAAGACATGGCCGAGACTTGTGAGATGCGGGGTGAGCTTGAAGGTGGAAGAGGACGATGAAGGTAGACAAGAGACAGGCTTTAGGAGAGACGGTCACAATTTCAAGGAGAATGAAGCTGGGCAAAGGAACACTTTGTCCGTGTTACTATCACTGAGTGTCCTGATAAGAAGGCCGACAAAGGCATGTGGATGCATTGATAGGCGGCGGACGCCGACCTGCACGACAAAGCTCCTGTGAGCAATCAACCGCGGGGTCCATCGACGCTTGGGGCAAGGGCAGACGCGGGCCGAAACAGCCGAACAGGCGGGCCGGCCGGTGATTGCAGATTCGCATCAGTTACAGGAATTCAGCAACTTCTGTGTCTTCCACTCATCCACTCGTCGAGACACGGCATGAGCGAGGCTGCGTCACACTCGCGTGAGCCCACCCACCTCGATTATCATGGACATATACCCGAGCGTGATGCCTCGAGACAGGCGCACCGCCAGTCAAAGCCCGAGCCCGAGCCTGAGAAAGCTGAGGATACAATCAATCGCCAACCCTCGCTGAACGAAGTCGATGCGCCCGAACCTGTGCAGAACAGACACGACGACTCGGCCTGGCACCGACAAACACATCTCGAGGACGAATCGCTCGACTCTGCTCCATCGCCTCCCTCGTTCCATACTCGCCGGTCATCGCCGCCCTTGTCTAGCAAGAAAGAGCCCCTCTCTCCGCTTGCGACGCAGCTTTACATTATCTCGCACCTTGTCTTCTTCTCCATATGGGGTACGCTCGCTCGCTTGGCTATGCAGTGGCTCACCTTCTACCCTGGCGCTCCCCTGGTCACTCCTGTGCTTTGGGCCAACGTAGGCGGCTCCTTCGTCATGGGCTTCTTGTCCGAGGATAGAAGAGTGTTTCGAGAGGAATGGGGTCTGGACAACATGGATCCTCACACCAGAGAGAAGGCACTTGAACAGGAGCATTCAGATCCAACTGCCGCTAAAAAGGCACATGCGAAGACGAAAAAGACGATACCGCTGTACATTGGTCTGGCCACAGGCTTCTGCGGTTCTTTTACCTCCTTCTCCTCCTTCATGCGCGACGTCTTTCTAGCTCTGTCCAACAACCTCCCGACTCCTGTGAGTCACCCATACCCGAATGTGCCATCCTTTACTTCCACGATACACCGCAATGGCGGCTACTCATTCATGGCTCTGTTGGCCGTAATCATATACACTGTCGCGCTCTCTCTGGCTGCTCTGAATGTCGGAGCTCATCTCGCTCTTGCTTTGGATCGCTTCACGCCTACCTTGCCCTTCAGATTCACTCGCAAATTCATCGACCCACTTGTTGTTTTTCTCGCATGGGGTTGCTGGCTCGGTGCCATCTTCCTATGCATCTGGCCTCCAGACAGGCCGTCTGGTTCGTCGAGTCGTGGTATCTGGGCGAACGAAGTCTGGCGTGGTGAAGTTCTGTTTGCGTTGGTCTTTGCACCCATTGGTTGTCTGCTGCGCTACTACGCGTCGCTCAAGCTCAACCCCATTACTGCCTCCTTTCCGCTCGGTACCTTTGCCGTCAACGTGTTTGGATGCGCGGTAGAGGCCATGTGCTACTCCGTTCAGCACGTGCCTATCAACTCGACAGCCGGTGCCCTGGTTGGTGGAGGGAGGGTTAGCTGTCAAGTTCTGCAAGGCGTCATGGATGGTTTCTGTGGTACGACAACCACTGTCAGCACGTGGGTCACAGAACTACAATCCTTACGAAGGCGACATGCGTATGTATACGGAATGGCGAGCGTGGTCGCCGGTCTCTGTCTCATGGTAATCATCATGGGCAGTGTGAGGTGGACAGTGGGCTGGAGCACCCCTGCATGTGTCACCATGCGAACCTCCTCATGATGTTGTAAATTCTTTAATCGGGCTTCGACGACTTGCCCGTTGTCGCGCTTGTTGTAAACCATCACATGATGAGTTGCCAGAAAGTGGATGCCGCTAGAGGATATAATAAAAATCTAATATGATGATGCTTCTATTCCTCCCGCGTGGATCCTAAAGCCCTGCGTCGGCGGAAAGACCCCCCAAAAACAAGGGGAAGGGCAAGAAGAGATCACGATCTGGAAGCTCCCGACCGGCTGCTTCCAAGGTAAAAGGCGCATCGAATGATCATAAGCCGCGTGTGCAGTATCATTGGAGAGTTGGTCGCATTACGCGAGCCAAGGAGATGGAGGACGAGATTTGGCAGAAAAGACTTCTGCCGCTGAGACACACACGAGTTCTATCGGATTATTTGTTGATAGACGTCATTGGGCCTTGTTTGGACCAGCAGCAGTGGAGTCGATCTGGGGGAATCAGAGCCGCAAAAAAGCCACTGGTCTAGAGGCCTTTCTTCCCCTTTTGTGGCTGACGCGACCATTATTGATCGCTGCCAGCATGAACTTTCGCTACAGCCTTTTGACAGAGATACGAGCATTCATAACCGGCATGTCAGTTTTCTCAATCCAATAGCTCGAGTCTGGCGACGGTAGAAATAGAATTGGATATGGACACTGAAAGACGGAGCTGCCCCGAAGTGGACGTTATTACCCATCAAGGGCCCATGCTCTTTTGGAGCAGGAGTCTTCCGTAAAGTTGGACGAGCATGCGTTCTAAGAGCTCACTCGTGTCGCGAGAAGTCCTTGTTAATCCCCACAAACACGGGAATGTAGAGTGCAGGCTTGAGAGAGCTCATTGATACTCTTGGTATCAAATACTGTCCTCACCGTTCAGTTCACGTGCCTCTCATCTTGTTGTCCAACCGTCGAACAAGGAAGCGTGGAGCGGGGGGTCTGGCGATGATGGACGTGGCGCCCGCGGCGGATTGATTGATGGCTGTTGTCCCTGGTTTTCATACATGCAGTAGCTCGTCTGGAACCCCCTTTGTCGTGCGTAGGACACAGACAGTGCACGACTTAAGCGGCACATGAGATGGGCAAGAGTGTCAAGATATAGCAAGGAGCGCTATCCTTTTGCTGAATATTGAAACGATTGGAATCTGCCATGTTGGCCGAACGACGGTTCTGGGGGAACCAAGGTTTCTGTGATGGTGACGCTAGCCGTGCAAATCAACGGCAAGAGGTAAATCGATCGTCAGGCGAGACCGTTTTTGGAAAGGCGCCATGTGATGTCATGAAATGAATGGCAGGTGGACGAGCAATGCGCCCTTCTCTCAAAACCCATCGTGTTTCCTTGCAGCGAAACATCATCCTAATTCCACGTCTTTCCTCCTTTGCAGTTTAGATACCCCCTTTCACGATACCAGCCACGTTACTTTTGTAATTTCACCTGATTGACGATCACGACTATCCTCTCTCTCATCCCCAGATACCCCAGACACTTATCCCAGATACCCTACAACCCATCACAGTAATTTCATCATGGCGCCTTCTGCGTCGGTCAATGTTCCTACGAACACCAAGATCAAGGAGCAAGATGTCAACAACAAGCTCCAGCTCTATGGAATCTTCTCTGGTAAGTTTCCTGTAACACGCGATAACATGCAGCTGCTTGTCAATGGTACTGACCCGCGCTTCCCATAGCTTTCTCCAATGGCAAGGTCCCCTCAAACAAGCAGATTGATGTTGCTATGAACAGCGCTCTCGCATCGCGACCGCTCTCAAACCCATCGAAGAAGCTCTCGACAGAGGGACAAAAGCTCGTGGGTGACCTGCGCGAGGTTGTCGAGCAGGCCAAGCTCCTCCTCTTGACCAAGAACGAGGGCAATCTTCTTCAGGACTTCATTTGGCAAACTCAGCAGATCTCTGGCGCCAATGCCGGCACTCCTAATGCTCCTGTCGACAAGGAGACCGCCAAGCAGCACGGTAACGAGGCCCTTGATGGCCTTCGCACTCTCGGCACGCTCATCCTGTCCAACGGTCAATTCCGTAAACTTTGTAAGTAACAGCATCACCTCCTGCCACATCCTCCCCGGCTAACCTTCGTACAGTGAGTGATGCTAGCATTCTCTTCAGAGACATGGCCGGTGACGCCGCCCAGAAGGCGGCCAACAAGGTTAACCCTTCCGAGGATGAGCTGAACCAGATTGACAAGCCTGCCGAGGACAACACCTGGCACGACGTCCCCGACCTTTCCAAGGGGAACCTCAAGAACCAAGCTAAGGCCAAATTCGACGAGCAGAAGCCCTTTAACAAGGAGCAGGCCAAGGGTGCTCTTGGTGATGCCACTCAGGCCGCCCACCCCAGCGGCTCCCGTGACCCCGCCGACGCTGCCAGACTTGCTGCTCGCGACCAGCAACAGGGTACCAACTCTGGTGTTGACGCTACCAAAGGTCTGCAGCAGGGCGCTGACCGCCTCCACCAACAAGCCAAGGAGAACGTCCCTGAGGAGACCCAGGAGCGTGCCCGCGATGCCAAGGAGCGCACCAACAACTACATGAAGGAGAAGCTCCCCAAGGAGCGCCGCGAGCAGGGCATCTACCGCCTGAAGAAGATGGTTGTCGAGATTCAAGGCCACCAGGACTGTAAGTCACCCTTTGCCTATTGAGCATCTCGTCGCAGCAGCTGACCACGGCCATAGACCACCAAGCCATTGATACTCTCCTTCGTCTTGCCGAGCAGTACACTGGTCACACTAAGAACCTGGCCAACCAAAGCCAGGGAACCGTCAAGGGTGCCCACAAGGATGACAGCCTGCAGATGGCTGAAGCCGACCTCAAGGTATGTTTGAAGAGATCCAGATCAACACCAAGCATATGCTGACCAATCTCCAGACCCTCATCGAGCGTTTCGCCAACGGCACCTCCCTCGACGACATGTTCGACTCCATCAACGTCATCTACCGTGATGCCGACAGTGACCCTGAGCTCAAGGGCTGGTTCACCCACATGAACAAGTACATCCGCAAGTGCCTCAAGGAGCAAGGTTACGTCCTCGAGGACAGCTCGACCGAGGAGTGGAACAAGCTCTACGATCAGGGCGAGTTCCTCCTCCGCGACCGCTACCGCAACCACACCGACAGAATTGCCGACGAGTTCAAGTTCTACATTGACCAGTTCAACCAGGACAAGCAGAACGTTGCCTTCGGTGACGCCGTCCAGAAGCTCTTCCTCGACCTTGGACAGGACGAGAACGGTCAGGCTGAGTTCAAGCCTCACCTCATCAAGGACTTGACTGAGGTCATCCTTCCCGGCATCTTCGAGTCCGTCCGCTATGTCCCCATTCCTCGTATCGAGTACTCCGACCACATGATGGATGCCATCGTTGAGAACCTCGTCCTCGAGGGTGACAACCTTGCTCCCAACGTCATGGAGTTCGGCAGCGACAACTACTGGCGCTGGGGACGCAAGTCTATCACTAGCAAGAACAAGAACAAGGTCATGCTTTCCGTCTCCGGCATCCAGTGTGACCTTCGCGATGTCAGCTACTACATCAAGAAGAAGGAGGGCTTCCCCAGTATTACTGACAAGGGTGTCATGGACATCTTCCTCGGCGGCACTGGTCTCAGCTTCAAGGTCGCCATGGAGACCGCAGACAAGACCGATGGCAAGCACTTCTTCAAGGTCAACACCGTCCACGTCGACATCAAGAACATCAACATCAAGCTGAAGCAGTCCAACCACAAGTTGCTCTTCAACGTCTTCAAGCCTCTCCTCCTCAAGGTCATGCGCCCTGCCATCCAGAAGGTTGCCGAGACCCAGATCCGCAACAACATCCACCAGCTCGATGAGATGCTCTATGGCATCCACCAGGAGGTCGAGAAGGCCAAGCAGCAAGCTAAGAACAACCCCGACCCTGAGAACATTCAGAACATCTACCAGCGCTACGCCACTGCCGCTCAGCAGAAGTTCACCAAGGGCAAGCAAAAGAAGGATGAGGTTGCTGCCGACAAGAAGGTCAACATGGCTGTCACCAAGCACGACAGCATGTTCAAGAACATCTCTCTCCCCGGCGGTATCAGCACCAAGGCCACCGAGTACAAGGAGCTTGCTGCTAAGGGCGACAAGTGGGAGTCCCCCATCTTCAGCATTGGATCTTCTAAGGAGACTTCCAACTTGCCCAAGATGGCTTCCATCACCCGCAAGCCTCACAAGGTCAACACCGAGGGTGTTCGTGGCCCCAACAACCTTGGCACTGACCAGTACGGCTCGGGATTTAACGGATCCTCCGACACTGGCCCCAGCGGTGGTCTCAACACCGGCAACTCTGGCTACGGCTCTCAGAGCAGCACTGGCTACCACGGTGGTTCTTCTTCTGCTGGTCTTACCGGTCAGGTTCCCGTCCGTGGTGGCAACACCACTGGCTCTGGCTACGAGCAGAACACCACCAACACCACTGGCTACCACCAGGGCTCATCTCACTACGCTGCTGGTGAGGGCCCTATCGGCACTGGCCGTGAGTCCACTGGTGCCGGCAACTTCGGCGGCGAGGTCGACCGTGCCTTCCACGATGCTACCGGCTCCACCACTGGTACTACTGGTACCACCGGCACTGCCTCTGGTGTCCAAGGCGACGCCAGCGGAAACACCTTCTTCGGCAAGAACAACCCCGTCTTCCAGGGTCGTGTTTAAGCATCGCGCCTGATGGTTTCTTCTTTTGGTTATTCGAATTTCGCAATGCTTTTTACCGTCATGATACCATTGCCGTATGCCAGTCGCGAAGAGGGATGAGGACACGAAAAGAGACGTTATACCCAGTCAGCAACATAACAAGAGCAAGAAGGACACAATTAATAATGGGGTGAAGGAGTGTGTTTCGCGCGGCATTGATTCAATAAATCATTTCGCAGGTTTTCCTACTTTGTATTCTAGTGTTTTAAGTTAATGATTTTTCGCTCACTCAAGTTTCCTGTGTATGTACACGTGCTTCTGTGATGTCGTGTCGCATGCGTGCTCGTCAATCGGCAAGTGCTGTTTGCGTGTTCGTGGTCGGAAGCACTGATGTTGCGGACAATTCCTCCAATCACGAAGTCAAGCGTCGTAGAGGATGTAGGCGTAGCGACACCGCAACAGTAAGGACTATCCTCCAATTCTCCTCACAAGTTGAAATTAATACTCTCCCAGATGATGCAGAGTATTGCTACATCGTTGGACGCGCGTGCCGACAAAAGCCAAACAGATCAGGAAGCCAAAAATATAAGCACGCGTCCGAAGCTATTGGCAAAGGCTCATGCAGGTGGAAAATAGTAAGGTAGGAACCGGAGTTTTCTTGGCCCACTTTGTTGGTACTCCGACTTCCACCCATGAATCGTGAAAGCTGTGGAAGATACATTGTTGCTTTACTCAGCATAGAGCATAGGGTACTCCATCTGTCTGTTGGTCTTTAGTCTCGCTTGATTATGGTGTCGCAAATAGAGTTGACGAGCAAACTGGGTTGCTCCAACAGGCTTTCGAGGAAAGCTGGGGCTTCGGACTTTTCGCATGTGGTCTGGTGGAGCCTAAATGTGATGCGAGACAACCCAATGAGGAAGAAGAGCGAACCAGAAGAGGCACAGACGGCCTCCAGTTCTTCCAGAGCTCAAGGAACATCTCACACCGACGTACTCGGCGTAGGGATGCCCCGGTCAGTATTGTCGCACTGCATACCCGTAGTAGCAGCAAACGACGTGCGCCGCTCTGTCGGCTGTGCTTGTCTACGTGTGAGAACGTATCGGCACATGTCAAGATGTCAAGGACGATCACTTCTCTCCAAGATGCGATTGCAAGACTGTCAGTCCTGAGGCTGATTACTGACTGCTGTTCAGCTTGGCTGTGCGTCTCGTGTCCCAGCTTACGGAGTTTCAGCTTGGCTTCTTGAGCCTTCGTCTTGTGGCTGCCTGGGCTCTGTTGCTTGCAGCGCACAAGACAAGAGGTCTAGAGAGGACAAGAGCGTATTTTGTGATATCCGCCCGTATCCACTTCCAATTCGGGATCGTGCCAAGGTAGGCGGCATATGCATACTTGAAGCTTGGAAGCGACCTATCCAGCTCGACCATTCATCATGCCCTTGGCTCTCACCTCTCACGGTCAAGTTGGAACGTGGCGACTAAGCTCCTTTTGCTCCTTCAGCTTCGGCTCTCCTCCTTCACATGCCTAATTCCTCGCATTTTGAGTGACATGACGCTCCTTGCATCCTCTGCATGGTCCCGTCAGATCGTGGATGAGGGTTCGAGATGCTCATGGCCTGCGGCAACCCGCTTCCAGATCGAGCTTGCGGTCAACTATCTTGAACCTATGATGAATCCATGTAAGTAAGCTATGCATCCGTAAGTGTGTTACTACAGTGGGTAGTGGGACTGTGGGAAGAAAAGAGGGGCCCGGTTTTGAGTCTTCCATCTCTATATCCTGCTCCCATCCGCATTTCCTGATTTTCTAAGCTCTGCCCATCATCACACTTTGGAATATCAGATATACACTACAAATATTCTCGTACCACATAACGACTTATAGGTAGCCACTCACATGAGCAAAGTGAGTCCAGAGCCAGGCTTTCACACCATGGTAAGAACTCTTCAATTCACTGCCGACGCTACTTGCTAATTCGAAATAGCCTTCAACTACATCCACCAAGGTGCCATCACCAACAGAGGCCTTTCCGTCATTTCTGAAGTGCCATAGAGACATCAAGGATCCCGACATCGGTGCGACGTATGACGAACTCAACCACGACCCCGTATCACCTCTGGACACACCTGTAGCACCCTCCGCGTCATCATCCCGCCATAACTCAAAGCACGTTTCTGTCAACTCTCGCTGTGAACTGCTGGCTACGGAGAGCTGGCTTACCCAAAGCATGGAGAAGGTCCCACAGATTCCCGCCATCTACGCCAATGGGCGACGTAACTCGACAAACTCATTGTTAATCCAAGCCGCAGGAAAACTGGAACCGTATGAGGCTCTGGGGAACGTGTCTGTGGAGCACATGGCTCCCCCTCCCTCAATGCCAGGTCAACACCCGGAACTCAAGATTGGTGGTTTCCACGAGGTAAGTCCAGCATCATCCTTTTTCCAACAAGCAAATCCAACAGCTGACGTGGACAAGGCTCTGTTTATTGGAGTCGTCATAATGGCTCAGTTCATGTGTCTTGCAGGTCTTGGTCAAGCAATCGCGCCAGTCAAGATCATAGCCTCTGGCCTCGGCGTCAACAATCCCGGTCAAGAAGCGTGGTTCTCAGCCGCATACAGTCTCACCACGGGTACATTTATCCTGATCGCCGGTCGATTGGGTGACATACTCGGCCACAAACGCGTGTTTGTGTTCGGGTACCTGTTTCTTGGAATCTGGTCCGGCTTTGCCGGATTCAGTGCTTACGTCGGCAGGCAGATCTTCTTCGACGTCTGCAGAGGTATGCAAGGCATCGGCAGTGCGTTACTGGCTCCCAACGCCCTCGCACTGCTTGGCCGCGCATACCCTCCTGGTATCAAGAAGAATCTCACTTTTGCACTCTTTGGCGCCATGGCACCCTGGGGATTTGTGATCGGTGCGCTGTTCGGGGCTCTATTCTCGCAGACCACGTGGTGGCCATGGACTTTCTGGAGCTATGGTGCCGCAGCATTCGCCCTGTCAGCATTCTCACTTCTCATTGTGCCTAAGCAATTAGCCAAGGAGGCTCAATTCGCTGGCGTCACAAAGGTACCTGGTTTCGACTGGACGGGTAGTACGCTGGGGGTCGTTGGTCTGGTACTTGTCAATGTCGCCTTCAACAATGGTCCGTTGTACGGTTGGTCCACTCCTCACGTCTACTTTGTCCTGATCATCGGAGTCTTGGTATTGGTAGCATTCCTCTGGGTAGAACGTCGGGCTGAATCACCACTACTGCCGGTCTCCGCCTTTAATGGAACAGTCACTTACACCATGGCTCTAATCGGCATCGGTTGGGGCAGCTTCGGCATCTGGATCTATTACTCGTGGCGCTTCCTCGAGGAGTTCCGTCATTTGACTCCACTCAATGTCTCTGCTCAATTCACACCCGCCTTGGTCTGTGGGCTGATAGCTGCAGGTGCCACTGGTTTCATGCTCACGCACACTCCCGTCTCATTCACAATGTTGATCGCCATGTTGGCCTTCTTCGCCGGTCAAGCGATTTCGGCCTTCATGCCCGTCAATCAGTCTTACTGGCCTCAAATGTTTGTCTCTATCCTCATCATGCCTTTTGGTATGGACATGTCCTTCCCTGCCGCCACTGTCATTCTCTCCAACCACATGCCCCGCGAGCACCAAGGCCTTGCAGCGTCGCTTGTCAATACCATGGTCAACTACTCCATCTCGCTGGCATTGGGTATCGCGGGCACAGTCGAGGTATCAGTCATGGCCCATGACGGTACAGTTGCAGACGCAAAATGGGGTGTGAGATGCGCTTTCTTCACTGGCCTGGCTCTTGCTGGTTGTGGTATTTTACTCGGTGTTTCGTATTTCATCAAGTCAATGATCAAGGAGGGTTGGAAGGTAGCGCAACATTGAAAACTAGCAGGCTTTCTCAAGCTCGTAGTTGCCTAATTCTGCTGTTATTAGCTAGGGACTATTTTGCTCTTTACCGTTAGCCGGCTACTGAGAAGATATCTGTGACATTGCAAAGAGATCTCCTCGATTCCCGTATTCTGGTCGCGTATGGTTACGAAAGGAGCTTCAGGCTCCTTCAGCCAACGGCCCTAGTGCTTCGCAGTGATCTGGGTGTGCTCAGAACTTCTTCCGATTTCATAATCGGGTGAGAGTGCTTGGGGCCAATGCACGCGGCAAGTGACCTGAACAGCCACCGCCTCGTGGTGTGTCGGTTTCATTCTGAGGAGTATTGTGTGTCTCAGTGACCCGATTAACACACTCAGAGCAAGGTGAGAGGCTGTCATGGTTGGCTCAGTGCTCGTTCAGTTGTTGACTACTCTCGCGACATCTCGGAAAAAGGCATTCGAAGCCCAAAAGGATCCGCCAAACTCCATATCATACCTGATCGAAATTCGTTAGCACGTCCATCGAATCTGACGGAGGTCTGGGAACAGGTTCAACTTACCAGTAGTTGACCGCACAGCAATACCCTTCGTCACCACAACTCTGCCCAACTTTGTGATACCACATAGCCGGCAGATACATCATGTCGCCCTCATTGAGTGTGACCCTCATTGGTGTGACAAGCTTCGAGTATGTTGTTGGCCTAATGTCAGGGAAATCTGGATCCCAAGTGGGCACAGGAACGATCAATTCAGGCTCATCGAGCACATGCTCGAGATCATCAATCTTTAACTCTGCCTTCTCATCCTCATTCGTCGAGATGTATGTGGTTCCAGGGATGTTCTGCTCATTCACAGCAGCGGCTGCCACAGGAGGCATAATGACAAAATGCTTCTGACCTCGCACTTGGACATAAAGGTTTTCGTAATTGTCTTTGTGGAGGGAGGTGGTAGAGAGACTATTGCCGAGCCAAAAGTTGACGGCCTCGGGCTTCTTGCGCAAGGCGATACGAGCGAATGGGATATCAGAGGGGACGTCTTCGAAGAGAGAGGAGTACTCGTTGCGGAGGTTGTCATTTTCTTGATGCAAGTAAGAATATGACAATGTCAGGGGAGGGTGGGGGACATACGAGTCTGAGCATATTTGATGGGTGAAGATGTTTCTGATTGATTTGATTCTTGTTCTGCGATGTAGCGTACGACCTTGTCGAAGGGCTCTAGTCTTTCGAGCGGCTTCACGTAGGATAGTGAACCGTCGTCTTCCTTCAACACTGCATCTGCGTTGCTTCTTGCGTGTCAATGCTGAGAGGAAGAAGGAGTAGGAACGCGTGTTTGAAATGGAGAGTGCTCGTAATTTGAGAAGAGATGGCCGAAGGAAAGAACGAATTGGCAGTACCTACCCGAAAGGTGTAATGGCTACATTGACAAGGCTGTCACCAAGAACTTTGAGAAGATAGTGCGAGTCCCACTTTTGGACAGCTGCCCAATCCTCGGCAGCTTTTCTTACAACAAATGGCCGATTACTGGCGACATATTGCATGAATTCGAGAGCACTCGGCTCTTCATACAACTCATCAATGAGAGCAGCGTTCAGCTCATCATATGTCGTGATTAGGTCGCGTACTGCGGCAGTTAGCTTATCTGCGCAATCCCCTTGATGGCGAGCAGTTGATTGTTCCATGTCTTCTCTTGTTTTGTAATAATTAGTGTCTTGAAAAGGTAGAGTGCTATCGAGAGATGTTGTTTGTGAGATGGGCAAAGTCATGATGGTGGTCCAAGCTTGTGACGAAAGCACGGCGGCGCCGATGCATGATCGCATCGACATGCACCTAAATGTCTAGAAGTGACATGTTGCGACGACTCTTATTCGCACCCCGAGGTAGCTTCTTCAGAAGCACGCCGGTACCTGCGGCGCAGCGGCGAAACGTCTCGACATCGATCTTCGGATACACAATCTCGGGCACTCCCAAGGGCAACAAGGCGCGTCGACCATCATGGAGCGAGCAATACAAGTTCGTTGGATGGGTGCGTGAAGGCTTTGTGAACGGAGTTGTTGTTCTCCTCTGCGGACATATCCTGCTCGACCACTGCTTCAGCTGGAGCGGTACATGGGGACCGTCAATGCTTCCAACCCTGAACTCGGTCGGCACCACAGTCATCGTCTCCAAGTGGTACCGCCGGGGAAGGGGAATTGAAGTTGGCGACATCGTGTCGTACAAACACCCAGTCGAGGGCGAGGTTACAACCATCAAAAGAGTGATCGGTATGCCTGGGGATTTTGTGCTCAGAGACACGCCTGGCAAGGGAGACGGTACCATGATACAGGTCAGAATGTAGCCTGATCAGACTGCTCTACGCTCTACTGACACGAATGGCAACAGGTTCCTCTCGGCCATTGCTGGACGGTCGGAGACAACCTCAGCGCCTCGCGCGATTCAAGAATGTACGGGCCCGTTCCTCTAGCTCTCATCAAGGGCAAGGTCGTCGCCATCTGGAATGAATGGTTGGAAGGCCCACAGCGTGTGCACAATGCCTTCAGGGACTATCGAGATGCAGGAGAGGTTCAAGAGTCGGCCGTCGCGCGCAATGGAGGTTGAAAGAAACAGGAAGAGCAAAGCACACAACCACCACATTTCCCTCTGACAGCAGAGAAGGCACGCCGCGTTAGAGAGTCTACATCAACGTGCCTGACACCTAAGAGGCAGCACACGACGATACCAAGGCAGCACACACAGTATCAGCTTGGGTCTTGGAATCGGAATGATCCGTGTAGCGTGCAAGAGAAGCATGTCTCGATTGCTTTGAACATGGCAATACAGCTTCGGGCTATGTACAACATGACCAATCCATCACATCTTACTGCTGCCACTCTTGACCCAATCGGCAAAGTCCTTGCGCTGACTTCTGATGTCCAGGAAGCCCTGTCTCTGCTCCAGCGCAGCGTACGGGTTTCCTCTAGGGCCCAGCGGGTCTCCGTTGATGCTCTCGGTCTTCGAGCTCTTCTCCCTCTCCAGCTTGCCCGCCCATACGCGCCATTGAATGGGCTTCAGCTCAGGACTGCCGATCACGATGCCGACACAGAGCAACAGGACAGCTGTCAAGGTCTCCAAGGTGATGTCCAGCGGCAGATCGATTGTCGGGATGATGTATGAGTGGACGGGAGACAGGGGGACGGCGCCTGCGAGGGTGGCTAGGGTCGAGTGTTCGTAAGCACTGTATACGCTGTGGACAGAGTCAGTTGAGACATGGCCGGCCCCGAGCGAACACGAGTTACATACGCATGTGCCAACAGTACAGCGCCGAAGATGTTGAGAGCGCTAGACAAGAGAGCCATGACGCGTGTGCTTGAATTGAAAGGTCGTAGTAAGAACTCAGCCGGAGATGCTGAAGCTGCTTTGGTGACGAGCAAACGCTTGTGGCTTGGCCGTGCGAGTAGAAGAAGAAGGTAAGCCGTGTGCGGCTGGTCTGAGACGGAGCCGGGTCTGGCAATGCACAATGGAAAACCGTTGCTGCCGTGAATTGCCTGTTGTGAGACAGAAGAAGCAACCGGACGCCATGAATCACACGCCAGCTACCTATGAGTACGCCAAGCTTCCCCGGCGACTGCCTCCTTCCTCACAAAGTGCTGCACCTTCCACTTCTTTCATCGTCACTGCCTCCAAGCTCTGAACACACAAAGCTCAAACTTTCTGCTTATACACTGGCTTACCAACACTCTCTCGCGATACTAGGCCAGCCTGCTAATAAAGTATCTCGCCCGATTAGTGATCTCTTTTGTATTTGTTCAGGTGTCTGAGTTCAATTGCCGCTTCTCAACTCCCTGAAACCGTCGTAACGCTTTACAGAATCTGGTCCCTTCATGACCCGTTTCTGCTTGCCTTGCTCCAGATTTCGCTTGTTCTCAAATACTAGAAAACGTGGTAAAATTGTCTTCGACTGACGTTGCACGGTAAGTCGTTATAAGATATGGCGCTCCTGCTACACGTGGGCCTGCTATCTGGCTAAATCCTTCGTCTTCCTCTCGCTTTCCCCATTTCAAGGGCTTCTTTGTGATAGGGTCTCGTTCCGTTCAAAATGCATATTCCTACTTTCCGGTCTCTCGTTTGCCTTTCTTTGCTCACTGTCCCTTACGCATCGGCTATTCCTCTTGATGAGAACCTTTGGCCTAGGGCTGCTACCAGTATGCCATGTTCAGACTGACCGAATTTTGTAGCACCGGCTAATCAAACACAGCATGTAATTCCAACGATATAAAGACCGTGAACAAGAGCAACAAGCAACCGATGACATACTGCAAATCATGGCTATCCACCAAGCAATCAAAGTCGACAGTAAAGGATCTCTCGGTTGCCCAAGTAAGCAGTGCTTGCACATGCATTCTGGCATCTGCTTCGTCATCCCCTGCTGCTGCTGCGAAGAAGACGACCGCTAGCACCAAGAAGACAACGAGCGCTACGAAGAAGGCAACAAGCACCACAAATAAGATTTCGTCGACCAGCAAGGCGACATCGTCCACGAAAAAGACCACCTCATCCACGAAAAAGGCAAGGACCTCGATCAAAACAGCCCTCAAACAGGTCTCCATCACAACCAAGGCATCATCTTCGTCTACGGAGAAGGCGTCATCATCATCTACGAACAGACCATCTTCGTCTTCTACGCAAAAGACATCCTCCACACAAAAGACCAGCACCTCCAGCAAGAAGACCACGACAACAGCTTCCACGTCGAAGCTGTCAACCTCGGCACAGAAGACTACCATCAAATCGACCAGTGTCACGAGCCAGAAGCCAGCTCTGACGTCTGCCTCGATCAAGCAGAGCAGTAGCAGCAGCTCCACTGCAGCTGGCTCAAGTCTCTCGTCATCCAAAATCACCGCAAGCTCATCTATTCGCTCCATCATCTCAAGCTCGTCTTTCGCTTCTTCGTCGTCATCCAGTACTTCATCTTCCTTCGTTGCCCCATCAGGAAGTGCTATTCCAACAGATCCAGTAACAAGTGTTGTTGCCAATCAAAAAGCGCCTGCCTCAGTCTCGACGCGAGCATCGTCAGGTGCTCAATCATCCTCCAATGTCGCGGCTTCGAGCCAGACTTCTTCGGCAATCACTAACTCAAAGGATGCATCGACTGGCAGCGACATCGTCACAAATGGAAATTTCAACCAAGGCTCTACCGCTGGCTGGCACGGAGCACGGGCTTATGGCACCAAATTCAACGTAGCTTCGCTCGCTGGCGACTCGAACTACGAGGCACTTGTCAAGTACGCACTGGTTGTGAACGACAATGCAAGTGGTCAGCTTTACCAGAATGTGACCATTCCTGCCAACTCGGCCTGGCAGCTCGGTGCCGACGTCTATCTCAATTACCCTAACGGTCTTCCTGCCGGCGTTTCTTGTGTCATCAAATACAGTCTGGGCAGCGATGCAATTATCCTTAAGCAATACGGCGTCGCATCTTCTAGTGGTGCAGTTCTGTCCGACACCGCTTCTGGACAATTATCAACAGGTTTCACTGGCAGGTTCCAGATCGACACCTACTGCAGCACCACCACTTCAGCTGCAAGCTTTGCTCTGGGCTTTGGCAACATCCAGCTTCTCATCTCGGACGCTGGAAGCGCAGCAACTTCGACTACTGCAGCTTCAAACGCTGCTCTCGCTACAGCTCCAGCATCCTCGACGACGAGCTCGGCAGCAAGCGCCAGTGCAACATCCACTAACATGCTGACCAACGGCAACTTCGGTTCAGGTGACTACACAGGCTGGGCCCTGTTCCGCCTGGGCAATCCCACTTTTGCAATCCAAGGCAACCCTGGTACCTATGTCAGTTATATCACATTCCCCGCCGGCGGCGATGCAAACTCCCAGGCTTCTCTTATGCAACAGTCTGCAACTGCGATCGCTGGCAAGACATATACTGTCTCCATGGGTCTTCTTCTCAATTATCCATCTGGTCTGCCCAACGATGGTTCTTCTTGCAGCTTACAAGTGTACTTTGTCGATTCCAATGGTTTCGGCATGTCGTTCGTCCAGACGACATACAAAAACGGCGACGCGGCGTACCAGAGTATTTCTGGCACTGGTTCGGTCAACAATGGTTTCAACGGCGTTTTCGATATTTTGATCAGGTGTTATGGCAGTGCGTCGGCGATTGTCGCAGGTGTCGAGGATGTACAGCTTCTCGAGTCTTAGAAATTTGGTTTCTCCTTCTTCTTGTAGACAATTAATTCTCGGCATTGGACCGAGTAATTCTCCATACTCCAAGACCTCTCCTCTTCGATCTGATGGCTTTTCCGTAGGCACATGATGAACAAGTACGAAATTCTGGCCCAGGTCACATATACATGCCATAGTATCAGTGTCCCAGTTGTTTCTTGCGCTCTCCGATATCTGTTATCTTCAAGAGGTCCTCGTAACCTTCAGGCATCGCTTCTGGACCCGTGAAATGACAAGAGTGGCAAAGGTACTTATTGCCGTCATCTCCAGCCTCTGCAGCCTGACCCTGATCTTCAAGATCCTGCTTACCATTTTCTTCACCTTGGGGTTGCTTCTCCCTCCACCACATCTTCACTCCTCCATGCCTAGACACCAAGCATTTGCCACATTTGTGCTGTACCCTCTGCTCGTACAAGACGGGTACATGCGTTTTCCAAGGCAAATCCTCCATTGCCCACGCGTGTTGCACAAGCATATGGACTCTATTTCTCAGTACGTAAAGTGGATCTGACGCCTCCCGGACCTGCGTGTACGACCGCAATCGTTTGATATAAGCATCGTGGTTGGCTTTCTGCCATCGTCCATAGCTCGGTCGGGTTCTCGTCAACGATGCCTCGCGCTCCTTGTAGACTGGATCCGTGTGGAATCTTGTACGTCTTCTCACATACTGCCGACGTCTTATTTCCGGCTCGTTCGACCAGTTCCGGAGAGGAGCGCCTGAGAACATGCGCGCATTTTTTGCGACGAACGTGAAGGTTGTGATGGGTAATCTAATGACACCGAGCATCCTGAGCATATTGAGAGCCATTGCTCCAGGACCAACAGTAGTGTATGTCGAGCTGAAAACGATGTGCCGCCGAGACCAAGCTTGTGATGTATACTGGCCAGCCAAAGATTAGATCGAGGAAGCGAAGAGTGCTATGGTGATGTCGGAAGTGTGCTGCTGAGAGGCCATAGCCGAAAAGTATGGTGGAGTACTCAGGATTGCCTGGCCAACAAGCGAAGAGGTCATGATCAGGGTCGCACCTTCTTTTCCAAGGTCTTTCGTTTCTTGACAGTCACGCAACTCGTAGTGTGTAGAGAGTGTTTCGAGTGTTACCTTAATGCTGCAAGAGTGTAGGGAACTATCATGGAGCCTCATATTCGAGATCTGATGATGAGAAATGTCCATTTTATCTCAGTACAAGCCACTCAACCCATCAGCACGCTCGTCCAATCGAACTTCTCCCAGCGTTTCCGGAAACTCTCAACTCTGGGATCTTGTCTGATCCATCTACCTTGCTTCTTGATGATCTCCGGCCCCTTCCTCAGCATACCTCCAATGACTTCCCTCGCAAAGAGGTCGCCCTTTGGCCATCGACGCTCGTCCTCAATCACATGACCCATGCCTCCATCCAACGTAAACCAGACGTGAAAGTACGGCATCTCCTTGACTAGGCTCTTCCGGAACGCTTGCTTACCATAGCCAGCGCGTTGTGAATTTGCAAGAGTGTCGATGAGCTTCTTGTGTTGACTCCACTCTTCATCGGCGCTGAGGATCGCTTCTTTGAAAAAGGCAGGCGCGTTGTCAGCGAGATGGAGAGGCACAGGGACAGCAAATAGGGCTGCGTGGCCGCGTCGACTGTGCATGTGAGCTGCATTCTCATAGAAGATGACGCCCTTGTCGCGTTCGTAGTACATGCGAGTCAAACTCTTCATGAAGTTGCGAATCTCTTCCCACTCGTCGTCATCACATTCCAGCAGATTGAGATGATGTTGAATGGGCACAATGACAGCTCCGCCTGCCGCCAGTTCCGGCTCGGTCTGTAAAGTCATGTATACTCTTGTGGCTAGAGAGACGATTGGCGCCGCCGGCGGCGTGTTTGTGTCCTCATGATGACACAGAGGACATGAGTCGAGAACCTTCTGCATCTTTTGAAAGTCACCGATAGCAGTATTCCGTAGGTTGATCTCTGACTTGCCGACTTTCTTGGCAAGCTTGCTCGCATTCTCGTCCATGTAGTCCAGGTCATCGGTGAACTTTGCGTCCTTAGCAATGCGTTCTGCAAATGCTTTGCCTTCACCGCCGGCGATGCCACGAGTACGTCGCTCTTGACGGACCATGTCTTCAATACTCATATCTTCATTCTCCTCCACGTGACCACGTTCGCGACCGCGCTTGTTCTCGATGGTCTTTACCTCGCTGCCACGACCGCCGGCAAGCATACGATTCTCGACAGCACTGAGGACCATCACATCTGACTGCTTATTGTTCGCGGCCGAAGCAACGGCAGCTTCGTACTCGGCCTCTAACGTGCCGGCATTGGAATCTTTACGTAACTTGGCCTTCATCAGCTGCGCTTTGAGCCTGTTCAAAGCGGTCTGGTCTAGGACTACAGTGGTCGCCAGCGGTGGAGCCTCGTCCATGACTTGACCTTGGATTGGGTTAGCGTGCTGCGGCACAGGCATATCTGCAGCAGGCTCGGGTGATTTGCGGTGTAGACCAGCTCTTTGTTTCCGCTCAGCGTAGAGTTCACCGCTGGGCTTCTCTAGACCGACGTAGTCCTTGCCGTACATCTGACGCCGGTCCAACTCACGCTCTTCCTCGCGTGCGTCGTCGAAGTCCCTCAAAGAGCCAAAGCGTTCCATGGCGATGTCATCCTCGGGCCGGCCGGAGTCTTTGACTTGACGGTAGACGGCGTTCAACTTTGTCATGCGCCATTGCGAGCCTTGGTCTCCGAAGGTGTAGGATACCTCATGATGAATAGGTTCGTCGTCGACAAGCGGAGCATCTTGTGCCTCTTCGTCGTCTTCTTCTAGGTCTCTCGCGAGTTGTTCGAGATCTCTTTGGTGTATGTTACGATCCAACTGATCCTTTGCAGAAACGAATTGTGAGGGTGGAGATTTCGGGCGCGGGCGCTGAACGTAGTCAACGTTGAGCGATGAAGGAGCTTCCATCCACGTGTCGCGCTTGAGATACTTGTTGGCAGTTGCTTCAAGTTGCTCGTCAAGGATGTCCTCTGTCGGTGGCGCAGTCATGGCTTCCTTCTCTACCCAGTCACCCTCGTCTTCGACATCGTCTCTCTGCGTGGTCGCGGCGCGAGGCGAGCGACTGCGCCTTCGTTTCGAGCGACGCTCTCTTCGATCTTCATCGTCTTCCCTGTCGCGGTGATGCCGGCGTTTGTGTCTGGAGTCCGAGTCTTCATGACGCGACGAGCGGTGGTGGTGTCTGTGACGTCGACGGTCCTCGTCCTTGTGGCTGTCTCGCTCGTCTTTACTACCGTGTCTCTTACCATCAGACTCCTTTGTCTTGTTGGCTGCTAGCTCTTTCTCGAAATCTTCAAGACCCATGGTTGGCAGTGTTAGGGTGGAAATATCTAGCTTGTGAGACTTCGAGACTACAAATGACGCTGTGACGCGCTCGGTGGTCAGTGCAGGGTCACCCCATCAAAGAGACCTACCACGATCACCGAAACTCGTTCCTGTTCTCTGCCATTGAAATTCAACATGGGCCCAGTATGGTAAATCCCTTGTCTGGCTGCCGTTGTCTGTGGGCTTGATGAGAAGTATTGCTGTGTCAGTCTGCGCCGATGTACTCCGTGAATGACAGTTGGAGGTATGCACTTACCAACCGATCCACAGACAAAGGCACGTACGGCACCAGGCTGGCTCCTTTCTAAGCGTACATTGCCTCGTTGTCGTCGACGTTTCACCGCTGCGTGCAATCTACCACTGACTCTGCCACATTTATGCGGATTGCTTACTCGACTCTAAGCGACAGCACCCTGACATGTCTCTGACATATCTCCGTTCGATCGCCATCAGCCATGGAATGCACTCCGGCGGACACAACTCCCACACAGGTCTAGAGCATTCTATTTACCGACGCGGGTATCAGTTCGCGTCCTTCACCACACTAGTCCTTCTCACATGCTTCCGGGTTCCAAATCTGCGGACCTAAGTCCCAGACGGCTGGCTACAGCCCTTGGTCAGTCCCGCCTCAGGCATTGGCTTCATTCTCCGAAGACGGAGCCCACTGCTTCTCTAGAGATCCCAAGCAGACCACTATGGCAAATCCTAATTGTACCATGCCAATATCTAATCATGCAAAAGGCAGTGGATGCATTCACGCGAGGGCTTGACGCGCAGCCTCGTTGGTTCATCGGAAATGGTCATCAATGCACATATGCACTGGATGCTGCTCATCGCAACGCATCGAACCGAATGATCATGCTCCAAAGCCAGATGCCCCAAAGGCTGCGAGATTCGTAAGGTCTTGGACCTCATGCCATGTCTTCACGGACTTCGTTCAGCACTACATCTGAGCGCCCATGTACGCACCCGTCAGTCTAACATACGACATCTTGGCGCGGCAGCTTCGCAGGCAGGTCCAGAGGGGTCGAAACTGCGACTAAACTACCTGACATCAGGGTAAGAGTACACACGATGTTATGCCGTATACCTCATGGATCCTTCCATTATAGTCGGAACATTGTGCTATTGACAGGCGGCTCCGGTACATCGTTTTAGGGTTACACATTGTACGTATACTTAGGCTCGCCTCCGCCCGCATGAACGATTGTCGTTCCCCAGTCATAGAACGCCATATTATTGTGGCTGAACATTTGAGTGAAGTCCTTCAGGCAGGGCCCCACATCAGTCATCATGCATCAGACTACGAACTGCAGCATGTAACGAACAGACAGTTCGCGTCCGACAGACGTTCGCGTAAGACTATGAAAATTTATTCAGCATGACAAGGGAAACCATGTATTCTGCAGTATGCGGGTAACTTAGATTGAAAAGACCGGCTGCAAGTCCGCGCTGCATGAGCTATGCACGAACGAGAGTACTTCATTTGAAATGTCATAGTAGCGATCACCGTCGTGTCGATCTTGCAGGGCGGACGGGAACAGAAGACGGCGTAGAGAGGTGTTCTTACCATCGATGTCAGATCATGGACGGAGACACGAACTCGGCGAAGACCAAGGTGGTGCTCACATCATGCCAGAGGATCATAGAGTAAGGGATGTTCGCAGGCCACGAGTAGCACGAAGAGATGTTTACGCATCGCGGCGCGCGGTGCAGACGATGGGAAAGCAATGATGTGGCAGTCCGCAGACCAGAGTTGTTACTTAGCCGCGGACTCGCACAGCTTGCTGGATGTCAAGACGGGTGGAACATGAATAGCTTTATCCGTTGTGCCGACATGAGTGACATACGTGCACCGTAAACTCGTCCAAAGACTGCCGCAGATCACACTTTTCTCCGAAAAATCGTCACGCTCGAAAATCTTCTTGTTTCGCCGACGCGGTCTAACCTTGGTCGCTCACGTAAAGAGGTGTGACAAGCACCTCCTTTCCAGAAGGTAGAAGTGTTGACCGAGATCGATGATCGAAGATTGCGCTGGCAGTTCGCTAGCGACGAACACCAATATTACATACATGGGTAATAGACTTCGAGGGTCAGTTCTCTCGCGCATCGATAGCTGGTCCGCTACCAACTTGGCGAACAACATTTCAGATCCTTTACGCGATACCGAAGCAACCGGACATAGCTGCTTTGTCACAAAGTCCGTAGAGGATATACTTTCGAATATCGACCCCTAAGTCGAAGAAGTGTGAGGCTCATATCGAAGATACATTACAGTGGTGACATGCAGGAAACTTTCTCGCGCGGGGTTAGGTTTGTGATGTCCTGAGATTCTGTTAATTGGAAGGGAATGACATCAATCGCCCTCGAGCAGCAAGGGTCTTCAAGCAAGCCATGAGACACGAGGCGCTCAATAGATTGTGTACGTGTCGCAGATCTACACGGGTAAAGAAATCTCGCGGGATTCTCGTAGAACGAGCTCGAGCCGCCTTCCATGCAGGTTCTACATCGCCATGATTGAAGAACAGGACATTTGACCACATATCCATCGGCATTGCATGACCTAGCGTAGACAAGTGCGATCGTGAGACTGCCTTCCACTTGCCGAGAGCACTTACGCAACTATGCGACAAAACCGGAAGGTGGTCAAAATGGGTTCTGGTAGCCCATCATTCGTTTTGCAGAGATTTACTGGGTCATCGAGATCTGTGCCCTGAGTAATCGCAGGACGAACCTACCACGAGAGCTAAGATTCGAAACGGTTATGCGAGTCGCGAGCACCTAAGTCCTGACCCACGTGCGGAGAGGAGGAGCCACGGTCTACAAAGCATGGCGTTCGAAGCGATCCGGGGGAATGACGAAGTGGAATTTCGACTGGAAAAGTGTAAACCATTCAAAATGGAACTGAGAAGGAATTCATGAACAATGAGCTGCTCTGTGATATAATGCATGCCAGAGACAACGAGTCACAGTTGCCAGATCTGTAACATCTGTTTCTCGTATGCACCAGAGGAGCAAGGGATCGATCGATGTCTCTGAGGGGCTGAGTCGGACAGTAAAATTGACCTCGGTACGATAGAGGAGCAAAAGCAGGGTTTTCATCCAGGGACCACTTCTGACAGCGACGATCTCTTTAACATCGGCGATGGCAGCTTGTCCCTGGCACCGTGCGCACCATTGGGCGTGTGCGGCTCTGCGGGTCTTGACATTGGGATTTCTCAAAAGCTGAGACTGGAGAATACGATCACGACGTCATACGAGAGCAACTCGAGGAAAGACCTGTCAACCTCGAACTTCATCCAACACACCAGTTCTGGCAGAAAAAATAGAATGCCAAATGGCCCGGATACGAGGATTTGAACTGAGGCTCTGAGGAATCCAAGTCCGTCAGTCGGACGTGCTGATAAGAGGGACGGCAAAAGCAAAAGAACAGATTCGTTCAAGCAGATCTGCTTGAGGAGCAGTCCCCGGGGTACCAATAGCTTGGTTATGCTTTGTAAAGCGATTCGAGGAGAGGCCAATCATTTCGAGCAACCCATTCTGCGGGTGGCCCGGTGTCCCTGGCACTGTCGAAGCGGCCATTTCAGGGCACCGATGGATGAGGTGGGTATCTCTGGAAGACAGCAACGTCATGACTTGGTCATAGCTTACACGATGATTTATAGGTAATTACTATCCCGAGGTCGTTGGTCGGCTGCCTGCGACAGAGGATTTGGGGCGTACAAGCAAGGGACCGATATCGTAGACACTAGGTGAAACAAGTTAGAATGATTAGTGTGTTGTGCAGGCAGAGCCTCAGGCCCTGCTGTGTAGAGACATGGATTTAGACAAAGCTGGGATAGCGTCCACAATTACAACGAAGTTTAAATCGATGGCAGCATGTTGGAGTTCAAGGGTGTTCGATGATGCGACGGTGGACACGTTGGAATCTTGGTAGGTAGCGATGCAGCAAGAATTCTCGAGCGGTTGTGCCGATGCTAGTCAAGCGATCAATTCTTTGTTGCAGAAAAACACGGCTGAAAAGAGATGACCTGGGGAGAGGGATCGAGAATGCGGTGACATCGACGGTGATTGACAGAGGTGGGGGCAGGATTGACAGGAACATCCGGAAAGGGACTTGGCTAAATTTGGTAAGACCAGCTGCAGGGTCGAATGGTTCTGCCACACCTTGTGATGCGAAAGCCTTGAACATGCGCCTGCCCGATGCGGGTTAACGCCAAAACTCTGCAAGGAAGCCACACTACTCCGTACAGCGGAGCGATTGTGGATAGAGTAGTGATCAGAATTGCCGACGCGAGAGCGAGATGGGAGAGGGGTGTGAAGAAGCGTGTTCGTACACGAAAGACTTCGTCGCATCTCGCACCTCCGGAAAGGGCGGTTCGAAGCTGGCCGCGAATCGTCAAAGGGGCGACATGAAAACATGGTTCGCGTGGTGACAGAATCTCTATTTTCACGCACGCGTCGTATGGGCGCACATGTATGAGTGTCGCAGAAAGGCACGAGACGAGCGAGTCAGTAAGAAGTTCGCGTGCTTCGAAGAAGACCCCTAGCTTAGAGGCACAAATTGAATGAGATCACGATTTGTCGGCGGATGTTTCGCTGGCTGCAGTCGCAATCGAGCAAGCCCAGCGGTTGGCAAGGGTCGAGCTTAGGGGGAGAGGTCGGTAAGACCAAATGCAAGTTGCATGACCAGTCGCAGCATCGCAGGAGAGGGTTCCCGGCTCAGATCGCCGATTGCACATTCAGGGCCCCGCTATTCTGTCAGGCAGGGCTGGCGTGTGAACGGGCACTTGTCGCGATAAGGTTGCGTTCAAGCATGCATGTATCCCGGCGCAGACGAAGGATGGCGCTGGCCGTCCGCGGCGAATATGGTGATCCCGTCTATGGGATTACTCGGCCGTTCGTGGCTTTCCAGGGTAGTAATTGGGTTGGCCATCCCGGCTTCGCCATAACAGGATCCTAGTGCGGTCAAAGTGCTCCACGACCGAGCAGAGACAAGTGGGAAGCTTTGCGGCATCCCCTCGCGCGCCGTGCGTTGTCTTCCCTTCATAAAGTACCCGTCTCCCTCGCCCAGTACAGGTCTTGAAAGTGTTTGTCCTCCTCAAGACCTGGTCCACCTCGCACCTGTCCTTATCTTGAACTATACAATACAGCCTTCTCACTCCACCAAACACCATACCTGTACAGCTTAGGCTTTTATAAAGTTCCGCCTTCCCAAGTGCATATATCTTCTGCGGTCTTCATCCGCAGACTGGCCCAAGACTCTACTCCTCATGATGGACGGTAAAAACAGCATCGGAAGGAAGGTATCATTGCTCAACGACGACTCGCACACTGCTGCCGTGCTGCACCGTCTGCCGCCGCTGAGCGTCTACTACCGCCCCACGCACTCGCGCTCGCCAAGTTTGGCTTCGTCGACGCCCAGCGTTTCCCCACAAACACCCCGATTGGTGAGAAGCGAATCGTCGGATTCCCGTGGCCTTCCACTTTCACCTCTCACACCACCCCCAACATCCTTCGACCATCCGCATCACTCAAAGTCGGCCCACTCTCACTATTTCGCCGGACCCGCCACCTCATTTGCCAAAATGGACGACTCGACGACTTCCGTCTACCCTCCGGTTCCGGACGCCCAGGCCAGTGCGCCTTACCCAATGCCCATCTCACAGGTCGCATCATCGACAAGCCAACACATGCCGCAAACCTATCGCAGCTCCAACTCGCCCGTCTCAGAGTCCTCCCGCGCTGCTCCGGCCGCCAATAAAGCCTCGACCAAGAAGAACCACTACCCCTGCCCACTAGCGAAGCACTACAACTGCAGCGACTTCTTCACCACCTCCGGCCACGCCGCTCGTCACGCAAAGAAGCACACTGGCAAGAAGGACGCCTTCTGCCCCGAGTGTAACAAGGCCTTCACCCGCAAGGACAACATGGAGCAACATCGTCGTACGCACCAGAACGTCCGTGGTCCCTCGAAGACGTCGGTCGATGGCCGTGTCAAGAAGTCGACAAAGCCTGCACCACGCAAGTCTATCTCTGGTGCAATGGAAGCTGCTGCCGTCGCTCACTTGGAAGAGCACCAACCACAACCACAACATCAACAACCACCTCAACATCAACACCAGTACCTTTCCACACAACAACCTATCATGTCCACTAGCCCTTACTACATCAACCCAGACCCAATCCAACCCCTGCCGCAACCAATCTCATCCGATTTCAACACTAGACCTCCGCTCTACCGCTCCAGCTACCCCAGCTCTCTCGACTTTCTCCCTCCACAGGCCAGTCTAGTGCAAGACCCCGATCTTCACTACAGCTACCCTTCTCCTGGTCTCTCAAATGGCCTGGACACTCTTGCTCTGGCCGCAAGTGACCATCGTCGCATGTCTGGCGAAGACTCATGCTAGATTGTCTCCTGCCATACCATGGTCACGATGCTCATATCACGAACTCTCAACGTCGGCACGGCTTCTCTTCCATGTTTTGTCCTTTTGTCTTTTCCGCACGCACATATACCCAGTTTCGATTCTGCCTTACCTTATTTCCCCTAATGCTGGCGGGGGACCTGCCCCAGAGGTTGACCACACTGACAAGCAAGAGGGACTTGCAAGTCTGGTCTCATGTATCACTAAAAGCATTGTACGAGCGTTGGAGGTTTCTGACTTTTTCATTTCTAAAGACTCACGATGGCACGCATGGATTTTATCTTACAATGCGGTCGCCCAAGTGCAAACCATGCCTGGTGCACAGGACTCAAAAGACGAAGAACGAAGATTGGCTACTAGAGCCCTCTGTTATAGTACGGTGTACTAGAAGTAGCGACCAAACAGTATCACCAAAAGATGGCTTCAAGCAAAACGTTCTCATAGTCCACTTCCCACTACGCCGTAGCAACCGTGTAAATTGAATGTGTTCAACGATCGGTCGATCTGACAGTCCGTATCGAACCGGCCACAGGTAGTAGGTCAGCTCGCGATCGTAAATCACAAAGGATTCAGGACAGTCCGGCGTTTCCGAGAAGAGTGCAGTGATGGAGTGGCGTAGGAAATGTAACGGATTCATGAAGTGCTCCATCGCAGCACTTCACCGACTCAAGCGGACTCAAGTGTAGCAGTTCCAAGCGATCCCAATGCGGCACACCGCGCGACCAGCGAACGGCTTTTTCGGAGGGCCCCTCCGCCCCGCCTGTTCTCTTACGTCCGTACGTCGAGCACGGAACCGCAACCTTTGATGTGTCGTAGCAATCGTGCCAGTGACAGAATTGTGATGACACCTTGTTCATAGGTACACTACTGTCGCCATCCACGATCTTTTCCAAGCCGAGGCCATCACCTATCCAGCCACCTCGCCCAACCAATAACCATACAAATCCTATCATTAAGGTCCGCGGTAGTGGCTTCCGAAGGCATAAACGCGCGCGAGGCCGACTGAACCCCTTCTCTCGATAGTCCACGACCGAACATTAACCGTGTGGAGCCCTTCGCACGTACCATGTACCTCTTTGGTTCGGACGGTGTCAGCTGAAGTCGGTTTGTCTGGGCTTCATATGCAGACACGTCATACTGTAGGAAGCTCGCTGCAGGGATCCGTCAAAGTCTGGCTGAAAAGTCATGACAGTGTGTAAGAGCGAGCTGACCTGCAGATGGGCACTCGTTCATGTTGCCCCAGGACCCTGTGTCTTCTAAGCCAATAGAAAACAATGGGGCCATTGCAACATCCTTCGGGATCGCGCTACCAGCGAACACGTTTCGCGAGTCAACATCACTACAGTTCGCGATCCTTCAAGGAACGGTGACATTCTAAACATTGTTTGGTATGTTGAGGACAATCTGCGACCGGTCAAAATCTGCGACTGGTCAGTTCAATACTTGACAGCGGGCCCCTGGTGTCGGTAGTCGAATCCTACAGGGAGTGCCGTCACAGCCCACCTCGCCGGCGGCCACTACTGTACCTACATACGCCAGCTATTATGCTTTTGCGTTTACAATTTGCGTTTATCGGACCTCATGGCCATTCATCACATGGTCACGTTGAAACCAGCTCGAAGCCACTAACCAGATCCTCCCGCAGGAATGAGTACTCATGTCCAGACTTCGAGTTGCTCGATTCTATTTGGGCGCATACGGAGAGACGTCCCTGATATGTTTTGTGCAAGTTCGATCCACAGCGAGGCACTGCCGCACTGGTGCCTCTTAGTTGTGCTACCACAGTCGCTGTCCTCAATTGTGGTTGGTCGTCAAGGGTCTGTCCTGAAGGTATCCGGAGGATCCATTTGAGAATCCCGCACGTTTATTCTCCACCTTCTCTCGCTCAGTGTTGCGGGCGATATCTGGGGGCAGATCTCCCCCACACCCTTGCTCGCAAGAAACACTGCCTCTTCTCGCGGGTGCGCGGTTTTTGGGCATCTACAGCCCTCGAAGTACTCGTCTACTCCTCACAGTACCACTGAACTCTGTCTGAGACTTCGCCTCACAGATCAGTTTGCACCTCGCTCAACTCTTACTAGTTTGTTCACACTACCAAGCTTGTGTAGACCTCCAATAGATTATACCCTTTCTGTTTCAAAAGCATTTCAACATGTCGAGTGTTATACGCTCGATCTCCACATGAGCTCGTTCACTCTCAGTCTCGGCTGAACGTACTTGGGTAGAGCTTGAGGCTCCTAACATGTGGTGATGCAGGTCTCGGGCCTTTTCAACTCTATCGACAATCATCACTTGCTCGAGCATCAAACTAAACTTTGCATACCTGCGGCCACTAGATCCACGTCGACCGAAGAGAAGCTAAAAACAGGATGTCGACATCAAATGCCTCCTTCGACTGACTCGTAGAACGATGGTTTGAGAACCCCTCTGATCGCTGATACCCTCGAGTCATGATACCGTTGCAACGGTCCATCACCAGTCTCGGCCATCCCCGACAACACACGGTCGCGAGCGAGAGAGCCTCAGGGTAGTCCTTTGCCGGAGTTGATAGCCTTCTGCACTTCTGATGTATTTGGTCGGTTTTCTGCAAGTTATGGGGTCAGCCAATGGCTCCGCAACCCCGGGCCGGCATCTCGAGCCTGGGTCCTTGGGCTAGGTACGGTACTTACCCGCGTAACGCTCATAACTATCCAAGTACAACTCGTCTGTGCTTGTAGTGGCCTTGACGGCATGGTTTTGCTCGATAGCGTCGACCCATTTAGCCCAGCGAGTGCCAGCCTCAGGCTCGGGCCAGCCCCTGTACGGCTGGAGGACCTTACGAAGGCGAATTATCCATGGCGCAATCTATGCCCGATCAGCAACCAGGTCCGTAATCTGGGTGGGGGAGTGGCGCGGTACCTGAACATCCACGAATGACATGTTATCGCCCAAGAAGAATGGACCAGACTGATCAGCAGCGTCGACAAGCTTCGACATTTGTCCTTTGAGCTCTTCTGCATGCTCAATCTGATCCTTTTCATCTTGAGCTTGTAAGTAACGATAGAAGTTTGGTACGATACTCCGATTGACCTGTGCTGCCGATGAGCTCACATTACCTGACGTTCGTCATGCTGCAGTCAATCTTACATGGTCAGACCATAAGCGAGAATACGCCCTCAACTTCGGATCACTGGGCAGCAGGGCCTCGCCCTCGTGCAGATCTTCGAGCTACACATTCTCCTGATCAGCCTCTGGGAGTATGTGAAAATTCAGGGGGACCCAACGTATTCCATTAGCACAGTGGATTCGTAGGAGCCCCAGTCACCATGTCGAAGGGCCGGGACTAGACCACGAGGATTGACTTCCAGTAGCTGCTTTGGCTTTTTGTAGGGATCGACCTGCACCACGTCCATCGTCAACAACTTTGCTCACTCGTACCTGCTCTGCATAGCGAGAGGCGTCGCGGTGTGGGTATCAAGGTATGTGCCTTTACTCAGAGGACGCCGGTGCTCTTGTCCACCCTGACTCCTTCGGCGAGCTGTCATGGAGTTTGGGGAGATTTGATATGGAACCCTGAGCCGGCTTCGCGAGGGTGATAGAAACTCGCTTATGACAAATGCCATGGCTCCTGTTCCTTGGTGTCGGCTCAAGAGAACTTACCTCGATATACTGATAGTCGAGTCGCTTCAGTTCAAGAGAGATCCACACTCTCTGCACGAAAGGACTGCGCAATGGTTCGTGTCAACATAAATGACCCGCAAACTCGAAGCGAAAACAAATCTAAGCGCTCAAGATATTGTCCTTCACAGGACCGAGCCTTTACAGCAACAGGAAGCTCTAAAGAGGGTTGCTGTGCTCCGCCCTAATATGAGATATTCGGTCAACATACCAAAAACAGCTTCCAAATAGTTTGAGCTCATGATCCTCAGAGTGGCTCTCGACTGTCTCAAGTGCAGCGCCCGTGGCCTTTTTGTGATACGTCTTCTTGTCAGGGTTCCCGTTTTGGTTGGCATCCATGGTTGTGAATCGAGTGGTGGATGTGAATTGCACTTTGAAGGTTTGAATATGTTTTCGATTTATCGAGCAGTCTAAGTTATGGCCTAGATTAGGATGGCAAACTTGACATAAAGAGAGAAGTCTTCGTTCGATATTGACAGTCACTTGAAGACGTGAAGTTGAGCAAGCGATGACGATGATGCTATAGATTGACGGACCCCGCAAGATGACGAATTGCTGCCGTACCAACCATCTCACCCAAAGATTGTCTCAGCATCAAGAACAAAAGGTTGAAGCTCGACAAGGGCGAATTACCACTGCGTTTCGGATCCTACAACTCTGCTTTGTACTTGTGAGCAGGGAGATGCAAATCTTGTTCGCTCTTGCCATTGTTCCATCAGCCATGATAATGAAGGCACTCGAAGGCGGTAAGTGCGTCATGGCCGCTCCTGCCGGGTCGAGCTCACGCAAGCAAGTCCGTAAATCAGGGAAAGAGAGATGAATGAGTGTGCAAACATGTTGCCTGCTCAGTGCTCCAAACTAGACGCGCCTTCCTTTCCATCAACCACAAACTCACTACTTTCTTCGCCATCGCATCCACATCTCCGTCATGGACGTGAGTCTGCTCTCTGGAGTAGCGAGAGGCAGCAGAGAAACTGACTTGATGATAGAACTTCCGCATCTACAACCAGGCAACCGCCGCCTTGCTCGCCCTCGAAGCTGCGCCCCTCCTTCTCAGCCCTAGTATGGCTGCTTGGATGGCTTCGTCTGAGCCCAAGACCGTCTCAGCTTTCGAGACTCTGGTCGCACGTGAATTGGGGTTCGCCCTGCTCTTGTGCGCCTTCCTCGCACTGCTCTTCTCGGGCGAGTTGCACCGCCTATGGGATGACGCCGAAAACGTGCCCAGTGCTTCTGCCACCCCTGCATCTCCTTGTATGCTATGAACACTGATCACTCTGTCTGAGTTCCAAGGCTAATGCAAACTAGACTCGTCGGCCACTACCATCGCAACCCTCCTGTACCACCTCGCAACTGGCATTCTGATGTACATCTCTGGCACATCTGCACAACTCTCTGGAGTCCTGATTGCAGGCGCTTTGGCACACATGGCACTGGGCGTCGCAGGACTTTTGGTTCTGACCTTCGCAAACGATGGGAAAATCAGCAAGCGCACAGGCGCCGACAAGAGAACTTCGGGTTTCCTCTTCAAGAACAACGCTCATGTCCAAAAGCACTCATGATCACTGGGTACGAAGGTTATGTTACAAGACGCTGATTGCACATCGACTCGCCAACCCTGGCGAAAGATATAGTCGAGTAGTCAAAATATCATCAAATATCTCCAAGACTCACTTTCACATATCCACTCGGGAGACTATCGTTCTTTCTTTGCATAGAGAGATCCAACGCGAAAAATTGAGCTATAGAACCCCCAATCATTACTGGCTCTCCAGACCGATTTCCATCCTCTTCGATCATTAATTCAGAAAGTACAACATCGCGGATCTTCCGAACCAAACCGTCAGCATGCTCTCAGCGTCGTAGTCCAGCTTCGCGGTCGAATCCACACTTGCCAATCCTCTTGATACCGAACTCACAGGCCCTAACCAACACTGGGGTACGCTCGATGCTGAGGCCCAATTCAAGCTGTTCAAGAAAACATTCCATGCCAACTCACCTCCCGATGTAGGAGAGCCCCGATTCATCGAGAACAACTGTCTTGAGCTATTAATAGACACCGAAACAGAGCCAACTGTACTTCACATCACCCCTGAGGCATACACGAACGGCAATGCCGGTCGATGGTACTTCCGCTGTACCCTCTCTCACGACAAAAGCTTCCGTTGCTTCGCCGACGTTCGCGGCTGCCATTCCGAGAACTATCCTTATCATTGCAACATGGCCTCCCGTGCACAGGTCAGCGGCGGTACAATAAGATATTCTACACTTGGGTAATCGGGGGATGCGACTTCTTCAGTTTCAAATCGGATGTTATTCATAGCAAGGAAGTCATCCAGAGATATGAAGGATCTCGCGATGTCGCGGTGATGGCACAGGCAGACTTTTGAATAGACATTTGGATCTTGCGTGTTGGTCATCTGACAGCTGTACTCAAGCAGATATGTGTGCCACTCTCGAGAGGATATATAAAGTGCTCTTTACAAATTTGACTTCCAAGCCATCTTTGTAAAGTACAACTGTGGATTGTGCTTCTCTTGCACCTACTCGATGAGGCAGGTGGTGATGCTTCTGATGAGATGTCAGTCTGCGAGTCAATGAGCGAATGATATAACAGAAAAAGGCCTCTCTCGAGTCATTCTTAGACCGTAGTGAGGAGGGGAAACTGAACTCAAACGGACACTTTCACCAAGGCCCGAACCTTATCATGACATGAGAGCATATTTCAATTCGAGAAACAGCCTCAATCACCATATACGAACAAATTCGAAGCGAGAATGTGATATCAAATGTCATCCACTTTCTAGATGGGGATATAAGCCATCCCGAGTCGTTCCAAGATATTCTTGCTATCAATTTTTACCTGTATCTCATGAATCTCTTCAAAATCGATGGCCGCTCTACATCAGTCTCAAGCAGCTCATCTTCTACATGCAGCACATCATCAACGGGAACCTGCATCCATGATGAATACGACATCAACTACAAACCACCCACTCCGACTCCAAAACCAAACACGAAGACTACCGTGGATACAAATGCAGAGTCTGATGCCTTGGATGTCGAGATCCAGATGAATCTCTGGGCATATCTATTTATCCAAAACCCCAACCATGAGCCAGGATTCGAGAATCCGCGATGCGGATGCGGAGAAAGGACGAAACTCGGATGGAGTCGTGACGGTCGTCCTTATTATGGATGTGTTGTGCCGCACAAGAATAACTTTTCTTGCTATGTTGATCTAAGGGGTTGTGATGCTGGCAATCCGGCTTGTTTGTGTGGACAACCATCAAGGGTGAACCGGAATGAGAATGGTTTAGAATATTATACTTGTGTTACTGGGGGATGCGATATGTTCAGGTGGAAGCGGTGGCTATCTGATGGACGAGATTAGATGTGCTTGGTCCCGTTGAACAGACGTCTGACCGCGATCATTCATGCCCAATGGTCGATGTCAGCGGGGTCCTGGAGTTTAGCTCTTGATGATTCGTAGACTTTCAAATCTAGATATGAGGCTTCTCTTCATCTTGAAGAGTAGATGAGCACTCGAAGGGATGTCAGATTAAAGGATGCTACAGATGGTCCTCGATAGACATGACACCTCAAGCGTCAATGGGTATTCCGAAGGCCACGAGCTGTTTTGTGTAGCCTGCATCCGTCCACTTGTCACGTTCCTCCTGGTCGGGTACATACACTATACCCAGCATAGCAGCAGCGTTTGCTCCATAAGGACCATCACTAGTTCGACGAGGTATAACCGCGATCCAGTCTGCTGTCATGGCCACATTGTAATCTCTACTGCCTTCCCCGGACGTTGCCAGTGCAGCCTGGGATAGTCGGAGGAGCTGAAGATATGTCTCATACGCGCTCATCGTGTCAGTGCCACTCGGAAGGCGTAGCACGAAATGCTTGAAAGGTACATGCTCTAGCTTGGTGGATACATCTGTGGAGTCAGCATACGGCCAAGCATCAAGGCGAGAGACATGATAGCTGACCATGGTACGAGTCGGCCTTGGAAGGCCACAGCATGTGACTGGGCAGCGGGAAGACTTGAGTATGTTTGTGGCCTTGTGACGATCCAGCGTTGATACCGCAATTGTAGATGATCAGAGATGGAGTGTGGAACGCCTTCAAGACAGACCAAGCTGCGTCGATATCCGACAAGTCCAAGTCATCGGTCTGTAGCGCATAATGCCTGGTAGGTATAACAGTCATTGGTCGAAAGATACCATACTTGTTCACTAGCAGACGATGAGTGGACCCCAAATCCGTCACAACTTCCTCCGGGTCCGGGTCGATGAATGGACCACCAGCTTTTGATCTACTAGGTGCGTTGGCGGGAAGGATTGGTTTCCTCTTGAGTATACCTGCGATAATGAATTGGAACTGTCGCAGAAGATTAGTGGAGTGTTCGTTTGTCGTTTGGATTCATCGTCTTTTCCCGTTTCGCGTAAGCTGCGGGTTGACGGGGTGGGTGCCACGCATTGGAGCGACAACGCAAAAGAAATTCTTGACTCACATTGAGGCCATTGATTCTAACCAGCTCCGAGACAGCTTCCTCGTAGAAGATCTTTTCCTTCCTTGCAAGCTCGTCGAATCGAGCCAGCGTTCTCTCCTCGAGCTCTGGTAGATGTAGCAGCTCCATTGCAAGTTGGAGCACGGGAGTATTTCTTGCTAGAAGTCGTCTTGGAGGGCGCTGTTGTGTCTCTGATAATAAATGAACAAATGTCCTGTGACCTGGTTTGTTTCGCACGATGGCGATAGTCAACACGAAAACATGCTCGTATCAAGATAGCATATTGCAAAAAGAGTTATATGTAACGTGATCCGCACAGACTTCATAAATCAGTCGCAGTGGTTTAGTGGTAAAATTCGTGCTTGCCATGCACGAGCCCCGTGTTCGATTCACGGCTGCGACATCACTTTTGCTCGTCAGTCCCTCTGTTGTGATTCCTTTGGCTGCTAGATCTTTTTCCACAATGAGACGTTCGTGCGTGATTGGTATATACTGAGCTAGTTTTTGGTTGAATACGTAATTTCGTTTCGCATAGAATGTCATACGATATGTCTTTTAGCCAATCTCAGGCTCGTCTGCAACTCCATCACTCAAGAGTTGACCTTCCGCCGTAGAGATCTGCCTTCTTGGGGTACCCATTTCTCCAAAACCTCGACACTTTGACGGATGGAGAAGCATTGGTCATCGTCGGGTAGGAATCTAGGTGTGTCGGATTGGATGGACATGACTCTGTCGGCCCACCTCATCAACCTCTTCACGAGCTCTGGGAAGTCCAAAGCACCCATGCCACCTCTCATCGTAATCATCCGGTGTTGTGCGGGTCGATGTATCAGGTTGGCCGCGCTTCTGTCGCCGTACAGACTTTCGTGAAGGGCGATGCGACCAACGGCGAGGATTAATGGGTCGCTGACAGCGCGAACAGGATCGTTCAGTGCTTCATTGATGGATCGTACGGCCTGATCCCGCAAAAAGAGCGATGTTTCGTAGGGCAGAACTTTCAGCTTGATCAAGTCGCCGGAAGCAAAGAGGAGCCGGACGTTGAAGAGAGCAGAGTCTGCAAGAGCATGTTGAGTCATGAAGCGTTCCCATTTGAGTCCTTCTGCGTTGGAAATGCCTAACGCGGGCCAGCCGCGAGGAGCAAATACAGTTAGCACTAGAGATCAGGTCAGTATTCTGTCATTAAGATTGAAGAACAGGTGCCTCTTACTATGGTGTAGGACTCGGTCATACCAGGGCTGGCTGGCGACCGGATAGCAGTTGAAGGCATCATAAACGCCGCTGCCCAGGTCATGAGGACTCACGAGGGCGGAATTTGGTGTGGTCAAACTGGTATCTGGAGTCTCGATCGACGATATCCAGGACGAGACGAAGGTCGTAGGGCTTGCAACGACCGATTGTGAAGACGTGGAAGCAGAAGATGAGCTTGCCGGAGCGCGTCGGCGTGGGCTGGAAGCCTGGCTGCTACGTGGTGTTCGTTTCCTTTTTGTGTTCGAAATGAAGGGTCGGCCGTCAAACTCGGTGGTATCCGGTTTCGTTGTAGAAGGTCTACTTGTAGTGTTGGTCTCCCAAGTAAATTCGCGATCTTTACGATCTGGATACTGGTGCGAAGTAGGAGCAGCATCGGATTCAGAGATGATAGAAACCTTTCGGTCATGCTCTACATCTGGACCAGCGCTAACGGCGGACTTCTCGGTTGCTTCAAACAAAGCCTTGAAGTCAACTGGACTCGTAAATCGAGGATCTTTCAGGGTGTCAGGGAGCCTTTGGTGGAGCTTTGGGCGAACACCGGAAGCCCATCCAGAGGCGGCGGCGGCGGAACGGATTCGTTTCTTGTTTCCCTCATTTGTTGCATCTGAAGGAGCACCGACGTTGACAAAGGTGAATTGTTGCAAGGTCATATCAGCCTCTCTCCGCCCAAAGCATGGTACGGATCAGGGAAGTAGATTGCAAAAGAGACGGTTAGATGAAACAAACAATGCAGCCTTGTAGATCCGAATTGGAGAGGACAGAGCAAAGGTACAAAATGACGGGAACTGGCGAGAACTTGAGAGGCTGAGGCGTGAGGCTCAAAATGGCCCCCAGCACTCAGACAAGCACGCAAATGATGATTGGCAATGTTCAAGTTAGGGGAGAAAACCATTTGCAGTGAGCTGACTAGGGGCATGGTTGACTAGTTGGACGGCGGCTCCGGTGTATGAACCAGAAGCGGATGGCATGACCGCAGGTCAAAAACGCTCAATGTGCGCATCTGGCAAAACGAGCGATGGCTTTGATGCGTTGGGTGAACGGACACGCTCCGGAGACGGATCGAAAGGGTTTGAAGCGGGAGCTAGCCTTGGACAGGCATGGACTGGTCGAAGCTCTCGAGCTTAAGGAGCGCCCTCAGCCATGACTCTCCAATCTCGAGGCAAGCTAAAATGCAGCTGAGGTACAGTATGCAGGTATGGAGGGATGAGAAGTCGATCAGGACCCTGAAACTCCGACAGATTGCTGTAGGGGATGGGAACGCCGATGGATGGGATGCAACAACGATAGGGCTGTGATGTGGGTGAAATGGCGGGCTCATGCGGACACTGGCAGAGCGGGCGGCCTTCGCAGCTTGGTGCATGGTCACTAGTGGAGGGCGCCGATTCACGAATCACGAAATTCGGCGAGTTCCCAGGCTTCCCCGCGTTGGTGACGATCGCTCCGCAAGCTGACAGCGTCCGAGTTGCCGATGCATTGCAACGGAGAGAAGTCGCGACCAGCGCAACAGGTAGCCACCCAGTCTGGACCAAGCTTGACAATGGCGCTCGAGGACGAATCGCCTGTGTCGCTGCAGGAGGGAGGCAACAGCAGCACTGGAAAACGCAAGAGCGACGAGAGTCAGCAACAGCAGCAGCAACGCGCAAAACGCAACCGATACATATCCATCGCATGGTAATTTGCCCACCCCAAGTCACCCATGTCTCCGACTGACGCCTGCTCGAAGCAACGAATGCAAGCGACGCAAGATCAAGTGCAATGGCCAGTCTCCATGCCAGCGCTGCGGCAACCTCGCTCTGGAGTGCGTCTATGCCCCCAACTGCTGCACCTCGAGCTTCAAGGACACGGATGAGTTCAGAGCAATGTCCAACCAAATCGCCTCTTTGCAAGACCAGGTCAACGCTCTGTTCAACAGCATGAACGCCCTCCGCGCCGATCTTGGTAACCAACATACCCCCATCGACCCTTTCCTACAGCAACAATCCATCATGCAACACGACCAGCATCCCCCTCTGGAAGCCACTCGACGGAAGAGCATGTCGAGAAGATCTACCTTTAGGGGCCCCACAAGCTTGGAATTCAACCTGGGCGTCGCCAAGAATCATTTGGAGAACATGGGCATAGCTCCTCCTGCTCCCGAAGACGACGTGCTGCAAGAAGAGTCCCCTAATGGTGACTCGCTGGCTACCGCTCCGCTACATGCCAGCAAAGATCCTATATGGCACGTCAATCGCGACGAGGCTCTGCGTCTTATACGCGTCTACCAAGATGACATGCACATCATGTATCCCCTGGTCTCTATTCCGGAACTCGTCGCCTACGTCGACAAACTCTTTACCTTTATGGAATCTGCCCAGCGTACCGGCCTTATGATGAGGGCTGCTCCTGGAGCCGACTCTATCGATGACGAAGAGACCAACGTGCTCAAAATTGTCATGGCCACTGCAATGGTAGTCGAGGGTTCTGGAAGAAGCGATCTTGGTCGTGCCATGTATGCTTACGTGCAACCTTCCATCGATGCTCTGTTGCTTGGCGATACTGGCTTGAGGAGTGTACAACTGCTTGCCCTTACTGTATGTATCTTGCCGTTACGCGCGTACTCCACTCTTCTAACATAATCTAGGCAACATACCAGTTCCACTGCGACAATGAAGGCATATCATGGCGCATCATAGGACTGACCGCTCGCCTATGCATCGAGTTGGGCTTACATCGCAGGGAAACCTACGACCGTATGGACGACGAGCAAAGAACCATGGCGATGCTTACTTTCTGGTCTGTTTACTGTCTTGACAGGAGGTGGAGTTTTGGCACAGGCATGCCTTTCGCTCTCCAAGACACTGACCTTGACCCAAATTTACCAAAGCCGGTAAGTGACATTCTTAAATGGTATTGACCAAGCTAAACGGCTTTCTAGGGCGACAAATCACTATATCTGACGGCCATGATTGAACACTTTGCAATTGCCAGCAAGGTACGACTCTTGATTTACTCTGACTCCAGCAGAAAGCAAGTCAGCAAAGAAGATGTGAGTTATCTCGATTTCCAGATCGTCAATTGGCATAGGAATCTTCCTCGCCAGTTACACTGGGATCGAGAGTCGTGGGGCCAGGCAGACGGCGATGTCTCTGCTGGACAGCAGCGACTTCGAATTATTCTCTACTTGCGGGCGAACGTGATGCGCGTCATGATTCACCGACCCGTGCTGCATTCGACAGCATCCATTGTAAGCAACCCGATACAAGCACAGACTGTCGTCGACATTGCCAAAGATACGATCCGCATCTTGACGCACATCAACCGGACGAGCCGGATGTATCGAGCGTCGCAGAGCTTGTTCAACGCATTCCTCACGACGGCTTTGGCAGTATTGTTCCTCGCGGTGTCACACATGCCCGAGACGTACGCCGGACAGGTACGCGAGGAGTTCTATATGGCATTAGATCTTGTGCGAGGTATATCTAAAGGTAGCTGGGTGAGCAAAAGACTATGGAAGACGATCAGGCTGCTCAAAGAGGTAGGGCCGAAGCTCGGATTGGTGACGGGCAATCCACAGACGGATCCCAATCATTCAGCAGCAGTGGCTATGGCTGGACTTGCTGGACACAAGGTCGACGAGGGTGCATTCTTGAATCCTGGAGGGTGGAACAATATGGGTAGCGTGTCATCGAACTCGCCTGACGGAATGGTGCAGGACTTGACGAATTTGTTCGAGGCGGCTGGAGGATATAGCAATGGATTTGGAGGAGGGTTCGGGCCTGGGGTGCATCAGATGGACGAGAGTGGATTCGGTGGTGAGGATGAATTGAGCAGGATCCTCCGGGACTTGTTCTAGACTACATGGCGCTGTCGCTACGTTGCTGACATGCAAGACGACAAGATAGCTTCATGCGGGTAAATCAATGGATGGCCTTGTTATGAAGCTGGTCGACACGTGATGCGGGCTCTGCGGCATGGGGCATCAAGTCGCAGGCTTGGCGCATGGCCCTTCCGGAAACATCCCACTTTGATAGCAAAACAGCTGTATGACAAGCCGGCCGTGACGAGTAGTTGCAAGCGACAAAGAATTGAAGAGCAGAAAGTGAAGAGTGCCTTGAGAAGACATCTGCAGTGACTACCTGGCTTGGCAGGCGCATGTTCGACTGTTTGACTTACAAGTCGACTCCTGCCCACACGACGAGCATTTCGGCCCAATAGTCTCGCACACTCGAAGCTGCCTGCTACGCTCCTTCCTCTACAAGCCCGCGTCTCGACCATTCGAGACCCTCCACTGCGCCTGCCCTCGGTCCTTGAGCCAAGGCGCGCGCCGACTGCCGACCCGACTTCCCAAGCTTGCGCGTACCGACACCGCAATCGTGGATTCACGCGCATACGCCGGCCATGTTGGGCCTGACGACGAGAGCGACATGTCTTCCAGCAGCCAGGTAGCCGAGTCATGGATCAGCGCCTTCTGCAGCCTCGTGGGCCACGAATACTTTGCTGAGGTGTCCGAGGACTTTGTCGAGGACGACTTCAACTTGACCGGCCTGCAGAGCCAGGTGCCCATGTACAAGGAAGCTCTGGAGATGATCCTGGATGTCGAGCCCGAAGACGACTACAGCGACGACGAGGATGAAGAGGAGGATGAGGACCTGGACGACGACGATGACGAGATGCGGGATGCGGCCGCCTACAGACGCCAGGAGAGAAGACACTTGCGCATGGCCTCGGACCTGTCGGTGATCGAGAGCAGCGCCGAGATGCTGTACGGCCTGATCCACCAACGCTACATCACCTCGCGCCAGGGCATCCAACAGATGGCTGAGAAGTACGAAGCTGGCCATTTCGGCGCATGCCCTCGCGTCTACTGCGGTCAAGCAAAGGTTCTGCCCGTTGGCTGCAGCGATATCCCCGGTCAAGAGACGGTCAAGCTGTTCTGTCCTAGCTGTCTCGACGTCTACACACCACCCAACAGCCGCTTCCAGTCCGTCGACGGTGCCTTCTTCGGCACAACCTTTGGCTGCCTCTTCTTCATGACCTTCCCCGAGCTACGCGTTGGCGGCACAAACATCACCTTTGGCCCCTCTCCCGACCACGACTTGCCATCCACAACCACCACCACCCATCGCAAACGCCGTAGCAGTCTCACAAATGCCGCCGACACCTTCTCCTCCGCTCCACCGGTAGCCGCCCAGCCCACCCCTCTGCCGACACAACCAACCATCATCAACGGCTTTGCCGCAGAAAACATGGCTCCTGGTCTCGGCAAGACCAACATCTACGAACCTCGCATCTATGGCTTCCGCGTCAGTGAATTTGCTAAGAGCGGTCCCAGGATGCAATGGTTGCGCAAGAAGCCTGTTGATCTGAACGAGCTGGACGAGGTTGCCATCTGGGAACGCGCGAATGCTGGAACATCAAAAGATGACGATGTTGAGCTAATGGACGAGGAAGATGAGGATGACGAAGACGAAGAAGCACAAGACGAAGAGGAGCCGCTCCAGGCAGACGGAGATGTACGAAAAGGCGTAGCGAGACGAACAGCCGCTGCCGCAGCAGACGAAGGCGGTGCTAAAATCGGTAGCGCGGGTTGATGATGGACATGCACTTGGGAGGTGATCGTCGGTGTCTTTTGTGGTCTCCTCTGCTCTTTTGAATCGTTTCCCCCACTTTTTGCATCTCCCTCTTCTCCCACAGGTTTTCAAGCCTCTGTTTCATTCTTGCTTTCACCAAGGGAGAAGAGTCACATCGACTTTGCCTTCATCGACTGTCTTCTCACGAATTCTAGACAGACATCATTTGACCAAAATTCTTTTTCACGTTTTTCATGCAAACTTTCAGGCGTAGTGCTGAGAAGTAGTTTATCGTGATGTTTCTCCTTGGACGTGTCGGAGGTGATGTAGAATATCACAAAGACAATCATGTCTCAATCTTGAACGTCTTGTAGAGCAGGGTCACCCTTAATCTGTTATTGGCCTACTTACTGTCGTTACGATCTCGGACGTAGTTATAATCAATGACCGAAGGGGTCATCAGCTTATAGCCGGAGCTGTTACCAGGTAGTCTTGCCATTTGAGGTTGGTGGCACCGTCATGGCTGGTGTCTTATCTCAAACAATGCATTTTAAATGTCAACAGAAAATATTCAGAGCTTCCCAACCACACCTACACTCGACGGCGGTGACCGTAAACCCCTCGAAAGGTGCGACAAGTGTCTATGAAGGATCTGTACCCATGGTCTGAAGCGTGCAATCGAAGATGGTCGACATACGATGGGATGGAAACCAAGACAGGGTTGTACTCCCAGCTGCACATCACTTGCTCGGCAGCATCTCGAAATATGACAACACCACAAGCAAATCAATAGAGGGGCGAAATTTCGATCATAATCGAGCTTGCGAGATAGTTAGATGTGGTATGTGTACAGTTTATCATATTTGATGTATTTTCATGCTCTTTGTGTCAGTCTCACTGTTCTCGTAAAACGTCGTAAAGCCATGCCTGCGGGTGTGATACCCAATTACGCTATGCCATGTCTGTCCTTCTCATGTTCCATGCAAACGAATCGATGAACCACAATCAACGACAATCGAGATCCTGAAGTTCCTAGAAAACCTCCATGTCTTCGAGCAGGTCGGTAACTTCAGAGGTCTTGACTTGCTCTCTACACCACCTACAATCGACCAAATATGGAACATCGGCGACCTGACCACAATCACAGAGATACTCCTGTTGATGGTCAGTCAGCGTAAAAGGACGATCTTGTAGGATGACTTACAGTCTTGATGAGATTGCGAGTCGACTCGTCATCCTTCTTGACCCACTTGTAGACCTCTCTCTTCAGTCGACGGCTGTATGCCTGGGCCTCTTTCCTGATGAAGCACGGTATGCAGAGCCAGCTGTCTTCGATAAATTGATCAATCAGGGTGCAGCAACACCAGTCACCATGGAGATCGCGGTCCAGGACCTTATCGCAGAGGATCCTAAAGTCAGGCTCTCCATCGTAGCAGAACCCTGGCTTGCATACTGAACAGTAACGACGCTCGCGAGAAGCACCGGCCAGGAGAACAGCACGGATTGCTTCTATTGGGAAGTTACCAGAGTGGAAGTTGGGGCCTGGATACGCAGGGTAGTCAGCACATGCCAATATTTGCGATCAGTAGACATGTGGGTTGCTCTCGGCTCACATTCATCGCAATGGTCGGCGTGACAATGGCGCATGGCCTCGAGGGTTGTGGTGAGATCAGCTTCGTGGCTTTCCCAGTGATCTGGATCATCCTTGCAGCAGGGGAGATCGTCTAAGTAGGCGATGTGGTAGCGGCAGCTCTGGAGATTGTGAGTACGCGAGAAGCACAATCAACAGTACAAGACTTACGTTGCAGACCATAGCTTTACAGTCTTCGCAAGGCATGGGCTCGGTAGCCTCGCACTGGACAATGGCCTTCGTGACATCACCCTGCCAGTGACCAAAGCACCTTGCTCTGGCTTCGATGCCTTTGCCATCACAATGAGCACTCTCCTTGATTCTTGCGAAGATGTTCTCGTCGTCAGTGAGATATGCGTTGATCTCTTTGCAAGTGGAGGTAAGGTGGACGATGTCCGCCGAAGAGAGTTGATCCGTCACCATGATCATGAGCTGGTATTGAGAGAGAATCTGGACGAGGGGCGAGATTGTAGTCTGAGGTTTCTGTTGACGATGGAAATTGATCCTACCCTGGTTCTTGAGAACCGCCAGGCCCTTCTTAGTGCGCTTCTGAGGCATTGCGGCGGCTGGCGTTAGGGTGAGTAGGCTCGACCAGGTCTGCAAATGTGAATGGGATGGTCAATATTGCTGTCAAAGGAGAAACTCTACTTCGCGGAATATGTGTATCAGAGGAAAGGCCAACCGGGTCCAAAGGTGCGACTTGAAAGCCGAGGCAGCAATGGGTTGTATGGTGAGTTGGGAAAGAGCATCTAGCCTCAGGCTGCCGCGACCAACCCGCGTGCTTGCCGTTTCCAGAGGCACCAAACTGCCAGAACACATCTTCAGTCTGCCAACATGCTCCTGCTCGATTGCAATATACCAAGATCGTGGGTGAGGATGATCTGATAGAGTAAAGTCACATCGTCCGTTGCGAATCGGCTCTATCGGGTGTGAATAAATCAACTACAGAACTTGCTATCAAGCAGATTCTCTGTGCTGATCCAATCAGAACACCATTCTCAGCTTTAGCTTGTCTTGCTCAACAATCTCGTCCTTCTTAGCCAAAAGCTCCTCCATGTCCCAAGGACAGCTCACGTATCTTCCACCAAGCCAGTCTTTACGTGCGGCAGAGAGCCAAGCGATTGTGTCGCCGGGCAGATCAGGTTTGTCAGGAAACTTATCGCGAACACTCTCGGGTGCAGTCCCTTCGCTGATCTTGGTCTTTATGGCACCGGGGTTCACGCAGAAAGTCAAGAGGCCTTTTCCGTTAAGTTCCAGTTGTAAGGACTCAGTCCATCTTAACATGGCAAGCTTTGAACTTCGATAGCTTGCAGTCGTTGGACGAGCACTCAAGGCACCCGAGGAGGCTACGTTGATCATGGTACCCAAGCCGTTGTCGGTTGCACGTGTGGAAAGCAACATTGGGAGGAAGGCGCGAGTCATGTTGATAAGTCCTTGAATGTTGACCTCCCATGTCTGCCAAAGAACGTCCGGATCGGATTCGAGAGTCGACTTGTTCGGTTCCATGTGAGCAGCATTGTTGATCAGGATGTCCAGTTTTCCTTCGAATGCCCTCGACACATCATCATGCATAGCTTGTACTCTCACCCTCTGAGCAATATTTACCGTGTAATTCAGTACGGTAGGTTCAGGATGTCCAGCTTCAGTCGCAACCTGCTTGAGTCGTACGACGAGTTCGTCTGACACTCCGTGCAGATCAGCTACAGCTATCGCGGATGCTCCAGCTCGGGCGAAGGCTGTAGCTACAGCATAGCCCACTCCACTGTCCCAAGCTGCGCCGGTGACCAGAACTCGTCTCCCCTTCAAATCCAGTTTAAGAGGTGAAATAAATTCGTACGTCGTGTTGTGTCGTTTGTCCGTGAAGTAGCCACCGGATTGCTCTACCTGAGGGGTTCTGGCAGACATGACGATACACAAGTCAAGTCGAGAAGTTGTCGACCGAGTAGAAGGAGAAGGATACTAGAAGAGCAGGCTGTACTCGGAATTTGTATGTGAGGCATCGGAAACACAATTACCGTGTATGGACGGCCATCTTCCAGAACGGTAGACAAAAATCCGACCTGTGGGTCGAGATGGTGCTATGATTGCGAGCTATCGTTCTTGGAATGGAGCTGATTGTAGGCTCAGGAATCTTCACGACTACGATCAGCGTGAGGATGGTCGCTCAGTCAAGTGAACGCTACATCTTCATACTCGACAGAGTGCGTGCTTGCTAGAAAGTGAGACCGCTTTCTCGTCAATGATTCCGAGGAACCCGCGGGCAGCGAAGCGCACATGGCCAAGATCATGGTTGACGCCGAAAGCGGTAAGTGAATGCGGTCTTCATCGACCAAGAAAAAAGGACTAACGGTCATCGATATCAGGCTAGTCGGAGCGCTCCTCACCCTCAACCATGTACATACGAAGGTATTCGGAGCGTCATGCTGCCTCGAACCGACCCTCTGCGTTGTCTTCCTTTGCTTAATACTTGGTAAGGGCAGATGGCGAAAAATGAGTAATCTGCTCAGCACTTTCAAACATCGTATTCCTTGGTAAGCATTACTGAAGTATTGGATCTTTTATATACTTGGAGGAGGCTCCTTCCGTCCTCTCGCTGGTATAGTTTGCCAATATCATCTATTTCTCAACACTCCCTCATTCGAGTCTGAGCATATGTTCGACAAGATGAAACGCGAATCGCCACCAGACGACCAAGGGTACCCTGCCGTTTTTGACCTCGAGGATGAGTCGGAACAAGCGCGATGGGAAAGGAAGGGGAGAGAACGTCCTGAAAAGTTCAAGACCACAACTCAAGAAGTTGGCTTCATCTTTGCTGTGGTCATGGCACAGCTCATGTCCGAATTCTTCGTCTCTGGTTTCATTGTTCTTATCCCAACACTGGCAAGAGAACTGAACATTCCACCCGAGTCAACGACCTGGCCAGCAGGAGCTTTCTCGTTGGTTGTATCAACATTTTTGCTTCCTCTCGGACGAATTGCGGATATGTACGGAGCCTACCCTGTCTACGTAGGTGGAATCATCTGGACTGTGATCTGGTCAATCATCGCTGGATTCTCAACCAACGAGATCATGTTGGACGTCTGCCGTGCATTTCAAGGCTTCGGCCCAGCAGCATTCTTGCCAGCGTCAATGTCCTTGCTCGGATCTATATATCGGCCAGGTCCTAGGAAAAATCTAGTCTTCTCCATCTATGGTGCAATGGCTCCTCTAGGATTCTTTGCGGGCATCTTCTTCGCCGGCATATCGGCGCAGTACGCGAACTGGAGATGGTACTTCTGGATCGGCGCCATCATCAGCGCATTCAGTGGCCTGGCTGGGTTCCTGACCATTCCTTCAGACATTGCAGAGAGACGAGCAATGAACGTCAAGATGGATTGGCTAGGCACGTTCACCATATCTGTCGGCATTATCCTGGTCGTCTTCGCCCTGACCGGAAGCTCTGGAGCGCCTCATGAATGGGGAACAGACTATATCATCGCAACCATGGTCATCGGTGTGGTCTTCCTGGGTCTGTCCGTATACGTGGAGGGCTGGATTGCTGAAGCGCCTCTACTTCCACCAGAGCTGTTCAAGATCAAGTACATGAAGCCTCTTGTGCTTGCATTGTTGCTGACATACGGCGGCTGCGGAATTTACTTGTTATACGCTACTCAATACATGACCGAGATTCAAGGAGCAACACCGATGCAGCTTGTCGCCTGGTGGTCTCCCGCAGCGGTCGGAGGTTGCATCATTGCAACAGTGGGAGGCTTTGTGTTGCACTTACTTCCAGGAACCATACTTATCATTATCGCCTCAGTCGCCTGGATCGTCGCACCATTACTCTTCGCCCTCGTTCCGGTAGGCGGTCAGAACTTTTGGCCATGGGTGTTCCCAGCAATGGTGTGCTGTACAATTGGTATCGATATTACATTCAACGTCACAAACATCTTCATTACGACAAGTCTGCCAAATCGCCAGCAGGGACTCGCGGGGGCCTTGATCAACAGTTTGTTGCAATTGGGTATTGCAGTCGCTCTCGGGTTAGCAGATATCACTGTGGCTCAGACCGCAGACCAGGGAGTGGCACAGAAGTACAAGAATGCGTTTTGGCTCGAGGTTGGATTGGCTGGTGCGGCGCTGGTGATATTCGTCGGGTTCGTCAAGGTCGACAAGGCGAAGGCCCAAGCGACAGCAGACGAGAGAGTTGAGGTAAAGTCATAATAAATGCCGGAAGTGTTGGATTGGTTGAAGCGTAGATTTATATAATGATTTTTGATACCCATGACATTTTAGTTGATTCTCTTGCATGTGAAAACGCGATAAGAGCAGATTGACGCAATCTCATTCACCACCGTATTCGGAGCGACAAAGCGTTGAAAGTGAAGATGGACAAGCGAATGGGTCTGGCAAAGAAGAATAGTCCTGGTCAGAAGAGAGTGAATCTTCCTGTGATTGAAGGCCCAGAAGACAACGCGACGAGTTGTGAAGTTGGAAATGTGGATCGTCTGAGAATAGTGGATTCCGATTTTTGGTACGGTGGCCACGAATCCAGTTTCAATGGCGAGGGGTCAGCGAAAACAGGGAGATGGAAGGTGTTGCTTGGCACTTCACGTGACGATCCCTCCCAACCGCAACTTCCAAAGCTGGAGATGGGGCTTCTTGTTATTGCCCCCTTCGACCGTCCATACAAGACTCTGTGCTTTTATCTTCGACGGCCAGTGTCATATATCCGTAAGTCGCATCCGATCAATTCCAGCATGAGCGTGAGACGCTTTGCCGATGGACTCAGACCATGTCGCTCGAGTGCGCATCATCAGGGGTGTCATGGCTTGTGGACAAGTTGCGCTTCACCGAATGCGAAGTTGCTGCCTGTCTATAATATACTGCCACCTGGCAGCAGCACGAAGACGCTTTCACGCTCATTCTCCAACTCGACCGAAGCCTTTTACTGACTTGCTCCTGTTCGTTGTGATAGGCTACTCCGACATTTCTGAATAACCACTACCCACACGACACTTCAATCTACAACACCGCCAACATGGGTCTCACATTCTCGCGTCTGTTCGACCGTCTCTGGGGAAAGAAGGAGATGAGAATTCTCATGGTCGGTCTCGATGCCGCCGGAAAGACCACCATCCTTTACAAGCTGAAGCTCGGTGAAATCGTCACCACCATCCCCACAATCGGTCCGTGTTGTCGTCCGTCGCTTTCCGCCAGACTCGAGAAACTGACTTGAGCGCTTGCCTGCAGGTTTCAACGTCGAGACTGTCGAGTACAAGAACATCCAGTTCACCGTATGGGATGTCGGTGGTCAGGACAAGATCCGTCCTCTCTGGAGACATTACTTCCAGAACACCCAAGGTATCATCTTCGTCGTCGACAGCAACGATCGTGACCGTGTCGTCGAGGCCCGCGAGGAGCTGCAGCGCATGCTCAACGAGGACGAGCTGAGAGACGCCCTCCTCCTGGTCTTCGCCAACAAGCAGGATCTTCCCGTAAGTTCTCGCCCTGTCCACTGCTACATGACCACCGCTGACACCTCATTTTCAGAACGCCATGAACGCCGCCGAGATCACCGACAAGCTCGGTCTGCACAGCTTGAGACAGCGCGCTTGGGTAAGCCAAAATCCTATCTTCGATCGACACGGCAACCTCTAACACGCATCTCACAGTACATCCAATCCACCTGCGCTACCTCCGGTGACGGTCTTTACGAGGGTCTGGAATGGTTGAGCAACTCGCTCCGCAAGGCTGGTCACCAGTAGACAATATCCCCAGCTTGAACCTTGTGTCCGTTTTTGCCGCGCCTCAATTCATGTCTCTCAACCTTTCCTCTCCGTCCTTACGATCGTGGACCCTACTATTCTCCGACCCTTTGCACACATGGGTGTCTCTCCACGTGCGACCACTTCGATACCACAAACAATCAACAGAAAAGCGATAACAAAAAACGGAATGACGAGAAAACAAAGAGTGCCATGACCGAAAGCATTACCGACTCTTTTTCTGCTTACCACTCTTCCTTGTTGACAAGGACGGATGGACGGCATGGACAGGACGGGACAGAAACCAAACCCAGAAGTTGAATTGTCACTATTTTGGCGGAGGGGGCGGCGTTTTTGTTGTCATGTTTTCTTCTCTTTTTATTCTGTTGCTGCTGAATATGCATAACTCACTTTTTTGATCAGAACTCGAATGTTTTACGGCCCTGTTTTTAAAAACCCATTTGTTAAATTGGTAGTGGATGTGATACTCGTGGTACTTGGAAGGTTGTTGCATGTTTTGAGATCTTGCATTCTTTGGTATAGACAGATAAGACACGAGGCTTCCTGAGCAGTGTCTGCTTCTTTTTTGCTATCTGGATGGATGGCTTCCATCTCTCCTCTCCCCGAGTAAACTGTGTATTTCTGCTTGATAACGACACCACCCCGAATAATGCCCTTGTTTGAAAACTCCGATTCTCCCACGATTGAAAAAAGGAAAAGAAAGAAGACTCCGAGCGAGAAACATGGGAATTGTGCAAAGAGATGCAAATGCGTGCGTGCTGTGTTACGAAAAAAGAGGATTCAAAGATGTCTCAGATCTTGCGTAGAGACGAGGAGCAGGTCTTTCTTCCATTTCTGGCCTTCTAGGTTGACATGGACTGCTGCTGCTGCTGCTGCTGTTGAGGTGGATTGGCCGACTTTGTGCTCAGACCGCTCGAGCTGGTGGGACGAGGGGCCATCCAGCCCTTCTCGAGCCAAATGTCGAGGAGAGGGGCCATGGGCTCCAACTCCTTGTCACCCAAGAGTCCAAACAGTCTTCCCACGTTTACAAAGTGGATGAAGCAAGTGTTGAGCTCCTTGTAGGCACCTAGGTGCCAGAACTCGAGCCAGTGGGCGTGGTAGATGTGAGCGTAGCAACGCAGCATTTGGCGGTAAATGTTGCGAATGTCGCTTGCGAATGGTGGAGGGAAGCCTGAGGCTCTGCCCAGCCAGTTGTTCGGGTCTGAGGCGGAAAGTGAGGGGGGGGCGCTGATGAGGTTGTCGGTTGGGAAGATGCTAGGGTCTGTGATTTTACCGGCAATCCATTTCTGCACGTAGGAGATGTATTGGGGAGCCGGGACTCTGACGCTTTCGCGTTTGGCATCGAGCCAGGTGTAGGTCATGGCGCCGGCGCTCATGGCTGGGCAGGTCTGCTGGTTGCAGATTGGGACGCCAGTGTTGCGGTCGGCTTCTTGGATGATCTTGAGCATGCCGTCGAGTAGGCGGTTCTGTTCGACGACTGGCGGAGTGTCAGTTTGCTGTGCCCGTCTCTCGTGGCCGAGATGTTTGTCTTACTCTGATGTGCCAACCATTCACCCTCTTCGACGAGGACGGGCTTTGCTGCCAGAGTCATGAAGTTGCCTTTGACAATCAGGTTGGCGTATTGCTCGCGGAAGAAGAATGGTGGTCGCTGGTTGCTAAGGGTGTCGACGCTTGGTTCTCTACTCTCAAAGGACATCGCTGTGGCCGAGAGGCCTGGTGACAGAGGCATCTGCTGCGAGGAAGCAGGGGTCAAGTTTGCGGAAGTCTGCATGGTCGGTGAAGGGGTGTTGGCCTTGTTTTGTTGTGTCTTGTTGCTTTGACGGCCAAAGCCACGCCTGCGGTTCGACGTGTTAGCTTTGTTCGCGCGCCAAATATCGTGACGGGCCGCATGTAAGGGGAGAGCTGTTGCCATGTGCTCGACAATTGAGGGGCAGTGCTGGTACCAGATTCTGATAGAGAAGCAAGGCATTCTCGACTCTTTTCTGGAGACAACAGGCGCGTGCAAGCAGACGAATGAAGGGCATGCAACTCGAGTGACACAAGGGAACATTCCGGAAGGCTTGCAAGAGGTCGACTCACATGTTGGAAATCCAAGAGGCCATGATTACGGTCAAGGCCCGTCACAGGGACGCTTCGTTCAGTCGAGACGATGCAAAGACAGGCTTCTCTCGCAAGAGCTATCGCAGACAGCTGGAGAGACACGGGGGCTTGGGCCGGAGTGGAAATGTAGTAGTCGGGTGCAATATGAACAGGATGCTTAGCGTAGTCGCTGTCCTTGTCCTACTTACCCCTTCTTGTTTCACATGCTCGACGCTGCGGCCGGCGGCAAGACGTCCGACCTTCGAGTTTGCACGACTGTCAAACACCAGCCATCGTTCGCACGCGTCGCCGACCTGTCCCTGATGCAAAGGTGCAAGTGAGCCACTCACTATTTCCACTCCAGCCATCGCATTTCCCTTGTCGCATTGACTCGACACATCTTCACTTCCGTCCAGTCTCTTCCCGCAACCAAAACCGTCGCGCGACAATCGACCATCGCCAGGGCACATCGCAATGTCAGACCAAGTACCCACAGATCCCAGTGATCAAGCTCCTCCGGATCTACCTGGCGCAGTCACCAGTGCCATTCTTCCAGCCAATGATCCCGTTCCTGATGAGCTGAGTGAAGATGAGGACGACATCATCCCCAGAAAGAGACCGCTCGGCGATTTGGTCAACACAAAGATCGATGAAGATGATGCCTCCGACATGGGAGATGACGATGACTTGTTCGGAGATGGCGGCGATGACGATGATCAAGAGGAGACTGCCCCGTACGTTGTCGATCTCTGCGTCCAGCACATCAAAGCTGACCATCTGCAGCGAGCCACTTCGGACTCTCGAGGACGAAGAACTGGATTCTGGCGATGACGAGGGTCGCCATGATCGTGCGCCCTCAGAACAGCACATGGACGAGGAAACTCAGGACATGATCGTTCAAGAGTCTAGCATGAGCAGACAATCACTACCTGAACCCACCGATGGCGAGGTACGACATGCGACGCCCTGACGAGGACCTGAACCGCTGACATGGCTAGATGTACCTGACCAAAATCCCCAAATTCTTGTCAATTGACCCCAAACATTGGCATCACACCACGTACCAACCACCCACCACCGACCACCACTCGCACGAGGCCGCACCTGGCTTCTCGGCCTTCAGCACCGCTATCAGTACCGTCCACTGGAGACGTTCTCCATCCAATCCTCAGAACATCCAGTCCAACGCACGCATTCTGCGCTGGTCTGACGGCAGCCTGACACTACAACTCGCGTCGAACCCCACCCAACAGTACGAGATAGAGGGCAATCCTCTTGCTCCTCGCCAGCGCAACCCTTCGAAGCCAACCCCCACAAGTCAGAAGCTTGGCAGAAAAGACCATGCCTACGACTCATACACCTACTTGACTGTACCTGATCCATCTAATGCCCTTCTTCGCGTCTCTCACAAGATCACTGCTGGATTGTCCATTCTTCCTTCAGCTGCTACCACGGACGACGCACTAGAGAAGCTACAAAACTCGCTGGCCGCCATCTCACAGGGCAAGAACAAGAGCAGTGCTGGTGGTATCGAATTTGTCAAGATTGACGAGGATCCTGAGCTGGCCAAGAAGAAGGCAGAGGTCGCAGAAAGAGAAAAGGATCGTGCACGCAAGCGAAGAGAGGCTGCAGAGACTAGAGAGCGTGAGAGGAATGGTCGCGCCCTTGGCCGCGCTGGTCTGGGTGGCAGAGGCTATGGTGGAGGCCTTACTGCCGGCATGCTCGAGGATGACGAGCTTGGTGGCGGTACTCGCCAAAGAGCCAGACCAAAGCCCAAGAGACGTCAACGTGCCAACAGCGAGTACAGCGAAGACGAAGACTTTGGTCGCAAGAAGAGCAACTTTGGCAACGACGAGTACGATGAAGAGGACGACTTCATCGCCGGCAGTGACGAAGAAGAAGCTGTCGAAGATGATGACGATGAGGATGATGGCATCGTCGAGGACAGGCGGCCCAAGGAGCGTGCGCCGAAGCGTGCAAGTCCAGATGAAGACGATGAGGACGCAGAAGGCGAAGATGATGATGTCCCTCAGGCTTCAAGGACCAAGAGAAGGAGAGTCATTGACGAAGACGACGATGACGAGTAATCTCGACGACAAAAGCGTGCGCAATCTATTCAGTTCTCTTGGGATACAGTATCATTCCGGTCCTCCGGCCACATTTCAGACATTCACATATACATTATTAGCAGTCTCTTCGACGTCTCTGTGACAGTTCTGCACAATGCTGATCAATCGAGCCAGCGACGCTCTAGTTGAGCAGATGATATAGTCTGTCGAAATAACGTGAGGAGAAAGGCTCTGGAGTCCTAGGATTTGCCTACTATCGAAAGACAGATATCAAACCAGGGCCTTGTAGAAAGATGATTGGCAGTGAGGTCGGTTTGCCTTTACAATTGAGTTCCAGTCCCCACAATTAGCGATCGGCGAACTCGTCGACTAGCAGAAGCTCTGACATCATACAAGACAAGCTCTCCAGCCACCACGGTAACGCTCGGCATCAACACTTTTGAGCTGACTTGGTTGAACATACACCATCTCACATCTTGCGGCTCAAGATCAATCTCCTTGCTCGTTCAACTTCCCTCAAAATGTCGACTCAAGCTCCAGCATTCTACACAGCACCTTCGGACAAAGACACACCACAGCAAGACCGTGGACTGTTCCAGCACGAGGGCAAGAAGCATGAGTGCCACCACTACGCTCGCATGTACGGTGGTCAAGCTGTAAGCGCCATGATGTGGGGATTCGGTGCAACACTTGGAGCAGATGCTGCTAACGCTGCAGTTGGAGAGATGAGAGTACGTTTTGGATGATTGCAATATCGCTGCTTCATGCTGACTACAGCACAGCAATGGTGGAGACACTAGGCAATAAGACCTTTGTTGTCTTTACTTCAGAAACCACACCACAACACATTAAACCGGGAGTAGTACATGTGGGAAGACACGAACGAGTATCAGACTGAAGCGAAAGGAACACAGTAGGCAAAGAACCCACTAGAAATGTTATTTGACGTCGGAATTTTTATACAACGAATTGGGTCAATGCTATGGACATAACGACTATTCGAATGCACTGTGTACATCCAGTATTACCCGAACATGCAGGACCATCTTCAGACTCGATGTCTTTCGAGAACTGCAGCGAAGTGTGTGCCTAACGGCAAGAATTATTTTGGTGGCTTCCACGACTCATGCTCATTTTCAGAATAAGTCGTGCAAAACCCTAAGAACCCAGATGCGGATTACCTTATTTCCTGCTTTGCAATCCGACTACTTTCTCTTCCAACAGTCCGACCAACCTAGGAACACCCTAGTGAATACGGGGTGATATTGCACTTAGCTGCATTTGTTCATGTTGACTAACCAGTAACCCTAGCAGCCAAGCAATATACAAGACCAAATGTGCAATTGACGAGCGATCAGGTTCGCTTACATCTTCTACGCTGCCAATCTCTTCCAGAGTTAGAGGCTAGACCTCGCAAACATGCCATGATCAGATAAGATCCGCGGTGCATCCATATCACGTCCTTCCTGATTACTCGGTAGCAGGCGGAAAGTTGGCTCGAGCGCGAACGCCGTCACCTTTCCCGCTTCGGGCCTCGATGCCCGTCGAACGCTCAAACACCATCCCCTTCGCCTGCTCACCCTATGACCCCGCCTTGGCTCTGAGCAGCAGGGAAACTTAAAATTGACAAGAGAGAAACATACAGATAATTAGGCGATCAGAGCCTGCCCTTCCCTTTGTTTCTCGGTGTCGGGTTCATTATTCTTACTTCTACACATTGCGTCGTCACACATTATATCCCGCCGTTTGAGAAGATTATGGTCGGCGTGCCGAGGAGTACAGGATGTGCGACATGTGTGTCGAGACGCATCAAGGTACTTTCATCATCCCCCCTTATGGACCACTTCCCCTAGGCTCTTTCGCGTCTGACGCAGTTCTCCGACATGACAGTGCGATGAAGGACGACCGACCTGTCAGAAATGCGAAAAGGCTGGACGTTCATGTCCAGGCTATGCCCGAGATCTCCAATTCAGAAACAGGACGATGACGGTCGTGTCAAGGAATACGCGACCCATAGTAGTCGACTCAATATCCTCGGCGTCACCGACAGACTCTAGCAGTAGTCTCGGTAGCGATTCTTCAGACCTACGTAGGGATTCTGTTGTTGCGACAACCCCTCCAGAGGTGGACAGTGTAAAGTCGCTGCATTTGCCTCGGACGGAACAGCTGCAAATCATGTCAGCATTGATAGACGGGTTTGCGCCGCCCTCGGCAGAACCGACGCAAGGCCCTTCGATGATACGAGACTGGCTCTCCTTTGTCTATTATCGTATAGGTTCGACCACACCCTTGGATTTGGCTATGCGATCGGTCGCTTGTATGCAATTTGGTTTACGGACAAAGGACACAAACATGATCAATGTCAGTCGTGGCTACTACGGGTATGCTCTCCAGACGTTACGAAAGGCCCTCATGGCTCCTGCCACGGCGCAATCCGAGTTGCAGAGCACAGTGATGCTACTCACATTTTACGAGGTGACATGGTCGACCCATGCTGGAGATTCAGAGCTGACTATCTTCTTAGCTCATGTCGAATCGAAAAGAGGATGAGTGGGTACGGCACTCCGGTGGTTCAGTGGAGATGATGCGAGTGCGAGGTCCTAGTGCCTACACAAATCGTAAAAGCTTCGATTACTCCATGTATCTGGTGTGCAGATACTACATTGTGAGTGGCCATATCCAGTGTCCTGGTCGCTATCACCAGAAGCTAACGAGTGTGCAGGTAATGGAAGCCTTCTACAAACGAAAAGCTTGCTTCCTGGACAGTCCAGAATGGAACACACTAGCTCGAGATCCAGACTCAGCAGAAGGAGACATCCGAGAATCCATGTTCCGCATCCACGTCCAGATACCAGGGTTGATCCGAAACGCCCAAAGGACAGCCGCAGGCCAATACGACGCCTTTGAACTAATTAAGAAGACGGTCGAATTACGGACAACCGTGAAACAACTCTACGATCAATGGATCGTAGAATTAATAGCCACAAACAACATGCCCACCGAAGTCCCTGGCGAAGACGAGTTGTTCCCAATGGTCTACCATTTTAACAATTTGGCAGTCCATGGCTTCATGTCGCAACACTGCTCGACAATCATCCAGTTGAACTCCGTACTCATCCAGTGCGGGCTACCAGGAAAAGAGGAGTATATCCAAGAGTGTCGTGAGCAAGCCGAGCAATTGTGCAGATATGTGCAGTTTGCTCAAGGCAGAGTTTTGGGATCCATTTTATTGCACTTTTGGCTCATCACTGCCAAAAGACATGCAGAAGATAAATATCAGGATTGGATAAGTGCCAAACAAGCGGCCATCCAGAAATGAAAAGATATTCACACATGTCAGAAAAGCACAAAGAGACTTTATAGCATAAGCGTCCGAAAATATTTCGTGGTCCGCGAAAAGCAGTCGTGGTTAGGAACAGCAAAAAAAGAGGGACAAGAGAGCAAGACTTCAAAAACGTCAAGAGGCCAGAGTCATGTAATTATTATTATACCCTTCCCTACCTTTGCCAATTGCTGATGCACCCACCGCATCCGACCAGCTCCGGGCGTGCAAAGGATGCAAAGGATTCATGAAGCCGTCAGTGACATTGGCTTTTTCGCCAAAACACCTCGAAGCGGAAGCATTCTGCGAACGCATCTCTTTCCAAAAATTTATTCGAAAGACGACATGATCTACTTTCAGTGGAGGATGCGAATCGATTCCTTGGTCATATCGGAGATTTTTGTTCGTCCGAGTTGAGAATGTTTGTCCGGTGGACGTTTTCGACTGCAATGTACCAAAGTCTCATTTGTTCTCTAATGACTTTGAAAGTATCGACAACAACCTCGGGTGTATCTTGTAGAATGTACGTAATTTGGTCACAGAGATACTTGACTATACACGAGACGAAACCAAAAGCGGTATTGATCAACCATGTCAATGCGACATCAACAACGCAGAATCACCCCTGTACTCCTACCCTTCTCCCAGCGTCACTAATCTGTCTCTTATGCCTCAATCGGCTCTCTATCAACTCAATCGCAGCAACAGAATATCCTCTCTTGATCCCTATATCGTCTGCTCCCTCTTTAATCTTGGAAGTAGGTGATACGGGTGTGAGTTCAGCAGCGACTTGCTCACTCCACTCAAGCGGCGAGGCCCACACTGGTTGTTTGAACAGTGGTTTCGAGTTGATTGGATGGCTGTGACTTGGCGGATTGGCTTTGCCAAAGACAAAGGGACTGAATGGGGGTGCTAGTGGGCTTATGGCTTTGTGCGTGGTCGCTCTGGGCGTTGGCGTAAAGTCGCCTGCTGTCGGACTCAATGGTGTCGGGAGTAAATGTGTAGCTTGTGGCCTCAGGATTTGTGTGTTTATACTCAAGGGAGGGGGATGCTGTATTTGGTGCGAGAAGATGTGGTTTCTGTCGTCTTGTGTCAGATCGAGATCGAAGGGGTGAGCATACAATGCTGGTTCTGAAAACCCGGAGTCTGGAGTCGCGGACCGGCTGTGGTATCTGAAGGTCTCTTGTGTAGGCCTCAGGTTTTCGTCCAACGAGGAAACATTGTACTGATGACCAAAGTTGTTGTATTCATCTGCTTGCCATAATGCCTCAGCATGTATTCGAGCGATCTGCGCTTGACAGACTGAGAGAGCTTGCAAGAGGAATTGGAGTGTGCGTTCTGACTCCTTGAGGTATTTCCGCTGTGAACTGGCAACCCATTTGGCTTTCCTCCTATTACAGCGTTTCGATTCTGGATTTACCAACGTTCGCTGATTTCGTGCGAGTTGTCGCTCAATGTCTGCGGTGTGATATTTGAGCTGGTCAATCTCAGTGAAGAGATGTGTCTGCTGTGTCCAAAGTGCGTAATAAGAGCTCGAGTGTGCCATTCTAGATCCGAGGACGGCCTTGCTCTGTATGTGATACGGACGACTCGTGTGTTTGTAGATCAGGATCGTTGAACGTCTGACTTTGTAGCGCCGCCAACCAAAACACTGTGATTGAGAAGAAGCGTCGATTATTTTGTCCCTCGTGAACATCAGCCGATCTCGAGAATAGAGTCTATCCGTAGAGTGTGGAGAGTCAAGCCCGTATATCCGGCATAGGAAATGACTTTTGATTGTTGATCGTGGCTTAAAGCCAAGCGAGGAGATTCTTTCATTATTTAGACGACACCAGAGTATAATCGTTTGTAAGTGCGGCAGTGACGTCAATCGCAACGAGCGGGCAACAAAGGAACTGATGTTTTGGGGACTGGTCGACAGCGCCGGAAACCAATAGATGGTGATATTGTCAATATCATCCAGACGGCCTCGAGCATAATCGCAATTTGGGAGTACTTAGCTGGTCGGACCTTGACGGTGTTTACTGCGAACGTCTCCACTACTTAAGAAACATCACTTTTCTATGCGTGTTCAAGGCAAGTCATCTCTGAGGGTGGCAGCTGCCTAGTCGGTTCTCAAGACTCTTGACAAAGAAAGACAGGGAAGAGAGAATGTGGATCGCAGGAGCACAACAAATCATGTGCATTCCACAACTGATACGTCTGGTGCAATAAGGCGGTACCTTAGATGATCATCTCACACAATCTCTGTAAACCGTACTGATCTCCAACTGCGACGTCGACTTGTGACATGTAGAAGCTTTACTTTTCTTTTCAGAGGGTGCGTCGACGACAATATATGACGGGCTATGTCAGACACAAGAGTGTCCACGTATTCCGGGATCTGTTGTTGTTACTCCGTGATTCATGCTTCGTAAATTCGTTCCTACCAATGATTGTAGAAAGAAATTGATGCGTCAAAGAAAAGTGCATTCATCACGTCAATCTTGGTTCTGCCTCGTGCTCAGCATGGTCTGTGCGCTTTGTCAATTTCTGACACTCATCAATCATCATGATCCTTGTGTCTGCAAGGAGGCATTTATGTTAACATGTTGCGTTATAAGTCTGCAGCTAAACAATCGATCTGTACGAGGTAATGAACTCAAAAATAACCGCTCATAGCTTGCCCACACAGCTGTCTAACTCACGGCGCCACACGTCGTCTCATAAATTCCTTCCGCATCACCATGGCCGTAGTGCAATATGGCGATGCCGAACTGGCTCATTGAATCTCCCCAGAGATGGTGCGGTACTGTCTCAGAACATGGGTACTGTGCGACATCTGGAGAATTGGGTTAGCCACTTTCCGTCAACTAGTCATTTTCAAGTTGGATCTACGTACATGGTCACCCAAAGAGTGCTGGGCGAGGTACTGGGAAACGAAGAGGAAGACAAGTATGACGATGTTATCCGTTGGCTTGCGAAAGCAATGGTTGACTGACTGGACATCGACCTGCTCGTGTAATCGGACGTCGACGACGAGCGCTTCGAGGAAGAGCGGGAGGACCGCTCCCCAGATGAAGTTGCGGAGCGGACAGAACTCAGCAACGGTGCCGGAGTGGTAGAAGAGCCAGTGGATGACGACACTGCAGGGGATGATAGGACAGACGGCACCGGAGTTGTACCTGATGCTGTGGATGATGTAGGTGCGTATGTAAGGGCTAGGGCTAGGGAAGGAGGCGTCTTTAAGGGTTGGAAAGCCACCGAAGTTCTCAGAGGCGGACATGACGACGTCAAAGGATGCGGGCATGCGTTCCCTGCCGAGTTCGCTGTTGGGGTAGAAGATGACAACGCCGGGTTGATCAACATCGATGTTGAAGGTGTCAATTTCGCTGGTTTCGACGAGACGGGTACGAGGGTCACTCCGCATGTGCAGATAGATACACACGTGCAGACCGATGTACATGTACAGACGAATGTCGATGGGTGTAAACAGACCGCCGGTGAGGTTGAAATCGGGAGAGACGCAACAGCCGCAGTTGGTAACGACTGAATCAGAGAAGATGTCGAAGGCTGTACTGGGGATACAGTGGACGGCTGCGAAGGAATGGCTGGCGATGGCTGCGAAGTCGATGCCGGTGACGGCGCAGAAGATGAGACTGGAGGCGTTTTCGGAGACATAGGCATTGACTGAGCTGTGGATACAGTACTGGGATTTGTACCTTGTGTTGAGGATGAAAGAGACGGCTGCATCTTTGGTGATACACCCGAGGTCGCATTCTTGATGATGTCTGCGGCCTTTCTAATCGTCAGCTCTTGCATAACAGGAGGCATCGCAGTCCTGACCTTCTCAGCAATCCCATATACCACCGCTTGGAGATGACTCGCAGGAATAAGAGGCATAATCGAAGCATCAACTATCCTTAGGTTTTGAGTGCCATAGACGAGCAGATCGGGGTCCACGACACCTCCCAAATCCAGGGGCAGCATGGCGCAGGTGCCGCTGGGGTGAAATTCTGTTTGTATGTTGTCCTTGATGAAATCCATTACTTCCTGGTCGGTAGCATTCAGTCTGGGGTTGACTTGAAGTGGCTCTAATAACTTCATTGATGTCGTCTCAAGCACCTGGCGGTTGTACACAATTGAGGCGAGCAGAACATCAAGATCAACCGGATTCGAACCATATCTGGGGTCAATGATGGGAGGGTCAAACGGACGCGACGAGTTCAGCTTCTCAAAAGTTAGCAACAACTGGACGCATAGTGGTGGAGAGCTTGTGCTTACTTTGACAGTACCCCGAGAGAATGGTCTCACGTTCACATTGGAAAAAGCTCCATAGTTGAAATTCAACAACTCATATACCGCTCTCTTTGGGTCTCGCAGAGCATTGACTAAGAGTCGACGCTGGGCATCGAAGCCTGTGAGTACAGTCTTATGAACGTCTGAGGGCAGAAAGTCAGACGCTTTCTGTGTTTGGGCTTTCGTGATAATTGACAGAGATCTGTTTGACAAGAACGAAAGAGCAGGAAACGCGTTCCCGTCTGGAGGTCCTGCTGTCCAAGGGCCAGTTCTGTTTGCCTGGTACATGGCACTGAACTGGCTCATCAGCGTATGGTTATTTGCAATCTGCATGCTTGTCAAGGATGTAGGCTTCTGGTAAGGATCTAATGACACTGTCAGATGCGCTTCCAAGTTTATAGACAAGGTACCTACAGAACACCCCGACAAGAGCATGATCTTGCAAGTTCATGCCAACGCCTGGTAGATCGACGAGAACGGGGATCTGGAGTAGTTGCAATTCGTCCGAAGGTCCGAGGCCCGAAAGCTTGAGAAGTTGAGGAGTGTGTAATGCGCCGGCAGCAATGATGATCTCTCTAGTCGCTGTAACATTCTTCCTTGGTACGTCTGCTGCTGAAGAAAACTACATCTCGGTCAGTATTCATACAGATACTAGCACGGGAATTCATACTGACTTCGACTCCATTCGCTCTCACGGGTTCTCCGACGGAAGTCACCGGTGTATTAGTCGGCTCTCGTTTCCGAGGAGAAAGATGAGCCTTGAAGGCCTCGACGAGAAGTATCCACGACCATGACCTGCGATACAGAGATGCAATGCCATTCTGGGTGATGTTTGAGAACAAGCCATCAGGTCTGGAAAACGAGCTTCCTTGGCCAATATTTGAGTCGCCGGGAGTTGGTGTTGTAGTATTGGGGTTACCAGATCCTCCCTCGAACAAGATGCGGGTGACATGTTGGTTTGTGGAGACCCACAGATTAGGTCTCATAGTATACGGCTCCAGATATGCCGAGCGAGCATCGCACCTTGTTTGGGCCGCCGGATTGAGCGACAGTGGTAGAAAGGAGGCGCCTGCTATCAAACCATCGTTTGGATCGAAAGATACCGGCATTTTGAGTTCGTTCAACGCCGAGAAGAAGTTGACTGTCTCATTGTAGATATGGTTCGAGAAGCTGACGTTGACAGGCCCTTTGGAGCCATGAACCAGTGGGTTCTGATTGATACCAACAGCATTGGCCGCCTCACTCTGTGAATGGGGTGTGAAGGTCTCGCTCTGAAGACGACTCATATTAGCGTCATTGCTTGAGCGGCGGGCATGTGGGTTTGTACCTTGCCGAAGTATGGTAAAAGCTCCCAAAAGCTCCAGCCAGGATTGCCGAGTGCAACCCAGTCGTCGTAATCGCCAATACCGCCTCTATTCTACAGCATGGCGTTGAGAACGGTTCCACCGCCAAGGACTCGTCCTTGTGGAAGTGCACGAGTCCTGCCATCAAGGTAGGTCTGGGGCGCGGTCAGAAGATTCCAGTCCAGAGAACTTCCGACACCTTGGCCCGCAAAGAATGGTATCTGAATCCAGGCTTGGTTGTTGTCGGCCGGTCCAGCTTCGAGCAGGAGTACGTTGACGGTAGGGTCTTCTGAAAGACGATTCGCAACCGTGAGCCCACTCGGACCACCTCCGACGACTGCTCACGTTAGCTGCCTGTCTTTTGCTTCCATTTGCGGTCGTGACTTACTGATGTAGTCATAAGAGTCCAGCAGTGGGGAGTTGAGAAGAAGGCCTTTGGCCACATGCGAGAAGTAAAGTAGGAAGATAAGACACAAATTCATATTGTTCGAAGATACACTGTAAGTGGAGATGTGTAGTCTATCTCGATGCGATTGATGTTGTGCAGGGGTTGTGATGTAGAAGCGAGTGTGTTTGTTACCCAATGTCCAGCGTCGCTCCCGAGTGCATTCAACCCTAGCCGCGTGGCATATTCATATGACGCTGCTCCACGGCCCAATACAAAGGGTCGTTCTTTCTCTATCGACACCGTGAACACAAGATTGAAACAACGCCGAGAGAGACGAACATCAATATCTAGATCAAAGTCAAGTATTAGGTAAATTGTAACAAAGCGCAGTCCTCTTCTGGTATGAATTTGGTCAAGAAGTTCAACATCGGCCGCCTCTCATGCATATCCACCAAACGTCCCAGGCCGCTTCTGCTTCCACCCCATCGCGTCTTCGACCCCTTGCTCGTATGCCTCTTTTCTCTCCAGGTCCCTTCTCTTCCGTGCCGCCTCGGCGGCTTGTCGGGTCGCATCTTCTGCATGTCTGAGTTTCATATGATCAAGTCGCTCACTCAAGCGTTGAAGCATAGACGTGTTCTCGGACTCGGCATCTTGCGGCTGCTGGTACTGCCGCGAATGAAACAATACTGCGTTCGGCTTTGGTTCTGGAGGCTCTGGGACGTATGGTCTTTGGTGAATGTCTGGAATATAGGCGCCGGAGTTGTGATCAAGTCTTGTAGGAGGCATCATGTGTTGATTCGGCTGCTCTCTAGTAGACATTCTGAGCGACAAGTCCTCCTCTGGATCAAATTCATGCCAAGCTGGTACCTTGTGGTCTTTCTGGTGCCACTGAGTAGTTACGGAGATGTGCTCCTGATTAGGACGTAGAGAGCCTTGGGCTGCAAGCTGTTGACCGAAGCGTCCAGGATCGTTTCCCTCTCCATTTCGGAGCACATTGCCATACACCGGCTTGTCGGTATATCTGCGAGTGAGAGGCACCCTATCTCCTGATATCGACGTCGGCGGCGAGCTCAGTTGAGGCGACGCGAGGATTGATGACTGGTCATCCAAGCTCGAAGAAGATCGGGAATGGCTCAGATGGGCTTGTGTCCGCCAAAACAAGATATCTTCTCGTCGTATCCGCTCGGCATTCTGAGTCTCCTGCTTCGCTTGCTGCGGTAATGGATTTACCACTTGTTCTCTAGCAGGATTGTAATCAGGCCAATCTGAGTCGGCAGTGATCTGGCCATCAGTAGGCGGGGCATCGCCATCAGCCCCGAGGTTCTTGACGCAGTGATAGTCTGACGTAGATGCTTCGTTCATTCTTCGAGACTGCGTTTCGAAGAAAGACTGCTTTTCGTATGGCTTTGGGACATGATTTCCAAAGTAATCCCGTGGCTCCTGGCAAGTAGATGGCTCGTGTCTCGTAGCCTTGGTAGGATACTGCCGAACAGACGAGTTGATGAATCGTTGTTTGGGAATACACAATCCTGGGGGGGGACGCTCTTGAAACAACGGTTCCGGCAGTATAGGCGGTCTTTGTGTACTTCCAGTATAAATGCCTTTCGTCTGCGCGAAGGCGTTATTACTCACATCAGACATGTATGTCAGAGTATCTTTAACTTGACGGGATTGTTCAACTTGCTGAGGTTGTATGGCCTGCTGCATTCGCCATGGGACTTGTTGGTAGTCTAATGTGTGTCGCTGAGTTTGATCCTGAGAAGGAACGTCCCAGCCCAGGACTTGGCCTTCCCATATTTTAGGAGAAGGCGTGTAGTCCATCGATGGAGTGAATGGTCCCAATGACGTGTCAATGTTGGAACTTGGGTCAGACAAGATCTCGACCACATCATCAGTGGATCGTCTGGTTTTTGCTCCTTTTCTGGTAGCTACCACTTGTGGGCTCAGGTCCTGTTGCTCTTCAAGTTGTATCCGAGGGTGAGACAACCTAATTGGGTTGTCGAGGTCGGAGATGTCGCTCGATGCACTGATATTAGTAACTCTGCTCTCTACAGCTTTGCTCTCCGCCCGTCGTTTGTCTTCCCTAGTCAGGATAACACGAATGAAAGCAGTTTCTCTGACTCTGGTTCTTAGGTTGTTGACAGTCTCCCGATGGATGGCCGCTATTTCCCAACTAGCGAAATCTTCAGGTTCATCTCGCCTCTTCTCTTGGACAAGGACCTCGACCTGTTTACGTTGGTCCCCTGACAAAGCTTCGTAAGCTTCGGTCAGGGACTTTGTTTTCCGCTGTCTTTTGGCTTGTGCCTCAAGTTCGTCAGAAGGTAGAGTCATTTGAATCCGTTCTGCTCGCTTCCAACTTGGAGCGCCATGCTTTGTTTTCTGGACGGCCTTCGTAAGCTTCCAGCAATGAAACGTCGTCTGAATCAGCTGATTTCGTAGGCTGTGGTGTTTTGCGTCCGGATTTCTGCTCCGTCGGTGTTCGTGCCCAGTACCAGTACCTTCGACCACATCAACCAAGAGAACTTCTGCCGATCGCCGGTATGTCGGCGGCATTTCGTAGTCTGAATAAGTGTGCGTAGGAGGTATAGGAATGGCTTGAGCCATGGCTAGTGGTTGACAAATAGTCTTATCAAGTCAATCAGGTCGCTTTCCGAACTTCACGGCAGTCTAAATGGTTCGCGCAAGCTGGACGCTGAGGGTGATGACCAAGAGAGGACGACAGAGATGACATAAAAGCCTGCCCTTATACGTTCGCATCGCAATTTCTTGATGGCGTTTGCCTACATCGCATGACTCCGTGCATTGCGCCGACAGTTTTCGGTACACCTTGATGCAGAAGATGCGAAGCATGGTTGCGAAGATTAGATTCAAAAGTCAATTCTTGTATTTGGGAGCCAGATACCCGCAAGTTGAGCAGCGACTTTGATCCACTCACACCAATCAGTGTATCGGATGCTCATATCTTGCAAGGACGTTCCTCATCTGATTGGCTGACCCTTCATCATGGCCGCAATGGAGTTTGGCAGACAGATAATCGAGAGCAGCTTGCAGGACCTTCGAGGAACTTCTCTCTCAAGTACGACGACACCCACTTTACACGAGCATGATCGATTTCTCGAGATGGTATTGGTCGACCCAAACTTCACATCTTTGGAACCAAGCTCAGAAAGTAGATGCGGGAGTATACCTTTCACGAGATGAAGTTCAGGGGTGGTCACGAGTGAAGTTCAGGGTGGTGCAAAAGATGGGCTCAGCGGAGATCTAAGGCAGGGAAGAGGCGTAGGCAACAGTAGCATAGCATGTTATTTCTCATCATGCGATGAGACATCCAGCTCTTCCTATCCAAAAGTGTTCGTTATGCAGGCACCTTGGGTCATTGCCGACTTCCTTTGGATCCATACTAGAATGTCGTGCGCTCACCAAATGTGCACTGTCACGTACAGCTGTATGCATGTTGCAGTCCCCGGCTACAGCTTCGATTCGGCGACGCTCGCATACGGATTACTGACCCTGCTGACACGCGTAGCTAACGCAAGCCGCAGTGCACTCTGCGCTGGCAAAGGCTTGCAGCTCGCCAATAGCCAGGCGAATTCTCAGTATAGGCCGGCCACCTGACGGAAGCCACATGTGTGGGATGATCTGCCACACGTCGTTGTTGAAAGAAGATCCAGGTTGATACAGCCGTGGCCAAACAGTGAACAAGTTTTCATATGAGGATTGTGGCTTGCAGTGAAGAATGTCACGATGCTTGAGCCGCGCCGGGGTCAAAGACAAAGTATCGGCTAGAATGACGATATGGAAGCCGATGATGATCGATCAACCACCGGACTTAACGATAGAGACTGTTTTGACACCACGGCCGCGAATAGGCGGCACTGATTAAGTTGACTCGGATGTAATAAAGGTTCTTTCACCCAATGTTCCGGTGTTGCAGGTATTTGGACACGACAAACATGTGGCCAAGTCAGAGCAAGAAACTAAGAGCCTTCCTTTGGCGGCATGAAATTAGCATTGCACCTTCCCCGGATGTTCGGAGGTCGGGCTTGGGGGGAAGGAGCGGCTTCGGCATATTCGCTCGCCATTTCGATAGAGATCCATAGAATGGTTCGATGGAATGTTGTGTCGGACTCTCGGCCTTCTCTCCTGTTCAAAAGCGAATACTGCTAATTATTTCTCCCATCATCTTCCGTCAGGCATATTCTTCCAGGCACTGATAGAATCACACGAAGTGTATCGGGGAGTTTGTTCAACCGACCCTTCTTCTCCACGCGGGACCGGCGATAAGGCGTGTATATTTCTAATCGGCACCTTAGCCTGATTGCAGTGGCATGCCTACTCCTCCCTACGCAGAAATGGACGACTATCGCTTCCAATTCACTCCGTCCGACTCGGCCAGCCATCTCCACTCCATGTCGCCCAACATGATCCACGGACCGTCGCGGCGTGATTCATATCGCCGTCGCAACAGTCTGCCCACGGCCGTCGCTTCCAGCCCTTCGAACAACGGGCTCGGTATTCCTACACCAGAGATCAACTCCCGCAACGGGCCTTCTGCCTCGGAACTCTCTGCCGCCATCTCGGAGCTCTCGCGTACGGGCACTCCGTCCATGGTTCAACTGGCCGCCTTGACCAGCCCCTGCTTCTTCCACCGCCGCTTCGGAGACGCCGTCAACATTGAGAAAGTGTTGGACGAGATAAAAGAGGATGACCAGTTGTCACACAGTCGTCTTATGCAGACGGCTGCCAGTGTTCGCGAGGTCTCACGCCAGCTACAGAGAAGATCCACAAAGCAAGCCGTACGCAACGTCATGATAGTCACAAAGGCCCGCGATAACGCTCTGGTCGATTTGACTCGTGAGCTGGCCGAGTGGCTACTTGGCAAACCGCGCTACGGCAGCGATGTTGGTGTCAATGTCTATGTAGATTCGAAGCTCCGTCGTTCGAAACGTTTCGACGCAGACTCACTGACTGCCAAAGACAAGCGTTTTGAGAGCATGCTTCGCTTCTGGACACCCGCCCTGTGTTGGGCCTCGCCCGAGCTATTCGATCTTGTCATAACTCTCGGAGGAGACGGCACTGTCCTCTTTACCTCGTGGTTGTTCCAACGCATCGTACCGCCCGTCATGTCCTTCTCTCTGGGCTCCTTGGGCTTCCTCACAAACTTCCAATTCAACCAGTACAAGCACCAACTAGATCGCATCATGGGTGACGCAGGTATGAGGGTGACGATGCGCATGCGGTTCACGTGCACAGTCTATCGCGCTGCCGCATCAAACTCCACGCTCAATCCTCCAAACACATCCGACCCGTCATGTCTGGCGACAGCAAATCCAACTAAGATCGAGGGCGAGACTCACGAAGTGCTCAACGAGCTGGTTATTGATAGGGGACCTTCATCCTACATCTCGTCACTAGATCTATACGCCAACGACTCTCTAGTTACTCGCATTTCCGCCGACGGGATCATCCTTAGTACACCGACAGGCTCTACTGCATACTCTCTTTCCGCCGGTGGAAGCTTGGTGCACCCTGAGATTCCTGCCATATTACTCACACCCATCTGCCCTCATACCTTGTCTTTCCGGCCAATGATTTTGAACGACTCGATGGAACTAAAAGTCTCCGTGCCGACAAAAGGTCGAGGCGGCGGCTTCGTCAGCTTTGATGGGAAAGGGCGGATACAACTTGGTCTAGGCGATGAGGTTGTTGTTAGGGCGAGCAAGTACCCTTTCCCCACTGTTCTCAGTCAACCAATGGAATGGTTCGACGCTATCAGTCGGACGTTGCGTTGGAACACTCGAGCCGCCGAACAAAAAGATTGGGCAGGAAGAGACGGCGAAGGAAAGGATGACGAGCTCGACGAGGACGGTGTTCCTAACGGAAGCAAAGAACCTGAATTCGATATTGACTTCGAAGACGAGATGGACAGTGTCCGAGATTCTGGATATTCTGGATCAAGCAGTACAGCATGAGCAAAAAGGGTGGTGGCTATGAAAGACTTCCCACAACAATGGCTATAGAAGACACAACCCGTCTATCCAGACATGTAGAGCCGGTGCCACAGACATTCTTTCATCCTTCTTACTCACTGCCGATCTGGACATGACACAAACGTGTAGAGTTGGACGATACTCGAACGATGATCGTAGGAGCAAGGCTCCGGCATGGCACGTTCTCAAAAACAAGAGACTGTCCGAATGTCTGTTCACATATTGCTGCAGCACCCTTCCCGTGTGCAGAATACTATCGCACACCCTCTCCTCCATGATCGATTTAGAGCAACGATAAGTTGTAGAAAGGCACAGTCACGTTGCGTATCGATGAACCTAGCGCAGGGAGTCGATGGCACGAAGTATCTCGATGACATCGATCCAAGCTGAGAAAGTATGGTGCCTGAAGGCAGTTATAAGCGTGACAGTATGTCGCACACGGAGAGGACGTATATGCTGCATGTTAAACTGTGAGGGATGGACACAATGCACGCATAATATGTGCGATCGAATTTGATGAGGAGATGTCTCGGATCACATCCGAAGCAAAGGGGTATCTCTACAAACAGGACGGCACAAGCCAAGATTCAGTAATGGGCCGAGTTAAACCTGGCGATGAGCTCGTTCAGTGAACCTCTCATCATATCCATTTCAATCCTCTGCTGCTGGACCAGTTGTCGGAGCTCCAAATTGTCGACTCGTTGCTGTTCCGCTTGCTGCTTTAGCCCAATATTCTCGGTTTCTATGGCCTCGATGCGTGTGACGAGGGTAGTGACTCGTCTAGCAAGACCTTGACCATTCGCTGGTGGCTCATAGTAAATGTTCGCGTCTGTAGATTCAGGCAGAGGCTTGAGGGAAGGTGAGGGTGAAGGGACAGCAGCTGGTGCTGGTGGTGAATACCTGCTATCGGTGTAGGTTGTGGGGATTCTAGGTGCTTGGTGGATGGGCTGGGTTGAGTCGCTCAATTTCTTCTTCCTCCAAGCGGGCTCTCTGACTTGAGCGGACGGTTGCGGGACGGGTTGATGAGGCTCTCGGAGTCGTCTCATGGTATTCTCTAGAGCGACCAGCGGACCCACTTCCGTATTGTCTCCATCGTCCCCTACGTCGTCGTCGTCCTCATCATCATCATCATCATGAGAAGTGTCATCGTCTTCCTCTACTCGTATCACTTCACCAGGGACGACAGGATTTGCAGTGATGATAGTATCCTTTCTTTTGGACAAACCCATCTCCTTGCGGAGTTTTGCCAGTTTACGGAAGGAGATGGTGAAGCCGTCTCGCCTGAGGATCTTGGCCATCTGTTGATCGGTATAGTAGCGCTCTTGGTAGAAGAGGTCGTATATACGTTGTCTCAATTCAGCAGTCACTTTGATACGTGGACGAATGGTAATGCCCCAGGCATTCAAGTTACGTTTGAGGGTATTTGCAGAGAGCGAGATGTCATACTCGCTCTCGAGAGCAGCCATGACGCGATCCATATGCCATTTCTCCTGTGTGATCCACCATGTGATGGTCTGGCGATGCGCTGAGAGGTCGATCGGATGTCGGGGCATGTTGTGAGTTCAAAAGAGCTATTGGCGACGGGCTACCTGAATGAGAGGTACGGTCGGTTTCGCCGACGGAGCATGTCATGTCTGAACGAGAAAGCGGGCTTGGCACCCAGGTCTCGGCGAGTTTTGCGGACAACGGGCTTTCACATGCTCCGCCTGGGGCCGGGAAGGGCGGATCTGCCCTCGTGCCACTCATCAAGGCGGGCACGAAAGACCAAAGGGTCCCATCCGACGACGATCAGTTTGTGTTTTGATGACAAGCCCGCGGCTGCCTGCTGATGGATGCGTGACCTTGACTTGTTGATTCCCTTCTTCTTGCTCCTTCTCTTTTGAGAGCCCGATCCGTCTACATACGCACTCGCACTCGCACACGCATGCCTTGGACGCCGCCATGGCTCTCGACGCTCTTCCCGGCGCAATGCCGCTCCCACCACGAACCGCTTCGAACAATGCTACGCCCACGACTGTTCCACAGCAGAATGGACTGACACACGACGACTCGACCACATCGCCCAGAATGCATCCACAAGCGCACATATATCCCCCACCGCTAAGCCCTCCGCCCGAGGACCCTATGCACAACATCTGCGACGACTTGATCTTTCAGGGCACAACAAAATGGTCGCAAGAGAAGGATCGCATACTGCTGGCTCCGTACGACTACCTGGATGGACACCCTGGCAAGGACATACGATCTCTCCTGATCGGTGCCTTCAACGCATGGCTCCATGTGCCCAAGCCGAGCCTCGACATCATCACACAAGTGGTTGGCATGCTGCATACTGCCTCGCTACTCATAGATGATGTTGAGGACTCCTCCGTCTTACGACGAGGCGTTCCAGTCGCACACAACATCTTCGGAACCGCCCAGACCATCAACTCGGCCAACTACGTCTACTTTTGCGCTTTGCGTGAGCTTATGAAGCTGAACAACCCTCGGGCCATTGAGATTTACAACGATGAGCTACTCAACCTACACCGCGGTCAAGGCATGGACCTCTTCTGGCGAGACTCATTGACCTGCCCTTCTGAGCACGACTACCTCGAGATGGTTGGCAACAAGACAGGTGGACTGTTCCGTCTTGCTATCAAACTCATGCAGGCAGAGAGCAGCGTCGCAATCGATTGCGTCCCCTTGTGCAACACCATCGGACTACTCTACCAGATCCGTGACGACTACAAGAATCTCTCCGATACAATCTACACACAGAACAAGGGTCTTTGTGAAGACTTGACCGAGGGCAAATTCTCCTTCCCCGTCATTCACAGCATCCGCTCCGACCCGCAGAACCTCGTCCTCATCAACATCCTCAAACAAAAACCACAAGACGAAGAAATCAAGAGATATGCCGTCAAATACATGGAAAAGACGGGCAGCTTCTTGTACTCACGTCAGGTATTGCGAGGTCTAGCGAAGAAGGCTCTAGCACTGGTCGACGAACTTGACAAGAATCGTAACGAAGGCGCGGCGATTCGAAAGATACTTGACAAGATGCAGGTCGACGAACCCCACGTGGAGCTCGGAAGCATCTCGTCATCGTCGTCACCTTAGTAAGATGCATACATAGGCGTTCTTTGGAGCATTTGGCGTGAAATACTTTCTGGAAGGTTATGTTTCTTGTCGTCCTGATACGATTTGGCGAACTTTTTCACTCTCTGCATATTTCTCTTGATACCTCTGATAAGCATACCACAGCTGGCCTTCTTTTTTATACAGCTTCTCGATAATTTCAGCCGATGAGCTGTTTTGTGCTTTTAGTTTCATTTCAAATTCGTTTTTGTAGGTACATAGCATTCAATCTCTGAAGTATGTACTCGGGATCATCCAACAACTCTCAGTCGGACCATCCCTCTTGACTTTCGCATGTTATGACAAGAATGGGCAACTGTGAAAATCGCATGCCTTTTGGAAACCCAACACCTCTGAACGCCGCCGTACAACCTTGCCCCGTTTTCCCTTGTATGCATGACTTTCCGAGCAAGAAAGCGGGACAGACAAAAGAACCCACCGTCCGACACTGATGAAGCCTTGGGCATTGTCTGACTGGAAACAATTATGCGACCAGGAAGGAATGCAACAAACGGACTCCAGTCGGCGTGTGATGGTCCCTTTCGTTTCGAAAAGTGAGAAAGAAAGGTCTTCAATGCTCAACCTTGATCTTCTTCTCTCGCTTGACCAGACTAGTCTCGGTCTTCTAGACCTTGACGTGCTGACCCTGCTTGACGACCAACTTGTTGAGCTCCTTGTAGGCCTCATCCCACTCGTCATCCTTCTCCTCGCCCTTCTTGCCGGCGGTAGGAGTGACCATGACGACGGAAGTGGGGCGCTTGGTGCTGCCAGCGGCACCGAGCTCGGCGCGCGACGGCAAGAAGACGTAAGGGATGTTGTGGTCCTCGCAGAGGACGGGGATGTGGCTGATGACGTCCATGGGGCTGATGTCGGCGGCGAGGACGACAATGGCAGGGGCGGCGACTTGGGCTGTGGCAGGGTCGGCGGGTGTGGTCTTGCGGACGGCCTTGACGACTTCCTTGACACCACGCTTGAGGCACTTTTGCTTTGCGGCTGTAAGTTTGATATGGTTAGTGCTTGTTCCTGGAACGATTCACTCTGCTCAAGCTCAAGCAGTTCATAGACTCACCCTTCTTGACAGTCTTCAGGACCTTCTTGGTGGCCTTCTCGTCGCACAGAGGGTTGGCGAAGGGAACCAGAGCGCCAATGGGGATGGCGGCAGACTCGGCGACAACATCGGCATCGACAATAACATCACCGTCGGCATCGACAGCGACGGCACCAGGGGCGGCATCCTCGATCTCGTTGAGCACGGCGGTCACGTCGCTCTTGCGACTCTTCTTCTCTTTCTTGACACCGCTTGCATCGACACTCTTACGCTTCTCCTTCTTTTCCTTCTTTTCTACTCTGTCTTTTGCCATTTTGTGAAAGTGTTTGGTGTGTGGTGGTGGATTTCTGAAGATGCTGTTGGAATGCGGTCGTGAGAATGGAATTAATTTTTTTCCTCTTCGCGTTCTTCGAAGCCCGCACAACCCAGAGCTGCTTGCTTCGCAGAGGTTTTTGCCAAGCATTTTGCCGACGGAGATTTCCCGATTGGTCGACACAGCATCTGTGTCTTGTCATCGTCAGTTGACAGACAATTCATATTCAGCTATGAGAGCACCTGGAGTCTCAAGCATCGCGAACTTGTTGAATGTCACAGCTGCGTAACCCGACTTTGAAGACATGATTCCCGGGCCTCCACTAGGTGTCACCTCCACACCACCGAGTCCCCGAAGCAACGGGTATAACCCTGCTCCGAGTTTCGAGCCGGTATAAATGTCGGAACTCTTTGCAAATCGAACAGCAGATCATTCGAAATCTCATTTGGTCTCTTCTCAAATACCTTGGTGTGCTTAGACAACTATCTCGATTTCTATTGCAAGTATCGCGACAAATCGAGACCCTGTTGGATTTGTCTACCTAACTCCAGCCTCGATGCTCACACGTCACCAAAAGCCACAGAAAACAAATCGTTCAATTTACTCAGTGAAGTAGGATTCAATACAAATACACATCGTGCAAGTTTACAGCTCATTAGTATCGTCCGTATCGCTTTCCATCTGATCGTCCAATTGCACACTCCTTTCGCCTTTCCTGTCTTCCAACTCCTTCAGGGCTTCCAGGTGTCTCAAGAACAATCCTACAGGCGAGAACGCCCCAAGAGCCAATATGGACAGTCCACCATTGACCAATGACCGCGCAGTCTTGACTCCAACATACTTGACTCTCTCATCGACTCTGCCAGAATCTGATTCCAAGTCGCCAGAGACCATTTCGTCTTTCGGTACAACCAAATTACCCTCTAGCTTGTCCCCATCTGCCACATCCGAGAGGCTCTCTCTCACCTCAAATCGCTCCTGTGTAAAGTCTTCCATGCTAACATCTGCACAATTTGTGTCCCTTAAGAGATCATAAACCTCGAAGTTGCTCTGTAATTCAACTCCCGCCTTTCTCAGCACCACCAGTCGCATCAGTCTGATGACTAGCGGCAGACGCGGATTCAGGTGTGACTGTGCCTTTGGACCTTGATTCCAGCTTGCGCGGCTTTTTCTTCTCGCCAGTCGCTGAATCAATCAGCTTCTTGGGCTTTCCCTTGGGCTTGGGAGTCGCTTGGCCCGAGGAAGCGAATGGGGGAGCAGGAGAAGCAGCAGACTCGGACTTCTCAACAGCTGGAGTCTCAGGAAGTGGTGTCTTCTCTGCCTTCTTCTGCTCCTCGTCGGCGAGCTTCTTGGGTTTACCCTTGAGCTGTTTCGGAGGCGCGGGCGAAGCGGCGGCTTCTGATTTCTCGGTCGCGGGTGTCTCGGGTAGGGGGACCTTCTCGGCCTTCTTCTGCTCTTCAGACTTGTCGCTCCTTGACTTACCCTTTGGCTTTGTTGCGGGTGACGAAGCAGCCTCCGACTTTTCGACTGCAGGAGTCTCGGGTAGAGGCGCTTTCTCTGCCCTCTTCTGATCCTCAGGTTTGTCGCCCTTTGACTTTGCCTCAGTTGCGTCATCCTTCTGGCCCAACTTGCGAGGCTTCTTCTTGTCGGCCTTTTTGATTTCTGCTGGGGTATCCTCCTCGGATGAGTCATCAGCGTGCTCGACCAAGAAGTGACCGTCCTTGGACTGTCCGCCATTGATCTGCTGCACATCGTTGGGACATGCAGACATGACAACCACGATATCTCTCTCTGCCTTGAATCGAACGTAATCGCCCTCCTTACATGTAGGAGGTTCGAAAGAGAGCTCGCCCTTGTCACCTTTCCACGGAATATTCATGAAGAGGTTCAATGGCGCTGGGACCGAGTTGACCGTCACTGAGGCGCCAACACCCTTCGGTCCTTTCAACTCGGCGCGGTCGTTCAATTCCTTCAGCGCAAGGACCAAGTTTTCGGCACAAGATCCATGCTGCTCCCAGTCCTCGATCTGGAGAGCCTTGTAACGCTGCGGATCGCAGGCTGGGATCAACGTGTCGTGGACGCCAGAGCTAGTGTCTTCTATGAGCGTCAACATGGGTTCTCTCAAGTTGGACACGAGGACGTCGTTGACGCGAGGGACCATATGGAAAGTCGAGGCGCGAGTGTGAGGCATGCTGAGGTATTCCATCTGGGCGGTATCGCCGTGCATAGCGTTCCATGCGCTGTAGCCGGCGTAGAGAGAAGATACAGATCCGGATCCCGTGATGGCTATTCGTAATTAGCAATCGCTTCTTATGCTCAAAAGTACCCAGACTTACCCGACAAGGAGGCCGCGCCTACAGGTGTCCGAGAGAATGCGGCCAGTTGCTCAGCGTACGTCTTGTTGGGATCGCGTGCATGCTACAAATTGCCACATCAGTGACCATTCGGACAAAGCAGCCTTGATGAAGCGCTTATCGCACACACACATACCTGAGCAGCAAAAGCAGAAATGGCTCCCTTACTGGGCAAGTAACTGGTAACGCCCTGACCTTTGAGCAGATAGCTGCCCCATTTTCTGGAGTTCTCCTTCTCTTGTTGCTTGTCATCCTCTTCTGTAGCCTCGTCCGGTTTCTTCTCAGGAACTGCGTCGTCTTTCGCATTGCTGTCAGTGATTTGCTTTCTTCCGCGCAAAGATGGAAGGTATGAAGACCAGCCGCTCTTGGAAGGGGTAGATTGCTGCTTGGACTCTGCCTCAGCCGCTTGCTGTTGGGAAGTGGCAGCCTCGGCTTCTTCTTGCGAAGGCAAGTCCAGACTTCCTCGCGACTTCCTGTTGCTCTTCTTCCTGCTGGTCTTGTCCTTTTCATCTTGCTCCTTCTTCTTCCTCTCTTCCTCCTCCTGTTTCTTCGCCTCTTCCCGCTGCTCCTTTTCTTGCTCCTCCGCGAGCCTCAGCTTCTCCTTCTCGTCCTGCTCTTGATAGCCGTTGTCCTTGTCATCTTGTGCATTTTGTTGCGGTCCGTTCTGCTTAGGCGGTGTAGGTAGAGCAAACGCCCAAGTGTCGATCACCTGAGTACCAGAAGTATTCACAATCTTGATCGTGCTGCCCTTTGGCACAAATGTAGCAGTACCATGACGGGCAGGAATAGTTTGGAGATCTTCCAGAGATGGCATTGTCAATTTCGATTTGACAAAGCTTGGGTATCGTTACAGTATTGGAGATGTCTCAGAAGCGAAATTCAAGGTTAGATCAATCAAGAAGAGCTCGAAACGACGAGTAAGATGCTTAGAAGGATTCCAGAAAGCTGCCTATAGCTCAGCTACTTGGTCGAACCCAGCAAATTCACACTACGCAATCATGCAGCTAGCTAATGCGACAGTCGCGGATGATTTGCCACCAGAACGCAGCTTGCAGGGGTGTTTCCTTGCTTACGGGCGAGGAAAAGTGGCACGAAGACGCGTGCAAGGCGGTTGGGCACGATGCACGTTGCAATGACGTAGACCTCACCCGTGTGGAGACGAAGCGGGCTGGCCTCAGGGCTGAGTCTGGATCTGAAGATTGCATTGGTATCCATACAGCATTGTGACATTTGGCTCAATTAACAGGTTTATCTATGCTAGGAAAAAGACTAAAACTACTTTCCAACCTGAAATCTGTGGAACGATGATTCCTCAATGGGTCCTGCTCAACCCTTGGCATTATACTTGTCGTTATAGGCAGTGACAGCAATCGCAACTTGTCGATAAAGCCAGTTGCGGCTCTGCTCATCTGCAACAGGAACAAATGGACCACTGTTTCCTCCCTTGAGCGTCATGCTCATACCTGTACGCTCCTTGACAATAGTTTGGATATCCTTGAGAGGAACGTCCCACTCAGTCACGAGCTTCTTGGTTTGCACCAGCATGATACCATTGTAGGTGAGCATGACCATGCGTGGACTCTCGGCACTTGTACTCTTGGTACGTGCTTGAGTTGACTGCGATCCACTTCCCGAGGACAGTTCCATATGGGCAAGATAGTCTTCGTGGAAGTATTTGCCATTGTCAAGGGTTTTGAGCCAGAACTGACCTAGAGCCTCGCGCTGGCTGTAAGGTCGCACGATGCCATCTTGACCAATGAAACGTGTCAGACGCACGCGATCAAGACCTTCCTGGTCAAATACGGTCGTAGTATTGCGAACACCCTCAGCCATGTTAGATGCCAGGTCGAACGCTCCAATGGCAGGCTTGGTGGCCAGACCAAGGAATCCCTTCCCTACACCCTTAACAAAGCCAAGAGCGCCCTCCTTCTCAGCACCTTGCAGCGGATGTCTAGCGAGACCACCAATACCGCTTGCCATGCTGTTTGCGAAGGCATTACCCCCAGAAGTGATACCGTATAAAGCGTGCTTTGGTCTATTACGAGAACGAGACATGCGGCGCTGATCTTGGAACTCCTTGTCCATGGATGCGGCTGCAAGACCTTTGCTGATACTGCCTGTAAATTTGGCCATACTGTCAGAGAAACCGAAGACACTCTTTTTCACGAAGCTGCTAGCACCCTTGGCAATTCCGATACCAAGGTCCTGAGGTCTGTCGGTCATGACGAGGCCCTGATACGGTTCGTAGAAGATGTCGGCAACACCGGAACTGATGTTGTTGAAGAGACCAACTGGGTTGCCCAAGAAGTCTGCAGAGCCCAGAACGATATGGACTTGGCGAAGCGATTCCTGGACGTAGTGGCTCTTGATGGCAGCGACTAAGGCGCCAACAGAGACTCGAGCATTTTCTAGCATAAGAGCGTTGTAACGAATAGGTGCATCGTTAACATTGCCAATAGACATGGTGAGTACATTGACAGCAAACATGAAAGGATTCGAGGATGAACTGCCAGTATCCTCAGCGTTGATACGCTCGGTTCTGACAAAGGACAGATCAAACTGCATAGGTTGCAGGTGCAACAACTCGAAGTAGATGTCTTGACCGCCTTCTTCTTGTTTGGGCTCTGGGATGTCGAGATTCTCGTCACAAAGCTGACCCTCCTTCTCTTCTGACCATGAAGCGCCTGGTATCTTGGTGAAGTCGAGCATAGCGAAGATGAAGTCTTCATCGATTTCTATAGTCATCTGCTGCATCAAGAATGTGAAGTACTTGATGTAAAGCACACCATAGGAATCGTCCTTGACGCGTGTAATGGCGGCCTTGAAGATGGGATGAGCTTCCATCTCTTTTCCTGTCTTAGGAACCACACTGGGGTAGAAAATGAGCGGGAAAATGCCTCCATAGAGCTGATTGTCGACTTGAATCCATTTGATGGTAGAAGAAACAGTCTGATACAGCGGCGAGTCCTTGTACGATAGATCGATATCGCGCAGTGTAACATACACGAGCTCCTTGAGTTGACGATTGATGAGTGAAATGCCAAGTCCTGCAAATCTAATTTGAGCACTCAAAGTGACGTGGTCATCCAAGTCCTTGACCTCGAACCCAGTCGAAGTTGATTGAGAAGCAGAGCCACCCTTTTGCTTGTACAGACTCTTCGATGGCTTGTAGTTAGACAAGACAAGTGTCTGAGTTGGACCGTCCGCTGCGACATTGAGATCGATGATCTTCTGACGATTGGTCCCTTCGGCTGCAGGCAATCTCATTGGTATGAGGTTGCCGATTTCTGCAAGCTTGACATGTCTCTCCTTACCCTTGGCGCTCAACACAAGATTCTTATTCTTGGTCGCGGGATAGTCCCAAGCATAAGGCATGATACTTCGTGGAGGCAGTCTGTATCGAATCGGCTTCCAGCCAGAGGTGCGCTCGTCTTCGTCTTCATCAACGTTCGGATTGGCTTGCCAGAAAATGAACTCAACATCACTTTCATTGCGGATAGAGAATGGCCAGTGCTTCGTCTCATGGCTAATGTGAAGGAAGATAGTGGCGTCTTCCATCAAAATCTCGACTCTGATGAGTTTCTGTCTTTCACCAGCCTTGGCCAATTTGATGTGGACACTGCCAACATTGGCGATGTTGAAGGGAGACGACCAACTGTTATTGACACCTGGGAAGCAAAGGCACAACTGCTGTCCACCAGATTGTCTCAAGAATCGCAGTGGATGAAGTTCTTGTGGCTTCAGAGACGTCACATCCGATGATCCGGGTTCTCTGATATTGAGGTCTTCTCCTAGCTTATTGCGCACCACGAATCTGGGCGCAATGGTGATGACCTTCGTCAGCTTGTATTTGCCCTCACCTTCTTCAACTGTCAGACCGACGTGCATTTCCGATCGACCAGATTCTGCAGCAACAGTAACGTCCGTAGTGGATCCAATAGCTTCAAAACTGACTGGTTTACTCCATGTCGATCCGTCAACTTTGATGAGCGCTCTATTCTTCTGATCGTCCGTTGGGTAAGAGAACATAAATGGAACTGCTTTGCGTGCTTCGTCTGAATTGCTGAACGTGGTTTGTCCAGCAGCAGATTTGGCAGCACCAAAGTAGGTCTTGCTGCGGATGTCAAGGCCTAGACCAGTTCTGTTTAGAACTACGTAGGGGCTGTAGACAGTGATCTTGAAGGCACCACCGCTATCAGGGACATTGTAGTAGTGCAGCTTGAGTCTCAAAGTCAAGTCTTGGTTGTCCTTTACAACAAGGGTCTTCTCACGTCGGAAATCGTCACGTCCTGTGGAGTTGATGATGGCGAATTCGCTTTGCTTGAAAGGGGTGTCCTGCATGTCAACACTCATCAACAGTAGATGTGACAGCTCAACAACGTGAACAGGACTGACGCCACCTTTGCGTAAGAAGTTCGTCCAGTCCTTTTTGGTGTTCTTGTCGTAGATGCGGTACTTGAAGTCAAACGGCAACAAGTTTTGAATCTCGACCGGGGCGGAGAGTCGAATGCGCATGTAAGGATAGATTGCGGAGATGGGATTGTTCTTGTCGTACACGGCCTGCATCTGGAAGTAGAAAGGCGGAGACGAATCTTGCTGCTCTCCTTCGCAAGTGATAGTTCGTGTGGGACGCTTTAGTAAGTCTTTCCAGAACAGACGTTCGTTTGACCAAGTGTAACCAAATCCTTGGTCTGGGCGAATGACCAGCGAATGCATGAAGGCAGCACCAACGGGTGCGGATCGTGCATCACCCGGTGCAACCTTCTCGATCTTGAGCAAATGGCCCTCATCTGGACTATACACACCGACCTCGATAGGTATCTGTGTGTTGTTCTCAACCAACAAAGGCGATCGGAACGTGATGTACTTGACATTGTCTGCTCCAAGTTTCACATCAACCAATATACGATGCTGTACTTTGTCTTTGCGTGGCTGGAGGTTGTAGAGAGTTTCGCCCTCACGGCTAACAGGAATGCGCTCAATACTGTTGAACCCACTGCCTTCTAGCTTGATGCCGACAATGCCAGTAGCGCCTTCTGGAGACAGCGTTTCTCTTGTCGTGCTCGGATCTTCAAAGCGCCAGGGAGCCTCCTCTCCATCACTCAATTTCTCTGCGGCGCCTTCTTGATTGTTCTCTGTTTGGGCCCAAACATTAAGGTCGAAGCCGGTCTGGTTGCGGATGCGATAAGGAGCGTCAGTTCCTCTAGGCTTGGACAAGATGTCCTCATCATTCGACAAGAACTGGGCTGACTTGGAGGCCAATGCGATCGTAGACGAGGTCATGGTCAGCTCTAAAGATTTACGCGAGTAAAGCTCTAGTGCGAGCTTCTCGGGGTTCAAGCTCTTCGCCATATGGAATCCAAGTGACCATGGCTCGACAAGAGGTTCCCAAGCCGACTTTGAGAAGTTGTAGACGTTGAAGAATGTCTCGATGCTAGTGTCTGCTGTCATGGCGCCACTCCAATCACGCACTTCTACAGCAAAGTTCTTGACACTCCAATCGAGCATTGGCAGCTCATGAAGGTCGCCGATAAGAACCACTCGAATGCCCTGAAGATTGATTTTCATCTCTTCTCTCTTCAGCATTGCCGACCCTTGTGGCTCGGCAGGTGCCTTAGGCGCGGTAGTGGTGTGGGATTTTTTAGTAGCAATAGTGTTGGCTCTAGGCTTTTGCGCTGATGATGGTGCCCGCCCAGACTTTGGCCTGGTTGAGGGAGCCTTCAGCTGATCGATCTTAGAGGGACCTTCCTTGGCAAGCTCCTGGTTATCGTCATCTGCAGACATCGCAGAGGCCTTATTGACGATTTGCATGGCCAAAAGAATATCGCGCAAGGACAAGCGAAGCACCAGAGGTTCAATTTCAACCATGATGCTCATCAGTTGAGCTTGCTTGTTTTCCGACCGCATGTCAACGGAGGTCTGAACACTGAAATCATCAAGGATCCGAAGCTGGGAAGTTTCGAACTTGTCCATACGGCAAAGGAACATGCCAAGCTTGTCGACTTGAAGAGCAGTGACGTGTTGCTGCGATACAAGGATCTGCTTGCTCCCAAGCACAATGGCTTCAGAGTTGGTGATGGCAGGGTTGGCGATGAGGATGATCTGTGCGTCAACAATATTGACACGGAACGATATGCCCATAGGGCTCGAGCCATTGGCAGAGCTGGGGTCGGCCTGCTGTTCGACCGCAATGTCAGTGCCAGTAGACATGCTTACTGCATCCTCGTCTCCGATCGAAGATTCGTCTTCATCCGAGATGACAAGAGGCTCATCTGTCGCCAGACTAGCATTGATAAATTTTTGAATGGCAAAGAGATAGTCTAATGCCAAAATGATCCTTGGGCTATCAATGGTCAAGAGGGCAATCAAGTTGCGCTCCTTGCCTCCAGAAATGGAGACGCTTGCCATGAATTGTTGTTTGACATCAGTGTTGATAAGAGACATGATCTTCCTAAACTTGTTCTTCTCATGTGTACGAGTGTCGGTTATTGTGAATGATTGAACTAGAAGCTCAGACTCGAGCGATCCATCGCTGACCATGCGCAGCTTCACATGAGTCTCGTTGAGCGAGAACTTGGACAGACTACAGGCTGCAAGATCTTCAACGGGCTTATCAGGCTTGCTTGATATGAGTTCAAGGCCGATTGTACCGACCTTGAAGACAAGATCAAGCTTGGTCCAGGTGTCATCATCTGATCCAATCTCGGGACCCAAATGGGTGGGAGACTGAGGTTGCTCGTCTTGTTTGTTAGAGTCGCCAGTTATTGATTTGGCGTCTTGAACCGTGGACGCGGGCAGCTCCTCCTTGACATGTTCTTCAATCTCGTCATCTGTAGCGAAAGCTTCAGGAATGGATTTAGAGAGCTCGAGGATAAACTTGAGCTGTGCCTCTGTAACACGCAGATTGACATTCGACATTGATCCTTCAATCTCTGTATCGGGTCGTTTGTACCCTGCTTTGTGCTCTGCGCTTGTGATCCTGAAGTCGAGATCAACCTTGTCAATGAGATCGAGTTCTTCCATTCTATCATCAGCGTAATTGAACGTCGAAGTCAATCGAGTGTTATGTACACCGGCTGTGAGTTTGTTGGCAGTATCAGAGTCCTTAGAGTCATCCAACGGGAGGAATTCGTTGCTGGCATAGAGTTCTCCTAAGTAAGCCGTGAGAACATCCCGTCCTGGAGAGTCTGTAATGACCATGCGAGGGAAGGCAATGATCGGAGTTTTGATGCGAATATCGAAGTGCATCTTGCTTGCGCGCTCTTGAATGCTGTTGGCCTGATTGGCAGCAGCCTGTCTGGCAGCGTTCATGATAGCCTGCATCTTGCCGAACTTGACACCGAATTCCATAATCTTGCGGAATGGCTCAGTGACAAAGTTGACCTTGAGAGAGCCGGATCTGAGATAGATAGAAGTGTCATATCCTGGGTATGCCTCCGTAGTTGCATCGAAGGTTTCGTAGCGGAAATCGGCAAGCTCATCGCCCTGGATTGAGACCAATTGGCGTAGTGACGACTTCTCGGAGACGCCTTGGTTGACATCATCGAGCAAAGACAGGTTGCCCAGTCTGGCACCAACTCTCATAGTCTTGCCCATGAGGAAAACAGCAACTTCAGCAGATGTCAAACTGAGTGTAGCAAGACGAATCCCATCGTTATTGAGGATTATGGCAATACGCTTCAGCTCGGCCTTGATACGGATTTTGTCACCTGCTGGCTGCGCACTAATCTCCTCAACTTCGGATGACTCCACCATTTGTGACTGGTTGGCTTGGGCCTCTCCAGGGTTAGTGAACGTCACCATGACAAAATCGAGCAATGTCAGAAGAGTCTTGCGAGTTACAAGCAGATTGATCGTTGATACCGCCACGTCGAGATTGGTCGCGATTCCTTCGAACGTTGACATGAATTCCGGGTGTTCAGGATTGACCTTGACAAACTTCAGCGAGAACAGATCTTGCTTCTCGTTGGTGTCTGTGTCTTCGGACGAGATCAGGTTTCTGAACTCTGGTGACGGATTTTCCTCCACATGATCCTCAACTGCAAGAGTGCGCAGACTGACCTCGGCTACCATATCGAACTGACGTTGGAAGAAGAGCAAATCGAAGTTCTCGGCAATAAGATCAACAAGCAACTGGTCCTTTCTCTTGCCATCTGGATCCGAGCGATAAAGCGAACCTTGAAGCTTGTCAACCTTGAACTTGAATTCGAAGTTACGTTGATCGACATCTTTTGTAGGTTCCTTGGTAGACTCTTTAGCTTCCTTGAACTCTTCATCTTCGTTGTCGGTTTCTTCCTCCATCACAAGTTCATGCTTTTGAGCGGAAAACTGGAAAGACTTGGATCTTGGTCTCCCTATGACATCTAGATCCACGACACTCTTTTGTCTAGGTCGCTGTGTATGCTTTTGTGTGGCTTGGACAGTCTTCTGCGGTTTGTCTTCGTCTGATCCGAACTTGGGAATCGCAACGTCAATCAGCTTCATCAAGCTTTTGTATTTCGAATCGGAGATGGAAGCGTGCAGCACGGGCAAGTGACCACCGACTCTAAACTTGGTCAGACCAGAAGCCTTGGGGACGATGCATGTCTCGACTGTAAAGTCGATGTTGATTCGGTCAACAATGTGCAAATGTCGCGATGTGTTGTTAGCGTCGAGCTGCTTCTTGGTCTCTTCGATTGAGGGTCCAAGCAATAGTTGGGTCGACTGTAACTTGACAAGGAACTTGTCATACATCAACTGCTCAAGGCGTTTGAAGTCTTCATCGGTATACTGTTGCTTTTGCTTTGACTGCACCTCGTTCAATGTGTCCTTATCAATCAGCTCGCTACGAACACTAATATGACCGGCATCAAGGATCATGCAGAGAGATTCTTTCTTTGTAACAGAGTCAGGAATGATGATGAGAGGAGCTTGCAAATCGAGCTTGGCGTCGACAGTCTTGTGTTCTTGAAGAGCGTACTCGAGACCTGCACGAGTTTGTTGTCTGAGACCCTCGACAGTAGCACCGGCAGATTCCATCAAGGCGCCTATTGACTCCATGTGGCGCTCTGGTGGCTTGAAGAAGTTGGCGACTTCAACAACAAACTTGGGGTTGTAGACAAACTCCATGGCTTTGAGTTTCACAGTCAGATCAGTATCAGCATGACCATCAAGAGGGTTGTTCTCGAAGGTCAAAGCAAAAAATGGATCTACAGGCGGTTCGTCGTCTTCGTCTGCAACTTCGTCATCCTTGATTTCTTCAACTCTTTTGTCGTCCGGTATCGAGTTCTTGATGTTCAGCATCTGGGGGAACAAATTTCCCTCGGTGGTACCATCAAAGAGCTTCATAGTCTCGAGACTGACTTCGGCCAACATTGAATCAGTACGCTGCAAGAATTTGGTATCGAAGCCCTGGAAAATGAGCCGAAGCATTTCGGTAGCCTTGCCGTGAGGATCACGTTTAAGAGTGAAACTGCCTTCCCGGAGGCTCATGTCGACTTGCAATTTGACAGCCTCTTTTGGCATATCAACGGCGTCTGCAATCTGTTTCTTCTCGTCGAAGTCGATTGCGTCATACAACTCCTTGCGCTGCTCTTCCGTCAATTGAGTCTCGTCACCTGGATGCTCTTCAGTCTTCTTGCTTCCCCAAACCCAGGACGACCATGTCTGTTTTGCAGGGGCCTTTTTGACGCCAACATTCTCCTTGCGCAACTGATTTCGAGCAAGAGATCTCCAAAAGCGCAGGTCTTCGTAGGTCAGTTTACGTTCAAGTGAATCAAGGTCAGTCGCCTCTTCGGGAACAAGCTTTTCTTCCTTCTTCTTCTTTTTGAAGAGACTGATGTATTTGATACGATCGTCACGACGTTCCTTGAAGTATGCCCAAGTCCAACGGCGATTGCGTTCATGAATCTTATCGTGGACGGACTTGGTAGCGAATTTAAGCCAAGCTCGCGGGTCTTCCTTCGGTGATGACTTGGGCTGGAACTTGCGGTACTCTTGGTGTCGAATAAAATAGTGGAAGAGATCTACCAACATTAAGGCATCGCGATATTGATCGTCGTCAATCACGAAGCCAAGTTCGTTGAACAGAAGACGAGCCTTCATCTTGGGACGGTCGAGCTTCCCAGTCTTGTCAATTTCGAGACCAGCACGACCAGTGACTGGCTTGAGTATGTATTGATGTGATCCGAAGTCAGTATCGTCCTTCTTTGCAATCATGTCTCTGAACTTGTCGATAATTGTAGTATGGTCTATTCCTTGCTCTTCTGCGGTCTGAGAACCCTTGCCAGAGCCCAGCAACTTGGCATCAGTGTCCCAGTAGACAGCGAGGGCGCCGAGAGTGGCTAGCTTGTGAGTCGAACCAGCCGAAGTGCTCTGTATGAATGTTGGTTTCCAGTTTTCATCTGTACTGACAGCACTCAGCTCCTGCAAAGTGAGCCCAGCAGCGAAGGGGTGGCCGGGGTCTGAGATGGAGTCTTCGTAGCGAATATGAACATTCTTGACCGAAATCTGTAGATTGTCCACGATAGCTGCGACAAGACTGGCAGTGAAGCTCTGATTCTTTTGCTCCTCTTCTTGGCTCATGCCCTCTGCACTCCTCTCTTTTAGCAGCTCCGCACTGTCGAGCTTCTCCATCTTGACAGCGTGGTCGCGCTTATCTTGATCTTCGGGGTTGTAGTCTTCATCTTCTCTTGGAGCAGCCAGCAGGTATACGTCCTCAATCTTGACTTGTACGGGTTTGCCGCGCAGGTTGGACCATGGGATCGAGAGGGTGAGAGAGCCCAGATGGCCTTCGACAACGTTGATGGGGAGGTGGAGTTGGTCGAGAGCTTCCCGGCGAAGCTCGAGATCTCGTAGTTTGACATCGCCGGACCAGATTCCGACATTCAGCTGCTTTGGATCAAAGTTCTGGACGTACATGCCCAAGAACCTGTTGAGCAGGTTCGACACGAGTCCTTCCAACATGACGGCAGTCTATTGCCTTCACCCAGGCAGGGAGTTTGCGCAAGGTAGAAGCGTGGAAAGGATGTGAGGCAGCGGGTTTGACTATTGTGTACAGATCATAAGGTCAGGAGGTCGCTAGATAGGCGGTAGGCCGCGTGAGTAGGTACTTGATGGAGGGTATCCTTGGTTGTGGTTGATTGGGCGCCAGCGAAACGGACGGTCGATCGTTGTCAGGCGTCTAACACTCGAGTCGTCGCAATGTCTGAAACTGGATAGAACGCGACAGTAAAGACCTCGGTCTTGTTCTTGGTAGCAGCTCGCACAGCCTTTGGTGGATCGCGGAGAAGGCAACTGTCCGATAAGTTGGCAGCTGCTTTCTTGGAAACAACAGCGACGCTGATCGTGCTTGCCCGCACACGACGCGGGAACGTGGCATCGGTGACGTCAAGACGATTCCAACCTTCACACACACGCCAGCACCACGATGTTTACTTGAGTAGCTCGAAGAGCCTCCTGGGTGTGCAGCTCGTACTACTTCCATGACACGACCGTACATACCGCACACAGGATCCGAGCATTGAGTGGCTTTGGATTCGTTGATAGGTCTTTTTCTTGCACAAGTAGATAGTCCATCGCAGCGGGATCGGGAGAGACGCACGAACGATGACGTTCTGAGGTAAAATAGGCAAGAGCTTGGTAGTGCCTACCCCAGGGATACAGCGGAGGTGTTTCCTCATAGCTTCCCCGAGCTTCCCTTCTCTCTGTGCATCTCGAGCTCGTCTCTTCTTTCTCGCTCCCACCTCTACCCTCAGTCACAACATGTTCCGCGCCGGTGCTGCTCGCCAACTGCGCGCCCTCAGTGGCCTTGGAGCCTCGGTCCCTCGTAGCTCTCAATTCTCCTCCAAGCTATGCACCCTCTCGCAGACCACTCGTCCACTCGCGCTTGGCAAGCCCATGACACTTGCTCTTGCACACTATGCTACCCAGCAGGCACCAATGGACAAAATCAACAAGGCGGTGGAATCAAAGCTAGGAGAGCTCAAGCTCAAGGCGGATCCCGACACTGTTAGCTCCACGTCGTCGACTCACCCTGTCTTTGGCGAAGTCGGCACGACTGAAGACCCGCACAAAGACGCCGACATGATGGCCGGCGTCAAGAATGACTTGGTAAGCATTGGCTGTCTCCAAGACCTGTTCGACAGTGTGTGCTGATTCCTTGTCTAGAAAACCATCAAGGATACCTTCTCGCTTGACGGCGTCCCTCGCGAAGCCTACACCTTGGGAATGGCTGGTGTTCTCCCCTACCTTGGAACCTCAGTATCGACGGTCTATTGTGCCTGGGAGATCAACCATGCGCACAACACTGGCTCCGGCTTCTTGATGAGCGAGCAGACTGCAGAGGCAGCTCTACACGTGCTTGAGCCCCTCCAGGTCGGATATGGCGCTGTCGTAAGTTGAGACTATAATCGCAACCTTGGCCACCTTCTCACACCCCTTTTCGCAGATCATTTCTTTCCTTGGCGCCGTCCACTGGGGTCTGGAGTTCGCTGGATTCGGCGGAACCCAGGGCTACAAGCGTTATGCAATCGGCGTCTGGACCCCCGCAGTCGCATGGCCCACAATCCTTCTCCCAGTCGAATACGCCTTGATCACCCAGTTCATCGCATTCAACTTCCTCTACTACACAGACAGTCGCGCCTGCAAGAGAGGCTGGACCCCTCCATGGTACGCTGTCTACCGCTTCGTCTTGACTTTCATCGTTGGTGCCAGTATTGTTCTGTCCCTGATCGGAAGAGGTCAGATCGCAGACCGTATCAACAAGTTGCCTGGTCCTGCCGATAGAGTGCGCGCCCTCCGTGAGACTCAGGCAGAGCAACTCTCTAATGAGGAGGCTGCCAAACGTGCCAAGGTCGTGAGCAAGGACGAGGAGGATGACGAGGAGTAGAAGTCCAAACATCGCCGACGTCCATCTCACGCTATCAAGAAGCCGCACACTTAGAGCAGTGCGGTACGACGACACACTTTGCTTCCTTAATGTATGTATCCTCGATGACTAGTTATTAATCAGCAAGCCAATGCTGCCTTTTCTCAACAGACCACATGAACTGCGCATTTTATCAGACAACTTCTTCCTTTCGAGTTGCACTCTTGTTTAGTGATGTTTTCTCTGTAATTCGGTCTACGTCGAGGACAGCCGTTGACATTTTGATCTATCGAGGCTTATGCCTGTATCGCACATGCAAGCTTAAACATTGTAGATCACGGCTGCGGGAGAACACGAGCCTATGGAGACGGAATCAGAACTGTTTAGGCCAGGTAAGGCGTCTAATTTGCTGCAAAGGATTGATCAGCAGACTGCGAGCCGCATGCTATCAGGGGCACAATATGAGTCTCGAGGGTTGACTCGGGTGTTTCCTCGTTCGCGGAGCTGACTTTAGGAATCATCCGGAGTCGTTTTTATATGAAAATCAGCACAGTGGAGCAGTTTTGATGGCTCCAAGCTGACGAGGCCTGCGTGCCGAGGAGTACTCGTGACCCTTCAAACTGGGGACAGCGAGTGGATCTCGATTGCACTGATCGACACTCGCATTTTCATCAAGTTCTGTGCCTTGCGGCCGTGCGTATTCGAGGATCGTCACTCTGGCGTCTTTATTCCCAAGCACGCGACAAGAATCCGGAACATAGAAATCACTTGCGCGCCGAAAAGAAGCTCGGAGGTCGGGAGCAAATGTACAACGCGTCCCAAGCAAGATGATTTAATAGCACACAAAGGCGCCTCAGGCCCGTGGGCAGCGACCGGGTAAATTGCTACGGTGGAGTGCAGGACTGACTGCCCGGCCGGCATCCCCGTGGGATCTGAGAGGCACCGAGTGTAGCCCCGAGAGGCTGTAGTCCCGAAGGCGGAATGGCCAGTGGGGATGGTGGGGTTCGCCATGGACAAGTTGAAGCGTGTGAAGTCATCCTGCCCAGCGTTACCAGCACGTCCATCACTGAAAAACTCACTTAACTCTGCGTCCCTCACGTCTGTCCTTTCTCTCTTTTGCCATTCAGCTCACTGCTACACCCTCTGATACCCTCTCGAATTTTTCCGTCTTTTTCCGCTTGCCGAGCGATTTACATCCATCTATTGAAGACGAAATTTGGTTTCACACAGCTCCGAAGTTGACGCCCACGCATTTTTATTTCTGCGTTCTGCAACAATACTAATAAGCCTACCTTGTCGTCTTCTATTCGACATTGAAGCAAGCATCATATCACAATGGACGGCACACAAGACATCCCCAATCTCGACCAAATCTCCGAGCAACAAGCGGATCCTACCCTGCAGAAGGCTTCTGGTAGCACCGATGCAAAGCCCAAAGTCAGGACCGAGTCCAAGTCTGGTGCTCAGAGACCGCCGTTGAACAGATTCACCACCAGCCACGAGAACGTACTCCATGAGAACTTCATTGGTGCAATTGACCAAGGAACCACTTCGTCGAGATTCATAATCTTCGACGGAGTGGGTGAGCCCGTAGCAATGCATCAGATCGAGTTCGAGCAGAAGTATCCCGAGTCTGGGTAAGTTCATATGCTGCTCTGTCGCGTATGCAGTACTAGTGTTAATACATGTCTTAGTTGGCACGAACACGACCCCTGGGAACTCGTCTCCTCGGTAGAGACTTGTATCGAGGAGGCTACCAAGAAGTTCCTCGAGAAGGGCCACAAGGTCTCGGACATCAAGGCAATCGGTCTAACCAACCAGAGAGAAACGACTCTGGTCTGGGATGCCGAGACCGGAGAGCCTCTGCACAATGCCATTGCCTGGCCCGACACCAGAACAAAGGGTCTTGTTCGCGAGTTCAAAGAACGCAAAGGCGACCAGAACTTGTCTGCCATCTGTGGTATTCCTCTGTCGACATATCCCTCTTGTCTCAAACTCGTTTGGATGCTGCGCCATGTACCAGAAGTGCAAAAAGCCTACGACGAGGGTCGCCTGTGTTTCGGTACCGTCGACTCTTGGTTGATCTATAACCTCAACGGAGGAAAGGAGAAAAATGTGTTCGTCACGGACTCTACAAACGCTTCAAGAACTATGTTCATGAACCTTCACACCTGTCAATACGATGACGAGCTCCTCAGCTTCTTTGACCTCGACCGTACCAAGCTCAGGCTACCCAAGATTGTTCCCTCGTCTTGCGCCGATGCCTACGGTACCCTGTCTAAGGGTATTCTCAAGGGCTTGAAGATTGCCGGATGTCTCGGTGATCAGTCTTCGGCACTGGTCGGTCAACAAGGCTTCACTCCTGGTTCCGCCAAGAATACATATGGTATGCACCACGTTTTGTCACACCATGTCTACAGCTAACACCCCTGGCAGGTACCGGTTGTTTCCTCCTCTACAACGTTGGCGAGAAGCCCACCATTTCTACCCACGGTCTCCTTGCCACAGTCGCCTACGACTTCGGTCGCAACAGAAAACCAGTCTACGCGCTCGAGGGGTCCGTCGCTGTCGCTGGCTCTGGTGTAAAATTCTTGATGAACAACATGGGTTTCATTGCACATGCCGAGAAGGTTTCGGAACTCGCTTCTACCGTCGACGACAATGGAGGTCTCGTTTTCGTCACTGCCTTCTCTGGTCTTTTTGCGCCATACTGGATCGATGATGCAAAGGGCACTATCTTTGGTATCACTCAGCACACCCAGAGGGGCCACATTGCACGTGCCACTCTTGAAGCCACCTGCTTCCAGACCAAGGCTATCCTCGACGCCATGGAGAAGGACAGTGGACATGCCTTGTCAGACTTGGCTGTCGATGGTGGTATGAGTAACTCGAACATTTGCATGCAGGTATGTCAAGAAGATGACCATGTAAGTAGAAACACGACTGACATAGTTTTAGACACAATCAAACATTATCGGCATCCCCGTCAATCGTCCCGCCATGCGCGAAACAACCGCTCTGGGCGCCGCCATCGCCGCCGGTTTCGCGGTCGATATCTGGAAAGAGTTCAGCGAGCTCAAGGCTATCAACCAAAAGAATCGCATGGTCTTCGAGCCCGAGGTCACTCCTGAAGAGAGCCAAAAGATGTTCAAGAAGTGGGATCGTGCTGTCAGCATGTGTCGTGGCTGGCTCGACGTGGACGAGGTCACTGAGCGCTAAATTGGGGCTTTCGTCGCCAGATGTAATGAGGAGGACATTTTACGATAATATTTCTGTTTGATTCTTGTTTTCATAAAGGATTTTGCTTCGGATTGGCATACTGTTCGATACCCTTGTTATGGGTTCGCATTGTCGAGGGGAAGTTTTGGAGTTGCATACACATGATGATTTGTCAAGCTCTTACAGCATATAGAAGCTACCTTAGAAGGAATAGATTGTCTTCATTTCAATTGTGTTTTGTGCGACATGGCTGGTGCTTCTACTCGATGGACGACACGCAGATCTAGTTTGCCTGGGAGCGTCACTTCTGATATTCAGGAACGTTTCACCTTGGCGAATCAGTAGACAGCTCCCTTTATTCAGAGCAGTCGATTGTTTACCGATATCGCCTGGAACGTGGCTGGTTATAGAGTAGAAGCTTCAGGACGACACCGCTGCGGGTCGACCATCCCGGCGCCTCTTCCGCAACCTTCGAGGGGAAGAACGGATTTGACTTCCCTCCAAACCTTAAAACGCCAACATCTGCATCCAGCGATTTCGAGATTTCTCAAAGTCGTCCTCGAGTGGATCTCATCTCGCACTGTAATTTATCTCCAACAGCACCGAATATGAGATTCCGCACGCCATCCCCATCTTGCGGGCTTGGACAGCGGACAACTTATCATACTGAGCGTTCTTATGGCAAGCATAGGTCTGCTGCTGCCAAAACCCAAGTTTCACTACATGACAATTCACAACCTCGTACGACTGCTACGTCGGCGCATGCAAAACATTTCATGGTCGCACTGGCTCTCCAACCAATCTTGTCATCTCATTCTACTCGCGCTTAGACACATGTCCGCGCGCCTGTCCCTAGCGGCTCTATACACAAACCAAGACCTGAGAATAACGGGCGATGAACTGACACGACAGATTTCCAGGAACACGTCAATATTCCATGGGTAGTTTGACGGTACGGCACGAAAAACGGTGACACCATCCCATAAGCCAAACTGCACGCCTCCCGAGCAACGCCATGCTTGCTCCCTTTCCAAAAAGCACGTCGCATGCAGCAAAGGTCTCCAAGCCCGGGTTTCGGTGCAGCGATCAGGGATGCGCGATTTGCTTCGCATTGGCGTCGACTTGGACGTCCCTCCAAATCGGTCAACGGTACGAAGGTTTCGTCAGAAGAGATCTCGTAATTGTGTGATTGGAACAACCTGTCAGAGGATGGCCCGCTGAGCCAGCTAGTCTGGACGTCTTGCATCATATGGCAGAGTGCACAGGTTGAGTTCCCTCTTGCTTTCTCGCTTCACCGGGGCACATCGGTGGTACAATGAACATAAGTGAGGTGTTTCGAGATCACCTCCAGGAACAGGTCAGTGGGGAATTTATGCTTGCTGCTCGCATTTTATCTTTGCTTGCTTGTGTCGTATGATTTGAAACCAATCGTAGTATCAAACTCTTCTCGGTTCGTGAAGAGGCTGGCAGCATACAGATCTTCTGCTCTGTGTATTGTTTCTCCTGCGGACAGTGTCAAGTCTATAAATTGTCTTCCCTCGACCCCTTCGAAAGTTTCAATCATTGTCATCAATACTAAGCCATCGCACAGTCGCTTCATCCCTTCACCAGATCTTCAGGTCAAGCTATACCAGCCTCTCCACTTGTACATACAAGATGTGTGATTACACCAAGGTCGAATACTGCTGCGGTCATCTTCGATACACAGTGCGCGCCTGGTGTGTCAGATATCAGGAGTCTCATAAACGCTGTCCTCCTAACGTCGTCGCTGTGTAAGTTCTCAAGGCCCCCTACAGACTTCACTCGGTACTGATGCATCCTCTCCAGAGAATACAGATTCGAGGAACCATGTGGTATGTCAAAGTCGTGTGCTTCGCGCCTGGACTTCATGACATCTCGAAACCGATAGAAACTAACAGCCGTATTCGATAGGTGACTGCAAACCACCTGCGCCGCGACACGGCTACAAGACCAAAACAGTCAGCAGAAAGTAGCCAATATGTGTCTTGCTATCTAAGACCTACCATTGGTGCCCTTTTGAGTTGTAGATGTTCTCTCTTTCGACATGTTTTTCAGCGATATCGGTAAACAGAACATGGCTTTGTCTCCTTTCCTTTCTTTTTTATTCAAGTCATATCAGCAGGACTGTGGCAGGCGACCACCGAAGTCCTAGAGCAGGGTGTGAACCAGTACGGCAGTTTTGCAGATATACCCTTTTCCTTTTCAGCCACACCTTGGGTCAACGGCATGAGGTATCAAAAGCTATCATGATATCATAAAAAGTTTATTGCTTACAACCTCAAAAGCGTTTCTCTTTCTCTTCTCTCTCTCTATATAGCCCAAGGTTTTCTCGTACAGTCAAATATGATGCCCACGTCAAGTACTCAGTACCCACTAGCCAGTGCGGTAGAGGAACGCTCGTCTACATGCATCTGCGAATCATCAATCTTACAAAAGTATTCCCTGCCGACACATAACGCATCTGTGTCCGTCTCGTACGGTCAAGTACTGGTCAACGTTCTGTGCAACGTATACCAAAAGCCAAAGCTAACATCATGTGGCAGTTGCGGTGTGTTTTGCTCAAGCCTGCATGATCAACCTTGTTCGCATGGCTCAATAGCATGCGCGAAAAGGCGTGTTGAGTGATGACCTTATGCCTCGTCCATGAGTTGAGCAGTATAACGATTTTGCTTTAGTCTCGGAGAAATGACACGCCCGAGAACCAGGAAACCTTTGATCAGAAGATCCGGTATGCAAGATCTTCGGAGATCCCTTGGGTTGCAGGATGTCCTGCGATCGTAAAGTAAAGGCAAGAGGCGCAGCTGGCTACTCCCTGCATTGTGGACAAGTGATCGCCTCCGGCACTTTAGGAGCAATTCGTCACGATTCATCTGGCATCTCTGCTCTGAGACCGATCATTTATGAGCTGTGTGTCGAATGATAGCACACGTCCGACACTATCGCTGGATATTGGCTGTACTGCCGTTACCTGTCAAATACGACATGTCACTTACTGGATCTGCGAGTCATACGAGGTCGATGCTCTGGGATTACAACCACTGCATGCGATCAGACTCACCAACAGATCTTCAAGCAGACCCAGAACAAACGATCCATGAGAAAGATACATTACAAGGAGCTTTCCAATCACGCCTTGCAAAGACCTCAGTCGGTACGACAACAGCTAAAACGAATGTCCCTCCAATCTCGACTGGATACTCACAGCTCTCGTAAGGAAGAAGATCAAGAAGTTGCGGTCTGCAATCATCCCTTGTATCTCCCGAGATTTTCCATCAACCACATATTGGCAATCGCACACAGAAAAAGAGTCCTCTGCCGAACCCGAAAAACACCCGATGCAATGTGGAACGTTCCATCCCGACTGCAAGTTCGTCGATCGTGTATATGCATGCACGTAATAAGGCGTCTAGCGGTGTCGGCTGTCTCGGACGAATGAGATACGTGCATATCGTCAACGGATCTCCGAAATTGCAAAGGACTAGTAATCGTTACGCGAAAGTCTTGGGCAGTAGGAAGCTAGGTGCTACTGCACTCTGTCTTCTCATATTAGAAAGGTGTGTAGAAAGAAGTATTCGAGCAAGGAGATCGCTGTTATGTCGTCGTAGACATTGAACACTGCAGAAATTCGTGGGCAAAAAGTACCTAGCTTTGTGCTTGGTCTGGGCCAGGATCTCTGTATCTTGCTCTACATACACAGCTCTCCTGTGATGGACTTCAGCAGCTCGTCGTTGAGTGAAAAGAGAATTGGCATGACGAGTTCATACTGGCTGTTGTAAGCATTTGGCATCGTCGATGGCTTCAAGATGCTGACGAATGTGGAGCCCATTGATGGCAACAGCTATCGATCGCGGCGCCGATGGCCGAGCGTGTTGTCAACAAGACCACTTTAGCCGGCATGGATCCCTGCTGTGGGTATGACCCTACCCTTTTTATATATCACCTTATCTTCGCACTTGTAACATGTTTATTACAATTAGCTGTATCCAATATATATCTATATGAGCTATGATTCGATGTGATATGATTGAAAATGATTTGAAAGTATCTTGAAGGCTGCAGCACCCTCTCGACAATCGCTGGTTGGGCGCCCTCAACTCTGTCGCAGTCGCACATGTTTCTCGCGGCCTTCTCGTCTGACAAGGTGCAGTCTTCGACTCCGAGATAAACGTTATCACGGTACTAGCATACAATTGGTTGATTCATGCGAACTGACTGTCAAAGGTGGGACGTCAATTTCGAATTCTCGTTCTTGGTCTTGCGACTACTGCTGTATTTGGGTTTTGCCTATGAGCGATAAGCGGAGTTATCCTATGTCCGCGGATATGCTGCAAAGTGAAGAAGTCGATAGGTATGAAGCTCCATATTCATTTGTTACCAATCGCACAATTTTTTTGTAAGAGGACAAAGTCAACGCAAATGAATTGGAGCGTCCATCATGTCAACTATGTCAATTCCAGGTTCATGACGATATCCGGACATATCTGGTATGTCCGTATCTCCATGATGCCCCTCTCTGTTTAGCCGCCATATGTGAGAGTACAAGTAGCCATCGTTTTCGACTAATTGATCGCTTTCTTTTTTCTGAACCATTCTCGCAGAAACTCAAACTTCTAGAACAGCAATATGTCGGACCAAAAAGATCCAGTACTCGAGAAGATCGAGAACACAAAAGCCATTTACAGACGCTTGGGCAAGAGCGGGCTACGAGTGTCTGTACCCATTTTGGGTGCTATGTCATTTGGTGACGCAGCATGGCAACCGTGGATTCTGGATGAAGAAGCATCACTGCCACTTCTCAAAGCTGCTTACGACAAGGGCATCAACACCTGGGACACGGCCAACATCTACAGCAATGGCGTCAGTGAGACGATTATCGGCAAAGCTATCAAGAAGTACAATATTCCACGCGAAAAGATTGTCATCTTGAGCAAATGCTTTGCCTATGTTGGCGAGGAGCCTGGAATCAAGACTATGACCTATGGCCAGAAAATAGGCGACTCGCCCGACTACGTCAATCAAGGAGGACTTTCGCGAAATGCCATCTTCAACGCTGTTAACAAGTCACTCAAGCGCCTGGACCTGGAGTATCTCGACCTGCTGCAGATCCATCGCTTCGACCCAAACACGCCGATTGAGGAGACAATGGAAGCTCTCAATGATCTCGTCAAGTCTGGCAAGGTCAGGTACATTGGAGCATCTTCCATGTGGACGTATCAGTTCTGTATGATGCAAGCATGCGCCGACAAGAATGGTTGGACAAAGTTCATCAGTATGCAAAACCAGTACAGTCTCCTATATCGTGAGGAAGAACGCGAAATGAACAAGTATTGCGACGCGACCGGTGTCGGACTCATTCCCGTAAGTCATCCCAATCTAAACTCCCGTAAAGTAGCTAATATTCCTCCAGTGGGCTCCTCTCTGTCGTGGACATCTCGCTCGTCCTGCATCCGCAGCTGGAAGCACGACTAGATCCTCCAAAGAGGCTAGCGGCCTGGCCGGAACCTCAGAAGTCGACGTGAAGACCATTGGTCGAGTGCAAGAGCTCGCCGAGAAGAAAGATTGGAAGATGGCTCATGTTTCGCTTGCATGGATTAATAAGCGAGTGTCCAGTCCAATCATTGGATTCTCGAGCGAGGAGCGCATGGATGAGGCATTGGGTGCAAATGGCAAGACTCTGACCGAGGACGAAGAGAAGTATCTTGAGGAGCTATACCAACCTAGAAATATCGTTGGACATAGTTGAGCACTTGGACAGGATAAATTCAAACATGACTCGCAACAAACAGAGAGTGCAATCAGAGTCACGGTGTAGACTGACACCTCAACATCAGAAGGATCATACTGTGGTTGCGTTCGCGTAAGCGTGAGAAGGATGCGAAGCCAAGAGCTGAAGTAGCGTTGTCTGCCTTGAAATCCGTTGCTGTGAGTGGATGAATATTAATAAGATTCCTCAGACATGCGTCAGACAAAACAACGCGCAAGTCCACTCTCCCACATCTACAACATTTCAATCGCATCGCGTTTTCAATCTTATCTTCATGATGGCGATAGTACGGAGCAGCTCCAAAGATATAGAGAAGCAAATGAAGCCGAAGACCGAAACGGGCTTACAAAAGTCACCAGCCAAGTCGCCTGTGAAGAGAGGGAGGAAGACGACGCCAACGCCTCCTCCAACGACCAGAGGGTCTCGATCGCAGTCAAAAGCTCGCCGCCCGAGTGTCCGGATCACGGACTCGAGAAATGATGAAGACATCCCTGGAAATAGCAAGTCGGCGCGAAAGGACAAGAGTCCCCTTCAACCACTCTCAGTAAACATCTCCTCAGATGATCTTGTAGAGACTCCAGTACCTGCCAACAAACTGCCTCGCAACTACTGGCTCGCGAACAGCGAAAAACTTTCGCCTCCGTGGATATCTTGCTCGGAGTTTGTACGACCAGTGATGGTAGAATTCATTATGCGCAGTAAGAAGCGTCTTGCTCTTGGTGTCAAGTGGGAGAAGGGCGACAAGATCACAAACATGGAGGGTGCCATGCATACCTTTGTGACCTCTATCGAGTTGGCCTGGCTACACGGCGAGCGAGGCTATGACTACGGACACACCTTCACACCTTACCAACCAATTGGCAAATTCAGAAGTGGCCGGCAAGTCTTAGTGAGTAACCTGGTTCATCAAGACTTCGAAACCGACGAGGTGATGCTGAAGCTCTCATCTCTGGCAAACGCAAAGACAACACTTGTCGAAAACTTCGACATTCCAACAACCAAAGAGAAGCAGTCTGATGAGATTCGGGAGAAGTATGATGATGCGTTGCGTTGTCTGATGGTTCATTACTTGACACTGGACGGAGAACTTCCAAGCATCGAAGATGGCAGCACGACCGCCATGTCGCGTGCCCAAGCCAAGTCCTTTCTTACTGGCAGCGTACTCAAAGTCGCCTGTAGCGATATTCTGAAAAGTGTCAGCAGTAAGTGGTTCTGGATATCTGCCACCAAGCCTAAAAGCAAGACGGGCAGTCCGCTGCTGTCGCTTGAAGTTCTAGTCACCACTGCTTACCACCAGTTTCGTAACGAGATGAATGCTCTGGAGAGAATTTGTCCTCAAGGCTACGTGTATACTTTCTCGGCGCCGAAAATCTTCATTGAAGAGTTTGGTGATGAAGACGGTCTAATGGCATGCATATATGCTGCTGGTCTCAAACACTATCTCCAGACCACAAAGATCAAGAACATGAAAGTCTTCCAGCTGCCGGAAGTACCAGGAGAATGGGTACAGTGGATGCGAACGGCACTGGCGGAAGCACCAGGCGTGCGGGTGATGACCAAGACAGAGCTGTACAGCAACGAAAGTACCTCTGGCGACAGCTACAACCCACCAAATGCAGGCACCGTACTTGTGTTGCACAACTGCTCAGATGGATTTGGACAGAACATTCAATACGAAGTGGGTGCTGGGAGCCTTGATGCAATTATCGGACGGTTCACGAGTGCGGCAGGAAGCCTACTTAACAGTCGAGAGGACCTTGTAAGCATGGTTGCAATGCATGCCGAGTGATGGAAGTAGGGTCGAGGTGCCGAGGAAGAGGATGTTTGCCATTTGTTTGCTTGTGTTGCGGCCGTGAGATGGGTCACATGTCTGCCAATTCTCAAAGTACCTTTGATAGTCGTCGCCCCGTTATGCGAGATTTAATGCCTCGTCAGCGCACGTCGTTTGACTCCGTACTCCCGAGGGTTTGAGTCGTGATCCAGGTTGGCGTGTTGCGGCGTCATTCGACCCAAAGCTTCCCTGACAAAGCTCGATATCTCAATTCAAGACGCTTGAGGCAACTTCCCAAATTCTCACACGACAGATACACCAAACAGCCTTGTCAGCATTGAATTGTGCCACGAACCCCCTGGCAATCAGACAATTGCTTTTGACGGTGTTTCAAGGACCCGCAGGTACACATGTAACATAAGGTTTCCCCCGCATCCTGGAATCGCGTTAGCGTGCCTACCCCGGATTGGTGGTCGACGTTGGCATGCCTGAGAGAGCGACGAATGCAGTGGTCTCGTGCTCAGTGGGATGATCTCCTCAGAGCTCCGTAAAGAGCTATCTCAGCTTGGCTCAGAGCTTGAGCAAGGACGACCTGCAATCGTCCAGTGGCATGCAACTGTCAGGCAACCCCGCACCGCGTGACTGCCCTCCAAGTATTTCTACACTCAACTCCCTCACTCCTTGCTCTTCTTTCTCTTCTCAAGATTGCCTTGTAGTCATCAACAAGTCGGTCTTATAACGCTCCCATCAATTGCCTAACGCCCTGAATCAGCTCTCAAGCTTATCCCAAGCTTCAACACCTCCAGTTCCAACCATGTCTGCCGAGATTGAACACCCTTTGACCAGACTCGACTCTGCCGTCTCTGACACCACCTACGAACCCGGCCATGAGAAGAAAATCAGTCACCGCAGAACCAGCAGTACTGTCTCAGGAGTGTTCAGAATTGAAGACCTAGGTAAGTCCGAGTTGAACATTACCTCCAAACTATTCATATCTCTGACTGGGGTTACAGAACAGGAAAAGGTTGAGCTGCAAATAGCACCGGAAACGCAGAAACTCGGATGGTATGTTTCTCTTGGTGTAGTGATGTTGCCTTGTTGCCTTGCCGCCTGATTGATAGAATATTAAAGTGAACCAATTGACGTCCAGATGCTGACCACTTCCAGGAAGCTGAACAAGAACCCAAACACAATCGACGACAAGGACATGTTAAAAAAGTACCTCGTGACGCCGCCGGTCAAGAAGATCGACCTACACTTCCCGTTGGGACTCAACATCACTGCCCGTAACCTCAAAGGTGTGACGATCAAGGATGCAGTAGATGCCATCTACAAGCAGTTCAAGAAGAAGGTATGTCTTGCACCACTGCTTTCCGACGGTGTCTAGTTTCGAGTCTGACCATATCTGTGATACAGGAAGATGATGACATGGGTGAGAACCCCTACCTCGCTGGCTTCGAGTGGGACAAAGAAGAGTGCTACACCCGTTTCATCGTTCACCAGAAGAAGACTGCTGGCACCAATGACGGAGCCCCTAGCGGAGGCGGCAAGAAGAAGGGCAAGAAGGGACAGAAGGAAGAGGCCGACCCTCTACTGCTGTAAACGCCACCTTGGTGTTCGTCCTCAGAAGGATGCCCTCCGTCTCTTCTTGCTCCGCTTCACACTCCTTTCAGATCATCAACCGCGGGTCGGATATTGAGCATTGAGAGGTATATTGTCGCTGTTGACTCGCTCCGAGAGCGCTAACATATCTTTGTATTCATCACTTTCATCGAGTCCGGGTTGCTCGCTGGTGTATATCAGCAAACACCGGGCTTGTGTATTATTTTTCTCCGAGACAACCTTGCTCTTATGCTTCCTGAGATACCGCGGTCCTTGTAGTTCCTGTGCTCTTGCTTCTGGTGTCCGTGACTGTGTTGATCGATGGTTGGAATGATGACTTTGCAAAAATGGGCGCGTCGCCGGTCTCACGGGAACTCATGAAGCCAACCAACCTCCGAAGTTTTCCCCAGGACTTTAGCGTCAAAATCTCCTGGTCGGTTATAGGCCTCGCTTTGCTATGACACTCGCGAGACTCGATCTACTGATGAACTCCTAGGCTAAGTAAAACTATTGGTCTCCCAAGGTCGGAGACTGGTCAGCCTGCTCCAACATGTACAATGCTGCGCCTTGTCCAACGATATATTGCGCCAAGTCAATGCATTCCTCCAGGCTTGTCATACAATTGAGATCTTGGAAGGATCATGCCCGTAGGTATAACAAAAGGTATAGGATACTGGTCCTCGGATCTTTCACTCACTCGCAGCTGTATCCTGCACTGATCGTACGCAAAATTGCAGTTCCCCACCATCATCTCATTTGCTCTGATGTTCCTATCATGCCATCAAGCTCATGCAGAAAAGCTTCACAAACGAGCCACATGTCAAACTTTACAGTCTCCAGTATCGAGGGACAGGATGCTGTACAAGACTCGTATCCGAAGAACAGCTCACTCACCATCCGCGTCAGCAAAAAGGCCGATTGCCGCAGTGAATCTGAGCCTTGCCCGGTCATAGCAACAGGATACATGGCAGACTGGTTGCGACTAAACATCAGTTCTGACCACGACACCAGTGTCTCAATCTGGAGCCTTGTCAAAAACACAACTGGTCTTCGCACGCTTAGAAGAGTGTCTATCTGTTGGGATGTCAACATTGTTACATGTGTAGTAAAAGTAGCTGAGACTGTACCAAACTGATCCACATCAAGAGCAATTTCAATTCGAGTCGAGCTGAGATATTTGCTGTTAATCGCGCCATGCGACGGAGCATCGCCGGTAGATGGCCCGTAAATGTTAGTAGATGATATTATAATCCTAATACAATGATATACGAACAATTCTTGCGCATGAACTGATTTTAGGATAGCTTTGATTTGATGAAGACGGTGAAACCATGGTGGTAGAAGCCCGACATGGAATCCAATTCACCGAGCCTCAAAACGGACCAAAATAGATTCGACATGGACCAATAATACCGAAAATCGAGGCAATCATATATTGTACTCGGCCACTTGTTACCATGCACTTGTCGTGTTTACCAGATCGACACGTCCGAGGCTGCTCGCCCCCGCTCCGCTTTGCTTATCTTCAACATCGCATCAACTTGCCAAAACGAGATATGTGAGGACGTTGTACTTGAACTCGTCACAGTCCAGTGACTTCGCATGTGATATTACTCACAATCAAGTGAGATTCGCAATTCAAAGACTTCTTGCTCAACACCTCGTCATGGAAGACAGAGCTCAGATACCCGTCGGTCCACCTCGACCGAACCCAACCACAGCATATTGGCAAGAACCAGCAGACGAGATAGCAAGCCTGAGGAGTACAGAAGACCTACCAAATCATATCGACTATGTTATCATCGGTAGTGGCATCAGTGGAGCAGCGATAGCATACAACCTGCTGAAGAAGCAACCCACCAGCTCCATCTTAATGCTAGAAGCCAGGCAGGCTTGCAGCGGAGCTACAGGTCGGAATGGTAAGCAAACAAGACGTGCTGCCGCCAGGTTTCAAATGATATCAGTGAACTGATGCAAATCAAGGTGGTCATACGAAAGCAGCAAGCTATCGCAGTTTCCTCGACCATGAGGCTGAACATGGTCTTGAAGAAGCCATCAGAATTGCCCGCCTCGAATATGCCAACATTATAGAAACCCACGCTTTAGCTCGTGGATTTAACATTGATTGCGCATCCACACCTTGCGACACTGTGGACATCATCTACGATGCTGGAAACCTGGCACGAGGCAAGGAAGCCATCGCACGTATGCAAGAAACCATGGGACATGATGATCCAGCTGCTAGGTATGAGATCTTGTCTGCGGAAGAGGCGGAGGCAAGGTTCCATACCCTTAATGCTTTGGGTGCATTCGTCTATGAGGCAGGAAGTATCAGTGCATATCGCTTCACAGTCGGGTTGCTGAAGCATTGTCTGGAACAAGGCATGCAACTGCAGACAAACACACCTGTTCAAGCCATACAGCCAGTCAAAGATTTCGACCCAAAGTCGCCGAGATGGACCGCAAAGACATCGAGAGGGGACGTCGAGACTGCCAATCTGATCATAGCGACAAATGGGTATACTGCACATCTATTGCCGCAGATGCAAGGTATCATTGTACCTTTGCGTGGTCAAATCACCGCTCAAAGACCAGGATCAAAGTTGCCAATCTTGGTTACGACTTACTCTTTCATCTATGCTGAAGGCTACGAGTATATGATCAGTCGACCATCCAGCACATCGGATGCCGGCACCATAATCATAGGAGGTGGTCTGGGAAGACTAGCCAACGCAGGTGCGTCGGAGTTTGGAACCACTCGAGATGCAGAGCTCAATGATGAGATATCAGCCTACCTATATGATTGCACAGCAGGATACTTTGGTGACAACTGGGGAGAAGATGCAACGGCAGGAAGGATCGTCAAGGAGTGGTCAGGAGTGATGGGTACAAGTTCAGATGGTCTGCCATATGTTGGAGCTATGCCAGACATGCCGGGTGTGTTTATCTGTGCTAGCTTCAATGGACATGGCATGGTCTTGTGTCTAAAGTCTGGAGAAGCGCTTTCTGACATCATAGTTGGAGGTGGATATGCAGGCTGGTTTCCAAAGGCGCTTGTGGTGAGTGCTGAGAGATTCGGAAAGAAGTTCGAAGGAAGGTTGGATATGCGGGCGTCTGTACCTGGCGAGGCCTTGTTTGACGATCGGATGGAGAGGCTGTAGATAAGTGACGAATCGTGAGAAGAGAGGAAACTGAAAGAGTGATGGAAATTAGAAAAAAGGTCGTTGCGGCACTATGCGCGCCTCGGACATGATATTTTGGAAGCCTCTGAGCAATGATTTTCATGTTTTTATAAGAAAGTCGCAGTGCCTTGTGTAGCGGGAGAGAAAAAAGAACAAGCCCATGTCCGATTTTTGGTGTAACATTCAAAGCGCCGCAGTAATATCGCTCACCACGCGCCCTTTCCATTCATTGACCGCAACCAAAGTCCATTTGTGTGTCGTGTCAAATCGCTTAGAAGACCATCTCGTGGGGCTTGTCGCCCGATCTCAAGGAGAAGGTGGAGCTGAGGTAGGAGATGAGGAAAGGCTCCTTCTTGAGGCTGGCAAGGATGGCACGGTCGACGGACTTCTGGTCCTCGGCGCGGCCGGAGGCAACCTTCTTGGCCTGTAGAGATGTATCAGTATTTGGCTTGTCGCAATCCATCTTTTGGTGGTGTGATCGTACCTCGGGCTTCTCGCCCTGCTTGAAGAAAGCGTCCTCACCCTTGGCCTTTGACTTCTTCTCTCTGGCGAAGTAGGCGTCACCACCAACCTTCTCAACAACCGACGAGTCAATGCCGGAGATGTCAACCTTGGTGCTTGTTGCGATAACGTAGCGGGCGTTGACGCGTCTAAGGGGGACACCGTTGACCTTGAAGGGGCCGGTGACGAGGAGAACACCCTGGGCGAGGTTCTTGAGGAGAACAACGCGCTTGCCACGGAAACGGCCAGCGAGGAGGATCAAGACGGTACCGGGCTGGAGGGAAGCGCGAGGCTTGCAAGGGTGCTGGGTCTTGCGGACCTGAAGAGGAACTCGTGTCAGCGGACTTTTGTTCCCTTTGAACATGTATAGAAGACCGGCTGAGCGAGAGAAGAGCGCAATAACGGATCGTGTATTTCGGGGTGCGCGTATATGTCTTGTTCCTGGAATTCCAACTCTTTTTGCTCATTCTCTCGGCTTGTCCTGCTCTCGCGGTCGCATGGTGTTGCATACCTTCTTGGCCTGGCTGTCGTCCTCGGCCTGGTAGTACTTGGGGGCCTTCTCGGAGGCAGCAGGGATGACCCTCTCACCCTGTTGGAACTGCTTGGTCTGCTGGGCGGACATTTTGGCGGGTTTGGCGACGGTAAGGGTGGTGTCGTTGATTTGTCGTGTCTCGTCTTCACAAAACGGAATTCAAACTCGGTGGGAAGCCATGATCAAAATGCGGGAAGCGAGACTGTGTGCCAAGACTAGAGCGTCCGACCAATCACCGCCCCGAAGCGCGTCGACCATCGATACGTAAATTGGTCCTGTTCTTCTTCTCTATTATCAAACATGTATTCCGCGAGTAATACAAATTGATGCACTGGATAGTAGCAAATTTCCATCCCTCGTGCCGTCACTTTCGTCGTCTGTAAGGCGAGAGGTACGACTTGAGACTCGATTCCAGGACTTTCACCGCTTTGAAATTGGACCATATATTGTCTCATTTACCATTGTCATATCACAATGTCCTCCCATATCCTCAAGTGATTGTAACTGAAGTCTTGTCAGATTGTTGTCATTCACTTGTTGGCTGGTCAAGGCAGAGCAGTGAGTGATGGAAAGTGCTTGGCATGATCGGCGTTTGGCAAGACCGGGCGGCGTGGAAGCTCTCGCAGCGTTGGAGCATCAAAGGCGGCGTCATCGTCCGGTCGGCGTCTCCAGCATTTCATCAAACACTCGAGAGACAGCTTGTAGACAACATCTATCAAACCAGCTCTCTATTCAACCAACACATACACACAATGGCAACCGACGCTCTTATCACATTCAAGGCTGGACAGTGCGACATCAACGTATGACCATCTCTGGCTACCAATGTTTCTTCCTCATCTAATGCGCATCACAGGGCAAGAAGGTCAAGCCTGATGCTACTCCCGGCTATCTCTACCTGTACGAGGAAGATGGTAATTCTCCAACAGCACCGTAGATCATCTACTCCAACTGACCAACTCAACCAGAGCTCGTGCACTTCTGCTGGCGCCAACGTTCCGCCCCTCCCACAAGCCCAGAGCTCGACCTGATCATGTTCCCTGGTGATGCTACTTTCACTCCATACACTGGCACCACTTCATCGGCCGACACAAAATCACCCACCAATGGCCGTATCTACATGCTCAAGTTCTCATCATCCTCGCAACGCCACTTCTTCTGGCTCCAGTCCAAATCACAACACCCTGGTGGCGACGTAAGCGTGTTCAGCTCAAGAGACAAGCGCTATGGCGAAATCATCAACAACATCTTGGCTGGAGAAGAAGTCGATGTCGGTTACGAGGTTCAGCGCCTGAGGGACGACGACGAGGGCGGCGACGATGTTGACATGGAGGACGCACAACCCGAACACCACAGGCAGGGCAGCGGCGGCGCTGGTGCTGACGCCACTGGTGGAGATCCCACCGTTGAGGGTGAAGCCAGCCGTGAGGCTGGAGCCGATGGCGGTAGAGCGTAGGTTCTTCTTCCTTCTTCAAGATTGTGCTTTGATACAGGATATTGCGTGTGCTCTCCTCGTAGATGAGCACTAGACAGTAAAGCTATTTCGGGTTGGTAAAAGGCGTTGTGGGGGAAGTTAAATACCATCAAACATGGACAGGGATATCTGCATTGCGAGGATAGCATGTATCACACCATCAGACAAGCATTCAAGTCATTGCGAACGTCTCAGAAGTTGTCAAGGTCCATAAGCTGATGTTTCGTGTTCTTGTAGTGCTCCTCCCAGCGACGCAAACGATGCTGTCCAAAACTTCCTCAGATCCCTGCAAGGTTCCTCGATCGGCACTCGACAACAGCCGCAACAGCAACAATCTTCCTACGACCGACCATACACCACCCTCTCCGAACTTCTCTCCACCAACACTACCATCCCTTGGCTGTCATCAACTTCACCAGAGCAGATTGACGCACTTTGCATGCATTTACCTCCTTCGCTGTTCCTCCTGGCCCAGGAGACTGCTGCATCCACTTCCTCTGCTGAGCCCAGTGAGGCAACCACACGCGCCGCCATCGAAGCAATGGCTACAGAGCAGAAGCGCGAGTTGTTGCAGCGTGTCCTTCGCTCACCTCAATTGAACCAGAGTCTGGGAAGCTTGACATTTGCATTGAGAGACGGCGGTCTTCCCATGGTATCAGAAGCTCTTGGTGTCAAGGTTCAGAACGGTGGTATGGTCAAGCATGGTAGTGTGCCTCTTGGTGGCGGTGAAGCTGTGGAGGCCTTTGTTGAGGGTGTCAAGAAGGGTGTTCAGGACAAGAAGTTGACCTGAACTTCTCCCTAAACATGCTTAGTCTGGCAAGCAAAGCTCTTAAGACTATACTGCCATTACTTGTTGATAATACATATATTTGATCAAAGGCATGGTCTCACGCCAAAGACGTCGCGTGTAAGTGTCCATGCCGATCTTCGAATCCCTTCATCGCTCCAACGCCTCGGAACAAGACCCACCACATGCAAAGTCTCCGACTTTCTTCCATCGAGCCAGGGTAAACCACCGGAAATGTGCAATGTCCTAGCTGACTCGTCAAGAAATCCTGGAGGCGGCAGTCTCACATGTTGTGCCGTGGTACAATCTGCAGTCCTTATCTCGTGGCGTCTCTACTACTGATATCCCACCGATAATCACTGATAACAGTCCCCTCCTTCGCACTCCAACACAAGGTACAGATAGCTGTAGCAAAGATATGCTTTTTTCGCAAATGACGCCTCTGTGCATACTTTACAGTGACAAATAGGAATAAAAAGTTCATATATGAGATGTGGTAGATCCATCAGGGTCATCTGTCTTGAGCTTTTTCGCTGCCGTCTTCAATCAAGACACACAATGTCGGAAACTACACCTCTTCTGTCTGACCCAGAGAGAGCTCAGAATCGTCGCTTGAGTAGATTGATACAACAAGATGACGATGCGAGGTCGATTGTAAAGAGCCATGTTAGTGTCGAGGAACAAGCTATGGCGGGTAGTACCATAGGTGAAAGATTGGCCTATAATGATTACACCACCATAGATTGGTTACATGATCTTGTGAGTTTCGCACGCCTTCTACTCTTCTCTCCCTTATGCTGGCGCAAAAGCTCACGGTTTCCTGATTTGCACAGGTCAAAGATTCCCACCGTCTCCGCAACATCCACGGAAACAAGAGTTTGAGAGGACAAGCCATTGCAATCTTCGATGCCTCGAGTGGTTGGATAGCAGCAGCACTCATCGGCGCCTTGACAGCTTGTGTAGCCTATCTAGTCGACATTGCTGCCGCTACAGTAAGCGACTGGAAACTAGGTCATTGCAGCACAAACCCCTTTGCAACACGGGAATCCTGCTGTTCTTCTGCTACATCTTCTTCTGAACCTGTTACCGAGTGTGCGGCATTCAGAGAGTGGGGAGATGATTACGGGATGAGGTTCGGGGTGTATGTAGGGCTGGCATTGGTGTTTGGAGTTATTAGTGGGGGAATTACGATGGTGACGATGAGTGAATTGCCTTCTGCTGGTGTGAGGGAAGCGGAGGGAAAAGATGATGGTGAAGAGCAGGAGATGGTGCCGGCGGGTAAGGTCATGTATATGGCTGCTGGGTCAGGGATCCCTGAGATCAAGACCATCTTGGGAGGGTTTGTAATACCCGACTTTCTGTCGCTGAAGGTCCTGGTGGTGAAAGCTATTGGAGCCGTCTTTGCCGTCTCTACAGGTAAGTCTTTGCTCCGATTGATCTTGGTGGGGAGTATGTATGCTGATTGTATGATTCTAGGCATGTGTTTGGGTAAAGAAGGTCCATTCGTTCACATATCGACTTGCGTGGGCTATCTCATCGCCTCTCTCTTTCCAAAATACCGCGATAATGGTCGCAAGATGAGGGAGATGTTGAGTGCGGCTTGCGCTGCTGGACTGTCTGTCGCGTTTGGTGCACCTATTGGTGGTGTTCTATTCAGCTATGAGGAGATCAGCACTTACTTTCCGAGAAAGGTATTGTGGAGAGCTTTCTTGTGTAGCGCTGTTGCTGCTATGGTGTTGAAGGAACTCAACCCTACTGGAACTGGCAAGTTGGTCTTGTTCGAGACAAACTATGGCACGAGCTATAGTGCCATTCACTATCTCGTCTTTGTCGTGCTTGGTAAGTGTGATGGAGACCTAGATACTCATGGGTGCAGAGCTAACGACATTCGATAGGCATAGCTGGAGGCATCTTCGGCGGCGTCTTTTGCAAGTTGAACTTCCTCTGGAGTAAGACATTCCGCAAATACGCCATCATCAAAAACTACCCAGTATTTGAAATCTTCCTGATCGTCTTGGCTACTGCACTTCTACAATATCCCAACCCCCTGATTCGCGAGCCAGGCGATATGATCATCAAGACTCTGCTCGTCGACTGCAAGACTGAAGACTCTGTAGGATCATGGGTGTGTCAGAATGAGGCTCGCACGGATGGACATTGGGCCTATGTGGGCTGGCTGGCCTACGGCACACTGGCCAAACTCGTGCTTACGATCATCACGTTCGGCATCAAAGTCCCCTCTGGAGTAATCATTCCCGCTCTGGATGCTGGAGCCCTATTCGGTCGTCTACTAGGCCAGTATGTGAGTGGCATATCTCCCGGCATCTTTGCCATGGTAGGAGCAGCAGCGTTCCTGGCAGGAGTCTCAAGAATGACAATCTCCCTCTGTGTCATCATGTTCGAGTTGACCGGCGAACTTGAATATGTGATTCCACATATGATTGCCATTTTGGTTGCCAAATGGGTGGCAGATGCTCTGGGCAAAGAAGGAGTTTACGATTTGGCTCAGAATGTCCTGGGTCATCCCTTCTTGGATCTCGATCATAGTCTTGGGAACATCCAGATGCAGGACGTTCTGGTCGAAGAACTTGTTCCTCCAGAGCACACAATGGAGCAAATCACCATCCATATTCCTACAAGCAACAAAGTCAGGCGAGAGGTACTCGAAGAAAAGCTAGTCCAGCTCGAGAGCAGAGGTCTCATGGATGCCGGACTCGTTCTTGTACAAAATGGCCAGATGCTACAAGGTTACCTAGCCGAAGGTGAACTCAACTTTGGACTCAGAGAGTTAGGGAAGTTGTATTCCAAGGATGCGGAAGTGAGGCTTCTGGGAGATGCAGAAGAAGGAGACTTTGACCTCTCGAGTTTTGTGGATCGTACACCTATGGTTGTCTGCGCCAAGGCACCGATGGAATATGCAGTCGAGATGTTTGGGAAGCTGGGACTGAGGCATTTGATGGTGACTGAAGAAGGTACAGGGAGATTGGTAGGCGTTATCATCAAGAAGAGATTGGTGGCGTATTTGGACGGACTAAAGCATTAAACGGAAAGTAACGAATGACGAAGAAACCCGCCTTTCATACCTCTGTACCTGTGTCTTTGCAAAGATGATGAACAAGGCGTGAACCTGACTGTCTTGTCACAAGACCATGCTTGCTATACATCCCCGTGTGATATCTGCACAATTCATCTCCTAGACCTCGAGCCACAAATTCGCTTGTACTGTACGCTTGAAAAATGCTGGTTCAGCACCTTGAAGTTGAAAAAAGAATTCATTAATCTCTCATGTGCCTGCGTCGTCTAAAGCCTAACAAAATGCCCAGTGGTTCCGCGCTTTTTTGGATGTCACAGATTGATGTCTTCTTTTGGATCTCTCGCTCCGTAAAACGCCGGTTTCTTTTGTCGCCCCAAATGAGAAAGAACCAAAATCATCAACACGCCCACACATCATACCCGGATATCTTCTTGCAGAAAAATTGCTTTTGTGGTCTTTCTTTCTTTCGGATGCCCGTTATCTACAATCAAACACACGTAACAGCATTGCTTAATCGTCGCTGGGGACGAGGTTTGACTTGACAGCAAACATCTTTGCGGAGATGGAGGCGGTAAAGGCATCGACCTGGCGGGAGTATTGCTCGACTTGACGGCTGTTGACGAGGGTCTCGAGTCTGGAGGGCTCTTGAGGGAGCTTGAAGAGCTTCTGCCATTCGTCCTCGGGCAGGAGGGGCTGCTTTGTGGCGGTGCGGCTGGCGTTCTCGGCCTTGCGCTTCGTTTGCCATTGGGTGATCTTGGCTTGCTCACGGGCGAGCGAACGCTGGTAGAATTGGTAGTTGTTGAGCTCGGTGTGGTGGGTCTCTATGCTGTCGAGGAGGAGGTCGCAGGTCTTCTCGAGGAAGGGGTCGATTGAGAGGTCGAGCGAGTCAAAGTTGGGAGCCAGGGGCAAGGAAGTGAGCGAGGGATCTTGCTCGAGGGTGGCGAGGCTGGGAGGGAAGTTCAGGGCCTTGCTCGGGGGAGCGGCGGGGAGCTGGTGGAGGAAAGAGGTGAGGAGGTGCGAGTTGTAGACGACAACGGGGAGCTCGGTGAAGATGTCCTGGTAGCGAAGTCCGCTCTTTTGCAGGCTAGAGATTACAAGTCAGCACTCATCCGGTACACTGAAACTGCCCATGTATGCTCACCTCTCGGTTGTGAATTTGCCCTCCTTGTAAGCGGCGATGAACTGGGGAGACAGGCGGTAGGCGCGGAGGTTGAGGCTGCCCTGGGAGCTGCGGCTGACATCGTGGACGAGGGTAACGGTGCGCTCGTTGGGCTCCTTCTGGTAGTAGAACTGGTTCTCGATGGCGGCGAGGCTGACAAAGTTGCCCATGCTGGCGCTCATGTACCAACCGACGCTCTGAGCGTCAACGTTGACTTCGCGCAGCATGCGGATCATCTCGGCCTGGTATGCGATGTTGGCCTTTGCGCGGGGAGCGGCGATCTGGGCAGCCAGTTGTGCGTCGTTGGCATCGCCTACGGTAGCGCCGCCGTCGACTTGGGGCATGTTGAACGAGTTTGTGACCTGGAGTTGGCCCTCGACGTCCAGACCGACCAGGGATCCAGTTGCGATGCTAGGGAAAACCTGCGAGCTGTGCTTGATGATGCGCATCACCACCTATTCCTCTTGTCAACTCTTGTCCTCTCTTTCATCCTGTGCCTTTCGTGGTCGCATACCAGAGCGTCGACGCGCACTTCGCGCAAGATTGTCTCGTTACTGCCATCATGTCAGTACTGCGCCCGTAGAAATTACGGTCGGCGATTTCTCGTCTTACACTGCGGTCTCTGCCATGTTTGCGGTATGTGTATATGTATTGCGTTCAAAGAAGTGCTCTATCGTCTGCCCCAACTTTCCTGTCGTTGTCAATATGAAAAGTCTCGACGACTCGGCTGTGTCCGCCTTGGCAGTCCAGCTACTCCGGCTCAACTCGAACACTTTCGACGAGTCCTCGCACTTCGCACTCCCGTATATATGTCACTGATTAAAATCCATACATTCCATGACCTCAGATAAGTCCCTCTTATAGGTCACTGCCTGTGAGTGAGTACAGAAAGTGTCAATCATGATGTCTGTAAACTTGAAGTATGCGGTTGCACCTTCCCCTTTGAGCTACGAGACCTACCTCGACTTGCATGTCAAAAGCAACCATCTCTTCTCACGTCAGGTACAAGTATATGTCTCGTCCGTTCCCAATATTCAATATTCACTCCTTCTTCAATCGCCCCTCAAGTTTCCTGGATTCATCTTCAAAAGTTCAACATGACTACCTCAACTGTCCAATCTGGCACAACCAAGCCCAAGCAGAAGATCAAGATAGCCCTCTCAGTCGACTTTGATGCCATCTCCGGCTGGCTAGGCACGTCCCAACACCCAGACAACAACATGGCCGACCTCTCCTCCGGCTACTTCAGCGGCTACGTTGGCGTCCCTCGCCTTCTAAAAGTCTTTTCTCGTCTTGGAATTTCTGACAAAGTGACTTGGTGCATCCCCGGCCATTCTCTCGAGACCTTTCCAGCACAAGCAAAAGCGATTGTAGAGTCAGGGGCTGAGATTGCTTTGCATGGGTACTCTCATGAGGGAAGTGCGCAGATGACTGCGAAACAGGAGAGAGATGTGTTGGTCAAGACTATGAGTTTGGTCGAGGAACTGACGGGCAAGAAACCTAGGGGTTACAGAGCACCGTTGTATCAGATCCAGGAACGGACGGTGAAATTATTGCAAGAGCATGGTTTCCTCTGGGATTCGAGTCTAGCGCATCTAGACAGTATGCCATACTTCTTGCCCAAGGAAGTGGATAGACTCAACACGATCGAATTCTCTCCTGACAAGGAGGCGAGTAGTTGGATGAAACCTTCGAAAGACTTTATGAAGATGGAGAAGAGCACGTTAGTTGAGATTCCTTGTAATTGGTACATGGAGGTAGGGTGCCCTGGTCACGCTCTGCATGATGGTATTACTGATATTCACACAGGACATGACGCCTATGCAATTCTTTCCCAACGTTCCCAACTCTCAAGGCTTTGTCGATGTTCGCCTGATTGAGCGCATGTGGATGGACCGCTTTGAGTGGTTCAAGAGCGAAGTCGAAGACGGCAGAGAGGACATGACAATCTTTGCGCTCGTCCTTCATCCTGATACAAGTGGCATGGCACATGTGATTGGGATGATCCGGAGATTCTTGGGCTGGGTAAAGTCGTTTGGTGATGAAGTCGAGTTCTGTACATATGAGCAGATCGCAACTGAGTTTGCAGGGAAATGATTTGGTCTTGTGGATATCGGAGTTCTTTTTGCCTGAGAGATATACGGCACATATCGAGTAGAAAAGGTAGGGTAATAAGGGGTGTATTTTTACAGGGGAAGAAACCAAAACGCCGCAGATGCAAACCACATGTGAACCATAATACAAGCAACAAGCTTATTGCTCCGAGACCTTGGCAATGGCGTTCTGCTTTTCCTGGGCCATGACCTCTCCAATTCTGGCGAGTTGTTCCTCGGACAGCTCGAGAGGATTTGCGAGCTTCTCCTGTCGCTGTTGCTCCTTCAGCTCGGCAAGAGGAGTGGAAACCAGACGAGCGAGATTCTCCCTGTGCTTGGCTGCCTGGTCTTGTGCCTCCTTTTCGGCAATGTACTCTGGCTCGTGGCGGCTACGGAAGATGGAGTACTTGTTTCTCAACTCGTCAATGACGACTGGAGGCATTGGTGGTTGGAGCAGGTATGGGCGGTGAGTGGCTTCGTCGACAGAGATACGGAGGGTGTCGTCATCGAACGGCTCTGCTTTGGCAGGCTCATCGGTCTTGGGCCATAGCAGAGGGATCCTGGTACCAGGAAGGTAGCGTTGGCCTTTCACGTATTCCAGCCCACCGTTCTTACGTTCTACCCAACCAGCATTGCGCAGGTCAACGCGGTCCACAATGACGTCTTCAAAGTGCCCAGTGGTTCGATCGCGGAGGGGAAAGACAAGTTTGACTTCATCCCAGCGAATGGGCATTAGTTGTTGTACAACAGGGCGATCGTCCTTGTTTTCCTTGCGAACGTATTCAGGGACGTGGAAGTCGGCCTAGAGATTGGATTAGTAGGCGTGCGGCTGGTGGAAAATGTGGTCGCATAGATACCTTTCGCAAGTCGAGAACACGTAGGTAACCAGAGTCAGGGAAAACCTCCTGGACTTTTCCGATTCTGCCAACATCCTTGCCCTTCGTGATGACGACCCTGTCGCCGACAGCGAAGGGGCTCTTGAAGTGCTTGTACATGGTGAAATGGAGCTTTGGAGTCTGGATGACGCTGGGATCGACGGTGCCGTATGTTTCCTTGAGGTGTCCAGTATCGCGTCTCGGGGCGAGTTGAGGGCCGAGTTCATATTCCTCGCGTCTGCGGTGCTTTTCTTCCTTGAAGTAGACAGCCTCCTGCTTGCCACGAGCCTGGGCCTGCCAGCGCGCGGTCCATTCCTTTGCGTTGTCGTCCTTGCCCTTTTGCTTTGCCGCTCGGCGCAGAGCCTGATGCTCGGCAGCTAGTCTTCGCTGGACTACCTTCTGCATTGCGGGTGTGAATTGAAATTATTGGTATGGATCGAGTAGGCGACGACAAAGTCGACATCAGGTCGAAAGTTGCGGGCTGCACGGGCTGTGATTGGCCGAAGATGGACTCCTCCGTTGGTGGCAGCCAAGAAGGGAAAGGGCTGGTCGGCGGTTGCTAGCCGAGGGTTCGAGAAAGTCTAGTCCTGCCAGAGACATAAACAACAAGGACAAGACTTCGACCATCCGGACTGTCTCTCGCTTCGCAGCTACCCGCACTGCTCCTATCAGCCATGCTGCCGAATCCCACCTGAAGTCAACTCTACGCGCTTGCCACCTTTAGCACTACGGACCACTCACGCTCGCTCCTTCCTTCTTCGGACTTGGTTCGTCCAGGATTGGGAGTCACCATGCCGAGTCTACTCGCACCACGCTTGAAATGCTTCTACTGTGGTATGCGATCACCCCATGTCAAGGATGGAAGGACGCGACAGTTTGCTTGCACCAGCTGTGATGCCACAAATTACCTCGACTCAGTACGACAAGTAGATGACTTTCTAACGTGATCCAAGCTGACTTGTTCTGCAGAATGGCGACATAACTGATCCTCCTGCGACTCCGAGCTCCCGTCAAAACACGTCTTTTGCTCATCCACCGCCGCGACCGACGTCACCTGTACAGCCCGAGTCGACCAACCTCTTTTGCAAAACCTGTCTCAAGAACCAGCAGATGGTCGCAAACTTGCTTGCCGAATATCTACCTGCCGAGGACGATCCGCAGTACTTGAAGTATGAAGCAGAGTATCCGCAATACCGCAAGAGTCTCGAACGACGCTACCCCCAAGTCTGCCCCAGATGTGCCCCAAGAGTAGAGCAGCACCTGAAGAGGACAAACTACGTCGCAAAGGCCGATTTTCTCACGCGGAGTCTCGAGCGCTCAAAGTCGAATGCCATCAACACTCTTCCCACCTCGGCCTCTCTCGGCATATCAGCTTTGAACCTCGTCGCCATGGCCTGGTGGGGAAGTGCCCTCTTCCAGCTTTACTGGCATGCACTGGCCTTCCTGGGTATTCCCGGAGACAACGAGGAAGTCGCTGACCTGACCTCTCTCATGGTCGTCGGCTGCTCCATCAATGGCTTTCGCTTACGTATGCTGCCGTCTGGCTGCCCTCACCTCTTTGTCCATCTTGTCAGGAAGTCGTTGTATTTAGGTTTTTGGCTTCTTTGGTGGAATCCAACCTTCAAAGACAGACTTAGATTTCCCTATCGAACTCATCACGCACTTGGACTTGCCGACTTCTACCGCTATCAGTTTGCTATCCTTGCTCTCCGGACGACCGCATGGTGGTACTTGAGCGGTCCCTGGATTGATGGTTCAGCTAGCGACATCAACAAGGGCATGCACGGATGTGCCGCTCTGTTCATTGTTCTGAGTACAATAGCCTCTTTGCGTACCGTCGTCTACTCTTCGGCTCCCAGAATCTCATGGAAGACCAGCAATGAGCCTTTGATTGAGCCTGGCAGCTTCCATCCCTCTACCGACGACTTTATCAGTCAAGCCTCGCCTCATCTTCCTACAATGTCTCCCACGCGCCAGCCATTTCCCTTGGAGAACCTGGGTGCCCGCCCTATCACTCGTTCAGCTACACGAGCTGCATCGCCTCTGCTGTCTCGCTTCTCACGACATTCGCCGTCTCCAGCGCCAGCTCAAGATACGGTAGACTCCATGGACTGGGAACCGGTCGGTCAATCGTCGCCCATTAGACCTGATCACGCTGCACAACCCACGTCAGTTTCCGCACTCCCACCTTTTCTTCGCCCCGCCGCTAGTATGGCGACCGGAGAGAAATCCCCCTTTACTGGGCGTCTACCGCCGGCTCCCATGTCGCCTGCACATCGCCTGCTCAACCCACCAGCACCGCCACAGTTCAAGCCAACTCCCCTCTCCCAACAACAAGACTTTTTCAATATGATGCGCCTCAAACCTGCAGCAGTACCTTCCTTGGCCAAGAAGCCTACGGTGAATGAGGATCACGACGATGACGACTCACCTCGCAAACCAGCCTCGTACATGTCGAGTACAGAACGAAACAGGACAAAAGACCATTTTGAGCTGCACCCACCGAGATGGACGTTACAATCCGATGTGGAAAAGAGCAACAAGGGTACAGGGTTAGAAGACATGTTCACCTCTAGCTTTAACATCGCCGACGAACATGACCCCATGACTCCGAGATCTGCACGTCGCACTGCTGCTCGTAACTCTGCTTCTAACACACCGCTTGGTGGTAATGAGGGCCGTCATATCTTCGATCGCGCTCCTGTGGAACCTGTGATTGACGAGACTGCTAGAGAAGTCTTTGTGAGGAATGCAAAGGAGATGGTGTTGCCTGTTGGATTGGCATTGGCTGTTGCTCTTGCTGCTTGGGCTAGGGATCCGGGTGCTAGGGAGTGGATGGGGACATTTTGGCAAGGGTAATTCTGGTTGATCGGAGTAGTGTTTTTTATATTTTGAGGACATTCCGTCATGGCATGATGACTATGGCGATGAGCGATTTGTACTTCTGCACGATCGATGTGAATTCGTGCCAAGCTCTGGTTGTTGGTGTTGTTGCTTTGTCGACGACTCTGATCCTAAAACTGGTTAGAAGTTTGATTAAACCACAAATGTGCTCACGAAGTCACCACACAATGGCAGCAACAATCAAGCAGTTATACATGACCCTTCGTTAGCTAATAGTAGCTCTGGTTCTACATCTAAAGGCACCATATCGCCAAATAATATCTTACCCATCAGTCAAAAATGACTTAGACAGGGTCACCCCACCCTCTACTACAGAAATCGATTTTCTCAAATCCCAGTTTACCAAATTAATCGATTCCACGAGACCAAGCAGGATTAGGGCTTAACTGCGACTTGTGCGAACACGAAATACAGTATACGGCAGTCTCCAGCCGCATCGCAAGAGTAAAATAAAATAAAATGTCTTGCTTCCAATATTTCCATCAGAGGATCGACATGTTCAACCCTAATGATCGACAAGTCGCTTTTGGCCGAGCCTCCAGCCCTGCATTTGTGACTGACTGTATGATGCAGGTCAAACATTTGTCTTGAAACATCGAGACTAGATCCTAGAAAGGACAGAGAGCGTTTCTTGGAACAGAGAGTATGGTTTAGAAAGAGTGACATTGAGATAGAAATGTCAGAAAATGGGATGGTGTAAACCATCGGGTTTGATATTGGGCAGAGAAGAGAAAGTGAACAAAAGAAACGCCGGTCCTTTAGATGCATATCATCCGAGCCTCCAATAACGCCAGTCGCTCGAAAGAAAACGAAGAAGCTCATCTTCAGGATGGAAGAGAGCGGAGAAAAGAAGGTACGGAAAACATTGTTCAACACACCAGGGATCATGGATGTACGACCATTAGATGGGCACATCTCTCGAGCCATCACCTGCGTGGTCGCGGTAGGAAGATCTGTCAGGCTTGGACCATCTGCGTCTTACTCCATCCTCTCCGATGGTCTACCAAGGCGCCCAAATATTCGGAGTGTATATCCCCTGATAGGCCTAGTCGTCAGACCAGGATATATACGGCCACTCTCGGGATTCTATTCGGTGTTGAAGCCACTTTGCGTCTCGCTTCTTTCACGGACAGAATGTTGTCTGACCAGAGTGCCCTCGCCTCCGTTCTCCAGGTCAATGTTGTAGATTAAAAAATCGCCTTCGCTAGTGGCGACCATGACCTCTGGAGCAGCTTCACCCATAGCAACGACACTCTTTACAGGAGCTCCGTTGCGGCCCTTGGGTATTCTTACCCAGGCAAAGTCGCGAGTTGGTTCCCAGATCTCCGTCACAGCGTTTGGCAAGTATCCTGCAGCACGCGACACCAGTGACGTCGAGACGTTCTGCGAGGTGCGACGGACCATAGACATCCAACCCGGACCGCGTGATGGTTTCGCGGACGGATCTGCCGGAGAGTCACCAAGATTCGAACTTGACGAGGGATCAGATGAGTCTGTGGGACTGTCGCTGCGATCACGTTGAAAGCGTCGCGGGGTTGTGGGAGCGTCAGAGGGCGCGTCCGAAACAGAAGCCGGCACGGCATTGTCGCGAGAGAGACTGAAAATGTGGACGGTCTCTGTTGCACTCGAGACACACAACAAGGTGCTCGTTTCGTTGAAAGACATGCAATGTATACGAGCAGGCATGCTGCCTCTACGGAATTGGTAGAGCTTCTTGGCGGATGGAATGGCAAAGACTCGGATGATGGTGCCCTTCTCCGAAGCTGTAGCCAAGAGCGTACCTTCCTTGTTCATGGCGATGCAGGACAGAGGCGCCTGGTGAGCAGAAATGACCTTGACCTCTTGCATGTCGTTTGCGTCGTACAGCATGACATCTCCACCCATTGGTTCGGTGACTCTCGGACCGGACGGAGGGACATGGCTTGGAGCTGGCTGTGCAGTGTATTCCTTTTTACGCATGGGGTATGCGATGTAGTTGTTCTTGCTGTCGGGAGAGAGGGCGCAGATGGCGTACGGGTTCGAGGGAGTGACGATTTCCTCGAGGACCTTCATGGACGATACATCGTAGACGAACATGAGATCTTCCATGACGACGAGGAGACGCTTGCGATTGAGGCGGACGGCGCCGACTCTGGCGGGAAAGGTGAGCTCGCATACGGTGGTCTGACGTTTTGTGTTGATGATGCGCAAGAGTCGCGGAGAGAGAACCATGGCGACGAGCGAGGTGGAGAAGAGCATCTCGAGGATGGATATGTCGCCGGACGCGCCATTCTCGGTAAGAGGGGTTTGGAAGACGAGAGCGAAGGGATTGGTCGAGTAGACGCGCATACCATCCGTTGTCGCGACGGCCAGGAAGCTGTGGTCCTGGTTGAAGGTGATGTAGTTCAGCGCCATGATGGGCTGTGGGCCGACGGCGACGTGGATCTAGTATTGTCGATGGAGCGGGCGGAGGGCTGCGCCCATAATCTCAGTCCAGCTTCCAGGTCTGGGTCGGGGCACGAGCACGAGCACGAGCACGAGCAGGTCGCAGTGAGCTTTGGCTATGGAGAGCTACAAGTATGCACGTCAGTTGTTGATCGCACGTCAAGCTGCACGTCAGTTGGAGCACAGAAGCCCTGGACGGTGGACCGAGGGACAAGTCACCCCAGCCCTCCTTCCTCTTTTGGATTTTGCATCTTCACCACCGGAATGCGAGCCACGAAATAACCTAACAACGAGCATACTAAAACCTTCTTTTCCATCGCAGCCAACTCTAAGATCCATGTGGGTATCCAGATAGTTGTGATTACGAGACGTGTTGTGAGCGAGTTGTGAAAGAGCGCAGCACGACCAGGAAGGAGGACATGTCATGGCACGAGCAGTCACACAGAAAAAATGACTCGGCTACTTAGCCCTGATCGCTGCCTCGTGGTGCTCGTGAGTCTAAATCATGAGGGCTTACTCTAGGGTTTGCACACAGTTAGGGTATCGAGGTGGTGGTACTGCGATACTGCAGAACCTTGCCCTATAGCACTGTGCTCGTGCCTGAAGATGCGTGGTGATGGTGAATTTATACAGGAGGAAAAGAAGCAGCAAGAGCGCTGCGACGGGGCAGATGCAGTCGGCATACGACGGCTAGCTGGCGTAGTGGGCGGCTGTGCGCCTCTGTGGTCCTCCTCTCTGCGGTCGCAAGCCCGGCGACGTTGATTCAAAGAGCCTCACCAAGACACCATCACGCAGCGTAAACCGTCGTCGGTCTGCATCAAAAACTCAGGGCTTTGTTAGGGCTTAGCGGTTGTCAGTTTGGCAGCCCTAGATGCAAGCCGGCCTTTGTCAACGAGATCCGACCCAGATACTCCTACTATGGCGTGTGAGTTCGGGTGAGATTCCTGTCCTGACAGAAGCACCGCTAATACCCTCACGCGCCAACCAGCCCTCAATGATGCCTTCTACCAGGGCCATGGAACGAAGCGCCCAAGAGACGACGTCTCGCCCATCTTTTACGACCAAGAGAACCTCGTGTCGCAGAAGCGTTACCGTCCCGACCACCTCTATACCAACGACCTGAACCCCTCGTCATACCTCGCTGCACCCTATGACCCCTTGGCCGTGTACAACAGGCAGCCTGACACCGACTTCTCCCTATATCAACCTCACCCGCACCTCGCCTCCGCCCATCCGCATTCCCTTCCGAACCCTCACTTCGACGCGCCGAACACACACATAGCAGCCCAGCCCGTCCAGCACCACCATCAGCAGCAGCAGCAGCAGCAACACCCCTCCTACTGGGCCCTGCCTGTCCAGCGTCTGCCACAGCAGCAGCCTCTCCCCCAGCTGCCGTCGCAACCCCAGCTGCAGCCGGCCTTCCAGCCCCAGCCCCAGCCACAGTCGCTACCGCAGACTCCTCAGCAATACTACACCATGCCTGCTGATCACGTGAACGCTGCCTCATATCCTGGCACTACCGATTGGTGGCAGCCGCGCCCTAGCCCTAGCAACAGTGCAATCGACGCCTACAACTACCAGGTCGAGGAGCCATGTGTCTACGGCACTGATGCAAGTCAACATCTAAAGTTGCAGAGTCTAGCCACTCTAGACAACCTCGTACGTCGTGTCTTGCATATAATCCTTTCTCTAAACAAAGTCACTAATCAATCCCACAGTCTACGCAGATCATTCTCAATCTTGCCAAGGGCTCACTAAACGACATTCTATTGCTCACCGCTGGCCGGGATCATGAAGGAAGTCAAGCCTACTTCACACGGCGAACCCTGTTTGACCAAACGCGTAAGGTTTACGCAAAGAATGCAGTCTTTATTGACATGCACACCCTGCCTGCCTTTACTGCCTCGCAACAAGAGGTTGTACGCAAGGCAAATCGCGCCATCTTCATTTCCAGTATCCTCGAGGGTCACGACATCAGCTTCTTCGACCTGGATTCCCGCTTCCTGGAAACCTTCATCTGCCCTGGCCAGCGCCTACTCAAATGGCAGGGTACCATCTTCTTGGAGTTGAAGACACAGGCCTACATCGCTGCTCTAATGAACAATGATGGCCCAGCAGAGTCTCTGCTCGATGAACTGTTTCCACCCGACTTGGCCGACCAACTATTGTCTCGCCATCCGGATACCCCCAATCTTGCACCCAGTGAGCAAGACTTCCTCGACCGAGCACGCTCTAGAAAGCAATATTTGTTTGACGAACCTCAATACGAGGCATACAGTACCCTGCCTCGCAAATACGGCTGGCACGACTTTCTACGAGAGTTTGCTGTCTCGCTTAGCAAGAACGTCGAAGCCGTCATCAATAACCCGGTAAGTCACGTCAGCAGCAGCGATCATCTTCGCAGCCACTAATCATGCCTAGGCGCGAACTCCTGTCAGTCAACCTGGTATCATCTCACCTTCTTTCAGAGCCGGAAGTCGTGGAACCCCGGGATCAGGCAGATTCGGAAGTCTGAGCAGTCCTATAGCTGGTGCTCAAGACTTGAGCAATGGCCTCAATGGTCAGAACAGCCTGAACCAAGACAGCGCCCAGCGACAGCCGACCCCATTACGGCCAATCCAAAGATCTCCAGACATTGGCCAGTCCGCCACTTCACCAAAGCCACGATCAAAACCAGCAAAATCAGGTGGTAGCGCTACACAACGTCAGCCCTGGAAGCAAGAAGAAGAGGACGCCCTGATGGCCGGTCTGGCCGAAGTCAAAGGTCCCCACTGGTCACAAATCCTCAGTCTGTATGGTCGCGGTGGCAGTGTGAGCGAAGTCCTCAAGGACAGGAATCAAATACAACTCAAAGACAAGGCCCGCAATCTCAAACTCTACTACCTCAAGATGGGCAAGGAGGTTCCCGAATGCCTACGAGGAGTCACAGGAGAGTTACGCAAGAGAGGTGGTGCACGTGTACGTGCCGCTCTTGGTCTGACGGATGATGATGATGCGGCATCGAAAAAGGGATCGAGATCTGGTACACCGCTTGATCCGACACTGAAGGCATGAGCGAAAGACCTTGATGGTCGCGCTATGGTGGCATATGTATAGAATACTTTTCAATTTTGTCGATAATTATCTTAACCCCTCCTCCTTTGTCAGGCGCCTTTACTGGCTTGTCAAGTAGAACATTCTTTGCTCGCCATCACCATATAGACTTTCATCTGTGTTGACAGGCATACAAAAGTTTCCACGTCTAAGTATTTCGAAATTTACATACAACACGAGTCTATGTTTTGCGAGATATGGCTTCTAGTAGGATCACCACATGAACCTCTGCGTCTTTCCAGGCTCCTGCGGCCACTCAAAGCCCCAATTCAAAAAGATATATCCAACACCAGTATTAATGATACCAAACCACAGCGTCTCCAAATACAATCGATGATCATGCTCAGCCCACAGCACCACATAGAGCCAATTCGCCCAACTCTGATGATCAATGTCCCGTCTCTGCCTCTCTTTATCCCACCATTGTTTCCAATTCTTGTGCGTGGGTCTGGTGATGAGGGAAGCGCCTGGATGGGCTTGAGGAACACGAAGTCGCCACATGATCCAGGGGAGGATGAAGTAGCGGGGTTCGACAAGGGGAGCGGTGATGAGTTGGAGAGCGGAGACGAGGAGCCAGATGAGGACGAAACTTATGGCGCTGCCTTCGCCAAAGGAAGCATCGTTGAGGCGGAGCAGTTGGCGTTGGTCGGAGTTTGAGGATCTGGAGAGTTTGGACTCGGAGGGATCCTTTTGGGATGCGAGGCCTTTGCCGTCGTCTTTTTCGTCTTCTTTGATTTGAAAGACTTGGGCTGGCGCGCCTAGGGCTTGGAGGACGGACCAGGCGCAGGACATGTAGATTGGGATGGCGAGGTATTTGATGATGGGGTGTGCGAGTAGGTAGCGGAAGACATAAAAGGTAAAGTGTCTGTTGTCGGCGAGGGTGAAGGGATGTACAATGGTGTTGTACTTGACAGTCACTGCGATAACCAAGACGAAGCCGACGAGAACAGCAGGTCGGGGCAAAAACTTGCGTCTGCTGAAGATCAACAGTGGCTCCAAGACGGCCACGAGCGGAACGGTTGCGAAAACGGCAAGCAGTCCTTGCGCGAAGAATGGGTATGTTAGACCGAAAGAAAAGAAGCTGGTATATGCCCAGATGTATAGCATCTGAGGCAGATGTAATGTCGCAACGTGATTCGACTTGTCACCGAGTACGACTCCGCCGTTCCAGAGAACGAAAGAACCGAAGAGTCCGAGTACAAGGACATAAGGCCACACGAGACGTGCAATTCGAATCAGTGTACGAGGAAAGTACAGAGCACGCAGAGCCAAAGTCACTACGGACATGCAGGTTAGCCAGAAGTCTACGTTCTCGTCAGTACAATAATCGAATGTGAGAGATATGTATCGACCGACCATCCAGTATAGAGTCACGCATTTGAGGGTCGTAGAAAGTGCCGTTTGCCCATGCTTGCAAAACAACAGCCTTGCCTGTGCGTGGTCTATTGGCCTCAACATCGGTGTGCAGAGCGCTGAGTCCAAGCAGAGCGATAGGAAACACGCCGACCCAGAAGATGTTGGTTTGACGGAACGAGAGGGAGATGAGGGCCAAGACAACAGATGCGCAAGCCTGGAGGAAGGTGCAAGGGCCGCGAGAGTTAGTTTCCAGAAGGTGTCTTACGAACAGCAAGACACTCAGTGTGGACGCGACATCGGTGTAGTAAAGAGCGCAAAAGAAGAACAAAGGTGGGAACAAACAGATATTGAGAGCGGAATGGATCTGTTGAGGACATAGAGTGGTCGAGGGAAGGAAAAGAGTAGACTTTTGGGATGGCAATTGCTTAGAAGACCGCGGCGAAACTGGAGGAGCAGTGTGCAGAAGAAAGAAGAAGATGGCGAACAAGCAAAGAGCGTTAACAGCTCTCAGAGCGTCCAGATCGCAGCGTCCAGTAATTTTGTAGAAAAGGACGGATAGAAGGTAGAGGCCAGGAGGAGTTGTTATCTTTGCATCCCAATGCCAGTAGTTGCCATTGCAGTATTGCTGGACTTGACCAACATGGAAGACCTCATCCTGAACAGATGGTTAGACGGACGTTCGGGGGACATTCGGTGGGAAATGCTTGACATACAAGATATGGCTCGCGGACTTGATTAGAAACAGCACCGAACCAGACGGCAATAGCGCACGGTAATGTGACCAGACAGAGGAGCAGTGGCAGGGAATTATGGGCTATACGCTCCTCATTATTCCTGACTGGCATTGCGACGAGTAGTCTTCAGCAGGGATGGGGTTGTAGAGGCGAGATGATCAACACGGTAGATGCCAAGATGAGAGCCAGAAGTTGATTCAGCTCACCCCACGTCTTGTCGCGACGTGATGGGCTTGACGGTTGGAGGCTTGTTATAGTCACTAGGCAGAGACGATAGAGCGAGGGTGATAATCCTACACACTCGTATATAGGTCGGTCTATGAGCTCGCGGTGTGCCTGACTCCCTCGATCGGCTCGCGCGTGCAGGGGTATGGCTCTGCTATGAACGCGCTCAACATCCTCTCGGGACTGAGTCCTCCACCCACACCCACGCCGCCAGCCACTCCGTCCCGCTCGCGTACTGGAAGCACGACGTCTTCGAACGAGAGGCCCTCCTACTTCGACTCCTTCGACAAGCCTCCGCCACCCATCTCGAAGCCGCCGTCGTCTTTGTCCTCCACATCAGCATGGCTCCTTCCCTCGCGCGTAGCTTCGATGCTCGTCACGACCCTTGTCGCAATCCTTGACTTTGTCACCATCCCCTTTCAGTACCTCCTCGCCGCCCTTTACGATAACGACGGCAAACTCTCGCTCCTCGTCCCAATGCGATCCATGCGACGCTTGTTCTCGCCCCAACCGGGGGAGCCGACGCCAGATCTTCCACCAACAAAGCTACAGACACGACCTCGGGGCACATCTATCGAGTCCACCTCTTCAGACTTGGTCTCCGATTCGGACGCCGAACCATTTGCCTCGTTTGAACAAGGTCCCGCCAGCAACACTCGCTCAAAGTCCTCGACCAAGGACGAAATAGCTCCGGCCAAACGATCCATCCGCATCAAGCTTCACAACAACGAGGATGCTCTCCGTCGCAGGCGCCAACGCAAGCCTACCGATGCCGACAAGTCGGAACAAGACAAGATCACTGCCGTCGCCAATTCTTTGAAGTCGCCCTCAAACTCGGCTGCTACAAAACTCAAGTATCCGCGTGCGCCTGCTCCTCCACGACCACTCGTGCCGAGACGACAGCCTTCTTATGTCATGACTTATAACCCTGAACCGCCCAAGAAGACGCTCATCATCGACTTGGACGAAACTCTCATCCACAGCATGGCCAAAGGAGGTAGAATGAGCACTGGTCACATGGTCGAAGTCAAGATCCAAGGCCCCATCGGAGGCAATGGCATGGCGCTCGGTCCTCAGGTTCCCATTTTATACTACGTACACGAGCGCCCGCACTGCCACGATTTCTTGCGCAAGGTACGTCTACATGCGCTAGCCATTGTCACATCTCTTGCTGATCGTGTCCGACTAGGTATGCAAATGGTACAATCTCATCATCTTCACTGCATCAGTGCAAGAATACGCAGATCCCGTTATAGACTGGCTCGAACGAGAACGCAAATACTTTAGCGGCAGATACTACCGCCAACACTGCACTTTCCGCAATGGCGCATACATCAAAGACTTGACGCAGGTCGAGCCTGACCTGAGTAAGGTTATGATTCTCGACAACAGCCCTTTGAGCTATATTTTTCATGAAGGTGAGTCAGCCCGATGTTTTGTTTTGACACTGCGACTTTGCCACTGACAAGGCTTTCTCAGACAATGCTATCCCGATAGAAGGCTGGATAAGCGATCCAACGGATAACGACCTTTTGCATTTGGTTCCCTTGCTCGAAGGCCTGCAGTATGTGACGGATGTACGAGCTCTTTTAGCATTGCGGCTTGGACAAGCGGAACGTACATAATACAGATCTTCCTTTTTCTTCTTCTCCTCTGCCTCATGGCTCTAGCACTGCATGGTTTCATGAGCGATCTAATGTCCAGAAACACCTTTGACTCGTGTGACCTTGGAAACTAGAGTTGTACAAAGGCGATATCTATAAAACTCGATGCTCGATTCATATTTGCAATCACCACACTTGTCTAGATCAGGGGTATGGCAGGCAGGCGACTGTGAATCGGAGAAACACGTGAAGCACAACTGATATGGAAATATGACATACCACAAAGCGATAGAGATGCCGCACACATGACAATCCTTCGGCTTGCAAGTTTGCATCCTTTTACCCAAGTTTCGAATCAGGCCTCGATATAGCAACAATCTAATGGAAGCCAAGACCAAGTCCAAAATAAGAAAAGCCGAGGCAATTAGAACTCAAGTGTCGATCAATAAATCCTTCTGTTGTCTGGCATGGCGGTATCCCCCTCGCCCTGTTTCAAGAGCCCACTTTGGACAATTGGCGACGAGGAACGCCGAAATAAAACAGGGTTTCGGTGACTTTGGTCACTGGTTTCTTAACGCAAGTGGTGTTTACGACTAATTTCTCTTTCTCATCTCTGGAGTGTTTTTGAGAGACAAAGGAAGTTTTCCTTTTGCTTTGTTCATGGATATGTTTCGAGATGAGGGCTCTTTTTTGTGTGTGTGGGGGTTTTGATTGTGGAGGATGGGGGAGTTGGGCTTGTGATTTTAGGCCACAACATCAACTTGTTTGAGTACTAGCGTTAGGCGCAGCATGAGGCAGGGGAGCGCAATCCTTCGAAAAAGATGCGGGTATAGGTATATATAACACAGACATCTTTCTGTGATTTCCCTCGTTTTTGTTTTACCTTTCTTTTCCAGCGTTCAAATCGAAATCAATCAATCATCGGTCTAAATTCCTAAAGATGCGTTTTTCTCCTGCTCTTCTTTTGGCTACTTCTGCCATGAGTGTTTTGGCTCAGGAGACCTCGACTACTTCGCTTTTCCTTGGTGGACCTTCCATCTCTGGACAGGAGTATGCCGGGTCTGTGGTTACGGCTGGACCTAGTGAGACGGTCTATGCACTCGTCTGTACAGGGTCTGCTTGTTACAACGCATCTACAATCACTGTAAGTCCCCCTACCAATCCTGATGATGTGTTGGTGTATGTTAGTCTGGGATGTGTCCAAACGACCCTCAGCCATGGTAATACCGTACCCGGTATAGAGATGTCCAACAGCTCTAGCGTTGCACAAGCAACATTTGATAGAAACACTCACGTTACAAATCGCACAACATACCAACCGGAATCACAGCAAACCTACACCGTCGGCCCATCCACTTTCGCCCTCGACTTCGTCACAACAACCCTTGGTGTTGAAGCTTCGGCCTCCGAGACTTGCAAGATTACCGGCACGGAAGCTGCTGTCTGTACCTTTACCATGAATGTCAATATCCCCGATGTCACAGCATTGAGTATCGAGAGTTTTGTTACATTGTCGGGTACTCTGTTCAACAGCTTTCCCGTCCAGTTGACCGCTGGCCTTGAAAAGTTGGCTTCTGCTACAGCTCCAGCTTCTGCTACTGGCAGTGCTTCTGGTTCTACGTCTTCTTCATCGTCGACTCGTACTGCTTCGGGCAGTGCCGTATCGTCCTCTGCTGCTGCTTCGGCGAGTGCTGCTTCTGCTTCGGACAGCGGATCTGTGAGTGTCGTGCTGATTGACATATCTCGACGCTTGTACTGATCCTCGAAATTTAGGGCGCATCTTCGATCATGTCAAACGGTAGGAGTGGTGATGTTTTGGCTTTGGTCATGTTCACGGCTGTGGTGGTGTCGGTTGGCGCCCTCGTGATCCTGTAGATTCACACAGATGATGACATTGATAGAGCAATAGCAGTCTGGCGTTCATCATCGCAAAAGAAAGCCTTCATCTAAGTAGTAGATGAGACTGTTGCAAGATCGTGATGTTTCAGTCCCAGAAATAGTGTTGAAATCAACAGTCGTGGTATAATGTCCTGATCGAAACGTTGCAGTGTCAGTGGAGTGATGGAAGGAGAATTGATAGGCCTTCCTGTTGAGTTCCGATGACGATCAAATCATGTTTTCGTTAGTCTCAGTGGCCGAACAGACTTTTCGCGCCGAGTTTTTCAATAGCATGTTAGACAGTAGGCAGTTGGCGCTCCTCAGCTAGCTTTTCGCATTTTGTACGCTCCGACTTTGGTACAGAGTCCGATCCATCGAGCTCCCTTTTGCGTGCTACCAGATCTTTACCTGTGGTGATATCCTCGTAGCCCTCCGGCATAGCTTCAGGGCCAGTGACATTGCAACGAAAGCATTCGTAAAGTCGCCATCATCTTCTTTCTCATATTCTCTCCCCTTCAACTTCATCCAGATTTTGGCGCCTCCATGTCTCGGCAGTAAACACTTACTGCATTGATACTCGATCCTCTCAGGATAGACGACAGGCACATGGGTCTTCCAAGGCAGTCCTTTTATCATCCGCCCACGGTTTGATAGCGCCAAACGGAGCCATCCTCTCAACTTGTATAAAGTATCATAGTTCCAATTCTTTGCACTTGCCAGTCGCGTTCGCGCTTGGTGTCTTGCCCGGTTCCTAGCTCTCCAGAGCCACTCAGCGATGCGCGCTTTCTCTCTATTTTCACGCACGACATCGAAGTACTTTCGTTCTCCTTCCTGCTAGACTGCTGCCTGAAACCTGAGAGATTCTGATGTGTTGTCTCCTTGATCTCGGGTCGCTGCTCAAGTATCCTCGGTGGTGTTGGAGTTTGAGTCACATGCTGAGAAGAGTCGGAAGAAAGATGGCGGCCACCTGGATATTAGTTTCCGGTTTGCCAGCAAAGAACAAGATCCAGATCGTAAAGAAGATTCAGAAGTCCACCAACGTAGCACGTGGTGATGGGCGATGGAGTTTCTCAAAGCTGTTGTCATTTTCATGCTGGACGCGCGCAGATCAGGACAGGAAGTGTCGCTCTGGAAGTAGTGCTATGTTCACTTGAACGTGACGACCAAACCCTATTGCTGCGATACAGCGTAGGCAGTTCTAGCTTGCTACCAGTGACTAGCTTGGTCGCGTTTCCGAGTGCAAGGAGCAGATTTTCGGAAGGAAGTCTTCCGAGTTCATCGCCCTGACAACATGCGGGGGTTGCGAGCAACGAGATGAAGCCTTCTGGGAGGCGAAGATTACCAGCTCAATCGTCAACAAAAACCAATATCAAATATGATCTGGAGAAGCATCCAGTCTTGCCTTCTCATAGGCGTTTTTTCTAAGACGAACGTCGCGGTCGAGATGTGCACGGGACCCGCCTCTGACAGAAGAGACGGCAAATGTACGCAGAGTAGAAGAAAGCCATAGTGGGTTACCGATGGCGACGTGAGGTTTCCAGAGTGGTCGAAACATAGTGTCGGGTAGTATGAGTAGTGTTGTAGCGGTGGGAGAGATGTATGAAGAAGCAGCCTTCTTCACATGTCAAAACCTCTCCACACTTTGTCGTCTCTTCGACCGACAAGCAACTCCTTGACCAAGCACCGCTCGCACAAACATGCAAAACTTATAGTGTCAGGACGTGCAGGAGATTCCTGTTTTCTATATCCACGACACCTGTTTACTGCTCATTGTCACGTCTGAAGTACACCATCGCCCACTACCACGAGTCGACGTCAACACACCACCATGGCCCTGCTCAATGCCCCTGTTCTGGCAGTCCTCGCAACATTCGCCCTATTCGCCCTCCAACTCATAACCCTCCGTCTCCTCTCCCTCGCACCACAACGCCGTCCCCCACCGACACCCCGCCAACTCGGTACACCCGCCCACCTCCTCATCGTCCTCGGCAGCGGCGGCCACACGGCAGAAATGATCTCCATGCTGCGCCGCAGCAACACTTGCTCAAAGTTCTCCCATCGCACCTGGCTAGTCTCCTCCGGCGACAGCTTTTCCGCCGCCTTTGCCAAGGAATTCGAGCAAGAGATGGGAGAAAAGAAGGGCACGTATAGAGTTGTGGAGGTCAGGAGAGCGAGGAAGATACACCAGAGTCTGCTTTCTTCGCCTTGGACTTGTTTGTTGTGTTTGTGGGATTGCTTAAGATGGCTGAGACCTTCTTCTGACAGGCATTATGGATACCCGGACTTGGTCATTACCAATGGCCCTGCCACGGCTACCATCTTGGTCTTTGCATCGGTCTTGTTGCGCTTCCTTGGTCTACAAGGGAGTGATGGTGCAGGAGAGATGCGCACAATCTATGTTGAGAGTTGGGCGAGGGTCAAGAGGCTCAGTCTGAGCGGAAGATTGCTTTGTTGGCTTGTGGACCGCGTGTTGGTGCAGTGGGAGCAATTACAAGGTGCTGGAGCTGGTGGAAGAGCCGAGTTCAAAGGTGTCTTGGTATGAAGCAACCACGATTCCTCGATACGACAAACAACACTACAAGGACGAAGTCTCACTCGCTCTCGACGAATAGAGAGCATGCCTCTGACCTGCCTTGCTCCAAGAGCACGCTTGTGGCCGAAGTGAAAATACCACTACTCGATTTCGACAGGACTTTGAACGCCGAGCGGCACCGACAATCTCACAGACTACGCCACGCTTTGATCGACGCAAACTCTCGATGGCAGCACAAGGCGAGAAACATGTCATTCACATAAACTGCTATCTCCAGAAGACTGAACAACGCGCGCATCGAACATGAGGCAAGGCGGTGCACTTCCCCTGAAACATTTTCGTGTTTCCATCCTCCTTCTTTCCACCGTCACAAAAACTCCCAGATCTGAGAAAAACGAGGCCATACTGGCAACAAGGCTGAAGTTGATTAGAAATCTTGAGACGCAAAAGGAGAAACAAATTATCTCAAAGACAGGAGAATATCACAGGGCACGGTCATCCTTTTTGAGACAACCGACTCAGTATAATTGGAAGTAGGTTCCCAAAAATGGTACTGCAACACTGTAGATAAAATTAGCATGGATTTACAGTGCATGGAAGTTGAACAATCAACATACCCCATAGCCATAGTGGTCAATATGCCCAACGTTGCTCTCTTCTTGATCTTCTCCTTACGAATCTCAATCTCGGTGAAACGTTGTCTCTTGGCCGGGCGCTCGTCGACCTCTGCAGGAGCGAGTGCGGCAGATGAGCCAACTGGGTCGAAGTCCGGGAAGGAATCGATCAGCTGCTCGTCATCATCTTCAAAAGCCTCGAGGGCCTTGCGCTTCTTGCCAGGGGTACGACTGGCAGTCAGCTTGCGCGCGGCATTAATGGCGTCCTTGGCCCGGTCAAGGTATTCTTGAGCATCACCCGGTTGTGCGAGGTCGGGGTGGCTGGCAGGAGTAGTAATGCTTGCGTGGATGCTCTCAGTGGGGGTGCCTCCGTTGACTGCGGGCGTGATGATGGTCTCAATGTCGACCTTGACCGTGTCGTCAGAGCGAGCACTGAGAGTGACAGGGATTTCGGCCTCCAGCTCGGCTTCCGCGTCTGCTTTGGCGGCAGCTTCACTAGAGGCAATGATGGAGTCAAACTTGGCGGACTCGGGCTCAAGCGATGTCTCTAGTGCAGCGGAGTCCTCGATAATCTCGGCAGTAGGGGCGAGCGTAATAGTTGCTGCGGGCTTTGCGCGTCTGGTCCTCCTGGGTGTTGCGATTTTACGGCTAGGAGTAGGAGGAGCCTTTGCAGGAGAGGCGGAACGAAGAGTACGGCGGCGAGTGGTGGTCTCTGTTGGAGGAGGGAGAGTGGTTGCTTCAGAGGTGGGAATGACGAATCGAGGAGGTGTTGCGATTTTCTTGTTGGGGTCGTGAGTTCCTTTGGGGATAGGCTCGGGGTCGAGCAGGGCCTCAATCCAGGCACGCATACCGTAGGCCTCGGCGAGAGTCAGAGCTGAGGTTGGGGGAATCCAGACGTTGCCAGCAATTTCTTCGCTGTCGGTCTCTGGGAGCGACTTGATGTACTTCTTCTCGGTTTCCTCCTCCTCGAGTGACGACCAGGGGAAAGCAGCCTTGTACATGCCAGTCGCGCTAATATAGCCATCGTTGGAGCGTCTCTGTGAAAGCCACGTTAGTGGGAAAGCGTCGATTTGCGTGAATTCAATCATGTGCTTACCATCAGAAAGTAAGCTTCCGGGTACGACTGGTTGCGGCGCGACGGAGCGAAGATACCACTTCCTTGCAGGTCTTTGGGGAGAGGCACACGCAAGTGAGCATAGTCGAACATGCCCAGGTTGGAGGGCTTTGTCGCATTCGAGGTGCCAATTTGGCCCGCCTTCACTGTGAGCTCCGTCTGTCCCAATCGGCGCCTCTCGACAAGAATCTCGACTGTTTCCCATCAGCCATGTGGTCAGAATGTCATGTCTAGCTCTCGACGTACGTGGTGGGGTGTGATGATCCTCGACCAGAGGATTCCTCTTCTCGGGCAAGTCGCGTTCCGCGTCCATTGTGAAGATCGAGCGCGTCGGCTAGGTTGTTTTTGTAGTTGGGCGCAACTGATTCGGTGGAAATGCGCCTGTGCGACGACAGCGTGGGGACAACTTGACTGCGGGCGTGGGTGAGTTGGGCTGGACGCTTGAGGAATAAAGTGGACGAAGGTGGTGAGGTCAAAAATGGTCAGAGACGCGAGCGCGCTGCTACCGGGAATGCAAGACCTACGCAATAGGCAGGCGTTGCCAACAGGAAAATAACGTCTGTGGGGGGGTTGGCTTTGACTTTCACCGACATCACTCACTTTTGGTACGCATCAGGGAAACGCCTACAAAGTGAGGTGAGCGGCTGAGACTTCCTTTGTGACCTCTTGCTTCGTCTCAAGCTTGCTGTTGTACACTTGAGTCTGGCGGGCGTGAATTCAGCACGACTGTCTCAAGGTCTTGTCTACTGCGAAGACACACGGGAGATTGCAACACAAACAAGCCAGCTTGCGGCATGCGAGAAACAATAATACTTACCTCTGTACTCACCGACAGCAACAATTGTTCATGTTAGCACGGCCACGGCTTTTTACAGATCGTCTCTGCCTAGTTTAGTGTCGTACGAAACCATACTGTTAAAGTACGTGCGTGCATCATCTCTCACAGGCTTGTCTGTTATGAGAACTTGATGCTTTAGTCATAGCGAGACCGAGCTATACGATACACTGTTCAAAACACCCGGAACCTCGTTCTTCACTCTGTGAAACTCGTACGTCGAATGTAGATACCGATGGACGAAAGTGCACGAAAATTGTTCTGGCGAGTCAAGGTCAAAAACCTAGCTTCCAGCCACCTTGCTCTTAAAGACCCCACGTCGGTCGTAGCTGCTAAAGTTCACCATAACAAACACTCTGCTACGACAAAGGCACAATTTGGCCGCTCTCTATAGTTCCATTCCACTCTGTGCTTCTCTGCCAAAGGCAGGTTCAGGACTAGACTTAATTTATTTCTCAAACCGCATTGACCTCTCCCTTCGTGTCCACGTGATTTCCAACTGAGGCGGTGAAGTCGGGCGGGTCTGACGTGTACTGAGCTAAATTCCAGGCCAGTCTTTGGGCTCCACAAACGACACCTTAAGCTTCCCTCCCTGAGCATCTAGCTCGCACACTCACTCACTTGCCTCCTTATCTTGATCCCAATTCCTGCTTGCTATCCATCTCCTTTAAGACCAATTCTACCTACACGTCGACAATGTCTGGTGCAGCTGACTTCCACGAGGACGAGCTCCGTCCCGAGACCACTGCTGGTTTCAAGGTTGGAGAGAAGAAAACCCTGGAGGAGTACCAACAGCTCGGTGAGTACCTTTGAGTTCATTTTTGCTTGTGGTTTGTCTACGATCTGGAGGCACCCAGTTCTCTTCTTCGAAAGTCTCCGTCTGCGGCGGAGGCAATTCACCTTGAGACCTTCATATGACCCCTGGCCCCTGGTCCTGGAAATCTGAAAGTTTTGATACGTGACTCAACACGTCCTTCTCATCTCTATCAGTGGAATTACTACGAATGTCAGATTCTGAGAAAGCCGCATAACATGAACATTAAATTTGCCGATTTGGACTCGGCCGATAATGATTATTTTCAACCACGATCCAAGTCTCGAGAGGCAGACGATCGAGCTCAGAGTAAATCTTCCACTGCTCCAATGACACCATCCAGCAGACGCTCTAGTAATCGCAGACAGCCATGGATCGATGCAAGAAAGCTATCGGATGAGCAGAAGCAGCAGCACATCGACGCGGAAATCCAGCGCAAAGCTCGGAGGTCTTCTGTACGAACAGCATTAGAGAACACCATTGATATCTTCTCCAAACCAGCATCAACCAGAACCTCCTCTAGAACCGCTTCAAGAGACGAGGACGAGCTAGCTCCGGAGTTCGTCCGAGCCATGCCAGGAGATGAAGCTTTCAAGCCTGCGAGGCGCACTGTTTCAAACGATCGGCGAAGGTCTCTTGTTCAGGGACTACAGAGTCTTCATAAACATGACAGTATCATGGGCCCTCACGATAAAGGTGTGTTGAGCAGATACTCTGGTGGTCGCGATCGAGATTCCAAGATACCACGCAAAGAGTCTTATGTTCGAAGTTCAATTCCGAACGCCCTGCTACCATCCCCCGATGATGATCGAAGATGGGCCCGACAAGTCCTACGATGCTACTCCTCCACGATGGATGCTTCTCACTGCGATGTATTCACCTGGCATGCAGTTGAGCGAAAGGACGACCCCGTACATCTCATCATCTGTCACGGTGAGATGGTCTTCATGGATCAGTACGGCAAAGAATTGCCTGGCCAGCCTGAAATTACACACCAACTGGAAGCAATTCATCTAAGGGGCCCGTTACGGCCAGACTACGAAGGGTATGATGTTCCTCTCACACGCATACCGACAAGACAAGTTGAGGAACAGACTGCCGAACACTTCAGAGCTATACTCGAGTGCAATGGCTCTGAAATCTCGAGTCCGCCTACTACAGTGCAAGTCGGTTGGTGGCTCCACAACTCGCCAGTATATCGCATGAAATATCGAGAGGCCGAATTGTGGATGACTATTGACGGTCGCAACATGCCAAATCGACCTGCAATCTCCGAGCAGATCAAGCAAATAAAGGAGATGACGGACGATTCCATGAGAAGCGATGATTCTTCCAGCGATATATCCCCTGGCCACATTGGACCACATGAATACCTGGAGACCCGGGTCAGTAGACAGGCCATTGAACAAGAGGACCGAGACCTTTGTAGACAGACCGAAGGCCGTGGAAAATCTTGGACTCGCCGCTTCTTCCGTTGGATGGGCGCACGGTGAGCGGCCACGCTACGCGATGCTTCTGGCTTCATTCATTCTTGCGCAAACTATATACGTTGTGATTGCTGACTATGCTTTGACTACTAGACCAAAACGATGAGAGTTTGAGAAAGTGGAAGGAGAGCCTGGGTATCGGCTCTGGTACCACCATTGGTGATGCCAGCGACCCTCGCAAGGTCATTATCGTTTCTCTCGGACTTGAGGTACGTTGAACTGTTTAGGATGTGTTGAGCATCGTAGCTTATATTAGCTTTTCTCCAGGTTGAGGGCCGTCCCGACATCATCATCGACCTGTCTTCCCAAGGTGCTCTTGAGTCTCTCAAGTCTAAGCCCTTTACCATCAAGGAGGGTGCCACTTTCCGCATGAAGGCCCGCTTCAGAGTTCAGCACCAGATCCTCTCGGGCATGAAGTACGTTCAGGTTGTCAAGCGTATGGGTATCTCGAACAAGATGCAGGAGATGATTGGCTCGTACTCTCCCAACACCACCGACAAGCCCGAGTACGAGAAGAAGTGTAAGTGGTGCGACGACACGTACCTAGTTGCATGCTGACATAATCAACACAGTCGAAGCAGAGACCGCACCTTCTGGCATGATGGCTCGTGGTCACTATAACGCCGTCTCTAAGTTCATTGACGATGACGAGCAGACCCACTTGAAGTTCGAGTGGTCATTCGATATCAAGAAGGACTGGTAAACGAAGACTACATCGATACAGCCTTTTCTACTTCTTGTCAAGCAGCATTAAGGGGGGGCTCAGGATTTCTTTCCTTACGCGCGTTTCAACGGGTTGATTTGTTTCTTCTCTCTCTATCAAGTTTCCTCATTTCCAGCATGTAGGTCTTGAGTTTGATACTCGGACTTGACACAAAATGCATTCTGCTTTCTCATCCAGCTTGATGCAGTATTCTGCTGCCTATCACTTACCAATATTTTCTTGTAGAACGTGTTACGGCACTCGGCGTCCTCTTTGACGAGCTGTTCTATTCCATTTTAGCCAGAGCATGGCTATTGCGTTCCGTCCTTCGTGACTTGATTCAAGCCGGACTTGTTAATAGGTCTTGACAATATGACGCAAGAGTGGCGAGTTTGTGATCTGTACAATTGCCCATGAGCTATTCGTGGTCCAGACAGTTTGGATGAAGTTGACAGGATAGCCGGCAGCTTCTCGCTTCTCGCTCATGGGTGTGACTTGGGTTCACAAGCCCGATCTAGCTGTGGCAGACCAGGGCTTTGAAGTGTTGTTTTGACCTTGTGCTTGCTCGAAACATCTTCTTTGATCTTCGGTACGACTGAGATCAGCGAGAAGCGATGGTAGGAGCCCAGACCCGCCCGATGCGATTGACTTCATTAACGAAGTTGCGGCTCGTGATCTGAGTTGACGTAGCTGGCTGGTGAGCATTGGCGTAATTCGGAGAGTGATCCTCGGGTGTATAAAATGGGTTCCTCAACAGATTGATATATGCCTTTTGCAGTGCTTGGAAAGCCTATCATAGGAGGCAGACTGTCAGCGTCTCAATTTCGTAGGAAAGCTATAGGATGGGCTCACAGGAGTAAGATCGGAGTTCTTCAGCCCCAGGACGGGGGGAGTTCTAGAGTCGTTCGCGGGAGACTGGCGACCTTCCATATCTACGATAATGACGAGTTTAACGCCAGTGTTTGTGAGCCAGCCGTACATGGCGAGACGCTCATCGACGGCTTGCAAGAGACCAAAGTCTTGGCCAACATTCTTTTCAGGTAGACGAGCTTCGAAGATATCAAGACACGTTGAGAGCATGAAAGAAAAATCGAGCTTGCTACGTTCTTCCTTTTCCCCTTCAGCAGGAAATATGGAGATGTGGAGTGGATTGTTCTATGGTGATGTTAGATAAAAGGAGTCAAGCATAATACGCGAGTGGTGAACTGGGAGCGAAATTTCGAATTACATACATGTCTGCCAATAACACCTATACAGGCGATGGCTGGAGTCTTGATGATGGTCATGATTGAGTTAATAATTATTCGAGTGACAAAAACAACAAAAGCAACGATGATGATGATAGAGGTGAAGTCAAGCTCAGCCAGTCGGGTAAGCGGTCGTTGTGGGCGATGACAGACAGCCAATCAGAGGACGACGATCGATAATCAGATGGGCGGTCGCGACTTCTGTACATGGCTCGCAAGCATCATTGAAACAGCGTCCCTTCCGCCACTTGCACGCATCGACAGCGACAAGGCACAATCTCCACTCCGCGCCGCCGACTTTCTTTGTCACGACCTAGTCACATACACACACACCCGACAGTCGCCATGTTCGCCGCCACTCGCTCGACAATGGCCCTGGGTCTGCGCGGTACGTGAAATTCGATTACCGCGACATAGACACACTCCGACTAAGACAATCATGTATAGCCAAGCCCACTGCCGCCCTCATCCCCTTCACTCGCGCCGCTCCCTCCGCCTTCATTCACAGCTCATCGACCAAGTCGGCAACTATGGAGAGACCTGGTTTGGTCAAGGGCAACCCCGGCACCCCGCCACCCATGAAGAAGGGCATGCCCACAAACGTCCCTCTTCCCAGCCAGGAGGGCAAGCAGGGTGTCATGCAATACGCCTTGTATGTCGATTGATTGGAGGATAGCAAGTCGAGTCAATTGCTGACCAAATCACTCATAGGACCACTCTTGACCAAATCGCAAACTGGGCTCGTCAGGGTTCGCTGTGGCCATTGACCTTCGGTCTTGCTTGCTGCGCCGTCGAGATGATGCACTTGTCCACCCCCCGTTACGATCAAGATCGCATGGGTATCATTTTCCGTGCCTCGCCCCGTCAATCCGATGTCATGATTGTCGCCGGTACCCTGACCAACAAGATGGCTCCCGCTCTCCGTCAGGTTTACGATCAGATGCCCGACCCCCGCTGGGTCATCTCCATGGGCTCATGCGCCAACGGTGGCGGTTACTACCACTACTCCTACTCCGTTACCCGCGGCTGTGACCGTATCGTCCCTGTCGACATTTACGTTCCCGGATGCCCGCCCACCGCCGAAGCCCTTATGTTCGGTATCTTCCAGCTCCAGAAGAAGATGAGACACACCAAGATCACCAGAATGTGGTACCGCAAGTAAACAATTCGCGAGGCTTGTGACAAAATTGCCGCCGCTGGTTTTCTTCTTTTCTTCTTCTCACATACATGGGCGTTTTATCCTTACGAGAGGCTGGGGCATGATGCTGTAGCGCTGCTTCGCATGGGATTGTGTAAATATTTGACTTCTTTTTTTCTCGATTGGCAATAAACGAAAGATTCCTTTGTTATTCCATTGTTGTCCTTGCACAGAGTCCACATGTGCTAACAACGAAACATTCACGCTTCAAGGTCAATCGTCGAGCAATTACCGATACGCATGTCCAGGATTGAAAGAAGTAGCAGCGCTGTTCATGACTGTAGAGAATGTTCAATCTGTGGAACAAGCACAAGACAAGACCAGTCCAAAAGTCAGTTATCGGATAAACAGTATAGAACCAGAACAAGCAAGAACGACACTCTGAGCATGACTGCCTTGCCAGCAGCTCGAGAATGAGGGCGAAACGATGTAAAAGCACAACGGCGAGCGGACGGATTGAACACGGCATTGAAGCAAAAAGAGTGAGAATGTGACATCCTCGTCCGCTTGATCCACCGCTGAGCCAGAAGAAGAAGAAGAGGACGAGGATGCAGGTAGTATGGCAAAAAGATTGGGTATATACAGCCATGAAAAGAGTTTCGAAAGATTCTCTGACATTGTTTGACTCCTGATTCACTAGAAGGTAGCGCAGGATGGGGGTTCGAAATGGCGACAGTCGAGAAGGGCCAACAATGCATCAAGGGAAAAAGACCAATACAGTAATGATTTACAATCAGACATAGACATACAGCATAGTCCACCAATCGACAGAGTACCAAACATCCCATATAAAAAAAAAACATTCAATCCACAATTTCCCACCAGAATCACCTTTCCTCCCAAAGGCTCTCTTTCCCTTCTTCTTCTCTCTACACAATACTATCAGTCTCATAAAACGGCTCATTAGGATCAAAGGGAAACTTCCTAACAACAACATCACCCTTGTAATCCCAAAGATCTGCTTCCACGGGTGTATACTCGACTGCACAACTACCACTACCTTGTTCTTGTCCAAAAGTCTCCACAGCACTGACATTGCCATCTCCATAGTCAATGCGTACTTGATTAACAGTCTGCCGACTAGGATCACCTTCCAGATAATTCAAGGGCGAAAATGAGAGTCCGGCGTGTGCGGTGGAGAAGACGGTATTTGGTAGATCGCCCGTGTGAGGGATATGGTGCATTCCCAGATTTAACCACAATACGAGATCGGTTTGAGTGAGGTTTTCACTATTGAAAAATGTGTTGAAGTTTATGGGTGGGTTGTGCACGTCTTGGTTATTGTAGGCGTGGGCGGCGCGGGGTTCAGTGTCGTGTTGTCTTGTAATTTGGAGGTCGTGGGTTGCCCAGCGTGCTGCGTTTGCCAGATTACTGGATTCTTCTACTGTGAGGTGGATGGCGCCGAGAGAGGGTGAGATGCGGTAGCCTTTGTATTCTCCGTACTGATTTACAGCGTCCTTGTTGATGACACTGTATTGGGTTGCGCTGTTGGGGCCCCAGAATAGGCGACTTTGGTCTTCGGATTCGATGTATGACTTCTCAAGTTTCATGGTGTTTCGAGCTTTGCCGTTGGACCAGGGGTATGTTGTCGAAATCGGTACCTGGTTGACTACGGCAACAGTGTTGTTGGTACCCAAAATGTCGAAGTCGGCTTTGAAGTTCAAGACATGATCGTGCATGCTGCCTGAGAGATTGTCGTGGATCTTGTAGCCGTATTCGTCATTGTTGGCGTAATAAGCACTTTGAATATATCCAGAAGCACGGACTTCAACATTGATGCTACCATCTATCTCAAGGTTAGTATCAAGCTATCGGGACAATGTTCAGACGAGAATAGCATACCCATGTAGAAGGAGTACGAAAACATGTAGTCGTAGTTTCCTACAGTGCTGACAGATCGGATGGTGAAGTAGGTGTTCTTTGTCGCACTAACGTAATTCGAGGTGCTGTGTCGTTGGAGAGGATAGTCGGCAGTGTATTCGAATAGACAAAGACTCTCAAGATGTGTGTGAGTTGTCTCTGCCACGTAGAAAGAGGTGTTGAGGTAGGTGGCATATGCCGGGCAATCATAACCCTTTACCAATTGAAATGCATATGGTCCGAAACCATAGTACGTGTCTAGGTATGCCTGAAGTGAGGGTCAGAAAGAATCATCTGAGAAGGGAGATCATACTTACAGTGCCGCTTTGGAGAGGATCCTGTCCTGCGTAATGAGCCAGCGCCTCTTGGAGGCCTAACTCGTACAATACTCTTTCGCCTTTATAGCGAATGTCCCACAGACTGAGACCAGTGTCACGCTGATATCCAACGAAGAACTCAAAGTCCATCCATTTGACCCATTTCTTCTCAACATCAACTGAAAATCTGGCACCGCTAGGTGCGATAGATACGGGAGGAGGGGTAGTATCGAGTGGAATGACGGGCCCATTCTGATCTGTTCGAGCCCAGTCTCCCTCAACGTTAGCCTCGAGCTTAGCAAACCCGGGCGTGTAGTATGCATTTTTGAATGCTTCGGTGGTGTCGTAGAAAATGCCGTTATAGTACCAGCCTTCAAATTTCCACTGACTAGGGTCACGGCCGGTGACATCGCTTCTGAAGTATAGACCTAGAGGCAGAAGAGTTTGGGTGTCAAAGTTGTCAACAGAATTAGACCAGAAAGCATCCCAACGAATAACCCGTCCGTCATCTTGCCAGAGAGGGTCGATGCCCCATATGGAGAGCGTGTCGTTGTCGTGACCAAGAGCAGTTCCACCCCACAGATCGAGGGTGATGTCGGAGATGGTAGCACTGATTTTGTATATCCATTGGGAATAAAGAGTGTCATCAGCGTCGGCATCAAGATTACGTACACGTCCGGCTGTCTTGCGAGTGTAGGGGTACTCGAGAGGCTCCCATCTGGTTGTGCCATTGTTGACGCCAGAAGGATCAATAGGGCCAACCAGTATATCTTCGTAATAGGGATCCTCACAGGCTCGATGATCCAAGACGACATGTGCGTATCGAGGTGGGGCCGGGCCCGCACCGTCCAGATAGTACAAGACGTCCGTTTTGTTTGGATGCATGAGCTCGACCAAGAGACTTGTGCATCATTAGTACTTTAGACAGGTAAGGAGTTTGTGAACGTACATAGTATTGTCCCACTCCCCAGCGTCATCGCTCAAGGTGAGGTTGAACTCTGGCTGAGCGAACATCCACTTGGTCACCGAAGCGGCTTCGACATCGGTAAGACCTCCCCAAACGTTGGCCTTAGGAGCTGTAATCCGGGTATAGTTGTTTCCCGAGCACGAGCTCACAGCTGGAGGTGTCGATGTTTCGTTCAACCAGCGTCTTCCGTTCTTTGAAGCAGCCTTCCTAGCTCTGCCCTGACGAACCCAAGCAGCCTTGGGATCTGGACTAGGAGCCGATAAGACGCCATTGGCGTAGATGATTGAACTGACAAACAGAAGACTTGAGGACAACCTCATGTTGTGGTTCCAAGTGATCTTCTGGCAAACACATTTCACTTGGACCTACCTCTCTGTTTTATATCTACCAGTCAACGTGCCACTGTTATCATGCTCTTCGGCCTCAATGACTTGGTCACAGAAGCGGTGTACACCAAGTCCACTGCACAAGCCATATGGACATGGATGATTCGCATGGAGATGCCACATTGAGGTGATATCCGCGTGTTGTCTGCAAAGTACCGCCTGTTTATCGCCTATCTCACACAGCTCGTGCAGGCGATAAACCATAGATAGGCCTATGTCGGAGAGCTTGCTCAACCATCAGATAGCGGCACGCTCTCTGAGTTGCATCGGCGTCGGATACAAATATCTACGTGGGATCAATTGAGCAGATAAACACACAATTCATGCCTAGGGTGGAATATTATCGAACAAATGACCCAAGTTTTGCAGCGTGCTGAGAAGTGATGACCACGGGACCACGTCTGGACATCGGAGAATTGATAGCCGGAGGCTGAGCCTAAGGACAGCTGAAGCTCAAATGAGCAAAAGCAGAAGACTGCAGACGGCAGCGGGTGGACTCGATCCTAGAAAAGAGGAAAGCTAAAGACGCGATAGGGACAAGAGGCAGGCCGGCAGCCAAACAAGAATCAGTCGTTGGCCGCAAATTGGAAATGACGGAAGCGCTGAGAGTGCAAGATTGACGTCGGGCAAGGCGCAAATTGGGTGAGATGGTTGTTAAAGGTCGCGGGAATACAATCAGCATGCATGGGTGGACAAAGTACGCATAGGAAGTCGGCTGCAGATGCACATGAATAATTCAAGCCAGGGATGATGGTGCTCTTGGGCAGAGCTGCAAGCTGGATGGAGCAAGGTCGGAGCGGGGCTAGCGGTAAGTGGCGCAAAGTTGGTGGATAAATGGCTTTCGTTGGCGTCGCTCATTTGGACTTGTCTTGACTCGATTGGCAGCAAGCGCAGGGTCTGGAAGGGGGATTCGAGTGTGGGGATCGAAGGCGTGAGCGCAGCCGTTTGATCCGAGGAGTGTGACAGGCTCTCATGCTGTTGTGATGAGTCGTCGACAAGAGTGACAGATTGCGTGTGTGTGGGGGCAGCAAGGCAGTCAGTCGCAGATGCTGAAGCAGGAAGGAACGATATGTCAGTCAGATCAGGCTTGCATGGATAGATTAATTACGAGGGGATTGGCAGGATTGACAGGGCGTCTTTTTCGGATGCCAAATACAGAAGCAAGAAGCGGGCGGAAACGAGGGTCGTAGGGTAGGGTAGGGTAGGCAGTTTGGTGCGAAGGCAGGCGCGCAGCAGTGAGCACAGATGTCGACGGGAGCTGCAGCTTGTCGCAAATCGATGCATGAGCGTGGAGCTGCGGTGCGATAGAGTCGGGATTGCCACTAATTTTCTTCCCTTGTGCTCCCTCTCTCCTACAGGCCCATCCGCACGTCGGTCATACACATTGTCGAGTGTCGCATATGCAGCCGTCCAGCCCACACGTCCACCTCTGCCTGTCGCCATGCCACTATGGCCGTTTGGAAGAAAGAAGCGACGTCTGAGCGCGTCGACGGCCGCAACGACTACGTCAAGCGCTGCAACTGCCACAACGCCAACAAAGACAACAACAGCGCCAGCTGCCCGCCAACAGCAACAGCAACAGCAGCAACAGAGCCAAACTCCGAGCCAGAGCCAGCAGCGCCCTGCAGATGTTTCAGATGGCCCGGCACAGGCCATAGCCCGTCCGACCAATGCCTCTCGCACCCACATGCACATCCCCCCGAATAGCCTTGAGCGTCCAGGAAGCGTGCAGGACGAGTTGACGGCACTACCTGCCTTGTCCAAACTCGAGCAAAGTCCTCATCTGAGGCCCGCAAACGTTATCAAGCCCGTCCATCCCTATACCCTTGAACGCCCCTCATCTGCCCGCTCACGTACCCCGAACATTCCCCGGTCCCCGTCGCATGACAAGGCCACCCCCAGTCGCCGTCAGTCCACCAAGCGGAAAAAGGATCAGACCCTACGCGAAGAGGAAATCCGTCAGATGAGCGCGCCAATGCAGATTCCAAAGAGACCCGCCGCCTCATCCGGCCATGACCTGCTCCGTCGCGACAGCAAAAAGGCCCGTCGGACCCTGACCAAACGGCCCGGTGCCGACGATTCTCGCAATTCCAACATCTCGCTTCCCCTGCCAGAGTCCATCCGCTCCAACAGATCACACATGTCGGAGCAGCGCGCCTGGGAGATTGGTGGCATGTCCATCCTCAGTCCCCGTCCTACCGTTCGTGTGTCGGGCACCTTCACCCATACGCCCTCGCCTTTCGCAAAGCGTCCGCAGAAGATGGACAAGCTGCCCGAGCTCGCTCGTGCCTCGAGCGGAAAGAAAGACCGAAGGAAGGTTGCCGACCTTGCCGACGACCTCAACTCCACCGAGCTGCGTATCCTTATGGAGCGTGACCAACGCAGGAAAGAGCAAAAGGCCCTGGAGCAGCATGAACGCCTCGATCGCAAGTTGCGTAGACGAGCAGAGAAGCAGCGCGAGGAAGATGAAACTAGGGCTAGAGAAGCCCGTCTAAATGCAAGCCCTCCCACTGCAATTCACCCTGCCTTCCGCGAACAAGCCTCCGACGCCGAATTCGTCACGCCCACTTCGCTCAGGAAACAGGGCAAGCAGCGAGTCCCAGAGATGCAGGAAACCCCTACCAAGGGCGGAACCTACCTACGCTACCCACCACGCGAAGACATACCCCAGAATCCTTTCGCCGACCCCGAGTCCGAGAACCCCTTCACAGCTCCCGGCGCCGAATATTCTCCTGTGCAGACGCCATTTGATGAGCCGATCTTGCAAACTGCCAGAGCTGTCAGGCTGTCTGCCGGCCGCTTGTCTCCACCCGCGTCTCCCGTCCCCAATGCTCAGCGCGAGATTCAACCCTCTCCCAGTCTGCCCGAGGTAGCATACCCGCCGTCACAAAGGACATCTAGTCATCCCGCTAGTTCTTTTGAATCTAGTCGACGCAGACCCTCCGAGAGTGGCAGCCGTCGTGTAGGCCCCAGTGCTTGGACTAACATTTTCCGCCGTGGCCTCAGCTCGAACCGCACATCCGAGGACAAGGCCCCATCCGAATTTTCCTTTGTCAATACATCTAGAGAGTCCATGTCAAAGCAACCCATTCCGGCCCATCTTGTCGGACCTCCATCATCACGTCAGGCCGGTGTACCCTCTCGCACCCAGAGCAAGTTCCGCGAAGATCTTCCCGAGCTGCCAATATCCCCGCCGTCGTCTCGTATGCAGTCGCCTGAACTGAGTATGATTACAGCCGGGGTTGTGACTGCGAGACGTTCAAAACGTGGTGTCGAAAAGCAGACGAAGCACACCGACCCCTCTGACCCCATCAGGAATGACTCTCCTGCAATTCTTGAAGACCGAGAGTCAACTGTTCTCTCTCAATCTTATGGGTCTGTTGATTCTGAGGGTAGCTGGATCAGTGGACGTCTGGTTAAACGCACATCACACACATCATATCCCCATAGTAGCTTGAGCTCTCTTAAGAAGGGAAAGCCCGAGTTCAACGGAAGTTTCGACCGTCTGCCTGTCCCGGAACATGAGTACTTTGCTGCTTTGACACCAGACAACGGCAGCCGCCGTGCATCAGTCGATCATGCGATTGAGATCACGCCGACAGCAGATCTCTCCCCCGAGGAGGCTGCACCCCTCAGACAAGCCACAGCACGCCGTAGACCAACGGTGGTACACAATGACCCTCGTTTTAAGTCTCGTGAAGGCCTTCTTACCGAATTCCAAGCCGCGGAGCCGGCAACACTATCTCGGGAGGATAGCCTCAGCAGTGATTCTGTCGAGTCTCCAGTGGAGTTGCACAAAGCGCAGAGCGTAAACTATGGTCGAATGCATGGCCATGGTAAAACACTCAGCGCTGGCAGCGCCAAGATGCTAGACATTGCGCCCAAGAGGAGCAAGAGCGTCAACACCCTACTTACAGAAGCGAGTCCCAGGTCGTCACCTCGCATCCCTCAAGAATAAGAGGGCCTGCATCAATCACCATCCTTTGAATCATCTCATTTGTTGTTTCTGCAGAGGCGGATTATCACGCAGAGCATGAAGTTATGTGCTTTCTTGCGATTTCCTCTTATGACCCCCATACACCATGGGAGATGTTTTTTGATACCCTATTTGAACTGCGAGCATGAATTGAAGAGCGATGTATTGGCTCTTTGCGTGGTTTTAGAGAAGAGTTTTGTTACGCCCGTCATAACAGAAGAGGGTCTGAAAGAGGATTACTTGTATACTACAGTGGATGTCAAGAAGAGATACAGCATCAAGACAGCTAAAGAAAGCATTGTTTTTCCACTACAAAGCACAATCTCAGACGTGAGTGGCTGACTCGCTCGCATATTCTTTGTCATGGTTCTGAGGGATGGTAGAAGCTGCAGAGCTGATAAAGCAAGCCTAGTGAGAAGTAGCCGTTACAGAAGATACAAGTGGCTGGAAGGATCGCGAAGGCGATTATTGATGTCGGGCGCACTTGGTGGTGACTCGTGAGATTGGGCGGGAATTGATCAGGACGGCATGTTCCGTGCGGTGGTGTTGGGCGAAAGGCGGCGGAGGGGCTGCTTATCAAAGCATTCGGCGGGTCGTCATTGTCTGTGTTGGTCACAGCATTCAGTCGAACTTCCACACCACAACAAGCTATATGTCCCTTGCCTCCACCACTCGTCGCAGCCTTCTTCGCACCGCAAGAAACACGTCGACCTTTTCCCTCGCCAGAACTACCACCAGACCCGCCGCGCTTTCGCAGCATCTCCTCAAGCCCGCTTTCTTCAAGCCCGCCGCAACCAGACACTTCACCGCTTCAATGGCTTCCTCCGGTGTTCACAACCTCCAGGCGTGAGTATTGGCCCGCCCTCACTTCAGCTCTCCACTCTCGTGCGCTCCACGTTTGTTGTGACACGGCAGCTGCATGCGCCATGTCACTGGAACTGAAGCTTTGAGAAATAGAGTGAAGCTTTAGATGCAAGAGCCGCGACTGACAGACACAACAGCAAGGCCGACTTCGACTCCGCTCGCGCTGAGACCGGCACCTTGATGGTCGTCGACTTCTTCGCCACCTGGTGCGGTCCCTGCAAGGCCATCGCCCCTCAGGTCGTCAAGTAAGCACTCCCTGCCTATTCCCGCTCTACTTCCCAAGACCCCACCACTAACGCGCCACACCAACAGGATGTCCTCCACATACCCCAGCGCCCGCTTCTACAAGATCGACGTCGACGAGGTCCCCGAGGTCGCCCAGGAGCTCAGCATCCGCGCCATGCCCACTTTCGTTCTCTTCAAGGACGGCCAGGAGGTCGCCACCGTTGTTGGTGCCAACCCTACCGCCCTCGAGGCCGCCATCAAGCAGCACGTTTAAATGCTATCTCTTGAAGAACTGCGTCGTATAGCCTAATGAGAAACAAAATACACTCATGACTTTTTCTTTTTTTTGCTTTGACATTCATCTCATGGTTTTTGTCGTCCTGGGTCTATTGGTCAAGTCCTATGTCTTTCACGCGACGGGGACAAAGGCGCCAGGCGAGCATGGCACTTGGTTGATGCACTTGTTGCATCAAGAGTTTGTTCAGCTCCAAGTTTATTGATTCAGCTTCGAGAGATCGAATGCGACATTTTAGGTCGCATTCACAATTGCTGAGTACACGAGCATATTCTTTGCATATTCTCTCATTCTACCAATCCCTCATTAGACCACATTATCACTTGCAACATTTCTTCGCTTCGGGCTTGCACCTTCCATCTTCTGATACCTCCTGACATATTCCACCCATTTTCCATTCGAAACCATGTGTAACCCACCCGATGAAATCTTATTGTGTGTGATAGAACAGCTAGACGAGAAGGATGAGTATTCAGCGACCACGTGGCTCGCTATTCTGCCACGATCGTTAAACCGCTTAATTCTACGCAATGTAGACGACAATGCTACTGCAGGTTACGAAGCTACAGGATGATGCTGATTCTTGCGATTGGATCATTTTGAGGATTGTGTAGAGCTGTGAGGCGAGAAGAGTCCTCAACATCGATTGTTATACCTACTGTCCTCCACGACTATCGATAGGGCGATGACAGGCTAGCGAAAGGCACAGTTCTTGTCTACATCGAAGGAGTCTGCGGAGGGAGCCGACGATAATATGCATCTTAGTAGACCTCTCTGCGCTCCGCAGAAAGTACTCTGCCTAGAGACAGTTATCAGAAATCAGTCATCCCCACAGGAGAGACTGAAACGTGTGCCCTCAACTGGTACATTACACTCTATGCCACCTTTCCTTAACGCACTTGCACAGCTGTTCAATGCTATCTTCCACATCACGTCTGCTTCATTCATAGCGTAAAGGCTCGGCATATCATCAATGCCAATGTCAACAATTTTGAGAAGAGAGAAGCTCTTGTACTCTCCAGCCAAGATGTGCAGATGCTTTCCAAATCTTTTGTCGGCCATACGGAAATAGAGGTCGTCGATAGACGGAGGTAGTATTGCAGCGAAAGAAGGCTCTGACTCTGCTGTCGGGTGAAAAAGGAATTCGATGTTGATCTCTAGCGCTCGAAGTCGAGTCAGCGAGCGAAGGTCGAAAGAGGCAGCTGGGATAATAGTTCCGCGGTAGGTGGCAGGCATGTGCAACTGGAACTCTTGCAGAGTTCCGGACATCTGATGCAGACACTTGAGAAGTGTTCCCAAGTCGCACTTGTCAATCAAGGGTTCTGAGTGGGACGGAAGCTTGATACGCAGGGACTCCAGTTTGCTGCAGGATTTGATGATAGACTGCAGATGCCTGTCGGGAAGAGTACATTCTTTCAAAGATAAATGGCGAATGTGCTCTAGTGGTAGACGAAAAGCATGTGAACCTCCGAATTGCGCCACTTCTCCAAAGATGGTGAGAGTCTCTAGTGACGGGATGCACATGACATCCTTCAAGAAACCGCTGTTCAGAAGTTTTTCTTCGGTTGTCAAGGTCAAAGATTTCAATCGAGTAAAGAACGGCAGACCTACAAGAGGGCTCTCTTGTCGGGCCCTGATGACCATGGTCGGTTCATTATCCAGGATTTCGGTCTCGCTTTTCCACGAGTCTGCATCAACAATATCGTGGCAGAAATCGTACAGATGGGGTCCGATGTTTCTATCTGAAACATACATCTCGAGTGCTGCAATATTTGGAAGGAGTGACAGTAAGAGAGTGACCTCTTCGCCGTGTTTCTTCTTACCCTCAAGTAGACATACCCTCCAGTAGCGTTGCCATAAGCACGAACGACGACGACGTGCGTCCTTGGGAGGTATATATTTAGCGCATATCGTTGCAAGCTTCTCGCTACCAGTGGCATATAGTTCACTGAGAGATTCCGATGTCTTTTCGCTCGAGCGATCTGGTAAATTCGCAAGTTTGAGGTAATCTACCTTGGCTGCTAGATCCGGTCGGTGTATCAAGGTCCTTAGGAACAGCTGGAGTCTTGTAATCGTTTTGTATCTGTAATCTTGCCGCCCCCGACATCTATCGTGATCATTCTCGTGCTCGATGTATGCTCTATATAGCATCGGAGTAGAGAGCGCACGGAGGACGTGTGATACCTGACAGACATTTGCAAGAGTTTTCGTTGTCTGTTTGTAATCCTCAAACTCTTTTTTCTGAGTGAAGCTGGACAGACTTGGCAAAGACTGTAGGATATACAACCAAATCTCGTCTGGAAGTTGTACCATTGTCGATAATCATGGCAATGATAGACAAAGCTCGCCAGAGATCCACGTGACGTCACATTTCGACGTGATATTTGATACTACGTGCTAAACCTGTCCCTTCCAATCTTGTCCGATAATCGAAGTAGAGCACCGACGAGCTGTAGAAAGGCACAGTAACATCGCATATAAACAAGACTGGTGCAGGGAGTTGGGGGAAGGACAGATCTCGATAACATTGCTGCAAGTCTGGGAATAATTGTGCTTTGACTCAGCTACAAGTGTGATAGTATTCTGCACGCGGAGAATTTCGCTACTAGCAAGTCTCCAAACGCAGTATGAGTCGGTCACTCAGGGCAGTAATTACTGAAGTTGGTCGAGTATTGCAGTTAAACACGTGTGAATATCAATGAGGAAATGGAAAGCGCGAGGTAGACTGTGCCGATCAACGTCAATCCGCAGCGCGAGCACGCCATCACAGAGACCCCTCAACCAATATAGACGGCGGCTAAAATGCAGGAACGAATGGCCGACATCGAAGTGCATGTCCGTCGAACTTTCTCTGCATTAGGCGGCTGACTCACATACTTCCACCATTTCTAACAGTCGAAGGAATCTGCAAGTCTGTCAACAAGCCACAATCGAAACTATCACTATGTCAGCCCAATTGACCTTAGAGTCGAAGCTGCCACTTCCATCAAGTGACGTCCGAATTCCCGTCCTTGGTCTGGGAGTTTGTGTGTCCTCAAGATGCGAACAATCAGTACTATCTGCACTTGAAAAGGGATATCGTAGTGTCGACACTGCTCAGATTTACTACAATGAGCGCGAGACCGGCACTGCTGTCAACAAGTTTCTGTCCCAGAATCCTTCGATCAAACGGTCAGATATATTTGTTTGCTCCAAGTTATGGGAGGTAGATCTCTCGAGATCGGATATGCCAACCTCATTTGATGAGCTGTGTAATTCCGGACCATGGCCGCTGAACAGTCTTGAGGCCGGTCATACAACCTATTCACGGGAAGGAGCGCTTGCGGGTATCAGGAAAAGTCTCGAAACCTCTGGCCTTGACTACTTCGACCTCTACCTCCTCCACAACCCTCGTCCTGGAGCTGCAGCACGCCACGAAGCCTGGCTTGGTCTCCAAGAGGCCTTCAAGTCTGGTAAAGCCAAAGCCATCGGTGTCAGCAACTGGTCCCCTCAGCATATCGACAACCTCATGGCTCACTCAGATGTCGACATCTTGCCCGCTGTGAACCAGATCGAGTTCCACCCTTGGAACCAACAACGCGTCATCTTGGACTACTGTCGCTCAAAGGGCATCGTAGTAACAGCTTATTCGCCCCTGACACAGGGAAAGCGTCTTGGCGATCCTGTCATCAAGAAGATTTCTGAGAAGCATGATAAGACCGCTGCTCAAGTTGTCCTACGCTGGTGTTTGCAGATGGGCATCTCAATCATTCCTAAAAGTGATCGTGATGCTCGCATCGCAGAAAACGCAGACCTGTTTGGTTGGTCGCTGCATGACGAGGATATGGCCCAAATTGAGACGCTGGACGAAGGTCAAAAGGGAAACATTGGAGAGTGGGATCCATTCGCTTATGAGTAGGAAATAGCTTGTGGCGTTGTCGATAGGAAAAGCAACAAAATATCTCGACATTCGAGCCCTTGACACAAGTTACAACATCCTATAGAATAGGTAGTCTAGAAATGATGACCAAACCTCAGAAGAAGGTTAGGCATTCTATGCTAGCACTACTGACACTTTTCTACACTTCGTGTTCTATCCTACTAGATTGCTGTTGATCCTATCATCTATATTAACCCGTGCTTTTCCGCGCTCACATCTCCATCAGTACTGGAATCTAAAGTCCAGTCTCTTGTTGCCGTCCTTTTCTCTCTCAGCCTGATCAGATTGATAGGTCAATTTCTCTTCCGTGCTCATCTGAGACCACTCTCTTTCCTTTCGTCGGTTCAAAAGACGCAGATACTCGCGTTGGGCAACGAAGACCACCAGAGATAAGGCGCAGATGGAGACAAGAACCTTGTTACCGCGATAGTAGTAAGGCGCATCGTCTTTGCGATAGATCTGAGAGCTCATGATCGAGCCGATTTGTACAATGACGTTGTAAGTCGCAGCAGAGATGGCTCGCTTTTTGACGTCGAAGGTATTCTCACTGATCCATGCGACGACGATTGGATGGAAGTAAGGATAGCCACTGATGAGTGTCGAGATGGAGAAGCGACCCCAGTTGTTGCCGCCGGCAGGCAGAGCGAGCAGTGCGATGAGCAACGGCATGACGAAGAATTCTCCGAAAACGCAATGCCAAGTACGCTCGAGGAAGTGGTTACTGCTGTAAGCCAACCCAAGCATCAAGATAATTTGCAGAACCGCCGATGGGATTGTAAGCATGTTGGAGTCGAATGTCGAGAAACCGAGACGCTTGAGTGTGAGCGAGAGGTAGCCGCTGACAGGAGCTGCGGGTACATAGGCGATCAGTCCGATGAGGTATAGTCCCCATGTTGAGCTATCTTTCCACGTGTTGATGATGTCACGCATGGTAGCAGGCTCTTGAATAGCTGTCAATCCCTTGGCAGGATCGTCTCGCAAGATGCGGTTCACAAGAATGGTTTCTTCGCGCTCGTTGAACCATCCTCTGCGCCACATGACACCCTTCGTGCGTGTAGGCGAATGAGGCAGGTAGAAGTAGCTCATGAGACCAATCACGAATGTCAAGAGACCTTCTAGGAGGAACAGCCAGACTTCAAAGAGTTAGCGACGTTTGGGAAATGGAGATGACTTGACTTACACCAGCCAGGACGATTATGGACACCGCGCATGTTGAGAATACCTGCCGCCAACAGAGCGGATATGACGCGAGCAATGTTAAGAGTCGACCAGAAACATGCCAAACGCACTGAAAGCTCGGCAGACTTGTAGAAGTAAGATGCAAAGAGAATGGTACCGGGAATGAAACCACCTTCGAATAATCCGATCAATGCACGGCAGATGTAGAAACCGGTCTTATCGGTCATGAAGGCTTGGAAAGCTGAAACTATTCCCCAGCCTATCATCATCAACGGTAGGATCTGCTTGAAGCCATAGCGTTTGATCAGAAGCTGTACAGGAAACTCTGCTGCTAGGAAGCAAACGAGTTGCACAGTGGTACCCTGGGATGATTTAGTCAAGGCATAATCGAACTTGAGCATTTGATCTTACGTTGTTGTAGTCGTCCGTGGTCAGACCCAGATCCGGTAGCATGTTATCAGTCAGAGCGTTTCCAATATTACCGCGATCCAGCTGAAGGCCGAAGAACATCAAACAGAGCCAGGATAGCAGATAGAAATCGACCTTTCTCACAACCTTGGCCTCCTCCTCGGCAGACCATTCCGCCAACGGATCCCAGCGGTGAGCACCCTCGTAAGACTCATGAGGACGTAGGTCAATATGATCTCTGCCAACCTGAGCGGTAGGCTTCAAGTCCGTTTCCACTGTGGAGGCAGCATAGAGAGCCGGCTTGATTGTAGAGTCGTCCATGGCTTAGTGAGATATCACGGCGAGTGACTGGAAGAGACTGCAACCTACCGGCATATTCTACGAGGGCGCGTACATTTTATATCATAGTTCGCACCGATCAGATCCAGAGGCCTCGGTCATTTGGCTCAACGGAATGCCTGAGTTGATCACGTATGTTCGGAAGCGAGAGTCCGGGCGGATCCAATGCAGAAAACGGCACTCCTTCACTCTAGAATACTGATGGAATCTCGCTTCCAAGAACATCTGTGGATGTTCAGCAATGACTTTGGGAGAAGTGTGGCGCGTTTGGTAGATTACTGCAGTGAGTTGTGAGGGGAAGCTTAGGGCTTGGCGGCTTTCGCAAGAGTACAACCTGATGTCGCCATCGACTAGTCCGGCAAGATCATCACCAAGATGCTTCTTCCTCCAATGAACAGAGTCGCATATGTTTTGGGCAAGAGAAATCGCGGTTTGTCGCTTGTCTTGGTCGATTTCGGCCTCGTGTCAGGGCGTTCTACGATCACACGTTGCGCTACCGGTTATTTTATGCTGTCCATGGTGGGGCATCATTGCCCGGGCTATCTCTTACCTTTCCAGACGGTCGTGTCCGACAGTAGCATCCGAGGGGGACTCTTCTGTTTAGATATAAAAGCTCTCCGGTTAATTTTCCTGGGCTTGCATCCGTAGCTTTTTTGAGACGCTTTTTCGTGTGACCAGATTGTTAACAAGACACCACACGTACAACATGCCTGGAAACATCATCCCAGAAGTACTGGACGTGCCGTTGCCGAGTGAGGCTCGCACTCGTCTTACGAAGCCTTTGGAGTACAGCGGCCTGTTGGACACATACCAAAACTCGGACTTGACTCCGGTGATTGGTCGTGAATACCACGGACTTCAAGTGGCAGACGTACTTGCTGCGAAGAACAGTGATGCCTTGGTTCGAGACATTGCCGTTACCAGTGAGTCCATGATTGCTTGATCCGAAACAATTTCGAGTTCTGACAATGCTGGATATAGTCTCGCAACGTGGTGTGGTTTTCTTGCGTGACCAGGATGTAACGCCGCAGCAGATGCAAGCATTCATGGAGCGCTTGACAACTCTCGCTGGTTGTGTAAGTGTCCAATCTTGGTTTAGCAAGAAACCCTTAGCTGACTAGCATGATAATTAAGCCCGAATCATCTGGTCTCCATGTCCATCCTCTGACAGAGGAAGGCAGCGAGCTTGGTGACCAAATTAGCGTCATCAGTTCAGAGAAGCAGAAGAAGGGCGGTGGTCTTACTCACCAGCTGAGTGACACCACCCGTCTGGCCAGTGCAGGATGGCACTCCGACATCACCTTCGAGCCGGTGCCTTCTGACTACGCAATGTTGAAGATCCATACGCTACCTCAAACTGGAGGAGATACAGTAAGAACTCGTGACCTCTGCATCAGAAACGATTGCTAACAATGCTCAGCTTTGGGCATCTGGCTATGAGGTCTATGACCGCCTGTCTCCTGCGTTAGCGACGTTCCTTGAGGGACTTACTGCGACGCATGAGGCCAAATTCTTCCATGAAGAGGCTGCTAGACTAGGCAACCCACTCCGCACAACCATCCGTGGCTCACCGCTTAACCAAGGACCGGCGTTAGAAGCTGTCCATCCTATCATTCGTACCAACCCGGTGACAGGATGGAAGAGTGTCTACGTGAATCGCGGTTTCACACGTCGTATCAATGGCGTAACGAAAGACGAGTCCGACGTCCTTCTACAATATCTTTTCAATGTAAGCATGATACATGAGTGTACGTGATGATAATCTTGGCTAACATGAATAGCTTGTCACACAAAACCACGATGCTCAGGTCCGTTTCAAGTGGAATAAGAACGACCTCGCCATCTGGGATAACAGATCAACGTGGCACACTGCGACTTATGATTATGAAGCTGCAAGAGCGGGCGACCGGGTCTGCTCGCTGGGAGAGAAGCCATTCCTTGATCCTGCCTCAAGTAGCAGAAGAGACGCCTTGCGCTTTTCCTAGATAAATTCCATGGCTGCTCAATGACGAATTACGAAGTGAGAACATTGTGGGCATTGGCTCTGTGCACGGTGTGCAACCCAACGCGTCGTGATGCTCGTAGGCGGCTTGTTCATCACCTTCGCCCACAATTCGGGAGCTGCACAGCAGCATATGAGTGTAGCTAGGTCGTACGTTGAACTCCAAGCGAGTTGAGAGTGCTGACGAGGGTGTCAACTCGATGATATACGTGCTGCGTCGATGTGTCGCACAGGATCATCGTAGAGGTTTTCGGCAGGCTTCGACCCCGACTTCGCTTGGTTCCCGTGACTTACTTTTCCGTCGACTTTGCCGAAGAATATTATCTAGCCACTTCGTTCGGCCAACATGCCACCTCTTCGTGCATTTACTTTCTTGTATAGTAATGTAAATTTGTCACGTTAGCTACAGAGCCTCAACTTTACTGTGCTGGCGATGCTGTAGGAAGTGACAAGTGCCCGCGGCGAATACGGAAAACATCTCGCGGCAAACTATCAACGCCCTTTGAATGACAAGTGGTGACTCAGCTATGGGTTCCTGCATTTCATCTCGATTTTCTATTTTTGCGTAATTTGAAGCATTGCCAAAGAGACTACCATCTTCTGGACCCTACTGCAGCAGGACCTGCCGTCTACTGGATCGCAGCGAATTTCGAAGATTGGATTTTTGTTCTTCCATCGTCTCACGAAGTCTAGGGATTACGGGAGATCAGCACTAGGATACACGAACGACAAAAAGGCCTCCTTCTATGCCGTCCATTCTCGATCGCTGTTGAAGACACATACAACTTTCAGGCTGACGCTCTGGATACAATGCACTGGAAGGAACAATTCAATGGAAGTGTAAAGCATTATTGTATCATTATCTATACATGGAAGTGAAGGGATATCTTTTTTCATCAACGACATGACCGAACTCGCGCTTAAGCGATCCAGTACCAGATCTTCTGGAGGATGTTCTTGGGGATCTGCTCTTCCCAAACTTCGGCATCCATAGCAGCCTTGCCCGACCAAATGTCAGCCTGAGCAGGCTTGACGAAGGATTCGCGCTTGAAGAGCTTCCAGAACAGGTAGAGAGCGAAGTAGATGGGGATACCGATGTAAGCGGTGATGAAGTCATCGATGCTCCAGTTACCCGAGGTGAAGACTGCAAATCCGTTGAACAGCAGAATCATGCAGAAGTATACCAAAGCGAAGTATGCAGTCCATGGTTGCCACTTGCTCTTCATGACCAAGCTGTTACGGTCGACACCTTGAGCAATCAGAGCCTTGCGGAACTGAATGTAAGCGATCAGGATGTTGATCCAGGTGATGAGGTTGGCAATGGAACACAGGTTCTGGAACCAGTTGAATACGGTGCTAGCACCAGAGCTGACACTCATGTAGGTAAGGAGCGAAATGGAAGCGGTGAGGAGAACGGCGTAGTAAGGAACACCAGACTTGGAACACTTAAGGAAGACCTTGGGTGCTTGGCCGTTCTGTGCAAGAGCGAAGAGGTAACGCGAGCCACTGAACAAGAAGGCGTTGGCAGACGAAGAGGCGGATGTAAGGATGACTGCGTTAATGATGGATGGCAGGGCGGGAATACCAGCGGACTGGATAGCGATGACCCAAGGAGAGCTCTTAGCACCGACACCGCCAGCAGTCAAGTCAGGGTTGTCAGAGCGGACAGTAACACCGATGGCAAGCGAACCAAGGACGTAGAAGAACAAGATACGCCAGAAGACACGACGAACGGCCTTGGGAATGTTCTTTCTGGGGTTCTCGGCTTCACCAGCAGCAACAGCAACCATCTCGACACCACCATACGAGAAGGTGGCGTTGATCAAGGTGGCGAAGAGTCCAAGGAAGCGACCAGTGTCGGCCTTAGCAATGTACTCCTTCATACCACCCTTGTCGGGGTGAACCCAGTAGCGGAAGCCGAGGCGTCCCTGCTTGGGTGCACCACCAAGGTCGATGACAAGAGCGACAAGGAGCAGGCCAACAATCGTCACAATCTTGATACTGGCGAAAATGAACTCCGCTTCACCGTAGATGGATACGGCAAAGATGTTCAGCGCAACAACAACGACAATGATGATTGTAATCCAAGCAGCTTGGTTGATGGTATCGTTCCAGTATCCAATGACGACGGCGGCAGCAGAAATCTCAGCACAGAGAGTGATGGCAGAGTTGTACCAGTTGTTCCATCCGACAGCAAAACCCATGGCTGGGTCGCAGTAACGAGCACAGTATTGAGGAATAGCACCAGGAAGAGGCAACCAGGTCGCCATCTCACCGAGACATTGCATCATGGCCCAGATACTAGACGTGGGAGGTACAATTAGCATCTTCCTTGCAGTCGAAGCAGAAGCGCCTCTTGGATGATTGGTACTTACGCGATACCAGTGAAGGTGTAACCAAGAAGGACAGAAAGAGGACCAGAGTGGGCGAAAGCCTTGCCGATACCGAGGAAGAGACCTGTACCGATAGTACCACCAAGGGCGATGAACTGGATGTGGCGCGACTTCAGGCCACGAGAGACGTAACCAAACTGCTCGGCAGTCTCAATGTCACCATAGAGGTCAGCAGCCTCGCCAATGGCAGTCGAGCCACGGCGAGGTGCCTTCTCGTCAGAGTGGGCATCGCCAGAGTCGACGACATATTCAGGCTTCTCGGAGGCCATGGTGTCGTGGGTGTTTCCGGGAACGAATGAAGAAGATATGAGGAGTGGGTCAAGGGGGAGAGTCGGTGCTCTCGAAGTCCCTTGTAGGTAAAGAAGGACGAGGAAGAGATGCGACAATTACTGATGAGCAACAAATTGACCTTGACGTGGGAGCACACATACTCTTATATGTTGTATGAGAGGCTCTCAATCAAGGTCGTGTGCTCCGTGTGCCTCCGCATGTTGCATTCGAGGGCTGTCTCCAAAGTCTACCGGGCCAGGCCTCGACCCAAACTCAAACCATTCTAGCTGCTTTTTAGCGGCAAAGGGACTGATAGTGGCACATCCAACAGACCACTCAGGACGCGTCCTTCAATCTTTGCTTATTGTTGGTATCATGGATTCTGTCCTGACGATAGGAAATTGGTCTCTGTTCGCGACTTGGCCAGCAAGATTCTGGTTAAGCTTCTCTGACATTGTCGCCCCTGCCGCCATGGAAGAGTTCTAGAAACTGTACAGGCACATACCAAAAAAGAAGTCGAAATTCACGCAGACTTTCGGCAAGCAGCCAGATCTTGCGACGATCCCTCAGTGTGAGGTTCTGGACATCCGTTCGCAGTTGGATACACTCCTCTGAGATCAGGCCGACCCCATCTGAGCGCCCACGAGGGAGCCCCGGATAACGAGCAATCCATTACCCTCTCATTTCACAATTCGAAGGGGTAATGGAAACAACTTCGTGGCTCGTGCTGTCGCGCCCGATCTCCATCGACCAACCTCGCGGTCTCGAAAAAGAGGGTTTTCGTGAAAGACGTTGCCCGGCAATATTGCCCTTTCTGTCCTTTGTGTGCTTATTTGAGAGCTTGTTCAGATGCCGCACAAGCCACAAACATTAGAAGCTCGCTTGGCTAACCAATTGTATTGTGCACAGCGCTGTAAGCTTTGCATGGGCAGCCTCGAGGTCACCTTCGGTCGCCGCTGATCGATCATTCAACAACAAGCTCTTCTTGTGACTTCGACCAAGACAACCGCCATAAGGGACCACGATAGCTGATGCCACATCAGGTCACTCGATCGTACAAGTCTATGCGCATGATTCGCTGGTACTTCATGCGACTTGCGATAACACTCTCGGTCACTCCGTTGAACCACGCGATACGTATTCGTACTTGATTTACACAAATCGGATAGCCGTTCGGGCGCAATGGGAGGCGCTTCAGCGCAAACTTGGCTTATCTTTTCCCGAGTCAAATGCGCACCATTCAGCAGGGTAAAGTCTCACCTTTCAATTTGTGATCGCTAAAGGCAATATTTGACGAGGAGAGTCAGGGACCATGTCAAAGGCTCGATCTTGGAGCCAAGAGAATGGGGAGCAAGTTGCACGTACGCGATTTACGTTGATCGAAGCCTAGCGATAAGAGCATGTGATATGGCTTTTCATTCGGTCCGCCTTTCTCAACGCAACTGTACATTCTCTCTGAGTACCACTGGTATCGCCACATCGGTCTCGGACAGTTCTCTCGTTCTTTCATCCTCGTCGTGACGGCCTACCGGCAACATGATGTCGTCGTCGGCGAGCTAGCGACCCCAGAAACGAGGCAGCGTCAGAGCTCAATGTTTAACCCCGCCTGTGTGACAAACGAAATCTCGACCATGAGATGCTCTGACACATATTTTCCAACCTCCTCACGTTCTCCCCATGGGGCAGCGTGACAGGATCAACGAGGCGCAGAGAGCGGCTCTCCGTGTTGGTAGACTCGATCGACAGGAGTTCAGAAAGCGGTCACCTGTTCTTGATTAACGCAATAGCCCCGTTGGCTTACCGTAGGTGTATACCATCGCAAGACATCCTCACAGCGTGTGAGAGGCGCCTGGCGACCGGCGACCGCACATTGACAACACCGTCCTCCGACACCGGGATGTAAGAGCAGCCCGGCTTCAGAACAAATGCGAAACCCGCAGCAGCCGATATATGCCGCCGCCTTCGATTTGCGACAACGAAGCCACCATTTCTACAGGCAATCGAACACCCAGCAGCGAGTACGAAACGGAAAACATAGCAAAGCCATGATGCTTTGCGATGACGAATCATTCTAGAATATACTTCTGAGTTTGGGTCATGCGCCGTGCACAATTGGAGAGCATGGCTGCAAAAGAGGAGGACATAGTGCCAGGCACTTTAGCTGAAAGTCGCATAGAACACTTTCGAAGAATACCCGTCTGTCATGCAGAGATACCCAACCAGGAAAACGCTCCGAGTCCGTTCATGGATATCGGTGCGCTGATTGGGGACATGCCTCGTGAGAATAGAATGTCTAGCTGCGGCATGCGAAGGCACATCTAGTAAGATGCGGCAAATGCCGTCGGATTGTAATGCAGAAATAAAGACTGTCGATCTGCCGAGCGGGAAGACAGCGAGTGCATGATCATTGCAGGAACGGGTAATCGTATCTCATCATCAGCATCGCTCTTTCCTCATGGAGACTTCAGCAGAAGGAAATCTTCGGAAGAAGCTTGCAACTGGCCCAGCTTCGCACGAACATCCTCCGCCATCTCATATTCCTCGCATCCTTATTAATCTTTACCTTTCTGTCAGTTCGTCATGAGCGGCACAACTGGAGGAGTCGTGACAATGACTGCAAACCATCTGGATGGAGCACCTGTACCACCCCCTCTCATCACCCAGAAGCTTTTCATCGAGCTTCACCCTACCGTCATCGAGAAAGACAACTCTATCCATTCAGAGCATGGTGTGGTCCACTACCCCTTCTGGTTTGGAGGGCTGGCAAGCTGTGTCTCGAGTTGTTGCACTCAGCCTTTGGGAGTTGGTAAGCACCTCGAACTTCATACATTGACTTTCCAGGAGCTAACGCAGTCCAGCTGGTGTAAGCTTATGCCATAGTATACAAACTTCGTACGACACTCTGACACTCTGTAGCTCCGTCTACAAACACTCCATCATGACGCTCCACAGCTGGGTATGCTTCGAATCTGGCGCGAAGTATGGATGCACGAACGCTTCCTAGGGCTCTAGAAAGGCGTGAGTCGACGTTTGTCACTGATTGCGAACATCTACTGAAACTTCACAGTTGAGCGCTTCGCTCACACGAACCTTCTTCTACTCCGGTGTTCGTTTTGGAATGTACGAGAAGCTGAAGGAGATGGGCAGCACGTCGACACATGCGCCCTCAGGTCTCGCGCTTGCTCTCATGGCTGCATCTTCAGGCTTCACCGGCAGTGTGTGCAGCAACTTCGCCGATGTCATCTGTCTTCGCATGCAGGCCGATCCTGGTCTACCCCCTGAGTTGCGTCGCAACTACCAGAATATCGCCGACGGTCTGCACAAGATGGTTCGTGCTGAAGGATGGAACAGCATCTGGACTGGCGTCTGGCTCGGAGCGGGCAGAGCAGCCATTGGCACTGCCACACAATTAGCCGGATACGATATTGTCAAGCGTGAGATGATGAAACGAACCTCGATGGGCGACAACATTCCGACCCACATCACAGCCAGTTGCCTTGCAGGCTTCTTGTCCACCTTCATCTGCAGCCCTCTAGATGTCTTCAAGGCTCGTTTCATGACTCGCAAGTCCTCTGCTCACAGTATGTCGGTCATGCTAGAGCGCACTTTGAGGAACGAAGGTGTAGCTTGGATGTTCAAAGGCTTGACACCCGCTCTGATTAGCAGAGCACCCTCCACTATCATCACCTTTGTTACTCTTGAGCAGCTGAGGAAGGTCTATCGTCACATGCACGGTCTGCAGGAGTAGGCGCACTACACATGACCTGAGCTATATCCTAGGATGGTAGTCAGAGTCATGCTGCTGAACCCTAAATTTTCTTCAATCGAGTTACACCTGTCATGCACTTCATTGGATAGAATGTGTTTCTTAAATGCTCTCTGTGACTGGGTCAGAGATGAACGAGATCCAACATGGATGCCAATTGCTCTTAGGAAATAGTAGCAGAGAGCGCATCTATCGAACCAGGCCACCTGGACCAGGGGCAGATCACACGACACTTCGGTAGGTTACGTAAATATCAAAGCGTTCATCGCACTCAGGCTAGGATCAGGGATGACAGCGACGGTGCTTACTTTGCTGCCATGAAAGAAGACGTTTCAACGCGAATTAAACATAGTTCAGGGGGGCTCGAGCTCTTTTAATCTTTACATTGCTAATGATATCTCTGAATGTGCAACAGTTTCCCTACTTGATGCTCTTCAACGCTCGTAGCCAGGAGCTCTTGCGGCTGTATGATTGCACAGTCTTGTTCCAGGAGGCTTCAGTCGTGAGTAGACAGCTGTCGAATGCTACGCTCGCAGGAGGCTTGAAGCTTATTTGAAAAGCATTGTACATGTCTGCAGCGTAACCTAGAAACGACCTTGTGTGACGGATCTGCCGCGGATTTGAGCGTCCGGGTTATGTTGATCGCTAGTCAACATATCCAGGGGGCATCTATCAGCAGGATTGGACGCTTGGGCTCGAGTGGAGCGAGTAGGGTAGCGTTCATCAGGAATGTTATGTCTCCAGATCTTCGTACCATTACACGCAAGGCAGAAAGTGGCCCTGAGCACTGGTGCAACGCGTAATCGACCTATATCGCGGCCGCAGCGACAGGGCACGGCATAGTTGTTCTGAGCTCGTATGTTTGTCCAAGCAGGATCGACATGTCTACGCTCGCCGCCAGTAGAAATTCCCAGCGTGTTGAGCCAATCTTTGTTCTGATCGGCTGTGATCTTGCGGGAGTCCAAAGCATCTCGCATACACGTAAGGCTATCGAAATTGAGTTAGCTCTCGCTCGAATCCATGACCTTGTGACTAATGCTTACCAGTAATGTGGATGAGTTATGAATCGCTTGCGGCACACACAGCTGTTTGTAAGGCGATCTTCGACATGCTCGGTGTTCTCGCCTAGTGTGGCGGTCGCATAGACATCATCGGCTTCACAGCGTCTGAAATGTGCAATTGCATCCCTGACGCAAGGTTCGCAAAGCAACGACTGAGTTGTCTCGAGGCAATTGTGCCCGTTGATGTGAACGTTGTTACGTAAATCCCATGTCCCGGTAGCCGGATTTTGCTGATAGATGAGTTGGCCGAATGTATCGAGCATCTCGCGTCGAAGGCCGAACCCTTGTGGTTGATCGTCCAGGATATTTTGCCAGCAATCGAGACACACAGTGTAGTCACCATTGTGATGCATTGGATTGTTCAGATGGTTATCCTTGGGCTCATCATCACATACCATGAAACCTGGTTCAAATCCAGGGTCGGCTGTGCAGAAATGTCCTTGGAGGTTGTCTTGCCTGTGGTTGCATCTGTTTGCTGCCATCTTGAGACGAAATGCTGGCGTTCGAGGATCTGTTCTTGAAGGTCGCTGCTATAGGGATAAAACTCCTTCGTTGCAAAGGTTCCGCATCACCTCGAGGTTGGCGACAACAAAGGGTACGCACCCGGATCCGGAGTCGAAACACGTCTTTGTCTGATAACGAGATTGACGACGCTTACCTACCTGGCAGAAAAGCATGACTGATGAACACGTTTCTCTTGCGCTAGAATCTATTATGCCTGCGGCTATACCGATACACGATGCTTTTTGTTTTCGAGTCGGTTCGGTCGAGGGTGCCGCAGACAACGGCCTATCAAGTGGGCCATTGGGCTGATACAAACACTGGATATATAGAAGTCATGCTAGTAAGAGTTCTGAGTTCAGACGGAGAAGTGTGAATGGCAAAGTGATACAAGGAGATGGTGAAGATGATGCTTCCTCCCCGAGTACTGGCGTTTCTCACGCTTAGAGCTGTCTTGAAGAACAATGCTTTCACTGTAGCGAATCTTCCATAGACAAACCGTCTGTCTGGCTTCTTGTGATCTCCTTTGATCTAGAAGATCTAGAAGATGATTGTGCGGTTCTAGAGCTCGTTGTCGCCCTCTGTCGTCAAAGTGGAGAGTGGGAGTTACAAATTCCAGCACACGGCCACTCTCAATATTACCAGCCACATCCCGATCTCCAGCCACAAGGCCCGATGAAGGGCCGTGCGCGGTGGCTCACCACTTTGCACGTTGCGGCAACTTCGTTGACACGCTCGTGCAACGACCAATCTACACAACTATCGGGCTCGGGTCGTCTTACTTCCAATGTCGGCAGGTCTTGGTGTTAGCGAAACGAACTGCAATGAATGCCGGCGCCGAAAAGGAAAGTGCGATCGCGCGTTGCCAGAATGCACTTCCTGCTCTCGCAATCGACGTCATTGCCTCTACGAGAAGGCGGAGGGTCGAACTCCTTTGACCAGAAAGAATCTCACAGAAGCCGAAGAAAAGTTAAGGCGTGCTGAGATGCGAGCTAGAGTGGCCGAACGCAGAGCAATTGCAGCAGAAGAAAGGCTTGCTGCTCTCATGCACTTGAGTGAAACCCATAACACTTCTGTACCTGAAGTTTCGCTTCAATCGCTTGGCTCTGCCGATAGAATGGTCATTGGCGGAACAGGGACTTCGGTCAACCCTAATATACTTGAGCCGCAACTCTTGGACGATGATCGTCACCTGGATGATGGCTACCATGGTATACCAGAAGAGCCTCCTTCAGAAGGGGACGACTTCAGCTGGGACGAGATTTCCCGCGTAAACAGAAGCGACGCTATCGACGTCTCGAAGCAGCACGAGACGCCCACAGATGATAGAAACGAAGACGTCGTAGATGGCATGGCCTCACTCACAGTGGAGGAGCGTGGTGCAGGTTATCTGGGTACCTCATCTGGTGCTGCGATGTTGCGATTGCTAATGCCAGACGCTGAGCCACGAAATCCCGCTAGACCACGACGGAAGACAACCACTGAAGATTCCATCCAGGATGACAAAAGTCTAGCTTATGAGGAGCTCGGTCTGACTGAAATTGATCTCGACTCCGCCATCAACGCGTATTTTGGATCCTACCATGTCCAATATCCCATGATACACGAGCCAACATTCCGGGCGCAATACGCGCAAATCATTCCGCGCCCAAATGGCCTAGCTTTTGAGGCACTTGTCTACATGCTAGGTGCTATTGGCCTGTTCTCGACAGCGACGACGGCGGACGCAAAGAGTAACGACGACCTCAAGCTTTTCGAGGCTGCCAAACTAAACATCAAGATTGACGTGTTAGAGAAAGGCAACATCACTCTATTGGAGGTGTTAGCGCTTATGTCTAATTATCTACAGAAGCGAGGAAAGCCAAACAGGTTCGTAGCTTGATCTTATCTTCCGGCTACTGCGAAGGGCAAAAGGACACCTGTGCTGATATTCAACACAGTGGTTACAACTACTTAGGACTTGCTTTACATATGGCTATGGGTCTTGGATTGCACAAAGAGTTCGCTAATTGGAAACTGCCTCCTCTAGCTATCGAGAACAGGCGTCGTATCTGGTGGACGTTGTACAACTTGTTTACCGGGGCTCTCGTGACGTTTGGACGACCTTGGTCTTGGCCAGACAAAGGCATAGAGACATCTCTACCGCTTAATATCCACGATCGGGATCTTACTAATATCACACAATCATGGCCTGAGAATCGACAAACCATCACGACATACACGTTCATGCTTGCACAGGCAAAATTCCATCAAGCGACCGCTGAAGTTTACACACGAGTCATCTCTATTCCCTATCCTGCCGCTTCCGAGCTACTGAGTCTTGACGATGAGCACTTGGGCAGCTGGCTTCGCAATCTTGGCCCGTGGTACTCGGCAGACGCCCGAGTGCCTTCGAAGTTTGCGCTTGGTCACCATATCATGCACAACAGGGCCCGAAACTTCAGGATCATCATGTATCGTCCGTTTGTCATCCGGAGTGTCTTGAGCGCGGCGAGAGGCATGGATGGATTGGGTCCTTCGCCGGCCGAACAGACCGCAATCGACCGATGCCTTGACGAAGCGAAGGCAACCATCTCCTCAATTCGCACGTATTGGTCGAGTCTAGACCATGGTAGATTGGCCGCTTGGTACTCTCTGTGAGTTCAGAAACGACAGCTCTCAGCTACGTGCTCGTCGTACTAACTGTGATTAGTTATTTTATTTTCCAAGCTTCGTTGATACCGTGTCTGTGCTTGCGCAACCAGCCAAATGCCATCCTAGCCTCGGATTGGCGATCGCAAATTCAGCAAACGTTGTCTGTCATGACCGAGATGAATTCGGTCAACCCGAGCAGCATCGAGTGTCAATCTGTCATCATGCGTCTTTGTGGCCAATTTCTCAGCCCAATCACGTCTGCGTCAATCTCTGGTTTTGCTCCTTTAGCGGCCACCGAAGAAAGTCCTCAGACTCAGATTAACAATGTCTACTCTATGATGTGGCCTAACGCTAGTCCCGCCAGTACTGACTTGCTCATGAGTGATTCTCAGTGGGGATTCATGACGGACCCGGGACACGTTGGTCTAGAATCTCTACCATCTAATTGGGATTGGACATAGAGAATGTTGATACGGTTGGCTTTACAGGTACTCTCCAACAAGAATCAGACCCGCTCGATCTTCTCAGTGGCTTCGACTTCATAGCCCTTTTTGATTTCTCTCTCACTTTCTTCCACATCTCGTGTCGATTGTGGACCATCGAAAATCTGAGCAATTTCTTCCAAGGAATGACCTTTGGTTTCCGGGAACGTAATGTAAGTGACTACGAGGATCACTACGAGGAAACAACAAAAAACTATGTAGAACTTCCAGCCGAGGTTCTCGAGACCAATAGGATTGGTGAATGCTGCAATGACCAGCGAGATGTAGATTGATAGGAGCTCGCAAGTCAATCCCTTACTACGAAGGCCGTATGGCAATATTTCGGTCGAATATGACATTAGCAGTGGGGTGTAAGCAATGTCGTAGTGGTAGTAGCTGCCGTGGTTGGTAAGCGATGCACGTATACGGACAGCGCGAAAGACTTACAATGTGAATAGACACACGATCACGACGATGCCTGCGGGTTTGCTTCCATCAATACTGTTAACAGCCGAGCATGCGGTCCAAACAATGTATGAGACCAGCATTCCGAAGCCAGACCAGATAAATAGTGTACGACGACCGAGGCGGTCGACAAGGAAGGCTGCGGATAAAGCGGCTGCGAAGTTGAAAATCTGAAGCAAGCCATTTATCAAAGTCTGGGTGAAGGAGTCTGTAATACCAACGCTGTTGAGTACTAGCGTAAGGTAGTAAGACACAACACCGATGCCGTTCCATTGTGCAGCAGCACCGAGGAAGACGACGATGAATAGTCGTTTACGGTTGCCTGGAGTCTCGATCAACGCTCCCCAACCTGGTGTTTTGATCTCTTTCTCCATTCGAATTGCGTCGACAATCTCGCTCATCTCGCGAACGACCAAAGGACTGTCAATATCTCCACCAGCATGGTACTTTGCTAGAATGGCCATAGCTTCTGGTGCTCGGTCCTGCGCAATCAACCAACTGTGCAATGAGTCAGTTGATAGTCGTCGAGTCTTGTGCCACGGAAGACTCACCGAGGCGACTCTGGCACCCACATCCAGAATGCTGCTTGGATCAAAGGGTATGCCGCTTGCATGATGGTCGGAATACGCCATGCCCAATTGCTCTGAATACTCTCGCAGCCAAAGCATGTCCAGCTGGCAAGAATTGCTCCAAGATAATACATTGTCCAAAAGGCGCTCGTGTATTTGCCGCGGTGAGTCGGGTAGGCGAGCTCAGCGATGAGCATGGGTGCGGGCTGTACAACAAGCATTCCAGCGGCGCCTACTACTAAGCGAGACACGACAAGCTGAGCGCGTGTCGTTGAAGTCGCTTGGATGACTGTTGCCAGTACAACGCCAATGATACCACCAAGAAGAACTATTCTCCTACCCCAGCGATCGCTCGCCCAGCCGACAACTGGCAGAACAAGGACCGAGCCGATGGACTGGGCAGCGTTGATCAGCCCGAGTTTGGTTCCCACTGGATTTCCAAAGTAGCCTCGCCACTGTGGAAGAGACTGAAGACCATTCATGAGTGATCCTTGTTTCGTTAGCTGCATGGCCTGTAAAAGAGAGCTTAGGAAGCATACCATCATAACCTGCGACTGAGGATGAAAGCAATGGTACAAGTAGAAGTAGGTTCAATTGAAGCAGATGCTTGTGTTGAAACCAATACTTATTCGTTTGAGGTAGGACTTCTGCCAATGACTGGCCAACGATGTCTGCGTCCTTCATGCTGAGTGACCTGGTTTCTGAATCGTTTCGCTCGTTTGAATTATAGAATTGGGCAGGACCAGTGTGTTCTACTTATAGTGATCCGCGCCTGCTTGCCATCTCTATAGGGTAGTCCGATGCCGTGTGCCACATCCCGCACGCTAACCCGCGAAAGTGGAGTACCAGTGATCAACCCCACGGAGACCCCGCAAGTAGGCCATCCAAACCCATCGGAGCACGTGAACCGGTGTACAGTCTCCCTCCATCACACCCGTTACTGCATGAGTCGTGAGGATCCGCTGAATCGACCGGGAAGCCACCACCTTCCAGGCTCGAAGCTTCACCAACTACATTTTGGCCGCGTACCTCGCTGCGACGGGACATATAACACAAGACCAAGGCACCTTCCAAACCTTTTTTAAGTATTGATTACAGCTCAGATCAAATGTATACATCCCCGCTTGTAAATGGATGCCATCTCTGCTCGTGTCAAGCGGCATATCGCAAAAGTAATGGCTATGTATCCTTGCCAAGCCTATAAACACAGCCTTGCCCGGGATGCGCCACGATCCTTCGAGTCTAAGCCCGCTTTAACGCTTGTGAACATTCGAGTGAGACCGGGTTCCCATATGAGAGTGCCTGACAGCTTTCTAGCTTCCTGATGTACCTTCAACATGTTGTATAAACATCACGTTTGAACTATCTGGACAATTTTGATCCTTACTGTAGAGATTGAGGCAGTCTGTCACACCACTGCAACATGCATACATTCTCAATCGCGACTACACGTAAGGTGCGCTGCCTTTGACGGAGTGACAGCACTCAGAAGGATCTTCTCTGAATTCCATCATAGGAGGCGAGCGTAAGATTTGGGATACCTGTACTTTCAACTTTGAACGCCTTCGATAATGACTTTGAAGACATCTTCTCGTCCAGCTTTGACTAGTTCGAATGCTTTCTCTGCCTCTTCGAATTTAAATCTGTTGGTAATCAACCTCTTTGCGTCGATTTTGCCTGTAGCAATCAAATGTACCGCGTCCGGATAGCAGCCCTTGGTGTATCTGATGGATCCCTTGATGACGAGGGCTCGGATGCATGCTGTCGTTATCGGGAAGAGCACGTTCTCCTTGCCCATGCCGGCCTGGACATAGGTACCACCTTTCTTCGTGGCAAAGACTCCTGTCTGGATGCATGGTTCGGCTCCAGTGCACTCAAGAACCACATCTGCCCCCTCGCCAAGACCAAACTCCTGCTTGATCATAGTCGCAATCTCCTCGGAATGTTCTACAGGGTCAACTCCTTGGTCGGGCTTTGGTGGCAAGTACACTGCGTCAGCACCATACGACTTGGCAAAATCGAGTCGTGATTTCACAACGTCAACTCCAATGACTTTTCGAGCACCGTATGCTTTCGCTACTGCTTGACAAAGAACTCCGATTGGACCGCAACCAAAGACGAGCACAGTCTGGTTTGCTCGCAGATCAGCAACTTTGGCTATCTGCACGGCGACAGCAGTTGGCTCGACCATGGCAGCTTCTTCCATATTCATGGAGTCTGGGATTTTGTAGCAGTAGTCGCTTGCAACTGTGTAGAATTTGGCAAGTGTTCCTATTTCTGATTAGCCAATGTCCAACAGCATAGTGTGACAGACTTGCCATCCCATGGCGGTGTAGCGGCGAATATAGTATCGTTACACAGGTTGTACTCTACAGGAGTATCAGTAACTCATATAGACGTGGTGAATTGAAGAAGCACTGACTGCCATCACGACAATAGTCGCACCTTCGACATGGCACGCCCGGCTCTATGGCGACACGGTCACCCTGCTTCAAATTTTGAACTGCTGCTCCGACCTCAACAACGGTTCCGGAAGATTCATGACCAAGAACAATAGGACTTTTCAGTATGAAGTCCCCGATGCGACCTCTCTGCCAACTGTATCGAAATTAGAGCCGTGTTTGGTGTCGAGAAACCATGATTCTTACTAGTGTACCTGAGATGCTTAGCAACAAAATTTGTATGACACGAACAACACGACCTACATCACTTCCACAAATCCCAGTCTGCGCGATTTGGACTCTCACTTCGTACTCGTCGCGCAATTTCGGTATGTCTCTGTTCTCAAAAGCCACATCTTTGATAGCGCGGAGCACGAAGGATGGGTTCTGGTCATCGAGGTCAGTGACACGGAAGGCATCCGAGGCGTTATTTCGCGGCGGCTTGGCAGACGTGACTGCCGCGAAAAACAACCAGAGAAGGACCGGAACCCACTTACAGCCATGACCGAGGGATAAATGTTTCTGCGACTGGTTGATGATGTAACAGCACGAGACTGACGACGCAAGCACAGTGACAAAGCGGTCTTTATTCATGATTTGCGAGCTTGATGGGATCCTCCACATGACAGACAGGCATAGAATCCCCCTCTTGACGGAGCGGTGAACACCCTCACCTGTTCGTCTCGGTCAGTCCAGACATGGAGTCTGACGTTGCATCTCCTTCGGTAGTCGGGCCGCTGCCCAGAAGCCAGTCGAGGAGCGATGTCTTCCGGTGCGTGCTCACAATCGTCACTTACGTAGCTGCTGAAGTGCTCGATCGTTTCCTGCACAGGATCGCGTCCGAGGAGAGCGCATCAAGCTGTCGCTCTAACTGGACGTCAGTCTAGTTCCAGACTATTATCGCACACTCCAATAGCCATCGAAACACATGTACCGATGGCCAGGTAAAAAGCAGTGACGAACTTCGGCATCTGCTCACGATACTTTGGTGTCATCGCACCCGGGTTTAGACCCCACACCCCTCGCCAGATGGATGGGGAAAACTGGAGCATCGCGAAAATAAGCAGGGTTGCAATTTCCTGACGCTACAGAAACAGTGTGAGGCGTCATTGTTGTTTTGGACTGTTAAATATAAGCCTTTGGGCCGATCCTTGAACCTTTTGCTGCGGTGATGTCGGTTTTTTGCTTCCTTCTTGCACTCGATCATCCTTAGGCGTACAGAACACCCCATCCAGCCCGACAACGCCCGGCACTTCTACTACATCCCGGCTATCCATCACATGGGCCAAAAATATTACGATCTGGCATCGCGTGCCTTGGCCTGTTATCAGGCTCTACCAGATCCAGATGTATCCAGGAAACAAGACAAACGACTTCTCATAGCCCTCGCCGGCCCACCGGGGTCAGGCAAAGGCCGGATTGCCGCCAAGGTCGCCAAAATCGTCAATCAGAGCGGCGTCTCTTGCTCCGTCATATCAGTGGACGGATGCTCCCAGGACTCACACAACGACACTAGTAGTATACTGCCAAAAAGCCCATCATGGACTTTTAAAGGAGCGGCCGCCGTGGACCTGGTTCAGCAAATACAGAGACAGACTACAGAGCCAAACGACTTGAAGTCTCCCTTCACTATACACGTGGAAGACGTCGACAGTCACAATCTCAACGTCGCTGGCGATGCCTCGATAGTCATATTTGAAGGTCTCTACGTACTTTGCGAGGATCTCCCATGGGCACGGATATCAAGCTTAGTCAACGAACGATGGTTCGTGGAGATTGATCATGAAATTGGCAGGCAGAGGGTCGTCAAACGGTTCTTGGACACTGGTTTCGAAAAGGACTATGAGGCTGCTTGTACCAGATATGACGAAAACGATGTCTTTAATGCCGAGTTCATCAATCGAACGAGCAAGGAGAGGGATGTGACGATAAAGAGTACCAATCGACGAGACTCTACTGGATCGAGCTATTAATGTCGAATTTAGACGCCAAACCAGCCCAGCTAGGCTTATTTCAACGATGATATGACCATTATGTTAGCAATTCTGGATTATTGTGCAAAGGCGTGCCTCGCAGTCAGCAGTGTGACGAACCACCCACCTCGGAGGGGTCGAAGAAGAAGCGAGAAATGATCGGCGTTTGGAGAGAGCTTGGCCAGGGTGACTGTGTACCGCTACCGAGATCATCCGCATCCCACCTTCCTCTACCTCTCCACATCAAAGGTGTGGGACTTCCGCAAGTAGGCATGCTGTCGAACACAATGCAGTCGCAACCATTACGCGATGAGCGGTTGCCATGATGCGTCGGTCGCATGAGGTCCTTGCAACAATTCTCTCGTCTTCGCACCCTCTTTCTTATTTTCCTTTGCAGCTCACAGCGTCCTCCATCCAGAGACTCGTTTGCAAACTCGACCAATCTTCTTACATCACCATGCCTCTCTATCGACCAGAAAACGTCGACACTCCTGTCCTGTCCCAGTTTTCTCTGAAGGGGAAGGTCGCAGCAGTGACAGGAGGAGCTCGAGGTATTGGTCTTGAAGTTGTTCGTGGGCTCGCGGAAGCTGGTGCCTCGGTCGCACTTATCTACACCACCAGTACTTCCGCTCCAGAGACTGCCGCTAAAATCGCAAAAGAGACCGGCTCGAAGGTAAGCAAGAGCTTTCTCTTCTGTCCAGAGTCCACCGGAGGGATAGCGTATGATCGTACTGTCGGGTTGCAGAGTACTTTGATTTACTACCATATTTCACCCAGCATCGTGTGTATGACGGTCAATGAGTGCATCGTAGGGAGTCTTTACTGTGTTGTAGTAGATGCCATTCCGTCATGGACGCTAACCACATCATACTCCATCAGGTCACTGCTTACAAAGCCGACGTTACCAACAAAAAGGACATCACAGACACCATCAACCAAATCGCAAAAGACTTTGGAAAGCTAGACGTATGCGTCGCAAACGCCGGCATTGCATCACAAGTGCCAGGACTCGACTACTCCAAAGACCAATGGCGCGAGATTATGAGCGTAAACCTCGATGGTGCAATGTACACCGCTCAAGCCGCCGGCAAAATCTTTGAGCAGCAAGGAGGCAGTAACTCTATGATTTTCACTGCTTCCGTTAGTGCCATTTTGGTCAACATACCTCAGAAGCAAGCAGCATACAATGCTTCAAAGGCCGCATTGGTACATTTGGCAAAGTCTTTGGCTGTTGAGTGGACCGATTTCGCCAGAGTCAACTGTATCTCTCCAGGCTTCGTCGAGACTGACATCCTATCAATTCACCCTGAGGAATGGCGAAAGAAGTGGTTCGACATGATCCCAGGTGCTCGTATGGCAAAAGCTGCAGAACTTAAATCGGTTAGGTTGGCCCATGCTAGCATACAGAATAAAGAGCTGACAAAGATAGGCTTACGTGTTTCTTGCATCCGATGCTTGCTGTGAGTTAATTCTTAGTGATGTATTTCTAGACTAATGCTGACATGGACAGGTTATATGACGGGCGCGAATATGGTCATTGACGGTGGCTACACCCTGCCGTAGATCTAACATGGCTTCTATACATATGTACACGTAGACATGACCATTACATTGTCCTTGGCCTCATCTTCCCCCGCTTTACTCGACCAGTTTCTCGTACTTCGCCATGCCTTCTCCATCAACCATTGTATTGCCTCTTGAAACAGGAATGTGAAAAGACACAGGCTTTTGATTTCGCCGGATACCATGTCGAAGTGTAAGATGGAAGGATGTAGCAAAGTTGGAAAAATAAAGGAGAACATTCCATTGGTTACTCATATTGAATCAACGTCTGTCACCGACTTGAGAAAATCAGTCATGGGCGTTGGGAGAATAGAAATACCATCAACACTGTTGCATTCATTCGTTCAAACTTCTGACCTAGCTCAACCTCCTCTCCTTTCAAGAACTGATAATACAGAAGGAAAGAGAAAGAAACAGCAATCGAACCATGAAGTATTCACAATACTCTCCTTCCCAACCCATCCCATCCCATCCAATTCAGAACAAAGCAATTACCCTCTACCAAATAACAACGCCATAATGCATACATCTCCTACCCACTCAGTACTCAAAGTCATCATCAACAGAAGGACCCTTGTTCTTGCCCACAGACTCCTGCTTCTTGTACATTTCAGCAACCTGTCTGGCCGTAGTAGCATCATCCGGCTTCTTGTCCTCACGATCGCGAATATATCTCGGGAAGCGTAGACTGACTCCCTTGCCGCTGGGATCATTCAGCGCATCAGCAGCAGCCTTGTAGCGAGGTGAGAGTGTCAAGTCGGCGGTCTTGACTTCCCACACTAGACGTGGTTCGAACCAGACGTCGGGTTGGTCTTTGTTGCCCGACGAGTGGCTGTAGAAGGGCTTGGGGCGGTCGATAACCAGGGGTGAGAGGGTTTCATGTAGGGATTCGAGGAGGGCTTCCGAGAAGCCGGTGCCGATGTTGCAGACAGATTCGTATTGTTGGGAGGAGTTGTTGTAGCAGGCGAGTAGGAAGGCGCCGTAGACATTTGTGCGCTTTCCTCTGCCGTAGTAGGCACCGAGGACGACTAGATCCAGTGAGTCTCCTGCACCTGCGAGGTAGTCCTTCTTGACCTTCAGCCAGTTCTGCGAGCGACGCGAGGGCTCGTAGTATGACTCTGGTCCGTCCAACATCTTCACCATCAGACCTTCGCAGGAAGCTTTAATAGAGTCTTCGAGCAAGACTTGGATGGCATCGAGTTCGTTGGTGTTGCCATACTGAGCAAACGCAAACTCTCCCTCAACCTCGTTGAATGCTTCGTACAACTTAGCTCTGCGGTCACGGAATGATTGGTTGACTAGAGCCTCGCCGTTCAAGAAGAGCAAATCAAAGGCAAAGACGCAGACCTTGACCTTGATGTCTTCGGTCTTGACATCTTTGCGCTTTCTTGTCATGAGCTGCTGGAAGGGCAACACCTTCTTCTCATCAACATCCCAGGCAACTGTTTCGCAGTCCAAGACAAAACTCTTGGTACCATCCTTGACCCAGGTAGGCAGCTTGGCAAGAATATCTGGGTACTTCTTGGACAAGTCTTCACTGTTTCTCGAGAAGATGTTGGAGACACCCTTGGCAGAATTGCCAGCAGTAGGGGCAGCAGTGGCGTAGGTTAGGTCGGCATCGTGAGCAACAAAGTGAATCTGTGCTCTCTCTCCATCGTACTTGTACTCGCAGGTAAAGTCCTTGCCCTCGAAGCGATCGAGAACTTCAGTGATAGACTTGGTCGGCTTTGCCAACATGGGCTTCAGTGGGACACCAGGTTGGAGCTTGCAAGCATCGTGCAAGGCAAACACGCCATTTTCGAGATATGCGGGAATGATGACTTCGTAGCTGGGGAGCTCGCTGTGTCGAAATTAGCTTTGTACATTCGATCCAAGAGATGTCATGAAGCGCTTACTTGTAGACGTTTTTCAGAGTGCGTTCACCCTTCTCCAGCTGCTCGGTACTTGGTACCTTGTTGGTCTTGGTCATGACATCGTGGAAAGTCATTGCTTGTGCTACTGAAACAAGAACAGTCTTGTCGGCGAGACCGAGTCGCATCTTGCCTTCGAGAGTGCGGACGATGAACTTTGCCTCGCTGGGACCACCCTTATCCTCCTCGATGTCGACACCCTTGCCCTTCGGCAAATTTGCGTCGGCAGCAGAGAGTAGCTTGTGGATTCCAGCAACCTTGCGACCTTGGCCACCAGCGCCCTCGATCTTGGCGATGGTCATGAGTTGTTCATGCACACCGCGTACAGTCAAAGACTTCGGCTTGAACATGGTGGGTTGACTGCCCTTACTTTTTGCTGCAACAAGACCGAGGTCACCGATCTTCTGCTGATCTTCCTTGATGATCTTGAGTGAACGACCTGTTGATTCGCCAATAGCCTTCATAATCAGACTTTCACCAATTCCAAGCTCGATACCAGCGTAGTCTGCAGCAAGTTTACCCAGCATGAGGAGGACGGTAGGCTGTAGATCTTGAGGGGTAAGTCGGAGGACTTGTCTGAGGAAGAGAGAGCAATGTGCCATGATCTCAAGACGCTTTGTCGTCATCTCAATCTTGGAGAAGGTTGTGCAGAGAGCAGCGTAAGGCACCGGATCGCCAGCCTTCCAGTCGGGGTAGGGATCTTTCGTGTTTGCTTTGAATGTGCTCTGAACCTTCGCGCGGGCCTTTGCAGCGACTTCGGGCTTTTCTTCCTCGTCTGACTCGACCTCTTCTGCCTCGGATTGAGGGTCAGTCTCGGAGCCGTCCTTCATTGTGATATCTTCTTTCTCGACTTTGGCGGGCGTCGGTGGCGTAGCTGCGGGCTTCTTGGGCGCCGCCTTTTCCTCCTTGACGGGCTCTTCGGTGTCTGAAACAGGTTCCTGCTTTGCCTTCTTCTTCGGACTCGCTGACTTGGTGGGCTTCTTGCGTTGTCTCTTGGTAGGCGGCTCCTCTTCTGAAGCTGCAGCTTCTTCTTCCTCTTCTTCCTTGACATCTGCTGCTCTCTTCTTTGTGCTTTTGGTCGGCTGGGGCGATGCAGGGTTGTCCTTGGGCTCTTCCTTCACGTCTTCGGGATGCTCGTCCTTTACTGCAGCTTTGGTGTCGGATGGGCCATCTTCGATGTCTTCTTGTTCTTCATCTTTAGGCTTCCTTGGATCCGACTTTGACTTTGTCGCAAAAGAGAGCTTCGACTGTTGAGGGGCGGGTTTCGAGCCATTGGGCTTTGCGAAGAAGTTGCTATGAGTCAGTCAGTCATGTTTCAAGCTTGCCCAAGTGCGCTCTTGATTCTTGATCCTGTTGCGCACCCTAGAGCTGTCTGCGAGCTCTTTACGTACCCGAGAGTAGCTTGCTGCTTGGGTGGCATTCTGAAGCACAGCTGGGGGCGATAGTGTGCTGATTGTGGATAGACGGAGCGGCAATGAGGCAAACAGTTGAAAGAGTGGAAGGGACGTAGTAGTGTGTTAGAAGATGCCCGCATCGATATACAAACAAGACAGGCAGGAGCACAGAGAACAGAGATCGAGGCAGAATCAGGCGGAGGCAGGTAGCTGCGAGACGTGTTGCCGACGCGTGCTTGCCTCGACACGCGCCAAATTGTTTTTCGATGACGCTCACCGCATGCCCTTAAGTCCGGCTTGTGCCCGTGAACAGGCTATCTGGTGATGCAGCAACTCTGAACTTGCCTTTCTCTCTTTCTCCCAGCTCAAGTCTGAGAGGCAATCATTCATAACCGACAGCAGGAACATATTCAAACTGGCCAACTACTTTTGGAAATCCACTCCCCCTGCGCCTACCCCCCAGCCTGCTGCTCCCACACCCATCATGGCAGCACCAACCACAACGCCTTCCACCAGACTCACACCGGCCTTTTGCTTCAACCAGACCGCTCTTCGAGGTGCGCATACAATTGCAACCTATCCATCGTCCTCTTGACTGATCTAACACATCTCGCTCAGACTTCCTCCGTATATCCCGCAGCGCCGTAGACGACACAATCTCCCAAAACCTAAACGCCCTCCTATCCCCCAGCGCCTCTGCTTTCGACCCAACAAGTACATCCCGCAGCCTTCCCCGTTCAACCGGAAAACGCACAATCCCCGCCCCAGCATGCGAATCCTTTAAGCAAAACGTCTTGTTCCCATCCTGGCAGGCGAGAAGTGATGTCCTAGCTTATTGTGGCGGTGTTGCGACTTCTCCAGACCCTGATGATCCTGATCATATACTGAGGGAGGTGGAAGATGCAAAGGCGAGGGAAAGAGTGGTGAATGAGAGGTTGGATCCGTATAGTGGGAGGTACTTTCCTAGGGAAGTGAGAACAGAGGCTTTGGCGTCTCTGGTGCGGAGTGAGTTGATGGTGGAGAGTATTGTCAGGAGTAGGACTTGGGGCATGGTGAGGGAAAGATGTTCTGATGACGAGTATGATGGTGAAAAGGCACTCGACAAGTGGCGACAACAGCAAAGCACCACCACGACCACCATCTCTGATTTGCTTTGAGACATTGGTCAGGAGAGTGCAATGCAAAGCGTTTGTATACAACTATATGATACCCCCCTCTGTTTGCGTATTCTGTTTGATTTCATATTGTTCATTGTCCTGTACGTTGTATCATGCAATTGTTGTTTCTCAGCCATATCTTTCACAATCACCCAATCATCGCCATCATCCACATCCTCCTCCTCCTCCTCCTCCTCCTCCTCCTCTTCTCAATCATTCTTCCTCTTCCAGTTCTTGACTTTGGACCAGGCCGCCTTCAACTTTGGAAACAGGCTCCAGCTCTCCATTGTACCACTCAACACACCAAAGCCCATCAACAGGATCCAGCTCAGAGTAAGCACGACAGTAAACGCGATCCAGTAGGTCTTGACCGAGTACGTCACTCCGAGATCCGCAGAGACATATTCGGTAAGGAAGGTCAGCGGGAGGAACAAGATGGTTGCTTTACTGATGAGCAAAGCAACCCTAGTAAGGCGATCCACTCCGGCAGACTGCGACATGGCCACAAGCTGGAAGTTCATCTGCACTAATCCATCCTTCTGATGCAGGTAATCCTTGCACTCGGCCAGCGCGTACAAACTGATCATATCTCGGAGTCGCTCGAAGCGGACAATGGCCGCGCTGGTCAGACCAATACCCATCAATGATTGTGCTCCTTGATGGGCGACTTTGTCAAAGGTCTCCTGGCTTGCTTTGCTCGGGACGCGAGATCCTGTTCTCGATGCCAAGGTGCTTGACTGTGGCTCGGTCACTCGATCGACAAGTCTGATGTAGCTCTTGTAGTGGCGTTTGAGTGCTCCGAGCTCGTTGCCAATACCATGCAACAGATCGATGTGGTGGAGCTTTGGTGCTGAGAACATTTCCTTTTGCTGCTCAAAGTCAGTAACAGAATTCACATTGGGCAGGAACGGCAAGACTCACAAGCTTCTCCAACTCCATACCGTATCTGCTCTCTCTACGCGTGATGAGAGAGTAGCTATTAAACCAGTTCTCGAACAGGTAGTAGAACAGCAGACCAGGTGCGTCCTTGTCACGATGTGCCGTCTCTTCTTTGGTGTCACCGAGTCGTCTCCTGATGGGTAGGAGTACGAGTGGGTTTGCTTCTCTGCTGTCCTCAACCTTGGACAGTGAGCGGAAGACGTTGATCAGATTGCGACGTGTTTCCATCATGACCAGCTGCTGAGGGTGTGACAGTCGACCTTCGCAGTATGGGTAGAGATCCTCATTGATGCTGATGACAGTCTTGTCTGCGCAGATGAGAAGCCATGTCCAGACTCGCTTGATGTGAGGCAGAGGTGCGTCTTTGGTTCCAGTACTTTCCTCCGAGACACCGCATCCGGTTTCGACAGCATGCACGTTATACAAACTGTTGAAGCCCAGACATAGGTAGCTGCGGCCTTGGTCCAGAGATGTGTAGTGCCACACACCATCGACAATGTCGTACAAGTTTCCAGTGCGTGCAGGATTGCAACTAGAGAGTGAGCTAGTGTCCGTAGCAGGTGGCGGAGTCGATGACAATCCTTTCTCGATGTCTTCGAACGAGCGTCGCAGGATTGCCTCATTCTTCTGTTCAACATTGAGAGGCTGAGAAGGATACTGTCTCACACGTTTCGGGTCGGAGCTCATCAGTGCCAGCAATCTCGGCGAGAAGTCGTACTGTTGTGCCAGTAGCTCAAGAAGAGGCCGTTGATGGAAAGGATACCAGATGTTGATCCATCGAGTATGAAGGGTGGACGAACGTGGTGTGTCGAGCAAGGAACGGATTGTCTCAGCTGGTTGATCGAAGGACACCCATGCTTCCTCATCACCAAAGTCTACAATGAAGTTCCGAGATGTTGGAGTGCAAAGCTGCTGAACCGAGTCTTCAAGTACATCAGGTAGATCCATGTTACGGAATCCGGTTGCATGATCAGGTAGAGGTTCATAGGCTGAGGCTTCTGATTTGGGCTTCTTCGAATTCGTGTGGGCCGAATCTGAGCGCTCCATACCGGGCAAAGTGTCTGTGAAATCGTAGTGTATCTTGTTGGCCATCTTGTCGAGTAATCAGACCAAAATCTGAGAGGCGAAACAGCGAGACAGCCTACTCTTATCTGCCTCGAGTCAAGAGGTCCATGTTCCTTTACGACTGACTCCTCAGACCGGCTGCGACATGACGAAGCCAGCCGACACCAGGTGAATCAATGATAATTTGCTTCGCCGCAACAGCCTGGGATGCATGTGAGGCTTGGTTTAATTCACGGGGTGCCAAAGCGGGTTTTCTTTAGTAACCCGGTGCACGAGTCTTGTGGTTGGCTGGTCAGCTGCCTCATTGGTGCCTACGAGAATGACCTGCAGGTACCAAGCATCGCCTCATTCGCAAATCCGGATTGCGATTGGTGCATCTCAGGCTATACTCTTAGCCGCCGATAGAGATAAAGAAAATCTGGCTTGTGTTCAGGGGAGAAATATGGTCGTGAAGGGAGACGACATATTGAAGCCTCACGACGTTACACAGTGTCCTTGGAATGGAAGGTCATCAGGCAGATGTAGAAGCCAGAAACGTTGACCGACGTGCAGATGCATGCGTGTCTCATTACCAAACTTGTGGTCATGTTCTGTATGAAAGAGTGAGCGAGCTGGTCTCGAAATTGTCGAGGCCATTCAAGACGCGCCGTTTTGCCAGGCGACATCACGCGTGAGCTTCGCGACCGAGGTTTGCCATGCCTTCCTCGCGAACAACGTCAACACAATGTCCTCCATCGTCTGTTGGCGACGCAGTCACGTTCTTTGTCTTTGACCCATTCTTCAAAACAACTTGAGGCCTCTCCTCTCTATGTGCTAAAGAGTGTCACGCTCGTAGAGACATACTACTTTCTACGACCTACCTGTATGGATGTCCACAGAACCATCGTCTCTTTGACTCTCTTTGCGAGCTCTTCAAACATGGACTGGCGACTGTGCCTTTCTACAGCTTGTCATTCCTCGGAAGTACTTTTACAATGAGAATCAGCAGATAAATTGAGGTCATAGTTGTCGCCAAAATTTGCATCATGATGTCGGTCGATCATGCTCCTACGGGCGACCCACCTCAAGAAGGAATAAACAGTGAGGTACTTTCCGTGTCCCGTATAATTGGGCAGGTAATTCGATTCAATTTTGATATGGCGATTTTCTGCATGACGCTCTGCTAAGCTGTAGAGACTATATAAGAACATCTTCCCAGTTCTGCCAGGATCGATGCCGATATTCATCTCTTCCCAAATTATCAAAAGATCAAGATGAAGCACTCCATCCTCACAGGCATGGCAGCCTTGGTATCGACCACCCTGGCAGCATCAGCATACATTCCATACGTTTACAACTCCAGCAAGCCAGCAATCGACGGCCTCCCCATCACTGCCAACAACGGGGAATTTTGGATCGGCAAGCTCACCACAGCGACCTGCCCATCCTACGACCCTGATTGCCCGTCCCGAAACACCACCATCATCTCTGGTCCCACATACGCTCAAACTTGGTGGATGGGTGTCCTTGAAGAGGGTGGCCAACGTATCTTCACCCCCACCAACGGACAACCAGGCTACTCTGCCGCAGACTCCGACAACTATACTCCGGCGCGTGTCTCTTACAGCTACACTTTGCAAACTGCAAATACCACTGATGGGCGCTTCTTGCTCAAGTACTACACTCGGAACTGGGCTGCCTTTCCTACGGAAGATGACGGTGTCTGGGCGGTCTATGCTCAGTCTGCTGGTCCTCAGGGCGCTTCAACCTGTCTGCCTTTCGCTTGGGAGTTGAGGGAGACTACTGCTCCTGCACCACAGTACTACAACTGCGAGGGGTGCGAGTCCCGTTGCAACAACATATACGGTACTGGTTGCAAGTAGATGTTTCAAACTTTTGACGGTGGTTGAAAATTTACACAAAAGTTGGATCTATCAAAACACTACGAAACGCTATAAGTCTAAGTCTATGGGTATAATGTAATCAACGACGCAATGCAAAAAAAAAGAACATGAAATCTGCCATCATGCCGTACTAATCGAGTATGCATGAGCTCAACAGCTCTGCCAGGATTCAATAATGTGCCTCAAGCTTTGTGCACAGCATAAGCGCTCTTAGTTCTGATTCTTGCGCCATAAATGTAGAAAACATATGGCACAGGCACCATAAGTGCACTGATACACGCAAGGATAGTGAGTGTGTAGTGGACACCCATGTTGGTATACCATGGCACACCTACCACGGTCATACCGCCAGCTGCAAGGTAGCGGGTGAAGGTGACGAACGACAATGCGCTCGCAGCGTATATGGCATACGAGTCAATGATGTACATGTAAGCCGAGATGAAGATGGTGATGACACCGTATCCGAACAAGACTGAGGCGACGATGGGAGACCAGATCGAGATGTTTTCATAATCAGTCCAGCCCATCCAGAAGAGAGAGACCGGCACAGCAAATGCACCACCGATCATGGCAAACCAGAGACGAGACTCGGGCGTGGGAGCAGGGTTCTCAACACCAGCCGCTTCTTGCGCTTTGATGTCCTTGACTGTCCAAGAGTAGATGAGAGGTAATGTACCAAAGAGAGGGAAGAATCCGACAAAGACCGCCACCCAGATGATATTGGTGATGCCTTGAGAAATACCATAGGTTTGTGTAAAGACAAATTCAAAACCGATGAAAAAGGTGAATAGCACAATGTAGATGACTGTGAGGTACAATGACATGAGCAAGATGATAGGCTCTGTCCAGATCATGGCGAAAGGTCTGTAGAGAGCAATCTTCAGGCGAGTCCATAGGGAAGTACGGCGCACCTCCAAGGGAGATCTGTAGCGGTCATCGCCTGTCTCTTTACGGAGGTGTTGAGCTTTCCAGGAAAGTAAAAGAGGTCCATATGTCTCTGGCTGACCAACAATAATGATAGCAGTGATGATGCCACCAAGTATCAACATGAGCCACTCGCACCAACGCCAACTCATACCACTGGGGCCGATGTAAGAGCCAATGACTGGTCCAAAAAGAGGTCCACTGAAACCAATAAAAGCATAGACCGGGAATCCAAAGGTCTTCTCGAGCGGGTTCCAGAGATCGGCAATAGTGCCACCAGCGACTGTTAAAGGTGTTGAGCCGAACAACCCTGCGAAGAAGCGCATGGTGATGTGTCCACCAAAGTTAGGAGCCAGCGCACAGCCAAGTAAGAAAAGCATATAGATGACCATAGTCACTATGTAGATGATGTTTCTTCCAAAAGTCTCCGAAAACGGGCCAGCGAATTGCGAACCAACGGCGAAACCGATCAAATACATTGCAGTCGCAAGTGACCCAGCAACTTCGCTGACGTGGAAGTACTCGGCATACTGAGGCAGCACGGCAGCATCGATAGACGAAGCCGCTGTACCCGCAACAGCCACAAGAGACACGACAACAGTTGCCCACATCCTTTTGGCTGTAGACCAGTTGTGCGGCTTGAGTGGATCATGAGCACCTTCCCATTCAACCACAAAGACATGGCCATTCTCGCTCTCGTTCGTAGCTCTCAAGCGCGCATTGATACCAGTCATAGAATATCCTAGGGCAGTTCGCTCAGAGTAATGCGTCCTGTGTGTCGGTATCCTGGACAGATCGGCGTTTTCGCTTTTTGTTCGTGCCAAATCGGCGTGATGGCTCCTAGATGTGTGGATCCTGTTGAGTGCGTTCTGGTTGTCGTCCTGAGGGTAAGAGTCTTCCAGCTCGTCTTCGACTATCGCATCAAGTGCTTCTTGCTCGTCATATGATTCCTCATCACGGCTTGGTGTCTCGATTTCCTCAAGAGGCTGGCCACCGAAGATCTGGGACTCTTCATGCTTGTCGAGTCCATGTTGCTGAGTGTATGCCGAAAGTGCCTTGGCCTTATCTGTGTCTCTTTCCAGTTGTTTCTGGACTGCTTGTCTGAGTTGTTTATATTGGCGAAACGACTGCATGGTCGTGAATGGAAGATTGGTGTGCAACAAGAAAACAAAACTTGTCACGATAGATAACGAGAGATGACGAAGGTATTTACATGACTTCGGGGTGCCCAGATCGATGGGTCAACTAGGCTTATATATCAAGGCGCCACTACATCTGCGGTGGTCCTTCGGTCAGAAATTGCTGTGATGGCCAACGGGTCAGAGGCGCGTAAGACCCACTCTCACCAACCCCAGATCAAGGTGGTTGTGGTCTCTTTCTCTCCATTATCGCTGCAAGTTTCTAGCTGATGCTGAGCACTTAGTCACAACAGATCTCTTACATCCATGGGGGGTATTTGTTCATTTGATACATCTCCGTAGCTGTCATCGGTGTACTTGATGTTATTCGTGACTGATGAGAAGGAGAAAAGTCGGGTTTGACGCAATCTGCTCGGCTTCGGTACGATTTTCGCCTCAAAGTTCCAAACTCTAATTTCGACTTTGATACCTGCATTTATCAACTACACGCTGATTAGAGGAAAGCCTTTGATGTAATTCTTGTAAAACAGCATGGACGATCGTTCCCTTCACAGCAGGTCGAAGCTGGAATCAATATAGGCCATGTGTTTGCTTTGTTCTGCTGGCTTCTTCGAGCATCACTGCAATTCGTCAATGCTCAATGCACCTTGAAAACACTGATACAATTATTCAAACGCGAGATACCGTCCAAGGTTTCGCATCGTGTTCAACGGCAGCGCTGATAAGACCAGACCATGATAGAGTCACATCGGGAACTCGTCTGCTCGCATCTATCATTCATGCAGTGTTACAAGCAATGCTTGCGAACAAACAAGGTGAGCATTGCGGGTATCGCGGGTGCTGCGGAGTGAGGATATTGCGGAGAGTGGACTTGCTTGAAGATCGTGTACACCATTCTTGTTTCCATAGACCCTTTGTGAGTCAGCAGCAGAACGGAGAACATTCGGTCACTGAAGTGAAGAGAATTGAGGATCGCAGAAGGTAGATGCTCGCGAGCATAGTCTAAAGTCTAATCGCTGTTTCCACGAAGTGACCCTGTCCGATGTGAGCTGTGCACGTGCCCGCCAAGCTAAATCTTGGCAACTTCGCACTGAAGAAAATCTCTCGCCGCCGCCTCGCCGTCTTGAAGTCGATTACGCACAATTCCTCACCAAAAGTATCAACTCGATCCTCTTGGAAGACAGCCAGCATCATGTCGAAGATCACTGTCGCCGGAGTGCGCACCAACGTGCAGGAGCTCCTCAACTACTCCCAGAATGAGAAGAAGCGCAACTTCCTCGAGACCGTCGAGCTCCAGATCGGACTCAAGAACTACGACCCTCAGCGTGACAAGCGTTTCTCGGGTACCGTCAAGCTTCCCAAGGTCCCCCGCCCCAACATGGCCATCTGGTACGACTTGGAACCTCCCTGCGAAAGAGCGCGTGCTCGTGGCGAACGTGAGCGCTGACGGAATTCACTACAGCATTCTCGGTGACCAGCACGATATCGATCGTGCCAAGCACTTTGGTGTTGACGCCATGTCCGCTGAGGATTTGAGAAAGCTCAACAAGAACAAGAAGTTGATCAAGAAGCTCGCTCGCAAGTACGACGCCTTCATCGCTTCCGAGGCTCTCATCAAGCAGATTCCTCGTCTCCTCGGTCCCGGTCTTTCCAAGGGTAAGCGCATAAGCATCTACACTACAATCATGTCGAGCAAAGACTAACAGCACAACAGCCGGCAAGTTCCCCACCCCCGTCTCCCACGCTGAGGACCTCTCCAACAAGATCACCGAGGTCAAGTCCACCGTCAAGTTCCAGCTGAAGAAGGTTCTGTGTATGGGTGTCGCCGTCGGTAACGTCGGCATGGAGGAGGATGAGCTGATCGGTAACATCATGTTGTCCATCAACTACCTCGTCTCTCTGCTCAAGAAGGGCTGGCAGAACGTTGGAAGCTTGACCATCAAGGCTTCCATGTCTCCCCCCAAGCGCGTCTACTAGAGGACATTTACTTGTTCGATAGTGGTGTGTACTCCTTTTGAAAGAGAACAAAAGATCAAATGCTGTTAGCAAGCACGTAGATGAAAATCGAGATGATTTGCAACACCCCAAAATCTTTTGTCCTCCACTGTGCTCTCAAGTACGTCGCATGTCTGATGGTTGCTTGCGTGCGCGCGTGTTTATACTCATTGTGTTCTCGAGAAGGCATCTCTGACAATCCGACGGAAGAGATGGTATCCATGTCAATTAAATTCTGAACTCGCGCTATGGAAAAGTGAGATGGCACAGACACGTGAAAGCAGGGCATTATGAGATAAAAAGGTTTTGATGTTTTCTGACTGCAAGATGCCATGTACGGATAGCAAAGAGATGAACAGGCACACAACACGGAGATGCAGAACAGTCTTGCCAATATCCAAGACCAGAAAGCATCCGCGAAAAGCAGCGCTCTGCCCAAATCCTCGCAAGTCGGCGATTCCTGTGAGGAAATCTGGTACATTGCGAATGAGTAAAAAAAAGAAACTTTCTTCATAGATTTGAAGAGATGTCGCAGCCCTCCCACACCTCCGTCGCACATTTGGCGATACACGCAGATGTTAGGTGAGGGCTCCTTCCCTCTATGCGCTCGGGAACGATACGAATTCCATAAAGAGAGGAAAACACATAGCAAGCCACCGAAGTGGAAACGCAAAGTGACATTAGTCACCTACTGATAGATAAGAAAGAAGTTTACACAGAGGGCGAGGATGGGAGAAGTTTTATAGGATGCGAGCTAGGGAGGGGGTCTGTGCTTGATAGCCAGAGTGATTATGTAAGCTTGGTTGATGCGTTTGGTTGGATGGGGGGAACACCCTGGTGGGAGTCTTGGATGGGCGACAGTATGGTCTTTGGCGGTTGTAAGTGCTTGAAGTCTTATTTGACGAGTATCAAGGATACTACTAACATATGATAACTTTATTTTGTGGTACTAGGAGCTCTGCAGCTGGTGTTGCCGACACTCTTTACAACTATATTGCTTCTTCCTGAGCTGGCCAGCGTCCTGCACAGTTCAGACCCCATGCCCGAGCGATAATCTATAACACTACAAAGCAATAGACGTCATACTTTCCGTGTTGACCATGCCCGACGTTAAGGAGCAGACACGTCACTATAGCATGCAGAACTTGAGATATATTGAAACGTGACCTGGAAGATAGAATCGAGAGTAAAAAGATGATGGTAGTTGGAATTATTGACCCAACGACCTCATGTGTAATGTCGTTTCCACAGGGCCTTGTAGATCTACCGCGACGAACAGAGTTCCTTTGCTAGCGCGTACAGGCATCCATCTAATGTGTGGATCGCATGGCGAGGATCGCAGCATGATGGACCGACCAGATGCAGCTCACCGTATCAGAAGAACGACGTGACGCCTCAGTGCCTGCTACCAGATGCATCTCGGGGCTAAGAGTACTCTATTGACCTGACGGAAATGGCATAACTGGCCGAGGTGTTGAGTTCACATGGTCGAATGCTCTTCCAAAGCATCATGGACTGTGGCCGGACATGGACAACATGACGCGCATGGCGTTAAGCTGGGAGCAAACCCATGGTATAGCCTCGAGGCGAAGAATATGGTATGATAGATCAGAGACAGAGCCTGTTGAAGTGCTGGCTTCTGACCAACTCATGGCATGTTCAAACGTTCTTCATTTCCACCTCGTTGTCATGTGTCGCCATTCCCGCAGCAGCAGCGGCAGCAGCAGCAGCCTTACGCTCAGCCTTCTTCTTCTGACGTTGAGCGCCCATAGGGAATCTCTTCTTGGTATGGCAGTTTCGACAGTGGATGACAAGGACATCGGCGCACGGCTTTTTTCCAGCTCTGCTCAAATTCTCCATACGCGTCTCTGAAGTTGTACCAGGCATCAAAGGCGTGCTGCAAACCTTACAGATAGATCGTTTCATGTCGTGAGAGAGGCGGATCTGAGCCTTTTGCGATACAGCCTTGAGCTGTGCTGCGAGCAGGAGAGGTAGTCCATGCTGTTGCAGTTTGAGGTCGGCGTCTGACGGGTCGGTGTGTGTTATGGGAGGGCGATGCAGGGCAAGGTGAGTTGCAGCTTGATGTAAGTATGCGATCCTCGCATGCAAATGCTTGTTGGGCACGCTCTTCGCCTGGCCAGCAGACCCTTTGGCCATGATTGATTCCTTCGTGCTGACGAGACAGGGAGACAGGGTGACGGCGAAGTTCTTGGTTGAAGTGAGGAGCAATTGCGTCTGGAGTTCACCCATCACGTGTGGCGACAATAGCTGGCCATAGCTCAGCGCATCGCATTCCTGGAGCAGAAGTCGAGCGTCAGCTGCGCTTCCCGCTCCGTCTCCCATCACTTCGCTCCATCACCCCTTCTTCAATCCATCGACTGCTCCTGTTCCCTTAATTGGATCACCAGGCGCATCTTCCATCTTCCATCTTCCACTTCTCACCTCACGACTCGATTGATTCGCGTCGCTTTTACGCGCCTTAACCCACATCCCTGACTCACTCACACCACCCGCCCACCTTCAACAACATGTCTGCCGAGGAGGATCTCATCGATTACTCCGACGAGGAGCTCCAGGCCACCGAGCCCACCGCCGCCACCACTGACGCCGCCTCGAACGGTGACGCAAAGAAGGCCGATGGCGCCGCCCCAGCTGCAGGCGCTGCCACCAAGGGCAGTTACGTTGGTATTCACTCGACTGGTTTCCGCGACTTCCTGTTGAAGCCCGAGCTTCTTCGCGCCATTACCGACTGCGGTTTCGAGCATCCTTCGGAGGGTTAGTCATTCATCATCATCATCATCATCATCCTATCTAGCGCGCGTCTCCATTGCTCCGATCGTCCGTCCATCTCCAAGCGAAGCTCCATCAGGTAGAAAAGAGGAGGCTCCAAGCGTTGCTTTGCATTTACCAGCCACCTGGACATATTCCGTGTCGCCGGCCGCCTTTGCGCTACATTTCGACTGTGGTGCAGACCCGGCTTTGGCTTGACAAGTGCCGGATTCCGAGGGAGAAAGCCATGCCGTTGAAACACGAGCATTGCGACAAGAGGCGCGTCGTGCAGTCTGGCCTTTGGTCATGATGAGTCTTGCGTGCCTGGCACCATATGAACTCCTGATTTGCAATCTGGACGCGCCGTCTCCTGGCTATGCTGCGCACCTCTGTCAAGAGACAAGTGCTGTCTGTCGCCTTGTCCGCTTTTGTTTGTCGCAACTTTACTCGCGACTCCTAGACGGGAGATGGACGGACGCTTGCTTGATTCTCGCAAACACACTACTACTACTACTTGGCAAACCCATTCTGACATAGCTGCGATATCCAGTCCAACAGGAGTGCATTCCTCAAGCCATTCTCGGTAACGATGTCATCTGCCAGGCCAAGTCCGGTCTGGGAAAGACTGCCGTCTTCGTCCTTGCAACCCTCCAACAGATGGAGCCCATTGAGGGCGAGACCTCGGTCCTCGTCATGTGCCACACCCGTGAGCTCGCCTACCAGATCAAGAACGAATACGCCAGATTCACAAAGTACATGCCCGACGTCAAGACCGCCGTCTTCTACGGTGGTACTCCCATGCAGAAGGACATTGAGCTTCTTTCTAACAAGGAGACTCACCCCCACATCATCGTCGCTACTCCCGGTCGTCTGAACGCCCTGGTCAGAGACAAGAAGCTCCGTCTCGGCAACATCCAGCGCTTCGTCCTCGACGAGTGCGACAAGATGCTCGACCAGATTGGTAAGCTCACGAATGCACTCTGAAATTGACAGTTGCTAACCACTTCAAAAGACATGCGCCGTGACGTGCAAGAAATCTTCCGCGCTACTCCCACACAAAAGCAGGTCATGATGTTCTCAGCCACTCTCTCCCAGGAGACTCGTCCCATTTGCAAGAAATTCATGCGTAACCCTCTGGAGATCTACGTCGATGACGAGACCAAGCTCACCCTTCACGGTCTGCAGCAGTACTACATCAAGCTCAGCGAGGCAGAGAAGAACCGCAAGCTGAACGACTTGCTCGATGAGCTCGAGTTCAATCAGGTCATCATCTTCGTTAAGAGCACTCTCCGTGCCACTGAGCTTGACAAGCTTTTGCGCGAGTGCAACTTCCCCAGTATTGCTGTCCACTCTGGTGTCTCCCAAGAGGAGCGGTATGTGCTTCGTCCCCCGAATAGCAAGCTCCCAGCATCTGACAATACTACAGCATCAAGCGCTACAAGGAGTTCAAGGAGTTCAACAAGCGAATCTGTGTCGCTACCGATGTCTTCGGTCGTGGTATCGATATTGAGCGCATCAACCTTGCCATCAACTACGACCTTCCTGGTGACGCCGACTCGTACCTTCACCGTGTCGGACGTGCTGGTCGTTTCGGTACTAAGGGTCTCAGTATCTCCTTTGTCAGCAGCGAGGCAGACCAGGAGGTGCTCAAGACCATCGAGAAGAGATTCGAGGTCGCTCTGCCGTAAGTTTCTCCTTAACCTATCATTGCTGCACGAACAGTTGCTAACATACCCACAGCGAGTTCCCCGAGGGTGGCATCGACTCCAAGAGCTACATGGCCAACTAAGCGATCGTGTCCACGTTCGTCATACAGCATTGAAGATGTGACCGACAAAACTGAATTTTGGCAAGCGATTGCAATGGGGGCACGTGCAACTGTGTACTCTTAGCTTCTCCTTTCTTTATCATTTAACGATCATCAAAAAATCGATTGCGGTTGACGTAAAACATCCTTCTTGACTCGAAGTTTTTATCGCTTTTCCTTCCCATCGTGTTGCAATCGTTCTCGAACGCGTTCAGTACCTTGCGTTTTCAACGGCACGCAAGAGCTTGCGACGACATTGACGACTCTTGACGACTTGCTCTTCATCACGCCCTTGCCCTGAGCTTACACATACATTCAACAATTGCCAATGCCTATTCAACGACTACCCATGCCGGGGGTCCGTGGCCCTTTAGTAACCAAGACGCGAGCAAGAGCGAGAAACACAAACGTCTGTAAAAGCTTTCGACGGAGAGCCCTCATGAACAATGACCAGAAACGACTTTATCAAACCGTCAGGCTGTCAATTCGGCAAGACTTGAAAAGCCGCGGCACAACCAGACATCCGAGATTCACTGAAGGTCATGCTTGCGAAAAAAGCCGCTGCTAATGTTTTTCTTCCCGCTGTGGGCGACGTGTGTATAGCCGTCCGGCACGGCCGGATGAACATTCTGCCCTTTTTTTAAAATTTAAAAAAGACACCAGAGGCGTTTTTTTTGATAAAGTTGCAACCGGTGAACGGGTTTTCTGAACCGTTTCTTCGTGGTGTTTGGGCAGCGGATTTAAGCGGGTGGTACCTGGATTTTTCCCTCGTCTTTTGCCGTGGCATGTCTCAGGTTCCTTACCAAGCAGAGTCGAAGGTTAGAAAAGGCCCTGAGTGGTTGAAGCGAGGAAGCAGAGGGAGAAGAAGAGGAAAAAAGGGTTCAGGAAATCTAGACAGCAGGAATTGAGGAAAGCTTATTCTGTTGTGCACTCCCGTCTGGGGCTATACGAATGTCATTTTACAAGGTGCAGCAGTGTGTGGAGGAAGATGCAGGGATCGTGTTCTACGCCAATGGAGAAGGAGCAACGTGTGTTTACGTGCGGAGGAGTGAGTGGGCAGATAGGAGAGACGTTTTGCGTATCTAGTGTCGTATCGACGATGGAGGAAATTCGTATGTCGTACCTAAATCAGAGCAAACCATCAGGGCTTCTGCAAATGGGATTGAAGGAAAGGATCCTCAAGCCGAAGTAGCATTCCACTGTCGAACCGGTTTCTGTAGACGATGAAGCTTCTCGAAAGGATGGCTTGCAGCACAAGTTCAGTTTCAGAATGATGTTTACACTTGCTACTCCTGTCTTTTGGAGGCTTGATTTTGTGGCATGTCGTAGCATATCACACAAGGTCATCCGCTTCTCTTCGTTGCACTTGCTTGCTCTTTTGTCGCGCGATACTCGACGAACAATCTCCGTAAACCGACCAATGATCTTCCTCTTGGGCCTCAAGACTCGAGCGACTCCCAGCAATTCGGGATTGGAGGTCACACGGGACAGAGACTAATAACAACGAGATGAACTCGACAACGATCTCTCCAGCTTTAACGTAGACGATGAACTGCTGTTGCTTCTATCAAAACTCGTATCAGCGGCTCTGTGCAGCATGTCATGGGAGAGCATAAACACGAGTTCGGATAACATAGTTCCCGCTCCCCGAGTCATCAAAAGTAGGTGGTGTAGGTTCAGCCTTTCATATGAACGTCCGTAGTACGTGCATTAGGACGCTACTGTTTCGGCGGCGGCATGATATCGCCTACCTCACTCATGCCATAGAGACCGAGTGTGTCTTGCTTCAGAACTGGTTTCAGAAGAAGAGAAAAAGCAGAGTTTTCTCTCTCCTCTTTTTGCTCTTGCGATTCTTGGAAACACAGGCTTTCTGTTTGAGGCTTTGGTCACTTCTTGCGTGCATCATGTTTCAGCACAAGCAGCAGGGCTAAATGTGTTTCCAACGCCTATGTGCCGAGAACGATGATCTGCAGATGGGACATTCGACGTTCGCTACTATCGACTTGGGGGGGGGGGGGGGAATTGATGCTGCTCGACGAAAGATAGACCGTGCAAGGATTCGGAGATTGTTGTGTGTGTGTGTGTGGCAGCCTCAACGTGGGGTTGAAGAGCGACACGGCGAGTAAGCAGGCAGCCATATTATTGCTGTGATAAGAAGAGAGCTCAGCAGACGTGGGATCTTCCGTGCAAGCGCGCACGCAGCAGAGCGACGACTATCACGATGCTATTGCTAGCTACTTATGTATGCGACAATGAGGAGAGCAACAGCAGATCCCTGCGGTCGATGAGAAACAAAGCAGGCGACTCGCGGGAGAACCGAGACAAGAATGACCTAGGCCCAGAGAAGCAAAGAGTGGTGCGCGGAATCCGGAGTGTTTTTTTCTTGCTTCACGGCAGTGGTTGCGAACGGATGACCAAGTCAATCAAGTTGGTAGCAAAAAAGACGGCGCTGACGATTGTGATGACGCCGCAGAGCAGGCGCAATCAGACCAGAATACTGGAATAGGAGAATTGACGTCGCGCATGAGCTGCATTTGGTTGGATGGAGAGATGGAGCAAGTCAGAAGAGATTGACGAGTGTAATTGGCCGTCTAAAATTCATTAGTCGATAGCTGTTGCTTGCTGGAGTGGTAGTCGTGCGGGTCGTCCTTGAGCCATCCAGCTCAAGCGCAAGTGCATGCCAATGGCGGTCCGAAGCGAACCAAAGCAAACCGACTTTTGCGACGCTCCCACTCCTTCTCATCGGAGCACTGCCGCCGTTCAACGACAGCTTCTCCTCATCATCCGTCCGTTCTCACCCTCGCCTTCCTCGTCTTGCTTTTCAGAAATTTGTCCCATGGTCTTGCTGTGCACAGCATCTCACACTCGTTTCCTCTGTCCCACCCCTTTCCCTCCTCCCTTTATATACCGCTTCCACGCCAAAACACGCGCGCGTGCTCTCTCCGTCCAGACCGTTTGGCCGCGTTCCTTGGAAATTGTGACGCTTGGATTCGCTGTTGCTTCGGTCCTCAAGGCTACTCTTTTGACTCTTCAGCCACCGCCGTCTCACCTCCATCACCCTCTTGCGCTTTGAGCGTATCGCACCATGGCGCCCACAGCTCCTAGATTGCGCATCCTGTCAGGTCAGTAATGCCATAGATGCTCCTACCCACATCCTTGCACGCAACACTGCGCCATTGGGAAGCGGGTCCACTTTTCTAGCTCTCGCAAAGATCCATCACTGCCCATCCCAGCCGCCCTGCTAATTGCACTTGCCTTGTCCCGGCATGCTGTGATCACATCCAGTCCGAGCAGTGCTCTTCACATCATCCCTCCTTCCTATACCCGACCCAAAGCCGTCTCTCACATCATGGCTGTCGAGCAAGCCTCGCACAAGCAACAGCTTACTAACATACTTGTAGTTGGCGGAAATGCCGTCTCTGCCTTCATGTCATGGAGACTCTCGGCGACCAATGCATGCGATGTGACTCTGGTCTGGAAGAACGGCTATGAGAGCGTGTCGCAGTACGGCTTGTCATTCAAGTAAGCCAAACGCTGTCGCTGCCTCTCGCAAGCACCACTGACCCGCCCAGATCCGCTACCTTTGGAAACGAAAGATTCAAGCCCCGACAAGGTCAGTCAATGCGCCCGTCGCATTGCGATGCACTCATACTGACGCGTCCACAGTCGTTCGCACCCCTGAGGAAGCAGCAAAAACATCAAGAGCGCCGTACGATTATGTCCTTCTGTGCGTCAAAGCACTCCCAGACGTTTACGACATTGCATCCATCATCGAGTCGGTCGTCGCTCCTCAGCACACATGCATCTTGATCAACACAACACATTCCCTCGGTGTCGAGTCATATCTCGAGCAAAGATTCCCCACAAACGTTGTTCTGTCTCTTGTCGCTGGCGCAGAGCTTTCACAGTTGGGCACCAGTGAGTTCGAGCACAAGGGCTCGGCCGAGATCTGGGTTGGCCCCGCCAACAAGAACCCATCGATTCCCGCATCGATACAATCAGACATGGCCGAAGCACTGGCCATGACATTGAGCTCTGGTCAGGTCGACTGCAAGGTGTCGACTAACATCAGACAACAACAATACGAGCGCATGATTGGGTAAGTCTCCCACCCACCGTCTGTTGACCACATCTAACCTGCTTGCAGCCCAATTGCCTTCCATCCGGCTAGTGTTCTGTTCGAAACCGCCAACCATGCCGAGCTCCTCGAGAAGACTGGCGCTCGCTCAATGATTGCTGGCGTCATCGAAGAGATCCTCCTTCTGGCACAAACTCAAGGCTGCGTCTTCTCAGACGACTTTACTGAGCAGACCATGGAAGCCATGATTCAGCCTACTGCTACACCCAGCACCATGTACCAAGATTTCACCGCTCGCAGACCCCTCGAGATTGAGACGTTCCTCGGAGCTCCCATCAAACTTGCTCAAGATGTGGGTGTTTCAGTTCCCCGTATCGAGACGCTTTACGCTCTTCTTCACAACGCCAACACATTGAATCAATCTCGCCCACCTCCGGCAGCCGCAGTTCCACCGCCAAATCCTGCACAAACCCCTCGCATGGGCCCCGGTCCTAACGTGGGTCCTGGCCCTGGTCCTAACCAGCGTGGCCCAATGAATGGTCCTATGCCTGGCCATCCCGGTAGACCTGGAATGATGAGGCCTGGAAGCAGAGCTCCTTCAATGACTGGCGGCCCACCTCCAATGCGCAGAGGCCCTTCGATGAACAACGGCTTTGGACCGCCCATGAGAACGAACGGAAACGGTCACCGAGGCCCTCCTCAACAGCAAGCGCGTCGCCCATCCCTCGAAGACAACGAACTCGAGGAGTTTAGCCACCTGATGCTTTATGACAATTTGCCGGAGGGTGCTCTGCCCGAAGGCGCTATTCCCAACGGCGGCGGTCCTGGAGGCGAGATGGGTCTTCGTGAGAGAGAATTGGCTCTCCGCCAAAGAGAGCTACAGTTGAGAGAGCAAGAGTTCCACATGAGGCGTCGCATGCCCCCTCCTCCTGCTTCTCACGCCGGAGGCTTCGACGATGACGACGAGGACGGTGAAGATTTCTTCGACCCCATGGCTGCCGGCAGAAACGTCCCAATGATCGATCCTGATAACTTCGACATGATGAGCGTCACCTCAAAACGCAATCGCAAGGCGCCGAGCGCCAACCAGATCCGAAACAACCCAGAGATGGGAGGCCCTCAGATGAGAGGCGGAGGAGGTGGCGGTAGAGGCATGTACGGAAGGCCTAAGATGCAAAACCGAACCAGTGCTAGACTCATGTCAGAGATCCCCGGTCTGCATGAGAACCTCATGGGCAACCCGTTGCTAGGCTACTCTTCGGACAGATACGGAGGTGTCGATCGTCACAACCTTGGACAGGAATCCAGAACCAACTCACTCACCGCAGAACGCCTGAACGAGCTTTCACGAGGTGGCCCTCCTGGTCAAGGTCCTTACCCTGGCCCAATGCCACCTCAGATGGGTCGACGTGCCAGCAACTCTCCCGGGAATTCCTTAGGACCTTCAAGAGGACCCCCTGGCCAGCAACGTCCCTACCCGCCAAATGGTCAAAACGGATACCCGCACCCGCCCCATATGAACGGCCGTCCATCGCCTCCTGGCGTCATGGGCTCGCCAATGCAACGCCCACCAACTCAGCAAAACCAAGTGCCGCAGCATGTTGAACAGCAGAACGGGGTGAGCCATCTCTATCCGCCCAAAAGCGGCCCTCAAGAACGCAGTCTGACAGGTTCCGCGAGCGCTAGCGCGGGGAGTGGTGATAGCAACCATTCAGTACCCCTTGATTCCGACCCATCGGCCCACAGCAGCTCCAGCAGCTTAGGACCTCGCCCAGCCCATGCCGTCCGTTAAAGCACCGAAGCAACGATCGGCCCTTATCATCTGAATGTGAAAGACTGCACAACAGCTCATACCCGTAACTCCATTCACGTCCATGTCCCAACATTCACCAAGACATGACGGACTCGATAACTGATCATCTCTTTCTTCTCCTTCATACCTGACTGCATTATTTGATTCGCAACATCTTCACTCCTTCTCTAGGCTCGCGAATCAACAACGATCGACTCCTTCTATCCCCTAGGGTTAGATGACATGGGTTTTCCTAGACGGCGGCTACTGGACATCGGCGCATTTCTTATCAGCATCTGAACGCGTCGCACGTACATACTTCACACCTCAGCATCGGTATGCTGTAACGGGCCTTTTCGAAAAGTTCGCCAACAGGCTCTGTTATGCCAGAGCGACCGGATGTTTGGCTTTTGCCCATTGTCCGGTCTTTTCATGTCCTTCTTATCGCCGCGATGCATTTTCATTTGTCTCGTGTTTTTCCCTCATCTGCGTTGAACGATCACCATCCCGGAGAGAGCGAGAGGGGAACAGTCTCTTTGGGTGACTTTTCCTGTTCGACTGAGCCAACGGCTGGACGGAATAACCGTGTAATATCTTCATTATTTTCGGATGCGGAGGAACGGAGGAAAACAGTTTCTATTCTGTTCTTGACCCTCATCAAGCTTGTATGGGTTCAATGGACTTTTGTTGTCTTTTGTTTGCAACCATTGTCTTGTTGATGTGTGAATGAAGGTGACATGTGCGTCACACTGGGATCAATGCTAGCAGAGACTAAGCAGGATCCGACCAGAAATATATCTCTTGCCCACGCAACTCTTCTCGCACCTCTTCAGCCTTGCAAAATGCATCCCTGACTCAGATCAACCTGCGTACTGCAGTACTACAGCGACATCGCCAATATTTGCTAGCTGATACGGCGTTTTGCCAAGGTGCTCGTTTCGCGTTTCAGACGTGTGGTGATCAAAGCTTTTTATCAGATCATCGGCCTCTTTTATCTGATCGGTCTCTTTTTGGCGAGCCGTAGGATCCTCGTTTTGCTGTGACTTCTGTGAGTGGGTAGCCCGCAACGACATGTTCATGTTCCGAACTATTCTCGCGGCTCTTCCAATCTTGCATGGGTTTTGTTCGCTCAACACGCCTTGCCAAGTCAATGTAACGTCAAAGCATGCAAAGTAGCCGAGCGAGTTACTTGATGGCAATTCTTTATCTCTGCGAATGTAGGCCGACAACACGTCGGCCCATTTTTTGAGGCTCTAAAGGTATTTTTTTCTTAGCTATAAGTATGATTTTCTGCACTTCCTTGTGTTCTTTCTGTTTAGATTGATAAGATTTCCCTCTTTTGTTTTCTTCTTGATCTCTCTTCCTTCACTGTGAGATCTTGCAGTTATGCCTTCTCAACATTTTATTGAATCTTTGGAGCAAGAGAAGGGACGATCGAATGTTACTTCGAACCAGGAAACAATGGTTCAAAACACACTTTCCAAGGATGGCCAGGATAAGGAAGCTGCGGTCACGATTCTGGATAACACGTCTGTCAATTCTTCTCAGGATCCTGCGAATATACTTCCACCTGTTCCATTACAGATGAAGCTACTGAGTGTGTTGTTGGTGTCCTGTATCGGCTTTGGCTCTCAATGGAGCAGCGGTGTCAGTTCAGCCATGAAGAGCACAATGAAAAAAGTACCTCCTCACCCTCCCCTCCTCACCCTTCCCTACCTTCCCGACCTCTTCTAACAAAGCTCAGGAAATGCACATCAACAACACTCAATTCTCCCTCCTCGAAGCCAGCGAAGACTTTATGTCTTCTTGTCTAATCCTGCTCACCGGCATCTTTACCGACCGTCTAGGCGGCACTGGCTGTATTGTCTATGGCAACATCATCTACACCGTCGGATCTATTCTCATTGCAGCAGCGGCAGAGGTTAGGAGTTATAAATTCATGATTGTGGGGAGGGTGGTTGCTAGTTTTGGGGATATTGCTACGCAAGTTGCGCAGTATAAAGTGTTTTCTTCTTGGTTCCCGCCGAGTGCTGGGTTTGCTAGTACGCTTGGATTCGAGTTGGGAATCAAAAAGGTATGTTTTGTTTCTGGAAGTGAAGTGTTTGTGAGATGAGGGCTGATGAGCATGAATAGATTGGTGGGTTTGTTGGCAAGTCGACTGCCAATATCATTGCAAAGGTAAGACTTGCCTTCTTGGCTTCTGGAGAAGATGAGAGTAGATGAATACTGATGCAAATCATAGAACTGCGGTTTCTCTTCCGTCTTCTGGACAATGGTCGGCATGAACATCTTTACAAACCTCGCTACAATCCTCCTCTTCCTCCTTGTCCGCTACTGCACAACCCGCTACTCCCCCACCGCCGACCCAGCCACCAAAGAAGCCCTGACGGAAAAAAACAAACATCTCGATTTCAAAAAGGTCTTTTCCATGCCATGGCCTTTTTGGTGTATCATGGCTTTTACACTGTTCCAGACGACGACGGCAAACGTGTTTTCTCAAAATGCTACCGAGCTTGCTGAACAGAGGTTTAACATTGATTCTGTGGCTGCGGGTTGGTATACGGCTGTTTTGCAGTATGCGGGCTTTTTCTTTGTGCCGTTGGTGGGTGTGTTTATTGATTTACTTGGGCAGAGGATTTCAGTCATGGTGGTCTGTGGTGGTGGATGTTTCCTTGCCATGGCACTGGTTTGTTGGGCCCCTACTGTTCAGGGCACAGCTGCTGCATTTGGAATCTATGCATTTGCGTTCAGTCTGGGGCCTACTGTTATCATTGATGGGGTGAGGACTAGTATGTGGCATCAAGGTGCTTTTGGCACGGCATATGGGATTAAAGTCACCATTAACAATGCGTAAGTCTCAACCAATCCTTGAAGAAAAGCAGAGCTAACAAAAAAACAGCATGTCCTGTATTATCCGCATCCTCACCGGCGTCCTCCAAGACGCAGACGGCAACTCTTACACCCGTGTAACCCGCGTCTATGCCTTTTTCGGCTGTGCTTCCCTCGCCATCTCCCTCATCATCCTCACTCTTTCCTTCCTCAGCCCTGATCTCGGTCGCTTGCAGTGGAGTCGCAAACAAAGACTTGCAAGAGGTGCTTTCCTGCAAGATCGCCAAAAGAGATTCGAGGGCGAGATGAAGGAGAAGAACAAAAGGATTTCGGTGGTTTGTTTTATGGGTATGGTGATTGTTATGCTTGGAGGGTGGAGTGCGTATTTCTGGGGTGTGGCTACTGGGAATAACTCGTAGGTTGGGTTACGATTGACATTTGGAGGGAGAAAAAAGTTATGTTGTGGTCGTACGGCGGAAAGTGTGCATAGACGTGTACAGTTCTTGGTGTAGAGGATATTGGGCAAGTTGATCCAATTTCTGAATCCATTACTTCCGTCATTGGGATGTGGTATAGAGTCCCAATCGTCACACGCCGATGTCATCCAAATCCTGCATCGTATCCGAATGTTGCAATCAAAGTACAACAGTTCGAGCCTCTGCAACCGATCAATTGCCTCAACGGAACCAGTCTTTAGCCATAGCAAGATCGTGGAGCTCCTTCTTCTGCACCTCCTCCTTGGCAAGTGACTCGATCCACTTGGGCAACTGACCAGGCTTACTTGCCAAGATGGACTCAAGCTCAGTGACCTCTTTATTCTGCAGTATCTGACGAAGCTCTTGCTCTTCCTGTGCGATCTTGAGATCCATATCTGGCTCGACCTGCGAGGCCAGATTTTGATCTTCTCCTTCATGTGCAGATGACTCGATATCTCTGTTGATCTGGTTTGCGACTTGGAATGGATGTTAGTGGGATCTCAGAGCCGAGTGAGGCTCGAGGGTGACAGCTTCGCCAGTATCTGACTCTGTGAGGTCGATGATGGGGAATGCTTCCTCTCTCTTGACCAGTCTTCTCTTCTTGCGTGAGGATCTTGGGGCGTCGAGCATTGAGGATCTGCGAACCTTGACGGGAGAAGTACGATGCTGGGCTACCGTATCGGAGGCCGGATGATCCTCAAACGATGGAGGTGGTGGATCGGCTCTCAGAATCGCAACCACGGCGGCAAAGTATGCGTATTGCACAGCCCTATCCTCGATCTCGTCCAAAACAAGCACATCATCCAAAGCCTGACACCAAACATCACACAAAGGATCCAAGTTTGTGTAAAGAGAGCCACGAGGCGCACCAGGTTTGGCATAAACATTGCTCTTGCCAGAAAACTTGTACCAAGCCTCTGCTCTAGGATAACCAGGTGCCTCAATCCAACCGATCAGCAAAGTGTCCTGCAAAAACTTCAAAGCCGATCTGGGGATGAAGAATAGTAGAGCAGGTTCGATCTTGTTGTGTCTGCTGTGGCCGATGCTGAGGATGACATCCTTGAGGTGTTGTACTTCGGCCACGGTTGGTGTTATGCCGTGAGATACACGTAAGCTGTCGTAGAGATCTTGAACAGTCTCATTGACCTTAGTGTGAAGCATTTGTGACATCTATGAGATCGGTCAGGTGAAGATCTGTTGTCATCAACTAGAAGATGCGCTTACCTCGATTTAAAGTGTGAGGGAGCCTTGCGTCAAGCGCGCGAAGAAAGCCACAAGAAAAAGACCGCAGACGCAAAAATGCTGTCTCCGAAGTTAGAAAGTGATATATTCCTCGGTGTGTTGTCAGTCAGACAAAGTGTTGGTCTTGGTTTACTCAAACGTCTGTCGTGTCGAGTGTATAGGCTTATGTCCTGCGGTTTATCAAGGGCCCAGAAAGGGACCACCAGATAACACAGGCGCTGTCAAAGGAGTGTAGTGTTGTTGAAACAAGATGTCAACAACGAAGAGGCATCTGGAAAGCGTGAGGATCCTGGGGCCTATAGACTGGATGTGTTGAGTGGCAGTGCGACACAGTGCCCGATCAGAATAGATAAGCAAAACACAAGAACGGAGGTAAAACAACGTGGAGCTCGGGTTAGCTCTTTGACCAACACTGTCCGCTTGGCAGTGATCATCTGCCTAGAATGTCGAGACGTCGTGACCAGATGATGCCCACGGTTGGTTTCGAATTTGATAACCATTATCCTGCTTGCATATCGATCTCGTTAATTCATCTCCACTGCCTAGAGCTGGGACTACTTCCTATAACACCATGTTTGGCCATCGCAGCAATGGCGCTGCTAGAGACTCAGTTCTCAGCTCGACTACATTCAGTCATCTCATTAAAGTTCAGTACTACCCATTCCCTGTTCGTACCTCTCCGCTCAACGGCGTGTCTACTGTTACGTCGTATCTGGCTCATTGCGAACACGCTTTCACACTTTCAGCCCTTCTCAGCCGAATAAGTTTCTGACGCTTGCGAGGTCTTGAAGCATCTTCTTCTCCAACTCTTCCCTTACAATCTTCTCGATCCAGGATGGAAGCGAGTCTGACTTCTCGGCCAGTAGCTGCTCGATCTCGTCGACTTTCTTGCTTCGGACTGTGGTACGTAGGGATTGTATCTCTTGCTGGGCTTCGCCGACTGGCTGGTTTGGGCTGTCAGAGGCAGGAGAAGTGGCAATGCCAAGTGGGGGCTTGATGTCTCCTTCTACCTCGGGCTCGGTCACTGTAAGGTCTATAGACCTCGAAAGCCAAGGAGAGATAGAAGAGGTCCGGTAAGGAGGACAGGGCAGATTGTGAGAAGAGTAGTGACGAGCACAGAAGCTGTCTGATTGGGGTTGTTGGCGATGACGGCGCGGAGACGAGCAGCCATGTTGGGGGAGATACGTGCGACGGGCTCTCCAGGAGCATGGCCATGGGTATCTTGGTTGTTGTTCCCTTCAGAGTCTGCCATGTTGCCGGTTGCTAGTACTGGAGTTGGAGATGTGCAGAGAGTGATTGCTTGGAGGAGGAGGAGGATGAAGGACGGTGAGCCATGCATTCAATGGGTGTTACATCGTGTTGTGCTTCCGGATTCTTCTGTGTTGGCTGCAACAACACCCATGCCCACCTACAGAATGTGCTCGAGTGTATGAATGTTCTGAGATTGTCAAGCCCAAAGATCTAGTCTTTGTATCTCGCAACACCACAGGCTCTGGAATGACCGAGATCTTCATCATCGTCGTTCATACTGTCAGCATCATAGTCATCTGCGCCGACATAAGTAAGTCTCTCTTCCCACTCAAAGATCTGTGCCTTCTTTTCCGTATTGCGAGCGCAGAGTGTTGCAAAGAATCGTGCGCTGCGAGCAACGAAACCGTATGCTGCTGCTACAATGTTGGGACTCGGTTCTTCTTGGTCTTGCATGATGAGGTATGTTGATGTGAGGTTGGTGGTTGGAGATAGTAATATGGTTGGAAACGATCTTTATTGAAGTAGATCTGGCTTGTGTCGAGCAACAATGAGATAAATGTTTGTCTCCAATGCAGTTTCGGACGACGCGCCAAGCAAACCCGAGACTACTTTTGTCTCGCCTGAAAGGCTAGGAGCGACTTGTCATGATCTGAATCAAAGCAGTGACATCGATTGAATTGTCTTCGAACGTCTCAAATCGTTGTCAGACCGAAATCGTATTCCGGAACTGAACAGACGACTGTGATTGATGAGAAGTGAGAGAGCCAATTATCTGAATGATGGTCTCCCAATTTGTTCTTATGCTGCCTGTCTCTGATTTCTTCTCCTGCCCTGAGAGGGGCTTCTGCGTGCCTGTATACACGTTAGCAATCAGCGCTTGTGCCATCCATCTGTGAACTGTCAGATCAACTCACCTTATCATTGGATCTCCTAATCCTATCTCCGGTGCCTTCCATCATGTTTGCTGCACGCTGTCTAACACCTCGTCTATCTGCTTCTTCCTGAACATCATCTACTACATCAGCATCGCCAGCACAGCCCGTGCTAAAGACCCAGTCTAGCACTCCCCAGTTGCCATAGTTGCCTTTGCCGCCAGTTGTATGGTGCGAATCAGTCCTCTTCGCCATACCAGCCAGCAGGATCTGCGATGGCAACACTGAATAGCCAGAGTAGATGAAGAATTGCTCGAGACTGACAATAGCGGTCAGGATGTACCATGTCATGACATGGAAGCGGAAGAACAGCGTGGATAGGTACAACGGAGCCCAATCGGTGAGAAGGTGACAGACAGGATGGTCATAAGCAGAGGCAAGAGAGAAAGGATGTCTCAAACTGTGTGCCCAATCGGCATGCCAACGTGCCAGAATTGAATCCCTGGGCGAGGCATGCAAAATATCACGATGGATGAAGTAATGCAAGAATCCACGGCAGACAAGGCCATACAGCACCTCCTTGACCATAGTCGGCCACGGGGCGGGTGGAATCTTGCTCACACGAATTGCAGAACGGATGTTAAAGACTTCGGTCAGCACAAAGTCACATAGACCTTGTACCAAGACTGAGAAGGCAACATTAAAGATGGAAACAAATATCACGTTTCTGAGTCTGCGAGAGCTGAGTTGAGTTGGGAGCTGTGCGGCACCTCGGGTCTTGATACTGGCCGAAAGACTAGGTATCAGAGTGTCGAAGCCTAGGACGGCAATGCTAGGCAGCACGAAGAAGATCATCCTGACGGCAAAGGTACCAACCAGTTCCAAGTACAATGGGTCATGAGTTGAGACCAGGGTGACCCAGGTCAGGAGGAAGAAAGCGAGACTGACAGTGGTCGAGGAAGAGCCAAAGAATGGAACGGCAAGGAAGGACAGCAAAGGTAATGGCTTAGCCATTAGAGATGTGGCTTGCGATATCAGCTTTGCTGAAGTCTTGGAGAAGAGATCACTGATTGAGAAGCTGCGTCCTTGAGAGTAGCCATAGTAGTAGACCAACTCGTCACGAAGTGCTTGCAAGGCCATTTTGGCAGACTGTTGGGAGCTCGTGGACTCCAGAGACGTCTCGGACGCGATTTGAGGGATGGTACCAAGCGATTTGATGGAGGGGCGGACGCGATTGATTGGTGATGATGTCAAGGAGAGAAGTTGGAAGTTGCGAACGCGTTTGTCGCGTTCGTAGGGCGGGGTGGTTGGCAGTCGCGTGGCCTCGTAGTGGACCCGATGATTGCGGCCGGGAGCTGGTCTAACGAAAGTCAATCGCAGCTGGGGCTGAGACTTTGGCAAAGCCTTTCTCTTCAACGGGATGAAACGATTATAACAAGGGAAAGGTCGCAGTATTTGCGATGACTAGGACGCGACGACGTCATAATTCGAAGTAGTCGTCAAATCAAGGCTTCATCGATGTTCAAAATAGAGAGATTGGCAAATAGAGTGGGTGATGTGTTTGATGCTACATGGTGGGGTGCGTCTAGAGTGGGTTCCCGCCCCTGAAAGCCGAATGTTAATTTGCAAGTCAGCCATGGTCTGCAGAGCGACGGCGAACAGGCTCCGCGGTATTATTATGAGGAGGGTGTACCCTTCGGAGCGTCTCCTTGCTTCTCTGACACGTCGCGTTGCTCTCTGGCGCACAAGGTGATTGTCTTGACAACAAGAGACGGCATGGGTGCAGCTTGTGCGACGTGATTCTAGCTGGGCGCATTCGAAACGATTGATTAATATCCCCTGCAGTCCCATGTCACAGGTACGAGCCAGACAGCGCTAGACCTGTGTGCGTGAGGGTAGTAAAGTACTCGCAAATCTTCCACCATGCCGGCCGCCCTCCCACCACACGATGTCCGACGCGACAAGAGGCCCTCGACTGCCGGCAACTCGTCGTCCTCCAAGCGTGCGCCTGCTGAGCCCCAGGTCATCTCATCTCTAATCGCTTCCCTCGACGACTCCAATTCTTCCTTTACCCACGCGTCCTACGCCTACGTCTCGACCTTGGACTCCTACGACGACGATGGCACTTTCTACAGCAGCCCTTCCCTCCGCCGACCCTTGAAACACAGCCAGAGCTTTGGCATGGACTACGGCGCCTACCGCCAGCCAATCCAACAAGACGACTACGACAGCGACGGCGCAGACTTTCCCGTCGTCCGCACTTCGAGACGCCCACAAGGCAGAAGCACACATACTGCGCCCTCCTCCCCCGGACTGCACGGCTTACGAGAGATCCTCCGCTCTGCCTCCAAGACGTCTCTATCTCTGAACAGACCTGAGGTGCTCAGTCGCAGCAACAGTCGACTGAGTGTCGACAGTTGGAACAGAAAGAATTCGTCGTCGTCTCCTACAAAGCTATCACTAGACACGCCCTCATCCTCCGAGAGACTAGGCGGAAGACTCTCGCTCCGCCAGACCTCGCGCGAAACCTTGAAGCCGAACAAGGACTTGCAACACTCGGCCGACCAAGCGCTGTTGAGCCCGAACCTAGGCCTTGAAGCCAGGGACCTGGGCAGGAAGAACACAAAAGGGAGACTCTACTTGGAGGATGTGCTCGAAGACATGGCCACACCCAGTCCCATCATCTCTCTGACACGCTTGCCAGCCGCTACCGCTCACCCTTCGAGCAGCAGAGACAGTTCAGTAAAGGCTTCAGCAGAACGTCTGCCAGCCAGCACCTCTAGAAGCACACTCCCAACTTCGTCGAGTAGCCCCATGACCACAGTCATCCCTCCACGCTCCTCTTCCTTGAACAAACTCACCAGTCCGACAAAGCCAAAAGCCAAAAAGCTCAGCAAGGGGAAACGCGCTCTAGCTGCGCTCAGAGAAGTCAGGGAGGTCAAGGAAGAGCGAGGATCTCGTCGCAAGTCAAAGGCTGATGCGCTCAAAGATATGTTCGAAGGTCTAGATGAACAAGACGAAACCGTGAAGCGCATCCGACAACTCCGTCAGCAGAAACAAGATCGTCTCCGCATGGAATCTGAGGCTCTGCGAACACAGAACGACAAAAGGTCCGTGCCCGACTCGGCGGCCTCGACTTTAGCGGATTTGCAAATGCGTCCCGCCAATAGAGCTGCCGCCAGAGTCCCTGATTTGCGGAAAGCTCACCGTATGCTCGGCCTCGATGAACTCTCCAAAAACTCATCCACGGTTCAGCCCCAAGACACCACAACGGCTTCCCCTTTTGACAGTAACCTCCACAGCAAACCCAGCGTTGTCCGTCATTCTCCCAACGTCTCTGCAAGCCTGTCTTCTTTCCCTCCTGACTCTCCAACCATCGGGAATGCCTTTTCTACTTCGTCCGATTATTACCGTCCCTTCCACACACAGATTGCAAATGTAGCAGAAGAGCAACCATATGATTCATCCTCGGTCGGTAGACGCGCCGTAGCTAGGAAGTCAACTCACTCTCACATCTTGAATGGCCTAGACATTGAGGGTCTCGATATGTCACCACCCAGCACCGCGCATTCTAACTCGACCATCCAATCGCGTCCAAGGTCAAGTCGACGTGTTTCTTACGACGCCAGGTTCCGACGCAAGTCTATGAGCGATGCTCGTGAGAACCGCCTTCTCGAGGACGACATATTGCACGAGCGAAACAGCAATGTGTCTATGGCTGTGAATGCTTTCTTGAACAACCCGAGATTGAATCAAAAGATAGCACACCCTCAGACCGGTCGCATTATTTCCTTCTCCGAAGTTGGCGATCCGAATGGCCATGCAGTCATTGTTTGCGTGGGCATGGGTCTCACGCGTTTTGTCAGTGTCTTCTATGACGACCTAGCGTCTTCGCTTGGCCTTCGTCTGATCACGCCGGAGAGACCTGGTGTCGGCGCAAGTCAAGCTTACCGCGATCGAGACCACATCGGACCTTTGGCCTGGCCGGACGACGTGGTTACTATCACTCATCACCTGGGCATCTCCGAGTTCAGCTTGATCGCCCACTCTGCCGGCGCCATCTATGCTCTGGCGACCGCATTGATTCTGCCTCAAAGTGTCCGTGGCAAAGTACAACTTCTCGCACCTTGGATCCCTCCTTCACAATTTGAAAACGTCAGCCAAAAAGACAGATCACCGGACAATGTGCCGGTGGCTGCGTTGACACGAGGCCAACGCTTTCTTCGGGTTCTGCCCGTGCCTTTTCTGAAGGCTGCGAATGGCAACCTTTTCTCACCGGCTTCTCTCAAACCCGCGAATGCCAACAAAGGCAATGGATCCCCCACATCTGGCTCAGAGTCTCCTCGTGGCGTCCCTTACAGGAGGAACTCCAGAAGGCGACCAAATGGTTCCCGACGAGAGAGCATGATTCTCATGGATCAGGTCATTCCGGAGCGACCGAGAGACACCATGTTCCCATTGCCCGAGCTTTGTGAAGACGAAAAGGGCGATAAGACAGTCCGCAAGCCATCGGAGATTTCTCTTAACTTGTCTGCGACGGCATCGCCCATGGACCCTGGACTTATGTTTGCAGCAGAGGCTCTCAGTGCCGCAGAACATGCCGCAAAGGAACACCAGGCCGCCTACTCTGCCTTATTGACCGAGAGAACCTGGATGCTAGCCACACGCGATGCTAACCCTGCCACGGATCTTATTGTGTGTCTCGAGCGACATCGAGACATTGGCTTCAGATATGTGGACGTGCACAAAAAGGTTGTGATTACTCACGGCAGCGAGGATAAACGTGTGCCTGTAGAGAACATCCGCTGGATTGGCGACCAGATGAACAGACACAACATACTGCACTGGAGTCTGCAGGATAAGGATGTCGAAGCAAACGATGGCGGATGCGACATCCGTGTCTTACCTGGCGAAGGCCATGGACTGATGGCTCATCCTGGTGTCATGTCAGATATATTGTCCGACATATCCAGTGAATGGAGCCCGACAAGATGGCTCATGCTGTAACTGTAATGAGCAGGGGAAATGTTTGATTGTTTACACTCATGGTACGAGACTTGGATACGACGGCCATCTCCCAATCATGTCGATTTCTTTTCTTTCTACAAGGTCATATTGTTTGGTTGGACAGTTTAGATACCCTCTTTCCTATGTTCGAAATATTCATACCCATACTTTCCGGACGTATTGTAGGTTAACTTTTAGACACTAAATTATCATTCTTCAGAACAAACAGATGACGGCGATGGTGAGACTGTACTTCAGTGGACGGTGTTTGTTCCTCTGATCAGCCCGGCAACGAGTGTTTCGTGTGACGGTGAGTGATGAGAGCGAATGGGTTCTGTTGCGGCTGAGTGCGTCCCGAAGCACTATGGGTTGCTACGGCAGAAGTAAACAAACCGCCAAGGAAAGGTGGTCGAGCAGTCCGCGATAAAATCAAGCAGTCTCGACAGCATCACTTTTGGTGGTCGGCATTGATTTCCAAGGCTATCTTACTTTTGCAAAGATCAAGTTCTCCATCTCGCGTCGAGTGAAGTCGATCGCGGCGCAGATCAGAATCAAGTGATTGTACGAGGTGGTTGGGCATTTTCGGAGGCTGGAAAGACTAGCTAGCCTTGCAGGCGCACACACGCAGGATAAACCCAGCACACCACCCACTCTGCACCTTCCCGCATCATCTTGTCTACACTTCTCCATCTCACCTTTGCAAAGTCGTTGACGGCTCACCGTCGCACCGTTCTTATCAAACAGTCGTTGCCGATAGCCTTTTCGCTCTACATCACCATTGCTTTCTCTCTTATCGACAAGCACCTCTGCGGGGTTCGCAACGGCTATACCACACACGACGCGCAACATTCCACACACCCCACAAACGAGGCATTTCGCCGCCTCGAGTCAGCCATGCGCTCACCACGCCGCGACCTGATTACCTCCTCACCATCGCTACTACGTCTGGCTGTCATTGCTCTCACAATCAGTCCGACATTGGCAAATCCGCTCATTCCAAAGGAACTCGGCATTGGTGGCTTGTCATTGAATTCGCTGTTCGGAAGAGGCAGTTGCGAGACTCCTTGCGGGTGGTCTGGTCAGCTTTGCTGCACTGGCGGAGAGTCATGTTATACAGATGCGAGCAACCAAGCACAGTGCGCATCAACAACGGCGCCTGCAAAGAGTGAAACCACAGGATACTGGAAATACTGGACAAGCACCTGGATCGAGACAGACACCGTCACAAGATACAGTACTGGAAGTTCTTGGTGTGGTGATGCTACATCCACCGCTGCCGTCGTTGGTGGGGGCGGTGCAGCTACCTCAGTCTGGGTAGCCCCTTCCTCTGTCGCTGCATCGCCAACTGCTTCGGTTACGTGTAATTGGGACAGTGGCCAGTCATCTTGCGGCAACATCTGTTGCGCAAGCGATCAATACTGCTTGACTTCTGGTCAATGTGCAGCAGCCGCAGGGGCAGGCACTTCCAAACACAGCTCAGGAAGCTCAACTGGTATTTCTCCCGCCATCCGCCCAACAAGTAGCACTTTGGTAATCGTCACAGCAACTTCATCCCCTACGACGACGGTCCCGTTCCTCGCGCCTGTTGCTACAGGCGCCAATGTCACCCTTACCGGAGCAGAAGCTAGTAACTCGCATGGTCTTTCTGGCGGCGCAATCGCCGGCATTGTGATCGGTGTCATTGCCGGCCTCCTCTTGCTCTCGCTTCTCTGTCTCTTCTGCTGCGCTCGAGGCATCTGGGTCCTTCTCTTCGGTGGCCGCAAAAAGAGACGTACAGAACGTACCGAAGTCATCGAGTCCCACCATCACAGAGCCTACAGTGGCGCAGGAGGCGCAGCCTATGCTGGCAGCCGTCCAGACGAAAGAAGATGGCCTGGCTCCCAAGCCCCTCGCAAAGAGAAAGGAAGAAGCAAATTCACCGAGATGCTGGGCATTGGTGCTGCACTGGGCGGCTTAGCCGCTGTCCTCGGTTTGAAGAGAAAGCATGATCGCAGAAGAGATGAAAAGAGCGATTACAGCAGTGCTTTTACGGACGCCACCTACAGTGACTACTATACCAGTGAGAGTAAGTTGCCCATGGTTTAGACTATATTGAGCCAAATACTGATCCCATCAACAGGCAGTGCAAGCTCCGACGACAGACGTACGAGAGGTGGAGACACGAGACGCCCGTCACGCCACAGATGAACGAGATTGATACGACAAACATGGGACTGTGAGGAACGGCGACGAATGAACGCGACGTCAAGGATATGAATAAAAAAAAAGGAAGATACGACTATGAAGAAAGGGGGGTAATAACATTATCCACGCATGGTGGCTATTGACAACATTTTGGCGTTTTCTTTTCTTTCTCGACCGGGACACTGGTTCGAACAGGTACGCCTGCTTCACGCATTTTCGACGGTGTTTTTGCTCTTCCTTTTGATTTGTATCACGATGGCGAAGAGCTCGAACAGAGGTCTTTGATGAAAGAAGAGAGAGAAAGGTGTTTTGCTTCAGCTCAACACATGACGAGCTTTCTGTTGTATATAGCAAATCCTGAGCCACACGCCTCATGACGAGACACACACTTGTCCAAACACCATCTCCCCTGCGTTCTCACCAAAGCTCGCACACCCATCCATATTCGTGCCAGCCGAGGAACATCATATCTTTGTGGACTCCAGGTAGCTTGCGAAGCGAGAATGGGCAACACTGAAATCCACCAAAGCAGGTAGGGGTCAGTGTAGATGGTATCTAGCAAGGCCAGCTGGGCTTCTTGTCTGATCCATGAGATGTCGTGCTCTGTAGGGTAACCCCGGGACCAACTTGTCTACCACCACCAGCGGACTTTTTCCTTGTCTTCAGAACCGATTGGGGATGTTGTTGGCAAGACAAGCTCATTCGCCGACGCTGGCTTTTCAAGTGTCACTGGAGCTTCCTCTAGAGGTTGTCACTTTCTCTTCTTCTGTTTGGCGTCAACGTTAATATTGAACATGGAGATTTGCACTCGCGCTTAATCCAGTGACCCTGCCTGCTTGGATATTCATGACTCGCTCTTCAGAATCATCGGTGGGTCTATTAAAGTGACTGTGGACCCCAAGGCGCGATCTCATAATGTCCCTCAAGGCCTTCTCGAGGCTTACAGGAACTTCGTGATCCGCGACCACACGTTCAAAGTCATCGGCGAAAGCAGCGATCTGTTCTGCCTTTTGTTTGTCGGCGAGAGCGGTGATCAGTTTCGCCTGTACATTGTCCGCGGTGTATCCGCTGTCGAGACTGCAACAGCTTACATGTTCGAGGGCAAGCTTCTCCATGCTAGTTCTGACGGCGCTGTTGATGCTCAGCATGCTGAATGAAGCTAAATCCGAAAGGCAGGTTGGGGGCTGTGCTGTCGCGACGTCAATCGTCTTTAAATCAGGGGTGTTGGTGATTGGTTTTAGACCCAGGCGTCCACAGGGTTGGTGAGGATTGTCCCTAGCAGCAAAGTGATAGTCTCTTGCGCAGTGACAACCTCTTGTGAAGCAAATCCTCCGAATGTACGCACAATGTGCACTAGAGGGCGCGCAGTGATTTTTGTCTGTATGGGCCAGACTTCCTCAGATTCTGCCACGATCTCTCAGCCTCCCAACACCTGATCCTGCTGTGTACTCGTCCCTCCCTTTCCAGTCTTGGCTTCTTGAGGCTCTTATCCTTGATTATCAGAGCCTCACTCTAGCTTCAGCTCGCACCAAAAAGTAACCCGACAGTGAATGATAGTGCTTTTAGTTGCAGTCACACTTAACTCTTCGGCTGTTGTCTGGTCCAACACGTTATTCATCTCTTACCTTGGACATTCACGATACCTACCTTCTCAGTTCTGACTTTATTTTTGGCTGCTCTTCTTTCCTTCACACCATCTTACTTTTCACCTTGATCAACTCTCCTATCATTCATCACCATCTCTGTGGTCGATACCTCTCTGGGCCGGCCCAAGAGCGATAACTTCTCAAAGCCAACGTCGACTCTCATCACCCAAACCTCCGCGATCATCACCTCCCACTAAACCTATCGATACGACATGCTCCAGGCAAAAGGCTGGTTTCGCACCCCCAAACGCCTTCACACGCGCAGACTACCTTATTACGAAGATGTCTACCGCCAGAGAGATCCAGAAGACGAGATACTCCGAAGCATCCACACTATCGACTCCGAAAGCGACTTAGAGCCCGAAGTATTCACTCGCAGATACAAAGTCAAGCACAGGATGACTTCTCGAAAGGTCGACAAACCTAGTGACGCCAACGCCAACGCTGTCGCTATGTCGAGCTCTGTTACTGACGAGGCTGGAGTACCAAAGACAATTGACAGAAGCACCGGTACGATGGCATTGCTAGTGAGCTTCGGCTATCGCCTGACTGCTGACATGCGTTAGTCCTCACAATCGATGACGACGACAGCGATGTAGACGCTCTATTCGTCAGTGAAATACGGAGATACGGTAAGCCTGCCATCCGAGAGTATATCTCTACAGACCGCTGATATCGCATAGCTCAAGACGACAGCGACAAAGCCAATGGGGAAGACGATGACGACGGGATGAGGCCTCAAGGTACCGGCAGCAAGAACGGAGTCGATGCAGTCTTCTTGGCTCAGCTGAAGAGATTCGGTAAGGCCTTTCGAGAGCTTGCGTTTCTTCGTGTATTGATGGTTGGACAGCTCAAACTCCAGAGAGAAATAATGAAGAAGACGAAGACTTGATTCAGATCAACAACCGAGGTAGGACGCCGTATATGTGGCAAGACACTATTGCTGAGATCGTTACAGCCGAGGGTTTCAGAGCTATGCATCTGCTGGGGGCTCAAAGATATTATGCCTCACTGCGTCAGGATCAGGAAGGCGACCACGATACCGTCAGAGCGTCAGTCGAAGCTTCTGTCGCCCTAAACACTACCGAGCTGGTCGACGACAGTCATGGCAGAGAAGTCGACAGTCAACCGACGAAGACTCTCACGAGAGCCCATAGCTGGGCCAGTAGTCAGAGCTCCAACTATCAGCATTCTGACGACGACATTGAAGTCGACAAGGCTCGCAGAAAAGCTCGTAACGAAAAGATCAGGAGTGATGAGCGCTGGACGATCGCGTCTCGCAATCCTGGCTCTGAAGGCAAATCTGGCTCCGAAGGAAGAGAATCTGCCCAGCCTGTCGACATCCGGAGTGATCAAGCGCTTGACGACATCCATGACAACAACCCTGACGACGACGACGACGAAGAAGAAGACGATGCAGAAGACGCTCAAGATCAAGATCAAGACAAGACCAGAGACGATACACCTAGGACACTCAGCACACACTCAAAATCCTCGGAGAGTATGCAGCGTAGACGATTCGGAATGTTCGCATCGAATCCAACACCCGTCGCCGAGATGGACTTTGTTGATCTGACGGACGAACCTCAGCCGAGTCTCCGGGACTTGGTGAGGCAGGGACGCATGGAGACTGAGAGTGAACAAATCTCGACCACACAAAAGAAGCCGAGATACGACCTCCGCGTACGCAGGCAGCCCGTAACTTACAACGAGAAGAGAACATCAGGCAAAAGCACTGTCGACACTAAAAACCGAAAGAAGGCATACTTCGACCTGGAGTTAGAACACACGGCGAGGGAGACGAGACCACGCCGTCAGACTCGATCGATGACAGCCTCAAGAAGAAAGCTCAAGACTGCCCCTCGTGTCAGGGCGAAGGTCGAGGTCGTGATTCCCGCAGCTGGTGACAGATCTGCTTGGAAGACTATCCCATCGCCCTTGCCTAAGCGTAGACAGTCATCGTTTGCGGAGAAGATGATCAGACAAAGCAACACGGCAGCGATGGCGAGACTGCTCTTGCAGGTCAAGGTCGCAAGCGTCTGAAGATCAATCTTGAAAACAAGACTGAAGCAAGAAAGGGCCACCGATCGCTTGAGATGGTCTTGATCGACTAAGAGATGTCGAAACCAGAGTGTGGCTGGCCGAGACTTAATCATCAGGCGCATCGATGGCGATCGCTTGGGTTGCGGTGAACATACGGATTCTCAGCAGAACGGCCGAAGATTCTTGAGGATCCTTCGTGACAAGACAAGAATGTAGCAGCTGCAAGATGCGTAGGATCCGTGAGATACGAACAGAGACGCAGCGATGAATTTTCAAAAGGCCGGAGACACTATTTCACGACTATTTGATAGGGCGGAGGAGAAGCATTTCGATGGGAAGGAGATTACTATCCGGGAAGCATCCGATTGGGCCGGCTGGCTGGCTGCGACGCGTCGAACAAAAGAGGCAGACGCCAGGCTCACGTCTCATCAAGGGAATAATCGTCTTACAATCCTACAGCCATGTCATCGACTCAATATATCAATCGAATTCGAAAGGCGATTCGGAAATGAACCACACTGATGAAGAATGGCACGGTGACTGTTGTACTTGTTGCGTGTTGGTCTCATGGAAATAACGAAACGAAACACGCGCGCGCCGAACTGACGCTTCAATCTCTTGGCCATCTTGGCTGTACCACAGATCTGGATATACCCGTCGTCAGCCAAGGCCCGTTGTTAAGGTAATCAAGGCAGGAAGGTGGTTGGCAGCATTGAAACAATGTAGAAAAATTGGCGTGGCGAGACAGCCCTCGCTGCAAGTCTTTCTGACCTTTTTGTTCTTATACTACCCCTTCTGGTCGTTGTCGAAGAGATTGCACCTTTGGCCGTCCTGAAAGTATGAATTCCGAACGCCGCTTCGAGGACCAGTTGGAGCACCAACAGAATGTGCCTACCAATTCTGACCGCCAGCATGCAAACGCAGCGTATGGCGCTGGTGACTACAACTCAACCGTATCTGGAGCCACCTCGGACGCCATCAAACATGCCCTCGGCCGTCACCAAGATCCAAACTTCCGCCCTGACCATACCGTAAATGCCGATACGACCCAGCGACCGGTATCAAATTCAAGAGAAGGCGGTGTTACAGGGGTTGGCGAGGGTCCTCAGATTCTGAGTACATCGAAACATCTCGAGATACTTTGTGGACCTCTGCTCAATTACAGATACATGAGCGGCCAGTCGACCGACAATCCTTCGTGGCATGGAAGCGTCTTGATTGTCACGACCCCTGGTCAAAGAGCCCCTCAGCTTGTCATCCGCAGCGCTGGTGCCATTCAACACTCACAGGAAGTCGACGGTGTGAAATTGTACGAGGATCCTAAGAGTGCCTTCTGGCGTTTCGACATCCAAGTGCCATTCCTGGCTCAAGAGTCGAAATGGGAGTACGGTATCCCTGGCGCCAAATATGTTGACTCCAAGAAGACGGGCACTCCTGGTCCCAAGTCGTTCTACATCCCTTCGAAGACCGAGTCAATGAGAATCATGTTCCACTCTTGTAACGGCTTCTCAGTCGGTACTGATACTGATGCGTGGTCTGGCTGCGCTCTGTGGAACGACGTCTTGCGCATGCACGAGAAGAAGCCTTTCCACGTAATGATCGGCGGAGGTGATCAGATCTACAACGACGGTGTTAGAGTGGACGGTCCTCTGAAGCCATGGACTGACATCGGTTCGCCTCACAAAAGACGTCACTTCCCTTTCAACGAAGACCTGCGCGCCAAGTGCGACGATTACTACTTTAATAATTACGTCCGCTGGTACGGGACTGAGCCCTTCTCTTTCGCAAACGGTCAGATCCCTCAGCTCAACATCTGGGATGATCACGACATCATTGACGGCTTCGGTAGCTACACTGACCATTTCATGAGATGTGCCGTCTTCAGAGGTATCGGTGGTGTAGCTCACAAGTACTACTTGCTCTTCCAGCACCATCTTGCGCCGCCGAAGAGTACCTTTACTACTGACGCACCCCAGACCGTGCACGCCAACGAGCACGGTACAGCTTCGCCCGATGCTGTTCAACTGAACGATGCATTCGTCAAGACCAGCGGCCAAGAAGAGCCGTCGTACATCATTGGTTCGAAGCCCGGTCCTTACGTCGAAGAGCGCAGTAGATCCATGTACTGTCAGCTTGGTGCACGTATCGCCTTCGTTGGTGTTGATGCTAGAACCGAGCGAACCAGACATCAGATCAACTACCCCGAGACCTACGATCAAATCTTCCAGCGCACTTCCGCTGAGCTTCAGGCAAACCCTGCCATCAAGCATTTGATTCTACTGCTCGGTGTTCCAATCGCGTACCCACGTCTGCAGTGGTTGGAGAACATCCTCCAATCGCCTCTCATTGGCCCTCTCCGTTTCCTTAACAAGAGATTCGGAGTAGCTGGTGGATTCTTTAACCAATTCGATGGCCAAGTGGATCTTCTCGACGATTTGGATGATCACTACACAGCTCATCAGCACAAGACTGAGCGCAGAGAGCTGATCCAGCGTTTGCAAGACCTGGCAAAGAGACATGGTGTTCGTGTCTCGATCCTCGGTGGTGACGTTCATCTCGCAGCTTTAGGTCGCTTCTACAGCAACCCCAAACTTAATATTCCTATTGAGCAAGACTGGCGCTACATGGCCAACATCGTTTCGTCTGCCATTACCAACAAGCCTCCTCCTTCGGCTGTCGCAAACTTGCTCGCTAGTCGCAACAAGATCCATCATCTCGATCACGACACGGATGAAACGCTGCTCAATCTGTTCGATAAGGACCCTGGCCATGAACGTGACGACATCAAGAACAAGACAAAGGACAAGAACCACTGCACGATGCCCAGTCGCAATTACGCGATCATCGCCGAGTCGCATAGTGGCATCGGATCTTCTGCCACAGCTGCTGTTGACGCCGCAACAAACGGCACCACTAATGGTCATGCTAATGGTCACACCAATGGCCACACAAATGGTGCCTCTACCCTGACCGCAACTCGATTCCCAGCTGGAGACAACCCTCGCAATGCTTTGCACGCGGGCGAGCAACAGGCTGGTACTACTCACCCCGCTGCTGAGGGCCTTCAAAACACCGGTCTTGGTGGTCCCGACGGCCTTGACGTCTGCATCAAGGTCGAGATCTCGCCCAGCGACCGCGAGGGCCATACTCAAGGTTATGGTTTCTCAATCCCTGGTCTCGATGCTGGCGCATACAAGAGTCAGGGCACTGCGTGGTAGTTGTGTCTAATGGACAATATTCACGGCTGTTCGAGAACAGCTGGTATGGGAAGGATTCTGCTGCATTTTTGTATTTTCTCGTTTCAATTTTGTTGGTTATATTAGGTCACGACCTGGATGTGTTTGGATGACAAGATTAGATAATATCTGGATACCCCCTTATGAGCATTAATACTATTGTTTGCATTTCAATCAGGTCTCCTCTCGACCGACCAAGAATAAGAGGAAAACTCCGGCATGAGCTTACCAAGTGTCGGTCAAAATTACATCTCGAGTCTGGATAAACACGGCGCATGGTCAAGTACGAATTACCCAATAAGACTCCCGGAAACAAGAAAAGCATTATTTTGGCCAGACGTGGACCATCGTAAAGCTAGACTTGAACAGAGTTCTGATCAACTAGCTCAAGCGAGGCAGTTGTTGACATCATTACAGTCTTCGTCGAGTTACAAGTGGGAGACCTGCATCCGAGCAAGTAGCGTAAATACAGTCGTATGCCGCCTGTGCTTGGGAGATACACACCAATACAGGCAGAAGCATGAGCAAGCTTGACCAACAGCTTTTACGACTTGCAAAGGTCGAGGCTATACTCAACTATGAGTTCAAGAAAAGAGACAAGGCCTACCTGTGGGAGTCTCTCCAAGTCGTCACGCCCGAGCCATTCATCATTGGTGGCTTCAGGCCAAAGAGAGTAATCAAAGGCTTGCCATACTCGGAGACGTTGTGATGGCTCTCGTCGTAGCAGAAAAGTGGTTTGATCGTCCCAGCAGCAAGCCAGGTTAGTCAGTCCTGACAGTCACCAGTCACATACTGATTTTACCTGACTTGTACAGCTGGCTGGTCGCGTCTGCGAGAATCTCACCTAAGTAACAAACACCTAAAGGTGGTCGCCCAAGAGACAGGTCTTCTTTCCTGGGTCGAACTTTCAGGAGCATGTATACCCAAGCATTCCGCTGCGACTATCGTAGAGGCTGTCATTGGTGCTGTATATCTGGACTCCGGTCGTGATCTGAAGGCTGTTAAGCGCGTCATGACTGCCCTTGGATTCGCTGACGTCGTGGGCAATCCAACAACCACTCCTTAGGGAACCGTCCAAGATGCCTCTTAACCTCTATCGCTTAGATCTCGTTGTGTCCGGCTGGTAGCGATGGAGGACTGATTGATACGAGGGCCCTTTGGTCCGGCTACGTAGGTGGCTCTGGTCATCAAGCGCGGCGTTGCTCACGACGATATTGACATACTAAGTTGATGGAACTCTGCGCTCGTTCACTACTGAGCCCTTGAGTAGCTGGACTTAAGAGGCCCTCATATTGAGCACCTCTCCATATCTGCCTATTGTTTCTAGCGCCATGAGGGTTGGCAAGGACTGAGGATATTTGAACTCGCCTTTTCCTCTTCTCTGATTTTCTTTTGGTCTTGTAGAGGCCTTCAACATAAGCGATGCTCTGGATATGACCTATCAACTAGGCACATATTTCCTTTGTACGCTGTCTCTACTTCCATCTTTTTTGAAAAGGCAGTGCCCGATTACTCCGAGGACGTAAAACAACAAAAACACTTGCAAAGAAGATAGCGAAGGAAAGGACAAAATATGTTTACACAACCTGCTGTTCTCTAACTAGTCTTTCTCTCATATAAACACCACGCTCATTGAATGTCTGACCTGCGATATGGCAAGATTCAAGTAGCTCTTCCAAGAAGTCTCCGTTGCGTGAAAGCAGGGGCGAGTTCTGATTTTCGATATAGATGAGCAGTCTCGTTCAGGGCTCTTGTGACCATCTTCCCATCTCGAAATTCCGTGATCATTACCGTTCACTCTTACATATGACCCACGAGAGAACTTGAGACAACCACGATCGACTGAAGGCAGGGACGAAACTTCTCCTTGATACACACAAGCAGTCTCCTCCAGGGGTCGTCGAAACAGCTCTCACCTCGCTCTCCGTGATTGTTTCTCCATCTCGAAAGCCCTCGATCGTTGCCGTTCACTTTAACGTGTGAAATACGCGCAAACCTGGAATCTTGACGATCGATCGAATTGTCCAACTTCACTCGGCGCCGAGCTAGCCACCAAATCCAAACAAACGAGGGCAGATTTCGAACACGAACTCTTGTCGACAACATCGCTTGATTGTCGCCTTCGATCAGCTCTTCATCTTCTCGGACGCGCGACTGCAGTGTTTTATCGTCTCCAAAGCGTTTCGTAACAAGGCGCATGCGCAAGGTCAGTTGAACCCGAGCATTCCACGTGACCGCAGCTCGTTGTTGACAATCGACAGCAGCCACCTAGACGTCGAGATATACTACCCAGTCTCTTCAATCGAAGTCCAAGATCTCAGCAAAAGCAATCCACCCTCGACACCATGGAGAACTCCGAGAAGATCACCAAGGAGACCGTCCAGTCTGACGCCGAAAAGTCGGCTGAGCAGACCCCTCGTACCGTCATCCCCATGGACACCAGCCAGTACCACAAGAACTTAGAGATGCAGTCCCTGCTCATCAAGAAGATGATCCGCAACGTCGCCGGGTTGAACCACACCAGCCCTTACGTCAAGATCGAGTCCAACTACGAAGTCGACGTTGTCCCTAAGCATCTCACTGTGGTCGAAGCTCGTGAAATGATGCAGAGACACATGGTCGCTTACCATGACGCCTCAAGACTCACCAATCTCAACAACGAAAACGAGTCCAAGGAAAAGGAAAAGGGAAAAGAGAAGGTCTTCGAGACTGTCTCCTCCTCTGACGAGACCGATGAGGTGTGTTCTGACTCTGCATCAACTCAGACCAAGACACCCATCGATCCTTCTCAAGAGAGCATCGAGAAGGCCGAAGTTGTCAAGGAACTTGAGGTCGTCACGGTCGAAGACCTGGAGAAGAGGTTGGCCGAATCTGCTCGCTTCGCTGACGACATGGAGGCCAAGTTGCGCGCTATCGTGAGGAGAAATAGGAAGCACATCGGTCTGTCGGAGTAAGCGATAGTCCATCACCAAGAAGGGTGTGAATCGAAGAGATTCATCGGGCAATTAAGTACGGCAGAGAATAAATAACAGACACCACCTTTACCACCCATCTTTATACTCAGACTGTGATTCGTTGCTTGGTTTTCATGTAATTGTGAGTCCTAAGTACTAGTCTTGTCACCCATAGCCAACCGGTGTATGACAGGGTCGGTCTATAATTGCAGATAACATCGAGTTCTCGCTCCGAACGAGAGCCTAGAGCACTGATGATAAGAGGCATGATCATATGTGCTAATGAATGAATAAAGTCGGGAACAGTGTGACGTGACCAAGGAGAATGCAATTGGATAAGCAGATATAAATTGTGTAGGACAAACTCCCCTCGGGCGATAGCAGTCCTCTGGAGCAGCGATAAAGCGCTGAGTGACCTTTATACCTTGTTAGCATGATTCCACAACAAGTGAAGTTGATGTAAGAATGCAAAGTTGGAAGATAGGAGTCAGAGGTATTGTGATTGTGAATAGTTCTGTCGGCATGCGGTCTTCCGAAAAAGACTGCCAAAGTCCGAATTGCAGAATTCTTTATGCATCATTCAAGTGATGGGGGCTTGGGGAGAACGTTTTTGACTTACTACCTTAGTCGTTCAGCAGACGTGTCTACTGTGATCAACACAGTAGACACGTCTGCTGTGGTGCAAGAAAGAGGGAAGCAGAAAACGCGAAGAAAATAGCTTGAGAGTCGGTCTTGGCAGGCATTGGGTGCACGGTCCTCCAACCATCCAGGTCCCGCATTTCGATATTCGAGGTAAACAATTGACGAGTATACCTCATCTACCTTCAATTGTTGTCGCATGCCCATATCATCGGGACTGGGAAGATAAAAACACCACAATGTCCACGAACAACAGGCCGCAAGGCGAAAAGACATATTTCGAGCAACAACGTGAACTTGTACTCCAAGATGTCGCAACAGTAATGGCACCCTAGCCTTCTTATGCGACAGTACGCTAACTCTGCGCAGAATCTAGAGCAAGTGCTTCAAAACATGAATACTTTGAATCGAAGTCTCGAAAGCGTCATCGCTGTACGTGTTGGAGCCTCTTCCTACCAATCTTCCAAACGCCATCTCAAAACACAACCGCCCTTACACTATTCTGCGTTGAGCAGTCGTCAGCATGCCGAGAAGAAAATGCTGACCATGGAACGCACAGGTCGGCAACGAATTCGGCCAAGTCGAAGGGCTTTGGTCAATGTTCGAGAACGTCATGGCGCAACAGCAACAGCCAAACAGCACGCACGAAGAAGATGGTCAAACACAAGCGCATACTGGCGCGCAAGAGAAAGGAGAGGGGCATTAGACGATGAAATAAGATGAGGAAGAGTAAGAACCAAGCTGCCGAAGATGAGGAGAAAATATGATACCCAGAGAGAGAAAGCGAGAGAGCATATCACGACCGTCACGAATAGAACTTTGCCGCTAGGCATCCAGGACTAAGTTGCCGTCGAGCAACAACAACAACCACAACAATGTAACAGGCTACGATCTATAGACACTCGCCGGCTACACAGAGCTCAAGGAGGAGATGTTCCTAGGACTTGTCTAATTGCACACAGCGGGGTCTGAGCGCTTCTACCTATGCGGAGCGGATCATGATATTCTCTGCAAACTGCAAATCAGATACATACGGCCACAGTCAGCTGAAAACTGGGCATCCCGTCCGCTCTGCCATACATAAGCAGTTGAACGGCAGATTAGTACTACGGTGGGTGACCACGTGGGAATCCCTGCTGCTGTATGTTTTATGATTTGAAAGTCAAAATATTTTGCTGGCTGCGTGTCTACTTCTTTCACAAGTGTCTAGGCAGACAAGCGCCTGGCGAGATAGCTTTGTGCTTGAGAAACGGAGCGAAGCCCATGGACAGCCTCGCCTTCTTTTGGCCAACGGGAAGGCGATCATGCGGGTCGTCTCTGATTTGTTTCGCAGAAAGCGCTGACACTGCAGGTCTGACCCCAGCAATAGATTGAAAAGCGCTCAACACGCCGAGGAGCAAGTACACAGACCACGAAAGCAATCATGGATTCGGTAAAGGAAAGAATTTACAGACTTTGTGATCTCCAGCTTCTCACGAGTGGCGCTGTAGTCCCACTTACCTAGCACACACAGAGTTGAGCGCGATGAATTAGAGCGATTGGGATCGTCTTGAAGCCCATCAGCCTTGTCACACGTCGCCACGATGCAGCCTAATGCAACAATAAATTAAGTCGAATGCCTTCTCGCGAAAGAAGTTACATGATAAGCTCCCGCAAGATGTACTACTTACCTGGCTTCACTGAAGCACAAGCCGTAAAGTATGCCACCTTCAAGCGTTGAATATCAATATCTGGCCATTCGCACAGGGGAGGACGGTGACGGAGACACCGTCCAGAGCCATGGAAATGCGACAATTACGACGCCAAGCTTGAGATCAGTCTCGGGCGCTCGCAGCGCTGCTGGAGATGATGCTGTGCCTGAGGCCGAAGTGCAATCCCTTCTTGAAAGAGACAGTCGCTCTTGCCTGGATACGAGTAAAAATGATGTTGTGGTAGTCGGAGAAGAGTTCTCAGATCCGACACAGAAGGCGGATTGGCTTCCATTGACACTACGACTTCCGTATCTCACCTTCCTCATCGCCTTATCATGCGGACTCGGGATCCTGGTCCTAGTCCTTTTGTTCTTGTCTGCTCGTAATGATGGACTGGGAAATGACAAAGATTCCTCCACACTTTTCTTCGGCTGGCGTTTCTCGCCAACTTTGATCGCCACCGCATACGCAATACTGGTGGGCTCTATGCTTAATGACATCCGAAGGACAGAGATCTTTGCTCGTATGTCAAGACACGGAGGCGCCGCTGCTGCTTATACACTCTGTTTCCCAGTTAGGTCCTGGTGGAACGACCCTTTCGATGCTTTAAGCCAAGAGAAAAATAATGGCGTCCGCAGCTTTGCTCTATTCTCTGCTTCCATTGCAAACATCCTCGTTCTTCTGGTGGTGTCTCCTCTATCCGCCGGTCTTCTCTCCCCAGTGAGTATCACGACCGTAAGAGACACAATCTTCCACAAGGCACAACCAGCTGCCGACATCTCCTGGCAGACAGATACTTTTGATACTGTCGGGTTCCGCACTATCGCAAGCTCAATCCTGAACAAGACCACCTCGGCATGGATAAATCCACAGTTTGCAGTCCTGCCCTTCTGGCCTTCTCATACGGACTCTCCCACTGGAGCCAACTTCTTCAATGAATTTGGTTCTCAGCAGTGGAACTCTCATACAATTGTCTTCAAGGCGGAGCTAGATTGTGAGCCTCTCGATGTAATCAATTTCTCTAGAGCCAATTCGACGACCGATGAAACTGCATTGACAACCGTCAAATTGGGTTCGTCTGATGGTTGTAATATGACGATCGCGGAGGACTTCGAAACATCACACTTTTACTATGGCGGATGGATGAGAGGCGATCATGCCTTATGGCCTCGTGCTGGAAATTGTGGTGACCGATCGACCATCCTTGTCAAGAGCCTAGTCGGGAACGACCTCGTGTCAGAAGTGTTCAAGTCAACAGGCTATATCTGTAAGGCCGACTTCTTCTCAGCAAATATCAACGTGACGGTCAGCATCAGAGGAGAAGCGACGACTGTTGACTTTGACAACAAGGAATTTGTAGCCCAACGAAAGCCCTTGGATCCCAATCAATACGATCTGTCTGTTTTGGAAGACAACTTTCTCCAAACCAATTGGTCGAAAAAATTCTTCAGCACGACGACCCTTGTAACGCCCCCATATACAGGACCACTATTGGCTATTGCGGCCGATCCTGACTATAACAACGATGCTGACGCGATAATAAACAGTACCTCTCTATTAGAGAAGGCATCGCGACTACACCAACAATACTTTGGTGAGATGTTGCTTCCAACGCTAAACACAGCTTCGGGTCAAGTGGACAGCAGCTCAGGAGAGATTATGGTTCTAGAAAGACGTATCATCGTTGTTTCGAGCATCGCTGTTACCCTTGTAGTACTCTTATTCGTGTCATGTGGTTGTACTGTCATAGTGGCATACACTACGCGGTCAGCACAACGTACGCTACATCTCTACCAAGATCCGGGAAGTATCACCGCTGTCGCGACTTTGATCGCCAAAGACCGCCACGCTAGGAATGAGTTTTATGGCACTGACAGAATGTCAAACGATGCCTTGATGATTTTGTTGGCCAAGCGTCAATTCAAGATAGAGCATGGTCGTTTATTGTCAGCAGATGATGCCAAAAGCCGCGGCAAAGATGGTCAGTGTATTCCGCCAACCACAATTGCTTACGCCACTGACAACTGTCATTTAGAAAACTTGTCCTCGGACAACCAATCCATATACGAAACAAGTATGAGAGACCCTCGACCAGTGATGATCCGTATCTGGATGGCGTCAATGCTACTGACTATCTTTGTCGTTTTGGTTGGTGTTCTTATCTGCTTATACATACTTTCAAGAGAAGGACGTCTTCATCAGACTGTGCTTGTGAAAGCTCTGAATCTGCATGCTCTCGAGCTCTCGACGACCCTCACGCCATATTCCATCATACCGACGTTGGTAGCAGTCGGACTCAAGCTTTGGTTCAAAGCTGCGGCAGAGACTTTTAAGAGACTACAGCCCTTCATCTCTATGGCCAAGTCGCCGTCTCCTGTATCTAAATCCGTCTCGGCGGAATACACGAATACGCCAATAATATTTGTCACTGTCAAGGCCTTCAAACACTCGCATTGGCTACTTGCGTTGATAGGAGTGGGGGCATTTGTGACAGAAGCCTGTAAGTTCTTGGAGCACTTTGACTTTCAGGAAAAAGCTAATGATCGTAGTCACTGTAGGAATGTCAGCCCTGTGGGATCGTGAGCTACGAAATGTACCTCACGCCTTCAATGTATCTCGTCAACTGGAAATCCGAAGTACGCCGCAAGTCTTCACCTTTATCCAGCGTGGCTCAAGTGCTGCTCAGAAAACAGTCCTGAGCTCGGTATTTGACGCCTCTCTCCAGAACTGGCTCTATGGTGCAACTATTGAGCTAAATCAACTTGCTTTGACCCCGCCTTGGAGTAAGGACACTTGGAGCTTTCCTCCTCTAGACTCTGACATCATTCGAGGAGCAACGTCACGAATGAACAGCACTGCGCGTAACATCACTCTGAAGACTTCAGCGCTACGTGGCCGTCTCGAGTGTGTGTCTGTAGATGTTCCAACTGAGATACCGAAGTGGCTTGGCGAAGTCAACCTGAAGAATACATCGAAATCAAATGGAGCGTCAATCCCCAAAGGCTTCGATCTTGGTTACTATCTGAACGATACTGCCAGTCAAGGGCCAGGACTCAGAGATATAGTGTGTTGTACAAATATCACGCATGAGGATGTGGGACATTCCGTAGTTGGCTATTGGTCAGATCCTTTGAATGGACAAATCCCGACGACTCGGATCAAGTGGATATTGGGTCAGCCGCTCGGAACACTACCCGTTGAACAACATGGTGTGGACAGACTGATCTGGTCGAAGCCACCACAGGTCACAGCCATAGATTGCAAGCCAGTCATTGAGATCGCCAACGCTTCGATCAACATTGACTACGAGACAGGTGTCGTGCAAGACTACGCCATCCTGAGTCCACCACAGAACGCCACTATGGCCTGGCTAGATTACTACTCGTATCATGGCACAGACACCAGTTACCAAGCACATTGGTCGACGAATGTTACTCTGAGGTAGGTCAACGTTGCTTTCAAGCTCGGATGTCTTTGCTGACCAAAACAGCTGGGGCTACATGTTCTGGGAATCTCTTTTGGGTGCTTCACATTCTTCAGACCTGTTAAACGAGATGTTGCTCTATTCTGGCCCGGAAAACCTCTTCGATGGCGTTTTCAATCTTCGCGGCCCTGGTCTGAACACGGATTTCATGTCGTACTCCATGTTAGCCTTGGCCAATAATAGCAAAGAGGCGCTTCTGGACCCCAAGACGCTAATTGAGCTTGCCAACCAGACCTTTGGTATGTTCTTCAAGCACTTCGCCTCGGAAGAAGTGAACAGCACCGCTGGAGGCAGGGTCTTTCAACCAATTGGCGAGAAGCTGCCATCAGAAATTGGCCCAGTAACGGTTGGTGGTCAGATCACCGCAGATCAGGGGGCGACGGGGCTACAAGACGCCGCAACACCTCTCCCACGTGAGATCGAAGCCGTTCTCCTGGTACCAGTAGAGCAGCTGATCATGTCGCCTATTGCCTTCTATCTTTCTACATCTTTCTTGGTGTTTTTGATCTTCACCACAATCGTCATGTACTCGGTCAATCGTGCTCAGTATAAGGCACTTCCTCGAGATGTGGACACACTGGCTAGTATGATAGCATTTGTCCACAGTAGCGACAAGCTACTTGCTTGGTCTGAAGACTCAGCACACTCAGGAGCATGGTACAAGCTCTGGAGCAGGAAGAGTAAGAGCTCCGAAAGTCAAAGACTGAAAGCTCAAATGGGTACATTCAAGGACAGCGAAGGCAAAAAGAGGTGGGGCATTGAGCTCGTTGGTGATGTTGCTCCGGTGTCACTGCCAGATGATGCTAATCACTCTGATGTCGAGATGCAGAGCTTGCGCTCAAGCCGAGGTGAAGACAACGACAAGAATAATTCGCATGCGGTTCTGCTTGGCGATTTTACCTGGGAGGAAGATCGCCAATCGAGGAACAAGATGTGTGAGGACAACATGTCGCAGTGAGGGAAAGAAGACTCAGTGCTTTGACAGGCATCAAAGTCCCAATCTAGACTTCCTAACATAAATACTCAAAGCTTCTTGAGCCCAACCTTTTCCACCGCCACCCCAGCTAACAAGTTGGAAACCTCATAACACAAGAACAACTGCCACCATGGAGCATCGTTCGTGCGTGGTGCGAGATGATATCTTCCGTGCCAGGTGTCAGGAAGTTTACGGAAGGCGGTGGCTGTTTGTCTCGTGGTGGATCAGTATCGTTTCCAAGGGACAATGGATGAAGGCGAACATACATGTCGTACCTTCTCCGTTGACTGATAATTCGATCTTAGAGCTACCGCGTTCTCCCATTTGAGCTGTGCCTGCAAGAAAAGCTGATGAATCTTATCTTCTGAACTAGACTTGACGGTAAGCGGTCAGTGGTGGGGTTAAAGAAGAGGATTTGATCGAGTCTGTGAGCGATGAAGTGGTTTTGACTATATGGAGACCGTTGGAAGCTATGATCTCATCTCTTCCTTCGCGCTCCTGGTCCCGCGTCGTATGCGAGTTTAGATCTTTAATGTTCTTTTGGCTGTGTGGAGCAGTATATCGTTCATGGAGCGGTATGACTTGTATAGACAACAGAGAGATTGGCTGAGAGGATTCCATTTGTTCTTCGTCTTACGGAGTCTGTTCTGCTTTTTCATCGCGAATACCCTGACCTTAATTCTTCTTGATCAAATGTTCGAAAATCCTTCCCAGCTCAAAAGCCGACTTCTTGGGATATCTAGTCTTCTCTTTACTCTCGAAGTCAACCCAAGAACCACCGAAACGATCAGTGTAGCCAGCAGCCCACTCCCAGTTGTCTGTGAATGTCCAGGCAAAGTAACTTCTTATGTCCACACCACTTCTCACTGCATCTGCTACAGCGCCCACATAGCCTTCGAAAAAGTCTTGACGGAATGTGTCGTCTAGCCAGAAGCCTGATGTAGGATCCCAGTCATGTTCACCTTTAGCAGTCGTGCCGTTTTCGGTGATGTAGATAGGAGTTCGATAGCGATCCCAGATCCAGTGGAGCAAAGCGAGGAAGCCGGCAGGATTGCTCCGAAGCCAAGGAGTATCGCTTTCTGCACCGCGAGACACACCAGCTTTGTTGGTATCGTGGAAAGTAATGTTGCCCTTGTGGTCGTTTATGTCAGCAGGTTCGTCGCGGTGACGAACGTAAAATGTGGTGTAGCTATTCATGCCGTAGAAGTCGGAAGAACCTTTGACAAGTGCTTTCTCTTCAGGCGTGAAATGCGGTAGACGGTCGCCGAGCTGGTCTCTCATACATGGTGGATAATCACCAGAACCGTAGATCGGATCAGCGAAGCAGGCAATCTCGAATTGTTGAGCTCGGTCAGCAGCCTCGACGTCTTTCGGATCATTCTCGTCCCAAGGCGCGCTGTAGTTGCCGTGGAGAGTAATACCAATAACGCCTTTCTGTGTTGGCTTGAACTCCTTGCGATAAATTTTGACAGCACGAGCGTGACTGACTAGCTCGGTATGGGCGACGATGAAAGGCTCGGTACTGCTGTCTCCAGGATCATCGCGCTCAGGAAGGGAAGAGCGACCAGGTGCGTGAACTCCCGCAGCATATCCAGCAAGCGTGTAAACTCCTGGCTCGTTGTAGGTGATCCAGTGCTTGACGCGATCGCCCAGAGCAGCGAAGCAGACACGAGCATAACGTTCAAAGTCTGGAGTGTACCGGGCTTGATCGAGCATACCGCCGTATCTGTCTTCCAGCGCTTGTGGGGTGTCCCAATGGAACAAAGTGACAAAGGGAGTGATGTTGTTAGCTATTAGCTCGTCGACAAGGTTGCTGTAGTATTGGAGACCAGCTTCATTGATCGGATCATCTTTGCCGCCCAGAGGTATAATGCGACTCCACGCAAGACTGAAACGGTAAGAATTGACACCTAGCTTCTTCAGGAGCTGGACGTCGTCTTTATACAGGTCGTAAGCACAAGTCGCATCAGCATTGGTGCTTCCGTCTATGACCCTGCCAGGGATACGCGAAAACTTGTCCCATATCGAGTCGCCCTTCCCGTCGGCATCCCAAGCACCTTCGACTTGAGCTGCAGCTGTTGCAAAGCCCCAAAAGAAGTCTGAGCGCAGCACTGAAGCATTTTCTGGCGAAGAAGCGATTGGAGGAGTTTTCATGGCTCTTGAATTCGAGTGAGTATGGTATGCACCGCAAGGTAGACAGATCTGGGTGAGGACTTCATCTCTTTCACGACTTGTATAAGAATGGAGTCCAAGAGGGGTCGCTCTGAGATTGTCCGACGTTGCGCAGCAGAATCATGGAAAGACCACCAATGAGAGGCGTGGCGGCTTCGGGGGTTCAACATCCGCGCAGGATCGTGAACCACATTCGCTGTGGATCATCATTCCCTATGCGGATTCAATTTGCCAAGATCTCTAGAATGACGTTGGTAGTCAGACGAGCAGTACAAGCCTCGATCAGATCAAATTGTGAACTTGACTTGAAGACGCGGTTTCCTTTGCTTGGACACAACACCGTGTAGAGGTGCGACGAGGGGGCCTCGACACCGTCCTTGCTCATCTTTGGAACACAATGTGGCCTCGTAAACAACAAAGACAGACCGCCGAGAATTCACAAGGTTGGCAGTTGGCATAAATAGATCACACGTGAATAAGGTCTTAGATTCTGATTCTCGCATTCGCATTCACAGGAGCTAGTCGGTCTTATATCCGGAGCTGCCTATAAGAATAAGTAATTCGTGTTAGCATGGATAAAGTGGAAGGAGCAACGGCGGCAATAAACTAATTGGAGAGATTGATCGACCTATAGCAAGGGTAAAATCACAGCCTGGGAAGGGATGCATATAGCTGCATGAATTGGTATGCCGGAATCCTCGAATCGGCTAGTCAACTAATCGACCGTTGAGTCCATCATATCCGCGCTCGGAACCTCATGCTTCTCTGAATGACGGCGGCATAAGAGGAGCGCAAGTTCTGCAAGACACTTTCAAGGATTAGGTAGCCGTTGTAGCTGATGGAAAGCGGAGTGAATAAGGGGAGGCCCCCGCGCACGTGATTTAAGGTTGACGATGATGCAACAGGCGTCCAGATCTAGGCGCTCTTGCTCGACTTGGTGTTGACCAACTTCTGTGGCTCCTTCCCTTCTTCATCACCGTCGACACACAACATCCAACATGGCTTCCTCAAGCAGCACAGCAACGCCTCTGCTCTACTCATGCATTGCATACAAAAACACGATTCTCACCGAACACACGACTTCCGCCGCCTCAGCCACGTCTTCATTGGCATCGTTGATCCTTCCCAAGATCGATCACTCCACAGCCCAGAAGTTGACCTACACACACGGCGCAAACCACATCCACTACATCGCAGATGCTGCTGCTGCTTCTGCGCCGGCACCCGGCAACGCTCCTGGTCTCACTTACCTCGTCATCGCCAAGCAGGACCTAGGACGTCGCATTCCCTTTGGCTACCTCGTCGAGATCAAGAAGCGGTTCCTACAACAACACCCCAACGCCGATTTCTCAGATCTTCCCTCATACGGTGCTGCCAGCTTCAACTCGGACCTCAAGAAGCTGATGGTCGAATACGGAACCACAAAAGCGGGCCAAGACGATGCCTTCAAGAACGTTCAGGCCGAGATCGACAACGTCAGAGACATCATGAGCAAGAACATTGAGCAAGTTCTGGAACGAGGCGAAAGAATTGACCTTCTGGTCGACAAGACCGACCGTTTGGGTGGCTCTGCCCACGACTTCCGTGTGCGAAGCAGAGGCCTCAGAAGGAGAATGTGGTGGAAGAATGTCAAGTTGATGGCACTCTTAGTTCTCGTCATCATCTTCCTGGTTTACCTGATGGTTGGCTTTGGATGTGGCTTGCCAGGTACGTTGGATCTTGAATTTCTTCTTTACTCGCAATTTGCTAAAGAAAATCATCACAGGTTGGTCGAGATGCATCGGCCACTAATATTTCATACGACTTACGACTTGCCTTCTGCTTACTTTCATGTCTTTAACTTAGCGAACGGTCTGTACATATCTTATCTGATTTCTTTCCTCCATCATACTCGTTCGATTTTCCTACTGCCGTTTCAGCTTCGCACGCCACATTGTTTCATGCTGCACACGCGGCATACCACTGTTTACACAACCATCTCGGTCATGAATGCCTCCCGGCCGACCGCGGCCGAGGTGACGCGTCGTCTTCATGGTCACATTTCTTCTATAGCTCAAGCTGCTTTCCTTTGTTACTTCCATCGAGGTCTTCGAGTGCTCCATGTTGCTATCCGTGCAGGACAAGCAGAGCGCGACACCATCAACTAAATGTCGACTCGCCCATTTATCTATCAGCAGTCTCCCAATTAACACGACAGACAGTTGAATAGACGCAACTCGACCGCCTGTGATGTTGTTGATTCATCATGGCGAAGCGCATGACAGCCATCTCTTCTCAACAGAGGTCAACCAGCAGACCCCACCCGTTTCGTTCCAATATCAACACAATCTCTCGGCGACAACTCGATCACGGCTTCTACAATCAAGGCGCCTCGACTTGTTGCACAGGACTAGATCTTTCGCAGACCACTCTGGTTTGCAATATGCCACGACGCGATGCTGATCCGCAAGAGTCCGCCACACAGATGTACGGTCGAGGAGACCCTCGCACGAATTACTTGGTCGTCCTTGCACCAATCGTAACGACCATTAGATGGTCAGGTCAACTCCTGCCCTCTCCAATGCACTGTTGGTGTGCTCTCCATCGAGTCGAAACACTTTCGGTGTCACAGGAGCGTTCTGCTCGTCAGCTTCCAGCCCGCGGCAGTCAGGGCTGTAAATGGCTCCAATCCGTGGAGAAAGCAAAGGCGAAGATAGGCGACAAGGATTTCAAGAATCGTTGCACGTCTCCCGCTTCTTGCTTTAGTGTTGAGGTGCGGCTCACTGACAGTCCGATGCTGAGGCTCTCCGCTATATCGCCTTGAACCTTCTTCGCCAGCCCCATCACATCGCTTGACACACAAAACCAATGCTCTACCTTGGCATAGCAATCCGGACACAGCTCTCGAAACACTCGAGACCTCGACTCGCAGACTTGTCGCTCGCACTCGCTTGTTCGATGTAGGTCGTCTTTTCCGAACCTAGGTCTTTTCCCGCGGTAGATACGCCAGCCAGGTACGTTCTCGCTTCATTAGCGACTTCACCAATCTATGTCTTTACTCAGGTAGTCTGAAGTTGTGTTCACCACCAGTTGTTGCAAGACGAAGCCGAAGCATTTTTTATGGACAAGCACTCTGCAAAAAGTCCTTGGCAGTGGCAGTGCAACAAAGTATCACCAGCAAATAAGACTTGGCTCACCATGCACCCCGAGACTTGAAACACTCCTTATGCTTGGCTAATCAGTTCTTCCTCCTTTGACAGCTGAATGCATGAACCCAGCATGACAGGGCTGGACAGCTCCATGGCAGATAGCCCTATGTAAGTGTTGTTGGTGCACCTACCTTGAAACGCGCCCCTCCGTACCAGAACCACATCTAGCATGCTTGGCTCATCTATAGCGAGCGAAAATACTAGGCCTTCGGCTGAATAAACCTTGACGAGCGCTCGCCGGATGTAACGCCTTTCTGCTTGGCTGCAATATGCTGGGAGGATGTGATCGTTTCTCACAAGCGAAGCGATATTGACGGACCATGTGCGGGTCATACAGGAAGGAGGTAAAGCTGTTTTAGAAGCGTCGCGAGACGGTGATGGACATATAAAGGGCTGTTGAAGTCTTCCAGAGAACAAATCATTCAACAACAGTCTCTCATTTCTCTTCCTTTCTACATCACATTCTCCCATCATGGTTGCTGGTATCAAGTTCCTGCTCGCGGCTCTCTTGCCTGTCGCTTTTGCCTGCAATGGCTACACTGGTGGTGTTCCCAAGGCTGTTGGCACCAAGACCAACAGCAAGGTGATCACTGTCAAGGCCGGTCAGACTTTCGACGGCAAGTGGAACCGTTACGATCGCGGCGCTGGCGCCTGTAGCGGTCAGACCGAGGGAGGTAAGCAACACCACAGATTCATATCCACAGACATCACAGCATACTGACCCTCTTCTGCTGTACAGGTAAGGCCGACGCCGTTTTCCTGCTCGAGGCCGGTGCCACCTTGAAGAATGTCATTATCGGCAAGAACCAAGCCGAAGGTGTCCACTGCGATGGCCACTGCACCCTCGAGTACGTTTGGTTCGAAGACGTCTGCGAGGACGCCATCAGCATCAAGAACGACAAAGCCGGCTCTCAATCCTGGATCATCGGCGGTGGTGCCTACCACGCCTCCGACAAGGTCGTCCAGCACAATGGCTGCGGAACTGTCAACATCATCAACTACGTAAGCACTTCCTTGCTACCAATTTCCCCCTTGAGCCTCTCTTTCTGACATATTTCCACAGTATGTCGAAGACTACGGCAAACTCTACCGCAGCTGTGGTAACTGCAAGTCCCAATGCAAGCGCAACGTTTACATCGAGGGTGTTACTGCCAAGAACGGTGATCTGCTCGTTGGCATCAACTCCAACTATGGCGATACTGCTACTATCAAGAACACTTGCTCGGATGCAAAGACCAAGTGTCAGATGTTCAAGGGTTGTGCTGGTGGATGCGAGCCTGCTAAGGCTGGACTTTGCTCCGGTTAGATGGCTTTGAGAATGCGATGGGAAGTGGCTGATAGTGGGAGAGAGAGGGAAGGGCGGCTTGTTGATGTCTATTTCATTCTTGATCGCTCCTGCCTTGTGCGAAGGCGTGTTTTGTTTTTGAATATAACTCTCGTGGGCTTGTTGGACTGTGTCTGATCACTGTGGCCTCCAAACACATCATCTCTTTGTCTTATCGTGCAGTTTATATGTTCGATCTCCCTATTGATGTCAGGGGAAAGAGGACGTAAGATGCAAGATGAGAGTATATAATCTAGTCTCTGCCTATGTCTCTCCTTCACAAGTTGCAATCAAAAGTTCGCTGTGATAATGCATAAAGATATTCGTTGGAGCACATCCATGGAGGAAGGCGAGAATACATCGGTTACAGTCAAAAAACAAGGCTGAGACGGGCAGCTGTAAATATCATAACTTAACATAGATGGGGTCCCAATCCCTCAAAAGCAACAATCCTGCCATCAGGAAATACAACCACTCCTTTCCTGCTTTCTCTCTCTTCTGCCTTTAGGTCTGTCTCTGCTCCAGCCGCCGGGTTGTCATCATCTTTCTCGGCAGCATCTCGCACTTCCACTTTCCCATCTACCTGGCCGTGTCTCCACTTGAAGCTAACATTCCAACCACCTCTGCATCTAATACCGCGAGCCTCTCCTTCCGTTCCAAAGGCTTCTGGCCAAGCAGGTAATATTCCCAACACCCGCTGGCCTTGTCCAGTAATCTCGAAGCTTTGCACCAAGCACTCCACAATCGCAGCCGCAGCACCAAGATTGCCATCAATCTGGAAAGGCGGATGTGAAGAAAACAGATTCGGCAATGTTGAAGTCTTCAATAATGCTGAGAAGTTCTCGGCCACTTTATCAGGGAGTCGAAAGCGAGAGAATAAGCAAAGGAGGTGGGCACGCGACCATGAGGTATGTCCACCTCCATTTGCAAGTCTGATCTCGAGACTGCGAAGGGCGGCACGGGCTAGTATAGGTGAAGCGTCCAAGTCTATACAGGTGAAAGGATAAACACCGAGAAGCTGAGACAAGTGTCGATGACCTGGCTCAACATCTTTGTGATTCGCGATACCCCACTCCTGTAATCTGCCTGTTTTCTTGCAGATCGAGGGCGGAGGCAGCGAGAGCATCGTGCGACCGACCTCTCGGAGGAGATGTGGCTTTATAGCTAGAGTCTTGCAAACGTTGAGGTAGTCTTCGAAGAGCGAGGAGATGATTGTCAGATCTGCCATACTCCCTCTGCAGAAAACCCCCTTCTCTTCTGTTTGCTCGTCGTAAAATGTGTTCTCGGGAGATAGGGAAGGATTGGTGACTTTATAATCTTTACCGTTGGGGAAGCTTTCTGTGACTAGCCAGTCGAGGCAGAATTCAACCGCACCCTCTAACACAGGAAAGTTGGTTCGAAGCGTGGGGACAGACTGAGTGAATAGGTAGTGTTCCCAGATGAATGAACAAAGCCATGCACCTCCTAATGGCCAAAGTGTTGCTGGCATCCATTTCTCACAAGGTGAGCAGTCTGCCCACAGGTCTGTGTTGTTGTGACAGCACCACCCTCGAGCTCCATACATTTCTTTGGCCACCCTTTCACCATTTTCTGGCAGAGCGAGACGATGGAGAAGCGAAAAGAGCGGTTGCATACAAGGCTTCAATGAAAGTGGAAGGCAGCCCCAATAGTTCATCTGTAGATTAATGTTCAGAGTGAACTTGCTGCCCCAGGCCGGGTGGAAGGAAGGGTTCCAAAGGCCTTGAAGATTGGCAGGCAAATCTAGAGTCTGGTCTGGGTTATTGCTTGGGCAACTTGATGATAGAAGAAGATAGCGTGAGTAGTTCGTGTACAAAGCTACGAGAGCCGGTGTTGTGCCTTTCTGAATTCTCTGGTCTGTTGGCAATTCATCTTCAGAAGTCAAGGGCCCTAGTTCGAGAGATGTCTGGTTGTAGAATGTCTGATAGTATTGGATATGGTAGTCCCAAATCTTATCTGCTCCGCGCTCTAGAGCGGCTGAAACATCTTGTTGGGCGACTTCTTTGAAGTCGGCGTGGCGAAAAGTCGTTCTGGCGGCAATCACGATCAATGTTTCTTTGGCATTGACAATCAACGAGCCACCTTGTGTTACTACTGTCCCTTCCTTGTCTGTGTTGACGCCAAGAGTGCAACAAGCTCTGACACTTTGATAGCCACCAGGTGTGGCAAGCATCACAATTCGCTTGTTTGTCGTCTCAACAGAGTCTAGATATTCATGGCTTTCAAACTCAATATCGCTGAGTCTTGTCAGCCTGACAGTGAATTCCATCTTCCCAGAGCTTCGAACGCTTATGGCAATGACTTGGTCAATTGCGCTTGCGAGCATCTCAATTTCCACCTTGGAATCACCCTCATTGTATTCCGTCTTGTGGACAGCAGTCTCCAAATCAAGCTGTCTGCGATAATTCGTCACTGTATCGGCTTTATGGCCAAAATCAATCTTTACACTGCCCAAAGGCTCATAGTGTCTTTGACAACTCGGAGTCGCACAGAAAGCTCGATCAACCAACTTCTCTGCTTCAGTATGTCGGCCCTCTCTGACAAGCTCCCTTAGTTTCGGAAGATTTCTCAACGCGTCTTTCGGCACACGATCCTGAGGTCCGCCATACCAGACTGAATCTTCGTTCAAGCAGAGCAATTCGGTCCCAGTACGTCCGTGGATCATACAACCAAGTCTGCCATTTCCAATAGGTAAAGCTTCGTTCCACTCGCTAGCCGGTTTGTCGTACCAGAGTTTCGATGATACCGCCATGGTTCGTTGACCTGTCTTCGTTTGACCAAATGGTGTGTAGTTCCAAGAGACATGTTTCGGTGTACATTGTCGCGTGAGTAGTGAGGTTTGAGAAAGCGTGAGGGGTAAAAGGAGGCTTGCATGGACTGATGTGGTGTGGTTAGCGAAGACTGCGGGGTCCCCATGGCACGCTCGAACGCGGGGTCGGGGTCTCACAATCCTACGGAGAAACTGGGAGCAAAAATCGCTGCATGTCTGTCCAGGATATGCACCAAGTGGATGGAAATTCTTGCATTCACGCGAAAGCAGATGGGTGTGAGACTGGAGCATGATCTGCAGTCCAGATCTGACTTCCGGGTCATCCTTCCGCCGACTATACATTCAGGCTATTCACAAGCGAGAAGTACATGCATACCTCGTACAAAACGTCTGATTGAGTAGCGCAAGCACGTTCGTTGGCCACAACTGCATGGAGAATCATTATACCGGTTTGTCAGCCCTCTTTTGCCTGTTTCTGCTCCGAACTGACATCAGGTAGACTCGACGCAGCTTTCCCATAGATCCTGGACTAGCTAGACCTAACCCTATTCTGGGCAGCCACGAGATGTGTCGTCTGACCGATGGTATAGAGCAGGACCGTCCTCGGTATAGGGCAAGGTGGAGACTAGAGCCGAGGGCGGGATCGACAGATGGGTACGGAGAAAGATAAGATGACTCCTCGTTCCAGTCGCGATATAGATCTAGTCTCTATCCTTGTGTCACCTCTAGCCCAACACTAAGATCCATTGTAGCATCATGGCCAACGCAGGAGAGGAAGCTCACGAGCTCGAAAATATCGACAAACTCAAACAAGCTACTCAACACACCGAAGAAGTGGTCATTACCCGCCTGACAGAAGAAGATGTCCACAAACTGTCCAGAGAGTCCCTGACCCTCAAATCCAAAGCAGGATGGCGGCTTGCAATGATCCTCTTTGTTCAAGGCTGTAATCAAGCTGGTTATGGTGTTGATTGGGCCGTCATTGGTGGTATCAATGCCCTTCCTGCTCTGCATACCTACTTTGGCTTTGGTTATAGTGGTAGCACGATTGGTGTCATCAACGCACTCATGACCATTGGCACTGTTTGCGGTGCTCCTTTCTTGGGTCTTGCTGATGTTATCGGACGACGTGGTGTCAATTTCGCTGGCAATGTTATCGTCATTTTCGCTGCGCTGTTGCAGGCCTGGGCGAAGAACACCGAGATGTTCATGGCTGGAAGGTGAGTGAGCCGAACATATGAAGTTTGATATCTTACTAACCTCTCGGCAAGGTTCTTCATGGGTTTTGGAACTGCTCTCATGAGCTCCAGTCAGTACATGGCCGAGATATCGCCGATCCATCTTCGTGGCAGACTGGTCGGTGTCTTCGGTGCCTGCTTCCAAGTGGGTTCTCTCGGAATGACTGGTGCGATGATTGGTCTCACGACACTAGATGGTAACTATTCATGGCGTATTCCGTTGCTTCTCCAAGCTGGTCTCGCCTTGGTCGTTTGCTCGACTATCTACTTCCTGACGCCAGAAAGTCCTCGCTACCTTGTCAAAGTAGGCAAGAGAGACGCCGCAAAGCATGTCGTGGCCAAATATCACACTACGAGCGGCGATCTCGACGAACCACTCGTCAATGTTGTGATCAGTCAGATTGATGAGTCCCTGGAGAACGAGAAAGCTCTGACCGGAGCCTGGTGGGACTACCGTGTCTTTTTCACCAAGCCGGTCAGGTTCCGCATGCTGGTTTTGACACTATACTCCGTCTTCCAGCAATGGAACGGGGGTGGCATCATCACTTACTATCTGACTCCCGCTCTCTTCATGGTCGGCATCAAGAAGCCAATGGAACAACTCGGGATGTGAGTCTGACACAAGCACATCTAGCAAACATGTTTACTGACAAATATTCAGTCAACTCGGTTCAACAGCCATATATTTTGTCTTTACACTCTTCGGCTCCTACATCATCGACAAGTTCCGCCGTCGAACTCTCATCTTCGCCGGTCTTATCAGCATCATCGTCCTACAAACAGCTACAACAATCACCTCTTGGCAATACAGTGTCAATCCCACCCACGCAGCAGCCGGTCTCACCATCTTCTGGGTCTACAGTTTCCAAGTCTGCTCCGCAACCTTCATCGCCACAATGCACAATCTATATCCCGTTGAGATTCTCTCCCTCGCACTCAGAGCTCGCGGTATGGGTGTCTATTCATTCATCCAAGGTGCTGCGGGTAGTGTTCAGAATTATGGCATTGCTGTTGGCATTGACAAGTTGGGCTATAGGATCTGGGCTGTGTATGTGGTGTACAATACACTCCAGCTCATCGCTTCGTACTTTGTCTTTCCGGAGACCTATGGTTTGAGTTTGGAGGAGATTGATGTTGTGTTTGAGACACCGGGAGTCAATCCTGTGAAGATCAGTCTGGATATTCAGAAGGCTAAGAAACAGAGAGCTGTACTTGAGGAAGAGGTAGGCGGGTTGAGTGAGAAGGTTTGATAATCTATGGGTTACTTTCATGTTTCACTTGTCTGTGTTTCGTTGTTAGGACTTTAGATGTATAGCACATCGACGACTTCATGATACCATTGAGACGACGGAGTCCTAAAGTACCAATCTCTCTCGGCGTGAAATCATCATCACTATTCCTCCTCGATTTCCAGCTTCACAGTAACCTCATTCTTACGTCCGTCCACATAGTATTCGTGGCTCTCGCCTGGTCCCGCAGCGATAGGATCGCACGGAAGAGATTTTCCATGGCGTGTGCGACAGAAGTATGACCGAGCTCTACTTCTGACTGCTGGAAGAAGCTCTGATAAATTTCCTGGAGGAAGTTCTTCGTTGATGTAGTCGGGGTGATGGTGTATGAACAATGCAGCAAATAACGATGTCAGATGCTCATCGTGGTGGGAGCCCTCGTCGTAGAAGATGAACGCATCAAAAAGCCCTGCATGGGTATCGTGACCGTCTCTCAGGTCTTTGCGGCTCTTGTAGGAGTGTAACAGGCAGTCGTTGAGATCTCTTTGGAGATCATTACTGAAGATACCACGACCGACCATCTCACTATAAACCTCACAGAGGATATGATACATCTCTGTCTCCTCAATCCCAGCATCAACAACAGCTTGTGATGTGTTGCGACTGTGAATCCAAAGAGCGAGAAATCGGACAAATTTGCCTTTGGAAATCCCTTACCGAGGAAGAGATGTACACGGTCTTTTCACCCTCTTCCAACGACGATGAAGGTAACATTGCGACTTTGGAAATGTGGTGGGTTTTTTTTATTGCCTTTTCTCTTTACTGGTCTGATTTTTCATCTTGATCCGTTCGAGGGGAATTCTGCAAAGATGGGAAAACGTTCGTTCTTTTGCTCGTGTCTGATTGTCTCTGCTCTGTCAGACGTTCTGAATTTATACCCTTGATGCTATCATGGTCAAGATTATGTCTCGCTCCTATTGAGACTAAACACATGTTCACTCAAAGACACAACCGCGAGATCTGTCTCTTTGCGATGGTCAGTGGATTGAGTCAAACGGGAGTCAAACCTGTGGCAGATATGCTTTGTCCATAAATTCGACATGGAAGACTGCGGCTAAAGATTTTTTTACAAAAGTTTGAGACCAGTGCAAGTGATATGAGTGAACTTGTTCCGGAATTTAGCTTGCGATGCCTTGTTTTCTGGAAGACGATATAGCTGCATCTTCGTCTCTTAGTCAAGATTCTTTACTCTTCTTCACACCAACACTCACGGAACCCGTGCAAGTCCAACGACTGCATGAAAGAGATCTTGACGACTCGCGACAAACTGACTAACCTAGCCATATCTACACTTATCTACATCTACATGCCCACAAGCCCGTAAATACACAAACCTAACACTACCCCCTAACTAAAGTCGTTCTAGTCCTACTACAATTAGTATCTACACTTTTCCTCCATTTACCGAACAACTCTACCCTACACCTTTTCTTCTCCTTTCATCACCACTATCATATTCGTCACTATCACCTTCACATCTTTCCAGCTGATGCGCTGGCATCACTTCTGCTAACCACGTTAATCTCTCCCTGATCTTTCGCTTTGCCCCTAAGATTAAAGATGTGGCCTTGGGTATTCAGTCGTAGGTGCTATGTTTCTATGTCTTTCTTCATTCCATCGTCGTAAGAATCTCCAGGGCGAGTTCTGCCACGCGTCTTCGATGGTGAATTTTAGAGATAGATTTTTTGAAGGGGGGCAGGACAGAGCAGAGGTATATCAAAGCCGTTGCATCCTTATTGCAGTCTGTCAAGACAAGACTTTTCGAATTCTTGGGATAAAGTCGAAGGATGACCGAGTTTAGAGATGTATGGTTGAATCTCTTCCAAGGCCGATTGGTCAAGATGAGGTTTTGGAGATTGAGTAATGTATTAATCCAGCCGACCAAATCAGTGCTTGCTTCTTCTTCTTCTTTCTTCAAGTCTGTAAAAGCTTCTTCATTTGCCAGTGCGATTCCGATCTTGAGGTTCTCGAGTTTTGGAAAGTGAGTCGCATCTACGGGGGAGAGATTGATGTGATCAACTTAAATTCTTTCAACGATCAATTTAGTCAAGAAAGTCTTGCTCGCACAAACGGCATCCATGACGTCTTCAAAAAAAAAAGACTAGTCACCAGATCCGGTGCTTTTGTTGTCCCAAGCCGGTGCTTTGATATGGGTGATATGATCGACGGGGTCTTGACCAGTAAAGCGTAGTAGATCAGAGCGTCCGAGAACCAAAACCCTTTAGAATCTAGGCCATGCGTGTATTTCTATTTGATCGACGCTCAGTGTAGACAACAATCTTGTGAGTTGATCCCAAAAACCATGATCCCGTACAAGCTCAACAGCTACATTATTCGCTTCCTCCACAGGCGATGTAGGACCATTTCAAAACGGCAATTCACCTTCCATCACCATTCGCGGGGAGTATTTGCGAGGATTGTTACGACATTCTCCTCCAAGACCATTGTATTGATAGACAGAGGAGCAGATATAAAGTTTTCGTATCTGCGGGCTTATCCTGGTATTCTCTGACATTTGCCGTAAAGCCTCTAGCGCCTTTTTTGTGGGCAGGAGATGGAGACTTGAAAAGTATCGTTGTGCAAAGATGCTGGATAATGTGGTATTCATATGTCTATTCGTACTACGTAGATGCAAGAGCTCTATATCTGAGAGGAATGTCGCTCTTAGGAGGGCAGTCTCTGGCGGTGGGTCCATTAGAGAAAGCGCGTCTTTCTTTTGACACGAGTGAGTGATGCCCATGATGTGATCGCGGAGTGATTGAATTGCTGGGTGTGGAGAGCAGTCAAAGCAGAAGGAAGGAAGCTTAATCAGCAAGGCGGAGTAGGCAATTTTTACATATCCTTGAGTAATGTGATTGACCAGCTTATCTATTACAGAGATTAAGATAGGACAGTCGTAAGGAAGGATTCGAAGACCCCTCGCACGGTGGTCCCCCATTAATGTCCAGTTTAATTGGTACATTCGCCCCTTCCATATCCGATCTGGAAATGACAGTCTTCTCTGAGATGAGAATCTAGTGACTAGTACTCGGACACTTGCTTACTTCATATACAACTAGATCAGACAACGACAATCGCATATTTCGAGTTGGGTATGGAAAAAGCAACACTATAGCTAAAGCAAAAGCATCGCAATGCAAAAGTCTACTGAAAAAAACAGATGCAAGCAATACAGCCAAGAAGAAGATGATGACAAGAGGATACATGTATCGCATGCAGGAAACAAAATGTCTGACGCAAAAGAGAAACACGACACTTTCTTTTGTTATACCCAAAAGAAAGAAAAAAGACGAAAAAAGAGAGAGGCACAAGAAAGGAAAAGCACAAACACACAAGAGAATCCTTTCATCCTCGTCCTTCGTCCCAAAAGTCCATCCGGCACTCGATACTTGTACTCCAGAATCAGAAAAATCTCCTAGTTCTGTCCAATATCCACCCAACTGATATCACTAGCCTGAGTCTTTCTAGATGCTCCATTCTTATGGTCCATTCTCTCCTTGATCTGTCTCTCGGCTTCGAGTCGTTGTCTAAACGCCTCTTCGCGATCCCGTTGTGTCAAAGCTCCAGTCGCAGAAGGCCAGATAGTAGCACCAGAATCTCTGTTTTCGTCAGGGTTTTGAATACCCAGGCCGGCTTGTGGTGGCTTGGGGGCTTCACGATCGGGAGTGAAGCGGAGGGCGGCGAGGGTACCAGGATGGAGGGCGCCAAGTTTGCGAGCAGCCCCAGCGTAGGCGGCGCTGGGAGCAGGTCGGTCGTGCATGGCGCGCGTGCCACTGCCGGGGAAGAAGCCTCCACCACTGTTGCCACGAGCTGCAGGGCCAGGAATGGCGACTGCGGCTGGTGGACTTAAAGCGCGACCTAGAGCATCGGAGAATCCGAAGCCAGTCATGCGACTATCGCGATCTACGTCTGCAGTGTACGTACTCGATGGAGGTCGGGGGAAGGCAGAGGCGGAAACAGCGGGGGATGGGGGAATGTGGACTTCGTTTACAGCAGGTGAGTTCGGTGCTTTCCTGTTGACGGCTTGAGCAGTGTTGGTCGCATGTGCTGTCGCGATTGTGCCAGCACCATCAACAGGTGTCCACTCGTCATGTTGTGAGAAGAATTGTGATGAGGCTACGCTGCTCGAAGAGTGACGTCTGGAAGATGCAAAAGACTCGCGAGCTTCGCCAAGATAACCTTGACTTTCCAGACTCTGACCAGTGTGGAAGTCGGCGCGCTGACCTGCAACCATGTCGAAGCTCTGTCCTCTAGCAGAAAAGTCCTCGACACTGTGGCTGAAGCTAGGTCTACCCATACCCACAGCTGACAAACGGTGGTGATGTGCGTCAGCAGGATGTAAGTGTCCCTTAGGCTCTACATCGAGCGGTGCCACCATGGCAGAAGGATTACGAGACGGAGTGTAGTCGGACACACTCAAATTTGGCGATGCAGTGAGCGATGCACTAAGGTTTGGTGAATGTTGTGCAGCAGGGTCGTATGCGCCATGGTCACTTCCGCCTGCAAAGTATCTCGACCAGCCTGAACTGCGTTTCGTCTGCATATCCTCCTCTCTTTGTTGATTTTGCACAACTCTGAGTGACGACATTTGAGGTGGAGGAGCACGGGTGACAGCTGATCGCGGCGTTTGACTGTTCATCGACTCCATCTCCATGGGATCATCGAAGCTCTGCGGGCTTGTAGGTGATCGCACAAGCTTGGCAGTACTTTCGAAGCTGCCCTTCTCGCCATTGCTTCTATTGTGTCCATTTCCATACTTGCCAGAAATGATGGCCAGTGAGCTTGAGGAGTCATTGGTTTGGTGACCAAACGCGTTCTTAGGAGGTTGCAAGTCGGCGTACGGGTTGTTGCTGCTATTCACAGGGGTCTTCTCAGAAGCACCGTACTTGCTGAAACGTTGGCTGAAACGGTCAGCTCCAAGCTTACCAGCAAGAATGGCGAAGGAGCTTCGAGGGTCGTATGAACCCATCACGGGTTTGGGCAATTGCGGAGGAGCCTCGCTCACACCGCCACCAGCCTCCTTCATGAACGATGCGCCTCTATCCTGGAAGCTCATTCTATCAGACTTCTCACCACTGCTGCTGAAGGCCTTTAGCTGCTTTTGCTTGCGACGTCTGACAAGTAGTAAAGCAATCACGAGCAAAGCTGCAAGACCAAACAGAAGACCTAATGTGATTCCAAGCACTTTACGAGTATGAGCGCCTGAGTCGTAATGACTTTTTGATGCTGCGGCTGAGGACGTTGCAGAAGCTTGTGTACTTGTTGAGGTGGGGAGAGAAGTTGAACTTGATGCGGATGTCGTCGTCAAGGGAACCTGGCTGTCGCCGAACAGAACCTCGTTGCTGACCCACGAGTTGCTGGTCTGGTTGAAGACGTTGACAGGATTGTCGTCGTTACCTCCACTGATCACAGCAAGAGTGCCTTGGTCATTTTGCGCAACGGAATAATCCGATCTCTTCACTGATGGAGCTGAACTGCTGTTGTATGTCGGCCAGTCATCCAATGTCAAGTCGCGCTTGCGTTTCCTCGACGAAGATGTGCTGGATGAATCGCCGATAGTTTGACCAGTGCTGGCAGGCTGACCGTCGGCATCCAACAACACAAGCTGTGTGACCTTGTTGGGAGAAGCAGTGGCATCATAAACCGTGAGAACTTTGCTACCGTCAGTACCAGTAACAAGAGCGCCTTTTGCACCATCAGGCAACGCTGATGTAAGGTTAGTTTCCAACCTAGTCCAACTGCTGCTCTTGCTGAAAGACCAGATGCCAGTGTTGCTTTTAGAACCACCCAGCAGGACTGCAGAACTTTCGTCCCAAGGTAACAAGATAGGGTTGGACACAGTCGGTGCTTTTGATGTGAATGACTCGATGTTGAAAGGCTTCTCGGTCGAGATGACGAAAGTCTGAGATGAAAGCTCAACACCGGTCCTTGACCCGGCATAGACAAGAATGGAAGAAGAGTCGCTCAAGTATGCAACGCCGTGGTTCGTACGTCCCATCATATCTTGTGTAGGTAGTTCAATAGTCTCCCAAGTCTTGTTTGAGAATATATAACGCTGTAGACCTCCGTATGATGAGTCGTCGGATGTGCCGCCGACCACGTATAGTGCGGCTTGTGATTCGTCTCCATTCGGTACTGCGCGGAGACATGTGTGACCAGTCACTGCTTTTCCCATTTCTATCGAGGTCCATGTGCCATTCTCAGCGAGCGGTAGAGCCTGGAATGAGTCTGGTGACAAGACGTATAACGTGTTATTGTCAATGACAGAGCAGTGGCCTGAGAGAGCCTTCTCGGGTAGCGGAGCGGCCATATTGAAGAGTATTATGATATTAATGGAAAAGGTGTATTATTTCTGGAGTCGAGTGTGTCGCGAATGAACGAAGGGTGATTGAGACTGGAGATTGCTGGACTAATCACAAGAACATCATGCGGCGTATAACGAGCGTGGTGTATGGTCTGTCGTATCCAGATAACGAGCGTAAAGGTTTGCGTGTGACGAAAAGAGCGACGTGTCGAAGGAGTGCGAGTTCCAGGAAAAGGGGAAGCAGCAACAACAGCGACGTTTGAAGGTTGGCAGAATCGAATCAACGAGAAAAGCGATAGAAGGCAACAGTCGTCAAGACTTCAATCCAAGGACCAGGGACTTTCTCCAAACAGGGCGACAACACAAACAAGAGTTGGGTGTGAGTGTAAGAGGAGAGAGGTTGTGATTGTTCGTCTTGTCAAAACACGACAGGGGCGCTTGAGGCTGATGATAGATGTAACGGTCCGCGGGTCTGATCGTTGTTAGGATAACGGTCACCGATTTAAGCTGCGAATCGAAGGGTGAAGTTATGATGATGCCGTGTTGATTGATCCCGTAGTGGAAGAGCAATTATGGTGGTGAAGAGATAGTCGGGGCTGTATGCTGACAAGTCGGAACAGGAGACAGGCAGCGACACGCACAAGGACGAAAAGACGAAAAGAACCAATGGCCAAGGCAGAGACCAGAAAGGAAAGACAGGCACACGCTTCTGCCAGAGGAAGGGGAGGGAGAGCTTCGGTGGCCGTTGGTTGGCCGTTTGTCGCGCGAAAGCAGGACGTACGAGGGAGACGAAAGACAGGAGGTCGTCCAAGAGTCAGACTCAGACTTGCACAAGCCTCATCCCGCGACCCTTCCAAGCTCTGCCAAATCGCATTAATCCGCTAAAAGACACATGAGCACCTACCACCGCCCATATCACCCCAATACTGCTTCTATTTTCTGCCTCGCCCTTCCGGTACAAGGAGAGGTGAGCAGCGCTGCTGACGAGAGTTTGGAAATCCACTCCACTTTCGAAACCCCCGACTCGCACATGGTCCAGAACTCTAAAACCCAGTACGCTATTCCGATCTTTCACTTCCACACCCACCACTCTTCTTTCCAAACAACGCTCCGGCTTTTCGGCTTTTCAGCTTCCCTCTCATCATCACGCATGACTCCCAATGCACAGGGCCGCAGAATAAAGGCCACCTTGAGCAGGCCCTGAAATGCATCGTAGATCCCGTTCGCTTCCCCCTTCGCGAGGAGAAGGACGAAAAGTGCCCAAAGCTTTTTCCTTGGCTAAAGCTGCCCAACGGACACCTTTCCCCTTTTGCACTTGTGAAACGCTGGAGTGATGGTGGACGGACCCTGACCTCTTTTATTCCACAAACCACAACTCTGGCGCCCGATGGACTGAGGAAAGGGTAAATTATCACAGTCACATGTGCTGAGATATAGCTGAATTCTTGTTCTCTCTTCGAATAGAGATGGAGTTGTAGACGCTTGTATCTTTGTCTCTTTGATTCACTGAATGCTTTTTGAAGTGTCCATCAAGCCCTGCATTGAAAACCCCATCATGTCAGACCCCAACTTCCATTTCTCTCCATCGCCAGAACTTCCCACCTTCTATCCATACCTCCCATTTACCTCTATTTCCGCCCTCGCTGTGCTCGTTTTTCTGGTACACCAAAACATCTCCGGTTACACATCCGTCGCAAAGGCTTTAGAAATAGCCTAGTAGCCCGTGCTGTCTTAAGGTCCCGCCACAATTGGCAGATCTGCTGTACCACACACAAGCCGTGAGTACGTGCACGATAAAAACGTGGATTAACCCTCGGACCTGGCTCTTCCTTTTCTCTGTCAGCAAACAACACAAGTGATCTTTGTCGCGAGTCGTGGGATGGCGAGAATGGGTTACTTGAGTCAAGGAAAGATGGGTAGATCATCATGTGAGAGAATGCGGAGGAGTGGAAAAGGGCAAAAATGCACGGTGATTCGAACGCGAGTATGGGAGTCGGTTGGTTGGGAAGAGTTTCGTCTTGATTTGTTGGAAGAAAGTTCTGGCTATACAAGAGGCTTGGATTGTAAGCGATCTGTTTCGACACTGCGCATGTTGCGCTGATGTGGGAGGTGCAGGTATGCCCTACCACCATCGCTTCCCCGGATATATTGACATGATGCCACAACTTCTTCGCCCAGCTGAGCTTCGTCTAAAGTGTGACGACGTGTTGTACAAGATGTACCCCGAAAATACTGAGATCGATAATGCCATGCCATGCTTTTGCCCTGATCTTCTTATCCACTTCAACCACTCGCTTGCTCCTTTTTCCAAGCCTGTGCCATTTGCAACAACTTTGACATCTTGGCAGCACTCTCGTCGTCTGCCGGGAAGACGTAATCCATGTACTCCTCGAACTCGTTCTCGGCCAACTTTCTCCTCTTCTTGACACGACGCGGCATTTGTTTCTCCACTTTTTCGAGATCCGAGGCGTTGCCGTGTGTGGTTTCGAAGGACTTCCATGCATTGAGTAAAGCGACACGCTGAGAGATGTTAGTATTTGCTCGTGTGATGGTAAGCAAAAGGCAATGGTGGGGGTTTATACATACCTCTTCTTTGAGATCTTTTTGCTTCATGTCTTCGTACGCACGTTGGAAGACCTTGCGAGCGCGCAACTTTGCATTCTCGGAAATCGGTCTCTCTTCCTCTTCGTCTTCGTCTGCTTCTTCCTCGTCTGGATCCGGCACGTTGATTTCAAAGTGTGCGTAGCTGATCCATACTTTGACGTGGCCTGTCTTTTCCAGCAGGCGCTCGTATAAAGCTCGTGTTCTGTCCCATTCTCCCTCTTCTTCTTCAAAGTCGATGTAAGCTTTCCAGAGTAGTTCTGGCATGTCGAGGGAGGGTTGGTCGACTGCCAATTCGAAGATGGCGCGTGTGCGTTCGAGGTCTTCGAGTCCTCGTTCTAGTTCGGCGAATTTGATCCATGCTTGACAGTTTGCTGGGTTCCATTCAATGTGCTTTTCGTACAGTGTACGGCAGCGCATGAATTCGAAAAGCTTGAGTTCGAGCTCAATGTAGCCGCGGAAGAGCTTGTCTTTGGGACACATTCCTATTGCCATACCCAACGACTTACGAGCGGCTGACAATTGCATCTGTCTGATCTCAAATTGTGCCTTTAGTAGCCAGAACTTTGCGAATGTGAAGTTCTTGTGAGGGATGAGCTTCTGACACTCGGCATACACCTGTCGGGCACGGTCGACATCTTTGTTCTCCATCTCTTCCCATAGTGCATAGAAGATCCAGATGTATATGTATCGTCTCCAGTGTCGCTTCTCTTGAGTCGGCGGTACTTGGGCAATAGCACGTTCGTATACATCTCTTGTACGCTCGGCATCGCCCAAGGATTCTTCCAGCCTTGCGTAGTCGATCCACGCATCGTAGTTCTTTGAGTTTTCCTTGACCTGCTCTTCATATTGTACTCGTCGCTTGGACAAGACAACATCCTCGACACCCTCTTGGTCGCCGTACTGCTTCTCGAAAGTGGTGTAGTGCTTGTGAAGGTTGGCGGATTGTGATCTGGGCATGCGATCCAAAGCATATTTGTAGATGGCTCTTGCACGCTCGTACTCTTTCAGCTTAGCCTCGTATTTGGCATAAGCGATGAAGAGCTTCTCATCCATAAAGTCCTCTCCCATAGTCTCGATAGCCATGCCAAAGACCTCTCTCACGTGGTCGCTCGTGCCACTCTCTTCCTCAAAACGCGCCCATTTGATCCAGTTCTTTGATTCGGGGTGGACGATTGTGAATCTCTCAAAGATTGAGCGGGCACGGTCGAACTCTCCATATCTCTTCTCCATCTTGATGTATGCGCCCCAAGCATCCTCACTAGGCTCCCAGCTCATCCATCTCTCAAAGACTTGACGGGTACCGGGGATGTTGCCGAGAGTCTCCTCCATGTAGACATACTTGTACCAGATTTTGTCGATTCTCGGCAAGATGGTGACGGCTCTGTCCAGCAAATTACGAGCATGGTTGATGTTCCTCGTCTTCATCTCGGCCTCAATGTAGCGCAGCCACAAGGGAACATTCGTAGGTTCGACGTCGAGAGCGCGTTCGAAGACACTCCTGGCACGGCGGTACTCCTTCTGTTCGAGTTCCCAGGCGGCATAGCGCATCCAGTTGCCCATGTTAAGGCGGTTTCGTCGGACATAGTCTTCAAACTCCTTGCGCTTGCGGCCTTGGTGCTCGTGCAGTTCTTCCAAGTCGGCAAAGCGTTGGGTAGGGGCCTGGAGGCCGGGTTCCTGGCGGTCGACGGCCTCGCGCAAGAGCTGTTCGGCACTGATCTGAATGGGTGCAGCAGCCTTGTTCTTGACCCTCGGAGGGCCACGCGACGACTCCATGATGGCGGACAGAGCGAGATGATTTGTTGGAGGACGGGGTGATGGGGTCGAGGTAGAAACAAAGGCGCGACAGGTCGGCCTGTAGTGGGTTGCGACAAGGCAGATTGGATGGTCGAGATGGTTCAAGTTGGCGGCTCGATGCTTCAAGGAACAAGGAATTTGCCGGCGCGTCACTTTGCATGTGAAGCTGCGACAGACTTACAACATCAACACGACAACTGACACACGCAAACATCAACACTTGCGCACAAAAGAGAGGCGCCTTCGACCAAACCTACCGCATATACCGACATTTGGTTACCGCGACTTCTACCACTTCCATCAGCCGGCACAACAAAACTCCACCATGGCGTCCATCGCCGACGAGCTCTTGAACGACTTCGAGTCGGACGGCGACGAGGAGAACCAGGAGGCCCTTGAAGGCGACATTGTCACACACTCGGTCCTACGACCATCAGATCCTAGCGATGCTCACGGCAATGGCGGCATGGAGCTGGACGGCGACGAGGAAGAGTCAGATGGCGAAGAGGGAGACACTGCGCCAAACAGCAAGATCCAAGAGACAGAAACAGAAGAGGAAGCAAAAGCGCGGGTTGAAAAGATGGATCTTGCTGCTGTAGGAGATGTGCGCAGTGTCGCCAACTTGATGAAGACGCTACAACCAGTACTCGAGGTAAGCCGACTCCCTGATGCCCCAAACTAGACGTAAACATGATTCACATCCTTTGAACATAGCCCTGACCACGGCCTCTTGCTTGCAGAAAATCGCCCACTACCAGAGCCTGCCATCCGACCAACAAACAAAGAACATTGGCTCCATCGAGGACAACCCCGAGTACAAGCTCCTGACCGAGTCCAATACCCTGTCCACCTCGATCGATGGTGAGGTCATTCTGGTCCACAAGTTCATCCGCGATCACTACTCGACACGCTTCCCCGAGCTCGAAAGACTGGTCCAGAACCCGCTCGACTACGCAAAGACGGTTGCCATCATTGGAAATGGCCCTATGGAGGACGTCAAGAGCTTGTCAAACTCGACAGACAACCCCGTCGGCCAGTCACTGCGTCAAGTCTTGGACGGCCCCACTATGATGGTTGTCACGGTCGAAGCCACAACCACAAGAGGTACCCCTCTAGATGATTCTGAGCTTTCTAACGTCAGACGTGCTTGCGACATGATCCTCCAGCTTGACAAGGCTAAGAGAACACTCACCGAATACGTGCAATCCCGCATGAATGTCTTCGCTCCTAACCTCACAGTCCTCATCGGCTCCCTAACAGCCGCTCAACTCATCAACTTCGCCGGCGGCATAGCAGGCCTCGCAAAAACACCCTCCTGCAACATCCCCCCACTAGGCTCCAAGAAGCAAACCCAAACCGGTTTCGCAACAAACGTCGGTGTCCGTCACCAAGGCTTCCTCTACAACTCCCCTTTGGTCCGCGAAGTTCCCAGCGACCTAAAAAAACAAGCCATGCGCATCGTCTCTGCCAAAGTCGTCCTAGCAGCCCGCATGGATCGCGTCCACGCCTCACCAAACGGCGCAGATGGAGAAGTTTTGAAGGAACAATGCATAAACCGCCTCGACAAACTCGTAGAACCCGCACCGAACCGAGGTGCCCGCGCCCTCCCCGCCCCTGACGATAAACCGTCCCGTAAACGTGGTGGCCGTAGAGCACGCAAAGCCAAAGAAGCAACGGCAATGACAGATCTGAGGAAAGCACAAAACCGCATGGCTTTCGGAAAGGAAGAGGCAGAAATCGGCTATGGCACTGGAGATGGCACGACAGGCTTGGGCATGATCGGTGCCGCGCAAACAGGATCCATCCGCACACAGCAAATCGATCAACGCACCCGAGCCAAACTGTCAAAGAAAAACCCGGGCTGGGGTGGCGCCACACCTGCTCCCTCTGGCCTGGCGTCAACCTTCCACGGCGGCTTTGGCTCTGGCACAGCATCTGTATTACGCTCCTCCGGTCTGCGCACCTCTGGCGTGGGTATGGGATCCGGAACCTCGAGTATTGCATTTACACCCGTTCAAGGCTTGGAACTTGTAGATCCAAAGGTTCGGGATGAGATGAATAGGAAGAGAAAGGCTGATGAGGATCGCTGGTTTAAAGGGGGCACTTTTACACAGATTGGGGGTGCTGGGACTGAGAAACCTGGATTTGGGGCTGCAGGGGGTAATGGTGGGTTCAAGGTTCCTGCGTTGCCGCCGATGGGGAAGAAGAGAGATACGGGTGCTGATAAGTGAATGGGAGGGGACGGAGAAAAAGCACTTGTATCTTTGCTGCGAATGGTTGGAGGATGGCATTTTTTTTTTGGCTGGATTGGTGTTTGATATCGTCAATCATCCATCGCTTTGGTCTACGGACTCTACCTTTATCATGTCCGATCGTACTTTTCTCTCTCTCATACATGTACACGTCCCGTGACAATAATGCTTCTAGTCTTCTAACAGCTTTCTATCAGCCACCGTCTCCAACACTCTATACCACACCCCCCCCCC